CCTTTCATTTCTACAGCCTAATCGGAATCATTTCCCTTTTATGTCTTTTCAGAATTCTCAGTTCAACCTTAAAGAATGTGACATAATTGGGTGAATGGAAACAAAGAAATTTTTTTGAAATTTTTACTTTAATCCTTGAAATTTTGTTCTATTTTTTTCCAATTTCAAACGGTTCTTTGTGCTCAAATTTTTAAACTTTAAACTTTCTGGGGATTTCGATTCGAAAGTCAACTTTTCAACATGGAAAGTTGAGAATCGAATGAGCCAGAATGCCAGAACTGCTTAATTTTTCCAATTATCGCCTAAGCCTAAGCTGTTAGAGCACATTGTTAGAGCACAACTCTACGATAACTCTTTTACTTTTTGATAACTACGATAACTACGATAACTTACGATAACTCTTTTACTAAACTTTAAACTTTCTGGGGATTTCGATTCGAAAGTGAACTTTTCAATTTGGGAAGTTGAGAATCGAATGAGCCAGAATGCCAGAACTGCTTGCTGTTAGAGCACATTGTTTAAGCACAACTCTACGATAACTCTTTTACTTTTTAAATCTCTTCTAACGTTTTTTTTTCATGATCTTCAAAATAACAAGAATATTTAGCGTCCTTCAATTCACTATCAAATAAATTTGGAATTTCATTTTGATGTCTTTGATCAGATAGAATTGAGGAGTGAAAGGATAAGAGAAAAAAAACGAATTCAAAGAAGATTTACTAATCTCGATTCCCAATCTCGTTTTCTATTTCGAAGCAAAACCACAGTATTCCCGGCAACGATCATTTCATTTTTCTCAATTCGTATTTTTCTATTCTGCGCCATATCTACAGTACTTTGTGCTTGTAGGTACTCTGCTTTCTCTATTCTGTGGCTAAACTACCGTAATTCAGGTGTGGAAAGCTCTATTCTATAACCTACCGTAACTCGAGATTCTCGACAGAGATTGAACTGCTCTATTGCCGTAGTTTCTGCTAATTCTATTTGTGCCCAAAGCTACGATAATCTAAGCGAAAAAGGGAGAGAAAACAAGTGGCAACAAGTCTATTGCACAGTAGCAATTACCTTACTGTCGTAGTCTGTGCCAATTCTATTTTGTGCTCAAAACTACGATAGTCTGGAGTTCTAAAGGAGAATCGGCAGATTTCCGGGTGTTTTCTCTTTCCCATAACAGCATAAACCCATTGGATTGAGTTCTCCATTTTCCGGTTGACAGCCTCGAAAAGTCATCCCGAAACCGATCAAGAGTTGGCAAAGTTGCACAGACAAAAGTCGGCAAAGTTGGGGAAAAAGAGAGAAAAGAACGAGGAAAAAGTGAGATTACGATCTTGTCTCTCAAATCTCGAATTCTCAATAAAAAGGAAAAAAGGAAAAACGAATTAGAATCTCAGTTTGAAAAGAAAAAAGTTTGGGCCCAAAAAGAGGGTTTTTTTTTGCGCTAAAGGAGCCAGTGATCCGTATCGGTGAACGATTTTTGTCGAGAGTTTTTTAAAAAGTTCAGATTTTCTAAAATTTGAATATATTCACTGATCTTCAAATTTGAATTTGAATTTCTACTGGATTCTAAAGGATGGATATTGAGAAAGACCCAGAAACGGTTTTGCTGCCACCGAAACTTTCTGTGCATTCATTGCATGCGAGATGTGCTTCGAAGCTCAGAGATTTGGTGGGTTTTTTTTTTAGAATTTTATGGATCGAGGTGAATCTCGGGTTTAAAATTAGCATATAGGAATTAGCATATAGGAATTAGTATATAAGAATTAGTATATAAAAATTAGCATACTAGAATTAGCATATAAGAATTAGTAAATAGGAACCATCTTTAGCTAGATTTCAATCATTCTCTGACTTGTACTTTGTGCTCACTTGTAAACGCAATCCTTTTGGCGCACTTGATTCTCGATTGCTCGTCGTTGCTTTCTTGTGCGGAAAAACAAAGAACTCAGTGTGCTAGGAGGTTTGTGTTTACGAGTGCACACAAAGTACACCCGGGAAAGTCTGTACTAATTGTGTAAGTATTTGCATAATAGTTCACTGTACTAGGCTTTACTACTGTAGTACGATTTATCCGTAGCTAGATGGTTACTGTACTAGAGTAAACCCTGTACTACTCGTTCGCTAAAGTAACTTGAGATTCACCATCACAAATTTCCTTCAATGTTGCGGTTTCCTTTTAAGGGCTAATTTTTTTGTTTTTGTTTTTTTTTTTTTTTTTTGCATGTTTTATGTTTTTCAACTTTAGCTATAGATCTTAATTGGTATTTGAAAAATTAAAATTAAAATTCAAGAAGCAAATCTAAAAATTAGCATTCAATAAGCAAATCGAAAATTAGCAAATTAGCATTTAAATTTAGTCTTACCATATCTCGTTTTTGAATGAGCATTTCAATTAGAATTAAAGATTAATGGTCAATGAACAAATTTACATTTAAATCTCTTACTATATGTCTTCCCCAATAAAATCTTCGATTAACATTTAAACGCAATATGTTCAAACTTCTTGTTTTTTCTTTTTCTTTTCCAACCTCACATTCATAATTATCAAAAAAAATTTCACTAATTTTCTCATTTTCCATTCAGCCAAGTCTAAATTTTGAACTCCATACGCATGAAAAATTCCCCAATTCTTTGCAAATTTTGTAATTTTATGTCAATATTTATCTGTTTCAGTAATTGTAAAATTTTCGATCACCGCATTGCCCTTCTTTTATCTTCATGAAATCATCCGAATCATTTATGGCAAAGAAGAGAAAAAAAAATGATAAATATATGTCTCGCCGCATCAGCTGATCATTCAAATTGGGTGTGAAATTTGCTCGCGCATGTGCTCGTGATGTGATCACAAAGAGATTTCTTCTTTTTGGTGTACGTTGTGCCCTCAAAAGTAAAAACACTTTCTCGTGCGCTGAATTCTTTACTCTTTACTGTTTCTTTAGGCACTGAACCTTTAGCCTACGGTTCTCACTGGTGCGCTAGATGCCGGGTAAACACCGGTCATGGGGGTGAACTTCTCGGTCCTCGATGCACTCGACTTGTTCTTTGAAGTGTACTTTGTGTACCAAATCTAGAAACATAATCTTTCTGGTGCACTAGATTATTCGGTCTTTTTGCAAAGCCTTTGTGGCAAAAAATGAAGAATCAAGTGCACGAGAAGAGGTGTGTTTACGGGAGTACAAAGAGCAAGAGATCCTTGTGATAAATCAGCTTCAGCAAAGTAAAAGACTAGATCTAGTATCCATATAAGTTATAAGAATTTGATCTGGCTTCGCTTAGAACAGCCCTGAATAAACTACAATATAAGATTCGTTGATATCCGAACTGAATTCAAAATTTGAAGCCTAAGATCTGCCCAACTCATAGTCAAGGGATTAGTGGATCAAGGGGATTCTCAAAAGACGCGAGCTAACTTTTTCGGAAAAGTAAGTGGAACACCGCCATGTAGATGGATGGATGGATGGATCCATTGTGATCGCTGGATCCTATTGAACGTCAAAAGATGGGGGGGAGTTGTCCTGTGCTGTACCCCTACCCAGCCAACCCACTCCTACCCGGTTCTCTCCTATTCTTCATCACCTCCTCAACCCATTGTTCGGGCTATCTTATTTCTCTGCCTATTGTTGTTCCATTTTCTTTCCAATTTCTTTGCTTTTTCTCTAATCAGCTCATTTCCACAGAGCGACTTGATCTCAGAGATTTTTCCATAAGAAAAAGGGCAGAGATCCATCAATTCGCTCATTCGAAGAACATCTGATCGTCTTTTCCCTTTTGAGGATTTTGAAAAATTAGATTATTCTCTAATTTCATCTGTAATTTGCATATTTCCCGATTTGCATATGGGAGCCACGCGGGATGACCTTGAGAAATGCGGGCAGCCACCTTTGAATTTGGTGCAGACGATCCCGTGGCGGACGTCGGAGTGCGAGTCGGCACAGGTTGGACGTTAAAAATCTGTGTTCTAAGCCATTTTCTAAAATTTGCCAAAAACTACCGTAATCTTTGCCTCTAATCCGTTTCCTAAAACGTGCTCCACTTTTTCTTTCTACCGTAATCTTGTGTTTATTTTTATCTAATCTATCTACTTTTTGAATATTTCGATATCCTTTGTGAACCCTTACAGAATTAGAAAAAATGAATAGATTGGATAAGAATAGAGATAAGATTACGGTAGAAAGGGGAAAGTGGGGCACGTTTTAGGAAACGGGTTAATTGAGCGGCTACTGTAGTGAATAGTGTTTTACTAAATTTTGTGCTTTTTTTTCATCAACTAACAAACAAAATTAAGAGCTAGACCATCAATTTTCAGTTTCGCTAACATTTTTGTGTTCATCTCTGGCTTGTAGTAAGTTTGTAGTTTTCCTAACTGTTGTTTTGTGTTCGAAATTACAAGCTCTATGCTAAAAATTGGAATTTCTATCAGATTTTCATCAAAATTCTCTCCTACATTCAATATTTTTTTCCTTTAAACGATATCATTTGGTGAAAATTTATCCCTTTAAATCCCCACCGATTTCATCTCTATTTTTTATTAGATCACCCTTCTTTTCACATTGTTTTTTTGCAAAAAGCGGCGGCCGAAAAACCGCGACGCGCCACAACAATACTGCGCACATTCGATAAGCAGCACCACGTCGACACCAATATATTTTTTCCTTTTCACATGTTGTCTCGACGATTGATCTTCAGAATTTGATGCACGAAAAAGTAGTCGTAAACTTTGGAATTTTGGCAATTTGATTGAAAACCTTATTGAATTTCTGTCACATTTTTCCCTTTGCTGAATCATTTATCGATTTTTGGATGACCTAGATCTTTTTATCAAGTGAAATTTTTGATTAGTAAGCTTTTTTGAAGGATAAAATTTGCGTTAAAGTCAAATAATTTAGAGCTCTCAGTTTACTGAAATCCTTAAAAATCTCATCTTATTGATCAACCCAATCCATTCGTTCGTTTGATTCTTCAAATTTTTACCGAACTTTGTAATATTTTGTCTTTTTCCAGGTATGCATGGGATGGTGTACTGCTGTTCGCCATGCAAACCGCGGTACCGGCGCCTCGTCGACTCGATCTATCCGACGAATGCACGCGACGGGCTAAACGGCGCGAATTTGAATAAGTTGACGTTTTACGCCTCGTCGCATCCGGAGAAATTAGACCGAATCGGCGATTACATTCTGCAGCGACTCTCGCGGGATCTCTACCGTTTACGCTTCAATCAGGTGAAAGTCTCCGTGGAAACGATGGACAGTTTGCTGCAATGTTGCCACTCATCACCGTCACTCCCTCAATTGTCAGAGCATCACCTGAAGATGATACAAAAGCTTTTAGAGAGCAATCTACCGTATATGGAGCAATTGGGCACCGATTCTTTTGTGAAATTTTCGAATATTGAGGAGTCTGCGCCATGCTATCATCGACAATATGATTTCTTCATCTCAAAATTCTCCCAGATGTGCCATTCGTCAAACAAAGAGGCGGACAAAGTGCGAATTGCTGGACTGAAAGGCTTGCGGGGAGTTGTTTGGAAATCGGTCACCGAAGATATTCATGGAAATCACGCGAATATCTGGGAGAAGCAACATATGGACAAAATCATTCCAAGTTTTTTGTTCAACTTGCAAGAGGATGAGCCAAAAACGTTGTCACTTTTGGAGGGACCATTCGGTGAAAGTGGCTCAAAAGACGAGACGGTGAACAGCTTAGCTGGGACGTGTTTACGCGAATTGATGGGAAAAGCTAGTTTCGGGACGCTTCGGGTCGTTATCGAGCCGGTGCTTCGACACCTCGACTTGCACAAGAAATGGCAACCGCCACCAATCTTCGCAATTCATGTTTTCCGCATCATTCTCTACTCGATTCAATCGAAAAGCAGTTACTATGTGATCCAAGAGTTGATCGATCATTTGGACACAATGAGCTCGTCGGACGCGTCCGTTCGAATCGGCATCGCATCGGTGCTTTCATCTATTGTTTCAATTGCGGGGACAAGCATCGGACCGTTGTTGCTCTCCATATTCAACTCGCTGTTGAAGCACTTGAGAGCCTCCGTCGAGTTTCAACAGTCGAAAAAGTGCCCGTCGACTGAGGACGAGAAAACTTATCAAGAAACGCTGATCAACGCAATGGGCGACTTTGCGAACGCTTTGCCTGACTATCAAAAGGTTGAAATGATGATGTTCACCGTTGGAAACATCCCATCGTTGTCGGATGAGCGGAAAAATCGCGAAGGGGATGCTTTTCTGCAACACGTACTGGTGAAAACTTTGCTGAAAGTGGCCACAAGATTCAGGACGAGCTATTTGGCGACGATTTTCACCGACTCTTTCCTGAACACATTGCAGCAATTGGCTTTGGTGCCGGATCCGCAAGTTCGTCTGATCACCCAGAAAATCTTCCATACTTTGCTGGATCGACACGACAATGTGACGAGTCTTCAGTCCTTAGATTTGGAGACAGACATTTCAGATTTGCAATTGACTGTGGAGAAATGCTCAAGTCCCGATCAAATGTTTATGCGGAAAAACGCTCATTCCATCATGGTCTCATTATATAGGGCAACAGCTTTAATGCCCGAGGATGCGGATCTGAAAGAACACGCGGATGCCATTTTGTGTACAATGTTGTTGTTCTGTATTGAGGCTGGATATGATGAGAGCATCATCGAGCTGTTTCGCTTGTGCTTTGGCGTGCAAACGTTGGCAATGGACCAAGAGCAACCATTCTCGGTGGAGAAACGCGAAGCCATGCACAACATTGTAGCCAGATATCTGAACGTTTGCAGTCAACTTTTGGCAATTCCGGCTTTATATCAACATGTGCATCAAGTGAAGACGAATCGCGTGAAAGGGTCAAATGAGGACTTGGATGAGGACGTGATTTCCACTTTTGACCGAAATGTTGTCAGTGAGGCGCTGAAGAACTCGGGCAAAGATGTCACCCAGTTGAGCGTTCCGTTCTTGGCAAGTCGACAAAGTGAGGCCTCTTACTTGGAGCAAATGGACATGATTGATGGAAAAGCGGTCGAGAAATTCGATGCTCAATCGATGGATTCGTCATTCGAATGGACACCACCAGAGTCGACGCAAATCAGCCGACGAAATACCGTGTTCTCTTTGGATGGTGGTTCGACCAATCGTGTGAGCCATCTACAATCGTTGACCGGTTTGCCAGTGACGGTGCACAATTTGAAAGAGTTTGCGAATCGGCCAATCGACAAATTGGAGGAGAAGCGACAAGAGGAGAGCTACCAGAAAGAAGTGTTGCAGCGTTTCCGGAGCACTGGTTTTGAGGAGATTTCCGACGAGATTGCCCGGAATAACGATGAGACGGACATCATGCGGTGTATCTCACGGATTTTGTCGAAGAGAACCGAGAAAGTGCGCATGAAAAACGAAGGCCGGAGCCAGAAGCCAAAAAATATTTTCAGTATGGATATGCCGGCTTTTGTGTCAGTGAAACCCACATAGTATTTTCTAGGAAGTTAATTGTTTTGTTATACTGGTGTTTGCAGTCAAATCTTGATAGCAAAGTTATGGAAAATTGAATTTAAAACAAAAAGTTTAGCAATTTTTAGAAAGAATCTCGATTTGATTGTTTCCCCAATAGTTTTTTGTAGAAAGCTAGTAATTATTGAAATTTCGTGGATCAAATTTCCTCTCGCGTTGTGCCAATTGAGCTTTTTCTTTCACACACAAACTACTTTGGCTTTATCATTCCAGTTTCTTTTTGTGAATGTAGATAGTCCTAGTCTGCGCTATTTTTTATATTCTTTTCTAATTTCGGTGCATAATTTATTCGATTTTGCTGATGATGATAAATAGTTTATAGGTGAGCGCGAAAGTTTTTCCCTCCACCAAATGCGGAAAGGTTTATGCGTCGTGAGCGCCGATTAGAAGATTTGACGAGCGGATCCGTTGAGATCAGTATCGACGACTCGTTTAGTGAGTTTTTCAACTTTTTGAGACCATCTTTCTTTGTCAGCAATGGGTGATCAAATTCGAAGCCGTGGCCGGAAGAAACGTTTGACGGGCGAAGATGTGATGGCGATGGAACCCGAGATGGATTTTCACGAGGCCGGCCCACACTTTCCGATGCTCTTCCGGGGGAAACTAAGCGAAGAGGATGACGAGGAGCCACTGATTGAGGTAGTTTTTTTAGTCAGGGACACTCTTGTGCTTTGATATTGGTTTTTGGGAAATTGGGGGTTGTATCTGTTGACTGTGGTCAAGACTATCTTTTGGGTTTTGACACAGGCAAGACTTTGATTTAGCTTTTTGGATCTTGTAAATCTTGGCTGAAAACTGATTTTGTAAACTTTTTTGCGGCGGCGTTGCCCTCTAATTTGTTTGGAAAAGTATCCGACAAAGTTTTTCAAGTATCCTTGCTCATTAAATGCTCATTGAATGAATGATTATTCCAATAAAACACCTGATTTTCGGCCGTCCATCAATCGAAAGGCTCGAAAAGGCGTCTCCCCTCTCGGTCTTTCCTCAAAAAGTGCATTCCCTATCAGGCGACCGAACTCTTAATCCATCGTGTATGTCGTGTTTTGTTTTGTCTAATCTTTCAAAAAACATACAGCTTTTGTTGTGTGGTGTCTAATGTTTTGTGTTCAAAAGAGCTTGTCCATCAAAATTTTTGCTAAAAATTAAATATTTTGATGTACAAAGTTGTGTCTGTTTTAGAGATTAACGATCTTTATCTTCAATTTTCTTTTTAGAGTGTCGAGGATCCGAATTTGGGATGGTTCGCGCGAACGAAACAGACGCTGAAAGGCGACTTCTCGTCGATCATGCTACTGCTCTTCTTGTACTTGTTACAAGTGAGTTTTTTAAAAAGATTTCTTAATTGATATCGAACCAAAACGCTTTAGATATAGCATTTATCATTGATTTTTCTAGCAAACTCAATCCTATTTTTTTAGGGAATTCCCCTCGGTTTGATAGCGGCGATTCCGTTGATATTGTCGGATCGAAAAGTCTCCTATAGTGATCAAGCGATTTTCTCGTTTGCTTATTGGCCTTTTAGGTTTGTCTGGAGTCTAAATAAATCTAAATACTGGTGTTCTTTAGTTTGAAGTTACTTTGGGCTCCAATTGTTGATTCGTGCTACTGGCGAAGGGTTGGTTTTTGCTTGTTTCTTCAAACAATCTTTAATTTCTAGGTTGGCCGACGGAAATCGTGGATGGTCCCATGCCAATATTTGATCGGAATTTTCATGCTCGTTCTCTCGTTCTCCGTCGATGATATCATGGGAAATAGTAGGTTTTTGAGTTTAATTAATTCAAGTGCTAAACGACAAGTGCCTCTGGAATTAAATGCTGTAATTTTGTTTATGAAAGTGACGATTAATGTCCGTTTTTAGAGGAAAACCCACCACAAGTGATCTTTTTGATGTTGACGTTTTTGCCGTTGAACTTCTTGGCTGCCACACAGGATATCGCCGTTGATGGATGGGCGTTGACTATGTTGAGCAGGTAATTTGAAGGAAGCCCAATATTTTTAAGATCAGTTTAGGAAAAATGTCGGCTACGCTTCAACGTGTAATGCTGTCGGTCAAACTGCCGGATTTTTCATTGGTAAATTATGTCTTAGGTCTTAGGCACATAATGACAATTTCGAAACATTTTAAGCTTTAATACAGCTTTAATACAAGATAGAGATTGAAATCTTAGTCATTTATTCTACAATTTTTTTTCAGGCAACGTCGTTTTCCTTGGACTCGAGTCAAAGCAATTTGCGAACATGTTCCGAACCGTTCCACAGGAGTACGGGTTCATCGATCTTTCAGGTAACAATTGTTTGAACAAATACTTAAACGATGATGAAAAATGAAGAGCTTTAACTCTGTAAAAAAAACTTGAAAGACTCTCCATAGAAAAATACTTTCTTGATGGATTTTTTTTGCCATTGTTGGCGTCCCAGGAGGCCGCAAACACTTTAAATAATCAGAAAAACTTGACAAATCTTTTCTTTTTCCTTTTAGTCTCTCTTTGACCTTTCCACCCCCACAACTTCTTTTAGGCCTTAAAAGAAAGGATTGAATGGGATTTCGAACCCGTTTTAACTCTTTTGAGGGTTTTTTCAGTATGACGTAGAGATTTTTGATGGATGATGGAGTCAAAATAGCTGAATCGTTAAAGAAGATAGACACAATAGGCGACGGGATCAAAACATTGCCATTTTTTCACTCATTTATTTACCAACCAACCACTTTTTACCATATTATCACAAAGTTAGAAAGAAATTCCAGCGTAACACTTTTCTTTCAGCACGTTCGACCCACCCAGTAGTATGTGTCGAAAAGCATCATTTCACAACTGAAATTTTGGATTTTAAGTGTAGCTAGAGAAATTTGTATATTAATTGTAAGAACTTAACATTTTAAAGCCACGCAAAAAATGGTACTTGAAAATTTTTCATTTTCCAATCAGGCTCAAACTGCCAGCTTTTGAAAATTTACGATTTCAGACCAAAATTTTGATTCAAATTCGGTTCCTTTTTTATAGCTTCAGCGAAATATTTAAACCCCTTTTCAAAACCTCCGAAATTTATTCAATCTCAATAATTTATTCATTTTGGGGTCTAATGGGTGAACTCCCACCCATCATCACACACCCAGAAATGGTTTTTTCAAGGGAATCTTGTAAAATCCGGATCAAATTTTTCTGAATTTCTGACTAGAATGGAAGATGGATTTTAGTATTTTGAAGACACTGCTCACAGAACGAACCTTGTGTTCCTGTGGTGATCGTAGACCGCGCTCATCCCATAACCACCCCGGTCACTCACGATCACTGTGCTCCACCAATTTCCGAAACGTTCCTCGGCTTGTTGCTTGAGATATCTGAAATTTAGGATTTAGGGATTAAGGTCTGGCTTGTTAGCAAAGTTTAGGGCAACCTAGGCATGTCGGTTTTCGACTAATCGACTCATGCTTTGGTATCCCAAGGAATATTTTTTATTTATGGTTTGATAACTTAGCTTAAACCCTATGCTTTTCAAAATTTCGGTACTAAATTGATTAGTATGTCTTGAAAACTCACTTTGCTTGATAGCTGTATTGGTGTGGGTACATGCCGATCGTTTCCAATATCAACTCCCTCAATTTGTCCGACTTGCAATTGTCATCTGAAAATGTGATTCAGAGCTACAAGCCCTAGCCAATTAAATCATCAATCACTCACGCATCATTCTCGTCTCTCCAAATTGTAAAAACAGGACAATGACGGCGAATAGGGGCAAAATTGGGAGTAATCGAAGGCATCGATTCATATTTGGAATGAATGGGGCTAGGATTGTCTGGGCTCTATTTCAGGGCCAACTCCGAGATTTTGTGAATTTGGATATGTTTCGACCCCGCCCCCACACTGGTCCTCTTTGGGCTTTCCGCAGAGAAATTTATTCCCAGCTTCCCCAATTTATCATCTGCTTTGCAGCCAGGCATAAATCTTTCTAATTTGAATGGAGAGAGAGAGCTGAAAAAAACGAAACTTGCAACAGAGTTTAGATTTTTGTGGATAGAAAACTAGCTACTGACTTCTCTTCACCTGTGCTTTTTTTGAAATCTCAAAATTTCGTTTAAAATTGAAGTTTTCACCTGTTAGAAAATTTTTGAAATGCTTAAAAAGTGGTACGAAGAATTGCACTGATAAAAAGCGGGTTAATCTAATAAAGCTGTGTACTGAAAGGATCATACTAAACCAAAAAATGGTCCGTTGGTATCCAGATTAGTACTAGATCAATGAAAATGAAAATCTAATTTAAACCTTTACAATTTTCAACATTTTCAGGCTTTCTACTCTTCTGGGGATGCATGTTCATCGGCTCAACGACTCTCGTGTTCATCTTTAAACACGAAATCGATCACTCGTTGGAGTCATCACAGGGGTGAGTTTTTAGGTGATGAGATGAGTGGATTTCTTGGTTTTACACAAACCCGTATCGATATGAGAGGAATCAGAATTCATTAAGTCTCAAACTGCTCCATTCTAAACCCTCAAACTTTTTCCATTTGCACATCAATCACCACATGGCATCATCTTTTGTCTAATTTGTCTCTGCTGCAATAGCCGAGCAATTTATTTTCAAGCCGAGCACCGAAAAATGCTGAGCGACGACCAGCTATGGATGATTTCACTGAAAACACTCGGAAATTTCTATTATTGTCCCGCCAGTAAAACGTTTTAAAATCCTTTAAATCTCGTCTATCTCTGGGAAATCTCTGAAGAACGAGTGAAATGAAAGGACGCGTCAATTACATTTTACAGCCCACCGGGGACTTTTCTGGAGTTGGCCGAGGGGCTTGGGTGAGAGGTTTCGTGTGGAGATTGAGTTGAGAAGAATAGAAAATTCCGGGGAATTTGAGTTTTGGTTTTAGAGCAATTTTTATATCTAGAAAAATTTAAACTATTGAAAAAGCATCTGTTTTTTGAATGATAAGAATTGTTTTTTAGATCCGCTGACAGCGATGACAAGGAGATCGAAATGGGAATCGGTGACACTTACAAAGTGAGACACTTGTTTTTTTCAAATTAAATATTTCTTTTTCTAGGTGCTTTATCAAATTTTGCGCCTTCGTCCGATGATCTACGTGCTCATGATTTTGCTCACTGGAAAGGTAAAAATTTGGAAGACTATAGGGGCAAAATTGTAAAAATGAAACGCTTTTGGCTTGGCATAATTCTAGAGAGTATTTGCAGAACTGCGCAAATTTTGGAAAAAGTGTAAAACTTTCGAGGCGCTCAGTCTATTTGGGAATCCATCACTTGCCCGAGGCCGCCAACCTTGGGTTTGTGCCTTATTCAGGCAGACCAGCGGACACCCGACTCGGAAATCCCAAATTTCATCATAGCTTTGTCCCGGCGGGGATCGAACCCGCGTCTTGTGGGCGAGAGCCCGACGCGCTAACCTATCAGCTATTTGGTCAAAAAGTGATCCCGCTTTTTTGGGCTGTTATTCTTGGGCTCATTGTGAAATTGAAAGAAATGTGAGTAGAACAAGAGGGTAGGTATAGTATTAAAGATTCAGATTTGGGTATGAATGTAAATAGAAATGTTTTAATGCATAAGCTTTTAGATAGCATTCGCGGCCACTGACGGAATGACTGGGCTGAAGTTGATCGAAATGGGAATTCCGAAAGATAAATTGGCCATGTTTGGACTCTTCTTGACGCCTGTTCAGGTTGGTTATACTTTTTAAAAGTTTGATCTGACTATAATTAGAATAAGACTCTCAACATCTTATTCAGATTGTGCTTCCTTGGATTATCGGCAAGTGGACGACCGGACCGAGACCGTTGAACATTTTCTTGATGGCCTATCCGTACAGGTACGCTTTGAAATTAAATCGGATCATTAGGAATAAGAAAATTTAACATTCTATGCAAATTCCTTACTTTAGATTATTTGTTGGCGGTGTCTACGCGTTGCTAGTCTGGTGGACGCCGTCGTTCAAAACGGCTGACGGAAGCTTCCAATTGGGTGTCTATGTTATCTGGGTGACCGCTTACATCTTCCATCAGGTATTTTATAGAAACTGGATTTTCTTGCAAAATTTGCAATAACTTACTAGACCCATAATCCTATGCCAAAATCAATTCTTAATTTTCCAGTTCGCCACCTATTCGATGTTCGTATCAATGATGGCCTTCAACGCGCAAGTTTCGGACCCGAAAATCGGCGGCACCTACATGACGCTGTTGAACACGATCGGGAACTTGGGAGGAAATTATCCGGTGAGTGTTGAATAAAATTTTTATGAAATTAGCTGAAGTAAAGGCCTATTATCGACAAATTCTTGCTCATTACAGGTCACCCTGGTGCTCTGGATTGCCGATCATTTAACCTGGAAGAATTGCATTGACAAGTCAACAAAGTTGTAAGCTTTTAAGTGGCTAGTAGAAATTTTTAATTTGCTAGTTTTTACAATTTTAATCTTTTAGAGTCCTTAACACTTGCCACAAGAAAGACGCGGCCGATCAGTGCACGGCGGCGGGAAACGTTTGCGAGACGGAGATCGACGGATACTACTTTGCGGTGGCCATCTGCTCGATTGTCGGCGTTTTGTGGTGGGTTTTGAGTTTATACCATGGGGTTTAAAAATGACAGGTTATAACTAAAACTGTATTATAACAGAACAGTCTCTTAAAAGGTTGTTTGGCATAAAAACATGACATGAAAAGATATGTAGCTTTGGATTCTGCACTTGAAAACGTTCTTTCTTTTACATGATATCCTGGGGTACGATAGCTTGGGCGAGCTATTACAATACAATCAATATACTTTGTGACACTTTGTGGAACTTGATGAATTCACGAAGTACAGTAGCTTGGGCAAATTTATGGAATGACCCATAAAATAGAATATTTCAAGAAAACTCATGGTTAGAGTCAAAGTAATATCTTTTTCAGGGCCTCCCTGCTCTTCAACAAGATTCGCTACATCCAGAAGATCCCGCGTTCCGAGTGGCGAGTGATCAAGAGTGCCTCGGATACTAAGTAATTCGCTTTCGCCAAATCTCCTCACCTCGACTTTCTGTGCATTTTTGGGTGTTCTTCATTTCATAAGCGTAGATGGGTTTTATTGTGATTGAAATTCCGCTGAAACGGTAGTTTATGTAATTATTCAAATTTGCATTTACCTAGTTGCAGAGCTGCTCACTTTTGAATAGGGAAAAAGTTGAAACAGCGGGATTTCGTACAATAAAACTTTGTTTCTTTTCTGATTCCCAATCGGATATTTAGTCATAGTTGCACAGGTAGCCAGACTTTTGTGTGTGTTGTGAAGAATTTTCAGTTGTCACTTATAGGCTTTTATCTTATAAGCAAATTTTCCCTCCTTCCTCTGATGCGCATTCTGAATATTTTTTGTGGGCCTTAGCACGATTTTCGCATGATTTTCTCTTTTTTTGTCATTCCATAAATCAATGTGTCAAATATTGGGGACCCTCCTCTCTCTCGTCTATTGAGCTTCTCTTTTTATCTGGTTCCAAGGATTACGGTAGCTTTAGGACTCTGACATGAGTTTTCATAGCCGAGTACGATAGCTAGTGCGCGTTTTTGCAACACAAGCAAGACTACCATAAGCTTTGCGAATACGTACAGTCCAAAAAACTAAACTCACCATACAGTACCTCAAATGCAAATTCCTACCGTAGTCCTCCTCTGTTTCTCTTTTGCATCCCCATTTCATCCATCATATCCAATCATATCTGTGAGTGTGAGTGTGATATTTAATATATGAACCATTTTTCATTGTGATTGTGAAAATACTTCGTTATCCAGTACTTTTCTTTTACTTACCACATTTGTGTTTTGTCTTCTTAAAGAATTTTGTGGATGTTTTTTTGTTTTTTTTGTAAATTTTCTTGTGTCAAATGTGTAAAGTATTCTGTTTGGAACAAAAAAGTACGAATAAAACGTTTATCGGTGAAGTGAAAAAAATGCGGCAGAGATCACAAAAGACACAGGTAAGTGGGGGAGTTTCTTTAGCAAGATTGTGACATTTTTTGGAAGTCGATGAAGTTTTGTACTTTTTGAGGCTTTAGAAAGAGTTCTCGCCTCGGGGACACGTGGCCAAAAGGAGGGAATCGACCGGCTGATTTGCCGGGCATTTCACCGGGAAGTTCACGATACCCTCGTCGTCCTGGAAATTCAAGTTTGAAGGGGATTACGGTAAAAGTAGGTACTATAGAAGCAGAACATTGTAGAAAGCTACAATACTCCTACTTTATTCTGAAATTCGGACAGACTACCGTACTTTAGAAATCGGCTTGAGCCACCGTACTCTCGAATTGAAGGCACTCTAAGGTAGAAAGATGCCTAAGCTATCGTGGTCTCAAAAGCTATGTGTTACGGTAGAATGCCCGTCTATTAGGCTAAACTATCGTAAACTCCAAACTCAATGGAGTTTATGTCAATGGAGTCAATGGAGTCCGTAAACTCCAAATCAACTCCCTATCTGTACTCGAAAATTTGTATCAAATACCCCGTACTCTAAACCCCTTTTGAAATTCAATCTTTCCGGTTTAGAAAAAGGATAGTTTGCTAATCCTTTTCTGCAATCCGACCGAAATCAATCTTTTCGCAGCTAAAAATCCAAGGAAATCTTCGATTTATCTTCGATTTGCACACCCCCCGAAATGATGGTTTTCCCGACAAAAAAAGCACTAAAAATGTTCCCGGATTGAGAGACGAATGCTTGGATGGCTGATGATTGACGCAAATCGTTCAAAAAATGACCTTCAATTGGGAAAATGCAATGGGAAAAAGTGAACACCAATTTAAACGAGTCACTTTTTTTTTGGGGGGAAGTCGAAAGTTCCTGTGGCTTTAAATGAAGAGAATTGATCTTTGGGAAAAGAAAAGTTCCCTTTACAAAGTCTATGGCTCAGGCTTGAACAAGTTACATTTTTCAGCTCTAATGTTGATCAATGAACAATTGTTGAACACTTTTATGTCGAACTCCTTTCCAATGCGCAAAGCTTTAGTACTTGAGTACTTTAAATAAACAAAAACAAACAAAAAATTCTTGCATTGGCATTGTACCAGCTCTACCAGTACAACTAGTGGTACAATTCGTTTTAAGGTACTGCTACCAAGATGCTATTGGTATTGGTATTGGTTCTGGTAGTGGCAGAGATGTTTAAACTGGAATCAAGAAGCAAAATAGGACAGACGAGGTCAGGGGACTTTTGGCTAGACCTTTTGGCTAGACCTTTTGGCTAAATGGCTAGACCAGGTTCAAATCTAGCTTCGAGTCTAAAGGTCTTCGGGTTGACACAGCTACTGGTTCTGTGTACTGGTAGCAATGTTTTTAAAGACGCTGTTAGCAATTTTTTTAAAGACGCTGTTAGCAATGTTTTTAAAGACTATTCTCAAGATCAAAACCCTTCATCACAAAAGAAATGTCCTTAGAACACTTTGGGCCCATAAAATTCCGATTCTTTTGCTCGGCACCTCAATCGCCACGCAGCCAGAGTCGAACCTTTTCGGTAACAGCAACGCAAATCACGAAATCAAAAGCCTTCATAGTCTGTGCTTCTCACAATGTCTTATTGTGCAGAACCGGAATGGATTTCATGCACAGATGAACGGATCAAAAATCTCATGATTGACCTAGAAAAAAAAGACACTTTGAGTCAAAGTCAAAAGTCAAAAATAAAGTAAAAAAAACACCCTGTTTACTCGTGTCTCGTGTCTCGAAATCGTGTCTCGAATTTTCGAAAATTTCCTTGTTTTTTCTTTTTTTGCTGAAAAGGAGTAAATCACTTGACCCTGAATGGGGGAAATTTGTTAATGGATGGGAAATGGGCGGAAAGAATTAGTCAGGAATTAGCAATTAGGAAAGCTTTCAAGAATTAGCCTCGACTAGACATTTCGTTGAAAATTTCCGAGAAGAATTGAAATTCAAAGGTTGTTTTCGTTGATCTACGAGGAAGAAAAGATTTGTGGAAAGACATGGTTTAAACTCTAGTTTGTACAAATCCCACCTTTGCTCCGGGATTACAGCCTAAAATTGATTTATTTGCTTATCAGCCAAAAGGTAGAACGAAATCTTTATACATGATTGGGCGAAATTACCCGGACAAGAGTTTTTTCGCTGTAACTTTACAGCCAGCCAGGCTTACAGCCAGCCAGGCTTACAGCCAGCCAACTTAACCGCATAATTTTCTCCATAGCATAAATTGATTTATTCCTTAAACTATTGGGAAATTATTGAAATGAAAAAGAAATGGGGAGGGGGGAAGCTTTCAAGAATTAGCCTCGACTGGAGATTTCGTTGATCTACGAGGAAGAGAATTGAAGTTCAATGGTTGTTTTCGTTGATCTACGAGGAAGAAAAGATTTATGGAAGCATCAAAGCATCATCAAAATTTGTACTCTAGTTTGTACATCAAAATTCAGAATGAATTACCGTATTTGTTCGAATAAAAGACCGGGGTAAAGAGTATGATCGCGTACTCCTGCCTAGCAGCCCTTTTTAAAATTTCTTTTCTGCATAAAAGCTTTCAATGAAGTGCTATAGGGCTGGAAAATGACTGAAAAATACCACATTCACTAACAGATTTTTGAGTCATTTTCCAGCCTTGATTGAAAGCTTTTATGCAGAAAAGAAATTTTAAAAAGGGCTGCTACGCAAGAGTACGCGATGATACTCTTTACCCCGGTCTTCTATTCGAACAAATACGGTATATGTCTCTCAAAGGCGTCTATCATTTCCCTTACAACTCACATTCTCATCGGGCAGCCACGCGCCAACATTTCGATTGCAAATGAACGGGAAGACGGTTGCCTGAAAAAGAAAGAGAAAGAAATGATTAAGAAATCGTAAATATTATAAGAAGTTGGATTCGGAAAGGATTTGCTTGCCAGCCTTCTGCTGCCAGTCTACCATTCTGCTTTGTTTCTCACCTTATTCGCTCCAGTTGTTTGTGTCGTATTTCGGCACACTCCCGCCATCACCCATTCGCTTTTAAGATGCACGCGCACGATTTTGAATTTGTTCAACTCGACACACTCCGAACGACAAGCTGTAATTTAAGAATTTTTAAAAAAAAAAAGCTCAAAAACCGTTTAGTGAGTTTCGTGAATAAAATTCCCCTGTTTACCTCCAACATTCCCCGCTGTGACACTGACAGCAAGCATGGCCAGTGTCAACAAGAATATTCGGTTCATTATCTGAAAAGAATTTCCATTTAAACTTAAAACAAAAAAAAATCAAGATAGGTACGGGAGAAAAAATGAATCTGAGTTTGGAGAGAAGTTTTTTTCGGGAAGAAAAGAGAACAACTGTTGAGTTGGAGGGAATTCATGGTGAGGAAACAAAAATACGAATTTTGGTCGAATTTTGATCGAAAAGGCATTCACAAAGTGATTGTAAATTATAAGTAAACAAGTTTTTTTTTAAAAATTGCAAAATTTTCAAGATTTATCGCTAGAGTCTCATTTTTTTTGTGATTTAGATGTTTCAAAGTGAAACTTCTTTAGACCTGAAGCTAGGTTTGAACCTGGTCTAACCATTTAGCCCACAAAAGTACCCTGAAGTCACCTCTAGTCCAGCTCTAGATTCTAGATGGAACCTAGCGGTCTTTGAGTTTCAAAACCAATTTCTATTGGTCCGATCTAGCCCAGAAACCATACCGTAAACTGGCTCTGGCTCTGGCTCCAGCTCTTGATCAGGCTCAAGTCTTAGATTTCCCTGACAGTGCCGCAGCTGGTACTGACTCCAGGGTTTGGATCCAGATCTAGTCTGAGCAGATCGACGAATCAGGTGAAGAGTACCTGCTCTAGCCATTTATTACCAGGCTTGGTGCTGGTGCTAGATCCAAAAATTCGGGAAAAACCAAAAATATTTCTCCTCAAAAACATGCTATTGCACTTTTAAAATGCCTTAGTTCAAAACAAAAACAATCTAAAATCTCGAATTCAAAAGTTCCAAGTGAGCTCTTAAAATAGTGGCAAAAAAGAAACGGATTTTCTCCTGAAAGGGAAAGATTTCCTAGTGATAAAATCCCGAAAAATGATCAAGAAATCCCGAAAATGATCAAGGGGAGAGAAAACTGTTAAAAATTGGGGGAATTTGAGAAGAGAACCAGGGAGAAGAAATGCGCTAAAAAAAAATGAGAAAAATGAAAAAAATTTAGCTGATAAATTTGAGGGAAAATTTGAATGATTTGAATGAAAAATTTGGGAAATTGAGAGATTTAGATCTCATTTTTGATATGAAGGATAAGATGAAATGAGCTGGCTAAATGCATTTTCAACTGTAAAACTGTAAAACAGCTATTTTATCCGTTCTGGTCAGCTAAACAAGCAAAACTGTCTTTGTACTTTGTGCTCCAGGGTAAACACACGGGTTAGACTTTCAGGAGTAACAGAAAGGTACTCCTTGTCGCTACATCAATGTATTGTGCTCCTCGCACAGTACATTCATGTGTTTTAGTCTTTTTTTTCGTATTTTTGACAGATTTGTTAGCAATTTACTCGAATAAAGCATAGAATATGGCAACTTTCAGTACTACAGTAAGTACCGTCAATACTTTAATAGTACCCCACCCTCCCTCGTACAGTCGCGTAGTCGCAAAAGTTTTTTAGTATTTCATTTTTTTTCAAAGCGCCCGTACTTTCAAAAAATGGGTCTTTGGTATCAAAAAATAGCCCTGACTTTCAGCTTTCATTTGATACTTAAACACACACTGTAGCACAAAAGAGTGGCGAGAAAAATGCGTTTAAAGTTAGACTACGCGACGCTCCGACCGTCATTACAGGGAAGCGTAGTCGCAAATGTTTTTTAGTATTTCATTTTTTTTCAAAGCGCCCGTACTTTCCAAAAAATGCGCCTTTGGTATCAAAAAATAGCTGAAATTCAGGGCTATTTTTTTGATAAATAAACGCACATTGTAGCATAAACCAGTGTCGAGAAAAACTCGTTCAAAGCTAGACTACGCGATGCTCCGGCCGTCATTATAAAAGGATGACGAGAAAAATGCGTTTAAAGTTAGACTACGCGACGCTCCGCCTTTGTTATCAAAAAATCGCTGAAATTCAGGGCTATTTTTTGAAACCAAAACGAACATTGTAGCATAAACCAGTGTCGAGAAAAACTCGTTCAAAGCTAGACTACGCAACACTCCGCACCGTCATTATGGGGGTGGTGTACTATTACAGTATTTACAGTAATTAGCTACAAAATAACAAAGAAACTGGTTTCACTTACAAAACAAACCCCTATAAAGTAAGAAAATAAGTATTAAGCTACAGTAATCAGCTATAAAGCTACTATAGTAGCCATAGCTATCGTAAAATAGGAACAAACATCGCTAAATCCACAAGAAAAGCCCTTATAAACGGTTTTCACGATCTTCAGACATGAAAAAAATCGTGTAAAGAGGACAAAAAGGTAAAGCAAACAGAGATTTCCCCCAAAAAAAAGCCCATTGAATTGAAGATATTCAAAAAGAATCACTTAAGAATCACTTAAGTACCACAAATCTATGTAGGAGAAGTTCTTGAGGATCTTGAGGATCAAAAAAAGAGAACAGAAAGGAGAAAGAAAAAAGAGAAAAAAGAAACGAGTAAGTGAAGGCAATCAAGGGAAATCATGATGTGGGAAAAGAAAATTGGGAAAAATTTTCCTGAAAAAGTGGCGAGAAATCAAGGACCTCATTCGGAAAAAGTGATCACTTGCGTCAAACGCTAATTTGTGAGACGCCGAGTTTCTTTGTCAGAAAAAAAACCAATGAATTTTGTTGTCAAATCGGCAAAAATTGAGAAAAATCATAAAAGAACGCGGGTTGTTTGGGTGGCCACGATAACCACTCGACCGAGCGGTTAGCGACCGACAAAGCAAAGCCATTTTTTAAAAAAATAAACTCAAACGTACTTTCAATTAGAATCAACGAACGAAAAACGAAAAGGGCCGCTTTAACGACTCGACCGGGGTGACCAAGCGGTTAGCGCACTCTTTTCGAAGCCGATTCGATTCGATTCTATTTCGAAGCCAGTGACGCTAATTCGGCCCCAGTTCAATCCGAAATTAAATTTTTTAAACAAACTTAAAAAGGTTTCGAAAAATATGCAAATCTTTCAAATTTCCTGTGCATTTTTTCAAAAAAAATCTTAAAAATATTCAATTTTTATTCACTGAATGTCTTATCACATTTGTAAATTTGGCAAGAGAGTTAAAATTCGATGAAAGAACGACGGAAAAGGATTAAATTTGCATTTAAAAAGAAAGAGAAAAACATATCTGATATGAATTGGATAATTGGCTATTTTAGCTATTTATTTTCCTTCATACAGTCTCCGGTCCGACAATGACATGCGTGTGCAGGTGGGTTGTCGTGGCTTGTATCTGCCGCGTCTCCACCACCTCCCCGTCGATCACCATGAAAGAGCCGGCGGTGAGCGGCTCGAGACGGAAAGTCTGGGATCACCTCAATCACCTGGAAAATCGACATAATTAAACAAATTCACAACGATCCGATCCACCGGTGGGCCGTACTAATGACGACTATTTTTGGTGTCAACTCAAGCTATACATGTAATTGAATTTCTTTATCTTTTTTCTCACTCTCAATCCTCTCCTTCTTGATTTTTGAAAATGAATTTTTACGTTCACAGTTGCGTAAAAAGCTTAAAAAATAAAAACAGCTCGATGATGACTAATCAAGGCTTTTTTTTGATCAATTCACTGAAATAAGACAACATTCCAAGACGGGAAAAGAAAAAGATATTTTTGATTTTCTTTAGTGTCTTGTGATTTGCATTTTAACACAAAACCTGCATTCAATTTGCATTTAACATTTAGGTGAATCATTTTTAAGTTTGTGTGAAAAAGATCTCGAGAATTCAGCTTCAGAATTGACATTTTAGAGAGAGTAAATCTAAAAGTTTTTCGTAGTTCTGGAATGCAGCAAACATTTTTGCATCCATAGTCTACCAGAAAGTCTACCAGAAATTCGAAAGGCATCCATAGTCTACCAGAAAGTCTACCAGAAATTCGAAAGGCATCCATAGTCTACCAGAAAGTCTACCAGAAATTCGAAAGGCATCCATAGTCTACCAGAAAGTCTACCAGAAATTCGAAAGGCATCCATAGTCTACCAGAAATTCGAAAAGCTAAAGAAATTCGTAAATTAGTGATCAAAAAAAAAAAATAAACCAAATCTCAACTTTCACGTTTATGACCGATATTCGAGTATAATGTTGGGGCTTAGTGAAAATAAATGAATTCCAAAATGAATGGCCGTTTCCTGATGCTATGATGAAAGCTAGAGATGCTAAGATGCTAAAATGAAAGCTACATTCTCCTAGAAAAGAAATCCCCATTAAAATGAGCAGCTCAACAGTTCAACTCTGAAATATTATCATAGACATTAAGGAGATCAAAAGAAATTATTAGAAATAAAGAAGTAAAAGGATTTCGAATAAAGTATATATAAATATATATGTCGTAGCCGATTATGAATTTCAGCCGATTATGAATGAGCGGGTCCGGACGCGTCCAACCATCAAGTATTTGGTACTTGATACGTCCAACCATAGGTTAATTGATGACTTTGTTATTTTTCAAAAGAAGTACGAAAAAAATGAAAAAGACTTTTGCATCAACCTAATAAATTGTCAAAAAAATAAACTTTTAACTATTTTTGGCAAACCATTTTTGGATACGACGATTTGCTATGAAAAAAAAAAACAATAGAAAAGAAATTTTCATGGTGTTGATCACTTTTTCTTTGGAAAACACTGTATAAATGTTATAGACTTATTTCATAGATTAATTCAAAAATGAGGCGACATTTTATTCGACAACAAAGTTGACCCATTCTTATCAAGTTTATTCAGTGAGTTAAAGCGCTTAAATGCCTCCCTCTCAACGATACAACACAGCCATTTTTGTGATAAAAATCTAAAATTCATAATGAAAATTCCCTTTTCAGTGAATTGATTTTCAAAAGAAAAAAAACTTTTCTATGTACTACTCAGCTTTTCTTTTTTTTGCTCTTTTTTTGAAAGTGAAAGCGGATTGTCCGGGCACAGCTATTCAAGATTTTCAGGAAAACTTGTGTTTATTGCCTATTTCGAATGCATGTGAGTTTCAATCATTATATCAAAAGCTCTCTTATCTTTCAGTTTATCGTTTTGATAACGGGGAAAACTTTTGCTCACAGAATTACGGTGGAAATGTGATTCGGATCGAAAATGTGTTCGCAAATGCGATGCTCAAATCTATAGCTGAACAAGGTGAACATTGAAATTTAGATTTTTGAAGAATTTAGAAAGAAAAAGTTTTCTAAAAGGTTTTCTATGAGAAAAGGCAAAGATTTACCGTTGAAAAAGCTTTCTTTTAGTCTTTCCTTCTGTGGATGTTTGGGTTGGCATTTGGTTTACGGGAAACGCTTGGACATTCACTGACAATACACCGATTCCCTATCAGGCTTGGGGACCAAGTTCTTTCTGATTTCACATCTAAAATCTTTCTTTTTCTAGATCAACCAATGAAAGGCGATAATCTCAACTGTGCAATCATCAATAAAACGACCGGTTACTGGTCAACGACTGATTGTGCGCGAATGAATTCAGTTGTTTGCGCGTTTCCAAAAGGTCTCCTATTTAGGTTTTCGCTTTACTTAACCTTTTGTCATTGTAAAGAAAAATCTATTGAAATACAGTGGGTTTTAAATTCTTAAACGCACCCTCTAAAATAGCGAATTTTGCATTTTGACCACCGCTACAACTATTAATCTTTTTTCTATTAGAAAGAACATGTCTTTTTTTATGAACAAATTCAAAAACAAAAACAAATTCTTAAACGCACCCGCCTTTGCTGTTGTTATTTGAAATTTTTCGTTTTGTTGTGCATATTTTTTTTATTAAATTTATAATTTTTGTGAATTTCCAGGTAAATGGCACACGGAAAGCTGCTCACGGATTATGAGAAAGGCCAGATTGATGCCCGTTTGAGGATTGGCGACTCAATAAGGAAAATCGCAAAAAAAATTTGGGCCGACTCTGCCGTGCGAAATTATATAAAGTCCGAGTTCGTTTCTGCACCAAAGAATAAGCCAAGACCAAAACCAAAGCTTACACCGCAAGCTAGACGCCATATTGTGAACAACATCCACAGAAAAACGATCAATAAAGGGAAAACGGAACGGAAAATCGACGCTTCGAAGTCGAGAATTTGGCGAGCCATCAAGGAAAACCCACATATCGATCGACGATTATTGAACATGCAACCGGTCGTGAAGCTTTTGCTCAAGAAACCCCGATTTGCGTTCGCCAAGGCTCATATGAATCAGGATTGGTCTATGGTTAGAAAGCCGCTTATGTTTTATTCCTTTTTTGCGTTTAAGTGATCTTTTCCGATGAGAAGAAATGGAATTGGGATGGTCCCGATGGCGTTGACTACTATTGGAGGGATCTTCGACGTGATCCGATGGTGTTTGGAACTCGAAACTTTGGCGGTGGTTCTGTGATGGTTTGGGCCGCCTTTTGTGCTGATGGAACGGTCGCTCTGAAGATGGTTTCGAATCGAATGACTAGATAGATATCATGAACATTTGCCTGTTGCCGTTTTTGCTCCTAAATCCAACCGTTTGTTTCAATACGACAGCGCGTCAATTCATCGAGCCGGAGACACCCGAGACTGGCTGAACAACAACAGCATTGCAACTTTGGACTGACCCGCTTGATCTTCTGGCCTCAATCCGATAGGGAATTTATGCCGAATACTTGTCCGAGCTGTCTACAAAAATCATCGTCAGTTTCAAGACGTATATTTGTACCTAAAAAAGCGATTCATTTGGCCTGAAGCTATCTCGACGTCTCTGCTCTTCAAAACCTCAGCAATTCAATGCCAGACCGCATTTTTCAAGTAATTAATCGTTATGGTGCGTGTACAGATTATTAGTTTTGATTTTTTTTACCTTTGATTGTTAATTTGTGTCGATAAATAGAAATATTTTCATAGTGCGTTTAAAAATTTGAAACGGTTAAATCAACCGTGGAAATGATTTGAAACGGTTAAATCAACCGTGGAAATGATTTGAAACGGTTAAATCAACCGTGGAAATGATTTGAAACGGTTAAATCAACCGTGGAAATGATTTGAAACGGTTAAATCAAAATCAACGTGGTAAATCACCAAAAAGTTTTTATTTTGTAAATTTTTACTTTTTACAGTATGCTTATTTTTCGTGTTTTTTAGGTTTTAAGAAATTTTCTTTCTAATAGAAAAAAGATTAACAGTTGTAGCGGTGGTCAAAATGCAAAATTCTCTTTTTCATAGGGTTTAAGAATTTGAAACGCACTGTATAAATGATAACTTTCAGCTGGTCCAACCAATGGTCCAACAGGCGGGACACCACTCTTTTATCCAGGATATGACAATATTCTTCTCCTAATTGATATTGGTTTTCCTAACAGTGATACGGCGCCGGTAATTATCGAATTAATGAGAAAATAAGACAAAAGATGATGTTATTTACAGTTCTCCGATCTCACATCAACTTTGAGAGCTTTGATGGTAAATTGGACAAATTTTGATCGAATCGCCTTTGGGACTTATAAATACTCGACTTATCAACAGGCATATTATGGTGATTTGGGAGATTATCGCGATGCTATCGGGTTTCTCGATAAAATTGTATTAGTTGAACATACAGGAGACTCAAATGTGACAAGGTTTGTTTGTGGTGTGTGTGTGTGTGTGTGTGTGTTTTCCTCAAGCAACTTAAAAATTTCAGTGCCTTGCGAAGAGGTCGATTGAATTTTCAGTTAACACAAAGACAAACCTATACGAGTCGCCAAAAGACAGTTTTATTTGCTCAAGCAGGGTTTGTTTAACATGAAAATCTTAATAATATAGTCTATACTAGTCTTTTTGCTTGATTGATTCTTTTATTTAGCACATCCAATGATATAAACACCGCTCAGCCGTATGCAAAAGCCATGCAAGATCTGGGGAAACTCATCGTTGTCACTGTTGGATTTTCGGTATTTTTCAAAAGAATTTTCTATAATCTAATGATAAAAATTGAGATAAATGTTTTAGAATAGTGAAATGAAGACTTTGGCATCGGATGGAGGTTTTATGGATTGGAGTGAAACAGTCGATTCAAAGAAACTCATTGACTTTTTAAACACTCAACTAAATGAATAATTTTCGTTTCCGAACGGAGTATTTGTAAAGAAATATTGTTCGCGTGCTTGGTACTCTTCACTCTTCACACGTTATTTCTTCTTTCGAGATATCTGATCTCAATTGAACTAAAAACACTTTATTCAATAGCCGACTGACTCGGAATCTTTGGGCTTTCACTTGAGCAATTTTCACACAAGATCGACAATTGAATTAAAAGCGACGATAAAAAACACGAACAATTTCGTCCTAATTAGGACACAACTTTCACACAAATGAGAGGAAAACAGAAAGAAAATGAAAGATAACCAAAACAAATGAACAACAGTTGCCTTATATAGGCTTTAACCCAAGATACTCAGCTAACAAGCTACAAAACAATAAATGATTTGGGGCGCGAAATAGAATGAAGGCCGATTTCCTCAATATTTTTCCAATTTTTAGGCTGCCAGAGTTAGGTAACCTTTTAGGGGGGGGGTAGTCAAAACAGCGCCGTCAAATTTCTCAAAATCCAAAAAACCAAGCCGGTTCAAGTTTTATATCAAAAAAAAAAAATTCCTTGCGTTCTTGGCTACATGATGAATGAAACAGTTTTTAAAAAAAGTTAATATTTCACAGATAAAAAGAGCACTCAAAATGGGTGTCGAGTGATACTCAGTTGGTTAACTGAATATCTTTAGAGACCCATTAGAGACTTTAGAGTGCTCTTTTTATCTATGAAATATTAACTTTTTTAAAGAACTTTTTCACCCATCATGTAGCCAAGAACGCAAGGAATTTTTTTTTTTGATATAAAACTTGAACCGGCTTGGTTTTTTGGATTTTGAGAAACTTGACGGCGCTGTTTTGACTACCCCCCCCCCTTTTAGTGGCTATTCGCCACAGTATTTTTCAAATCTAAAATATCTAAAATATAATCAGCTTAAAAGTCGTATCTCCTTGAGTCGCAATTTACAATAATCACAATCAAAAATTCGAATGTACAAGAGTACAAAAAGAAAAAAATGCATCAAATGAAAATTGTAAGATTCTTGAGGTTAAAATATTTAGAAAATATGGAAGAATTTATAATTTTCTGAATCAACAAAATATAAATTATTGATTTTGCCTAAACAATTGTAATGAATAGAAGAAAAGATTTAGCGAATGACTGGGAATTTTTGTGAAAAAGTGATATCACGAAAGAAACACAAATGGCCTGTGAATTGAGTGTTTCATAAAAGAATTGCTAAACGATCTTTTATGAAATCAATCAAATCAAAAACTTACAAAACTCATGAAAGAATATCGTTTGAAATGTGGCTACAGATCGGTAAGTCCTTTGAATTATCCGCTGCTCAAAATAAGCTCACCTTGGAGACCTGCTGCGGATATGGGTACGATCCGGTACGAGATTCAAATTGGTTCCCTCGGTTTTTCAAGGACCCAGCCAGGCGCACGAGACGCCACAGAAACCGTGACGCTTTACGGAAACAACGTCGCTATCTTCGCTTCACTCCTTTTTGCGAGAGCAACGGGTGGATTGAATGTGGAAAGTCGATTCATCAACCAGATTATTTGGTTGATATTTGGGCAGTCAGATTAATCATTTCACTTCATTATAACAAAACTTTAGCAGAGTAGCATTATCGGCTAATTCTCTATTATAATTAAACTAAAAGATTCATAAAAGAATTGCTAAACGGTCTTTTATGAAATCAATATCAAAAATTTACAAAATTCATGAAAGAATATCGTTTGAAATGTATGTGTCGTAGCCGATTATGAATGAAAATTTTTTGGCAAATTTTCTAGTAGAGCAACCCTTTAATGTATGAGGACAATATTATATCATCCTGTAGGGAATTAAATTCTGCGTCGATTGGTACCAAATTTGTGAGTTTGGGTTAAAAATTACCGGCGCTACAACGTTTCATTCAAAATCGGCGGGACCCCCGTAGCCGATTATGAATTTCAGCCGATTATGAATGAGTGGGTCTAGGAGCGTCCAACCATCAAGTATTTGGTATCATTCAACGCAGAATCATTAATAATTATGTTAAATTTTTAAAATTAGAAAGATTTGATAAAAAGAAAAAAAATTAGAGTAAAAAAACTGTTTGTTCAAGAGGAAACTTTGAGGCCCCATAATTTTTTTTCTTTTTATCAAATCTTTCTAATTTTAAAAATTTAGCATAATTATTAATGATTCTGCGTTGAATGATACCAAATACTTGATGGTTGGACGCTCCTAGACCCACTCATTCATAATCGGCTGAAATTCATAATCGGCTACGGGGGTCCCGCCGATTTTGAATGAAACGTTGTAGCGCCGGTAATTTTTAACCCAAACTCACAAATTTGGTACCAATCGACGCAGAATTTAATTCCCTACAGGATGATATAATATTGTCCTCATACATTAAAGGGTTGCTCTACTAGAAAGATTTGCCAAAAAATTTTCATTCATAATCGGCTACGACACATACATTCATCGAGAAGTTAACTACTAGAAATTAACGTATAAAATAAAATAATTAAAACTCAAAATAAACTATATGGTGTTTGTTGGACTAAATTTAAGATCAGATACGGATTCTAGAGTCTTTTAAGCCTTAATGTGCAAATTTCTGGGATTTGTTTATTCATGTTGATCCCTGTTGATCCAAATCGACCATTTCGCAAAAGATGCGCGGCCGTCAATGTGCTAACTAACAAAATACGTGCAACTGATAAACGATTGTCGAAAGAGGCTCACAAAAATGTAGAGGAAACGCTCATTCAGTAAAGTGAGCTAACTGAATATTATACCAAAAAAAGAGGAAATAGACGAGCGAACGAGGTTTAGAAGAAACAAAATCCAAAAGCAAAAGAGAAATCAAAGCTTCAGAGTGTTTTAAGGAGGAGTGAGTCCAAAAAATGATCATAAAATTGTGTTTTTCTTGGTTTATGAATAGTTTGTGAATAGTTTATGAATAGTTTGTGAGTAGTTTGTGAATAGTTTGTGAATAGTTTATGAATAGTATTATGAATAATTGAGTAAATCTTGTGATAATATCGTTTTTTGAAAAATCTATGTGGTGCTCATAGTAAGAAAAAATAGGACTTTCGATCTTAAACTAGATCCATAGTCTACAAAGATTCAAACTACATAGATTTAACTCAAAACCATGAATGTCTATGTTTTTTTTCTTTTATTACCGCTGATTCATCCGTGACTCCATTGATAAGAGGTTGAGTCTTTCAAAAAGGTTTAATTGATTAAGAAATCGAATCTCCAAATTGAATTCCTAGAAAATTCCAATTTTTATTATTGCAAATGGGTTTGAAAGCGATCAAACGAACGATCAAAGAAGAGATGTACGTTTTACAGATATTCTACTTTCTTGGGTATCTTTGCTTGCACAATTAACAGATATTCTACTTTCTTGAGTATCTTTGTTTACACAATTAACAGGCTGACTTTTCTTTCAGCTTTAGCTTACCCTTCCTTTCTCTAACACAAAGAACGAATGAATTAACGAATGAATTTTTCAAATTTTGTAATTACGTGCGGTTGTTTCTGTTTTAGTTCTAATTATTCATCTAGTGGCACAGCCATGTTAGCATTTTGAAAAATTCAAATTCCTTTCCAAATTCCTTATTCAGTGCCAAATATATGGACTCCACTCGTTCGCGTTCGACTGATCGCCCGAGTTCAAGAATGCGTTCATCAAGTAAGATTTAGCAATGAATTTTAAGATTTCATCAGCTTATGCCAATTTATCTAGTAATCTATTATGTTTTTAGAAGATCAAAATCCCATCGAAAAGGATGAATTTGGTGAGAAGACGAAACTAATTTCCACGGGTTTTCAAGTAAAAAACAATGAAATTGTGCTCTCGGAGCCTTCAAGAGAGAAGCTCGTTCAAGCGGGTGTTTACTTCGGAGCTGGATGTCTCTTCATTTATGCTATTTTCTCAATCCTTGCCGGTTTCATTTCTCTTTTCTTTTCTGCTGTCTTTCATCTCATTTCTTTTCTTGTCACTACTATTTTTTTGATTGCTGGGTTTATAATTTTCGTAGTTTTTATTCAATATTCGAAAAAGAAAGAGATTCCATGGCCTACAAAAGACAAAAGCGGAAAATGGATCTGGCCAAGTTCTCAAAAAATTGTCGAGTTTTTAAAAAGTGATTGATTGTGATTGATTGATTGTGATTGATTGATTGTGATTGATTGATTGTGATTGATTGATTTTGATTCATTGATTGTGATTCATTGATTCTGATTCATTGATTCTGATTGATTGATTTTGATTGATTGATTGTGATTCATTGATTGTGATTCATTGATTTTGATTCATTGATTTTGATTCATTGATTGTGATTCATTGATTTTGATTCATTGATTGTGATTCATTGATTCTGATTCATTGATTTTGATTGATTGATTGTGATTCATTGATTGTGATTCATTGATTTTGATTCATTGATTGTAGTGAACTAGTTTTATATATTTTACATCTCATTTCTTGCATAATTCTTGCAATATTCACAAAATAAATAATCGAATAGTTTTCGTTTTCAAAAATAGTCTATTTAGGCGGCAGTGAATAAAAAGAAAAAAGAACGAGCTGAAAATAGGACACCGGAATTGTTAAGAGACTTCACTCAACACTATGAACACTCCTCGATTCGATTTCTGATTCTCGGCTGTTTATTCCTGTGTTTATATAGATATATATATATATATGTTGTGTCCGATTTAGATTTCCGTCCGATTTAGATTCAATCTAAATCTTATATGGATTGAACAACAATATAAACATGCTTAATATATGTTCTTAAGCATTTTCTGTAGTTTTCTGCATTTTTCAAAGGTCTTTTTACATTACTGTCTTTTTCTGTTTTACTATCTTTTTCTGAAAAGAAAACCCAACTATGAAATAATCAATAAAAGACCCTTGAAAATGCAGAAAACTACAGAAAACGCTTAAGAACATTAAGCATGTTTATATTATTGTTCAATCTATATAAGACGTCCGATTTAGATTGAATCGGATGTCCGATATAGACTGTAATCTAAATCGGACGTCCGCGATAAGTTCAATCTAAATCGGACGTCCGATTTAGATTGAATCTAAATCGGACGGAAATCTAAATCGGACACAACATGTATATACTTTTGGCATTTCTTGACAACCAGTTTTTGAATCGTTCTGAAAATTTCTGAAAAGATTTAACAAATTAAAGGAAATATAAAGTCGAAAACTTGAAAAACTCTGTGCAATCATTCCCGATAGCAAAGTGTTCTCAAAAGCATTGGTGAGTCATGTGTTGGCCGGGATTCCACCCAAAAGCTGACACTCATCGGTTACATCGTAATAGAATTTAGCGCGAAATGAGCAATGAAATCGAGATTCTATAAGTTTTCAAATAAAATCCAGTAAATTTAAATGATCTTGAACACATACGTTTTTTTTTTTTGATTGTGTACATACAATGTACGCTCATTTGGTGCCTGAGCACTTCAATTTTCGGAACTTAAATGCTCTACAAAATGACATTTAAGGACTTTGACTTTTTAAAACCATTTATCAAGTTTTTGAGTTTAGAATTAGGTGATTAGTTTACGAGACATTGATGTGACAGGTGGCCAGGACTATGAGAATATTCACACCAGTCGAACCATCGAACAATTGCATGTGAGCAAAAGTTTACACCTGGTTTACAAAAGTTTCATAGAACTAGTCCCCTACCTAGTAGGTTCGGGGTTTTTTTTTTGAACACTCCTGCCTCAAAATCTTTTACTTTCTTAGGCATATTTTGATCGATTTTTTTTTGGTGCTCATCGAAAGCTAGTATTCGCGAAAATGAAAGGTGTCTTCCTCAAAAATAATCCATCTTATTCTAAGCTATGTCCACACAGGGTTTACTTCTCACTCTCCACAAAGCTTTAGTTGTATTCCTTTGGGTTTTGTTTTCATTTCATTTTCACTTCACGTAGCGATTTTTGTATATCAGAAAGACTGAATGTAAATGAAATTCTTGCTGTTTTCACTTTTCATATCCTCCATCAGAAGCAAATATTTGGATGGGGATTCCCCAAAAAATGTCTTCAATCTTTCAGCGGAGAGTCCATCGTATGCCATTCATGGAGAACACCTTCGAGCACTTGGGGTCTTTTTATTATTTAAATTTAATCAAATTTCTCATAGTATAAGTTTTTCTTTCTTTTACTTCATTTGATGTAGTTGTTGCTATCTCTTTCATCATCATTCATCATTCATCATTCATCATTGATCATTCATCATTCATCATTCATCATTCATCATTGCTCTTTCAAATCAGGATCAAATTCCTATGACTTATAACAAAGTGTATAGGATTTTAAAAAGATCATTGATCGCTACCATTCTATTTTCGAACCGCTACCATTCTATTTTCAAACAGCTACCATTCTATTTTCGAACAGCTACCATTCTATTTTCAAACAGCTACCATTCTATTGATCGCTACCATTCTATTTTCGAACCACTACTATTCTATTTTCGAACCGCTACCATTCTATTTTCAAACAGCTACCATTCTATTGATCGCTACCATTCTATTTTCAAACAGCTACCATTCTATTTTCGAACCGCTACTATTCTATTTTCGAACAGCTACCATTCTATTTTCAAACAGCTACCATTCTATTGATCGCTACCATTCTATTTTCGAACCACTACCATTCTATTTTCGAACAGCTACCATTCTATTTTCTTTTTCAAAGATTCCAAAGAACTTTGAGAAAATTAAGAATTTTGTGCAAACTTTTGAGTTAATCTTGAACAAGGTGTTCAGTTTCACAAAAACAAATCTAAAATTTGATCAAATATTTGATTTGAAATTATTTTTGATAACTTTTAGAAAATACAAATCAATGTTTTTCCGAGCAGTGATTTCATAGTCGACTACACACAAAGCGATTGTCACAATCTGCCGGCTGTAAACGAAACATTTGCACGTTTTTCTTACAAAAGAAACGATTAACCTCTCTATTAATGATCTAGGGACGAAGAATTGATGGTTCCATCGATTTCGTCTTTTGCCACGATGCTGTCCCGTTTTTGATCAACGGACAAAGACCACACGATCACGAGATACATTTGGCGTGAGAAAGCATTTAACAAATCAGATCCCTACATATATGGGTATACATAAATACATACCTACACGTCTAGCAGAACTAAACCTCTCCCCCCTGAATACATCAATCAATGATGAATATCAATAAGAGTGTAGTTTTGCTATAACCTTAAAGTTTAGGCCCATAATTCTCATTGAATCTGAAAATGCTCGCGAATTTAGGCCTCATAACATTGGACTTACAAAAGTGATCTATTATTTCACAATGAAAATCTACAATGTTCACACGATTGAACTGAGTTTTGCGGGCGAGGTGAAGAGCGTCGTTTTTGGAATCTCATTTCGTGCTCTACGCTGGGTCAATGGTGAGTGATGAAGAATGATCGATTCTTTTAACTTGTAAAGCTTAAAACACGAATTTTAGAGATAACTCAAGTGCTGGTGTTGCCGGTGGAAACCGCTTCACCCGATTGCTGTTCGATTCTAATTCCACGGGGTTTCATTGCAACTGTTTTGGCGAATCCACTATTTTATAAGTAGCGCTTACTTTTCTGCTTTATAGCTTATAGCTGTTATATATTATAGCTTTATAGCTGTTTTTTTTTTCATAATTTATCTATTATACACAATTCGTATTAGTGGGACGAAATTTGGACCGCGGACTCTTCTTCAAGCTTGGGGAAAGCACCAATTCCTTGACGAATTTGAGGTGAGTGTGGTGACGATCCTGGGGAAATTGGTAACAGAAGGAAATTGATTTTCTGATTATAAAGCAGAACTGATGATTAGAACTGATGATTTCTTTGCCTTTTACAGATGGACATTAGTTGCAATCAAAGTGTCACCTTCTCAATACTATTTGGTGCTGCACCTGGACTTTTCGATGACATTCCGCGCTATCCCTACATCTACGGGTATGCATAAAGACATCTAGCACATCTAGCACGTCTAGCAATTTTCGCGATGTGATAAGACAAGCCTGGTTTAACATTTCGAAAGAAAAAAAACAACTTACTATTGAAACTAAATTGCTGCACAACGCATTGAAAGTGCTCAAAGTATTGAATAATAGGTTTATTCAATAGCCGACTGACTCGGAATCTTTGAAACCTCGTGGAATTAGAATCGAACCAGGCTTAGCCACTAAAAGTTATCTAACTCTGACAGCCTAAAAATTGGAAAAATATTGAGGAAATCGGTGCGCCTTCATTTTATTTCGCGTCCCAAATCATTTATTGTTTTGTAGCTTGTTAGCTGAGTATCTTGTGTTAAAGCCTATAGAAGGCAACTGCTGTTCATTTGTTGGTTGTTATCTTTCATTTTCTTTCTGCTTTCCTCTCATTTGTGTGAAAGTTGTGTCCTAATTAGGACGAAATTGTTTCTGTTTTTATCGTCACTTTTAATTCAATTGTCGATCTTGTGTGAAAGTTGCTCAAGTGAGAGCCCAAAGATTCCGAGTCAGCTATTGAATAAAGTGCTTTTTTAGTTCAAGTGAGATCAGATATCTCAAACAAGAAATAACGTGTCTTGAGTGAAGAGTACCAAGCACGCAAAGAATATTTCTTTACAGGTCTAAAAAATTTTTTTTACCTTACCCGTCGCTTGTTGTGGGCTTGTAACAAAAAACGGCGGGTTTTTCTAGCTGGATTTTTTGGGGCTGACGCATAGTTTTGTCGACGGGAGCAATCCGGGCACAGACGGGAGCAATCCGGGCTCAACTCCCCGTAGTGTCACTCAATTTTGATTGAAAAATCTGATCTCAACAGGGAACTCACTGACCCCGAAAATCTATAAGAGTGTTGTTTTTGAAGCTCTAGCTCTAGCTTGAGATGAAAGTTGCGTATTGTAACTGCGTACAGACGGACGGACAGGCGGACGGACAGACTGCTCTTTTATATATAGTAGATTTCCTTCATTGATAATCTAAACGTTTTGGTGGCTCATTTGTAGTGTTTTTTCTGAAATCTGAAGTTGTTTTTTGTGCTCTCCTTTTTCTAAAAGCATTCATTTTTCTGTTTAGGCTTTAGCCGAACGATTCGTGGTTCTACTATTAGGTTGATGCATAAGTCTTTTCGTTTTTTTCGTACTTCTGTTAGCAAATCACCAATTATCTATAGTTTGCTCTATAAAAAGTGTTTTTTGTTCAATTTCCATCTTTTAAAATCAATTTCGGTTCACTTTCAAGCAAATTCGAGGGTGAAAAACGCCTTTTTCGTAAAAATCTATAAAAAACTCTACGGAAAAATTGGCTGAATGAATTTCTCTGAAATTTTGGCGAAATATCAAACGTTTTGTTTTCTCTATCTTTTATCTATTGACACGAAGATAGGTTTTCTTTAGCTAAGGTGTCTAAACCGCATCATCGAGTTAGCCCTTTTTGACTACCCGACTTCATACTCTCAAGAAAATCCAGGCATTAAATATTTTTAAACCCGTTTTAATGTTATTTTGCAGAAAAATAATTGGTTTTTCTAATGAAATCAACCGTAGTTTAATTCGTGCATTTGTTGGCTTGAAACGGCAGACGAAAAGGAACGAAAAGACTTATGCATCAACCTAATATATATAAAAGAGCAGTCTGTCCGTCCGTCTGTACGCAGTTGATGAAAAAAAAGCTCAAAATTAGTTTCAAAAGAATAAAATGAAGGTTTAGCTCGGAGTTCAGCTCTCGGTCGAGCGCTACAACCGTTCTCGCCAATACTCATTGCGATTTTGTTCTGAGTTATGAGTCGTCACTTGGTTCGGTGATTTTACATTTGAAACTCTATCTATCATTTATTCAAATGCTAACACGATAATCAAAGATTTACAGACGATCACTCAGAAATTGTTAGCGATCCTCACGTTTACACTTCGTACAACTATCCATGGTTACAAGATGACTCAAAAGAATTCCCGGATTGTCAACAATTTCGAGCACATTTCCATAGCACAGTTAGAATAAGGGGATAAAAGAAAAACAAATTCACTTATAATTTAGCCAAGTTCATTGCGTCAAATAGCAATTGATATAAAATCGCTGGAGAATGGAGTATTGACGCTATATTTTGACATCGATAAAACCAACTTGGGGTTGTGCATTTTCACGAAACCGTTGTCGAATATTAGGTAAATATCTGTGTGCGGCTAAAGTTTAACGGAAACATGGCAAAATTCAAAGTTTTTTCAACTCGAATTCAACCTTATTTCTAGTTTTTATGAAGTGCCAAATGAAGTGAAAGAATATCGAATCGACTGCCTTACAGTGAGCCTTTTTCAGCCATTTCAGCCATTTTAGCCATTTTAGTCATTTTAGTCATTCCTTTTTCAGTGATCGTCAAATCTAAAACGCTAAAATGAAAGAATTCAGATTGAATTCAGATTGAATTCAGATTGAATTCAGATTGAATTCAGATTGAATTCTGTCCAAATAAAGCACTCGCCGAAAGCTATGGTTTTCTTTTGCATCTAGCAAAGGGGATCGTCGATCCCGTTAATGTGACGTGCGCTCAAACGTTCACCCTCACCGACGATAAACCGCAAGCGATTTTTCACGGTGATGACACGTTTATGTTCGATTTGTCGGGTATGAGGAGAATATCTGATTTTTCTTTTCCAACTTTTCGAATTATTTAGGAGATCTTTTTTCACCAATTTGCATTGTAAACAATTGCACTCAATGCAAAACTCGGGGAATTCAAATCGACATCGCTTCAATTTGTCCAAAAGAGGATCTAGTAAAAAGCGCTTTTTTCCTTTTTTCCTTTTTTTACACTTTCCCTCAAAAAGATTGCTTATTCAACTTTCAAAACTTTCAAACTTTCAATCTTTTGCTATTTTAGGTAATCTGTATTTCCGATCCGCCGTTTTTCATTAATGGGAAAATGGTGAAACTTGAAAACATGACCCAACGGTAAATCATCAAAGAATTTATAATATAATATAAATACTTTATTCAGAAAGAAATAAAGTGCGAAAACGACATGAAAAATGTACTAGATAAAAGATGACAAAGTCACTTAAAATGCAACGAAATAGCCCTTTTAAAATCAGACACGGTGGAGATCAAACGCAACTTGTCGGGAAGGGCATTCCAAACTTTAGTCACACGATTTACGAAAAAAGCTCTAGAGGATTTAGAGAAAGTAGATTCGGGATGCAAGATAAAAGAGCCACGATAAAAGAGCCACGATAAAAGAGCCACGATAAAAGAGCCACGATAAAAGAGCCACGATAAAAGAGCCACGATAAAAGAGCCTAGTCGCCAAAAGCCTCGAGTTTAGTCGAAAAAGATTTTTAAAAAGAGGGTTTTGATGTTTTCCTTTTACAATTTTAAAGCACTCAACCAAATCTATGATAAGACGGCGTTGTTCTAAGGTTTCAAGTGAGAAAAGTTTCAATCTATGTTTATACCTGACGGATGAGTAGTTAGCAAAATCAATTTTGTCGATTAGGGATTTAGAAATAGGTGACCAAATAGGTGACCAAAGAAGCATACTCGAGGGTCGGGCGAACGTAGATAATGAAGCATTTCCTATATAGCATTTCCTATATCAATATCTGGTATGCAAATAGATCTAAGAATTTTGCCCGCACAAAAGGACGCCTTCTTACATATTTTTTCTATGTGTGTAGAGAAATTTAGAGGAGATATGTAGACGATACCACATGAAAGTATCGTCGTGATTTCGGGAACCTTTTTCTACATGATATGTAGACTCCTTCGCGAAATCGAATCGCGAAAAGAATCAATCGATTTCATTATTTTCCTCTAGCTATTAATAAATTTGATTAATAACAAATATTTGATGCTAATTCAAAACTTTGATACATATTTTTATTTGATTAACTCAGATGGAATCCACATGAAAGTATCGTCGTGATTTCGGGAACCTTTTTCTACAATGAGAATTTTTTGTATTTGACCACAACCGATGATACTATTCACGCGTCAAGAAGTTCCATATCATTCCTAGCTGCTCACGTGTTTACAGGTAAAAACACAAAATAAAATAAAATAAAATAAAATAAAATAAAATAAAACAAAATAAAATAAAACAAAATAAAATAAAACAAAAAAAACTTTTCTTGATTCAAATTTTTTAGAGAAAATCGAGGTGATAATGTTTCCCACGCATGCTGACAACATTACACTCCAATTTCGCTTACCCGAACACAATAGCTTGATTTGGATAACGTTAGCGTTAGGCACCGAGAAAAATGTGCTGCAAAAATTTAGACAGGTTTGTTGAAAGTATTTTGAAAGTTCTTTTGAAAAGATTAGGATTTAGGGTAGATATCGCGATCCACCGTGTGAATATCGATTGATTGCCGGCCCACCCGATTGGAGTAATCAAGATTTCGGTCGTAATTTGGCCGTTTTCAGGTCATCTAGTTTAGACTTATCACTTCTATCTAACTATTAGGTTGTCCAATAAGTAATGCGTGTTTTGACACGATTTTCAAAATATCACAAAATTAACAAAAGAGAACTTTATTAATCGATATATTCTCCACAACAATCAACAACATTTCTCCATCGTCCGAGCAAAGAGTGAAGTCCGTCATAATAGAATGAAGCTGGTTTCGATGAGAAGAAATCGTCGAGCCATTTTTGCACCTCGTCAACACTTTTGACTCGTTTCCGTCCGCAAATCGTTTAAACCAGCGCTGGCACTGGCTGATTGAAATTGAATCCTCTCCAAATGCGGCACAGATAGTTCGATGGCAATCCGCTGCAGTTTTACCTCGTTTGAAATCATACAGCATTGATGCGCGGACAACAAACTTTTTGTCTTTCATGTGCAAAACAACATATCTATTATAAAACAAAGGCAAATGAATAAAATAATATATAAAAATAAACACAAGATGCTGATGATTAAAAAGAGCATATATTTGCTCGAAGCGATTTCGCAATAGTTTCGAAATAAGTAACACGCATTACTTATTGGACAACCTAACTATCTTCTATCTAACTATCTTCTATCTAACTATCTTCTATCTCTATCTTCTATCTAACTATCTTCTATCTAACTATCTTCTATCTAACTATCTTCTATCTCTATCTTCTATCTAACTATCTTCTATCTCTATCTTCTATCTAACTATCTTCATCTAACTATCTTCTATCTAACTATCTTCTATCTCTATCTTCTATCTAACTATCTTCTATCTCTATCTTCTATCTAACTATCTTCTATCTAACTATCTTCTATCTAACTATCTTCTATCTCTATCTTCTATCTAACTATCTTCTATCTCTATCTTCTATCTAACTATCTTCTATCTAACTATCTTCTATCTCTATCTTCTATCTAACTATCTTCTATCTCTATCTTCTATCTAACTATCTTCTATCTAACTATCTTCTATCTAACTATCTTCTATCTCTATCTTCTATCTAACTATCTTCTATCTCTATCTTCTATCTAACTATCTTCTATCTAAACTATCTTCTATCTCTATCTTCTATCTAACTATCTTCTATCTCTATCTTCTATCTAACTATCTTCTATCTAACTATCTTCTATCTCTATCTTCTATCTAACTATCTTCTATCTCTATCTTCTATCTAACTATCTTCTATCTAACTATCTTCTATCTAACTATCTTCTATCTCTATCTTCTATCTAACTATCTTCTATCTCTATCTTCTATCTAACTATCTTCTATCTAACTATCTTCTATCTAACTATCTTCTATCTCTATCTTCTATCTAACTATCTTCTATCTAACTATCTTCTATCTCTATCTTCTATCTAACTATCTTCTATCTCTATCTTCTATCTAACTATCTTCTATCTAACTATCTTCTATCTAACTATCTTCTATCTCTATCTTCTATCTAACTATCTTCTATCTCTATCTTCTATCTAACTATCTTCTATCTCTATCTTCTATCTAACTATCTTCTATCTAACTATCTTCTATCTAACTATCTTCTATCTCTATCTTCTATCTAACTATCTTCTATCTCTATCTTCTATCTAACTATCTTCTATCTAACTATCTTCTATCTAACTATCTTCTATCTAACTATCTTCTATCTCTATCTTCTATCTAACTATCTTCTATCTAACTATCTTCTATCTAACTATCTTCTATCTCTATCTTCTATCTAACTATCTTCTATCTCTATCTTCTATCTAACTATCTTCTATCTCTATCTTCTATCTAACTATCTTCTATCTAACTATCTTCTATCTAACTATCTTCTATCTCTATCTTCTATCTAACTATCTTCTATCTAACTATCTTCTATCTAACTATCTTCTATCTCTATCTTCTATCTAACTATCTTCTATCTAACTATCTTCTATCTCTATCTTCTATCTAACTATCTTCTATCTAACTATCTTCTATCTAACTATCTTCTATCTAACTATCTTCATCTCTATCTTCTATCTAACTATCTTCTATCTCTATCTTCTATCTAACTATCTTCTATCTAACTATCTTCTATCTAACTATCTTCTATCTCTATCTTCTATCTAACTATCTTCTATCTCTATCTTCTATCTAACTATCTTCTATCTAACTATCTTCTATCTAACTATCTTCTATCTCTATCTTCTATCTAACTATCTTCTATCTCTATCTTCTATCTAACTATCTTCTATCTAACTATCTTCTATCTAACTATCTTCTATCTCTATCTTCTATCTAACTATCTTCTATCTCTATCTTCTATCTAACTATCTTCTATCTAACTATCTTCTATCTAACTATCTTCTATCTCTATCTTCTATCTAACTATCTTCTATCTCTATCTTCTATCTAACTATCTTCTATCTAACTATCTTCTATCTAACTATCTTCTATCTCTATCTTCTATCTAACTATCTTCTATCTCTATCTTCTATCTAACTATCTTCTATCTCTATCTTCCTATCTAACTATCTTCTATCTAACTATCTTCTATCTAACTATCTTCTATCTCTATCTTCTATCTAACTATCTTCTATCTCTATCTTCATCTAACTATCTTCTATCTCTATCTTCTATCTAACTATCTTCTATCTAACTATCTTCTATCTAACTATCTTCTATCTCTATCTTCTATCTAACTATCTTCTATCTCTATCTTCTATCTAACTATCTTCTATCTCTATCTTCTATCTAACTATCTTCTATCTAACTATCTTCTATCTAACTATCTTCTATCTCTATCTTCTATCTAACTATCTTCTATCTAACTATCTTCTATCTAACTATCTTCTATCTCTATCTTCTATCTAACTATCTTCTATCTCTATCTTCTATCTAACTATCTTCTATCTAACTATCTTCTATCTAACTATCTTCTATCTAACTATCTTCTAGAAAATTCGCTAGAAAAAAATCAAAAAAAAAAGTCGCTTTTAAAGTGGTTAAAAGGTGTTTCTCCGTTTTACACCTATTGGTCAATAAAGCGAAATAGGAAATGTTTGAGCTGCACCAATGTCTAGCTTCAATTCAAAACAAACAAATGTTGTTAATTTCATTAGGAGTTTAGTGACACAAACCCTTTTATCGATCACTATCTACTCTCCTCACTCTACAGCATTCAAATTCCTGCTGGATGCGCGCCGACTTTGGCGCTCACATCATCTCTTGTTTCAAGTAAGCTAGGCTTATGGAAAGTAGGCTTATGACAAGTAGGCTTATGGAAAGTAGGCTTATGGAAAGTAGGCTTATAGCAAGTAGACTTATGACAAGTAGACTTATGACAAGTAGGCTTATGACAAGTAAGCTTATGGCAAGTAAGCTTATGGCAAGTAAGCTTATGGCAAGTAGGCTTAAGGAAAGTAGGCTTAAGGAAAGTAGGCTCACATCATCTTATGTTACAAAATTAAGATGAGAACGAATATGTAGACATGATAATGTAGTTTTTTTAGATATCGAAGATGATTACACCATTCATTATGTGATGATTTCAAAGCAAGAGGCCTGTCAAGGAACAGTCATTTGGACATCAGGAGGATATCAGAATCCCTTTCAATTTTTCACCAATCTCTATCCATGGGTTTCTCATGAAATATTTTGTTGTAAGTGTTTTAAAAAAGACTAGAAGAAAGAAACAAAAAAAGAAAATAAGGTAAGAAGTTTCAAAGGCTCAGGGTAATGAAGGTGAATCCAATCCAAAAGCTGCGCTAAGCTCATAGCGTCTGTTTAGCGTCATTCCGTATCAATGTCACTGTGGAAATTGTCTCTGTTGGGAGTGGGCTGTTGTATTTAGAGTTTCACGGAATGGGAAACCGCAATCAGACTTGTAATAAGTAAGTTTTGGTGAAATGATAAAGTGAAATGATAAAGTCTAGAGCATTCAATGGAACTGATGGAATTCAGTCAGCTATTTGCACGGAAAACAATGTAAACGGTGTCTTTGTGAGCGAGCCATCTTCATTCCAAAATTCCCCTCGATTTCAGATGAATTGCACTCAAAATGATGATTGGGCACAAATGGGCGGCTGTTCACTTCGAATTCACATCAACAAAATCGTTGAGAATTTGATACCAAAAGTGAATCCAACAGAGTTTATTCGAGAGAGTTTTCGAATAGAATTCTTAAAGCACATGCTTTTCCTTCTAATCTTTCTTTCTTTGTAAAAGAAATTGCTTTTAATTTGTTGAAATTCGAAATGGTTTTCTTATTTGGATTACAGCTTCTTTCCACTTCATTAAACTTTTTTAAATCACCTTTTTTTTCAATAAAAATTTGTTGAATATGATCAAATTCGTTATATTTGAAATAATGCCCATCAAATTCTTCGTGATTCTTTTGTGTATTCAATCATATGCACAGCATTGCTCTTTACTATTTACTTAGCCATACATTAGAGACAAAAATTGTTCTCAAGTTTGAAAATGTAATCAACATTTCATAAATGAAACCTTTTGATTAAAAGGCCTAATTTATCTAGCATATCTCTAATATCTAGCATCTCCAAGAAGAATTTGTTGTCGATGAATGTTGTTGTTGAAAGAATCGATGAATGTTGTCGTTGGAAGAATCGAAGAATGTTGTCGTTGGAAGAATCGAAGAATGTTGTCGTTGGAAGAATGTCGTTGAGAGAATCGAAGAATGTTGTTGTTGGAAGAATGTCGTTGAAAGAATCGAAGAATGTTGTCGTTGGAAGAATGTCGTTGAGAGAATCGAAGAATGTTGTCGTTGGAAGAATCGAAGAATGTTGTTGTTGGAAGAATGTCGTTGAAAGAATCGAAGAATGTTGTCGTTGAAAGAATTTTCAAATCCTGATCAAATCGAGAACGAGATGCCACAAAAAAATTGAAATTTGAAATTATGAAATTATTTGAAATAGCTAGTAATGCTAGAATTTAAACGATGCCGAGGCTTGACCCACATGCAACAACCGCAACAGCAAAAAGTGATGAGCGATGCTCCGATAATCCACAAAGCAATCTACGGCAAAGCCTGGAAATGCGCACAGCAATCTGAAATGAAACTTTATTCTCTTGCAAACTTTTATTTTATGCAAACAAACTGCAAACTACATTTTTTATACCGCCGTGGCAGCAATGATAGTAGACGAGGTCGGTCTCTCTACCTGAGAATTATTGCTTTTATTAGGCTACCTAAAAGCTATTTCTCTTGCAAAACATTAAAGCTATTCTAAAGTGGAAAAGAAAAGTAGGAATTCTTTAAAAGTAACCAAAAAGTGAGCAAAAAACGCACATTTTCCAGCCTTTTCCTCAGATTCCCCCATTGGGACCTCCTTGCTTCGAGCGAAAAAATAAACAATAAAAATCGATATAAGAAAAAAAAAGTTGTGTTTTATTTAGCTTTGAAGAAAGATTTATATGACAATCGGAGAAATTATCAAATTTTTGATTTGTAGGCAAATTTTCGTTGAAATACAATTAGTCAGAAAATTAGCCAGAAAGACGTAGGTTTATCTGTTGTCTCATGAGCTCATTCTGACTCGAGTGTCGTCGTGAAAGGTGCTCTCGCTTGAGGGAGGACTCTGGTGACGTTATTGCCTTGATGCAACAACATCAGATAGGCAAAGCTGAATAACAAAATAAGAACGCTTAATGGAACTCGAAGTCGACAAACTTGTTGAAAATGCAATCGATCAAATAGAGTCCGGTGTAGAAGATGAAACCACTGTTGGCGGTGAGCAGATATTGAGGTCCGAGATTCTCGATCCACAAGGCGATCGATGTCAACATGTTCACCAGCATCTGCAAAATGCTTTCGAGTCATCAAGTGGTGGATCGAATTTGTCCACAAACTGTAGAATAGTAGAATAGTAGAATTTGCCTTTCTATTTCTTTTTCTCCAACCCCTAAACCAGCAAAACCGAAAAAAATGAATTTCTGTCTGAACTCTGACTATTTTCCCGTTGCTAGCCAATAGAAAGGCAGATTCTACTATTCTACAATTTGTGAACAAATACGATCCACCACTTGATGACTCGAAAGCATTTTGCAGATGCTGTTCATCGGAGTCAATCACTTTCTCATCAGGGTCTAAATTTTTTCTCTTATGTGGCAAGTCTGGAAATCCGAACGAATCGAACGAACCATCGCAGCCAATCGATATTCCATTCCCAATTGTCGCCTTTTGAGGTCGCTGTTCGCTGAGTTGCTTCTGTTTCTCCGAAAATGCCGTCGCATCAACCAGAAAGCTGTGACGTCGAGAACGATGTAGATCGGACAGAAGATGTAGTTCATGAGCTACAAAGAACGGTATCTTTTGAAGCCCTTTATAATGAGGAGTCTGTGTTCAATCTTTTCAATTTCAATGCAAGCGATGACAGTGTTTTGTAAAAGAATGCTCTCTGTCCTATTCAAAAGATAGATATTCCGAAAACTATCGTAATCTTTGCCTTAAGTGTTGTCGAATCGACTTGTTGACCGAAAAAATGAATTTCTATCTGAACTCTGACTATTTTCCCGTTGCTAGCCAATAGCTGTTCATCGGAATCATTAGAATTATCATTAGAAACATCATTAGAAACAAGATTACGAAAGATAGTTTTCGGAATATCAATCTTTTCGAATAGGTTTTGTCTCGGCTCAATGCAAAACCGACCTCGAAAATGCGATCCGTTATCACCCTGCATTCGCCTTCGACAAACCAAACGACGTTCGTCGGATAGGGGACAAACGTTGGCTGACAGCCAGCTGAATGGTCAGATATTTGCTGATTAAAGAGAAAAGAAACAAACGAATTGCCCATGAGACGACGATAACAATACACGTTAACAAGGCAACGGTCAGATATTGGAACCAACGGGTCGACTCGAATTTTGCACTGAATCGGCTGTCGAAAGCGATGGCGAAGCAGCGGTTGAGACCGAGAAAAGTCTAAAAGTCTTCAATGATTATTCTTTTTCTGATGTGAGCTCTCTACTTTTGCTGAAATGCCTATGTAGAAGCCGATATAGGGAAGGGTCGAGAAGAGACGATCGAGAAATGGAAGGCTATCGTTGAGTTTCCTGAAACGCTTGAAATTTGTTGGATTTCCTCTTCTGTGGACATCAAGAATTTCACATTAAGAAGACACTCTGTCTTTTATTGAATCGGCCAAAAAAAAGTTCAGATCTACTTGTTTCTATTTTTATATTATAGTGTCCAATAAAAGGTGTGGTGTCCAATAAAATGACACCACACCAACCACCTCTAGCCACTAGAAATTCTGAGGAATTCCGGTTTGAAAACGGTTTTTTTATTGGAAACCCTGTAGATAGATAGTAAACTAGATAGTAAACTAGATAGTAAACTAGATAGTAACCTATGACATTTCGGGTATTTCAATGGCAAAAAGGCCAAATTATCCGACACAAACACAAAGGGATTCTTCTCACCAAACGGCAGTCGGAGTCGCCCAAAACAGATAAAAGACGCCGTTGAGTGAGTAGTTGAGCAAATCAACTAACACGTAGAATTTGACGAGATCTAAAGAGCGACCGATAGGATTTGAATAAGTCACCAGCAATGATAAGTCACCAGCAATTAAACGATTCCGTTTGACGACCATGGAAGCGGCCACACTGAGAACAAGACAAATCGGGGAGAGCTGAAAAAGGAGAATGGATAGTTGAAGATTCTTTGAGAATATTTATGATCTGCCATATGCTAATTTTTAAACGTGACTATCCGTTACCGCGTTTTTGCATCCGCTTTGACAAGTAATTGGGACAAATAATGATAGTCAGGTCTCAAGGATCACGGGAAAATCTTCAGGTTACAGATTTAACAACGTCCAAAGGGAAATGCTATTTGCTTTTTTGCTTTTAAGAGTCTGTCGGGATCGATTGTCAAAATGAATGAGGAGTAAAACACTTTTTTTTTTGAACATTTGCTAACATGTTCCCGTCTATGTATGAGAACAAAAGGTTGAGCAAATTTGTGAATGTAAGTTGAAAGCTGGAACCACTAGACAAAGGCCCTCTGATATCAGCCCAAACTCCTAGCTGTTATAAAGCCGTGTAGTTTTCGGGAATTCTTTTGAGTCATCTTGTAACCATGGATAGTTGTACGAAGTGTAAACGAGGGGATCGCTAACAATTTCTGAGATGCTGCAAATCCATAAAGCCACTCGGAAAATGAGCACACATTGAAAAAAACATTGAATTGACCGACCAGAGCCATGACGACGATCTCGACGATTTCCTCGTCCTCGAAAAGAGAAATTGAACTATTCGACATCGATCAGAAGAAAGCACAAAAATGAATGAATGTCAGTCATAAACTACCAGAAGCCGTTTTCGGCCTAATTAGCCTGATTGCCGGCCTAGTTGACGGAGAGAAAATCGGCAGTCTTCAAAAGAGAAGGAAAACGATTGCGCTCCAAACAACTCGAGGGAGAGATCATTGGGACAACAATCGGCAGTTTTTCAATGAAAAACTCAAACCCATTCGTCTTTTTACTAAAAATATATTTAACAGAATGAAATGCGATAAAGGAAAAGAGTAGCTTTCGACCTAATTGCCCGTTTGGAAAAAACGGTATTGAAATGGCCACTTTCGAACATTTCCCTATTTGGTATCGCTAACGAGGCTGCGATAAACGCTACCTTTCCGCAAAAAGCAAATTGACGAATGATTTATAGGCAGCTAATTACCTCGAATGAAAATCAGATAAATGTTGTTTGTCCGCTCTGATCTCTCTTCTGATCACTGAATCTCTTCACACTCGGCCATAATCAGTGTGGCCTCCTTAATGAAATCGAGCAGACAGCTCAGTTCTCCTGTCTACACTGGCTCGACTCGAGTCGACTCGAATAATGAGCGTCTCTCGATTTTCTCCTTTCATCCTCAATGTCCGGGTATCTGAATGCTCACTGATAGACAGCTAGATCTCCAAACCATTGATTGAGACAGCTAGATCTCCAAACCATTGATCTCCAAATCTCCAAACCATTCATTTCTTTTCTCCCTTTTTGAATCACTTCGGGTGATTCAGAGAAACTTTTCTGGGAACACTTACAGACTCAAACTGAAACCTTATACAGTGCGTTTCAAATTCTTAAACGCACCCTCTAAAATAGCGGATTTTGCATTTTGACCACCGCTACAACTATTAATCTTTTTCTATTAGAAAGAGCATGTCTTAAAACCTAAATAACACGAAAAAGAAGCTCAACGAATCAACGAACGAAAAACGAAAAGGGCCGCGTTAACGACTCGACGGGGTGACCAAGTGGTTAGCGCACTCTTTTTCGAAGCCGATTCGATTTCGAAGGCGATTCGATTTCGAAGGCGACTCGATTTCGAAGCCAGTGACGCTAATTCGGCCCCAGTTCAATCCGAAATTAAATTTTTTAAATAAACTTAAAAAGATAACGAAAAATATGCAAATCTTTCAAATTTCCTGTGTATTTTTTCAAAAAATTCTCAAAAATGCTCAATTTTTATTCACTTTTCAGACAATTCAGTCTTATCACATTTGTAAATTTGGCAAGAGAGTTAAAATTCGATGAAAGAACGACGGAAAAGGATTCAATTTGCATTTAAAAAGAAAGAGAAAAACATATCTGATATGAATTGGATAATTGGCTATTTTAGCTATTTATTTTCCTTCATACAGTCTCCGGTCCGACAATGACATGCGTGTGCAGGTGGGTTGTCGTCGCTTGTATCTGCCGCGTCTCCACCACCTCCCCGTCGATCACCATGAAAGAGCCGGCGGTGAGCGGCTCGAGACGGAAAGCCGAACACTCAATCACCTGGGAAATCGACTGATTACGACATCATTAAACAAATTCACAACGATCGTTGTGAATTTGTTTAATCCTTGTATTGGAGCATTTGATTCCACCGATCACGATTCTTTTTGGAGCTAAGTTTTCAAAGACTTTTGTTATTCATTTTGCGGAAAGTTCTCAGTAACTTTAGACTAGTTTTCAAGAGATTCAGAACTATTAAATGATTATAATTGTTAGACGGAATTATCTGTAAAACAGCAACGACTACGCGACTGTACACTCAAAATACTGTCGTCGCGCATGTGACTTTTTATTGCGGTAGAAATGGGCATTTGGGGTACTGTATAGATGCAGTTGTACAAACTGGATACTGTAGACAGTGTTTCGAAGAAAATACTGTGTTCTCCTACTTGTACTCTAGAAAATTTGCATACGGTCTTCTACGAAAAGCTGAACTCTCAACGAAGTGGGAAAATTGAAAAGGGATTTGTCCTCCTAGAAGACTTTCCAAAGTCTTCTGGAGCAAAGCTTCAGGCAAGGCAAAGCTGGCTTTACAGCAAGTCTGACTCTAGCAGACCTAAACCACCTTCTAGTGATCCTTAAAGCCAACTAGAAGCCGGGCCTGGCCTTGCCTAAGCTAGCTTACAGTTTCTAGGATTCGGTTGACGTCCTTGAGCTGGACTATAGTTGAAGTTTGAGTTACCGTACTAAAGATAAAGGATTTTTCACCGGTTTTAGCATAAAGTTGTAAACAAAGCTAGCCAAAGTCTGGTCAGAAGCTCGGTCCAGGGACATAGTAAATGCTTCAAGCCAACAACAAGATGTCAGTGAGCGCAAAAATTTTTTGAGGCGCTCAGTCTATTTGGGAATCCATCACTTGCCCGAGGCCGCCAACCTTGGGTTTGTGCCTTATTCAGGCTAGGCCAGCGGACACCCGACTCGGAAATCCCAAATTTCATCATAGCTTGTCCCGGTGGGGGATCGAACCGGCATCGTGAGGGTGAGAGCCCGACGCGCTAACCGATCGGCTATTTGGTTGAAAGGAGAGGCCGCTTTTTTGGGCTGTTATTTTTGGGTTCATTGTGAAATTGAAAGCAATTTGGGAGGGTAAAGGGTAGATAATAACATTTAAAAATTATATATATTGTAAATATTGATTTAGAATTTAGTTTAGATTAGATTTACCTTTTAGATTTATCTTTTAAATTTAGATTTACCTTGAAAAACGGGTACTCGACATGGGTGCCCTTTTCGATGGCGAGCAAGAAACGAACGAGCGAGAATTTGGTCACATCTTTGCTAAAACGTGAATTGAATGGGGGTACAGTAACGCAAACAGATAAATTCACCACAGGAATACTGTAATTTGGCTCTAGTACCGTAGGACACTAAGTCCAGCTATTCTCAAGTACAGTATCCAGAGCCGAAGTCAGTCTAATTCCCAGTGCTGAGCACAGGTTTCTATCGTACTGTGTATACTACAGTAAAAACTACTGTATTATAGTGCTAATTTATTATGCAGGAGGCTTAGAAATGGCTTAGAAATATAATACAGTGCCGTACCTGAGCGCGTAACTTAAATGGATTCGATCCTCGTGCACCCGGGCACCCGGCATCAGCGGACCATCGGTGGCGATATGAGATTTCGTCATCTAAATGAGGATCTTACTTATTAGTTTGTGTCCGGGCCATAACTCCACTACCAGTAGCTTTCTGTAAGATATAAGTTATCTGTTATTTATGGGGACAATATAGGTAGATAGTCTGTAGGTAGCATACTCTGATACAACAATTACCGTAAATACTGTAATAGTACCCCACCCCCATAATGACGGTGCGGAGTGTTGCGTAGTCTAGCTTTGAACGAGTTTTTCTCGACACTGGTTTATGCTACAACGCGCGTTTAGGTATCAAAAAATACCCCTGAATTTCAGCTATTTTTTGATACCAAAGATGCATTTTTTGAAAGTACAGGCGCTTTGAAAAAAATGAAATACTAAAAAACTTTTGCGACTACGCGACTGTACGAGGGCGGTGGGGTACTATTACAGTATTTACGGTAGTTACAGTACATAGGCAGTGAGTATTTTACAGTACCAAGATATCATCCAGTATAATGTTACAGTCTAATAGAAGTATACTAGTCTATTACAGTACATAAACAACCTAGTAGTATTGTATATAGTAGCTCAATTAACAGCTCTCTCTCTCTCCTCAAAACTAACCGCATAAACGAAGACGAACTCGTCGTCGAGTGTCACCCAATCATTCGTCAATGCATCTTCCAAATTCGGCACTCCATCCCTCAAATGAATCGCTTTCCATTTCGAATCGTCGACACGGGGGAATTGCGTGGATGAGTAGGCCGAATCGGTGTCCCTTTGTGATCGAGTCGAAGTCGATGATGAGGTTGAGCTTCGGTGTACTTCGGCACGATCACCGATCTGAAAATGAACTTGTCACTTGTCACTTCTTGCTTGTCTAGTGTACTTTTTGCTCACTTTCACTTACTACCTTAATTATTAAAGCCTGAGCACCAGATCCAGCTAGGCCAGCCCGACCTTGATCTAGACTGGTCTGATTCTTGTCTCGGCCTGGGTCTAGTGGTGCTGGCTTTACACTAGCCTTCGCCTAGCCTCCAGAGGCTAGACCTGGACCTGGTTGCTGGACTGAGTCCTGTCTATCATGGCTTTGTTGCAGGTCTGGTCTAGAAAAGGTCCTGAGTCTAGGCCTGGCCTTGACTTGCACTTACCTAACCTGAACCCAGGCTCGGTTGAAACCCCCGAGCAGTAGAGTTCTACAAAGAGGAATCTCATGCGCCAGAGAGTGGTCGTTTACGAGAACGCACCAAGTCCGAGACAGCAAAGTGAAGGGCTTTGTTGTAGACTTTGATTCTAGGGTTATTATCTAGCTACTAGATCTAGATAAAAGAGATCTACTTGGCTTACTGTAAGATATAAGTTATCTGTTATTTATGGATTCTATAGTATTTCAAAAACTCACTCGGTCTCCGGCCGAGTGCGGATGCACGGTGAGGGTTGGCAATTGTTGCGGCCGTTCTGCGCGTCGATACGGCAAATACGAGAGACGGCCACGATACGTGCGAAGATCTAAAAGTTAAGAATTCTTAAGAAATTGTATCGAGAAAGATAAAGTTACTTAAAAACTTAGAACTAGCCACCCTCTTACAGTCAAGAAAACCCACTGAACACTCGAATGAGCGCGCCGGCGACGAAGCGGCTCGAGCCAAGGGTTTTCCGCCAACGTTCGCTTTCGATATCTAGAGAAATATCTTTTAGATCTTGCATATAAGCCAGTGAGAATATGACCGTAATCAAGTACTTTAATATTAGTGTATGATCATGATCTACACTACTGGACAATGAAATATGATATTTGAAAAAAGATCGTCACTTTCGCGCGTCTGTAACTCTCTTGTCTTTACCGTATTTCTAAATATTAATATTACCATTGTGTAGCCCTTGAAAAGAGCTTTCAGAAAATGTACAGCACTAATAGTTTAAACTCAGAGACAAGGGAGTTACAGACGCACGAAAGTGACGATCGTTTTTCAAAGATGATATTTCATTGTCCAGTACTGTATATCTGTTCAAATTGAGATATGAATCTCCGTACCAATATCCGCCAATAATCCCCATCCAAACGAGAGGAAAGCGACGAGATTTTTTGAGTCGGTTTGCATGTGGAGAAGGTTCACTGGCATGGCAACACTATTTGCTGAAAAGATGGGAATTGAATGAAAATACTGGCCGTCACTTAGACAAAACCGGCTACGGTAACACCAGTGTTTTTGCTTCAAATACCTTACCCTGGCTACCGTACACTTAGGCTTTATCTTCACAGTAAAGGTACTCTTTATATCTTGCCCCAACTATCGTAACCTCAGTCCCGGATAGTCATTGTAGGCTTTTAACTGAGAAATGCAATGCAAAAGTACCAAGATTAGTCATACTATGGTAAGCTTAGGCTAGGCTTAAGCTTAGAGAGATGCCTTAGAGCTACGGTATCGAGGGCACACTTTACAATAGAATACCCAAGATCCAAGACCCAAGTTAGAATTACCCAAGAAAATACTCACCTGAAGTAGCCACTTTGAGCGCCTTGTCGAGGAATTTCCCGGTTGACAGTGAGTAGCTGAAAAGATGGGAAAGATTAAAGATACAAAATGATGGATATCTATAGCTACAGTAAGATACAAGATGATGGATATCTATAGCTCCAAGCCAAACGAACCCCCTAGCCGAGAAGCATGACGCGAGGAGGCCATTCCCGGAGCCGGTGGGGATGAGGCCGAGTGGAAGTGAGCGGAGCAGCGAGAAACCGTCGTCACGAGCGCATAAACCGTTCAGAAGCTGATAATGGATTATGCAATTTGCAATTGATCTTTTTTTTCAACCTCAAAAACTAATCCATCACCCGACAGGATGATCACCGCCGACAGAGTGGTCAAATCGGAACGCTCGCGTGCTAAACGCTCGACTTGACCGGCGCCACCTAAAGAAGGATGATTTGAGATGCGAGTAACAAAGGCCTAAAAACGCACTTGTGACGATCAGCTCATAGTTGATCGCTCTCCTCTTTAGCAGGGGAACCATCTGAGAAGAAAATCTTTCAAAAAAAAGAAAATCATATGAAAATTGTGAAGTGTTTAATGTGTGAAATGTGAAATGTAACAGTAAAGTTGTCAGCTATCAGCATGAAGTGTTGAATAAAATACTCTAATTTTATATATAGTAACCATATCTTACAGTGTACAGGATTCTTTAAAACCCGACCCTCTTATTGAAGGTCTCTAATCCCTTGCCGGCGCCACTGTGCGGATTGACGAAGATCAAGAGGCGACCGGTTGGGCGAGACACTGAAATATTGAAAAATTTGGATTAGATAATAGAATACTTATCTAGATTTAAATATTGAACATATATTGAACATATATTGCACTTTATTTTCTTCTAAATAACGTACCCTGTGACGTTGTGGGTGTTTCATCGTGCACTCGTCTTCCTCCGCACAAAACTCCACCCATCTCGATCGCATACGAACTGAAAAATGAACGGGATTTGATTGAAATTCGTATGCTCATTGGGATCGTATGTAAAGGATTATTGCTCAAATTTGATTGAATCAATCAATCAATCAATCAATGCTAATCAACCAGGAGCAATGCTAATTTGAGCAAGTTTCACTTGCAAAGAATTAAGCAAGCAAGCATTACCTTGTAGTTCAGAAAAGCTTCAACTTGAGAAATGTCTTGAAAATGCTAAATATGACAATTTGGGTAATGTTTGGCTATAGATTAAACTTGAAAAATGTTTGAAAAAGCTCTTTTAGGCTCTTTTAGGGTCGTAAGTAGATCTCTTTCGCTGTCAATACGCTAAACACTGGTTGTTAAGCTTTTTTCTAATGTAACGACTCTAATTTTCATGACAAAAGTTGGAGATTTCTCCAGAAATTTTTTCAAACAGAAAGAGATCCGTCTGAAGAGAGTATTTGCTTTCCGGGGAAATGGTAATGAGTTTCGACTTTGGTATTCGAATTGTAGATAGAAAATATAAGACTTAGATAACTAAAAAAAGCAATTTAAACCAAAATTTGAAAAGAAACAAAATTTTGAAAGCTTTGAAAGTACTGTACTTCCATTGGAAATTAGCAGATGATTAACGTCATCAAATTTTGATATCGCTTAAATTAGGGCTGTATGCAAATTAGATCTGAATAGATCGATGGAAGGAGATGAATTAAACTTTACAAATCTTCAATCTATTGTTTCAATTAAAAAAATTGTTTCCGTATTTTCTCTAATAGTAGTGCACTCAGAGCGTCGCCTAAATTGTTCGAAATCTCGAAAAGCGCTTATCAGAACCTATCGATGTGGGGTCGGGAAATGTAGCTGACGATGAGATCTAGTGGGGGATTTGAATGTTGAGCTTTTGTGAAAACTTTGGAAGCTGTGAAATAGTCATCAACTCAGCTCTGCGGGGTGTACTAATATTAGAGAGAATACGGTAATGATTTGTACGATCAACAAACTCCAATAGATCCAAATACCGCATTCTCTCTAATGGTCGCCGGAATTCGAACCTGCGTTTTTCGAACGAACGTTTTTCGAACTCTAATAGTAGTGCACTCAGAGCGTCGCCTAAATTGCTCAAAATCTCGAAAAGCGCTTATCAGAACCTATCGATGTGGGGTCGGAAAATGTAGCCGACGACAAGATCTTGACGATGATTTGAGTGTTGAGCTTTTGTGAAAACTTTCAAAGCCGTAAAATAGTCATCAACCAACTCGGCTCGCCGAGGTGCACTACTATTAGAGAAAATACGGTAATATCAACGTAAATTCCTATATAAATCATATAAAAACTAAAAGAATTCCGAAGAAAAAGCCGAAAATCTCTTTCCGTGGATTGCTTTTTGGAGATTGGTCTTTGAGAAGAAACAAAATGAGATAAGAAAAGGGAAAATTTTGATCAGAAAGAGAAAAAGAAAAGAAATTCGGTAAATTTCAGGAATTTCCCCATTGATTTGTTGTGCTATTTAGATGGAAATTTGTTTTTTTTGCCCCCTTTCCCAAATTGAATCATTGATGAGTGTGCGAAGAAATGATTTTTCACAAAAATTCCTTTCTTTAAACAATTTTATTTATTCTTTTGTGGCTTACTGGCTTTGTGGCTTTGTGCTCACCTGTAAACGCTCACCCTTTGGCGCACTGAATTCTCTAAATTTTTTGCAAGAAAAATCAAGAATTCAGTGCGTTTACTGAGCAAAAATGTGGCAAAAATGAATTCTTAATGTCTGCCAATTTTATGGGAAATCTATAGGAAAAACTCGAGGAAAATTCTAAAGTAAAATCATCAATCATCATTAAAATATATAAATCAAAATAATATAATTGAATTTTGCCCGGTACTCACCTCGTTTGAGCCACAAACGGAACCGCGGCGCATCTCGTGGCCTCATAGATCGCTCGCTTTTCGCTGAAAAATCTCTCCGCCTCCATTTTTGGACTGAAAATAATGAGAAAAATAAAACATTTTTGAGGTAGACACGAATTTTGAACAGAAACTTGACGAACTTGGCGAACTTTTGTTTTTCTCTTGGTTCTCCCAATCAAAACACGTGTCGTTTTTTTTGTGTGAAAGGAGAATAGTGATTGAAGGGAAAACCGGATCCAGGAAAAGAGAAATCATTAGATCAGATGGAAATTGACGATTTTTGAAAAGATTTCTGCGAATTTCTTCTACTTATTGATCAAAATTAGTGTTTTTGACTAATTGCATTGAAATGAAGAGAGTTTCTGTCTCAGCTCATCGAAATAGTCTTTCCTGCGGGTTGATAATGAGTGGACTCGATGAAATGAATAGCGCTAATCGATTGGCCGATCCTGAAAACCCCCGGGTACAAATTCACAGCTGAATACCTTGTGCGAGATCTACAAAAGAAGGAAATCCCTGAAGCAAGAGGTGTTCTTTGTGTGCACGCACAATCGCTGTCCATCTGGCACCCGCCTTCAATAGATAGGTGTTCCTTTTAGAATTCGTAAAGGCGAGCAATGGTAGAAGAATGCAACCGGACCTCCGACCCCGTGACCCGCTTCTCCAAGCAACCTCTATTTGGTATCAGTTAAAGGCTTAATCACTGTTCTCTCCAAAACCATATCAAAAGTTAACATTATTATCTCGAGACAAAGTTATGAGCTGAACCAATGCAGGTGCCGCGCGTTTACATATTACAGAATTCGTGCAAAATATACTGTACAAGTAATGTTTACTGTTTTGATTATTGCAAAAGTTATTGTAGAAAGTGGAAAATAAACTTGGTTACTGTAAAAATGGAAATTGTATCCTTCTTTAGCAATAAAATCAACATGATCCTTCAAAAAGATGAAATTACGATTTCAAATCAATCAAATCAAATGAAAAAGTTGATGGGAAGATGTCGAGAAAATTGGTGTATGCAATTTCACTCACACTCACCCGAAAATCCGATCAAAGGGAAAAGAGTTTTGTATTCATTCACATTTCATTTCACAAAACGTTCAAATTCACTTCTATTTATTGTTAAATGGACAAAACAAAGACGAAAGGTAATATTGCTTTGCTTAAGTGTTGCTTTTCTTATTTTATGACTCGATTCACCGAAAAATCAAAGACAACAGAACACTTGTTGAGTCAGAAAAGCTTCACAAAACGTTCAAATTCACTTCTATTTATTATTAAATGAACAAAACCAAGACAAAAGGTAATATCGCTTTGATTAAGTGTTGCTTTTTTTTATTTTATGACTCGATTCACCGAAAAATCAAAGGCAACAGAACACTTTTTGAGTCAGAAAAGCTAAATGAGTCACTTTAGAAAAAGACATTCAAAAATAGATTGTGATAAAAAGATTACGGTAGAAAAGGAAAAGAAAACACGTTTTAGGAAACAGATTAGAAGTCAAAATTCAAGCTAGTGTCAACCAAAAAACGATCAATTATGGTTGATGCATTAAAGAGATTTGCTGAGTGGTTCTGGGTGTTATGGGGTGTGAGAGTTGACAGAGGACAGGAGACCTTCTCCGTTCTTGTCTTTTCCTTTCCTTTCCTCCCCGCACCCACAAATAAACACGGAAGACCCCAGCGGCAAAGAAAACAAAGAGTTTTCTCTTTTCTATTCTTTTCTGTCTCTTTTTGAGTTTCAAATCCACTTTTTATTCCATAGATCGCCGAATTCGAACGGTTTTCTCGAAGAATCAGCTCTCGTTGCTGGAGGCGTCTTTCCAGAATGAGCAATACATTGCAGGTGAACGACGAGCGTTTCTCGCATCAATTCTCCAATTGTCGGATGTTCAGGTGGGGTTTGGGAGCACCTATGTATGGGATTGTGCCAGATGAAGACCGCTTACGCGGCCGCACAAAGAACACTTCGAGGCTTACATAGAGATTTCTCTTTTGTTTTGTAGATGGTACAAAAAGAAGGTATTCAGCTGTGAATTTGTAGCTGGTTTTCGGGGTCGGCGAATCGATTAGCACTATTCATTTTATTGAAAAAGCGTTTAAAAGCCTCGTTTCGAGCATGAAATCTATTTACAGTAAGCGATTATTTCGGGCTTATTGTCTAATCGTTATCGTATAACTTTTTTTGATGCCTAAGCTATATGTATGTACAGTAGCTTTTAATTAAAATGCAAATTTCTAAGCTATAAAAGCTATAAAATTTTTAAGCTATCTAAGATGCTAAAAAGTTAAAAGCTAAAATGAGAATTTCCAGGTGAAAGTCTGGTTTCAAAATCGTCGAATCCGTTGGCGAAGGGCCGAATCGCGAGAAAAAAATGATAACATGAATCGATAAAAGTTTATAAATTTATGCAAATTTCAAAAATATTCAAAAATATTCAAAAAACAATATAAAAATGGCAAGTTATATATATATAAATTTGACCAGATTCTGTAATATTTTGAGGACTAAATTGAGAAAAGTTTGAGCAGATCAAAGGGGAAATTTTTGAGCAAAAAGAGGCGATGAGATTCGGAGAAAAGGGACAAAATAGTTATGCGAATTGAGCAAAAAGGAATATGCTCAATTGATTTTGATTGTGCAAAGTAGTCATTACTGTAGTCATTTTCAAGTTTTAAATGATGAAATGGAATATGAAGCAACATTTAGAGAACGGGTAAAGCAGGTAAAGAAAGTAGGTAAAGCACTGGAGTTATCGTGAGCAAAAGATTTGAGCAGCTTTAGAGAACAGGTAAAGCACTGGAGTTATCGTGAGCAAAAGATTTGAGCAAAAAAAAGCAAGGCAAGAAAGAAGTGAAGAGTTTTCTCAATAAGGCAACTTGGGGCAAGGTTTTGAGTTTATTTTTGAGGAAATTTTCAAGAAATTTTCAAAAACGCAATCCAGCTGATGAATTGGAATTTTCTCAAAATCTTGCCATGAAAAAAAGTGAGAAGAATAAGAAAGATAGAAAATAATGATTATGCTAATTTTGAAGGATAATAGTTTAGTAAATTTTAAAGATTAAATGTAATTGTAAATAATTGTTTAATTGAAAATTGCTTTTCATTTATTGGTTTCCCAATAATTTCCCAATTTTTCGGGATCGACTAGGCGAGAGATGGTCAAGATTCGAACGAGCGACATCATCACGAGCCTTAATTTCAATCATGTACTTTGTGCTCAACAAATTTATAAACGCACACTATCTAGCTCACTGTTTACTTTTATATAACTTTTATTTCTTTTCCTTCTTTTCCTGCTTTTCCTGCAATTACCCAACTACCGAGGATGCTCAGTGATTCTCAGTGACTTTTTTATAAGTTGACCTCCAAGTCTTATTCTTTGAAGTGTACTTTGTGCTCACTTGTAAACACAAACTATCTCATGAACTAAATGCTTCTTTTTAAGTGTGCCAAAAGGAGTGTGTTTGCGTTTTTGAAAGCACGAAGTACGTGGCAAAGGGCAACCCACGTAAACGCGCATGATCTAGCACACTATTGTAAATAGAGTTTCACCCCGTGATATGCCTAGAATATGACTAGAATGACTTAGAAAAGCTTTTAGATTTGCATTAAAATGCACTGTATTTGCAACGACGATTCTTGTCATTTAGCTTTAGAAAGGTGCTTTAGAATTTAGCTTTAAGTGTGCGAGAAAGGGTGTTTTTACAATTTACAGCACAATTTTTGCTTTTCTTGATCAACCTGTTTCAAAGCTTTTGTTCTCTCCGGATCGATTACCGCGTAGCTGGTCTGGAAAATGTTTTTTCGATAAAAGTTTTCGATAAAAATTTCGTACCGCATTTTGTGGCAACGAGACGCAAGAGCCGGAAACGGATGGGCTTCTGAAAATGCACAAAATATGCAAATTAATTGTGACAACTATGAAGCACTTAAGCTACCGTAACCCTAATCGTAAAAGGTACGGTAAGTTATTCGGGATTTAGAGTTTTAATTAATTTCCAACCTGCTCGTCCTTTCCCCTGCAGCCAGCGGTGCCTCCATTGTGGCGTAGTTGAGGTGGCGGTGAGTTGTCTAAAGAAATTTGATTGATTCGTACTACGCCAGAAAGCATATGTTTACAAAGTTTGAGCACAAAGTACACGAAAGCTTCTAAGTTCACCCACTCTAGGCAGAGAGCCGATCGACGGAGAGTTTTTCCCGTGAACTTGGCTGCCTCGTGGACGCTCGTCCAACGAGATTCCGCCGATTCCTGGAAAAAGAACTTCGCTTAAGGTAAACTTAGCTAATTACTCTTATAGATAAATCTATCTTGAATGGAAATTGTATTTTAACTTCACTCACCAACGATCGCGGCACTCAACGGATTTCGGGCAGTCGGCGGGGTTGAGAGGAGGGACTGGATACAAGTTTCGATAGAAAAAAATGGTTTTCACCTCAATCAAGAATGTTTTTGATCTGCAAGCCTAAGATCTAAGATCTGCAAGCCAAAGAAGCCAGATTCTGATGGTTAGCCTATTAGCCAGGGTTGAGCAGATCTACATTAAAGCTAGGCCAAAAGTCAACTAAGACTTAGACTTGCCTTACGATTAGAACAACCCTGATCAGAGTTCGCTACTACTGTAGTTTTGTGCTAAAGTCTTTAGGCAGTTTTCAGGCTGATACACTGGTGGTACTTATACTTTAGATTCCGGAACTTTTTTTGGTTTTGAACCCTGCAAAAGGTTTAACATACCACACTTTCCAAAAACTTTTCTTTTGGATTAATTTAACTTTAAAGACAAGAGAATATTGAGAATATTGAAAATGATATTGGGTCTTCTTGTTGGATAACGGTCGAGTTCACTTCACTCACCGATTTCTCATCGTTAAGTGTCGGGGTGAAACTTCCGCTGCTTCTCTCCGATGATGGAGTGATCGGGGTCGAGTTCGCGTAACAGAGAAACGACGTTGAGCCGGCGCCACCGTCCCTGAATTGGTGACAGTTATTGAAATTCTATTTATAAGTGGTTATCTGAGTTTATTTGAGTTACCATTGTATCGGAAACACTTTCGTCGTGGGTGTTGACGGGGTTGATTGGAATGATTGCGCCGAGATCGTCGAATGGTCCGAACTCGCTGATGGACATCTCAAATTTTTGGCTTTAAATACATCGTATTTTTAAAGGGTATAGTGAGTAATTGGATTTACCGTATTTATTCTAATAGAAGCACTTCTATAGACACACTTCTATTTTTTAATTATTTCACAAAATAGCTTCTATTAGTTACTATTAGCTATGTAGCTAGTAGCTAGTGACTATGTAGCTATGTAGCTAGTAGCTAGTAGCTATGTAGCTAGTAGCTAGTAGCTATGTAGCTATGTAGCTATGTAGCTAGTAGCTATGTAGCTACTAAATAAGCTTAATAAGTGATTTTATAGCTAAGTTATTTGTATTTAAAATAAACCTTGCTCGAAATGGGTATTCAGTCGGAGTTGCCGATTGATAGTGTGCACGGGGGACGACATTTGAATACGAGTGAATGGTGGAAAGCGATGGATTGTAGAGAGAGGAGACGGAGCCCTTGTTCGGGCCAGGGCTCTCGGATCTGCAATTTTCTTACAAATTACCCTTTTTAAACCAAGCTCCTGATGTCAGTTTTCGATTAAAATATGCCCCAGTATACCGACAGTATGCCAGTTTTAGGTTACAATATGCAGAAACGAAAGCTACAGTACCATAACCCAGGCAAAATATCAAAAGCTGTGATCTTTTTCATTAGATCATCAACTCACATGATATTCCCGATGATTTGCGCGTGTCCATGTGAGTTTTGGACGATTTGCGGTGAAGTAGAGATGAGCGTGTCCTCAATCCCGGGTAAACTTCGAGGTCGCGGTGCTGCTGGGGTGACCAATTGGCGCTGAATAGAAATTTTTTAGGACTACGGTACTTGCATTGAATACTGTAGTTTTACGGTAGACGATAGGTACGGTAGTTTTACGGTAGATTACGGTAGATTACGGTAGTTTTACGGTAGATTACGGTAGATTACGGTAGAAAGCGAAAGGGACATGTTTTAGGAAACGAGGAGAGACACTCACTCGTCTCTTCATCTCCCCAGCGTGCAACGAGTTGTAGTTGGGCTGGTTGAACGTGGAGAACTCGGTGTTTCCTGGAAATGGACATTGTTTTTCAGTACTTAATTAATACGGTCGTTACTGTCGCTACAGAAATCCTATGATCAAAGATTGAGACCAACTTTCACTCAAATATCTCTGCACAGGGTGTATCCTTGGTGTATGGTCGACACTTTGTGTTCTCACATCTCTTCTCCGCTGTTCAGCCCAATCGGCGTGGGCCGCGTTCGCCGTGTCTTGTACCCGCGCTTGCACCATCTGTAAGACAGCTACCATAATCTTGCTACAGTACCCCTCTCTTCGATTTCCGAAATACTGTAGTGAGCCCGAGAAACTCACTTTACAGTATCTCCAGTCTCCTTTACAGTACAATAAAAAACACTGGTGTGCTGTGGTCTAGTAACCCAAAAATCTGACTATAACCAATGTGAGTCGGCTCAGTGCCAGATCCATAAATCAGTACTTGCTATTGGATTGATTACGGTAGCTATAGCTATTTGTTTGACTCACATGAAATATCGTCTCAGCGTGCTGTGATTGAAAGGTGTGCAAGCCTTCACCGGTTGCACACCTCCGGCCACTCTCAAAGAAGAACACCCCAGCCGATGTGTAGCCTGAGAAAATTGATTCAAATTGCATTTCAAAATTAGCTAATTCTAATTTCTATCTAATTTCTTAACTCACCATATCTCCTCAGATATTGTAGCGGAAAGACGACAATATCCGTTTTTGATCGTTGCACAATGATCTCTCTGGGTGTCAGCTTCATCCAGGCTAAAATGGGTTTTAAAAATATCTAGCTAATTATCTTAATGTTAATTTGTTTAGCTCTGGCACTTGATATAAAAAATATTGCAGAAAATTTACATTTAAGGGATTGCCTGAGAAACTGTGCGGGAAAAGTACAGTAAAGTACCGGTTTACTGTAGGTATTACGGTAAGACTTTAAATGATTAATGATTACAGTAATACTACAACGTTTACTCGTTTTAAGCAAAAATTCTATGTATATGCCCAATTACGTATCTTCAATAATCCAGATTTCTGTAGGTATTACAGTAGAATGTAACTTTTCCGATATTGAATTCCTTTTAAAATCGATTATCCAACTAACCATGGATAAACTTATTCCTCCGATGGATGTAGACACGAAATTCACAAACATCCCCGTCAACGGTGGCACTTGGCCGTTTGTGCTCGCTCACGTAGTTGCCCATTTTTCTATAAAACAACTGAATACTTCGCAATTTGGTTTTGTATTTTGACATACATACTGCGGTTTTTCTTATACAGTCGAACCTCACTATAACAATATCGAAGGGACCGAAAATTTCTGTATAACGCTTCTAAAACGCGTCCCACATTTTCTGCGTAACTGCCCTGTGCGGGCAACGATTGCACCTAATTGGGCAGCTACGCAGAAATTAGGGGCACCTTTTAGAATTTCAAAATCTTGATAGAGAAGTTCGACTGTAAACGACTTCGACTTCGACTTCGACTAATAAACTGAATATCTAACGATAGGATAACATTTGCATGCTATCATTCTTTTTAACCTACTTGAACTTGCTGCCCAATCACTCGTTCATCGAATCCATCACCATTTTTCAACGCTTCATCCTAAACTCTCACTGATTTCACCCGTTTTATCAAAAAAAACAATCACCAACAATGGAAAGCAACAAAGCTAACAGAAAAATTATCAAAAAATAAACAATCTTAAGAAAAAAAAAACAGTGAAAATCCTATTGCGAACAAAACAATAAATCATTCAAGCTTCCGTTCCAACTGTTTCTCCAAAAATTCTGCGAATTTGGTTTTGTATTTTGACATGGGCGGGATGAAATGTCCTCCATCGTGCACGATTTTTGTCGGTTCTTCAAAATTCTCCGCCAATTTCTCGCTGATTGTGTAAGCAACAACCTCGTCTCCGATCCCGTACATGTGAAGTGACGGTTTCTCTATTTTCACATCCAAATAGGCTTTGTGTTGTGTAGACAGGCTTTTAAAGCCCGAAGCCAAGATGACGAAGTCGATCGGTAGTGAGATTTCTCCGAGTTGAGCTTTCGCTAGCAGTAGATGGAGCATTGAGGCGCCTTGCGAGAAACCGAGAACCCCGTCAAATGGGCCATCGTTGGCGATGGTGTCGAGGATGAGTTGCACGGATTGGTCGAAGCCCGTGAATAGGTCGGTGACGTCTTTTGACGAGAAATGGTCATCTGGGCGGGAGAACCACCAGCCGCGAACCTGGAAAAGAAGAGATTATAATGATTTTTGAATACACTTTTAATTACAACAGACTCTAACTACAGCAAAAAATGTAGCATTTTTATGTCTTTAAATCATGAACTAGCCTTTGCACATTAATCACTTTTTTATGTGCAAGATATGAAACCTGGCTTGGTTTGGCCATATTTTAAGCATGTCAATGAGCTGGCATGGTTAGAAACCTCAAAAATCAAAGGTCGATCAATTTGACATGACATGTTTGATTTAAAATTTACAGATAGTGATTAAGCAATCTCAACTCTTGTTTTCTACTTTCAATCAAACTCTCACCTCTCCCCGATCTTCCGAAGTGACACTCGGCACGTGGGGAGCGTTGACGAAATGAAAATCGGCGAATTTCTTGAACATCTTCCTCATTCCGCCCGTCTTTTCCCGGAAAAACACATCGTTTTGGCGGTACCCGTGCAAGCAGAGGATTTTCAACTTTGACGTTGAGGCGGTTGGCGGAGCGGTGACCATGCCTGAAAGCAAAAAAAATAAGTAATTGACAAGGTGCACAAAGTAAAAAGAAAAGAAAGTCTGAAGCTTATATAGAAGAAAATTGCAATTTAAAGATATTCAGCTAAGAATTATTTTTATTTTGTAAGGTAAAACTCGACAAACAGAATACTGGAGGCTCTGTAAAAGGAATGAAGTCGCGCAAGAAAGTCACTGTTTCATTCTTTTTATTGTCCATTTTATTGACTTTTAAAGTGATTATCACTTCTGTAAAACGTTCCTCTTACATGTGCAAGTATTCGAGATTTGATTGGAAAAGAAAGATTTGTGTTGTTGCTGATTGGGAAAGTATGAGTTTTGTTCCGATTATGATCCTTGCGGTCTGAAAGCTCAAGTTGTAAATTGTTAAGGTGTGAATTGCGTATTAAAGCTTTGATTGAAAAGGTTTCTCTCAAGTTTAATCACAAGGCTATGAACCTTGTGAAGCTTTTGAGGCAAGCCCCGATAAAAGCTAAAGCTGGCGATTTTGAGAGATCAATCTATTGCTGATTTTGATTTTCTTTTGGAAATCTTTGAAATGTGGACAGTGAAAGCGGTACTTTTGCTGTTTCTCCCCCCTAACAGCAGAGATTTTTTCGCTGTTTTTTCAAATGCAAATTAGGCTATAATGCTATACTCCCAAAAACTATTTCATTTAAGTGAGTCATTCTATTTTTCAATACCCCCTCCGGGTGTCATTCTAATACAGCATTTACGGTATTAAGAACAAATGAACAAAACTAACAGGGAAACAGCAGAAGTACCGGTTAAAGCTTTAAATGAGGCTTTTGCGGCCGATGAAATGAAGAAATTCAAGTTTTTCGAACTCTTGGATGTAAAAACAAGTGGAGTAAAGCTGCTCTCAGAAAGATTTACTGATAGTGAATCAGCGAGAGAATCGTCGACCCAACTAAAAAGTGTGTTGCCCTCGGTGCCACAATTACAAGATGCCCGTCTTTTTGCGTGTCGTTCTCCTCAGTGATTCATTGGATTTCCCCAGGCCTGTTTCCCCCCAGTGTAAACTACATTGGACAGCTGCCCGCGGGTTTGGAGGGGAAAGATGTGCACGTGTTTTGACTACGGTCACCCTTCCACAAAGTCCCGCTTTCAAAACGGCGAGCGCCCGGTGGAAGGTTCGAGAGCGTTCACCAACGTTCTGGAACGTTGCCAGTTCGGCGATTTCTCCGTTGCAAATTTCGCGCTTCTAGATATTTCAGGACTGTTCGCGAAAATTTGCCGCTTATCAAGTCCGATTTTGTTACTCAATCTTTATTATTGTGCTATAGATGGGGTTGCCTAAACTTGGTACGATATTTTGGCAAATTGTTTGACTTCTTAAGCTGTTTTCCAGTTCGTATAATCTTTTAGATTTTGATTCGTGCATGGTTAGCAGAATTTGCCACAAGTGCACATTTTTTCCCAAGTTCCAAGTGTTTTTAGCCCCAATTTGTCCAGCTTGGTCCAGATTTTGTTGTATCTAGAGTAGAAGCTTGTTCGAAAATATTTCTATGCTTAAAAACTCCTTTAAACCATGCATCCAACCAATCACTTCCCCCCACCAATTTTCGCCTCAATTCAGAGAGAATCAGCGGGTACTATTGGCTTTGGGGGGGGGGGCACTTTTTTTTGCGAAAACCACTTTCCCCGGGGTAATTGAGTACGCTGAGCACGATTATGACATTTTTAGGGTAGTAATTCTTGAATGTAAGCCAAAGTTTGCATCAAAACCCCTAACGTTAACATTTAAAAGAGGAAATTTCTGCTCAAAATTCCTTATTTCCTTTTCAAAATTTTACAAATTGCGTTTTTGATCAAAAATGTCACATTCGTGCTCAGCGTACTTCATTACCCCGAGAAAAGTGGTTTTGGAGAGAAAAAGAGTGCCCCCCCCCAAAAGCCAATAGTACCGAATCGACCTTATTTCCTTCTCGCAAAGTCTTTGACCTTGGGGTGTTTTCCCGCTTTCTGACGCCCATTCGCTAGATTTTCGTGTAGTGCTCTCCGTTTAGATTTACCTGAATCTTTTGGCTTTACTTTGAAACCAATGAGTTTTTGTTTCTTCCTCGCGTCTCTTAAAGTTCAAAATTTTATTTTTTCAGAAACAATGGGAAAAGACTACTACAAAGTGCTTGGAATCACGAAAGGCGCCTCGGACGATGAAATCAAGAAAGCCTATCGAAAGATGGCGCTCAAATTTCACCCGGACAAGAATAAAGAAAAAGATGCCGAAGCGAAATTCAAGGTAAGCGATTCATTTGTTTGTTAAAGATTTAGAACCAAATTACCTAGTTATCCTGATGGTTTGAATGAGTGATTTTTAAGGCTTACTGTGTTGCCTAAAAGTTCCTATTAAATTAAGGCACTAGTTTCTTTTGTTGTTAGAGAAGTTGTAAAAGTTTTAGCTGGCAAGTTTTGCGTTAAATATTTAGAAAGCGTGTTAAAGTTTAACAGCTAAGGTTTTGTAAGCTATCCAGCGTTTAAACTTCTGAATTACAACAGCATCTACTTATGTTAAAAATTCTAATCTTGTTCTCAACTTTATGTTTCACTTTAGGAAGTCGCTGAAGCCTACGATGTGCTCTCCGATGCAAAGAAGAAAGAAATCTACGATAGATTTGGAGAAGAGGGATTGAAGGGTGGAATGGGTGAAGGCGGCGGCGGAATGCCTGGTGGACACTACGAATTCCATGTGAGTTTTTTTCCAATGTATGGCTTAATGCGTTAGATCATATAATCAATTAGTTTCAAAGTATTGATGTTTAATGTTTAGTCGAAACAATAGCTCTAACATGTTGATAACTTTCTTTATAAGCAAGTCTTGTAAAAGATAATTAGTCAATAATCAATTTTATATTAGTTCAACTAATTGGTTTCTTTTTCAGTCAGACCCGATGGAGATGTTCTCGCAATTCTTTGGCGGCTCGGATCCATTCGGCGGAATGTTTGGAGGAATGCCCGGCGGCGCTTTTCACTTTGGCGGTGCAGCTCCAGGGATGTCCGGTATGGACTTTGGAGGTAAAACTTTTGATGCGAAGTAATGGCAAATTAAGCCAATATACTTTGTTTGGCTTGACATATAATTTTCTTTTCAGGACATGGTGGGCACCGTCGACAGCGTCAAGATCCGACGGTGGTGCACGAGCTGGCCGTCTCGCTGGAGGACATCTACAAAGGCTGCGTAAAGAAAATGAAGATCACAAGGTAAACTCGTTACTCCTTTGAAAAATTGATAAATTTTTCTTTAGAAAGGTTTTGAACGCCGATCAGCAATCGGCCCGGGTGGAGGACAAAGTGTTGACGATCAACGTGAAGCCGGGATGGAAAAGCGGTACGAAAATCACATTCCCGAAGGAAGGAGACCAATATGCCGGACGAGTCCCTGCGGACATTGTTTTCGTCATTAAGGTAAGTGCTGTTTTTAAAAACTATTAAACCATAGCCAAACCAACTTTTTTTCTGACAAGCAATCTACTCAAGAATCACAACTTCTTTGCGTAATATTGCCTGCTTTAGGACAAAGCTCATCCCAAGTTCAAACGAGAAGGTGCCGACTTGCGATACGTACACAAATTGTCACTCAAGGATGCCCTTTGTGGAACGACCGTTGTGGTGGGCTTTGTTTATTTTTGGCACTATTAAAGTTTTATTAGGTTCCCACTTTGGATGGACAACAACAAGCACTCACGCTACGGGATATCATAAAACCAAACACTACAAGGAGGTAATCATTGCTTTTTTTATTGAGTAAGGCTGGTAAAGATGGCAGTTTACTTGTTGATTTGCCATATTGCTATAAAACGCTTCTAATGTATTTTTTTTAGAATCACCGGCCAAGGCCTTCCGAATCCGAAGACGCCCAATCTTCGCGGTGACATCATCGTCGAGTTGGTTGTCGAGTTCCCGCGCGAGTTGAACGCTTCACAAAAGGAGATCCTCCAGAGTGTACTCCCGCCACTTTAAAACTATTGATAATTTATGTGATTTTGTCGTTTTACAATTAGGCATACTCCGGTTTATTTAAATCCTCATTAATACTTGGTGGAGATGTTTTGATACACGATTTACAGGCAGTTTCTAAAGTTTTAATATGAAAGCAGGTCTAATCTCATGTTGATTTGCCGAATTGTGTTATTTTTATCTCATTTCCCTCCTGGATCATTGCCTCGTTTGCGATCGGTCAATTCTAAAGAATGGTGGTCGGAAAAATTGTCCAAAGCTGCTTTTTGTATGTGTTTCCCCCAAATATAAGCGTTCGTACGGGTGTCTCTTCTTTTTAAAACAGGCCTTTCCATTAATGTGAAATCATCATCCGTGTGACATATTCAAGCGATTCCCTCTTCTTGGCCTAAATGAGATCTTCGTTTTTGTTATACTTTTTCTCTAAATCGTTGCGTGTATTATTTGAATAGGATATTTGTTTGACTTTTCTCAAATATGGCTGAAATAAATTGTGCAAAGTTTAGAAACGGTTTAGGACAGTCGATTGTCATTAAAAGATCGATAGTTGGATAATGAAAAAGTTCTTGGATCCAACCATGTGTTCGAAATGGGGTCAAGGACGATCACGGAACACTGGTGAGAGGAAACTTATCAAAGGGTGATTAACAGAGAATTGTTGAGGGGGAGCTGGCTATAAAAAGTTTTTTTAGAACTAAATTTTTACTCTTGATGAAAGACCTTTTAAATTAACCCAGTTGCATAGCATCCGCCTAAATTTGGGTAAATTACACTAACAAAAGGTAGATAATATTTTTACTATGCTCATGAGCAAGCACAGCAATTAAATGGGATTTAAACAAAAACCCGATGGTCTTTGTGTTAAACTTTCATGATGCATTTAAACCGTGGCGATGTGTTGAAGTGGAAAATTTCTGTCGAACGGACGGACGTCGACGAGGGAAAATGCGGGGAATTTTTCACCCCTTGTTGAGATGAAAAGTGTTCAGCTCTTCGAGTTTTCATCTAAATTTTCAATTCAATCAAAGCTTTTAATGGTTTGGTCCGAATGGTAGATTTCAAATAAATATTACGGTAAACGCTAGAGTGTGTTTTCGCGGGTCACCTTTTTTGGTCATCACACTTTTTAGCAAATTATGAAATTATGTTTTTTTTTTCAATTCACGCCTGAGTGACCTCAGAAAGATGAGATGTTGTGAAATTAAAAATGACCAAAAATTGATAGGGGGCAGCAGGGGGGTCACTCCAAATGTATAGTGCGAAGCTTGTTCAAATTCAGTACCTGACATTACTTTTGATAGTTGCTTTCATGAGACCAAAGCAATATATAGCTGTACTTTTGCATCAACGATTGTCTCAACTTCCTCTTCCTTTCTGTTCATTCATCCTCATTTTTCGGCACTAATGTGATATTTGCTCTTCATTTGATTTGATTGATCTTTGCAATGTAATGCTCCAGCATTTGGGAGGTTTCCTGTTAACTACAACAACTTCCTGTCAACTACAACAACTTCCTGTTAACTGCAACAACTTCCTGTTAACGATCATTTTTACTTGTACTTTTTGCGCGATGGTTGTTGTTTTGTTAAGATCGACCTGCGTATACCAAAAAGTTATTTGAATTCGGTCTTGTCTTAACACTAGCGTATCTGTGTTGGGGTCTTGACCTGTCTAACACTGAAGGTCTTGACCTTCAGTCTTTTGCACTTTATTGCACAAACTTCATTTAACCTACCACAATTTATTTGTTCTCTGTATTTGACTTTAACCCAACGGGCTACTTGCACGAATTCAAATAACGAGAGCGAAAATATGGAAGGATTCAGATTAAATGATGGCTCGTTCACAACAAATCGAAAAAGCAACAAACTTAAAAACTGACTAGAAAAAAGACACCGAATGAAGTCACTTTAACAAGATATAACCATATTTGGGGAAGAAAAGATATCCAGGCAAGGCAAAAATCTAATGGGATTTGTACTTTTCCATATTTAGAGCTACTTCATCCCGTAAATTTGAGCCGTTCTTTTCCAGCAGATGCAAAATTGACATGGTGAGAAGAAAAACACTTGATTTGACTCCGAATGGCATCCTTGTGTAACGATAAATAGCCAAGTTTCTTGATGATGGTGGTTCTTTGACGTCTTTTACCCATAAAGTTCCCACTGCATCTTTTTTCGAGTTTTGTAGTTGGATTTGGTGGTAAGCCTTTTCTAGATCCGTTGTCAATAGGATTGGGAATGTACGAATTCGCATTAGTATTCCAATCATATTGGGGATCAATGATGGGCCTTGGTACATTATTTCATTCAGTGACTTTTGACCTTTTATACTTACATTTGCATTTAAGACCACTCGTATTTATTTTCGTTGTCCTTGAGTCATTTTTTATGAACGCTTGGTGAGGAATATACAAGGTGACCAAGAATTACTGCAACAACGTCGTATTATGTTATGAGCCCCATTTCACTTTTTGCTTACCTGTTTTTATGGTTTTTATGTATTTTTCTTATTTTATGGTATGATTACTGAACTTTCAATACATTTCTATGATTGTTTCCAGGAATGATGAAAGCGTCTCCACATCGACAATCGATCATCGAGCACAAGCGGCAGCGTGTTTAGGCGAGTTGTTGTTGAATAAAGATATGTAAGTTAACTTTTCGAGATGGGTTTGGTTTCATATTTGGTTAAAAGCCAGGCCTTTTATGTGTTGTGGTAATTCTTGGTCACCCTGTAGTAGCCGATTGGTCTTGTTATTCTAGCCGGTGCTTCTTCCAGAATTCCTTTTGGGAGTTGCTTTTGAAACTCTTCATTGTACTTTGTAAGCATTTCAGGCTTATTTTTGAACTTTTAGCAAGCTACCCAAGTATTGTTGGGATAATTTGAAGTTGTCGTTGTTTTTTGTGCCTTTGCTAATCTACGGAAACTTGACCTTTACTTTCCCATCTACTATTTGGACTTCCTCTTGAGATTTTCTTCACAACTTCCTCTTGTTCTTGTAGAGCAGTGTTCATTGCCGGAGATTCGGTGATTCTTATGCGTTCTAGATCCCAAAAGTTTGAGACGGAGATGCCAATGATTGTGCAGATATTTGTTATTTGCTTTTCCTTTTGGTGACTTTTTGCAGAGTTGCTTTGGATCGAAAATAGTCCCCAATTTTGTCTCCATTTCAGCTAAACCACTGTGATGTACTTTTCAGAGTTTTTGCTTAATGATTTCCCAACAAAAATCTTGCCAAATTATCATGTCGATGTTTACTTTCTTTATTTTAGGTTCACCTCCAAGCGCGATATTGGCTGGTGGGAGTAAATCGATTAAGAGGACGATTAAGAGGCGATAGATAAAGAATGCGGGTTTGTTTACATCTTTTCTTTGATCGTTGCTTAATAAAACTTTGAATAAATTTGACTTTTGACGCACTTTAGCGTTTGTAGCCGTGTTGACTTACAAATTTACTGCTTCTGTTGAGAATAAATTTAATTCCTCGGCAACTTTTCATGAAATGGTGGAGTTTGTGGCCCAGGTGTCGACTAAAGCATTTACTTGTTTACTTTTGTTGAGGTTAGAAGCAGAAACTTGTAGCATACTTGTGATGAATACTTTTTCGCTAGAAATTAAATTACTAAAACAAATTTGACTTTGAGTGTTATAAATGGAATTCGGAGAAGTAGCCGGTTTTTGCCAATTCTCCTTCCTGAACCATGTTGTTTGCCTGTTCCTCACTAAAAAACTCTAAACCTTGGTTGATGGTTGGTTTGGTTGGTTGGTTGGTTGGTGCAACGAAAAAACTTTGGTTGATGCGCGGTTTCTTGAGAGAATACTTTTTCTCTTGTTGGTGACATGTTTGGATCACCTGGGTTACTTTGAATGACATTCACATTGCTTGTTACTTGTCTAGGAGGATTAAAGTTTTTATTGAAGCTTTGATTTGAACTTCGACAAGTCATTGTGCTGTGAGTGCCACGACAATTCCGGCATTTTACCTCTCTGCATGTGTTGGTTGTGTGATTACTACCTAAGCAGGTAACACAAACCCGTGCATTTCGAATGAAATTGATTACTTGTTCTTTGGAGAAAGAGTTTACCGTTCTATTAGGTACATGCATAAGAAATGCGGATTTGAACATTTTCATAAATTTCCAACGATAGAAATCGGATATCGATGAATGTTATAAACTATTTGAAAGTTGTAAATCTCCTCTACAAAATAGGCTAAAACGTGTTTCAATTGATCGAACCGTTGAAGAAATTTCGAGGGCGAAATGCGAGTGACCAAAAAAGGAATCGAGTCACTTTAGTTTTTATATAATTTACAAAAAGGAATTTATACAACATTTCCAGCACCGAGATGGAGAAGAGAAAAACGGTGAAATTATGGCTGGACAAAGTCGAATGATTTGCCCATCTCCACCACTGAATCTCAATGTAAAAAGAGAGGTGCTCCAGAAAATTTTTTTAAACTTTTGAAATAACCACAAACACATATCAAACTTTGCTTTGGTGTCGATAAATTTGTTTTTACATTTGTTTGTTTTGCGCTTTATCGTCTAAACATCAAAACAACACCAAAAAGCCTCTGTCGCTTTTTCAGACAAAAACCACACGTACAGGGGGGTGGGACAAATGCGACCTTATTTTTGCGCACCTTTTTTTTTTGCTGGAAAAGGCCTTAGGCAAGGCCGTAGAGCTTCGAAAATATTTCCATATAAGGGGAATCTTATGCGTAGATTCCGAATTTCGACAAATCAGACCTCGCTGACACGTCAAATTTGGGCTAAAAGGCAAAAACTGCGGAAAAGCGTTAAGTGGCGTAGTTTTTGCCTTTTAGCCCAAATTTGACGTGTCAGCGAGGTCTGATTTGTCAAAATTCTGAATCTACGCATACGATTCCCTTCTATGAAAACGTTTTTGAAGCTCTACGGCCTTTCCTAAGGCCTTTTCCAGCAAAAAAAAAGGTGCGCAAATGTCCAGGTGCGCAAAAAAAGGTCGCATTTGTCCCACCCCCCACTGTACAGTCAACCCGAAGCTATAAAACTCAGTTTTGAAGGCAAATTTTTATTATTTCTTCGCTCCTTCTGTGTTGCAAATTTGTTGACGGTCTCCATTATAAATTTTATCGCTTTAAACATAGCTTCTTTTATGTTTAACCTCTTTAAAAAAATCAAGCCACACTCGTCTTTTACGGGCTTTAACCTTACCCTTGCCTAGAACTTCTCAAGATTACCTCATTAACGCTAGATTTCTTATTATAGTTTGATAGTTTTTCAATTTTTCCTTTCTGCAGGTTCCTTAACCTGTTTACTTTAGGCAATAATGAGCGCTATCTAGGCTTACAGTTACTTATCCTATTTATTACTTGCTTAAAACCATTGGAAAAGCGTGATTATTAAAAGTTTTAAAAATTCAAAGGAGAACAAATCAAAACCTACTACTCCCCATACTGGGAAACCACTAATGCACACTTCAACAGGGGTGGAAGATTGTTGAGGCTTCAATTTCTTGATTCGTAGAACAGTAATTTTAAGATTATTTTTGTCTTCCTGAAACCGAAATAGGTCTAGCGTTAGAAATTGTGCAAGGATTATGCTAAATTTTACGTTTAAACCGACAGAAGCCTAGCCGAAAGTCTGGAAGATGAGCTAGATGTGATCAAGAAGGAAATTGGCACCATTCGCTAGATTTTCGTGTAGTGCTCTCCGTTTAGATTTACCTGAATCTTTTGGCTTTACTGTGAAACCAATGAGTTTTTGTTTCTTTCTCGCGTCTTCTCTTAAAGTTCAAAATTTTATTGTTTCAGAAACAATGGGAAAAGACTACTACAAGGTGCTTGGAATCACGAAAGGCGCCTCGGACGATGAAATCAAGAAAGCCTATCGAAAGATGGCGCTCAAATATCACCCGGACAAGAATAAAGAAAAAGATGCCGAAGCGAAATTCAAGGTAAGCGATTCATTTGTTTGTTAAAAATTTAGAACCAAATTACCTAGTTATCCTGATGGTTTTTTTTGTTGTTAGAGAAGTTGTAAAAGTTTTAGCTGGCAAGTTTTGCGTTAAATATTTAGAAAGCGTGTTAAGGTTTAACAGCTAAGGTTTTGTAAGCTATTCAGCGTTTAAACTTCTGAATTACAACAGCTTCCAGTTATTTTAAAAATTATAATCCTGTGCTCAACTTTGTTTTTTAGGAAGTCGCTGAAGCCTACGATGTGCTCTCCGATGCAAAGAAGAAAGAGATCTATGATAGATTTGGAGAAGAGGGATTGAAGGGTGGAATGGGTGAAGGCGGCCGCGGCGGAATGCCAGGTGGACACTACGAATTCCATGTGAGTTTTTTTTAATGTATGGCTTAATGCGTTAGAACATATAATCAATTAGCTTCAAAGTTTTGATGTTTAATGTTTAGTCGAAACAATAACTCTAACATGTTGATAACTTTCTTGATAAGCAAGTCTTGTAAAAGATAATTAGTCAATAATCAATTTATTATTACTTTAACTAATTGGTTTCTTTTTCAGTCAGACCCGATGGAGATGTTCTCGCAATTCTTTGGCGGCTCGGATCCATTCGGCGGAATGTATGGAGGAATGCCCGGCGGCGGCAGCGCTTTTCACTTTGGTGGTGCAGCTCCAGGGATGTCCGGTATGGACTTTGGAGGTAAAACTTTTGATACGAAATAATTGCAATTTTGTTTTCAGGACATGGTGGGCACCGTCGACAGCGTCAAGATCCGACGGTGGTGCACGAGCTGGCCGTCTCGCTGGAGGACATCTACAAAGGCTGCGTAAAGAAAATGAAGATCACAAGGTAAACTCGTTACTCCTTTGACAAATTGGTAAATTCTTCTTTAGAAAGGTTTTGAACGCCGATGGGCAATCGGCCCGGGTGGAGGACAAAGTATTGACGATCAACGTGAAGCCGGGATGGAAAAGCGGTACGAAAATCACATTCCCGAAGGAAGGGAGACCAATATGCCGGACGAGTCCCTGCTGACATTGTTTTTGTCATTAAGGTAAGTGCTGTTTTTAAAAACTGTATTAAACCATAGCCAAACCAACTTTTTTTCTGACAAGCAATCTACTCAAGAATCACAACTTCTTTGCGTAATATTCCCTGCTTTAGGACAAAGCTCATCCCAAGTTCAAACGAGAAGGTGCCGACTTGCGATACGTACACAAATTGTCACTCAAGGATGCCCTTTGTGGAACGACCGTTGTGGTTGGCTTTGTTTATTTTTGGCACTATTAAAGTTTGATTAGGTTCCCACTTTGGATGGACAACAACAAGCACTCACGCTACGGGATATCATAAAACCAAACACTACAAGGAGGTAATCATTGCTTTTTTTTATTGAGTGAGGCTGGTAAAGATGACAGTTTACTTGTTGATTTACTATATTGTTATAAAACACTTCTAATGTATTATTTTTTAGAATCACCGGTCAAGGCCTTCCGAATCCGAAGACGCCCAATCTTCGCGGTGACATCATCGTCGAGTTGGTTGTCGAGTTCCCGCGCGAGTTGAACGCTTCACAAAAGGAGATCCTCCAGAGTGTACTCCCGCCACTTTAAAACTATTGATAATTTATGTGATTTTGTCGTTTTGCAATTAGGCATACTCCGGTTTATTTAAATCCTCATTAATACTTGGTGGAGATGTTTTGATACACGATTTACAGGCAGTTTCTAAAGTTTTAATATGAAAGCAGGTCTAATCTCATGTTGATTTGCCGAATTGTGTTATTTTTATCTCATTTCCCTCCTGGATCATTGCCTCGTTTGCGATCGGTCAATTCTAAAGAATGGGTGGTCCGAAAAATTGTCCAAAGCTGCTTTTTGTATCTGTTTCCCCCAAATATAAGCGTTCGTACGGGTGTCTCTTCTTTTTAAAACAGGCCTTTCCATTAATGTGAAATCATCATCCGTGTGACATATTCAAGCGATTCCCTCTTCTTGGCCTAAATGAGATCTTCGTTTTTGTTATACTTTTTCTCTAAATCGTTGCGTGTATTATTTGAATAGGATATTTGTTTGACTTTTCTCAAATATTGCTGAAATAAATTGTGCAAAGTTTAGAAACGGTTTAGGACAGTCGATTGTCACTAAAAGATCGATAGTTGGATAATGAAAAAGTTTTAGAACTAAATTTTTACTCTTGATAAAAGGCCTTTTACATTAACCCGGTTGCATAGCATCCGCCCAAATTTGGGTAAATTACACTAACAAAAAGTAGATAATATTTTTACTATGCTCATGAGCAAGCACAGCAATTAAATGGGATTTAAACAAAAACCCGATGGTCTTTATGTTAAACTTTCATGATGCGTTTAAACCGCGGCGACGTGTTGAAGTGGAAAATTTCTGTGGAACGGACGGACGTCGACGAAGGAAAATGCGGTGAATTTTCCACCCCTTGTTGAGATGAAAAGTTCAGCTCTTCGAGTTTTCATCTAAATTTTCAATTCAATCAAAGCTTTTAATGATTTGGTCCGAATGGTAGATTTCATGTAAATATTATGGTAAACGCTAGAGTGTGCTTGGTCACTTTTTTGGTCATTGCACTTTTTAGCAAATTATGAAATTATGTTTTTTTTTCAATTCACCCCTGGGTGACCTCAGAAAGATGAGATGTTGTGAAATTAAAAAATGACCAAAAATTGATAGGGGGCACCAGGGGGATCACTCCAAATGTATAGTGCGAAGCTTGTTCAAATTCAGTACCTGACATTACTTTTGATAGTTGCTTTCATGAGACCAAAGCCATATATAGCTGTACTTTTGCATCAACGATTGTCTCAACTTCCTCTTCCTTTCTGTTCATTCATCCTCATTTTTCGGCACTAATGTGATATTTGCTCTTCATTTGATTTCATTGATCTTTGCAATGTAATGCTCCAGCATTTGGGAGGTTTCCTGTTAACTACAACAACTTCCTGTCAACTACAACAACTTCCTGTCAACTACAACAACTTCCTGTTAACGATCATTTTTACTTGTACTTTTTGCGCGATGGTTGTTGTTTTGTTAAGGTCGGCCTGCTTATACCAAAAAGTTCTTGTCTTAACACTAGCGTATCTGTGTTGAGGTCAAGACCTTCAGTCTTTTGCACTTTATTGCACAAACTTCATTTAACCTACCACAATTTATTTGTTCTCTGTATTTGACTTTAACCCAACGGGCTACTTGCACGAATTCAAATAACGAGAGCGAAAATATGGAAGGATTCAGATTGAATGTTGTTTAGAGCTACTTCATCCCGTAAATTTGAGCCGTTCTTTTCCAGCAGATGAAAAATTGACATGGTGAGAAGAAAAACACTTGATTTGACTCCGAATGGCATCCTTGTGTAACGATAAATAGCCAAGTTTCTTGATGATGGTGGTTCTTTGACGTCTTTTACCCAAAAAAGGGCACTTTTTGAAAACCCCACTTTCACAAGAGTTCGGTTTTGACTATATAGTGGAAAATGACCGCCCTTCATTCAAAATGATTCAAATATCAGTCAAAATAATTAAGAGTTGGGTTCATTTCATGGGAAAACTTTGTTTTTACAATAATTTTTCTTTTTTGTGAAAAAGCCGGTTTTTTTGATAATTTTGAGGGTTTTGAACTTACGCTCTATCTAAATTTCTGTAAATGCATTTCCGTTCGACTTTTTTAATGAATTCATATATAGTTATCCTTTTTTTAAATCTTCAATTTTCGGAAGCTAACTCTATTTTGACCACACTAAACTTGTCCCTAAAGTGACTCGATTCCTTTTTTGGTCACTCGCATTTCGCTCACGAAATCCCTTCAATGGTTCGATAAATTGAAACACGTTTTAGCTTATTTTGTAGAGGAGATTTACAACTTTCAAATAGTTTATAACATTCATCGATATCAGGTTTCTATCGTTGGAAATTTATGAAAATGTTGAAATCCGCATTTCTTATGCATGTACCTAATACATTCTTGGGGTAGGCTAATTTCCGCAATTTTTTTTTGCGCAACAGGGTCATTTGCGCAACTCGCCATAACTTTCTTCTAAGTGAGGCAATCTTTATGATTTTGGTTTCATTTTGTTGCACTTATTGAGATCTACAAAATGAAACCAAAATCATAAAGATTGGCCAACTTAGAAGAAAGTTATGGCGAGTTGCGCAAATGACCCTGTTCCAAATTCCGTACCTGACATCACTTTTGATAGTTGCTTTCATGAGACCAAAGCAATATCTAGCGATACTTCTGCAAATTACCATATTGCAAGAAAGTGAAAGCGACAAATTCACTTTTCAGGAATTCCCGAAGACGCAGTGACTAAGAAAGCGGCGATAGACTCCAACAATCAATTTCAGCTACAGATATCGTTTTGAACAATAGAACTTGAAAATTGAATAATCTCCTAAATTTCCTATTTCTGATCATGACAGCGAGCCTGTCAGGGATATGGCGAAACGGATTGGACAAATACATTTTTACAAGTAACTTTATTTGGACTCATAAAGTGCAACACATCCCTGCTGACGTAGTCAGATCTAATGACACCAAACCTGTCACTGATATATTACAAATAAGCCCAGATTTGTAAGCCAGGTCGAGCCAGAGCCAAGGTCAGAAGTCAGATGCAGTCCTGGGAATGGTTTTGGGCGAATATGGTAACGATAAAATGCATATGGTAAACTTATAAACGTCTAGTTATTATAGTTCCAGTCTGTATATTTCTTTCTGACTGACTGAGATTGAGAAGTTTGGGGATCTTCTACAAGCAAGCAAACCTAGCTTCTAGATCATGGTTGGCTTTCTGCAGGTCTTGATTGATTAATTAATCGATTAACATTCAATAACCAATTCTTACATCGAGTTGTCTGCGGTCTCAGGTGTTACCTTAGTGAATTTGGGGCCATCAATTTATACAACATTTCCAGCACCGAGATGGAGAAGAGAAAAACGGTGAAATTATGGCTGGACAAAGTCGAATGATTTGCCCATCTCCACCACTGAATCTCAATGTAAAAAGAGAGGTGCTCCAGAAAATTTTTTTTAACTTTTGAAATAACCACAAACACATATCAAACTTTGCTTTGGTGTCGATAAATTTGTTTTTACATTTGTTTGTTTTGCGCTTTATCGTCTAAACATCAAAACAACACCAAAAAGCCTCTGTCGCTTTTTCAGACAAAAACCACACGTACAGGGGGGTGGGACAAATGCGACCTTTTTTTTGCGCACCTTTTTTTGCTGGAAAAGGCCTTAGGCAAGGCCGTAGAGCTTCGAAAATATTTCCATATAAGGGAATCGTATGCGTAGATTCCGAATTTCGACAAATCAGACCTCGCTGACACGTCAAATTTGGGCTAAAAGGCAAAAACTGCGGAAAAGCGTTAAGTTGCGTAGTTTTTGCCTTTTAGCCCAAATTTGACGTGTCAGCGAGGTCTGATTTGTCAAAATTCTGAATCTACGCATACGATTCCCTTCTATGAAAACGTTTTTGAAGCTCTACGGCCTTTCCTAAGGCCTTTTCCAGCAAAAAAAAAGGTGCGCAAATGTCCAGGTGCGCAAAAAAAGGTCGCATTTGTCCCACCCCCCACTGTACAGTCAACCCGAAGCTATAAAACTCAGTTTTGAAGGCAAATTTTTATTATTTCTTCGCTCCTTCTGCGTTGCAAATTTGTTGACGGTCTCCATTACAAATTTTCTCACTTTAAACATCGCTTCTTTTATGTTTAACCTTTTAAAAAAATCAAGCCACACTCGTCTTTTACGGGCTTTTACGGGCTCTTTTAGGTGTTTACCTTACCCTTGCCTAGAACTTCTCAAGATTACCTCATTAACGCTAGATTTCTTATTATAGTTTGATAGTTTTTCAATTTTTCCTTTCTGCAGGTTCCTTAACCTGTTTACTTTAGGCAATAATGAGCGCTATCTAGGCTTAGTTACTTTTCCTATTTATTACTTGCTTAAAACTATTGGAAAAGCGTGATTATTAAAAGTTTTAAAAAATTCAAAGGAGAACAGATCAAAAGCTACTACTCCCCATAGTGGGAAACAACTAATGCACACTTCAACAGGGGTGGAAGATTGTTGAGGCTTCAATTTCTTTATTCGTAGAACAGTAATTCTAAGATTATTTTTGTCTCCCTGAAACCGAAATTAGACTTACCTGAATCTTTTGGCTTTACTTTGAAAACAATGAGTTTTTGTTTCTTTCTCGCGTCTTCTCTTAAAGTTCAAAATTTCATCTTTTCAGAAACAATGGGAAACAAGGTGTTTGGAATCACGAAAGGCGCCTCGGACGATGAAATCAAGGAAGTCGATCGAAAGATGGCGCTCAAATATCACCCGGACCAGAATAAAGAGAAAGATGCTGAAGCGAAATTCAAGGTTTGTTAAAAATTTAGAACCAAATTACCTAGTTATCCTGATGGTTTGAATGAGTGATTTTCAAGGCTTACTGTGTTGTCTAAAAGTTCCTACTAAATTAAGGCACTAGTTTTTTTATTGTTAGAGAAGTTGTAAAAGTTTTAGCTGGCAAGTGTTGCTTGAAATATTTAGAAAACGTGTTAAACTTTAACAGCTAAGGTTTTGTAAGCTATTCAGCGTTTAAACTTCTGAATTACAACAGCTTCCAGTTATTTTAAAAATTATAATCCTGTTCTCAACTTTATGATTCATTTTAGGAAGTCGCTGAAGCCTACGATGTGCTCTCCGATGCAAAGAAGAAAGGGATCTACGATAAATTTGGAGAAGAGGGATTGAAGGGTGGAATGGGTGAAGGCGGCGGCGGCGGAATGCCTGGTGGACACTACGAATTCCATGTGAGTTTTTTGCAATGTTTGGCTTAATGCGTTAGATCATGTAATCAATTAGCTTTAAAGTTTTAATGTTTAATATCAGCAATATTAGTCGAAGTAAAGCAATATCAGTCGAAACAGTAGCTCCAACATGTTGATAACTTTCTTTATAAGCAAGTCTTGTAAAATTTAATTAATCAATGTATTATTAGTTCTACTAATTGTTTTCTTTTTCAGTCAGACCCGATGGAGATGTTCTCGCAATTCTTTGGAGATGGTGGGTACCGTCGACAGCGTCAAGATCCGACGGTGGTGCACGAGCTGGCCGTCTCGCTGGAGGACATCTACAAAGGCTGCGTAAAGAAAATGAAGATCACAAGGTAAACTCGTTATTCCTTTGACAAATTGGTAAATTCTTCTTCAGAAAGGTTTTGAACGCCGATGGGCAATCGGCCCGGGTGGAGGACAAAGTATTGACGATCAACGTGAAGCCAGGATGGAAAAGCGGTACGAAAATCACATTCCCGAAGGAGGGAGACCAATATGCCGGACGAGTCCCTGCTGACATTGTTTTCGTCATTAAGGTAAGTGCAGTTTTTAAAAAAGGTACTAAACCATACCCAAACCAACTTTTTCCTTCGAAGCAATCTAATCAAGAATCACAACTGCTTTGCGTAATATTGCCTGCTTTAGGACAAAGCTCATCCCAAGTTCAAACGAGAAGGTGCCGACTTGCGATACGTACATAAATTGTCACTCAGGGATGCCCATTGTGGAACGACCGTTATGGTGGGCTTTGTTTATTTTTGGCAATATTAAAGTTTTATTAGGTTCCCACTTTGGATGGACAACAACAAGCACTCACGCTACGGGATATCATAAAACCAAACACTACAAGGAGGTAATCATTGCTTTTTTTATTGAGTAAGGCTGGTAAAGATGACAGCTTACTTGTTGATTTACTATATTGTTATAAAACGCTTCTAATGTATTTTTTAGAATCACCGGCCAGGGCCTTCCGATTCCGAGGACGCCCAATCTTCGCGGTGACATCATCGTCGAGTTGGTTGTCGAGTTCCCGCGCGAGTTGAACGCTTCACAAAAGGAGCTCATCCAGAGTGTACTCCCGCCGCTTTAAACTATTGATAATTTATGTGATTTTGTCGTTTTGCAATTAGGCATACTCCGGTTTATTTAAATCCTCATTAATACTTGGTGGAGATGTTTTGTTACACGATTTACAGGCAGTTTCTAAAGTTTTAATATCAAGGTCTAATCTCATGTTGATTTGCCGAATTGTGTTATTTTTATCTCATTTCCCTGCTAGATCATTGCCTTGTTTGCGATCGGTCAATTCTAAAGATTGGTGATCTGAAAAATTGTCCAAAGCTGCTTTTTGTATGTGTTTCCCCCAAATATAAGCGTTCGTACGGGTGTCTCTTCTTTTTAAAACAGGCCTTTCCATTAATGTGAAAGCATCATCCGTGTGACCTATTCAGGCGATTCCCTCTTCTTGGCCTTGATGAGATCTTTGTTTTTGCTATACTTTTTCTCTAAATCGTTGCGTGTATTATTTGAATAGCATATTTGTTTGACTTTTCTCAAATATTGCTGAAATGAATTGTGCAAAGTTTAGAAACGGTTAAGGATAGTTGATTTTCTTTGAAGATGGATAGTTGGGTGTTGAAAAATATCTTGGCAAAAGCCATGTGTTCGAAATGGCGTCAAGGAGGATGACGGAACTCTGGTGAGTGGAAATTTTCAAAGGTAAATTAACGGGATTGTTGAGAGGGAACCTGGCGATATAAAGTTTGAGCTCTTGGGTAAAATCCGGGGCTTTAGGAACCTTATTTTGTTATGCTCTTCCTTATTCTTTGTTGGAACTTCAGCTGGACATATTTTAACGCTTACGATTCTACCGCAAGCTATATATCCTCAACTCGCTATTGATCTCATAAATGATTACCCGATCAGAATCTCTGATGCCACTCTGGACACTATTTTTGGAGGGATACAGGGTTCAAATGAAGAAAGAGATGGGACTCTTATTTTCGTAGCATGTTATTCCTTTATTGCCAATAAACGAAACTGTAGTGATGGCATTGCAAAAATGACTCTCGTCAAGGGTCCCAGTAACGGTGACGGTGTGACTGGAAAAACCCCAAATGTTCTTCGCCATCGAGAATCTGCAGTCATAACGATAGTGTTTTTGAGTAAGAAAAGGTCCCTGTTGCAGACCAGCTGCGACTTCTTGAACATTGGGCTTCACATCCACAAGACACCCACGAAGCCGTTGCAGCAAAGTTTCGCTTAACAAGGAAGACTGTGGGCGAATAGTGGAATTTCTTTCGACAGTTTTGTGAAAATTGTTTCCGCCGAACAATGAGCCAACAACAATTGGGCGGTCCCGGCAAGATTGTTGAAGTTGATGAGAGCTACTTCTGTAAAGCAAAGCACCATAGAGGGTGAATGCTAACCCGAGCATACCAATGGGTTTTTGCGATGGTGGAGCGACGGTCAAACAGAATGGCCTTCTTTTCTGGTTCTTCGCCGCGATGCTCAAGCAAACTTCCAACATGTTGCCGTCAATCATAAACGTCTAGTTTAAACTTACAATTTTGATTTCAGGCTCTAGAAACTCACTTTTACAGAACGTATTAAAAGTTATTAAAATTATCGTCAAGCTCATCCAGATCTTTTCCAAAGTCTTTTAAATGAGATTAGTCTCGTATACCCTATTGGTTAAGAATTCAAATTTCAGATGAATACTCAGGATCTAATCTCTAATCACTAACAAGGGGATGCCACAAAATGGTCATAGCAGATTTTGACGACTTTGTGATGCAAACACCTATCGCACACCGGGAATCCGATGCTGTATTCAGTTTTTGCCCATATTCAAAACCAACCGAGAAAAACGTGTCCAAAGTTTGGGTGTCTACTCAGAAAATCGTGCCACCGGGTTACAAAGGCTCTTTTCCGACCCTCGAAATGTGGTCAGATGGCGTAGCGGTAAGTGCGCGAGTACTCGACCTTCTTTTTGCTTTTTTGGCCGCAGGTTGTAAGCAAAGTGATTGTAAGCAAAGTATTTGTATGGGTGTATACTGATTATTGTCTTTTTTTGTGATTGAATAAATAATATTTACTAAAAACTAACCAAAAATCTATCAAAACTTTCGGATTTCTTCAAAATTCCCGAATTTTACCCAAAAGCCAAAGTTTGTTTAGAACTAAATTTTTACTCTTGATGAAAGGCCTGTTACAGTAACCTGTTACAGTTGCATAGCATAACCTGTTACAGTTGCATAGCATCCGCCCAAATTTGGGTACACTAACAAAAGGTAGATATTATCTTTACTATACCCATGAGCAAGCATAGCAATTAAATGGAATTTAAACAAAAACCCGATGATCTTTGTGCTAAACTTTCGTGATGCATTCAAATGATGTGTTGAAGTGGAAGTCGAAGCGATGTGTTCAAGTGGAAAATTTCTGTGGAACGGACGGACGTCGACGAAGGAAAATGCGGTGAATTTTTCACGAGTAATCTCTCGGAAAGCTTTTCACGCCTTGTCGAGATGAAAAGTGTTCAGTTTTATCTTTCATTAGATTTTGTTTCTCATGGGTAACTTTTTTGGTCATTCAAGTCCTTCACTTTTTAGCGGATTATGAAATTTATGTGTTTTTTTTTTCAATTCACCCCTAAGTGACATCAGAAAGATGAGAAATTTGTTAGAATTTAACTTTTTCTTCTCATTCGGCAAACGAATCCCACAAAGGCTTAGGGGTAATTGAAATGAATTGGGAAATTGCCTTTTTTTCACTTAACAGACGGGAGGAAGGGAGGGGTGGTTAAACTATCAAAAATGATTGGGGATTAGTGGGGGAAATGAAAGCGAAAGGAGGGGAAACCACCTCACACAACACAGGGTCCAAGTCCTTTAGTTGATCCAGTTTTTTTTCTAAACTTACAAAGGTTTTTGCATACTTATTGATACCGTGCTTTCAATGCGTTTCCTAAAAAAAGTGCCTAACTTTCCCCTTTATTACCGTAATCTTGTCTCTATTTTAGTCAAAGATCTATTCATTTTTTTTGTCTAATTCTGTGAGAGTTCAAAAAGAATACGAAAGCTTCAAAAGTGGATAAATTGGAAAAGTAGAGACAAGATTACGGTAGAAAGGAGCAATTTTTAGAAAATACTTCTTTTCTGAAAGGAAACACTATTCTAATAGATGGGCAACTGCTCGTCACAGTCCCATCACAATATCGGGCTGAATGAAGAGGAGATAGCTGCCGTCAAAGACTCTTGGTTACGGTTGGGTTTTCGATAAAGTAATCCTCTAAAAGATACATCATTTTTTAAAAATTGCTCTCTGCTCTCTAAATATTCAAATTTTTTTAGCGCCAAATCGGAGAATATTGGGAAGAAAATCCTTGGCACTTTGCTCGAGAAGAGACCGCAATTCGCCGTGATTTATGGTGAGAATAAAAAGATAAAATAAAGTTAAACTTGTTCCAAAAAAACTAGATCTAGAAATTAGATGCTCACTTGTAAACACACCCTTTCTGGTGCATTCAATTCTCCGTTTTTCTCCTCACAGTGCCAATTGGCTTCGAGAATTCATTGCGCTAAAAGTGGCACGTTTACAAGTGGCACGTTTACAAGTGCCACGTTTACAAGTGGCACGTTTACAAGTGGCACGTTTACAAGTGGCACGTTTACAAGTGGCACGTTTACAAGTGGCACGTTTACAAGTGGCACGTTTACAAGTGGCACGTTTACAAGTGGCACGTTTACAAGTGCCACGTTTACAAGTGAGCACAATGTACAAAAGGAAAGTCTTGTACTATGGAGATACGGTACTTCTACTACAAAATTAGCATATTCCAAGAAAGTGAAATCGACAAATTCACTTTCCAGGAATTCCCGAAGACGCAGTGACTAAGAAAGCGATGGACTCCAACAATCAATTCCAGCTGCAGGTATCATTTTGAACACTAGAATTTAAAAATTGAATGATCTCTTAATATTCCCTGTTTCAGGCCTACCGTATCCAGAATTTCCTCGACACAGCCGTCTCTTCCCTCGGCTTTTGCCCGATGAACTCGGTCTGGGATATGGCGAAACGGATTGGACAGATACATTTTTACAAGTAACTTTATTTGGACTCAAAAAGTGCAACACATCCCTGCTGACGTAGTCAGATCTAATGACACCAAACCTGTCACTCATATATTACAACTAAGCCCAGATTTATAAGCCAGGTCGAGCCAGAGCCAAGGTTAGAAGTCAGATGCAGTCCTGGCAATGGTTTGGGGCGAATATGGTAATGATAAAAGGCATATGGTTAACTTATAAACGTCTAGTTATTATAGTTCCAGCCTGTAGATTTCTTTCTGACTGACTGAGATTGAGAAGTTCGGGGTTCTTCTACAACCAAGCAAACCTAGCTTCTAGATCATGGTTGGCTTTCTGCAGGTCTTGATCTATCCGGATTGATTAATTAATCGATTAACATTCAATAACCAATTCTTACATCTTGATCCAATTGTTGCCTCTCTTCTGGCCTAGTCATGATCTATCCGTATTGATTAGTTAATAGCTTAACATTCAATAACCAATTCTGACATCGAGTAAAGTTGTCTGGGGTCTCAAGTGTTACTTTAGTGAATTTGGGACTGGTGAATGTTTGTGCAATCAATCAACTAACATTGGACTAGTGACAGTTAAAGCAAGAACAAAAAAATCGATATTTCAGAGGGGTCAACTTCGGCGCTGACAACTATTTGATCTTCAAGCGGGTGACAATCGATGAGATTCTGGCAATGGTGGGGCTTAAGAATGAAGATAACTAAAGAAAGTTTATCTGAAAATCATTTTCCATCATTTTATAGACGAAGTTTAAGACCCTGCAACCGAGGACAGAAGAACCGAAAACGGCTAGGAATGAGAATGAGTCGGCCAGGAAAGAAGTGAATGGAAATGATTTGTTTCAGGTGGGAAGAATACCGTTTACTCCTATTTTACTCTATTTTACTCAATTTTACGTTTACTCCAACATTCAACGCTCAATTTAGCTGCTTTTTAAGTAACACAATCCTTTAACAAGATTTAGGATTTGAACCAAAAATACAGCCAAATTTGGATATAGCTAGAGGACTAGAAAGCGAGAAAACCGCTCTTTCTCGTTTTCGAAAAGGAAGCCTCTATACTAGAGCGATATGCCAGATGGCCAGCGATTGTGCGCGCGCATAAAGAACAGCTCGTCTTTTGCTTTGTAGCTGGCATAAAAAATATTCAGCTGTAAGCTTGTACCCGGGGGTTTTCGGGGTCGGCGAATCGATTGGCGCTATTCATTTTATTGAGTCGATCGATTGGAACTCGGGCTTTATTGGTCTAAACTTTTCGATTCGCAAGAGAGTTTTTGTAGAATTTGAATCGAAAAATCTTTCATTTTTCTGAGTATCGTTTGGTATAAAATAGAATCAATCTCTATTTAAATAGAATCAATCTCTATTTAAATAGAATCAATCTCTATTTTATACCATTCAAAAGTCATTATATATTATAGTCATTATATAGGGTGGCTGAAAATTACGTGCGCGCAGCATCAGCATCATAGTTTTTAAACAATGTATAAAGCAGCAAATTATCTTCGCCGCACCGTCGATTCTGTAAAGAAGCGAATTGAAGCCTGTATCAAAGCGGATGGAGGCCACTTCGAAAATTTCTTGTAATTATTAAATGCTTTTGTTACAACTATTATATAAATAAATATTTTTACATTTTCTTTGAAAGAAAATTCAATTATGGCGTTTTCTTTGGCGCACGTAATTTTCAGCCACCCTGTATTATAGATAAAATCGTCATTATAGATTCATTTAATTAAATCTCGAAAAATTTTCAATCAATAGGACATCGCCGCGACGTACAGTGAGTACTGCCCGTTGAGACTCGGCTGGAACAAGTTGATGAACGAGATTGTGAAAGAGATGAAGAAAGGTTTCGAAAATTCATGAAAAGCTCTTTCTATTCGACCTTAATCCATCAATGAAATTGATTTTGCAGGTTTTCTGGAGGAAGCGCTCGGCTCGTGTCAAAGCGACGAGAACGGGAATAAACATCTGACGATTATCGGCGTTGTTCACGATTCACATTAAGTTTTTGAGTATTCTGCATAAAGTTTATATCGTATTTTTTTGATTTTCGATAAGAAGATTTTCAAGTTTTTGAAGATTTTCAAACTTTTTTGAAGACTTTCAACTTTTTGAAGACTTTCAAGTGCTTTAAATAATAGTTAAGGTTTAATGGCGTCGAAATTGAATAAAAATCCGTTAAATTAGTTACTAGAGTGTGTTCCTCGCGAGTAAGTAATTACTTGAGTAAATTTGCATGAGTAACTGTTGAGTAATGCGTTTTCTAAAAAGTGCGGCTACGCGAAAAAAATATAAAAGCAATTTTTTGCGCAGATTTTGGGAGTGGGACAAATGCGACCTTTCTTTTGCGCACCCGGACATTTGCGCACCTTTTTTTCCGCACTTAGCCCATTAGCGCACCTTTTTTCGCGTTTTAAAAAAGCTCTAAAAAGCTAATATATAACCAATTTCTATTCGAAAAGTTGTTTTTCTAGGTAATGTTAGGGCGTAGTATCGAAATTTTGGCATATCAGAGCTTGTGGAAGCGAACGGACAGAGTTATACAAAGAGAAAAAATCGACAATTTTCTGTAATTTGACCTAGCCAAACAAAACTGTCTTTCAAATTGGTTCCACACGCTCTGTTATGTCAAAATTTGAATTCGACACCCTCAAATTACCTAGAAAAACAACTTTTGGAATAGAAATTGGTTAATATTAGCTTTTAGGGCTTTTTTTTAAACGCAAAAAAGCTGTGCTAATGGGCTAAGTGCGGAAAAAAAAGGTGCGCAAATGTCCGGGTGCGCAAAAAAAAGGTCGCATTTGTCCCACTCCCCAGATTTTTCAAAAAAAAATTATTTTTTACATTGGAGGGGATTTCCCACCAAATCAGCTAAACGGCTGAGTATCTTTAAAAAGTGTTAAATTAAAATATAAAGCGGGGCTCGTGATGTTTGCGTCATTTTTTGCAATAATTTTTGCTAAAAGCGCGGCAATTTTTTCCCAAGTTTTTAAAAAACGCATTACTCGCGAGGAACACGCTCTATTGGTTACTATAATTGAAAATTTTGGTATACTGTAGTTGGGGGTGGAGAAATAAGGATACTTGAGTTGAGTTGAAGAGTTGATGGAGCTACATTTCACTCTAGTACAGGAAATATGGTGATCCCAATAGATTTTCAGGGTTAATACCAATTTTTTGTGTGTTTGAAAGTCGCGTTTAAATGTTTAAAATTGAAAGTCGAATGTTTTGATGATTTTAAGCCTCAAAAATTTCTAAATAAATGATTTTTTGCACATTTTCCTGTAGCTTTTTCAATTCTATTGATAGATTTTTGCCAGCTTTGTCACTATCATTATCATTGTCATTATCATTGTCATTTTGTTGTCATTATCTTCTCTAAACTTAAAACGACTCTTACAGCTTGCACAAACTTCTAAAAAGCTCTTTTTCTTTTTGTTCTTGTGATTTATCGGGTTCTCAAAGAAAAACAAAATTGAAATGATCTTAAATTACCAATTGTAAATAAATAAATAAATTTTGGACTTTTACTTTACTTTCTAACTTCTAATTGCAGACTACGGTAACTGTCGCGCATTTTAACGATTAAATAGATTAACGATTTAGATTAACGAAATAGACTAACGTTTAAATAGATTAACGATTAAATAGATTAACGATTAAATAGACTAACGTTTAAATAGACTAACGATTAAATAGATTAACGATCAAATTAATCTATTTAAAAATTAAATAGATTAACGATTAAATAGACTAACGATTTTAACGATTAAATAAATAAATAGATTTTTGGACTTTTACTTTACTTTCTAAGTTTTAATTGCAGACTACGGTAACTGTCGAGCATTTTAACGCGACGAAAACGAAAATGACACTTTTTTAGAAAACGCGACACTTATTTTTAAAGAGAGATGACGGCAATTTCAGAAAAAAAATGAAGCAATTGTTGAGCTGTAAGCTGTTGACCATTTTTGTTTCTCAGTACAACATTTAATTAAACTTTAATTTTATATTTCAATCTCAACAACCTTTAGAAAAGATACATTGCTGATGAATTAGGGTAGTAAAATCGAAAAATATCAAAATATCAAAAGATATTTTGTGTTCAACGTCATTCAACGTCATTTTATTCATCACTTCAGAACAAGTCCCAAAAATCAAACAACAACAAATCCCAAAACAACAACAAATCCCAAAAATCAAGAAATTTCCTCAAAAATTTCCTCATAAATATCATCACAAGAATTTGTTTCCTTGTATTTTGATTTCTAATTTGAAGAGATTTTTTTCTGATCTATGATGAGATGACCCGATCTTTTTGTGCCGCCAAATTTCCGTATCTCAAAAAATGATAAGGGCAACAAGTCACGTCCAAAAAAAAAAGGAGGAAATCGCGAGTCAAAAATAGAAAATCACTCTGATTTCATTTCTGTTTTCAATTCAAATCTCTAATTTGCGAATTTGAATCTATTTCTTATTTGAACATGAGATTATTCTATCTATTGAGCGTACTTTGTGCGACCGGCTTCGGGTTGAAGGTCTGCCATTTTTATGTAAACGCGCGGCACATGCATTGGTTCAACTCATAACTTTGTCTCGAGATAATAATGTTAACTTTTGATATGGTTTTGGAGAGGACAGTGATTAAGCTTTTAACTGATACCAAATAGAGGTTGCTTGGAGAAGCGGGTCACGGGGTCGGAGGTGCGGTTGCATTCTTCTACCATTGCTCGCCTTTACGAATTCTAAAAGGGAACACCTATCTATTGAAGGCGGGTGCCAGATGGACAGCGATTGTGCGCGCACACAAAGAACACCTCTTGCTTCAGGAATTTCCTTCTTTTGTAGAAAGCTATTCAAAAAGAAGCTATTCAGCTGCGAATTTGTATCCGGGGGTTTTCGGGGTCGGGGAATCGATTGACGATATTCATTTTATTGAGTCAACCAATTGGAGCTTGAGTTCAACGGAGTAGAGCCGAAAATTGTGATTCTGAGCGCATTTCGCTTGTTTTATGTCTATTTATGCTTTGAAAAGTTCGAAATGATTCTTCCAGATTCTGGTGGTGAATCCAACTCTCGGCAGTTCGCATGTGCAATTCGTGAGCTCCATCGCCGACACGTTGGCTGAAGCCGGGCATGAAGTGGTCGGTGATTTTGATGTCGAATCGGAAATTTTGTCTTTCAGCACATGATCGTGAACACGATCGACTCGCGAATCACGAAGTACGGGGCAAAGAAAATCGCAAAATTGGTAGTGATCCCAGCGTTGGAAGAGAATGTCAACAATAACAATCAATTTGTCAAGAATCCCTTTAAGGTAAAGTTGGTCTAACTTACAGAAACCTAAGAGAAAGGTTAAAATCTAAAATTTCTACAGTAGTCCGGTTACTGTAGTTATCGTAGAATGGCTACAATAATGTGATTAATGTATCTATTAGTAGTTGGATTAGCTACGGTAATCTATAGTAATTTAAAGTTTTATTTTCAGCCGTCAAACATGCTCAGCTTCGCCCACATGAATAATATGACAAAATCGATTGTGCAAGCGTGCAATGGCCAGTTTTATCGGCTATATACTTTGTGCTCTGAAAACTGTAAACAAACCCTTTCTGGTGCACTCATTTCTTTTAAAAAAACAGTAACCTACAAGACTACAGTTGTCTTGTTTTGTACTTTGTGCTCAAAATAGTCGCATCCTTTCTGGTACACTCAATTTCTCATTTAACATTTACTTATACTATTAGGAGTTTATTTTGTGAACACACTTCATCTGGCGCACCAATATGAATTCTAAAAGTCTTTTGACATTTAGATAACTTCAATGCTCCACCAGAAAGCGTATGTTTACACTTTTCGAGAGCACAAAGTACACCTGAGTAGCCAAGAATCCAAGTTTATAATCTAATCGAACATTTCAGATATCGTTCACTACTATGACGAGCTGTTGAAACCGTTAGAAAACGAGCACTATGATATCGGCATCACTCAGCTATTGGCCGTCTATCCGGTGATGATCTTGCACATGTTGAAGGGTGAGGAAACTGCAGTAATCTGTCCTCATTCTAAAATGTGTCCCCCTTTCTATCGTAACCTTGTCTCTAAATTTTTGATCAAATCTATCCACCAATCTACGTTTTACTTCAAATACAATTTTATTAAACACTTAATTTATTCTATCTTTTTTACGCCAACCAATAAAAAGCTACTGAAAAGAATTTTCGGACGTCCTCTCCAGGCAGCTTCTAAAAATTAAGCTTTATGCCTAACTTTTTTGCACTCTTTCTTTTTTCTATTAACATAAAAATAGGTTTTGTTTTGATGAAAGTTTTTAAATCGCATAATTGGATCGTTGCTCTTTCTTGACTCTCTTAGTACGCACTCCGAACAAAGAGTCATAAAAAAAGATTTCAACGAAAAAAAATAATAGGTTTTTCTAATGGAAAAAAGTCGTAGATGAATTGGTGAATTGGTTATTACTAAATAGATTTTTAAATGAAATGTTCAAAGAGAGACTTATCGAATCAACCAAATAGAGACAACATTACAGCAGAAAGAGAAAGAGAAATCGGGGCACGCTTTAGGAAACGAAAACCGTCTAAAGTAAGTTCTTTAGTGAAAACGACGGTGTTAGCTTCGGCGAATCCGTTGGCTCCGTACATCAGTCAAACGTTCGGCATCCCGGCACCGCCAAGCTACACGGCGAGTGCGTTATTTGATAGAAGTTTTTTTGTAAATTTAATTTACAAAAATTTAAGCTCTATTTCAGATCCATTCGGCGACGTTGCTCAACTGAATGCCGCCGATTTCTCGTATATGGATCGAGTGGGGAATTTCTTCCGCGATATCATTTACTACACTTTGATTCCAATGCTGATGGGGAGACAGGTGAGTAGGGGAAATTAAGTTAAATAATTAATTTAATTAAGTTAATTAATTAATTTAATTAAGTTAATTAATTAGTTTAATTAATTTTAAGAAATTAATTCAACTTACAACTAATATCTATGATTAACTTTTGTTAGAAAATAGAAATCTAAATGAGTTAGTAGTCCCGCAGGATTGTGTTTAATAAGCCCAAAAAATCTTTGCATTAAGGGATAGGGCCCTACTCTTGCCGTGAAGGGACACGCGTCGGTGTAGCTCATTAGTAGAGAGTTGGCCCGATGAGTGAGAGGTCGCAGGTTCGAGTCCCGGCGCGGCTCATTTTTTGTATTCCCCAATCGCAAAAAGGACTGTCGTTTCCAACTTAGATAGGGGTCATGTACAAAGGGGATACTGGTAAAAAACAGTAGAGTATTACTGTATGGGTGTCCATCCAGGTTCAGTTGTTGCTGCTAGCGGGCTTAAACCCTAACGGAAAATAAGTAGCATACTATAAAATACTGCATTAACAACCGATTTTTGAATAAAAAATGTTTAGAGAGAGATACTGGCTACAATCGACCCGACCATCCCGGTCACGTATCATGATTTGATGAAAGATGTGAGGAGTTTAGAAATCATTATTGATGCATAAAATAATTAATATATATGAAATACTAGATCTATTTGTTTGTCTAGATATTCTTCTAGGTATCCCTAATCCTGGTGAACACTCCGCCAATGCTTGAATTCGCCACCCCGATCTCGCACCGAGTAATCAACATTGGTGGGATTGCGATGAAACGTGATAACAAGATCAATCCGGTAAATTGTAAATCCCGTTTTTTTAAAAGGTGGATAACTTTGCGGGGAATGTGGAGATTTCGAGAAAAAAAACCGGATTCGAAATCCACGATTTTCATAAACTTTTAACCTAAACATAAAAATAAACCACGAGTTTCATAAACATAAACAGTTTTCATAAACTTTATAAGTACTCCTTCCACAGTACTCCTTCCACAGTACTCCTTTCACAGTACTCCTTTCACAGTACTCCTTCCACAGTACTCCTTCTAGTACCAGTAATAGATATAATACTTTTACTATAGAATGTAAAACTCGATATTATGTTTTGAAATTTTGCATTACAGGACGTTCTCGAGATCATTGACAAGGCTAAGAAAGGCGTGATCGTGGTCTCGTTCGGCACGCTGGCCTCGACGCAGAATCTCGATGAGAAGTTGATTACAAGGTTGGAAAATGATGGATTTAAACGATAAACGAGAAATTTGCATATAAAATTTACATAGAAAACTTTTCTAGATTACCTTTTGATGTTTTTTTTAGTTTAGAAAAAGTTTTGAGGATACGAAAATGAGGCTTTTAATAGCCTCAGTATAATCGGCTAAGATCGGCTAGACCAAAGCCAAATAACCGGCTTTGGCCTAGCCGATCTTAGCCGATTGATTCCTGTACGTAAATGAACAAAGCACCGATGAATTCCAGTTTCCTCTCAGCTTTCGCTCAATTCCCAGACTATGAATTTTTGTTCAAATTCGACGCAAGTGACGAGGCGAAACAATACGAGAAACTCTATCCAAATGTGCATCTACTCAAATGGTTACAACAGTCCGCAATTTTAGGTTTCTTTTTATGCCAGATTGATCGCGTTTATGAGAGCACAAAGCGCCTAATCTTCTCAATTACTTCAATTACTTTAGGTCACAAAAAGACGAAAGTTTTCGTCTCACATATGGGCTTGAATAGCTTCATGGAAGCATCCACGCATGGAGTCCCTTTTGTGTCGGTGAGTGGAGTCCCTTTTGTGCCCCTTTTGGAGTGGATTGGAGTCCCTTTTGTGTCCTTTTCTTCGATTCACGTTTAAGACTTCATAGACTTCATATCAGATTCATGGCTAAACATTCGTAGATGTCATTTGAGTACTAGTTGATTAGATCACTCAAACACTAAGCCTGCTGGTTTTTGTCCCGGGTTAATAACTCCCTGTTTTCTCCGTGAATCGGTTAAAATCTAAAATTGTCTTGAATAAACGTCTAGATCCCACTCTTCTCCGATCAATTCTACAATACGGCTTTGGCAAAAAGCCGCGGAACGGCCGTTTACATTGACAAGATGAATATCACAAAGTCAGCGCTTGTCGAAGCCTTGCAAGAGGTGCTCACAAATACCAGGTAAACTAGTTCAGATTTTACTGTACCAGTATTTTACGGTCCTTTTAGCTACACCGCGAACGCACGAATTCTCTCGCGTCAACTCGAGAAATTCCCGGAGAACGGGACAGCGAAAATGATCCGAATGATCGAGTACGTGGGAGAGTTCGGACGATTGCCGAATTGGGATCTTAAGGTTTGTATTGTTCTGAACTGATCTGAACTAGTTTACCTGGCATTTGTGAGCACCTCTTGCAAGGCTTCGACAAGCGCTGACTGTCTATACAATGTCTATACAATCTCTGTACAATAGTTGTCTCCATCATCTCCAGAATTGAGATCTTTCTGAATAAAGCTGATAGTTGTAACTGGGGATCTTTCATCATTCAGCTCTTTCAGGGAATCGAGCTTAACTGGTTCGTCCACGCATCATACGATGTGATTGTTCCACTAATTCTCGTCACGATTCTCGTCTTTTGGATCATTTACCGATTGTTGAAGTATATAATATGTTATTGCTGTAGAAAGAGATCAGTGAAAACGAAAAAGGAATGAGTTTTTTCGAAAGTTTCTAGGTTTTTGAATAAAGATTGATGATAAATGAACACATATATGTCCAAGAGTTGCAAACAAATCTCATGGTGCGCCAAGTGGAGAGCGTTTGGTGGCAGAGTTGCAAACAAATCTCATGGTGCGCCAGGTGGCGAGCGTTTGGTGGCAGAGTTGCAAACAAATCTCGGGCGCCAGGGCAGCGTTTGGGCGGTTGCAAAAATCTCATGGCGCCGGTGGCGAGCGTTTGGTGGCAGAGTTGCAAACAAATCTCATGGTGCGCCAGGTGGCGAGCGTTTGGTGGCAGAGTTGCAAACAAATCTCATGGTACGCCAAGTGGCGAGCGTTTACGAGGTAAACTCCTCAAATGACTAGTGGCTGATCTGGTTCCAAGCTAGGCTAAGAAATTGATAAATAAATGCATAAGAATGTGAGCTGTGACAGGCTTAGGCTAGCTTGGTATCCCAGTTGGGATTCCAGTCAAATTCATCGCTCGTTCTTTGGAGTGTTCTTTGTGCTCTCCGAAACTCCGAAACAAACCCCTCCTAGTGCACTCGATTCTTCATTTTTTCCATGACACGAAACTATGGAATCGAGTGCACCAGAAGGGGTGTGTTTACGAGTTCAACAGCACTCCAAAGAGCATTAGAAAGAAGAAATTTGTCGTAGTATCCAAATTCTTTGACTTTTCTTTTTGTTTGGCATTTTGTCAACGAAAAGTTGCATAAAGCAAAGCAGTTGCAAATCTTAAAATGCTATAAAATCTATTCCCCCTGTTTTTTTCGTTGTTTACATTTAGAATCCGATCGCTTTTCTGCAAGTTCTTTGCCATAAAATGACCGAAAGAGTCTCTTTTTCTTTGAAATTTTCGTTTAACCCCTTCTTTTTTTCCAAAAATTTTCTCTATTTCTCTTGAAATTTCCCCAGTTATCCCATTGATTTTTCTCTTTTTCTTTCTCTTTTTCTTTATCTCTTTTCCTTTCTCACTTCTTTTTTTTTTCAGTCAAAACCTGAAAAGAGTCCCTTTTTGCTCTTTTTCAATATCTACACTCATTTGCAACACCAAAAATTCTCATTTCTCGTTTTATTTTTCAGTTTTTTTTTTGACTTTTAAAACATATTTAAATATAAAAATTATTTAGATAACTAATCGATTGATATTTTAAGAGAATTTAACTTGAGAATTTGATGATTTTGAAGTCTCAAAGTTATAGATACAAAGCATTTTTCTGTAATCTATAATTGAGACTTATAAATTATAACTTTGAGACTTCAAATTCATCAAACTCTTTTCAATGCAACTCAGCAAAGAGTTGCCCTGAAAATCGATATTTCAAGATGTTTTTTTAAATGTTGAATATGCTTTAATTTTAAATTTTCCATATTCCGTTTTCAGCTCAACACTTTTGCCTCTCTTCGTGAATGAGCAGCACCGTTGGGGCTGGTGAGTCATTTTAAATGATATTTAAATGATGTTTAAATGATTAAATGATTAAATGATGTTTAAATGATTTAAATGTTTAAATGATTTAAATGATTTAAATGATTTAAATGATTAAATGATTTAATTGATTAAATGATTTAAATGATTTAAATGATTTAAATGATTTAAATGATTTAAATGATTTAAATGATTAAATGTGAATTTAAATGATTTAAATGATTAAATGATTTAAATGTTTAAATGATTTAAATGATTTAAATGATTTAAATAATTTAAATGTTTAAATCATTTAAATGTTTCAAAATTCGTTGAAAACCCTTTCATTATCTCCATTTTTTCGCATAAGTTTTACGAGCTGTGAAAAGAAAGAATTTTTTTGACCTTATCAACATTTTTGCTGATTTAGCACTTTGTGAACTTGAGTCAGCAAAAAGGGAAGCTTTGCACTTAAAAATTAAACAAACAAACAAACAAACAAACAAACAAACAAACAATTAAAGCTGGAAATTCGAAAAGCCTTAATGTTTTCCATGTTGCTTACATGTAAACACTTCTGGCAAACTAAGAAATATCACAAATAAGTAAAGTTCTGTTATTTGTCACACATTACTGTGACTCTGATTTGTTTAGATAACAAATTCATCGATATTTTATGATAATTTTGTGTATCTATCACTTTTCTTTGAGACTTCAAAGTACAGGCAATGACTTAAGGTCAATATTCTGCACTTGACTAGAAAGACAAGCAAAATGGTTCGAAAAATGAGTGAAAAATGGTGTTTTCCAGTGCGTCTTCTGCGTGTTCACGTCGAACCGATCGAGGTCGAGGTGGACGAGGATGGGGCCATCGCTTGGACATCACTGCAAACGGCTTTCCCAGGTGAGTGCAACAAAATTCAATCCATTTTATTGCTTAGAAGCCAGGCCTGATTTTTTTTCTAGAACCAATGATAGGCAGGTTTTTAACCGATGAGACCTGTAAGCCAGGTCTGATCAAAGCCAGGTCTGATCAAAGCCAGGTCTGATCAAAGCCAGGTCTGATCAAAGCCAGGTCTGATCAAAGCCAGGTCTGATCAAAGCCAGGTCTGATCAAAGCCAGGTCTGATCAAAGACAGGTCTGATCAAAGACAGGTCTGATCAAAGACAGGTCTGATCAAAGACAGGTCTGATCAAAGACAGGTCTGATCAAAGACAGGTCTGATCAAAGACAGGTCTGATCGAAGCCAAGCCATCTTGGCAGTTCCAGCTAGTTTTGTAGGTAAGGACCATGGAAGACTCTTGATCTTTCTTCTGGCTGGTTCAGCCGCTTTCTTTTTTGGTCGGCTAGATTAGCAGTAAATCCAGATTAAGATAAATAAAGATAGGCTAGACTCGCAAAATGACTGAAAAATGGTGTTTTCGAGTGCTGTCTCTGAGACCAGGCTTCTTTTGGCTGATCCTGGAACTTTTTTTTGTAAGCTAGTCTAGTCCTGGCTCTGTTTTTAAATGTACCTTGCATTCCAGGCTGTTCCGGTCTCTACTACAAGGGTGCTGAATGCAAGGGAGCTGTGAAGTTCGACGGGAAAAAGTTTCTCTCGCCTGGTGGAGCGTGGAATGATCGGTGAGTTTTGAATCTCAGCGAGTTTCTTCAAAAAATTTGTAAACCTATAAAAGCCAGCCTTCAGATCAAATCAGAATAGTGTCTTTTGATTGGTCTGGACCTAAACATTTTGCTATAACTTTAGGAACTACTACGTTTCACTCGGCTCCCGTTGCCATGCGCCTTTTGGATCGTACGAAAACGCGAGTAAACAATTCGAGCGATCCGTGACCGCTGTACAGAGAATGCTTGGCTCATCACTTTTTGGTGAGTTCTGAAGAAAATCAAGAAGAGAACACTCAAGAGTGGCACAAATGTTAAGCTTTCATTCGAAAATATTCAGAAATGCCAGCGCGTCGCTCGGTTCGTTCGTCAAAATCGAGTCGAGTTGTTGCAAGCGATGAGTTAACAGCTGCCCCAGCTGGAGAAAATGATTCGAATACGCCTGGTTAGTCTTTGAAACATTTTAAAACTTTAAAAGCTCCAGCTATCTAGACTTATTCTAAAATTTAGCACTAAGTTTAAGAATCGAGACATCTATTTAGTATCTTTGGTATATGTGACTGTGGGCATAGCAAAGGCAAAAGTATGCTATAAAGTACAATAAATGTGACTTTCGGGCTCAAGACTCAAGACAAAAATTAACATAACAGTAAGTTGGAATGGAATGGCAATGGATTCCCCAGTATTTAAAGCGACTTACATAGCGACTTTGAGTCCACCAGCCTTTAATTTGTTGGGTCTATGAACACATGGAAATTCATGCCTTTTGCATGCAAATCTTTATTTTGAATTTAAATTTATTTTTTCTAAAAAAACTTTAGTCCCCACAGCACCAATCCCCCGCGCCGATTCACTGCCGGGAGAAGTAGAGCCGTTCATCGAAAGAGTTGGTTTTAACACGAATTTAAGAAGTTGAAGTTGAAATCTAACTCCGCAATAATTGCAGATTGAACATCATCGACATGTGAAATCCGAGAGAAAAGACGGGGATATAATTGCGGGGATTCAAGTGAGTTCAGGACACATTAAAAGCTCATTCAAATGTTTGAGGAACGCGAGAAACTACTGAAGTCTGCACCGGAAAAACTCTCACCAATCGAGCAACAATTCATCGATTTGGCGCGGATTTCAACGGGAAAAGACGCGATCATTGACGGGCAAAGAGAGGAATTAAAGAAGGAAAAGGAACTCGTCGAAAATGTCAATAAGTGGGTTTGCTTTTGGGGCTAGCTAAAGCTAATACGGCTAGCTAAAGCTAGAAAAGTGTTCTTTGGATCCTGGATTTTTACCGGTTACCGCTACTCTGTCAAAATTCTTTCTAACTTTTTAATGAAACATTTTCAGAAAATTCACATCAATGGAAACTGAGTTGAGTGCGTGCAAGGAACGCCTCGGAGCACAGGAAGAGGAATTGTCTCTGCTGAGGGGGATGAGTGCCGGACAAATGAACACCAATGAAAAGGTGGATATTGAAATCTTTTTTTTGTGATGCTTATCTTTTTCTAGGTACAATCCCTGTCCATGCAACTTCTCGCGAAAGACGACGAATTGTCGAATTGTCGGGGTGAACACGCGAGACGAGTCGCCGAATTGAGTCAAGAGAATCTGCAAGTCAAAGAGAGGTCAGCAAAACGTCGAGGATTCTGTGAGGATTCACAATGGATATTGAAAGCTATAAAGAATTAGTGGATTTGATAAAAATAGAGACAAAATTAGGTTAGAAAGGGGACATCGTTTAGGAAAAGTAAGACAGTAAAACGATAAAAACGTTCCTACCGTACAATCCGAAGATAAAGTATCCAGCCTACTTTTATTTAAACTTAATTTACAGTATCTTGTCGCCTGAATTCCTTAAATTCCAGCACCGTAATCCGTTTCCCGAAACCGTGTCCCCCGTTTCCACCGTAATTTTGTCTCTATTTTTCCATTTTCATCAAATCTATCCACTTTTTGTCTCATTCTTTGAGGGTTTACATAGAGTCGCCGAATTGAGTCAAGAGAATCGGCAAGTCAAAGAGAGGTCAGTCAAAGAGAAACGTCGAATTCTGTGAGGATTCACAATGGATATTGAAAGCTATAAAGAATTAGTGGATTTGATAAAAATAGAGACAAAATTACGGTAGAAAGGGGGACACGGTTTCGGGAAAAGGATTACGGTGCTGGAATTTAAGGAATTCAAGCGACAAGATACTGTAAATTAAGTTTAAATAAAAGTAGGCTGGATACTTTATCTTCGGATTGTACGGTAGGAACATTTTTATAGTTTTACTGTCTTACTTCTACTGATTACTGTCTCTTTAGAAAGGTATGATACAGTAAGCGCCTTTGCCGTATCTTTAGAAGAACTTTTTGCAGGTTACTGTACAATTTTACGGTGCCTTTTATTTTTGTAGACCAGGCTTGCAGTACAGCCAGGCCAAGCCAGGACCTAGCTGGCTCTATGGTTTAAGAGCCAGTTCTTCTCCTAGAGTTGCTTTTTAACACATTCACGACGATCCGACCCACCGGTGAATCGTACTAATGACGATTATTTTTGTTGTCAACTCAAATAACCGTAATTTTGTCTCTATTTTTATCAAATCCACTAATTCTTTATATCTTTCAATATCCATTGTAAACCCTCAAAGAATTCGACAAAAAAATGGATAGATTTGATAATGGTAGAAAGAAAAAGGGCACTTTTTAGAAAGTGACTTGTTTACAATCGTACTTGTTTACAATCGTACTTGTTTACAATCGTACTTGTTTACAATCGTACTTGTTTACAATCGTACTTGTTTACAATCGTACTTGTTTACAATTTCCCGCAATGCGCCCAGCTCGGCCTCGAGCTGATCAGAGTCGAGTACGATTGTAAACAAGTCACTTTCTAAAAAGTGCCCTTTTTCTTTCTACCGTAATCAAATCTATCCATTTTTTTGTCGTGTTGACCAAACCAGATTATTTTTCTTCAGAAATGAGATCCTAACTAGCGAGCTCGACAAAGCGCGGAATTCGGCTGATCTTTATCGGGTAAATTTAAGAAGAAAAATTAAAAACTCCAATATAAACAAAATTATCGAAATTTCAAAGAAAATTCTTAGATTGAGGCCCAAAAACTCGACTCTGATCAGCAATTGCTCGAGGCCGAGCTGGGCGTATTGCGGGAAATTCGCGATGAGCTGCGAATTGAGGTCGATATTGGGCTTTTAAATCTTTCAATAGATAGATTTAAGAAACATTTTATCTTATATCTATAGTCAGTTCAAGTAAAAGATGGAAATTTTCACTTTTCAGTCCCCAGAAATGGCGACAAAATGGCGACAACGAATGGAGAGTCTCGCGAAGAGTGCCGATGATCACGAGAAGCTGAAAACGGCATATGAGCGGGTGAGTGAATTGTAAATTTTCTTTAAAAGAGTTAATAGTAAGGGTAACTGGGTTAATAGTAAGGGATAAAGTCTTACCCTGACGGCGATGGGAAGCATGTCGGTATAGCTCGTTGGTAAAGCGTTAGCCCGGTAAGCGTGAGGTCTCGGGCTCGAAGCCCGGGGTCGACAATCTTTTGGATTATTTTTTGGCTAGCCGAAGCCCATAAAAGGCAACTTAATTATTCGATAAAAGCTAGCTTTTGATTGAACGTTCAAGATTTGATAAAAGTGTTAGATTTTTAGCCAACTATAGAGCTTGCAAAGCTATAATACCATAGCCTTTCCTTCCCGAAAAACCCTCCCTCAGGCATACTCGGTTTTACAGTTGAGATCGATTACTCTATTCGCATAGTACACAATAGATTACGGTAGATCTGGGCACTTGCATTGGGGATCTATACTCTATATACAAATTACTGCACTATTTTGACTATCGTAGCGCTTGGCTAGATTACGGTAGTTTCTCACGTTTCTCACACCAAAAAATTGCTATAAGAAAACTGATCGAATGCGCCAGAATGATGTGTTTTGACAATTTTCGAGCGCACAAAGCACACGCCTGATCTCTGAAGCTATCAAACCGAAAGAAGTTTCCAGATCGAAACCCAACATCACGAGATCCAAGAGCTATCCTCAAAACTGACAGACGAGAACAGTCGACTGATGACAAGAAATCGGGAATTGACGGAAAGAGTCGAGAAATTCGAGCAAGAATTCGATGTGATCAATCAGAAATGGAAAGAGACAACCAAAGAGAAGGAACAGATTTGGGAGGAAATGGTGGGGCTTTGAGAACTCCTTTCTTAGTTCATTTACACATTATCGTATGTCTGGCTCATTACTCTAAAATCTAACTCAAAAACAGAACTATTTGACCGATATTTGAACTTGCTCTGTTTGCCAGAAGGGATGCGTTTACAAGAGCACAAAGTAGAGCTAAAGAACAAGCCTAGGAGAGGTGAAATTACAGTACTCATTCCAGAAAATCACCCTCGAGAAAGATCTCGAAGCGAAACGCCGAGAGCTCGAAGAAGTCCAAGCCACTCTTTCAACTGTTGCCAGCGACGCTGCAACGAACGCTCAGAGGTTATTCGTGCCGAATCTATCCCCGTAAATCATTTGTGATATCCCACAAAATCTCAATCCTTTATTTGCATGTGGAATAAAGGATTTGATGAGTAGTCAAGTTGGGAATTCGGGAAATTGCATGAACCACTTTTCTGTTTAATCTATGCATTTACTCTTTCTGTGGACTAGGCCAGGCTTGGTTAGAAGCCAGTCCAGGAACAAATTTAGTTGGACTAACTATAAGCCAAGTCTAAAGCCTGACCAAAAATTTGCAATTTGCCAAATGTAAAATTGGTAGAACTGGGTCCAGGACTGATATGAGGATTTTTGTGGACCAGACCAAGCCAGGGTTGATGAGGAACTCACCCTTGTCAATTAAATAAGGCGACCTAGGACAAGGCTAACAACCAGGCAAGACTGACTTCAAATCTTTGTGACCAAGTGAGCCCAGGTAGTTTTTAGATAACATGGCCTGTGTTCGGTCCAGAAGCCATCCAGATTAGCCTACTTGGCATCTTAGGTCACAGGCTTGACCTGAACAGATCCAGAAAACCAGCCAAGTGATCTAGCCTGACCCTAGTTGGGACCTAGCTCGGTAAATGCCTCAACTCTAGTCCTGAAGACTGGCCTAACTGGGTACTGAGCTGAGGCTTCACCTAGCTCGGAACAGTGCACAAAAGATGTTGATCACACGTAGCACTAAAACATTTTCATCCTCAAACGTTCAGGATTTCCGAGTTGGAGCACTCCCGCGATGAGCTTCGTCGTCTCCTCGACGCGAACGAGTACAAGTTTCAGGTAGAACGAAGAACCACCCCAATTCGCTCACAAATCAACAACTTTCGCTTGTAGTTTATTGTTTTTATTGTTGTTTGGCTGACTAACCAGCTTTGTTGAGCATGATCTTTTTTGGCACGCTTTCTGGTGAATAAATTGTTCCGCTTTTTTTCACCACTTAAAATTTGATCTAGGGTTTGAAATAAACTTGCTTAACGGGCACAACTTAACTTACAACTTAACTGCTTAACTCACAACTTACAAGGGAGTCAAACCTGGGGTTATTCAAAAGTGTTTAAACAGGATCTATAAACCAGACCAGATCATGGTTCAGGTCTGGCTTTGCACTTGTCCTGTGAAGTCAGATCAGACAGTCTGATCAAGGCAGATCAGACACAAGTCATAGAAAGCTATTCAACTAGAAAACTGTTAGAAAATATTCAATGATCATTAAGCAAGTTTATTTTGGATTTATTTTTTTGTTCCACAAAGGCACATCTCATGATGATCAACTTTGTTTCAGGAGCCATTGAAAAGACAAATTCGCACGTTGTCTGATGAGTTGAGTGAGAGTCAAGAGCGATGCAAAGTCGGTTTTTCAAGGTTTCGGTATATAAACAATATTACAAATGATTATAAGAATATATAAAAATATCTAAGAATATCTAAGAATATCTAGGAATAGTCTTAATTATTCCAGCAATTGAACAGCCTCGTGACGAATCTAACATCGGATGCGAGGAATAGTCAACAAGATGTCACCGATTTCTACTATGGAGCAAGTCGAATTTGAAAGGAAATAATGAAGAAAAAAATAACGTAATATTGCCATGTCCAAAGAGAATAAACGTATAGTATTTGAGATTTAGAAAATATTGGGTTGGGGAGAATGAGTCGGCGCCCAACTTTAAAGGGACTTTTTGCACACATAAAGCCTTCTTTAAACATACGTTTGGGTTCATCAAAAGGATCCACTATTTCTCTATCATTTTCGGCGCCGACTCATTCTCCCCAACCCAATAACAAATTCTATAAATATTTAAATTTAAATAACAAATAACAAATTCTATAAATATTATCACCTTGATTAGATCTAACCAGTTTGTGTACTTTGTGCTTTCAACTAAAGATGATGTGTGTGTGTGTAAACACATCCTCTCTAGCGCACACGATTCTTCACTTTCCTTGTTCCTCCTGTTTCTATGCAAAAAAAATGAAGAATTCAGGGAGCCAGAAAGAGCACGTTTACACACTTTTGAGCCAGACTTACAGCCGACTCGCAGACTCGCAATTCTTATCAGTTCTTCATGAAAATCATTTATTTCCTTTTTAGTCTATCATTTTGTTTTTTCTAATTTTATTGACACAAATCACATCCCCTTCCACAGTGCTTCAATTTGTGCTGATCGGTGTAGGCGGAGTTCTTGCAGAAACCGGCACGTACCCACATGGGACACCTGGGAATAATTTGCCAAATTTATTCAACAATTCCTATTTAATTTTTCTAAGCTGCCAAGATCAGACAAGACTAAAGCCAGGTTTTCACTTGTTTTCTACTTGCTTGATCCACAAAAATGATGCTTGACAAAAGTGATGCCTCTAGCTCTAGCTCTTGGTCTATCTCTGGTCTTGCCCGGTCTAACAAGCTCGATTTTCCTAGACACATTCCTGGTCTGTCCTGTCCTGTCCATTCCTGGCCTAGCTTAACTTCAAGATACAAAAAGCCGGGTCTGGCTTGGTAACTGTTAGATCTAGATCTGGCATTACCTGACTCGATCTAGATATAAAAGTTTCAAAAGAATATTACACTAGATACAAGAATTCTCACTCACATTTGATGCTCTCTTCCACATGCGGGCTTCGTTTTCTTCTCTTGCTCTTTCTCCTTTTTGTTTTCGATTCTCTTCTTCCTGAATATTTGATAAAAGCTTTAAAACTAAAATCTTACAAAGATTTAGATGTCAAAAAATCAATATTATGTAATAGGCAACCGAAAGTTCCAATGCCTACAATGACTACAATGCCTACAATGCCTACAATGCCTACAATGCCTACAATGCCTACAATGCCTACAATGCCTACAATGCCTACAATGCCTACAATGCCTACAATGCCTACAATGCCTACAATGCCTACAATGCCTACAATGCCTACAATGCCTACAATTGCCAAGGCATTTGCGTCACAGTTTAGTATAGCTTAGAATCTAAGCTTTAGATAACATCATTAGGACTAAAGTCAAATGCAAATCAATCTTGTTAAGTAGTTTAACATTTTAAGATATTAATGAACTAAACAAAAAAGGTCCTTTTCTCTACAGATTCGGTTCCTTTTCGGTACAAATTTGATTCAAAAATAAAAACCTTTTTCCGTCGTTCCTCTTCTTTCTTTTTTCGTTCAGCCTCTTCCTGAAAATGTTGTTGAAAATGGTAAGAAATGTGACTTTTCTCAAATCTGAAACCTTTTTCTTCCTCTCGATCTCCTTCTTCCTCTCGATCTCCTCATTTTTCTCATTTTCCTCATTTTCCTCATCGATTTGCCCATTATTCTCGAGATTTGCTTCTCTCAAAATCTCCATCACACAACCCGGCTCGTAGCAGAAAGTATCCTTATAGAGGAGATTTCCCGGACAGACACCGTTCAGCCCAACTGAAAATGAACATTTATAATACGGGATTGAACACTCTACTTTTAGAGTTACATTAGATGATTGCTTATCTGTAGATACATTAGATGACTGCTTATCTGTACATTAGATGATTGGTTATCTGTACATTAGATGATTGGTTATCTGTAGATACATTAGATGACTGCTTATCTGTACATTAGATGATTGGTTATCTGTACATTAGATGATTGGTTATCTGTAGATACATTAGATGACTGCTTATCTGTACATTAGATGATTGCTTATCTGTAATCGTATCCGTATCGTAAACCCTTTACGAGGTCTTGCACTGCTTCAGACAAAATACAATAAAACCTCGAGTGAAAGCACTCACTTCCAGCTTCGCATTTCCCCACATCCACGTCGTTGATGTCAACGCAAAACGCCAAAGCTGAAAGAAAATCTTTAAGCAAGACAATGAACGAAATATAAGTGGGGATTTAAGAGTATCCTCTAAAAGGCATCTATTTTGGAGAAACTACCGTAATCCAAGCACCAGTTTTCATTCGATTAGCTCAATTTTGGCCAAATTCGATTAGGGGAATCACAAGGCTCAATCAATGTAATCAAAATTAGGCTGATCAAATGAAAACTGACAGGTGGATTACTTTTCCTGAGCTGTAAAGCACTTCAATTACCGTAATACTTTTATTTGATCACATCGCACTCATAATAGGGATTAACTGTATACTGTAGTGAGACAAAAGATCGTCACTTGACTACTGTATCTCAAGAAGAATTGATTCTAATTGATTCAATTACTGTAATCTCCTTTGATCGTTGGCTTTCGTAATTCTTTATTGGGCATATTATGCAAAAACTATCAAATTTTGAAAAAAAACTCACCAAAAAAACCGATCGCTACCACGAGTTGCTTCATGTTGTCTGTAAAAAAAAACGGAAATCAAAAAAACAAATCACCCTAATTTTTTCCCGAAAACGTTTCATTTATAGGTGGAAAATTTCGGAAGACAATGAGCGGCTTTGTCTTTTCATTTCGGGAAAACAAATTCGATTGTTTAGGCAACTGAATCACCCGATTTCTGATTTCAAAAGGAAAAGGCCCCCGATTGACACTGGTGAGCTTTCAACAATGAAAATAAAGATTGATTTTTTTGGGAGACAAATATTGAGAATCGTATAGATCTAGTGGTGATCTGGGTTTCGTCAAAAAAAAAATGGCTCATTTGTGACGTAGAATTTGTTGGTTTGGTGAGATTTCCATTAAATTTCGATGTTTTTCGCTAGTTTTGAAGAATGAAAAGAGCAAATCGAGCACAGTACGACAAACAGGAGAATTTCTTGACGATTTCCCGAGAAAAATTCGATTTTCCAGCACTCCAGCCATGACACTCTTCGAAATCTTGAGCATAAAGTACACGATTCTAGCGATTGATGTAGTGAAAGCCTCGTGAAACACTTTTCACCCACTTACAAAACCATTTATTGCACAAAAGGTACATTGAAACAGAGCCGAAAATAATCTTTTTAAGATCTCTAATAACCGGGAGCTGTTCTCGGGGGTGGACAATGCGAGCACCCACCCTGTGGACCGGCCGATCCGACGGGCCCCGGCACTCCCACTTCTCCCTTGCGACCCGAGCGACCCGGACGACCCATCTGAAATCAAATATAATATCAAGAATATTATCTAAAGGCTTAAATTACTCAAAACCCACATCTCCGCGTTCTCCTTTCGGTCCGGGAATGATGATACCAGGTCGTCCTTTGGATCCACGCTCGCCCTGGCGACCGGGTTTCCCGGTGGGTCCTGGGATAAAGGAAATTTCACTTTTAATATTAGATATTAGATATAGTACTATGCAGTAGTATGGTAATCAAGCTGGCTACAGTAATCCGTCTGAAAAGCTACAGCATAAAGTACAGTGATCAATCTACCGTAATCCAATGTTTTCAATGAGCCAATTCTAAAACTATCGCAATCCAGCGTGGGCTAGGTACTGTAGATGGGGCTAGGGCTAGGTACTGTAGATGGGGCTAGGGCTAGGTACTGTAGATGGGGCTAGGGCTAGGTACTGTAGATGGGGCTAGGGCTAGGTACTGTAGATGGGGCTAGGGCTAGGTACTGTAGATGGGGCTAGGGCTAGGTACTGTAGATGGGGCTAGGGCTAGGTACTGTAGATGTAGAGGGTACAGTATTTTATAGCTGAATCGCTTTAGATAAAGTACAGTATAATAAAACAGTATATGTCTTAAATCTAATCTAAAAGCTCTTCAAATCTGCTGTAATCTATCGTACTACACGTACTACAAATTCTCAAATCAAATAGAATTATCTATGCATACTCTATTAGACAATATTATCTAATATATGCAAATTTTACTACTTACCATTTGCTGCGGGTGGTCCATTCACTTGGATGACGCGTCCATCGTCTCCCTTTTTGCCTTTTTCTCCCTCTTTGCCAGCTTCGCCCTGAAGACCCATCGGCCCGGCCATTCCTGAATGCAAATTAGCATTTAATCTTAAGTTTACAGATCTAGTAGATATTTTATATATATTTTTTTTTATTTTTATTTTTTTTTAAAAAATAAAAAAAAAATTTAAAGAAAATAAAAAAAAAAAAAAAAAAAAAAAAAAAAAATAAAAAAAAAAAAAAAAAAAAAATAAAATTTTTAAAATAAAAAAAAAAAAAAAAAAAAATAAATTTTATATTTTTTTTTTTTTTTTTTTTTTTTTTTTTTTAATTTTTTTTTTTAAAAAAATAAAAAAAAAAAAAAAAAAAAAAAAAAAAAAAAAAAAAAAATAAAAAAAAAAAAAAATAAAATTAAAAAAAAAAAAAAAAAAAATATATATTATATTTTAAAATATATAAAAATTTTTTTTTAATTTAATTTTTTAATTTTAAAATAAAAATAAAAAAAATTAAAAAAAAAAAAAATAAAAAATTATTTGATATATAAAAATAATTAAAATTAAATTAAAGAAAAAAAAAAAAAAATATATAATATCTATTTCAGTCACTCACCAGCATCTCCACGTCGTCCATCTTGTCCGGGAGCGCCGGGATGACCGCGCGGCCCCTGGGGCCCCTTGTTGCCGCTGTCTCCTGAAAGAAAATTTCTATATCCAGGTTTCTATATCTATCTAATTTCTATATTTCTAAACTAGATCTTATTGGAGAGGTTGCTTGTTTCGATTGGCGAATTTATTTTATTCATTTCATTGAGTCTATAAAGGCTTACTTATTATAAATCATTTGAAATCTCCTCTTCAGAATAGGCTAATAACTTTCCGAACTTATCTAACTTTATACAATGTTACAACATAGCTTTTTACTAGATAAATAGCATACCTGGTGGTCCAATTGATCCGGGTGGACAGATCATGCATGGCTCGGAGGCGTATGTCTGATCAGGCTGCTCAATTCGGCCATCGCTTCCCGCTCGCCCGTCGGACCCTTGCTCTCCATCCTAAAGAGATTTATATCTATTTATACCTATCTATATATGAGCTGAAAATCTAGTTATCTTATACTAAGAATAATCGATGCTACCGTAAACCCTTGGTTGTCAGATTGTTCTTCTTCAATGCAACAATTTCCCTCTAGATTGAAAGACTTTAAGAAAAATGGCAAAAGCTAACGTAATCTTACTATCTTTTCAAAAAAACGATAGATTACGATGGTTATCTTTTGGCTTTTCCTGGCTTATCTTTTGGAAAACATACTGAGAAAAGCAGTGAACGTGCTAACAAAAGCTACACATAATCCAGATGATCTTTTACGGTAACTTTGCTTTTAGAAAAGATTGAGTCAAGAACTGAACTAGCTGATCAATCTCACCTTTCCTTCATTTCCATCATCTCCAACGGGTCCCGGTGGTCCGGGCCTTCCTTGTTGACATGTGCAACAGTGGGGTTCCGGTTCTGAATCCATCACCGGAGCTCCATAACCACCAGCGCCTTGTGGAGCCTGAGCACCATAGCCCTGAAATGCATTTATTTCTATAGTAAAACTTGTAACCTTAATCACAATACAATACAGCAACCGATTCAAAAATATTCAAAAAATGAGGAGTTTGGTTGGTACGCTGGTTGGTACAGTATTCCATATTTCGCTATTAGTAGATTAGGCTATGTTGGCTTGACTCACGTCTAGCCAAGTCAGTATAATCAGACATCTATGCAATCCATCGGTCACCAGATTACTATAGTTTCTTAGACTTGACTAGATACTGTAAAAGTAATCCAAAACGCACTCCATATTGTCCTCCTCCATTGCCATGTCTTGCCCCTCTTCCACCACCAATTCCTCCATCGGGCACCCATTGACCGAATAGCCAGGCTCGTTTCCCGCGTGATCCCCTCTCCACCGAGTTCATCGAATGCCAAAGATCGCGGGCTCGAGCCTAAAGGATTGAGTTATAAAATGGAAGGTAGTACATTAGTGTACTACAAGGTATGCACTATACCTTGTAGTACACTAATGTACTTGACCTACTGAGGCCCTACGAGTCCTACTAGCCTATGGTACTGTCCTTTCACTGTTAGTGCTGTACTTTTAGTTGTCTTTTAGTTGCAATCTAAAGCCCGGAACAAGCTCACTGGTCTGTAATGTTCGACATCGATAAGTTTTTGACTAATTGTAAGTCATTGCGTTCCCAGGCTCAGATTTACTAATATGTATACTGTAGGTAAGATTTTTCTTCAATTCACCTGACAAAACTCGGTCTCGATCGCGATTTGGCTTTGCACGGTGGCAATGTACGAGTAGAGAAGCGGCATCGCCACAACCGAAGCGACAACAGCAGCTGTGGAGAGGGCTATGGCCACGACGGCTAGATTGCGCAGAGAGCTCAAAGATTTGAAGGAGTTTTGAGGAGACTTTTTAGAAAAAAATTCGATTCTAGGGCACTAGCTACAGTATCTCGTCTGAAAAAAAAAGCAAAAATCCTTTTGGATACAAATCTACCACTCTTACAGTAATGGCTAAAAGTACAGTAATCCGTCTAAAAAAGGAAACACAGCAACACTTTGGAAACAAATCTAACGAATATCCAAAATTAAAGAGCCAGATTACGGTACTTTTACTGTACACTAATGCACCAAAAGGGGTGCGTTTGTGAGAGAATTTTGAGCACAAAGTAGGCCCAATGAACAGCAAAATTACAGTGAAAGACACTCACCGCTGATCGCCAAACTCTTTCGTTTGCATCATTGGAGAAATGAGCAAAATTCGGGGAGTATTTCTCCTTTATATACCCCAACAAACAGGTCTTTCTGAGAGAGATTCTCCCAAGAAATTGAAGAAATTTGAATATGGCAATGATTTGAGAAAGGCTCAAGGGAAAATCCCTTTCACTTTCGCTTATCATTTTTCCATTTCACCAATTCCTTGCTGGAGCGATTTGTGATGAAATGAAACAATTTTTATTTCATAGAGTCAAAACTTTAGATTGATTCGATGGCTAACGGTACTCCGAGAACAAAAAATTCATTTGTAGAAAAGTGCTGATCGCAGATTACACAATCATTTGTAGAGTGCTGACCGCAGATTACACAAGCTGGGTTCAGGTCAAGCTTCACTCCAACGTCACTTTCAGTGATAGATATAAAAAGAAGATATTCACCTGTGAATTTGTGCCCAACGGTTTTCGGAGCCGGCAAATCGATTAGCCACTTTTGAGTACTTCCTTGTTTTTGATTGCTTTCATCTCCACATTCTCTGATCAAAAAACTGACAACAGATGGATATCGATAAAAGATTTGAAGTTTGATCATCTTTTTCTTTTTAAATCATTCTGTAATTGAACAAAACCTTTTATTCTTCAATGACTCTTTCCAGCGTCCATTTGCCCATTCAATCATTCTCCGATTTGACCTATCGTGGTGTTCAATGTTGCTACCAATACGATGTCAGAAGTGGTTGATCTTATTTGGAGAGTCGGATTCCAGAGTCGATCCATTGATGAGAATTCATTGAAGAATCCAGCCAATCTAGGGGAAAAATCTTTTCCCAAAGAATTTGGCAAAACCTAAAACGACGAGACCGGCCAGTCACCTCTCCTTCGATTTACACACTCTAACTTTGTATAGTACTACCGTCGCCTTTGTGCAATATCATCGTAACCCAATTTCTCATTTACTAAATTTTCTTGTCTATCGTAGTTTGTCAATATGTGTCTTGTCAATATGTGTTTGCCTTGTCAATATGTGTTTGCACATTTGGCCCCACTTAATATATTGTCTTAGAAAACCAAAAAGATGCATTAAGTGCAACGCTACAGAGTTGGGCAAAATTATCCGGACAATTTTTTTGGAAAACTTGCTGTCACACGCTTAATTTATTTCAATGTGTCAAGAGTGATGTAGAGATTTGTAGCCCTTAATCTTGGCTACATTTATCTACTAAAAACTTTCCAAACGGATTTATGCAACTCATTTAAGAAGTCCTTGAATGAGCACAAGTCGATCCCTATTCTTTTTGATCATTTTCTACATAAAAATTGTTCTAAAAAGTTTTTATCAATATTTATTTTATGTAAAAAAAATATTATTTAGCATCATTAATAATAATTGAGGATAACTTTGAACTGTTTTGACTAACCTGCTATCACCAAAATCAAGCTGGTGACTAGCTTCTTTCAAGACTCAGAGAAAAAGGTGAAATTTAATCATTTTTCGATATTTTTCGATATTACTTCACATGAGTATCTTGTTATATTGGCTATTATAGCGCTTTGAAATTGATGGAAATAGTTTTTTAAACAAAATGCACACAAAGTTTACTGAATAAAGTCCTTTTTAGATCAAAATTTTTACGTAGAAAATGACATATGTCGTCAAAAATGACAGCCCGCGGAATAGGGATCGACTAGTGCTCATTCTTGAATGAGCACTAGTCGATCCCTATTCCGCGACTTGTTAAATGAGTTGCATAAATCCGTTTGGAAAGTTTTTAGTAGATAAATGTAGCCAAGATTAAGGGCTACAAATCTCTACATCACTCTTGACACATTGAAATAAATTAAGCGTGTGACAGCAAGTTTTCCAAAAAAATTGTCCGGATAATTTTGCCCAATCCTGTATATAGATAAATGACATGTATCAAAACTTGTTTCTGCTCTCAGCCTTATAAAATAAGGTAAAGCAGAAGGAGTCAGATTTGGTGAGCAAAAGAGGAGTCAGATTTGGTGTTCATGAACAACTTTTTGCTACTGTTTACATCGCTTGATATTAGGCTATATTAAAAATTACAATAATTGTAACTTGGGTTAAATTTACATATTTTTTTTATTGTTATCAAATTATCCGTGCATGTATCTGTTTTACGCAGTGCTGACTCAGAAATTTGATGGCAAAAGGGGGTCAAGATGGTTGTCCCCTTTTCCCCTCCCCGACGCTCCTTTGCACACCGCCTTTTTCCCCCCCAGTTTATCCGGTGTGCAAAATTGCCTCTACCCTCCATAATTCTCTCGAAATTTCTATCCAACTAAACATCTCTAATCGTCCGCGATCTCTTCACAATCTCTAATATTTTGTCTGTAATCGTTGCACCTCTCCACGAATGTGACACTATTTTCGGCGTTTTTACCGCCAACGAGCGCCTTGTTTAAGAAATTTTGGCTACAAACAACACATTTTTGTCGATATTTTTTAATATATTGGATATTTTTGATGTTTAGATAATTTTTGAGATAAAATTTCAGTTATTTCTTTATTTTTCTCATTTTTCATTACATTGCGTAAGGTTTTATGAAGGAACTTTAGTTTTTTCATTGCTGGATAATAGTTCTCTAAAAACTTAGCTCAATTTGCATATATATATACAGCTTTTTATACTATATACTACAGCAGTTTATTGTAGTATTACGTACTTTGTAAATCAGTAAGCTCCTGTACTTTGTGCTCCTACAAAGTCACGCTTTCTGGCGCCCCCGAATTCGTCATTTTTCTTGCAAAAACGCTTTGATGGCGCGGGAAAAATGAGGAATTCGGTGCGCTTACGAGAGCACAAAGTACAGACCACGATTCCGCAAGCTTGCTGCAAGTTGATCTATAATAGCTGAGTACGCCACTTGACTACAGGATAATCCAACAATTCCCCGTACAACTTTTTACTAAAATTTGATTTTAAAATGACTGAGGAAAGCTATTCAAATAAACTAAACTAATTGGAATACTAACTTAACTTAACTTAACTAAACTTCTAAGTTAATTGGAAAATAAAATTTAAAGCTTAAAATTTGTGTAAATTGTTTAATTTCAATTTTCATTTTCATTTCATCATCATTGGACATTGGAAGTTGACTAATTTCGACTCCTTATTAATGCTTTTAAGTATAATTTTATTAAGATTTTCATTTTAACAAAAAACTTTAGTTGAATAGCTTTTCTCAGTCATTTTAAAACCAAGTTTTGGTAAAAAGTTGTACTAGGAACTTTTGGGATAATCCTGTACTGACAGTACTTTAGTTGACATATTATATTATTCTATATCTGATAGTGAGAGCTGAGTGCTGAGATTAACCTCGCGTAATCAATTCTCGATTTCATATCAATAACTGCAAAGGAATTAGTGATAGAATAAGTTAAGAGCGCCAGGAAGGTACAATTTTGAGAGCACAAAGTACACTAGAGTCACTCTATCACCAATTCATTAAACTATAGTCACTAAACTACTGCAGCTTACTTTAGCCACTATTTCAAATTGATACTTTTCTATAAATTGCCTTTAGCAATCACTGCGACAAAACTTTAGGTGGCTGTCTAACAGAACTAGGGTAATTGAGAACAATTTTTAGCGAAGTCACCGGGTGAGATAATAAAACCGGTTTAAACCCCAATTCCGGCAGTTCGAGTACGGGTTGGCAACTTGCCAACCCTAAATTCTAAAATACACCTAAGACACCGTACTCGAAACGACGTCCCCCTTTTACTTCTATAAAATGAAGTCCCATCTCTTCAAAATTCATTATTTTAAAGAATTGTTGCGCTTCGCCGTATCTTTTGCGCGGATATGTTCCCATTTCTCTATCCCCTTATAAAATTCTGTTTACCGTAAATATTCTAATAGAAGCACACTCTATAGGAGCGTCGCGTAGTCTAAGTTTACACTCAAACAAACGCTCATATCTCAGCACCAGTACGTTAGTTTCTGCTCGCTTGGGTATCAAATTGAAGTAGATGGAATGGATGATTTTTTGAGATATAACACTTATTTTTAGCATTAACAAGCGCTTAGAAAAAATGATTGAAAAGTGGCAAAAAAGCAGATTTTTCCTCATTTTTCAATCATTTTTCTAAGCGCTTGTTAATGCTAAAAATAAGTGTTATATCTCAAAAAATCACCCATCCTCTCTACTTTAATTTGATACTCAAGCGCGCAGAAACTAACGTACTGGTGCTGAGATATTAGCTTTTGTTTGAGTCTAAACTTAGACTACGCGACACTCCTATGGGGGTGTGCTTCTATTAGAATATTTACGGTATTTTTTAAAATTTCCCTCATTTTATCGTTCCCATCCCTCGTTCACTGTTTCTTTACAAATTGTTAAAGTTTTTGTACTTTTCTCGGTTCTTTCCACTTTTTTGATTTTCGGACCTTTCTTTCATATCACCGATAAAGTTATTAAAAATCTAAATATCTTTTCTCTATAAATGCTAGTGAATCCAACCCAGCCACGAATTGTCTTGTAATTTCTCTCGTTGTGGCAAGTCATTTAGAATTAGTGTTTCTGGGTTAAAAGATTTAGCAGTTTGGGTAAGATTTCGACCCAGAATTTGGATGTTTAGAATCGAAATACGTTAGCTAGAAATCATTGACTAGAAATCTGCTTACTAGGTGTTTTGTCTATAGGGTGGCCACAAATTATCGCCACGCAGTTTTGGGCTATATCTTAGCTGTAGCTTTGTGAACCGGTTTAACTCTTTTTTAATATGAAAATTGCGATAATTTTCTACGGAGAATTTCTTTATACAAATTGTAGCTTGGCCGTATCTTCCAAGCCTTTAATAAAATCTCAAAAGCATCCTACAATTTGTATAAAGAAATTCTCCGTAGAAAATTATCGCAATTTTCATATTAAAAAGGGGTTAAATCGGTTCACAAAGCTACAGCCAACATATGGCCCAAAAACCATATGTTGGCGATAGTTTGCGACCACTCTGTAGTTTCAGGTAATTTCATTTTTAAACCTTTAATCTTTTACTTTAAAAAGTTCGATTTTTGATCTTTATTACTTTTTTTCAGTTCTTCAACTCAACCCCTCAAAAACGACTTCACCATACAGGAAAAGTGCATTGATTTGAGTGCAAAATGGAGGATGTGAGATTTTGATTACTTTTACTTAAAAAACAACACTTTTCTAAAAAGTGTGGATAAAACGGAGACAAGATTACCGTAAAGGGCTCACGTTTTAGGAAACGGATTAGCAAAAATTCTGTCAATTATCCCAATCTTGAGCTTTTTAGTTACGCGGGTTGCCGAACTTGGCCGAGATTCTCGGGCTGTCCGTCGGAAATATGGAGGTGAATTTCAACAAGATTGCATTTAACTTACAATGAAATTAGCGTTTAAACTAGTTCGACTTTGCATAGCTTATCTATAAGTAAGAATTTGTTATTTTTCAGTACGAAGCACCCACACTGAGCCCCGGCTCATCATCAAGCGAACAAAAGAAACGAATCGGGAAAAAGAGAAAACACCGAGGATCGTCGTCAGAAGGAGGCGATGATGGGGAAAAGGATTCGGATCAAGAAGGAAAAGATGGGGATAAGATCGGGAAAATTGGCAAATTACCGGTAAATAGACTTGCTTAATGAGTTTAAGTACCGCTTCACAGAGGTTCTTGCATGTAATTGTCTAAATATCGGCTTAAACCGGACTCTGGTACAGCTTCTTACAGCTACAGATGTGGCTTCGATCTTAGAATATAGAATATAACCAAGCATCAAGATTTTTCAGGCAAAATCAAGCACTAATTCGAGTCCTAGCACATTTAAGCATTTCCAGAAAAAGGACAGCGATCCGGAGTGGTCACTCGGGCGAGAGAACTTGGAGGGACGACAGCAGCGATCGGCGAGGAAGGTTAGATAACGAAACTTATTATTTACATTATTTAACTTTCAGCGAGGTCCCCAATCATACCGCGAGGCCGACATGTTCAAGCAACAGATCGCCCAGATGACTGTAAGTGTTTGGATAGATGATAGACTTAAACTAAATTAAAACAAAATAAAATAAGGTTAAACAGTAAAGCTTTGCTTAGGAGCTTTCATTTAGCCGCCTCCTCCTCGACCTCGGAATCGTCTCAACGTTGAATCAAAGCTGGCCGGGTACCCTGGAGCCTCAATTCGAGCACCAGCATCCAATCCACTTCAACATCCACCAGCCACCTCGCTGAAAGCGATCATTCAACGATTGGAGAAGCCGCAGGTAGATTTTGACATGTCAAGCCAAACCAAATACCTTTAGGAACACGAATTCCTTACCTCGCATCCGAATCTGAAAGCACTGATACCGTGTCCGATCAATCGTTTATCGATTCCATCAAGCGACAAGAGGATTTTCATCGCTGAGGTTTGCGGGAAGGATTGAAGAAATTTGAAAGCGATTAGATAGCAATATAGGGTGCGGCAGAATTACGTAGGCACCAGATGCATCTCAAGCAAATACTATGCCAATTTAACCCAAAAGCACAAAGTGTTATATAAGATTTAAAAGCTTGAAGCCTCAACCAGAGTGAGATTCTTGCTTACCAACTTTGGCACCCCTTTGAGCCGCTGCCATTTTTTCTCGATATTGAAATACGTAAATTTTTGCGCTTTCAAAGAACGAACTTTGTTCTTATTTTCTACTTGCTCCATTCTAAGTAGACTTCATAAAAAAATTCAAAATATTCTTCTTAGAGTTCTTAGTTTTTGAAAAGCAGAACACCGTTTTTTGCCATTTTCGTAAGGCCGAAAATCGACAGGTCAGCGAAAACATTACCGAAAGCTTAGCATAGCAGTACCAGGGTAGTTTCAAAGGCGATTTTTTGAGTTAAGGTCAAAAGATAAGTTCTGCTCTCATTTCTGGCCTTGTCTTGCCGAGTCTGGCTTTACTCGAGACTTGGACCTGGCTTCTGGCTGGGCCTGCTCTGCCCTGCTTTGGCTTGCAGATCCCAGGGACGGCTAAAACCTTAAGCCAAGCCTTGGTCTGGCTTTACTCTGATTCTAGTCTGGTCTAGCCTGCTTTGCTCTGGCTGAGGGTCTGATTAGAACATTTTTGTCCAGAAGGAGCAGGGCCAGGCCTGCGGTAAAGCCGGATCAGCCTCCAGGTCAACAGGATCTTTCGGAACATCACATATTATTAGATACTGTAGCACGGTAGAATCAAATTTCAAGCAGATCCTAAAGTCTTGCTGTAGCTATTTTTCAAACATTTCATTTCCAGATCGAGCTCAGGCCGGAGTTCCTCTCGTGTTCGGGCGGTTTCCGGCGTTTCATCAAGAGTATCACCGATCAAACGTTGTTGCAACTGTTGTGAGTACTAAAATATACTGTAGTATATTACTAGATACACATTCTACAGCTTTATACTTAATAATTACTTTATGACATTATTTTTCCGTTTAGGGAGACCCTCAAAGTGAGCTGGGCGGTCGACGGCGCGGACGATTACGCGAAATTGGGCCAAGTGATGCGAATTATTGTGGGTTTTTGATGATAAATTTTGTAAATTGCGTAATATTTGCATATAGGATATAAGATACTTGATATAAATGCAAATTCCAGTGGAACATGCAAAGCGACGCGACGCGGATGCTTTGGGAGCTCGAGGCGCGAGAGGATTGCCGATTGGCGAACAAGATCGAGCTGCCGAGAAAAGCAATTGTCAAGGGTGAGCTCCTTATCAAAGTTTTTTTTAAAATAGATACTGTAAAGGTTACGGTAGTCAATATATGGTCATTTTTCAGAGATCGGGGAGAACATTGACGAAAAAGGAGAAGAACATCCGATGGAAATCGACGGGGAGAATGGAGAGTGCAAGGAGAATTTGGGGGAACTAGGGAAAGGGAGTACAAGGTGAGGAATGGGATATGAAGGATGAATAGGTTGAGCGGTTCAGTGATAGATACCGTAAATAAATAAATATGGAAGGACCCCCTCCCCACCCAAAATTGGTCGCCCAAAAAGTGCTTAGAATGGTGTATATGGGTCGTATATATAACCTAGAAGAGTTGGCATTAAAATTTCAAAGGATTTAAAAATTTTTTAAAATACTTTTCGAAAAGAAATTGTAAGGGAATCCTTATCATTTTCGAGAGTCCGACCTCCAGGGGTCAAGGCAGAAAAATCTTGCTTGTTTTATACTTGTTTTTCGTGCGTTTTAGAGCATTTTCAATCGAGCTACAGTGATTTTAACAGACCTTTTAAAAAAATCTATATGGTCCCCCCTTATGTGATTTTTCGGGGAGTCCGAAAAAGATAGAAGGGCATGTCCTTCAATTACAGGTAACTAACTGCACTTACATTAGTGAGAGGATATTTTTTAAACCAATCTTTCAAACAGGTAAAGTTATTGAAAAGCTTGGTATGAATATAATGTAGCTGCGGTACGGTAATTTTCTTCCTGGGATGACATGCAAATTTCCAGGGCCACCACCGAGGAGCTGACCGAGGAGGGAGAATCCTTGATGACAAAAATGCCCGCTGCCGAGCAGCCTTTGATCGCAAACGGGCAACCCGGGTAAGGAATTTTTAAAATCGAAATATTTAAAAATTATATCTAAATAGTAATCTAGCTTAAATAGTATTATCTCGATATTTCCAGGAATCATCCCGATCGAATGACCCTGCGGTGTCCGACGTGCAAAGAGGCGTCGTCTGACATGCACACCTTTGGAGAGCTCATAGTCAGTTATTATATTTAAAATTTGCATATCAACTAGCATATATCTGATATAGATATCTAAATAACTAGGTCTAGTGTCTAAAGGGATCAAAAGAGCTCTTAAACCCGGCTTTTGACCTATAATATTCTGTATCTGTAAGCCCCATTACTGCAGGGTACTGTAGTACTGGGGCAAAAGATATTCTAGAGTAGTACTGGTCTGGGTACTACTGTAGGGCTAGTACTTGACTATTATGTTATAGCCTAGCACTATTGGCATTAGCAATTTAAATAGTACTAGGCGTTACTATGTACTTTTGTTGGTAGGTACCGTACTTTTACGTTATTGCAATGTGACGTCAGCCTGGCATTGCTATGTGCGTAGTAAAAAAGTGAAAAAAGCGGCTCAAAGGGGTGCCAAAGTTGCGTAGTATGCGTACTAAACGTGGTAGTGAAGACATTATAAAGTGATCCTAGTACAACCACATAGTACTAATACTAGCTTCAAGACAAAATTTCTCGACTAGACTAGACTAGACTATTACTATGGTACTTATATTCTGTGCAATTACGTAGTACTCGTACTAGGCCCTAGATATAGACAAAGTACAGCTTGTATTCATGACTCAATTTCCAGAACCACTACCTCTCTCATCACTTCCTCGGCATTCACTATGGTTGCCATTTGTGTGGACAAGTTTTTCAATCGATGACCGCGCTGAATGCGCATGGATGTGAGCAATTCAATCAGTATTTGCTGGAATTGCTGCTTGTGCCTGGAAACAAAACGAATACGGTAAGTAGGCGGAATACTGTCAAATGGACGGGCTACAGCATCCGTGCGTAATGAGTACTGTAGCGTAGACTGTAGTACTAATAGTTTGCTATAAGTACTAGGGTTGGGATTTCGGGAGACGCACCGGTCTACCGGGTTTTTAACACTTTTTGGAAGGCGAAAGTCTACCGTAAGCCAATCTAAAAGCTGTTACAGTACCTGTTTAAAAATTAATCCCCAATTCAGCTAGAGATGAAGTACTCCTTTTTCTTCTTATCCTGTTCCGATTGTGGTCTTCTCTTTCCGATCAGCTCCAAATTCGACACAAATGGGCAGGTGTCCACTTTCTATGCGCAATGGTTTTTGTTGCTGAAACTCTTGGTGGGTTGTACTACATTCCCGATGATCCGGTCCACCGGTGAATCGTGCTAATGACGGTTATTTTTGGCGTCAACTCAAGTTTCTAAGGACCTTTGTTATTGATTTTGTAAAAAATTCTCAGTAACTTTGTACTGGTTTTCAAGAGATTTAGCTATTATAGTTTAGTTTGTCTTTGAATTTTATCAAATTGTCAGTAAAACAGTAAAACTACGCGACTGCACGCCAAAATGCCGTCGTGGCGAATGTATTTGCCGAAAAAAAATTGCCATTTAAAGTTCACTTTTAGTCTCTTCACAATTGCGAGAATTTGGTGCCACTCGTTGTTTATATGAACAAAGTGCCGGATGAGTCGATTAGTGAGGTAAAATTTGAAATTTCTAAAAGATGCTCTTGACTACCGTAGTTTTTGGGCACAATCAGTCGAAGTGTTTTCAAAAATATGCCTTGGGGAAGCTACTGTGACCGGATATCTAGAGAGATAATATTAGTCTCTGTACTATTCACCGTACTTTTAGTTGACGCTGAAAGTGACCCCAACGATGTGCTTACGGGATTTCCCTTTGAGTTGCGATGAATGCAAAATTGAGAACTTTGGATCACCACAAGAATGCGAGGATCATTTCAGGTAAAAGAACTTCTAAAAGGCATCCATTTCAGCCAAAATTACCGTAACCCACCCGCCATTTTTCATCTACTCAGCCCAATTTTTGGGCCACATTCAATGAGGGAAGCACAAGGCTCAGTCAATGGGACCAAAATTGGGGCTGATCGAATGAAAACTGACGGGTGGATACGGTAATTTTGGCTGAAATGGGTTCCTTTTAGAAAACTGATTAGTTGAGCTCAATGATCATCTTTATTTCCAGAGATTTCCACCCGAAACGAGACTACGTGTGCAACGAGTGCGGCGAGGCTTTTGGCACACGGCCATTCCAAACGTAAGTACATGCAAATATATTAGATTGGGGAGAAAGTCTTTGCCGTTTTTTTTGGGAGAGGGCCTTAAACTTGTCCGATCTGGACGTGTAATAGCTCATTGGAATTTTCTAATTTTCTAGCGGATTGGATGAAAAAACCCTTTTTGATACCGTATTTTCTGTAATACTAGTGCGCACTAATATTTTTCAACCCCCTCCAGCCTGCACTACTTCTGTCTATCAAAGCCGGTGCTCGGAAAAAGCAATTTCTTTGCTAAGTTATATAATGACTTGCTATAGTAGTCTTTTTCAGTTCCCATTGTCTTGCCCATCTCTCACCAACGTTTCTCCTTGCCGATTATCTTTCAACGCAATGCCGTTTTTATCCGCCAGCCGGTGATGAAAGCTCTCCATTGAGGCTTGAGGTTAGTTGAAATTTGAATCTTATCTAACCTGTTAAATATTGTTACATATAATGGATAAAATTTTAAGCTTTAAAAAGCAATACTATATAGGAGCCAAGTCATTGCTAAACCCAGAGCCAATGGTCAGGGTCAGATTCAGGGCTTTAACAGGTCATTAACACATTCGCGACAACCGCTGGTGGACCGTACTAATGACGATAACTTTTGGTGTCAACTTAAGGTTCTAAGGACTTTTGTTAGTTATTTCGCAGAAAGTTCTCGGTAACTTTTTTCTAGTTTTTAAGAGGTTCAGGGCTATCGAATAGTTTAGTTTATCTTTGAATGCTCATCAAATTTGCAGTAAAATAGTAATGCCTACACGACTGCACGCCCAAAATACCGTCGTCATGAATGTGTTAAGTCATGTTACGGTAGCCAAGTCTAGTCACAAAGTTTATGGTACTATAATCTATGTCAAATCCTTCAGTTTCCTTCTCGCGAATGTGTTAAGGCTATATCTAAACATGTACAAAAGGATGCAAATTTCAATTCTTCCAGAAAACTTCATTCACCCCACTCGGTGGCACTGGGAAACTGCTGAGCGGATGTGTAGAAGAGTACGCGAAACCCTTTGACAATCACTTGTTCACAAAATTGAGACAAACGACGTTGATGAAGAAGGTCTATTTGGAGGAGAAACGGAGAAAGGTTTGTGGTGGTAGATTTGCAAAAGTTTTGACAGGCTACGGTAATTGTACTAACTGTACTTTGTTGTGCTATCAATAGTTGGAAAAGAGCCCTTTCTGGCGCACTCGAATCTTCATTTCGTCTTGCGGAACCAAGCGTTGCTGAAAGAAAAATGCCCAATTGAGTGCACCAGATTGGTCGTGTTTACAAGTGAGCACAGAGTGCACCACATGGAAGGACCAGTATTGACTTTTTAGACTGTACTCCGGCGGAAGTAATAAATAGTACTGTAGATATGCTTACTCTACCCTAAACAACAAGCCATTTTTGGATTTTAGCAAACTGCTTTTGTTTTCTAAAGCTGGTTGCTAAACCGCAGAAAATGAGTATAGTAAGCCAATCTACAGCACTATTGATTACTGTAGCCGTAGTCATACTCAGAAATCAGCATTAGGCATTCAATGTTTTGTAGATCAATAGCTTACTATATAAAAAGCTCATTTTTTTCAGAAAAATGAAGGCGATGACGATCCAGATTACGAGGACACTCTGCACGACGATGACTCAAAAATTCAGCTTCCCGATCTCGGTTTGGATCACATTACGTTGGAAATTGGGGAAGTGCTTGGAGAAAAGGAAAAGAATGGATTGGCCGAATATTTCAAAGAGGTAATTTAATATATGTTTTTAAAATGATCCAAGAATAGAACGAGGACGCAAAATCGCTGCTCAGCTGTCCAAAGACGTGGCTTTTCGACGAAGAACATGTGCTGGAAAAGTTGAAAATCGATTCGGAGACCTATAGGAAAGGAAATAAGGTGGGCTTTTTAAAAGTTCCGATTGGGTTGCTGTAGTTTTTAGGGGTTATTGTAACTTTTTGGGGTCGAATGACTGTGGCTTTTTGAGGACTTGATTAGTGTAGCTTTTTGGTAGCCGGGTTACTGTAACTCTAGTCCTTTTCTAAAGATTACCCTGATTACCGTACCCTTCAAAAACTTCCTCGCCCTTGGGGTGCTGTAGCTTTGATTTGATGAAATGTTTGGGGTAATTGGGTTACTGTATCTTTGAAAATAAGCCGTTTTCTAAAGAGTGCCCAGAGTACCGTGCCCCAACAGGTTTTATCTTCGATTTAGTACGTTGAGCTAAAGTTTTTGGATTACTGTGATAAAGCTGCCTTTTAAAATCTACAAACTTACAGGTGAAGTTCTCAATTCAATGCGAGAACTCGTACGCAAGTGCCTGGATGGGGCAGTTCTCGACAAATATTGCGCTGCCGATTCGACGAGAGCTCGGCCATTTGGATTTCTCTGCGCTTTTCGATTCCCTACCGGAAGAGGAGAGGTGAGGATTTTGTAGACAAACATCCCAGAGGTAGTCGTTCTGGAAATTTAAGGAAGTGAATAAAAAGTACCTAGGACTGCATAGTACAGTATACCCGAACGTACTGGTTTCATATTACTAATTGTAAGAAAGGCAATAAGATTACCGTGCTTGCCCTTATTCTAGCACTAGTGCCTAATACTTGTAGCAAATGATAGTTCTGATTACGATAGTACCATAACCACAACACGAAGCCTATATCTTCAAGTAATAATCTTTATATCTTTGCATTACCTTCTTCAGTTAGCCGACGTTAGTGTAGTTATCTAGAGATCTTGATAATAGTAACTGGGCTGGGGTGACGGTAGCTGGGACAAGATATAAAGACTAAACGAACGATTGGCACGAGCTTAGAAATGAGTGTTTTGATAAATTTCTACCCGGTTTCAACATTAACAACATAAAGTATCTTAGCGGGCATATCCAGTACTTTATACGAATTATTTTGATAATTTCCTTCCTTTCCAGGGTCTATCTTTGCCATTGCGGCGTGATTTGTCGTGGCACCTCGGCGGCCGAGCACGCGTTGACCTGTTTCATCACCGAATCATCTGGAGATGTGAATTTGGATATGAGTGATCAGGTGAGTTATCTAAATATTTAATTTCTAGATAATTAATTGTTACCTTCAGATAACTTGTCTTTATCTACCTGATTGGCCTAGCGACGTGCGGATTCATTGCTTTGAGGTACGAGAATTTGACAAAGACAAAAATTTGCATATTTGGCTAATAGCACCATATTTTAGATATAAAATTAAGATCTAATTTCAGAAAGGCTGCAAGACTTCAACGTGCAGCGTCTTGGCCCTGCAGGCTCATCTGCTAAGCGAACACTCGAAATTTCATCCGATTCAAGGCGCAAAAACGAATAATGGTGAGTATTAAGGTCAGAGATGTTCCAACCGGGCAAGACCAGAGCCCAGCTAGGCCAAGGTTATGTTTGGGACGAAATTTGTCTATTCTACCAAAATGTCATGTTGCCTTGGTCTCTTTAAATGCAAATTGCTCTGCTAATGCTAAATGGATGACTTGGTAAACAATTAGGTGCCGGAATAAAATTAGTTTCTAGGATTTGTAAGCCAAATTAGGCAAGGATAGGCAGAGCCAAAAGCAATTTTGATTGCGATTTTGATTCAGATCTAGGCCTGGCTCCTGGTGAACCCAGGGGTAAGTCGGTTAAACTAGACCAAGGTCTGGCTCTGGCCCAGAAAGAATGGCTTTGAAGCCAGGTCCGGTAAGATACAGGCCAGAAGCCAGCCTCAAGGTATCTTTGTAGACCAGGCCTGCAGTACAGCCAGGCCAAGCCAGGACCTAGCTGGCTCTATGGCTTAAGAGCCAGTTCTTCTCCTAGAGTTGCTTTTTAACACATTCACGACGATCTGACCCACCAGTGGACTGTACTAATGACAATTGTTTTTGATATCAACTCAAGTTTCAAAGAACTTTTGTTATTTATTTCGTAGAGAGTTCGTGGTAGCTTTGTACTAGTTTTCAAGAGGCGGTTTGGGGCTATCGAATGACTTTAATAGTTTAGTTTATCTTTGAATGCTCATCAAATTGTCAGTAAAACAGTAGCGACTACGGTTTAAGTCATGTTACGGTAGCGAAGTCTAATCACAAAATTTATGGTACTATAATTCATGTTAAACCCTTCAGTTTCCTTCTCGAAACGGATCCACAAGAAGGATTATCAAACGAGATTGGCTCGGGAATCCGACGCGGCACTGGGGATGAAAGCCGATGGATTCTTGGTGAAAAAGAATGGTTGGTTTGATATAAATAGATATATCATAGATTGGATAAGCAATACCTGGGTACGTAATATGCTAATTTTATGCAAATTTAGCCTTTTTTCCCGTTCACCGTTCGATATTGGCCGGTTATCAGGCTCAGGCCCAGACACAATCACAGAGCTACCATCGACCAACTCCCGGGAACAAGGGTGAACCAAATCTGTAGGTTTATGGGTTAATAGAAATCTAATAGTATAATTATATTTAAATTAAGCATTACATGCCAATTTCCAGCGAAGTTCTTCCCTTCCGGGTGACGGGCATCGGCAAGAGCATCTACGAGTGCAATTTATGCCGCTTCCGCACGGATAATTTCAAATTCTGCGCCCTGCACCTGATCAATGTGAGTTTGGATATTAGAGGTTGAAAAGTTTACGGTTAGTTGGCTGAGTTTTTGACAACAAAAAAGTCTAGCTACAATTTCTGTTTGCTAGAGCGCGCTCGGCTACCGTGCCCAGTTCAAGATACAGTACCTTGCCGCACTGCAGGACAAACTAGGCTACCGGGTTGCTACCGTACCTAGTTCACGGCACAGTAGCTTACCGCACAGTATCCTGGATTGATTGTGGGTACAGTAGCGGTAATTAGGTCAGTCCAAAGTATGGTAACTGAGGCCCGAAAAAGAATCCTGAGGAAAGCTTGGAAAGTCGAAACTTCTATCCAAATAAGCCTTTCCATGGGCATACTGTAGCTAGGACAGAAAAAGAATTCTGGCATATGATAACGGTCTATTAATTCCAGAACCACGCCGATCCATGCAACGCTTGCGGCTCGGTCTTCATGCAAAAAGTCAACCGAGAGATCCATCAGCTGCAGAATTGCTCTCGACCGACGCAAAATCGTAAGTGAAAACACCGTGCCTTTTTTCTTAAAGCTTTGGATTACTGTATCAAAATCCATTTTCAGCAAACAAACTGAACCCTCGAGTAAGCTGTCCGGTTTGCGGTTTCAACGATCGAATCCGTTACGTCGTTCACCACATGATCCAGACGCATTACCCGATGATTCGCTATCATCGACTCGATGGAACGGTGAGTGTACTTTGAGCTCAGTTTTGGAAACGCCCCTTTCTGGCGTACTCAAATACCCTTTGTGGTCTAAAAGACAGCTAAAGCTACAGTAACTGCCTAGAAAACTAAAGAAATCTAACCTTATTACAGATGTACCCTGCAATCAAGGAGATTTTCTTTAATGAGGTTGAGTCCGCGAAACGGCCACAGGTATCGAAATTCTATAACAAACTTTATCTAGATAAAAATCTTATCTGAACAGATCTCGGTATACTGTACTAATTATCTACTTTAGGTGGTCGAATTGGACGACGATGAGATAAGCAGTGTCGAGAGTGGCGCTTTAAACGGGGTGCCCGAGGGGGTAAATGGTAAATTTTAGTTGGTGATTTGCATATCGGGTATCTAGATATACCTTGATAATATGCTAATTTTAGGGAATGCTGACGATTTGCTCTATTTCGACAATCCGAGAACACAATTCAAGTGTTTCATGTGCGATATGTGTTTTGGAAACAAGGAACAGTTGGAGGCGCATTACAAGGTAGGGTACGGTAACTGTGGGTGTACTGTAGCAGATTGATTGATGTTAGGCTGTATTTTACAAAAGCTGCTTTACAAAGTAAAGTGCCCCTTTGAAGGGAAATCTCAAGTTGGCAAAAGCTACAGTAATCTATTCTATTGAATCAAGTACTGTGCAGGCTACGGTACATCACAAAGTGCAGTATCCCTTTGAACGGAAAGCTAAAAGCTGACAGAAGCTAAAGTAATCAATTGTGTTTGATAAACCGAGTACAGTACAGGGTTATTTAAAATATATCTTCTATCCTTTCCAGGCCCATCCCGAACAGTGGACGAATTGTCCGATCTGCGCAAAAGGCGGGGTCCAAGTGGAGATCGAGTCGCACGAGGCGATGAGGAAACACATCGACGCTGTCCATCTCAAGGTCACCGACGGGAAAAAGGTAGGGAATAGACGTGTACTCTTTGTGCTCCTTGTAAACGCATCGCTTCTGGCATGAAGTTACAATATTTCATCTTTTCAGTACTGCACCTACTGCTCGCGATGTCTCGAGAAACGCGTGTACAGTCATGTCATCTATGAATGCACGGCGATCAAGGCATGCATGATTTGTGGGACTGGTGAGTTGGAAAAACTACCGTAAGGCAAAAGATAGCCACTCCTTCAATCCGTGACCTAAAACATGATCCCACTTTCTCTTTCGACCGTAACCTTTTCTCTATTTTTGATTCAATCTATTTAATTTTTGTATTTTTTTCATACCTACTAGAGAGAGAAATTGTATTAATCGATACCCTACTAAAGAGGTATAGCACCCATAGTATAATGTACACAACAGCAGTTCTTCATCTCTGCTACAGTCCCTGAACATATAGTAACATATTAAATATTATTGAGATTGAAATCTGTACAAGTGTATGCTGCTGTAAGACAATACGCTAAATAAATATGGGTACTGTACCTACTGGAGGGTTACTGGACTATGTATTTATTACAGTGCATGATTATTTTGAAGGTATCTTAACTTTCAGACAAGTTCGACTCGATCGCCCGTCACCGTACCACGACGCATGGCAATGGGTGAGTTTAAAAATTTGAAAATCTAATTATCTACAAAATTTTTAGCATTATGTCCCGTTTCGAGTGCAATCTCTGTCATATCAAAACGTTCTCATGTGACTACGTAAAAGAACATTCCTGTATGTCTACCTTTTTGCCGCATCGGTGCAATTGTGGAAATGGAGAGGTAGGGGATGATATCTAGATAACAAAAAGATAAATCCAGGTTTACATCGATCGAAGCGCTTTCGAAGCCCATTTCCGGAAACACATTCAAAGCACGAAGAATGAGTCAAAATGCCTTCTTTGCACGGCGATCATCCCGCCAAGCAAGAACTTGTTCGTGCATGGGTGAGTGTGCCAAAGGGTTGGCGTTTAGGGGAGCACAAAGTACAGGCTACAGAGGTTTACTTAATGTGAGGGTTGTTCTGGGATCTAGCCTAACTTCCTAGCCTTGCCTAGTCGGATCTGACTTTGCTACAGGTCTTGCCTAGCCTGCACAAAGTGTCTGGGCCTGGCCTTGTTTTGACTTGACCGGACCTGGCTTACAGGCGCAGGGTGACAGTTTAGGCATCCCTGCCTAATTTTATTAATGGCACACCATAGTATTCTTATACTTGGTGGTACAGTAGGTTGAGCCTATGGAACAGTAAAGTCTAGAGTTAGCTTTCAATCAAGCCCGTATCTAACCTAGATCAAGTATTATCTATAACTTGCTCAGGGTCAATCATTTATTTAGTACTACAAGTTGAGTACTGTAAATAAAGATTCCTGAGCACAGGTAACTAAGAGCAAAGGTCTGCGCTTTCGAAAACGGTCTGCATACGGTAAACTGGACATGACCGGTCGGATGACTGTATGCAGACTAACAATGAGTAGAGTTTGAGATTACTGGATACCGTCCGGATCACTGTATCAGGGCCAACAATGATTAGGGTTTTGGCCTGTACTTACAAGCAGGATAAGTAAGATAATCAATAGCAATAGCAACAGTATACGGTGACTTGAAAAACAGTGTCTTTCAGCCAACAACATATGATCATTCAAAAGGACACGTCGGGCCGTCGGACGATCGTTTTGGACAAAAATCTGGTGATTGATGAGGAGAAGCTGGAGGAGAAGCGGCAAAAAGAGGGTGGGATATTGGAAAAGTTATCAAACTAGATAAATCTTAAAATTTAGACGCAAAAGTCGTCAAAGAGATCGTTCGAGCGATGGTTCGGGAAATCGTTGAAGAAAGAGGCGAAGAATGGGAAGATGGGGAAAGCTCGCCGGAAGACGATGATTGTCTGATAATTGGTGGGGTTACTTTAGATATAATCACAGTGTACTTTGGGCTCAGGCCTGTAAACACGCCCCTTCTGGCGTACTGAATCCTTCATTGTTTCTCGTGCCACTAAAGCGTTGCCAGGAGGAAAATGGAAGAATTGAGTACTCCAGAAGGGGTGTGTTTGCAAATTGTTAGCCTAACTAGGAGCCGTTAGAACAATATAGTACCCGTCAAATAAACGTACAGGCCTGATTTTAGATCCCCAGTCGTCGACAGGAGGAGCTCAACTGCAGTTGCCTCGGGAAGAGGGGGACACGGGGTTAGTTTGAAGTTGATAAGAAAAGAAATTTCTGTGATATGTGTAAATTTGATTCATTCAGACTTCCCCAAAGTGTGACAATGAGCGGGTATTTTGAAGACGATGAGACAAATGAGCTGGGTGACGAATTCTCGTGTGTGTCGGTTAGTCTTACAATTAGTTGGCTTGGATGGTCAACTCTATTCTCACTCTTGCACCTAAACGTGTATCTTGTACTTTCCAGGCCGTCCAACCAACAATCAAAGAGATCACCGTCGAGGATGAAGATGACGAGCTGGCGGTGATCGCTCAAGTTGAATAGTTGGGTTTTTTTAAAGTTTTCTCTTGGGTACAGTACTCTTAACAAGGTTTACCGTACTTTCAGAACTGTTAATATTGATACAGCACCTTAGGTTACAGTATCTGTCACAGTACCTAAGTACCTTACTGTACTGTAGCTAAATTGGCGTATACTACTGCATTACCGCATTACCGTACCTAGCTAGTAAGTTCAAGTGAATTGACTCCTTGTTGGCCCAAAATAGGTACAGATAAGCAATTTAATTGCTAACTAGAAAAACTTTAGTCCGGCTGGAACACTACCTTCAACAGTTGCCTCGGGATCGCGAACGAGGCGGAACAATTGCCCGAAGTGTTCGGCCAAATTCATCACCGAGAAATCGTTAAAGTACCACCTCGACACCGCGCACAAATTCGATGCTGGGGGAACGATTATGGAGGTGGGTTTCGAAATAAAATTACATCAAGTACTATAAAAATATAGGCATTATTCAATTTTATTCCGCAATTTACATTTAAAATCGAAATTAGCATTGATAGATGAAGTAGACACTGTAACCTAAATCTTACTGTGAATTTTCCAGGACCTGGGCATCCCCGAGCACACCTCTGTCTTCATTTGTCGCCCGTGTTGCGTGGCGTTCAAGGCGCCCGCTCAGCTGCAAACCCATCAAAAGCAACACGTCGGATCGAATCAGTTAAAGTGGGTTACTTTGTGATTACTTTGTCTAAAAATTGCTATGGGATACCGTACTCTTGAAAGTGTGGTAGGAAAAAAAATTAGCAAGACTTGACCGACATTGAAACTTTTGGACAAGATCTATCTACTATATATAAAAGAGAAAAGTCCGTCTGTCTGTCCGTGACACTCTGGATGTCGGCTCTCTGTGAACCGATTTCGGCAAACTTTTTTTGATCGATAGGGAGTTAAAAATGAATAAGTGCATCCTTTTTGGTTAAAACAAGTTTTTCATTAAAAACCCGTTAAAAAATCAGAAAAACCACTTAGCCACGTCCCTTTTTGCCTTGGCGGTCTGTGGGAGGGAGGGCGTGGCCGAGGTGGTTGTCCCGTCTACAAATAGACTGCCCTAAGGTGTCGGGTTCGATTCCCCTCCGTTCCAAACTTTTTTGCTTTAATTGTTTTCAAATATGGAGTTGAAGTATGCAAATTTGAGTTACCTCGCAGCGAAGGTAATGAAATGATACAGGGGTCTCGGAGGGGCGGTCTCGACGTTAGTCGCGCCAAGCTTTGCATACCGTATTTATTCTAATAAAAACACATGTGCTTCTATTTTTCAATCTCCCAAAATCAGCCGAGCAAGAAAGTAGGTAAGGGAGACCACATAAATCAAAAATTTAGAATTTATCTAGAGTTAACTGATAACGCGATTAACACGAGGGCGTCAACTACCTCGAGAGATCAAATTATACGTTAGCTCCAAAACACCCAACCAGAAAAGCCCGCCGTTAGGCGGTCTTTTCTGGCTGGGTGTTTTGGCGGGTGTTTCAGCAGATATACGATAATTTCTATAAGCTATAGAGATCTCGATCTCGATAGTCAGGTCTAGTACTAAAGATACGGTTAGAATTGTTTCACTGTTTCCTCTTGCTTAAACTCTTTTCTAAAAGGTGCGCTTTGGGGGAAAATTGCCGTACTCTTTCACACTTAACACCGTTACCGCCATTTTATTTGACGGGATTACGGTAGGGAGTGCACTTTTTAGCAGCGCTTTATTTAAGAAAAAGTAGATCATAGGCAAATTGCACTTTATAATGGCTGCTTGTTATTGAACGATCAGATAAGTTAAAGCTTCGGCAAACTTGGCCTTGAATTATGGTCGTCTCGGATTGCAAACTTCAAGATTAGCACGGGGTTAATCTTATCCATTTTTGTTTTTAGTTGTGATCGCTGCTCGATGGTTGCCTACAACGCTCAACTCTTGGATATTCACATGAAATCGCATAATGATGGCCGACTCACCTTCTCATGTCATCGATGCCATTTCGCGTACAAAACTGTGGGTTAATGAGCCGACCAGTCATAGAATGGATAAAATTTATGGATAAGAGTTGTGGAGTACTGTATCATAGTAAATATAGCTCAGGAATACTGCAAGTACGGTACAATGCGACAGTATGTAAGTGAGAGCAAGTTGTAAAGTTACATTTCAATGTACCTATCGTAGTCCTGAGTACGGCGCAATAATCTTACGGTATCGTACTCCTACAGTATAGCAGTAAACTGGTACAGTACAGTAAAACAAAATTTCAATTTTCCAGGATTCCGAGCTCTACGGCCATTTGGAAGAAAAGCACCAAGTGCCACTGATCTATTTCTGTAAGACGTGCAATTTGGGCTCAACGAATGGACTGTTGATCGCCGAACACGTGACCTCGAGGATGTGCGCACCGAAATACCAAGGGGTATGATATTTCTCTAGATAATTAAATAGGCTTAATCCAGCACGTTATAGAAACGCTATTAGTACAGTACAGTATATCAGTAACCCAATGCCGTTAACGTACCAGGCCTTGACTGACTGTAAGTCATTTGGCAGTACTAGATGCCATCAGTACAGTACTCTAAATGTTACTATAACATTGCTAGTACTATGCCGTACTGGGACATCATTAATACGGTAATAGTACTAGGGAATTCGAGAATACTAGAGGGTTCGTACTCAAACGTTGGGTACAGTAAACGTTAGGTAGGTCATAGCACAGTACCAGGAAGTAGTCCAGACAAAAATCTAACGAAACTACTTTTCAGAAGAACATCGAGGCGAACTTCGGGATCGCTCCCGCATCGATTTTCCACTACAATCCGCCGGATCTCGATCGATACAAGCAGCTGGTTGCACAGAAGGCGATCAAGGTTGACTTAAATGGAGATATCATCCTACAAGTCGTGGCGGAGCTGCAACAATACATTTGAGTTCAAAAATACCGCCAAGACTTATAGGATGATCTTATAGGGACTTTAGATATTTAGATTTGTTATAGATGTTTGACTATATATTCGCATTCAGGCAATCGACCCCTCACTTTGCAATCACCGCACTTTCGTGGCTCCATCGCAAACGGTGGTCGCTTGTTTGGAGTGTCACTGCTTGATGAATATTGCCAGCTTTTTGGCCCATAAAGAAGCGACCGGTAGTGGCGCGGAGGTGAGTGACTTTGGTAATGTAACCTATCAATAAAAGCTAGAACGCTTAATAGACAAGCTAGTAATACTGACAGCGCTTACGGGAGTGTACTTTGAGAGCCCGTGTAAACAAACCCATTCTGGCGCACTTAACTCTTGAATGCACCGATTATTATAAAGTTATAGGATATCCAATACGCTCTCGTCAATCACCCTCACGTTCTTTCACCACAACGAAAGATGATCAATCTCGTGAATCGGATGGGCACAGGGAAATGGGCGAATGGGACTGGGAATAGAACGGTGGGGATATATTTTTTTAATCTTAATTAATAGAGGATATTCTACCCGATACGGGACTAGGCCTTGCAAGCCAGGACAGGGCAGTGAAGGCCAGATCAAAGCCAAGCTAGAGCCAGGTTCGGGCCGGGTCAGGTCAGCTAGATCTAGAAGCAGACCAAAGTCAGACGGGACAGAGCTGACCCAGGAGTCAGGTCCAAAACCCTGGCTCAAGTATTTTCATCGGTCCAGCCAGCACAGATCAGAGCCAGGATCAAATTGTCTAAATACATAACTTTTGGAAATTTCAGATGCCACAAGTTCAGCCAGTGGTCCAACAGCCACGTCCACAAGTGGTTCAACAGCCACGTCCACAAGTGGTTCAACAGCCACGTCCGCAAGTGGTTGGTTTTTCAAAATTAGAATCACCTAGGTTTAAAGTACACAGTACAGACAGTAATTCACAGTAAAGTAGCTGTATAATCTTATAAATATAATATTATAAATCATCTCTAGTCCAACTTCCCACCGCAAGCTTACAACTTTACCGGATTGTGGACAAAACTTGGGCCACCACCCAGCAGACAGACTGCAGCTCGAACACCGTACCAGGTAGATTGAGATAATAGATAATAGGTATCTGTATCTATATTTGTATAGCATAGATATAGCCATTTAGCTGAATATCTGATTTTTAGTCTAATTATTTAACTTTAGCCTCTCCACTCGGCAACCCGGCGAGCACCCTCGGCCACCGCTCAGATCTCGGTGAGCTTCAAGAAAATTTGTATATATAATTTGAATATAATGGGAGTCTTATCTAAAGTACTATACTCTACTTTTTGAATGTAAATTTGGCAAATCTCAATCAGCGGTTGTTTGTGAACGATACCGTATGGACCATTGGACTTTGAGGCAATGACCATAGTCAGCCCAGCTTAATATGATTAGTATATACTAATTAAAATATTATACAGTATAATAAGTATCTTATATTCAAATTCCAGACGAAACCGATCAACACACCAGAGTTGAACCTGGCAACTGTGCTTGGCGACATGCTGAAGAACAACGGGAGTACGGTAAGAGGTTGATTCGTGATATAAAATGAGTTCCAAATCTCCTCTTGGAAGTAAAAGACAGCTGTAGCTACAGTAATCTATTTAAAGACTAACAATAAGGCTTGGGCGGGGTAGTTGCAAGCCAATCCAATATGCGGTAGTTCAGAACTAAGCTATGTTAGACCACGGTAGTTACAGGTCAGGCTAGGCTCTAAGGTATAATTTCTGCGAGCCCTAGAAGTGCATTAAATAGAAATTTGAATATCTTTAACGCTTTTACGACAATCTATTTCAGGCTCAACAGTCGAGAACCACTTTTTCGGCATCAACCCGCTTTCAACCACCCCGTGTGCAACTATCAAGAGCACAGCCAACGAGGAAACCACAAGAAGTCGTGCTGAGTGATGATGAGGAAACCAGTACTCCACAGAGTTCGAATGGGTACGAAATTTATCAGATAATCGTGGGCTGTACTCTCAAAATTGGTCGTAGTATACTATGCTGAATTAAGTGTGCTAGAAGGGGTGTGTTTGCAAGTTTTTTGATAGCACAGAGTACACTCCAAATCACAGAGTACACTCCAACGAGAGTGCGCTTCGTAGATGTGCAGCTTCTGACACATCACTGAGAGTTGGGCTAAAGTACGATTTTCAGCTCATCTCACTCGACGAACAAAATTGGCGCTCCGTGCCACATTTGCCACAAGTCGATCAACAACAAGGACCTGCTACAATTGCACGAATTGCACACGAACGGGCACAATTACTTCTGTCTGGATTGCCCGATCAGCTTGCCGGATGAAGTGGGTTTCTAGTTTCTGGTAAAAGTTTAAGATACTGTAAGGGTTACTGTCCTGGAGGATGCTGAATACTTGGACTTACAGGACCTTTATTACAGTACTTAAATCTTAAACTAAACTAGATATCTAAAGATCTATATGCAAATTTGTTTAGCAAGCCGCCATCGAGCACTACTTCACTGTCCATGTCAAGAAGACGCCCGCTAGGGGTTTGTTTTTAAAAAATCGGTACTGTAGATAACTAATTATCTAAAATTTAATTAGATATAAACATCTAAATAATTTTTTTCAGAAAAACCACTCGTGTTCGATTTGAAATGCCCGTTCCATGGATGCGAATTCAAGACGGAGACGCTCGTCACGTTGAGGCAACACTTGGACACGCACAATTTGCCCGTCAAAAGCCAGTAAGTGTTATGGAAAAAGTGATTGGTGATTGGTAGTGATTGGTGGACTTTGGGTTCAACTTTGAAACGCACATCTTTTGGTGCACTGCATTCTTCAATTTTGCACAGCAACGATTTGGTGTCATGAGAAATGAAGAGTTCAGTGCGCCAGAAGGGGTGTGTTTCGTATTTTGAGCACCAGATGCCTACAGTATGGCTTGGATAGATTGAATAAAAATAGAGGCGAGATTACTGTAGAAAGGGGACACGATTTTTGGGGGAACAGATAGAAGCTACAGTACTCTTACCATAATCTTGTACTGTACAGTATTATTGTGCATTTATCAATCTTCCTAGGCATTGCTCGACAAGTTTCTCAACGGAAGGTCATCGGAAAGCGCACGACAGAGAGCATGAAAAGTTGGAAGAGTGAGTTGCTAAAAGCTAAAATATTTGAATTCTTACAGTAAGTCGTACTGTACGACAAAGTATTAAAACTTTAGTATTTTAATGTACAGTGTAGCTAAAATTCACTTTTAGAGCCGGCATCGAGGGGAATTGTTGCTTGTTGTGCGGCACGTTGGATGTTTGGACGAAGAGACTACCCGATTTCCCGATGCCCATTTCGCACATGGCAATTCATGGGCTGAGAAAGTGAGGATTTAAATTAGCTACACTAGTCTACAGTAACCCGTCTGGAGAGCTGCATTGCAGGCAAACTTTCTCATTTTCAGGTTCGTCATGTGCCGCGATTGTAACGTTTGCTTCAAACACGATGCTCAGGTGAGTGGTGGAAAGAAATGGGACCAGATGTAGATAAAGATTTAGCTAGTACAGCTACTAAAACTAGTACAGACTTTTAAAGCAATGGTACTCCGGTACTACAGCAGCCGGTGCTTGTCAGTTAGATGGACACAAAAAACTGTTTTGCATTAAGCCGGTTATGTGGACACAATTTGAATTTTTACATTTAGAGGCCTGTATTTGCTTGGAAGGCGGAAAGGAATCAAAGCAAATTGATCATTGCAGAATTTCTTAAGTTGAAAATTCAAATTTTATGTCCATTTAGCCGACTTGATGCACAGCCTTTTTTGTGACTATATAAGCGAGAAGTACCCAGTAGCCTAACAAGCTAAGGGGATACTAAAAGTTAGCTTACGGTGGCTAGGGTAAGAGCTTTAGTTAGGACTATGTTTTTAGTGAAATTAGAAATTAGACTGTATAGAGGCACTGAAGAAAATGGCTAAATTGAAGTTATACATTCTATCATTTCCAGGGCAAGAAACTCGTGCAACATTTCCAAACGATTCACACCAAAGAGTTGTCCCGTGGATCGGACCAAGTCCAATGCAAACTGTGCCAAACACTGTTTCCCATAAACGATTTGGCCAAGCACGCGAGAGAAAAGCATTATGTGAGTTCATTTATTGAAGGGTTAAAATTGTAAACCAATTTGTTTATAAAAAGTGAAGCTTGTGCGCGATAGTTATTGTACTTTGTACTCTGGATGTTTTTCTTGAGAAAGCATTTTCTCACTTTCGAAAAGCTACCCTCAGAAGACTGTCCGTGAAATTGGAAAGCTTGAGGCAAGGTTACGGTAATCCAGTAAGAGGACACGTTTTAGAAAAGGAATTAGAGCCGGATTAGAGCTACACACTACAGTTACAGAATACTTCTGCTTACTGTATTTTAGTTACTACTAGTACTGGTTGCTAAGCACTCGAATCACTGGCACACTTAAAACTTCATTTGACAAACAAAATTCCAAAATTTCCAGGTCCATGGTTTCAAGAAGCGTTCCCGTGCCAAAGAAGGACAATTAATCGTCACTGCTGGGGCTTCACTGCGTGTCTATTTGGGTCTCCAGCCGGTTTATCATCCCGATGATAAAAGTGATATTGATTGAATTTTTTGAATAACTTATCTAGTCTTCACTTTTTATATTCACTTTATGGATTATTGTATTTGTGGTTTGCGAGTGTTTTAGGATTTTCGATAGATTTTTTTCAATTGTTACGGGATTTATAAATGTTGCCAAAAAGTGGGGCTAAATGCACAAACACATGTTGAGCTACGGTAGACATGAAAATAGTAAATGAGAAACTGAGTTACGATGGTATTGGACAAAGGTTACGGCAGTACTATACAAAGCTCAAATATGTTTTCTAAAATGTACTCTCTAGAAAAAACTATCGTACTATGATAGGGTATGCCTGGATTTCAAGAAACACTTAATTTACTGTACCAAGAGCACCTTTTAGAAAGTGCTTTAGTCGAGAGGAGTACTGTAAGATTTTTGTAACTATTAAAGTACTCCATTTTCTATTTGGCGCTCACCGGCTTACTGTACTTTTTTATAAGAGCACATTTTAGAAAGCGCTTTCGATACATACTTTAGGCGTGTTGTAACTAAATTTCGCTTATTGGTCAAAGTTATTGTAGAATAGCAACCAAGCTGAGCCCCACCGTACTCTGTTTTCTATTTCGCACTAACCTTGGCTGCATTCTAGTCCAGTAAGAAAATTTTATTGTTTTTTTTTGTGCCAGGTTTGGGTCTAAACAATCTCTTGTCTAGCACAAAGTGTTCTCTGGTCACCGAGCGAAAAAAAACTGACCGGCTGTCTCTCTTTTACACCCGCTATCCCTATCCCGTCGCTCTCCCTTTCCCTTTCCCCTTTTCACCCACAATAATCTCCCACTCTTCCGTCTGCACTCTGCCATTTTGCTCGAGTTAGATTTTTCCATGATCACACGTTACGATTCCTTTTTTAAAAGTTGTTAATGAAATTTTAATGGATTGGATTTGAATTGGAATATTAAAGCGTGCACATTTTCGGGCACGGTATTGGTGCAAGGCTTAGAAAAATTATGATGCAATTTTTGAAAAGTTGATAGTGGAGACTTGTTTGTTGTTTATAAGTTCCTACAATTTTCTTGATATTTTGCGAATTAAAATCGTAAAGTGTTTCTCCTTTTGGGTCCGGTAACTTGTACACGGTTTTGGAGAAACTATGATGTAATTTTCAAAAACTTCACTAGTAGACGGTGTTGTTTTTAATTTTTTTTTTTTAATGTTTTCTTGCTTGCTATCTTGTTAATTTTTTGTTCTACTAATATTTTAATACTTTAGAATGGATCGCGAGGCATTCATTCATTTCATTGGAGGCGCCGTGGGAGGGACAGCCGGAACTGCATTCACATGTCCGCTTGAGGTAAAATATTTGATTTTTATCAAAAGAAGCGGAAACGGTATTTGTTGAGTGAAGAATTGCGAAAAACAAGCAAATTACGTGATAATATTGGTACATTGCGCGTTTTGAACCTAAAACCAGCCCTGGAATAACGTTAGTTTGAAATTTTAAGTTAACTTTTGGTTTTAAACCTTCACAAGGTTCTCTGGTTGTTTTTAAAACGAAAAATATAAAAAGAAAGCAGTAATTAATTGATACAAAACAAGTTAATTGTAAATTTTAAGGCTTTAAAAGCTTTTTCTTCAAAGATTAGGCAATCGTTCTAACTTTTATCTTTAGGTGATCAAGACGAGATTACAAAGCAGCAAAGCGTTGGCCGAATTCTCGGGCGGTGGACCTTCTACTTCAGGTAAAGTTTGAGTGAAAGCATTCAATTTATAATCATTTGACTTTAGAAACTAAAACTGATGGTCTAATAATTAATATAAAACTTTTAGGCGGTACCTCAACATCGAATGGTTCTCAGCCAGTGGCGCCTGGAAAACAAGGATCACCGGGTAGTGGAAGCGCCTATAAACACATCATCGGACAAATGCTTCGTCGACCAATCAGCTTGGCACCTCTTCACAATTTGCATCTATCAAGAGGTGATAAACTTTTATTCAAAATTTGCTGAATATTTTTATCTTTTAGTAAAGATTCTTGATCAAGACTTCACTTTAAAATTCTTTTTAGTAAGCTGCTTATCGGACTTGTTGCTTGCACGACAATTACACACGCAAATGGCAGGGAAGACCAGAGAAGTGGCAATCTTCAAATACATAAAGTAACGAGTTTCTTTATGCTTTTTTATCGAAACTTTAGGCACATCATAAAAACCGAGGGATTTGGCGCACTTTACAAAGGATTGGTACCAAACTTGATCGGAGTTGCGCCATCAAAGTGAGTCATTCTTCTTTTTCTAACAAAAATACGTTTAGGGCTGTTTACTTTTACACGTATTCGACGTCGAAAAGATTCTGGAACGATACGGACATTTTTCTACCAAATTCGGCAATTGTGCACATGCTATCAGCCGGAACGGGAGGTAGTTATTTTAAAGATTTGACGATGAAAGGAGATAGGTATGCTTAAGTGCCTTATTGATGTCTACTAGTATTAAAAGCTTAACGAGCTGTCGTTTAAGCTGGTCTGATTGTAATTGTTTTAGGTATGGTTGCTGCGACGGTTGTGAATCCGATTTGGTTGGTGAAGACGAGACTACAATTGCATCATGGAAAGATGGGCATTTGGGCAATGGTTAAAAGAGTGCATCAACGAGAGGGATTCCGAGGATTTTATCGGGTATTTTAAACAATAAGTCTCGTTTACCAAGTCTTAAGCCATTCATTAGCCCTAAATCACCTAAATTCACAAATTTTTGAGTAAACCAACACTGGCATTAATTTGTGTAAGCTGCTAAACAATTTAAGCCTTCAATTTTTTTTTATTTTAGGGTGTAACTGCCTCGTATGCTGGCGTGTCTGAAACAATGATTCAATTCGTACTCTACGAGTATTTCCGTCAAGTTCTTCTTGAGTAAGCTAAAGATCTTTATTCTGACGCTCATAAAAAAAGTTTAGATGGCATGGTACAGCAGAGGAAACAGATCGTCGCAAACTTGACTTCCTCAAGTTCGTATTTGCTGGCGGCGGTGCTAAATTTATCGCTTGTGTCATCGCTTATCCACATGGTAATAGTTTATTTTATTAATTGAGTTATGAGTTTTTAGAAGTTGTACGCACACGCTTACGAGAAGAAGGATCGAGTCGAAAAGGATTCTTCGGAACACTCTATCAACTCTACAGAGAAGGATGGAAAACGATGTATCGTGGACTCAGTGTACAAGTAAGATTTAGAACTGCTTTCACTTTTGAAGTAGACCTGCATAAGGCGAACTTGGACTTTACGCGGTCTTTTGAATTACCAGGGCTGGCTTACTTACAGTGAAAGTTTGCTAGATCTAGCTTCTATTGATAACATAAGTAGCAGCAGAACTTGGCAAAACCCTAATATTTTTCTTTAGTTGATGCGTACTGTGCCCTCAACGGCGATAACGATGACCACTTACGAAACTTTCATTTATTTGCTTCATCAGCTTTGGAAAGATGAGCAACCAACTTAATTTTGCCTCTTGTTAAATTTTGTGGTTTGAAGTTTTCTTTCAAGAACACATTCGCACCGTGCACTTTGCAAACCGTTTCCTTTTATTTCGTCCTTTTTTGTGTGCCCTGCCATATTTTCAGTTATTTTCCTGTTGATATTACTTAGTCGAGGCTTAACTATTTATTATCGGGTTTTATTTATCGTTTTTAAAAAAAATCAATCTAGTAGTTTTGTCCAAACCAATTGTTTTTAAGAGGATTGCTCAAATTGTTCTCTTTTTTATCGAAATGCTTAGGTCAAATCACTCGCTCTGCTCAATTATTGTTGTCTCTTTAAAAAGTTTTCCGTTTTAATCAAAACCCACAAGATGTGCCTTCATATTTTACAGTGAACTAGTGTTTTTCATACTAGTGTGTGTAGCATAGTTTTTGCTCTCGATAGCATAGTCGATTATCTTTTGGTTATTTTGTCTTACCTGAAGCGTGTATAGCTCTCCCTGTATGTAAATGTTTAACGAATAAATTTCTATTTTATTTTGTCGAACTTTTGAATGAACGTCTTTCAGGTGGATTTTATATTTTAAGATTGTTCTGGCCCTTGTGTAATGGTAATGTGTAAGGTCCTAAAAAATGTGCTTCACTCCAAAGTCTCACGAGTACGAGTTTTTAAAGGGATTTTGTGTATAAATAAGCACATATTCCTAATCTGTTCCCCTGCTTTTATAAAGTTGTTCATGTTAAATCATTTTTCAGTCAAAGAATGGTATTCTTTTGTTGTGACAAATGTGGCGAATCGTTGAAGAAAAATCAAGTCCAGAAACATCATTATGGGTAAGCGTTCTGAATTTTAACATTGTAAACCCTATTTTAGATGTCGGTCTCATTCCTATTCTTGTTTCGATTGTCAGAAAGTTTTCAAGTAAGAATTTAGAAGACATTCTGGTAAAACATTTTGTTTAGCATTGATTCGTACGCGGATCATTTGAAGTGCATAACAGAAAATCAGAAGTACGGCGGGAAAGGCTACATCGAGAAAGTTAATAAGGTGGGTTCTTGGAATTAAAAAAACTTCTGTTGATCTTTGTTAGCAATTCTCGAGACTTTAAAATCACAATCCGGTAGAAAATTTCATATTTTAGGGTGAAGCCAAGCAAACAGCCTGGGTTGACCTAGTCGAACGAGCAACTGAAGCCGTCAAAGATCCCAAATTGAAAAATCTACTCGTCAGCATCTCCGGTTTTGCCAATATTCCACGAAAGGTTTGTTCATTTAAAAGTTTTTAACTTAAAATTAATTATAGGAGGCTAAGTTTATCAATTTCTTGGTGAATTCTATACGGATTCGGGATCAAAATTTATGCCAACAAGCGTGGAATGCTATCGCTGAAGAGACAAACAAGATAAAAGTGGGGGTTGACCTTTTAAAATTAAAAGGATGATGTTTAGGTGGAGACAACTGTTGTTAAAGAAACCACGAGCAATGGAGCGAATTTGAAAGAAGAAATAGAGGGGAAGGAAACGGAAGCTACACCAACGGCTAATGGAACAAATGGAGATGCGGATGATGAAGAGAATGAGGCAAAAACGGGAAATTCGACGAATTCCCAGGTGGATAGTTTGGAATTAAATCTGCTGTTGGTAAATCTACCTCTTTTCAATAGAAGAATCTCTTTGTTACTTAAAGTATAACTGCCATCGTTTAATATCTAGCAGTTTGTCACTCTTATCTCTCTTCAGGCTGGTTCATTGAAATGGAAGAAGGCAATTAAACGAAAAGTGCGCGATGCTGGCGGGCAGATCAAAGTAAGTTTTTGTTACTTGAGTGAAATGTGAGTCTTCAATTTAGCTCAAAAAGTTGCGCAAAGCTATGCACGAGGACTTTATGAAAGCGGGCGACTCGGAAATTGACTTTGATAGTACTTTTGATGAGAAATTGCAAAAGGTTGGTGTTTTTGAGTTTGGTTCCTAGAAGTTTTCCAGCTTAAAAGATCTGCATTTTGTAGATGAGTTTAAAAATGAAAATGTCAAAAAGAATTGGCTTGAATGTTTTATTTTAGGCTGGAGTCCGGATCGAGGGGAAAATTGTTTTACTGACGGCATAAATTCAGTTTGATTTCAATTGTTTTTGTTGTTATTTTGTTATTTCTTTTGTTGAGTTGTCATTTTCGTTGTTGTTAGTGAATAAATTCTTTCGTACTTAAGGAAAGACCGAAGGAAAACGAAAACAAGGGAAACAAAATGCACACAAACTTACGAGGGTCTTTTTGCATTTAGAGCAACTGTCTGGGAATTCAAAATTTGCATTTAAATTTTGTGGAGCGCACGAAAAAATCATTTGATTTTTTTGAATTTTAAAATTTTGCTTATATTTCCTTGTTTCCCGTTTTTATTTGTTTGACCCTATCAAGTGAATTCTAACGTTTTTAAGCACTGAAAGCTTTAAAATAAAACCGATTTTATCTGCTAAAGAATGTGTGCTATGCGTTTTGCCCAAACTTTTTGAGTAGAACGAAAAAAAATTGTCTGCGCTTCTCCCTAGACTAGGAATTCACTGATTTAATCAACATTGTCCACGAATTTTTGATCATTTTTTTTTGTTTTCTTTGATTGATGTCAAAGTTCTCTCGATTTCTGTGCAATTCACACATTTTTGTGCATTTTAGCGGCTCGAAACGAAACAAGACGATGGCCGGTCTCATCATCGAGGATCGTTTGGCCGTGTTTCGCCGAACTCCAGCATCAACACGTAAAGTTTTTTGAAATTTTGGCGAAATTTTGCACTTTGTGTGTCCGCAAAAGTTCATTCCTTAACCAAGTAGGCTTTCCTAGGAATTGTAAAGTTAAGCGGCATAATGGTAAAGAAGACGAGTTTTAAGTATATGACTTAAACGAAAGAAGTTGAATTCTTCTGTAAACTAGAGCAAACTGTGGACATTGTTCCTAAAAAGTAATTAAATTTATCGAAAAGTACTTTATGTACTTCTTTGGGTCAACCTACTCCTTTTCAATAGGATTTCATAGCTCTACTTTGACTAGCGAATACAGGGAGCTTATCGTCTTTCTGATTTCTGTGGACCCGAAAAGAATGACTTTTTGGGGAAAGTAATAACTCCCTATTATCGAGATTGCCAAAAGAAGAAATCGCTCAACGCTCCATAACTAGAACGAAAAGCTTTCTTTGGCGTGTTTCGATCGAATCACTCCACAAGAAAAATGGGTCCACCAGCTCGTACTATCCCCCCTCAACCGCAAGCAACCGAGAAATGAGATAAGGTCTTTGAGACTATGTGACGGTGTGCTCGGCTTTTTTTGCCCTGAACCTTCCGGCTTCACTTTTTGAGAGCCAAGGCGAGAACGTGAGAGGAGTCACCTAAAATTCTCACATAAGGTTTTAAGGGAGTCAAAAGCGATCGTAAAAATTGTTGTAACTAGACAGTTTTTCTTTGGCACTGCCTGGAAGAGCTCACAAGATCTTTTTTACCTTAAAATTTTGTGAATTTAACACAGTTATCCACTTCCAAAGGAAGTTTACCAGATCTATCTGGTAACACTATAACTTTGCGAGTTGTTAGCTGGTCAGCCTTCGATCCGCTGTTTCTACAAGCTGATCAGAGAAATACCCAACTCCAGTGAAACCTCATCCCGTTAATCGATCGCTAGAGATTTTCTGTTACTATGCATTTGCAAAGTGATCTGATGACACCATCAATCATAGTATTTATAAGAGTGATAAGCCTTTTTTCATGAAAGGGTAAAGGTTGTGTCTCATTTCACCTCTCACCCCTCAACACTTTCATGTCATTTTTTTGTCGATCCAGCTGGGCGGTGCCTCGTCTTGTCTCTTTTTCGGCTTCTCTTCTGTGCTCATATTTTCTCTTTTCTTCATCTTCTCACGGTGCGTGCTTCTTCGTTTCTTCTTTCTCTCCTCATAGTCTCTGTTGGTCTTTTGCTTTCCTTTTTTGCTTTTTCTCGATTGCCGCCTGTCCGCACTTGTTGCCTGTTCCCGGCTTTGGTGTGGCATTTCGGCCCATCCCTCCTTCCCTCCTTCACCTTCCCCTTCCTTTCCCCTACCACCACCTCGATTGACTCTTGTCAACTAAACCGGGGCGATCATCACCTATATTCTATAATGGATTCTTCTTCAGATTACTCTCTCTGGAATGGAAATGGCGAGACGATCATCCACATTAAGTACAAGTACCCGCAATGGCTACAGGTCGAGACGTAAGTGATTTTTGTGTGTTGGAGAAAACTGGGGTTTTTTTGGTAATTCTAAAGTTCTTAAGAGAGTAAAGAGTTCTTTTCTGATTTCCAAAAGCTAAGAGCATTAATCGACCCACTTATTATTTCTGGACTCTGCTGGACTGGACTTAAGATCGTCCATACTGGCTAATATCTAGACCCATTTAAAGATCTCGATATTAGCCGGCTATATCACATTGAAAGAAGAATCTATCTTATATTTTATCCGTTGGATCTAACCGTAATACCATGATCTCCCTAAACTATGCAAGCTCTTCCGACGTTTGCTTTGCTCGTGGTTCACCAAGTTTTTTCGTTGAAAAAAATTTGATACCATTCAATCGCACTAAAACGATCGACGTAAAAACGTAGGCTGCGCGCCGATGTCTGTTCTAAAACAAACATTGTGGCCTGGCCATGGGGATTGCGGTCCACCACACTCTCTGACCATGAGCACATGCATTTTTGTCGTTCTCTCTTTCTCTTTTGTACGTATCTCTCTACGAATCATCCCACTTGTAAACGATGTCTGTGTGCCCTTTTCATCCACACTCCCTTATAATGTTATGACAGAGAGATTTTTTGTGCATGAAAGGAAATAAAATATGATATGTTCCAAGCAAAAAAAAAAGGAATCATAACTGTGGAAGTGTTGAGCTTTGAACGAGGCACTGGTCAAATTTGAAATCTAATTGAAAAATATGACCTCTGGATAAGATTCTCCAAGCGTAAAATTGTTTGAAGATAGTGTTCAGTTTCTAAATTTAAATGACTCATCTAAAGCTCAACAGCCATCTAATTGTTGAATGTACACAACCTTGTCGATGAGAGTAATCAGTCTTTATTTTTAGCCTCTTCTTCCAAGAGTGAGTGAAATTGTGCTACCATAAAAAGGGCCGGTTTATGTATGCTGTGTGAAACCCTTTCTTATTCTTTACATGGTTATTGGGTTTTTTCTGATTTTTAAAAGATTCCCATCAATAACACCTTTTGCACCCACAAAAAAAACGCAAATTTGTGTTCGCCAATTTTCTTTTTATTTCTAAAAACGACTTTTACTATTAAACGATTTTGATTTACACTAATTGATGGGTAAAGGATTAAAATTTTCATTTTAGATTCTGGGACAATGTCTACATTCATCACATCTTCAAGAACTACTGGCATTACTCGATCTACATTGCTTTGCTCTACGTGATGGTCATTCATGGGTAAATTTGAAGTATTTAAATTAACGTGTTATTGTTTTTTTTAGATTGGAACGTTTTATGCGCGATCGTAAGCCGTTCAACTTGAAAGGACCGCTTGCTTTGTGGAATGGAGCTCTTGCTGTTTTCAGCATCGTTGCAACTTTTCGGTGAGTTTTCAGCGGATAAAGGGGTTTGCAAGAAAGACCATGTCAATTGTGAAAAATCATACGTTTATCCCTCCTCAAACTAATCGAAATTGCGTATTCCTTTGCGCTAAAGCAATTGAATTAGGGGTTTTCACCGAAACGCGTGTATGACTGATCGAGGGATGATTGATGGATTGCCTTTTTTTGCCTGCTTACGTGTTGCTTTGGTGCTCCTTTGTAAATGGAACAAAAAGAGCACACTTGTACAACGAGGAAAGCAGCCAAAAGCTCTCTTTTCAATCGGCGGCACATAACACATTGTGATGATTGTGCTCGGTGATTCTTTGTGCGGTTCACTTTTGATCGGATCCTCTTGCTTTCATGTGTTGAAAGGCGGATAAAGGGAGGAGCAATATCCAGTCAGCTTTCTAGTTGAAAAGCGGGGTTGATTCGTCGCTTTTTTTGTGGCGCTCACTTTTTGCGCCCGGCTGCCTATTGTTCACAGCCGGTTAACAATGGCATACAATCTTCGATCAGTATGCAGTTCTAGGAAAGCATAAGAAAAATTTATCCCCAATCATTGGCAAAAACTATTCCTGTGAAATAGCCAAGTATTTGATTGTAGTCACAAAAAGTTGTGACTAGTTGTGAGGGTCATTAACAACTTTTACTTTTCAGCTATGGAATTGAATTTCTGCACACTTTGACCACGCGTCCCCTTTTTGACTCGATCTGCTACTCAACGGATCCCGAACAGCCGGCTGCTTTTTGGGCGTGCATGTTTGCCTTGAGCAAGGTTTGTTTTACTACCTGCTTTCGTAGTTTATTTGATCTTTGAATGATCTCATTTTGAAAATTTAGATTGTTGAACTTGGTGATACTGTGTTTATTGTGCTCAGGAAGAGGCCTCTCATTTTTCTTCATTGGTATCATCATGCTGTGGTTCTCGTTTATGTTTGGCATGCCGGTGAGTTATTTTTTTTTGCTGAGTTGTTACGGTAGAAAACCGGGTCTGCGCGTTTTTTTTAAACTTTGCACCTCAAAAAGGACTCTAAAAGGGTTGGTATTTGATCTTCAATTTTGGTGATTCCTCCAACTTTTTCTTTGGCTGCACCTGCCGCCATTCTTATCGCTCATGTTCGCCATCTCCCCTTTTTCAATAAAATGCGATATCGATTCGATATGCGATCTTTTCTTTATGTGTTCCTGGGAAAATGGGGGACCGATTGATTTTATTGCAGTAATGCGTCTAAAACAAATTTTTTTGTTGTTCAGCTTCTCTGAGAGCAACTTGAATTCAAAGATCCGAAAATAGAAAGTGAGGGATTGGTCAAAATTTACGAATTTATTAGAAAAAGATTTGTCACACTAGAAATTTTTCTAGTTTGTGTAGGCTACGTTGAGTTTGTGTAGAACGCCGTGTCTATTTGGCGGTAAATATTTGTGTTGGCTCTTTTTAACTCAAAACGGTCTTAGTTTAGCGCTAAAATTTCTTAAGAGCTACATAAAATTGTAGTCTGTTTGAGTTATAATGTCTGGGTCGTTGCTCTTTTTGAGTCACATAGTAGCATGTTTTCCTCTCGCGATTCCTCTGAACGGCGTGTGCCTAAATTTTGGATTCTGGGCACCATGGGGATGAGTCTTGCATAAGCTAATGCCTGCGCAAAACAAAGGGACCACAGAAAGGAAGAATATGGCCATAAATGGAAGAAAGAAAAGAGTGGGAAATGCTTTATATGTTGTTAATTTTCAAATTTAGCCGTTGAACTCACTGCTGCTGGTCGCTGGTTCATCTTCATGAACTATGCTGTGCACTCAATCATGTACACCTATTACACGCTTGCTGCACTTGGAATTCGTTTGCCAAAGGCTGTTTCGATGACTGTCACCACACTGCAGACAACTCAGGCATGCGATAATTTTTATCTTGAAATATCTTGAAATGACAAGCAATCCGTGAAACTGAAATTGGTTTTTAACACAGTATTTTTAGAAACGAAAAGTCGATCTCTTTATAATTGTATCATTTTTAGATGCTGGTTGGAGTCGGAATCTCGTGTTGTGTGCTCTACATCAAGTCGAAGGGACACGTGTGTCAGCAAAGTTTTGAGAATCTGGCTCTTTGGTATGTTTTGTGAATCTACTGAAAAAAACAAGTAAATTGGGATAGATAACCCCTGATTGCCTAAACTTAATGTTTAGATCAGGTTTCTTAGAATGGAATCAACTAGTATATTTAGCTTTGCCATCTACTCATCCTTCGCTATTCTCTTCATGAATTTCTTCCGGAAAGCCTATTTCGGCAAGCGAGTCAAGGCCACCACCGCGGAGTCGAAGAAGGAAAAATAGAAGTGCTGAATCAAGTTGATGTTTTTGATATTTTTCTCTCTCTGTTTTTTGTAAACAAATACGGGTAAACACTATCGCTAGGATTCCCCAATACACCTAATCCCCATTTAAATCCACTTCTCTTCACTTCTGGGATATTTCTTTGTTTCTTTCGTTTGTTTGTGTTTTGTTTCGGCAATACTCTTTCTTTCTTTTTTTTTGTTCATTCAGCATAGGTTTCTAATCATGATTGTGATGACCAAGACTAATTTATTGGCATTTCTTTGATGTGATTACTTACCGAGTCCATAATTTTTGTGGATAAATTGTTTAGGAAGAGAAAAATATGAGTGGTGATATTTGCTAATGATTTGACGCTAGACTATTTCAGGGAGTCGATTTTTAATAGCTTTGTGAAAGTCTGCACGCTTTTGATTTGTAAAGAAAAGTCTTGGAACCGTACTGGGCCAACAATTTTAGCCAAAAAAACATGTGCATTTGGTAGAAAAATTGCAAACTTGGCTTCTTTAAGGCGTGGATTTTCTACCGTAGTTGTGTATTTTGTGATCAAAGGATTAAGGAAATTTTGGGGAAAAAAGTTGTTGATCATTGCAAAAGACAAAAGCTTGCCCATTTTTTTTGTTAAAGTTGTAAAAAAGTAGGATTTATTGATCGGTAAACGGTGTTGTTTACATAAAGTAAGTTTGACAAGTTGTGAAAAGCTTATTTTTGTTCTTTTTTTATCGTATATACATCTCAATTTACCAAATTTTTGTAACTATTGCTTTTGGGGATGAGTATGCTGAGGAAGCCGCTCATTTGCATCGAGGTTGGCACCGAGGATCTCGACGAGATGGAGAAAGCGCTAACGAAAGCCGCGGATCGATCAAAAGTGGTAAGTGATTTGAAGATATTTATCTGCAGATTCTTTAGTAGAACTAGAAATACTCTATCGTATTTAAAGTCCAATTTATATTAGATATTTGGCTACAGCTGATACAGTTGCATTAACATGAGTTTAAACATGAAAAACTAACTGCCCTTTGTGGGGAGTGAGACAAATGCTATCTTTTTTTTGCGCACCTTTTTTCGCGTTTTAAAAAAGCTCTAAGAAGCTGATATAAACCAATTTCTATTCCAAAAGTTGTTTTTCTGGGTAATTTGAGGGCATTGAATCCAAATTTTGACATATCAGAGCTTGTGGAAGCAAACGGACGGAGTGATACATGGGGAAAAATCGAGAATTTTCTGTAATTTGACTTAACCATTTTGTCTTTAAAATTGGTTCCATAAGCTCTGATATTTCAAAATTTGGATTCTACACCCAGAAAATTACCCAGAAATTGGTTAATATTGGCTTTTTAGAGCTTTTTAAAACGCGAAAAAAGTGCGCTAATGGGCCGGGTGCGCAAAAAAGGTCCCATTTGTTCCACTCCCCTTTTTGTAAATAAATGTGAATTTTAGCCATCTTCTGGAGTCGAGGAAAATATAGACTTGAAGACGCCATTGATTGTGAGTTTTGTTTTGAAAATTTTATCGATCCACTTAAAAAATAAGATGTTTATCATTTTGACTTTTAGAAAGAGACTCCCGTGGTGATACCCCCATCCCCAGGTCTGTCAATGATCACGAACACTTCCACTCCGATGATGAGTACACTCGATTTTGCCACTCCCTCGATCTCGGCTGCAACGGTTTGTTGCTGATTTGAATTTTGATAAGCATCTAACTATAAATGCTAGTTGTTTAGCGATTAAAGTTATGTAAAATTAGCGTCGACTATCTTTTATTGATCAAAGTTAATTCTTTAGATTGGACTGGCGAACACGCAAATCACGCCAATTGGAATCGCTGCCCCACCCGACACATCACAATCGTCGAGCTCTTTTCGAACACCACAAGTGCGCTTGTTTCCTGGAAGCAGCACCTCTTCGTCGTGAATTGAAAAATTTTTAGGTATACAATTGAATTTTGTTGCACTTTAATTTTACGGGTTCATTTCTTTTGGCTTCTCAGGTATATTTGTCATTTTATTTTTACTTTTGTCTATGTTGTTTGTGATTATGGTAGTAATTTTTCGTTGATAAATCTTTGAACTGAGTGAATTCATTTGTGGATGGGTTGTGCAACCTGTGTATTGAGAAGTTTATTTTTTGATGAGACAGTTTGGCGAAAAGGTGTGGTGCTTGAGATCGCACCGCAAAACCGTGCACTTCTGCTGTTTTTTAATTCGCAGCGAATTTGCAAGTACTAGAGTTAAAAAGGATAAGAAAGTTTTTTAATTTTATCAGGTTAAGCATTTTGCGTACGAATTTAATTGCTTCAGATCACTTTATGGGTCCACGCGGCAGTGGAGCGATGAGGGGCAGAAATGGCCCTTTTCGTGGACCGAGACAAAGGGTAGGATTTTCTATCGCGAAAATCTCATCAATAATGGTTTAGTCTTTCAACAATGATGCACAATATGGATATGCGCTTGAAGAGCCGAAGAAAGAGGCACCGCCAAATAAGAAAACCAAATTCGCGGAGAGCGAAGACGAGGAGGAAGATGTGAAGGTAAAGCTTATGTGGTTAACGTTGTAGATATCTTTGAAATATGAACAGTTGCAATCTTAGGCGGATAAATTGAGAAAGGTAAAGATGATTGTTAGTTATGAGAAGTTTCTGGAACAAATTCAGCAAACAATCTGGAGCAAAAAACTCTGGACTTTAAGCAATAACACTTTCGTTTTACAATTTACTGGTTTATTTCACAATTTTAGCCCAATTCCCCGAACAAGGCCGTAGGGGGTGATGAGGATGGGAAACTCGCGAATCGCCGTAAATTCGAGAATTCTCATCGAAAACCGTGGAGACTCATCGTGAGAAATCTTAACTTCAACGTGAGTTTTGCAAATGCCAGCTTTAAATTACTCTTAAATTGCCTATTTGATAATTTCAATGAGAAATTTGCAGAATTAACATTCTTAAGGGAATATATTAACGTTCTTTGTTTTAGACAAAAGTAGCCGATTTGCAAAATGCAGCTTCGAAGTTTGGCCCGTTCACCGAGATTGTACTGCCAAAGTGCAAGGACGAGAGGTTTTGTTTACTTGAATCTTTTAAAGTTTTCAGCAAATTTTAGATATCCCAACTCTTGTGCGGGTTTTGCCTTCATTCAGTTCAAAGACCGAGAAACGGCAACGAAATTTAAAGAGGTGTGACTTTTATTCGTAAACTAGTTAATTACTAGATAAGTCTAAGCAACTTAATTGAGCACTCAATGAATTAACATCCATAACAATGAATTTTTAGCACTACAATCAAAATCCGCTCAACAATCGACCGATTGCCGTGGATTTCGCGCTGGATAAGGACACTTATGCGACTTCAACTTTTGAAGGTACTACCTGTTTTTATTGGATTATTAAGCTTATACAATTTTAGAACGAAAGAACATGAAGACGAAGGTGAAAGATGAAGAAAATGAAGATCAGAGGAAAAATGTGAAAAAACAGGTCGGAGTTGGCTCAATTTTTGTTTATTGTAAAAATTTTAGGAGAAGAGTGAACCCGTCGATGAAGAAGAATCGGATGAAACGATTGAGGAAAGCGAAGATGAAGATGAGTCGATGGATGATGAAGATGAAGACGAGGGAAAAAGTGATGAAGAGTCGCCGAAGAAAGGAACATTTCCGAAGAAACCCCGAAAAGAGGACACAGCTATTGCCGAAGGGCGAGTGCTGTTTGTGAGGTGAAATTTGGTATTCATTATACATATTCATGCTGAGTTTACAGAAACCTCTCTTTTGACACGGTTGAGGAATCACTGGAAAAGGAGATGGTGAAATTCGGAGAGGTGAAGCTGGTGATCATCTGCAAATTCGCTGACTCGGGTCACTCAAAGGGAACGGCTTTTGTCCATTTTTCGGCAAAAGAAGAAGTTTTTGGGTTCAAATTGTTTTAAAAAGCTTGTATTGTTGTAGGCGGACAAATGCTTGCGCGCATTGATGGGTGGAACGATTACGATTGATGGACGGACGCTCGGCGGATTTGTGGCGATACCGCGGGGAGATGCGCAGAAGATTGAGAAAGAACATCTGACAAAGGTTGTCTAATTAAGTTTTATTTATTAATTGATTGACTTTGATTCAAGGCACCAAAAGACAAAAGGAATTTGCACCTCCTGCGTGCTGGATGGATTCGTGAGGGCACCTCGGCGGCAGCTGGAATGAGTGAAAAAGGCAGGTGTTTTGCCCTAGTTGAAGGGCTAATAGTTGTTAGATAGCTGAATACGTTTTGGATAGCTGAACATTTGAAATTGAAATGTATTTTCCTGTTACAGTATCAACAATTGTATTTAGATGCGCAAAAACGGGTGCAACTTACTGCGGCCGCCAAGAAGAAACTCGAGAATTTGCATCATTTCGTATCGCCGACTCGCCTCGTTGTGCACAATTTACCCATGCATGTCGATGATAAAGGACTCAAGAAGTCAGAGATTTATTTTTCTGGCAGAAATTATAATGTTAGTATCCGCTTCATTCGAACAATTACAATTTAGATTATGCCAAAATGCAGCCGGTCGAGTGGAGGCGATGGTTATCGAGTGTCGCATTTGGAGGGATATGGGCAAATTGGACTCAAATGTTGATGCTTTTTTTGTATTTTAAAAGTTATTTATAGGGGAAACCGAAATCTCGAGGGTTTGGCTTTGTGGCCTTTAGTGAACACGTCGATGCGTTGGCTTGTTTGAATGTGAGTGACATTTTACCATGAGTTCTAAACAAAATGATTTAGAAACTCAACAACAACCCAAAAATCTTCACAAATGACCGACGCCCAATTGTCGAGTTCTCGATTGAAAATTTGGAGGTTTCATAGAAGGATTTTTGGCAATTGTTCTCATCTTTAAATTTAGGCGGTGAAGATCAAGGAACGCAGAAAGTTGAAGTCCGACTTGGGCAGGAAAGTCAACGAGAAAGAGCTACAGGCTCATATCAAGACACAGGTTATTGGAATATTGTCAAGCTTTCTGTAAAAAGTTCTTTTAGGTTGATCAGTCGAAGAAGGCGTTTAGCAAAGGCGGTCAGAAGCCAATTCCGAAATTCTTGGGACCAAAAATGCGACATCGGGATCAGACGAAGAAAGGCGTAAGTGTGTTTACTCTATTACGATACAAAGTGTACAGCATTCGTAAACAAAGCTCAGTCATATTGCATCATATAGTTTGTCATCTTTCCAGAAGGACAATTCGTAACTTTCCAAGAAGAAATTCCTTATGAAACCGAGCGTATTTTGCACATCCCATAGTCATTTACTAGTTTGTAGTTTCATGTGAGTAACAATCTTTTAGGCGACAAAGAAATCGGCTGGAAAGAAGAAAAAGAAAGAGCCAACCGTTGGGGGCGGAGATTCGGCAGTGAAGAGGGCAAAGAAAAAGACAAACAAGAAAGAGGTCACAAAGTATTTAGCGTTCGGTTAAATCCCATTTTTGTTCATCATTTTGTTATTTTTGTTACCTGTTATCCACGAATTGTTATTGTTATCTCTTTGTTAAAGTTTGTTATAAATATTTTTGTCAGTCGGGGTTTTGGGTGAAATGGTTGCAGTAATCAAAAATATCTGATTTTTGTGAAATTTTAGTTTTTGTTTTTTTTGTGAAATTTTAAAGTGCACTTTTTAAAAATTAGGTCTTCGTCAAATTTTCCATTTATTTTTACATTTGTATTCTACTGTTTTTTGCATTTAAACTCACAAAATTTCGAGCTTATTCTCCTTTTCAAAACATAAATTATGTGCTATTGGATTGAAGAACGTTTGCGAAATCTTTTGTTCACTATTTTTGCTCATTTAGACGTGCAAATCGTAGTAAACGGAATGCTCCAGGTTGGGAATATCATTCGAAATGGTCAGTTTTTTTAAAGAAAAGTGCAGAAAGCTTGCGCCGAGATGCTGAAAATTCTCAAGCAAAATCTAGTTGGCACACTCACTTTTTCTCATCACTTATCATTCATTAATCTCTTTTTTGCTTGTTTGTGCTGATCGCCTTTTTTCGACTCTGGTATCATTCTGAGATAACAGCAGCCACGAAAATTTCCCCGGAATGCCCTCATTTAATCGTGTTTTCACACTAAAACTTCGAATGATCGTTTGTGAAAATTTTCATTTTTTTCAGCAGTCTTCCGAGGTCTTCACGTCTCCGCATCCACATCGCAAATGTCGCAACATTTCTACGATTTTCAAGTCAAGGATTCGCAGGGAAATCCGGTGAAGCTTGGCGATAAGTACAGGTAGGAATTTGAATTTCTTTATTGAGCTTTGTTATACCTAAATGTAGGGCTCGTGGTGGGACTTTTTGTTTCCCCGGTTCAGAGTTTAAAATCAGAACAAATGTTGAGAGGTTTCAACCTTATGCACCGGGTTTTTAGACGAAATGACGGGTGACTAAATTTGATTTTGTAAAATTTATTTGAGCAGATTTAAATTTCACTTTTAGAGGCAAGGTGGTCATCGTGGTGAATGTCGCTTCCGAATGTGGGCTGACCAATGCGAACTACACTCAACTCAAAGAGGCGCTCGACAAGTATCACAATCAAGGACTTGAAGTATGTTTAGCTGTGTGTTGCTGAACTAACTGATAAGTTTTCAGGTTGCCGCTTTCCCTTGCAATCAATTTGGAGGACAGGTTAGTTAGTTTGATGGCAACTTTGAAAATTTTATGTTTCAATCAACTTTTTTCATTTAGGAACCAAAATGCGAGCTCGACATCAAGAATTTCGTCGCCAACAAGTTTGCGTTTGAGCCAGATCTCTTTGGCAAAGTGAACGTCAATGGAAACGACGCTGATCCATTGTGGAAATTCTTGAAGAAGGAACAGGTGAGCTTTAACGGACTTTCAGAATTCATTGTCTCAAATTATTCTAGTCAAGTGTTGGATTCTTGAAGGTCAGTCAAACTTAGATTAGTCTAACATAATTTCACTATCTATATCTTGTCATCAGAAATGTTTCAAATTTTCCAGGGTGGTACTCTCATTGATGCTATCAAATGGAACTTCACGAAATTCCTTGTGGATCGTGAGGGAAATATCATCAAGCGGTGAGAGTTTTCTGTTTTTTTTAAAAAACCCAAAACTTTTTCCACCAAAGTTTTAAATTTCCTAACCACAAGATTTGCGCTTTAAGAGCTACCTATTTTGACCGCGAAATTTGCATGAAACCTATCAAGTTCTCTCTAATCTGCTAAACTTTAGTTATGCCCCCACTCACGAGCCAAAGGATATGGTCAAGGATATCGAGAAGGCCCTCTCAACTCCCGCGGGAACAAAGCTTTAAATGGATTTTTCGTGTGTGGATTGGTTGAGTATACCATTACTTTTTCTCTTTTGAAATGTTCATTTGTGATCATTTAAGTATGTGTAAGTTATTCTCTTTTTTTGCAAATAGTCCATCTCATTTTTTTCCGCCCGGTCTTTTTTGTGTTGCGCACTTCACTCTAACTTATGTTTTTTGTGATTCGTTGAAGCGATACTGTATAGTGATGAGACTTCGAAAAAACACGTGATTAGTCAAGAATAAATTGTATGTAGTGTCTTCAAATGCAACTTCAATAGTTTTAGGCAATTTACTGTATTTGGAGAGGAGAAAAGATTTGGGTGGGAATTAGAATGGTCGGGTGTTGCGGTAATTATCCAGTACTGAAATTGGCGTTCGGCTGACGATCACAGTGCTTTTTTCTCGATCTTGCGTGCGCGGAGCTTTTCATATTGGTATTTTCCATTCTATAGTCTGTAGTTGAGTCGACAATGAGATGGTGTAAACATTTTGGCTCAAAGTGCAGAAAAAAGAACAAATTTGAAGTGAAATCATTTATAACGGAGAAGAGCTGTATTGTTAATTTAAAGTTGCAATTTTGAAAAGAAGCACAAATTCTTATTTTGCTTTCAGGAATGGGCGATGAGGAGGAGATCATCGAACGGCTCGACGAATTCCTCATGCAAGTGCGCCCCCTTGACGAGTTGCCCCACTCGTTCGATGACACGCTGATCGATAAACTCGTCGAGAATATCACGCCGAATGGTAGGGTGTTTAGAGCTGGATACTGGTGTACGCCAATATTTTTGTATTGTCCCCGAGTTAAAGCGCAAATTTCGAGTGTAAGTATGGCAAGGATACGTCGGATAACTTAAAAGTGAAGGATTTTATTGAAAAGACTTGAACTTTTGGATTTGATTTACTTTGGTTGACTGCAGCTTTGTTGGATTGTAAATTTTGCCCAAGAAGAATCACTATTGGATAATAAAATCTGATAAACTTGATAACAAAGAACTTGAACTTGATAGCAAAAATCATATCGGAATCTCAGCCGTGTTTCTTGGGGTAATTTGTAAGTAGAAACAACAAAGTAGATATTATTAGTTATCAATTATACGTGTTCTACTTTAGATGCTATCATCAAACACACGCTTTCGCTCGTCAACGAGGAGGTTTTCGCGAAAAATGGAGCCGTCACTGCTAAAATTCTGATCCGACTTGTCGATAAATTGTTGGTTTTTAAAAGTTGAATTGATTAAAGTTGTTTTAGCTTGACGTTGCGAGTCGTCGACTTTGATGCCCGGCTTTTGTTGAGGATATCGACCTCGCTTCTCCGTTTGCCCAATCATCCGAGTGTTTGGAGTGATGTTCTGGCGCTGCTCGTCAATCTCATTAAACGGGAAACGGAAATGGGAAGGATTGGGGAATTGCGAGAGGATTTGAAAGGTAAAGTAAACTTTGAAGCCATTGGCGTTATCTCGTACTTGGAACTTGACCTAAAATAGCAATCAAACTGACTTTTCTTTGCCAATTGGTTTAAATCTTTCACGTTTTGTTTTACGATTTACTTTAAGCACGTTTAGATATCGTTAAATGGATTCTCAGAAGGTTGCCCGAAGAGAGTCTTTCGTTGTTTGTCCGGAATCGCATCGAGCACCTCGTTTTTGTCCTTTCTCAACAATTCATTGATGACTTTATGAACTACATCACGACATTGTTGAGTGAAAATTTGTCACCAATTATCAGGTTTGTTCATGCTAAAAATTTTGGATCATGGTCAATTTTTAGGGAGAGCTACCATCGCATTTTGACGCATTTTCTCCAAATTCGGCCAATGAACGACGCGAAGTTTTTGGAAGTTTTCATCGATTCGGTCCGTTTGAACGTCACGATGACCGAGGCGTCAATCATCTTCTTCAACGAGGTTATGAAGTAAGTTTTGAGTTAAATTGGCTAAAAATTAAGCAAAGTTTTCACAGGAAATCTTTGGAAAGTTAATCAGGGTTTTGAAGTGTTTCATAAAACTTTCTCGAGATTTTCGATTTAAAAAGCAAAAAAGTTCGCTCCTGGATGGGTTCGAACCATCGACCTTTCGGTTAACAGCCGAACGCGCTGCCGATTGCGCCACAAGAGCACGTGGAAAGAAGGGAAATTGCGGGGTTGTCCGCCGGCGGGGCGCCTCTTTCTTTCTCTTTGCTTTTTTTCTCTCTGTTATTGAGAGTTTGTTGGGCTCATCGGGGGAAATTTGTGGCTAAAACTCATTAATGCCTTGAAAATTTTGATAACTAGCTTTAGTTTCTACATTTTTCTATACTAATTCTGTTTTTTCTATATATTCTGTGGAACTTTCTTAAGGGCCTTGCCTCTTCAAAACCTATGTATTAGAATTCATTTTTAAAGACATTTTATCATATAAGTTTTAAATAATAGCTTGTTTTTGTTTAGACAACTCCCGCTAGCTGACGTATTGCCGATTCTACTCAGCTCACAATGGAGATTGCCCTGTCAACGACTGAATGCTATTGTTTTATACATGGAAACGTGAGTTCTTTAAATAACAGGGTGCTCCAAAAAAAGTTTTCAAAACGGAATTCCTCAGAATTTCTGGTGGCTAGAAAGTAGTCGGTGTGGTGTCATCGTGAATCATTTGTGCACTAAAATTTTTCATATTTTTGTAAATACAGAATGTTCAAAAAAGCCAGTTCCCCTTAATTTTCCAAAAAATTTCTAGTGGCTCTTGGTGAACGTTATGGTGCCAAAGTGAATATTTCGGGCTGGAAAATTTGATATTTTTTCACTTTTTCCTCATTTTATGCATGAAATTTCTGAGCCACCATGGTCACCACCGCCATGAGACTTTAAACCTAATGAAGAATAAACGAGATAAACCCTGTTTTAGGATCAATGATCTGCCGAATGAACTGCTCGCCGCACTTCGCGTTTCTCCGTTGTTGAAGTTGGAGCACTTTGTTCGAGTTTTTCGCGTCCACAAAAACAAGAAAGTTTGTTTGTTTTAAACTTTGTTAATGGAGAATTGCAAGATTAGCACCGAGTAACTATTTTGAAAATGATAACTGTTTTTTATTTAGGACATGTTATCTTCGTTGCCTGAATGGATTTCCGTTGTTGAACGGATTTTCTCGTCTCCTCGTCCTCCAATCGATCTCCTTCCCGATCTCGTTCATCTATTTACCGCACAATTTTCTTGCTCAATCGACGAATGGATGCCGATTCTTGTGCTCGTTTTGCGCAATATTCTGGTTGGTTTTTAGCTAGTTCTGAATTTGTGAAGAGTTTAGCATGAAGTAACACATAAAGATCTCCTATTTTAGAATAAAACTGTTGTTTTCGTGTCATTGCTTTCGTCATATGCACTATCGCAACTCGTCGACGCAAAGATTCCTTGGGAGATCATCGAAACGAAAGTGCGAGACGGGTTGATGGGCAACGATTGGGAGAATCGTGATTCGGCCGTCGAAATCGTCATGTACAGTGCTAAGCATGACAGGTTTGTGCTTAGAAAAATGGGTTGTGAAAGATTGTATCATTTTAGACAATCTCCCTTGTGCGTCCATCTCGACGAGATCGCCGAATTTGTGCCGAAAGACGGTTCACCTTATGTAAGTTTTTTTTTCTTTGAAAGTGAATCTGGTGGGCTAGGAAATTGGAGAATATCTCTTTTCATAATTTCACAAGTACACAGTTCATTGCAGGTACGTGCCTCATCCCTTCGCTGTCTCGACGCGCACTCCCATTCACTCACTCGACAACTTGCGCACGAGAGATTGCTCAATGATTCCGAGCCACAACCACGGTATTTTACTTGACCTGTTCTCTAATGAAATCAAAAGGCAGACCATGATGCAGTATTAGTAATTTTCGTGCTGTACTAGTGTTTGAAGAACATAAAGAACGATTCTTATTTTTCTTAAGCCTTGAAGCGGCTCGGGTATTTCGATCGATTCCCGTCACTTCGACGGACGATTGGATCTTCTTCATTGGAAACCTAACAAAATTGCTCGGTGATGCCGATTATGAGGTGTGTTTTATTTCTGTTTTTGTATTTGTTGATCAATACGATCAAATAATACATTTATTGGTTAGAGGTTGTTTAAAACAAAATGGCAAACCGTAAAGTACTTTTTCCGATGCAGGTCCGAAGCGAGGTGGTGACCGTTTGCGATAAGTGGATGAAAATGGGATCGGATGATGAGGAAATGCGCAAAAGTATGATCGATCAACTTTCACAATGGACAAACGATTCGGAAATCGGCGATCACGTGGGGGTTTTGAATGCTTGAGGTTAAAGAAAACAAACTGTGGCTAATTGGAGCATCCACAATTATGCAACAGTACCAAATAGTCGAGTGCAACTATATTTTGCTTCTTTCAGGTGAAAGCCGTCCTCTCACTTCCCGCCGAGACGCGCAAAGATCCAACGATGCATTTGTTGATCGACATGATTCAAGGTTTGGAAATGCCCGATGACGACACCATTGATTGTTATTAGTGACACTTTTCGTTGTGATTTTTTTCTTTTCCGAGATTTGTTGTAGTTGATTTTTGACCGGTGTTTTTTAAAATTTGTACTCTGTTCTATTTTTTTGTTTAAAGTGGATAAAGTATTTATTCTGGTTGGATAAATGTAAGTTCTAGCCAGCTTTTGGGCAGACCTAGGATTGGAGGGGGAGGGGGTACTTTCGATTTTCGAAATCAAGGGCAAGGTTAAAATCAAGTTATTCAGCCAACCAAGCGAATAAAAAATGGTAAAATCATGTTATTCAGCTGACTTTTTTGCCGTTTTACTTTATTTTGCTTCTTTTTGACCGTTACTAGTTTAAATTTATTAATTTTAAAGAAACAGGACAGAATGGCATACGACTGGATTAATTAAGTGAAAAGTCTGGTGGGTCTAGTCTTTTAGTTTTTAAATTTAAATCAACCAGAGGCCTAGGCTAGTGCTTTGTTGTCAGACTGTCTGGGAATAATTGCAGAGATGAGCCAAACTTGGCTGATGCAACTCGACACCAAACAAAATATGGACTGTTGATAGGGAATTTATCACAGATATTTACATAGAAAAATCCCTGATATTCACAAAATATCAAGATCACAAATGAATGGTTTCAAAAAGATGCGGTTGATGATTGAATGGTAGATCGTGGTCAATTCTTTTTGAGGCCAACGCCGCTGCCCCAAAGGCGTTCGTTTCGGTGAGATGATGCAGATGAATGGATTGGATTGGATGAGGGGATAGTTGGCGGACCGCATCGATGAAACCTAAAGAAAATTATCATTCATTCGGACGCTAAGCGATGCATTTTTCCAAACGTACCTTTCTTGAGGAGTGGCCACGATTTGAAAACGTTTCCCACCATGACAATCGGCATGTCTTGACGCATTGCCTGAAAAATTGAACAGAATAAACTCGAGGAACTACGTTAAAATTCGCGAAAACCGACCTCAGACATGTGTCGACTGATGGCGGCCACATGTTTCCCCAATTCCCATCCGCCTTCATAGAAAATCCCGGCGATCACCGGGTCAGAAGCATCTAAAGAATAGAAAGATGCATAAGTTTGACATATTCTTTCAGATTCTAACAATGAAGTTGAAAAGCTAAATCTTGAGCCACTAAAACTAGCTTTCTTAATCCAGCCTACTTTTAAATTTGATTTGCCTAAATTTCCAAACCAAGAATATAGCTGGTCTTGCTCAAGACAAGCTCAAAATCGAATACCCAACTCAATGAAAGAAGACTTAGCACTCACTTTCCGCCAGCTTTGTCGTTAGTTTCGCCACCTCAGATTTGACGAATTTCGCGTAGAGAAAGTCGAGCACTTGCACCTGAATAAGGCTAGTTGCAAAAAAGCTCCAATAAATTCTCAAACAAACCTTGTCCTCAATTTGGAAATACTCGAGCACTACCGTTCTCAGCGTTTCCACCGATCCAACGCTTTTCTCAACACCATCGTCGACATTGAATAAGTGACGGAGAGCTCTAAAATGACTTTCTTTCAAAAAGAAACGTTTTTCCGACCTATTCGCAATCCAGTGTCCACTCCCTTGATCTCCAATCATGTGTCCCCATCCGCCGACTTGTCTCTCTTCTCCATCCTCCGTCAACATTCGACACGATGAGCCCGTTCCCGCAATCACCACAACACCACCTAAATGTTATAAGTTTAATTGCCATAGAAAAAAAAGTTTAATGGCTTTTTAGTTATATTTGTAGATCAAGTACGTTCATTTTCGCTCACATTGCCTAGGGCTATCTGGGAACTTTGCAATTGTAGATTGCCAAAAATGTCACAAAATTTCCAACAAGACAAAAACAAACCATTCTTGAACGAGGCGCCGATGCATGTGACCGAATCGGAGACGAGATGTGCCGCTTTGGTGACATCCCCGTGATTGTCCATCAGATATTCGACCAGGCGGTCATTCAAACGGGGATCCTCGGCACCCGATAAACCCATTCCCTGAAATGGGAAAAGTGAATGAGTAAAAGCAAGTGCTATTTAGATTTTTTAAATGTATACAATGAAGTGCTTGATTCGTTGATCAATAAAAAGTCCTTGAATCTCAAAACTCGCCAAAGATTCAAGCGGTCCCTTGATGCCGATCTCACTTTTCGCCTTTCTCACCCAATTCGCAATGTCATTGGCCGTCTGCTCGAGCCCGTTCAAGTAGAGATTTGTGCCCTGAATTGAATAAATTAAAAACGGTAAAGTTTAGTTGAATATCTCGGCATCTGAATGCAAATCAGTTTAGATATTGTAAATCTCACTCACCGCCCCTTCGAACACCCCCAGCGATTCGGCTTTCTCGTTCAGGAACACCAATTTCGAGCTGGTCGCTCCTCTAAACGAAAAATGTAAAACCAAAGAATTCTAATTAAGTTTAAAATTGTCATTTTTAACTCTATGACATTATGTAAAACGGTAAAAACTTTAACTTACCCCTCAATTCCGGCGAAAACTTTTCCCTGAGCCATGTCGAGACGATAAATCGTGCCGATTTGTATCGTGTACGATTCGGCCTAAACAAAAAAAACCATTCAGGGGTTACCTTTTGGAGGCGCAAGTCGAACTACTACAAGATCCGATTATGCAATGATGTACACATCAAATTGATACTTGTTCAAGTATAGTCCAGTACTTGTGCAACTAACAATAACGGTAAGTTTGCATGTAAATGCTTTAACTGGAGAAAAAGCTTTTTGGCAGATGGGTTCCAAATTCTGGTATCAGGCCTGAATTTGAAGTATTTTCTAGGATGCTTTGGAGCTTTGCCACTCCATCATAGATTAGGGCTTCTATCGGAATAATTTGGATGATATGTATCTCCAAAAATCTCACCTGAATCGAACGAACGAGTGAGGCGGAGAGTGAACGCTCGAGAAGATCACCGCCGATGAACCAGTCGCTATAAAAGGGATACATGCGAAAATTGAATTCAAAAAATTCAAATTTTCAAGAGTTGTCTATCAAAAGCTTCTATGGTTCAAAGATCAAAAAGTTGGAGTGAAAAAAACTTGCAAAAGCATCGTTTTTTTGTTCTTTTGTTGATTCAAAATAATCGATACCTTGTCCGCTTGGCGATTGTCAGAACAAAAAGGAAAAGATAAGCAAACGGGGCAAAAACTCAGCAAATTTATGGGCGGCTACTTGAATTTGGTAAATTTTCACCACTTTCAGCCAGCTTTGGCACATAAATTTACCGTATTCCTACGCACTCTGTGCTTTTTTAGAAAATCTTTTCTTTTTTGCAATCAGCATTAAAATTTTTGGATCACTTCTGGGTCTAGAATTGCCTAATAGCTGTTAGAATAGCATATCAAATTGAATATACTAATTTATTTGTTATCCAAAGAACTCACTCTCGATCCTGATACGCGAAATAGAGAAGCGCCTCGGGGTAACGCGTCAACAAGGCGTCGATCGTTGAAATGAGCGGTTGGAAGACCTAAAAGTTTAAGTTGAAAACGATTTGCATCGAAAAAGTCGAACAAAAGCTAAAAACTACCTCTGGATCGTAAAAAACGTCAGAGGCGATGATCAAGTCGACTTTTTGCAGTGATTCAAAATTCGGCTCGTTCCAATCGAGACCCTAAAAGGGAAAATTACCATAGATCTACTACTGTAAAGGCAATTATTTAATTTAATTTCAATAAAATGGTCTAATCAACGATTCTCAAAGATATCCAGTATTAGAATGATCATAGCTTCCAGCTTAAAAGATTCACCTAAATACTTAAAATGTACAGTATCTTTAAGCAACCATTTGTACTCCATGAACAAAGCCCACTTGTATAGTGCACACGTTCTGCAAACCGTTTTGAGCGATGTTCTTCTGCAAGATGGAGAAAGCCTGAAAGAAAATGTTGGTTAAGAAACGGAAAATTTAAAAAAATGGGTCGACCTTCTGTTACAGGCGTAACAACCGTTTTTACTTCAGCACAACGTACCTGCTCCAAAGCCGGATGATCGGTCAACGTCACCGATTTTGCTCCCACTTTCCCGGCCGTCAGCCCGCAAACTCCGGTCGCACCCGAGCCGAGCTCCAACACGCGTTTCCCCTCGAAAAGGTGTCGATTCGAGACGATGAATTGACCTGAACGAGAAGATGAGGAAATCTTAGAATGCCACATTTACAGCTTTAAACAAATTTGCTCACCGAGTACTCGTGCGCTAGGCCACGTGTGTTTCCAGTGATTCTGCTCACTCATCAAACATCGGTCGTAGCCTGGAATTTTTAAATTTAAAATAGCATGAAATCACGGCAAGAATGGGTAAATAATCGTACAATATAGCAAACACTATCGTCTAAGGAAACGCTGTTTAGCTAGCAAGGTACTGTATATTAAAAGTACCGTAACCCTACTGTGGCTCGTCTGTGTGGTACCTTTTTATCGTAAACTATTTCAAAAGCCTAAATATCAGTACTCTTTGCTGTTGATAAAGTTGATGTAAACTAAAAAAAGTCTAGAGCATAGGAACCTACAGTACTCGATGAATTTTACTCTAAGAATACAACTCACTATGCGATATCCACTTGCTTTAACATTTCCCTCAAAATTTATGCAAATTTTTGCAAAATTTATTGCTTCAGAGTATACAACATAATAAAAGGCACCATATCACAGAGAAATTGGACAAGTGAGAATAAGTTAGAAGAAATTCGCATATATACAAATGTAGTACGGTCAAGAAACGAGGGGCACTTAACTGTTATTTATTAAAAATATTAATTTTACACAGATTTATTAAAAAATTAGCATTTCGGTGGCCTCTCTATAACTTCCATGTGTTCGCATCTCGGATGTATTCGTCATCGGTAAAAAACGGGGTGTCGATCGATCTAAAAATGACAAAATTAGCCATCCAGATGCTTTCTTCAAGATAAGCTGCCTAAAATTTAGCATACCACACTTGATATAGATGCAAACTAGCGCAAATATACTCAAACTCACTCAATAGCCCGATCGCCGCAAAGTGGACAATCGTCGCCGAGAAGCTCACCGATTTGCGCGTTCACCTCGGTCAGCTTGCGCTCTTTATCTAAAATGAAGATTAGACTTAATTAGCGTCAAAAACCCTCACCCAAAACATGCGCCACCGATCCAGTGCCCACTTGTTCCTCGGCATTCAACAAATCGATAAGACGGAGCTCCAATTTGACCAACTCGTCGAGAAGCGCAATGCGACCCTAAAAAAAGACTCATTTGTAAGGAAAAGTTAATTTGGTAGCTTGTTATCAATTGGCCGCTTTTAAAGTATCTTGAGACTAGACTTCCCAAAAACTTTCCAAACTTTCCAAACCTTGCTGAGGAAAGGTCGAACAATCGTCTCCAAGCAATCGCGATGGAAAAAGTGGCGACACGAGTGCGCGAAAAAAGGACGGGACAAGAGGGAACGAAAGCACGAAGTACACACCTCGCCAGCACGAATCACCGTTGTTCTAAAAGAAATGAGAAATAATCTCATAACTCATAACCAAGAGCTTTAACACTCAAGAATACCGAACCTCTTATCCAATTTCACACATCGATCCCGGATATCAGTGGCAATTTGTGTGGCCTCTTTCATGTTTCTTTGCAGTTCCTAAGCAATATTGAGTCGTGACTTTTTCCATTAAAAAAAATTTTACCTGTATTTTCGTCGAGTGTTCTCGTAAACATTCACACAGCGGCTCCTTGAAATGCTCGATTTTGACGAATTGTGGGAAAAACGGAAGGATATCCTGAAAATTGCATAAAAACATAAAAATATGAAGGCATACCTGAATTTTAATCACATCTTGGCTTTCTTTCAAAAGTCCGATCGCTTCGGCGGCTTCACCGCCCATTTGAATCACGTGTGAAGCTAAATTGGAGGATAAGGTTTACTACTAAAAAGCTGTACCAATTTTCAGCCAAACACGCCTCCGCAGCTCTTCTGGGTAGAATTTCTCACATAGGAAGTCCTAAAATTTGAAAAGTTAATCAAGTCAACTAAATTTTTGCTTACATCACCCGGTTCCATCCAACGGGCGCACGATTTTGCCAAGTTGATGTCAATCTAAAGAAGTCAATAAAATAGATAGATTTTGCGAGTTACCTTCAAAGCAATATCGACCGCCTCGAGGAACATCTCGTTGACACAGTAGAGGAAAATCACGCACTCATCGTGACCTAAGTCATAGAAAAAAGTAAACAAACAGCAAAATGTTGTAGTTAGTTTTAACGCTTGTGAACCCTGATAAAAGCTTAATTATACAATCGGACATACTCACCACTTTGTTGACATGTCCTCAACGCGTAATCAATGTTATACGGGATAGAGTTTCGATCGATTCCTAACGATTCGAGATGTCCTTTCAACATTTTCGGTCGATGAGTGGAATACCTGAATGAAGATTTCAAGTTGATTTGATCCTTACATTTAAAAAAATAAATCCTTACATCGCGATCAACATATTCTGCAGCGCAACATCTCCTTTTCCCGTCGGTGTCCGCACGGCCGCTTCCAAGTAGGGCAAAGCGGCTTGAGCCTAAAAACCTAAATTACTAGAATTTCTCAAAATATTCACCATTTCTCGATCGTTCTGGCATTGTGTGAAAAGCGATAGAAAGCGATTCGGTCGAAGTTTTGGCTAAAGTTTTAAAATTTATAATCATTTATAATAAAAAACTGATTTATAATCACCAAAAAAGCCCCAACCACAGTCAAAAGTGCCTGGAAAACGTGTCGCGGAATGTGTTTGGCGAGGATCGGGGCGTACTTGTAGAAAAAGTCGGGCGCGCTCTAAAATTTTCACACTTTTAAGCATGTCCCTCAAAAATACCTGTTTCTTGAGCACTTCCAACGCGTCCGAGTAGTTCTCCCGCAACAAATAGATGTCGATCACCGTTTCCCAATCCAAAATGTTTAAAAATTGAGATTGAGCATTTTACGGATAACATTTACCTTTTAACTCGTTGGCAATGTAGAGTTGGGTGTCGAAATCGGCATGCGAAACGATCAACTTGTAGACACTTTCGCGGTTTGTCGAGACAAATTCCTGAAAGCTTTTTCATTAGTACAAACTAGACAGTTGAGAACATGTTTGAACGTGGTTTCAACTCACCAACACGCTTTTCCTCGTCAAGAACCCTTGCAATTGTTTCGTTAGTTGCCTCGTTCGATCACCCTCCGTATCACCACCGCTTCGTCGACTCTCCGCCAATTCCTCGAGCTGCACTTCTAGCAACCAGATCGTTAACGCCTCGCGTTTGATTCGATCCTAAAAGAATTGGGTATTTCTTCATCTTTTTAGTGTTTATGCTAACTTCTATAGCAAACAATTGCCATTTGCCAGAGTTTTTCAGATTTTTAATCGTCCTTTGATAAATAAACCTCCGCTCCCTGGTATTGTTGCAATTTCTTCTCCAAAAAAGTTTTTAATCCAGTTCGCCGATCCTCTTCGGTTGACAGAAAGCGTAGAACGACCTGTAAAATAGGAAAAAATTCTTGAAACTTGACAAAAGCACTACCGTTTCAAAAGGCTCTGAGCTGTGGGCGAGAATCTCCGCAGCGGCAATATAACTAAACATCTGTTGTTAAACAAATCAGTCAATCAACCCACTTCTTGTCCTGGATATACTTGTCGGCTTGTCTCCGAAGCACCCATCTAAAATTAATTTCAGTGGCATTTAGACAGCAAAGGCAAACTCGAAAGCCGACGGGTCAATCGTTTGCCGATTCCGCGCGACAACGACCGCCTTCGCGTAGTCGCCCTTGTCGAGCAGCACTCGCCACACGTATCTAAATATAATTAGTCAATCTGATAGCTTTGAACTGTACTGACCTAGCCTCGTCATTCGATCGATACTTGAACGAATGCGTTTCGGTAAAGGCCCAGTTGTACTCAGACGAGGCATCTTTCGTCAACCCGCGAATCGAACCCATTTCCTAAAGGATTCAAATCTGTTTGTTTTAAAGTTTTCAACTGTGAATCCAGAGTCTTTGCAAGACAAAAATGAGCCGTTTTAATTTAACTTTACATAAAACCAACAATCGGTATCCGGTCCTCATAGGCGGTCGCGTAGGAGTACAAAGAGACGGCGGTGATTCTCGAGGGGAAAGCGATGAGTGCATGCCATTCCGATAGAGCCACACCGACAGCCTCTTCAAGGTTCCCTTCTACTCGAGGGAGTCTAAAGTTTCTTTTTGATAATATTAGACATTTAGAACTAAACGAAATTAGAGCTCGTTGCTTTGTATGATAGCTATGCAAATCGTTTTAAAAAGCAACTCACTGTATCGTTTTCTCCTCGATCATCGCCTCTTTCGCGTTCTCCACCGACAAATCAACGCGCCCGATTGTGTAGCTAAAGTTTAATGATTGAAAGTCAGACTTTAGTTGATCTAAGCTTTACCTAGATCCGGACAACCAGACGAATCGCTTGGGTTCATCCGTCGGTGGATAAAGGGCGAGGAAAGCTTTCTTCGACGGGGTTGCCGATTGTGCAGAGAGGACACTCGTCGAACCGAGACCTGAAAACGACAATTCCAAGCTTTGTATTCAAAATGTCTCACTTTTTGGGTTAAAAAGTTGCGCGAAGACCGGCTCGGGCGCGTCTCCCGATGGGCCCATCCCGACCATCCAGCCAGACTAAAGATTGTTTTATATCTATGATGTTCTAAAATACCTGTAACGTTGATGTGCCGATGAATTGCGTTGCACTTTTGGTGATCGTTTGCATTGCCGGCAGGTCGACGAAACCGACCACAGAGAAGAGTTTTGCCGTTTGCGAGACGAAGCAAATCCATCTGGAATTCTTCTCATCCTCATCGCTGATCATTCGTAGCTGGATGTCGGAGATCTAAACCAAAAAATTTTATAACTTAAGAACTATGTAGAATGGAATCCAATTCTCAAAACCATCTCAAATTACCCACCGGTGTGTCCTTTTCAACGAGCGAATTCTTGATCTCTTTGAAGTAGGTGATCGTGCCAGCGCTATTGATTGACGTCTCGTAGATTCCGCCTAAAGTTTAAAGAAAAGATTTACAAGCAATTTTAAATATCCTAGATAATCAATCAATTTTAAATCTTAAGTTAGTTTTGTAGTTAAACTCCAACCTCTCGAGGTCCCGACGAGGATCGGCCCCGTTTCGTCGTCTTTCTGAATCTCGCCATTCCATCCAACCGTCATGATTACTGACTAAAGTTCTTATTTTGGTGGATCTTTCAAATTATAAAACAAACTCGTTTCTTTAGCGCAAAACAGTTGCCGGTTTTTGTGTGAATGTAGTAGTTCTCGCCACCCAGAAATGAGACGATCGCATGAAGACCGGTGGGCGATAAATGAAGATGAGCTAGCGAGGGACCGGCGGGAGCATTGGGGAGGTTGATCTCTGGAATAAAAATTTATATAAAGATTAACTTCGCTCTATGATCCATGATTTTGTCTACAGTGAAGGCCTCTTCACCACAAGTTTCAAATGTTACAGACTTATCGGTAACTACTCTTAACAAGTAATCTAGTTAGCCGCTCATCTCATCCAAAACTTCAAAATCTGCTCACCAACGGGTTTTTCAGCGTTCGACACGGAGAGTTTGAGAATTGTCGACGGTCCGATTGCGGCCAAGAGAATCCCGTTGCATACGCGAAGATGTGACAGCTTTACTGGGCTGCTCAACCTGAAAATATAATCGAATGGGTTTAAACGTCCGGGAATCTTGGATTTCCCGTAACAAAAATTGTACCTGAGATCCCGTTTGATATCCTGTGATGTTCGGAGAAAAATCCCATTCGTCGACATCTAAAAGTTCAACGTTTTGAGGTTGATATGGACAAAAACAGATCAAGAATGCGCAAGGATATCAGTTTGTGTAACTTTACAGTAGAAAACGTGACTTTTTCACCATAACCGCAAGAATTTTCAAATTTTTAACTGTTCCCAAAAAATATTGCTTCGTACAATTACGCTATTTTGCCGAATTGTGCACAATTTTTTCAAGAAAAACAATTCATTCAACTTGCAACAATGAAAGTATAACAAATTCACGATAACAATCAACAAATTGTAAGAAAACTTTGAAAAATCAACAAATTAGTAGCATTTTCCTCTTCTATTGTCGCCAAAGTTTGAGCACTTTGTCCTTTCCACCAGAGACAACCTGAAATGAAGAGAGATTTTAGAGAAACAGAGAAAATAAACACAGCCAAGCTGATGCCTGTAAAAGAAAAGTTTTTAATTAGAAATGACTAAAATTGAGCTTTCTTTGACTACTTTTCTTTCAAAAATTGAAACTACCATGCTAGTAAAAGCTAAACTTTGCAGCTTTGCAAAATCATAGTAATAGTCCTGAATAATTTAAAGCAAGCTTTTACAATTAGTTTTTGTCCTTCTTTGTACCGAAATCGTTGGTTATTTCAGAATTTTTATAAAAGCAATTTACTTTTGTTCCCTCGGGACTCCAATCGACCGTATAGACCTCGTCACCATGGCCGGGCAAATCGAACATCAATCGTTTCGAGCGAATGTCCCAGATCTAAAATATACGAATGAGTGGCTGACCGTTTTAGCCAAGACAAGTCTTACTTTAAGTGTCGAATCGGCCGAGCCAGAAACGAGAAGACGACTGTCAGCCGACCAGGCAATCTGAATGATGCAAGCATTACAAGTAATGAAACCTTAAAGATTCCTTGATCATTAACTGTAACACACTTGATAAACGGCTTGCACGTGTCCGCGCAACGAGCTCAGATATTTCCCCGTTCTTCCGCACCACAACTTGATCGATTTGTCAAAAGACGCGGAGGCAACCGTGCGTGTGTCCGGGGAGAAAACCACCTGGAAACGAATAAAATGCCTTAATGCCATAAAATGGATTCCCAACTTGATTAACGAGTTGTTGATGTCCGGTGAGGCGTGCGATGTGTTGCTTACTCTCACTCGGATTCCAGAGGAACATCGTGAAATCATCAGATCCTAAAACGGATATGCGAAATTGTTTCACCAAAAACTACCAGAAACCAAGCGCTCTCCACCACAAATACGTAGCACTTCGTTATATCGACGATCAGCGATTTCTTGAGCCTAAAATGGAATAAATAGAAAATTTCAGATAAAGTGGAATAAATAGAAAAAGATATGACTTAGTTTTTAACTTATTTTTTGGTGATCAATGGAAAGTTCTCGCCAAAAGAATACTTAAATTTCAACCAAAACTTGCCTTCTTGTCGTCTTCCGGTTTTGCGCAGTGATTCGCCGGGTCAAAACAACTCGTCCGAAGTACATAGTCCGTGTTTAACGCCAGCGTATTGATCCAATGAGCATGACCTGTGTTTAACGGTTGAAAATACAAAATAAACGGACAAATACCTGTCAAATTGCGACACATAACCCCATCATCGGCTCGCCACACTTTAACTGTTCGATCCTAAAGAAAATGAGAGTTATTCAACTAATTTACCTCTCAAAATGGTAATTCTATTAGCTTTTTAGTCTTTTGTGATAACTTGATTTTATTTTATAAATTTCTTTTAGGCTCTTACTGAAACCATAAAGTCTAATTGATAAATAGATCAATCTACGTATCTTTTACACCTTTAGTATCAAGACAAACCTGTGATCCAGTGTAAATCAATCCTTGCCCACCCCATCGGAGACATGTCACCGATGCTGTGTGCCCGCTCAAAGTGCGCACCGTCAACCCCTTCACCGTGTCCCAAATTCGAATGTTTCCGTCTTTCCCGGCTGAGGCGAGGTGTCTAAAAATTTGATAGAAATAAAACCATTTGAACTTGTAGAAGTACAAGAAAAAACCTTTCAATCAAACATACCTGCTAGTCGAATCCTTATGCAGCGGCTCCCAAGCCAGGCTCGTAATCCATTGCTTGTGTCCCGTTAACGTTTTCCCGATTTGCTCACCGTTTTTCGGATTCCATAACATTATCTAAGGAAATCTATCAAGCGAATAAATTTCTCAAGTTACCTGTCCATTGCGACACGCAGACGCGATTTTCTCGGCATTCGGCGACCAAGAGACGCAAAGGACATGATTTTTGTGACCCTAAAGTTAAAATTAGAGATGAAAACCTAATTTTTATGGTCTTAGCTTAATTTAAAAAACTGACTTTGCAAGTGTAGAGCGGAAGCTCAGTTTGAGTGTCCCAAATTCGTAAAGTGCAATCGCCGGAGCCGCTAGCCAGTCCACTAAAAATCAAATATTAAAAATTTTCTATATAGAAAAAAACTTTTAAAGCCATTCTTCTAATGAAGAGTTCATTTTTTAGTTTTTTTTTAAAATCCAACTCACTTCCCGTCGGGGCTGAATTGCGCAGAAATGATCGGCTCTCCGTGTCCGGGAATCGACGACGAACACCGCGTCACCGGGTAGATGCGAAAAACGGCCTGTGGCGCGTAGACGAGCGTCAGAACCTGAATGAGAAAGTTTTAATATTGTTAATAAATCCGTTGCAATTACTGATAGCTTCCCTAATCAAAAAAAGTAAACACTAATTTACCGTCATGTGCAAAAGTCTTAAGCGCCATAGGTTTTAGAGACAAAAAGGTTCATAAAAAACAAATGGCCATTTTTCTCCACCACATACCTATCTCTTCAAAGCCTCAACCGATTCCCCTGTGCTATATGTCAAAGGTTGACATTTTTATTTTACGTAAAATCACGTCAAATTTTATTCCGTTTAATTTCAATGAAGCTAAAAACTGTACAAGTCGAAAACTGTGGCAACGTTGAGTAGCAGAATAGCAGAATAGCATAAAATTTATACTATGAATTAAAACAACTCGCTCTAGTCAAACCCAATCACATACCTTTTCCTGGTCGACTTTCTCGAGTGATTGATTTATCGACTCGCGAATCTCGACGCCATCTTCGGTGAAAAACGAAATCGGCAATGGATCGTCGCCGGTGTCGAGTAGTTGATTGCACAGCTGCTGCAAGTTTTCCACCGATATACCCACTGGAATGACGATGCCCGAGCCTAAAGGAAGGATTTTATTGCGTGGAAATAGAAAACACTTTTTGTAAATCTCCTTCTTAGAAGTGCCATTAAATGCCTAGGTCATAAAATACAGATTTTCTATCATTTACTTCCAAAAACTGCTCACCTCCAAGTTCGTTTCCGTTTTCCCCGAGGAAACGTATCGATATTTGCGCATCGGGGTCCATCTGAAATGAAGAAAATTGAGCAAAATAAAGAAAAGTAAAGAAAAACAGAAAAATTGCATGGAATTTAAAGAATTTTTGTTGTTTGCAAGACTCTTACCTAATTGAAAATCTTTTAATAGATATTAAGACATTCAGTTAATCAATGAAATAACCTTTTCTTCAGCAATTTCCTCCTTTTTACGTTTCATTTTCGGTTCAACCATTGCTGTTTCTGAAAAAATAAAGCGTTGAATCAAGAAATTCGAATAGAATCTGGAGGGGTAGGCTAATTTCTGCAATTTTTTTTGCGCAACTCACCATAACTTTCTTCTAAGTGGGCCAATCTTTATGATTTTGATTCCATTTTGTAGATCTCAATAAGTGCAACAAAATGGAATCAAAATCATAAAGATTGGTTCACTTAGAATAAAGTTATGGTGAGTTGCGGAAATGACCCAGTTGCTCAAATGACCCTGTTGCGCAAAAAAAAATTTGGGGAAATTAGCCTACCCCGAATTTGACGTTATTTTACGTAAAATCGCCAAAGACTACGCTGGATGAAGGGAAAACGCGTGAAAGGGGAGCATTTCGAGTGAAAAGTTACGACAGGGAAATAGTGAGAGAGAAATGGGGGATATTCGAATATTGAAAAGGATTTGTTTACAGCTATTGTTGGTGCCAAATAGAAAACACAGATACGCTAATTTGTAATTATTTGGCGCTTTTTCCACTGTAAACAATGTTCTTTATACATTCAACTTTTTGTTGTAAAAATGGGATTTCATTTGCGATTGGCGATAAATTCTTTATACTTACATTATCAAAAAATCACAAATAAATCACGAAATTCAATCGATTTCCTCGATTTTCAAAAATCGTTGATCGTTTTGTTGGGATGGATTTGAAGAGGAGAACTGTGGGCGAAGTGGAGGGGAATATTGGGGAGGAAATTCTCTGAAAGTTCAGTTTTCTATGTTCTTTTCTTGTTGATCCAAACGTTCAATTCAGCGAACATTTAGTTGAACTGTACTAAAATATATTGGAGTGCAGCAGTAGACTACAGAACGCCGTGTACTTTGTGCTCTCTCACGCACTCTGGCAAACTCGAGCCTTCACTTTTAAAAGAGTGTGCCAGAGATTGCGCGTTTCTGGTATGTATTACAGTAAATTACAGTACGACTGTTCTATATTTACTATGAAGCATACTGTAGTACTACATATGATACTACAAAAACCTGAATGGCATCTCAAAAACTGGGCGGAAAACCCGCGGCTGCACGTGGATCGGGATGAAATAGGGGCCAGCCTGGAAAGATAACTTTGTTTACCGTATTTTCCCAGTGTTTAGCCGAGTTGATGACTATTTTTACGATTTCCAAGTTTTTACAGAAGCTCAACCCTCAAATCCCCCACAAGATCTCATCGTCAGCTACATTCTCCGACCCCACATCGATAGGTTCTAATAAGCGATTTTCGAGATTTCAAGCAATTTAGGCGAAGCTTACGGTGCACTACTATTAGGGAAGATACGGTAGTCAAATTCTACAGTACTCAATACTTGTCTGTAATATCAGAACATGTAACGGTGCTACAGTAATACTTTGTGTGTCTTTTAGAAGCACCGAATAGTTGTAATCTTGAAAAGTGTCATGGTTACAGTAATCCTAGGCTATATACTTTGCAGTATTGCGATCATGTAGTTGCGTAAATGAGCCGGCTTTCCGTACCTGTCTTCCTGGATATGGTGGTGGTCGGTCGGAGAATTCCTCGAATGGCACATAATAATAGGGATCCGAGTGAAGAGACGATGAACAAAAGGACGACTTCTCGAAAGAGTCTAAACGATGACAAAGTGTACAATAGTGGAGATTGGGCACAGTACCGTAGTCTTGTGGCACTTGGACTCTACAGTACTCCTACAGTACTCCTGGGAGTCATGTAGACTCTACCGTACGCTTACAGTATCAAGCACTGTAGGGTGATCAATTTACAGTGTTTACCTATAGAGTTCATGCTGGCCGATTGTCGAATCGCTCTCGGCATCATCATCGTTCGATTGCCGACAAAAATCGGCACCTCCACCTCGAAATACCCGGCGCTTGCCACGAGGATACTGTAGGTGACCTGGAAATTGAATTTTGCATTTGCTAAATTATTCTAGCTAAATATTCTAGCCAGGTTTTAAGATCTGTAAGCCAAGTGCCAAATCCGGGGATCTTTTATAAGTCAGGCAAGACGATTCATTAAAGCCATGCAAGGCTTTTAGCAAAACCTGGATCTGGTCATGGCCTAGCCTGGTACTACGGTGCTTTCCACCGCAAGTGCATCACTACCATTATACCACCTCAAATTGCTCTGAAATGGGATTGTGATGGTTTGTATGCTTGGGTATAAAGAGATTGTGATCGTTTTTTGATGTTGGAGTCGTATAATGGGAGAGTATCGCAGTTTTTGTCTAGAAGAAAGTCCGGGGACAAGTATCACGTACTAGACATGGGAAAATTCCAAGCGGAACCTAATTCCGCCTTTGTTTTCTCAGCCGTCTCTTGGGCGATTCCTCGGAAATTTTGTCTACAAGCAGAGAATGTCAATTTTTATTTGTAAACAAAATTTCAAGACAATCTTCAGGACAAAGAGGCTGAGAAAACGAAGATGGAATTGGGTTTGGGTTGGGAATTTCCCCATGTCTAACCTGTATAGCAGAATTCGCCGTCAAAAGAGTCGGATAGAGATCGGGCGGCACTTGCAAAGAGTGATGGATTTTCATCGAATCCCCGCTTGGACACGCGCCACAAACAGCTCGGCGAATCGTGTGACTCCTGGAAAGTATGGACTTTACAACACTTAGTTTGATAGAATTGCAAATTTAGCCATCAACTTTCACGCACTCATTCCTCGTGCCATCACCGCTTTTGTAAGCGGTGCGTTGACGCAACTCGAGTGTAATTGATCGCAGATTGCTCGAGTGGACCCCGTTCGTCACCTCACCGGACACCAGCACGTGTTCACCTGAAAAGATTCATTTTATATATACTTTGTGGTCGAAATTCGCAAACGCACACCTTCTAGTGCACTAATTTTAGCACAAAGCCATTGTTGGGTACGCCAGAGAGGGTGTGTTTACGCTTTCAAGAGCTTAAAGTACACAGGTAAACCCAAAACGATCTACGATACAGCAATAACTAGAGTTTTCGGATTTCGGATTACTTTTAGTAGAGAGCACTTTTTGGCAGTTCGAGGCTTCTAAAAGACACTCATAAAGGTTACTGTAGAGGAAAGTTTACGGTAGAAATGAAAGCATTTACCCGGCATAAACGCAGCCTTCTCAATCTCGAGTTTCACATTCGCGTCGAGAATGTTGAAGCAAAGAAATTTGCGCTTCAAATGTCGCTGCATGTGCACCGGTTTCTCGAATTCGGGAAACGAGCTCATCGAGACGGAACCTAAAGAGAATACCGTATTTCTTCGGAATAGAAGACCGGTTAAAGAGTATGATCGCGTACTCCTGCGTAGCAGCCCCTTTTAAAATTTCTTTTCTGCATAAAAGCTTTCAATCAAGTGCTATAGAGCTGGAAAATGGCTCAAAAATACGACATTGAGCTAACAGATTTTTGAGTCATTTTCCAGCTCTATAGCACCTGATTGAAAACTTTTATGCAGAAAAGAAATTTTAAAAAGGGCTGCTACGCAGGAGTACGCGATCATACTCTTTAACCGGTCTTCTATTCGAACAAATACGGTAAATGGTAATTGCAAATAAATTAAATCAATAAAATCAATAAAATCAATTTCAAATTTCCCAACCGATCACATCGATTTCCCGCTCGTTCTCCAGCATGGCCTCCTCGTTGTTTTTGCGGGCTTTAAGCTAAAATGAGTAAATGGTACAGTGGACTACTGTAATCTTGCCTTAGCCAATCCGTTTCCTAAAACGTGTCCCCTTTCCCCTTTCTACCGTAATCTTGTTTCTATTAATGTCACTTACATGTACTCGAAAACGATAGGCGATCGCACCGAATTTTCCCCGGATTGAGCCGGGCGTGTCGGTGGCGATGTTGATGACGCCTGGAACCCGGAAAATCCCTGACGGAAGCACCGATTTACCCTTGTGCATCACCTGAATGTTACAGCAGTCAAAGAATCAGAGTAAACTACAGTAGCCAGGCGTACTTTGTGCTCTTGAAAACGTTCACTTTCTGACGCACTCAATTCTTCACTTTTCTTTCAGCAACAATTTCGTGGCAAAATGAGGAATTCAATGCACCAGAGGCGATGCGTTTAGGGCACAAAGTACACCCCAACAAGCCTCACCTGATGCACTAGCAATTGACTCAAATCGAGCGGTACGTTGATCACCGTTTGCACGGTATCCTGTCCATCGACGGTGCATCTACGAAAGATATCTTTTCTCATCTTGTTCTTAGTTGTAAGTTTAAAAATCTAGCTAAATCTAAGTCGTAACACGAAGGTTTGTCCCTAGGAAATCTCTTAAATTTCGCAAGTTTAAAAGGTTTAAAAGATTTTTGACAGGTCAGGGTGCTCTAGGAATGTTTTGTAGTTAATCCAGACTCACCTGCAAACTCCTTCAAAGACTCCGCCCACTTCAATCACCTCAATTCGATCGCGAATCCGGAACTCGAAAACGATTGGATACTCCTGGAAAAGGGTCGTGAAAAGGAGTTTAGGCTTACAAGGCTTTTTAGCCTGAAAATTCACACGTGGAAAAGGGTCGTGTTTCCAGTGAATTTTCAGGCTAAAAAGCCTTGTAAGCCTAAACTCCAGACGAAGACAAATTCAACAAAACCGGGCCCAAGGATGCTCTGAACTCAAAGTACTGTAATGGATTAGGGTAGTGGTGTTTTTACAGAAGATGCTACTGTAACCCGAACCGTTTCGGAGTCACGATCCTCTCGGCTAATCCTTTTTCTAAAAGGCACTCATTTTAGACAAACTACCGTAATCCACTCGAGAACACAGACGTTTTATGCTGGTTGAGGGGATTCTCGTTTTCTACGATAAGCGTGTTAGAGAGCTTTTCAAGATGAAACTTTTCGTCGACGCCGATGCTGATATTCGTTTAGCGAGGAGAGGTCGGGTTTTTAGCAAAGTACTCAGATAAACTAATGAGTTTTCTAAAATGCACCCCATTTTAGACAAACTACCTGCCAGTTTTCATTCGATCAGCTCAATTTTGGTCACATTGAATGAGTTTTATGATTTCCTCATCGAATTCGACCAAAAACTGGCTAGTGGAGTACGGTAGTTTGTCTAAAATGAGTGCCTTTTAGAAAAAGGATTAGCCGAGAGGATCGTGACTCCGAAACGGTTCGAGTTACAGTCGCATCTTCTTTAAAAATACCACTACGGTAATCCATTACAGTACTTTGAGTTTAGAGCATCCTTGGGCCCGGTTTTGTTGAATTTGTCTTGAGTCTGGAGTTTAGGCTTTTTAGGTGCTTTTTAGGAAACTGATTAGATGAGAGGAATTTGCTTTAGTTTATTCTATTGTAGTTCTTTTTGTTGACTTCTAGATAAACTTTGAGATAATCCCTTAAAAAGTTTTCAAACGAGTTTCCCGTATCCATTTTTGGAGAGTGCTCAAGAAAAAGAACAGCTGATTCAAAAAAGGGAATGAAATGCGCAAAATCGATTTTCCTGAAAAAGTGTGTCACCAAATATAATCGAATTATTTTCTCTTGAAAATCCGGTTTGAAACGAGTTGCATTCTTTGAGATTATGTACTTTGAGCTCTGTGAACGCATCCCTTCTAGCGCACTGGATTCTTTGATGTTCTACGGTGAGAAAAATGAGGAATTCAGTGCGCCAAAGAAGATTTGTTTACAAGGGCACAAAGTACACCCGCTTACCCGTCCCGTTTCGATTGGGTTCTCCTGGAAAATGATTCGGATCGCTTTCTTTTTGCCCATAGCACTGAAATCGGATCGTCTTGTAAAATGTAGAAAAAATAGAATGACAAAGAAGGTGTAGAATTGAACAAGATATTTCAAGGTAATGAAAATGAGTATTTGGATCCGGAGCTTTTCTAAAAAGCTAGGATAGATCTAGGTAAGACCTAGTTGGTAAGACTTAGAAGTCAGCCTCGTCTAAACGGAGTTTGACCCAAGACTGGGCTTGTACTTGGACTTCATAGATAGGTACTTGATGATGTGTTGATGCAGTAACTATTTGGCACTTGGAACTAGTAAAATATAATTTGCCAGGCTAGGCCAGTTTTAAGTCTGAGCCTGACTGAGTAGGCTGAGCTTAGGCCTGATTGCTACTGTGCATGATAACACCTAGACAGGGGCTAGTATTGTGTATGTACAGTCTTTACATGGTAGTGGATAGCTTTGCGATATAAAAAAACGCACAAGCTACAATAGGGAGTAAATCGATAAAGAAAAAAAAAGGAAGAGCTTTGGAAGATTTCAAAGTGATCAAGTGAGTGAGTCAAAAGAAGATTTTGAGAAAACGAAAGGAAAGCTGACAAAAGCCTTTTTTGGAGAAGGGAAACTGGGTGGATCTGAACAAAAAGGGGAGGTGATCGAATGGGGAAAAGGAAAGGGGCATCGAGGAGTAAGCTAAATACGGGTTTCTTTGGTGTTCAGATTTTGTAATCACATCTTCTGGTGCACTCAATTCTTCCTTTTCAAGAAAACCGGGCCCAAGGATGCTCTAAACTCAAAGTACTGTAATGGATTATTGTAGTGGTGTTTTTACAGAAGATGCTATTGTAACCCGAACCGTTTGGAAGTCACGATCCTCTCGGCTAATCCTTTTTCTAAACTGGGTGGATCTGAACAAAAACGGGAGGACGAATGGGGAAAAGGAAAGGGGCATCGAGCAATCCAGCTAATCTTAACTGAATACCTTCAAACTAGACTGAATATCATAATCTAGACTGAATATCCTAATCCAGACTGAATAGCGTAATCCAGCTAATCTTAACTGAATACCTGAACAAAAAGGGGAGGTGATCGAATGGAGAAAAGGAAAGGGCATCGAAGAGTAAGCTAAATACGGGTTTCTTTGGTGTTCAGATTTTGTAATCACACCCATCTGGTGCACTCAATTCTTCGTTTTCTTGCATAGCATTAGTGCTCGAGAAAATGAAGATTTAAGGGTGCTTAAACGGCACTTAAGTACACTTCAAAGAATACGATCGATTCATGGAGCTAACTAAAGCACTCGGAAATTGGGTGATTGAAATGAGCACGATTTTTAAAGTAATGAAGTATGTTCCTCTCCTTTAATGGGGACATGTTTTAGAAAAAAACTTACCTAAAAGAAACACTCTCTATTGATAAAACTATCGTCCAAAGCTCTAGCTTAGACCTCAGCATTTCTTTGTTGATCAAAAAACGTCACCAAAATCGGATCGTTTCCCTTTTCTTTGATCTCCTAACAGCAATTTTCATTCACAAACGAATTCCCCTAAAGATTTATCATTCTCTTTGAAGTGATTTGGGTAAAAAAAAAGTGATTTCAGCTAGTGATTTCGTTTAATTTCGTTTAATGATTTCGTTGATTCGATAATGATTTCGTTTAATTTTCTAACGAAATTGATATATGATAACCAATGTTTTTTTTGTAGAATTGAAGCAAGTTTGCGAAATTTTTTTTCTAGAAGAAAACTCATAAACTTTCGAAGAGAAAAATTTGAGGGAAATGAGTACAAATCCTATTGAGAAAATGATCGGAAAAAAAAGAGCGAGAAATGAGAGAAATTTGGGTAATTAAGCCAAGAGAATTCGATGCTGGCTTGCATTTCGGAAAGAAAAGCAATAAGAAAACAAGGGAAATTTTTGATTTTTGTGCAGAATGAGCAAATGAAAATGAAAATGAAAATGAAAATTTCATCGATTCAAGCTTGAAAACTTAGGGTTTGTGCTCAAAAATTTAGCAAAAACACCCCTTCTGGTGCATTCAATTCTTCCATTTTTCAAGCAGCATTGGTGGTTTTTTGGTGCAAAGAAAGAATCAACTATAGAAATGATTTACAGTAATCTGTCTGAAAAGCTACAGTACTAGCAGCTGACTTTTGACTGCCATCTAAAACTGACTAATCTACTGTATTTTTTGCGCATTTAGCGCTTTAGTTCTCGAGAAAAACAAAGAATTGAGTGCACTAGAAGGGGTGTTTTTACAAGAACAATACAAGAGCACAAAGTCGCATTCAATTTTCGACTAAAGAATTTCTAAAAACCAATTCATGAACCTGAACCTGATGGAGTGATTGTAGTTGAAGATAAAGCCAGCTGAAAGAAGCACAGCTGGTTTGGGGAGACATTTCTCAAATAGCAAAAGAAAAGAGAAAAAAATAAGGAGGGTAAGGCATTTAAAATTTCTCTTTACTTTTTTTAAGAATGACCTTGGTGTGAGGGTGACACGGGAGAGGAGGTGAAGGAGAGAAAAAGAGAAACAGAGAGGGAAAGGCAGGGAGTGGGCATTCACTGGACACTTTTTGGATACAGGATTGAGAAAATTCACACCCTTACATGGTTGATGAGTAATATTGATAAGGGAAATGACTGGGATATTGTTTTTACAAAAATAATCGTGTTCTTTTCCTAAAAGCACCTATTTTAGATAGACACCGTAATCCGATCGCCAGTTTTCATTCGATTAGCCCAATTTTGGTCATATTCGATGAGGGAATCACAAGGCTCAGCCAATGTGACCAAAATTGGGCTGATTGAATGAAAAATGATTACGGTAGTTTGTCTAAAAATGGATGCATTTTAGAAAACGGATTCGTCAAGAGGAAGAAAGGCACGTAACAGTCCTTCTATTGGTTACGATAGCTTTTTGGTTGAATAATGTTAAATCTAATGAACAGAGTATGTTTCTCTCTTCGAATCCTTTCCCTAAACCGTGTCCCTTTCTACCGTAATCTTGTCTCGATTTTTATCCAATCTCTATCCACATTTTGTATTTTTCGATATCCTTTGTGAATCATCAAAGAATCAAAAAAAAGTAGATGATTGGATCAAAAATAGGGACAAGATTACGATAGAAAGGGGAAAGAAACACGGTTTAGGATTGTTTTAACGCCAAGGCAATGCACGCTGAAATGAGAAACAAAAGATATTCAAATGTAGCCAAATAATATTGTTTTGAGCTTGTGATCCTTTGCCTTTTTGCTGTGAGTTTTATAAATTACCCTCAAAACCTGGGTTGACCTCAAAAATGCGATCCAAAACCAGTCCTTTGTTTTTCTTTTTCTTTCTTTTTTTTCCTTTTCCTCTTTCTCCCTCATCGTGTTATTTTATGATGACACGGTTGGTGGTTGAAGGTGGACTGGATTTTCACTTTTTGTGCAATTTTTCAATGGCAAAACCCTTTCACCTTTCGCCTCTGATGGCAGAAATTTTGGTGATCTTAAAACTAATTATCTATTTTGATAGCGTAATCATAGAGGGGCTGTAGAGACTTTAGAATGATCAAAATGTTAGCTAAATAGCTAAATAGCTGGAAAAAGTTTAATGCCGCTGGAAAAAAACGGATAAAATTTCATTAAAAAGCATCCATTTTCAGCTGTTGGGGCACAAAAAAGAATTTCGGAGAGAGGCTTGAAAATAGAATTATTAGAAAGATTACGGTCGTTTAGTTGCGATGACAACATTGCATAATGGATTGTAGACCGTTCACTGCTTACTTGTTTGTGCTTGTTTTAAAAAATATGTTCGTTGTGTAATTGTAATTGTCGGTGTAAAATTGTAAGTTTTATAAGTTATAAAAATGCATTTTCCAATCCGATCAACAAAACGTTTTCATTTTTTCACGAGTTTTCTTTTCTCGTAACTACATTTTGTTTCACACACACACACCACACACTGGCACTGACACTTTTGTGGAGGGAAATGGTTAGTTGGGTGTTTTTTTTTGGACTAGCATTCGGTTAACGGATACTTTGTACTTCAATAAACGCACCTTTTCTGTCACACCGAATTCTCCTAAATGTGCCAGAAAGGGTATGTTTACAAGAGCACAAAGTACACATCAAAGGAACCCCCAAAACAACATCCAATCTATCCCGATTTCTCCCCACTTACCAACAACAAAACAAGAAAATAAACAAAATATGGCCAAGAATATTCTAAACAAGAAAAATATAAAACAATGAATGCAAAAAAAACGTTTATACGCACAATCTATCGTCAGGGCGCGCTTGGGTTTCTCGGCTTGGGGGGAAAAGAGAAAAGAAGGGGTGTGGTAAATCCGAAATTTTATCAAGTTCAAGAAAACTTTGATCTTTGAAATTCTTCGTTTTCCTTCTACTTGTAGATTTTTGAAAACACTAGCCTTTCGCGCATAACGCGTTCCTTTGAAACCGAATTCCTACCGTATCACAGCGGATTATTGTATCTCTCAAATTTCGCAAGGTTGAAAGTTTTTCAGCTTTATGTTGAGTCAACAATCTCTTAGCGTTACAGTAATCCTAAATACCGAAGATATTTACGATTATCCAAAGCTTTAGAAACACCTGGGAAGATTACTGTGTATACTAAAATTTTGAAAGCTCGAACCCTCTCAAGCTAAACTCCTACCGTATCCCCAACTACAAATCGTTCTTCAACTCCCACACAATCCCTCTACTGCTGTTATCCCCCAAAGTTTGCGCCGAGGAACTTTTCACGACTGCCCCATATGAAGAAAAATACGCGAAAATCTCATCGAATGACCGACGTTCGGCAAATGGGAAAAGCGATCACAAAACAATCAATCGCAACAGGAGCCCGAATGGTTTTTGGGCAATAGGAAGGGTGCAAGTGGAGTCTCGGGAAGAGGCGAGCACAAAGTACACGGGGATTATATTGACCTCCCAACTCCCCTTGCACCAGGAGGTTCTTTCTCACGGGATCTTCCATGAAATGAAGCGGATATAATCTGAAAAACACAACAAAACAGCAAAGGTCAGATCTTATTTTGAACACATTTTTTTTGTTGTAAACGGACACAGGAAGAGGAAAAAGAACACAAACAATATGAGCAACAAAATCGAGAGAGACAAAATAGGGGGCACATTTTGATGACGATGGAGCTTTGTGCAGAAATCTTGGAAATGGGAACTTTTGAGAATACAAACTAAATACTAACAAGACACTCAACTAAGCACTTTGAGCTAGCGGGGATTTTGAGGAAGGGGAAACGAATCTATATTTCAACGATCAACGTGACAAACTAACAGGAGGATTGGGGGGATTTGAAAAAATACAATGGATATGAAACAGCGGGTGCAACCAGAGGTGGCAAAAGGGTCGTCCCCTGTCTCGCATCCGCCCCCTCTAAAAATTTTCCGCCCCTTACAAGGGCAGAAATAAGGCCCAATCGCTCTCCATCCGCCCCTTTCTAGTTATAATTTTTCATTTTTTCAAGCTCGCCCCGCCCCTTAGTGTAAATTTGCACAAATTCACTGCCCCGCCCCTTGCAAAAATTTACAAAACCTCGCCCCGTCCCGCCCCTTTTGCCACCTCTGGGTGCAACTAACTCTACTAGACAACTCGTTCTAAACAGATCGCCACAAAAAAATCGAATGGTCTTGAAATTTGCATTTAAAATTGACAATAAAAATATTTAATTGTTAGCTGCTCGATTTTCTGTGGGGGAGGGAACTAGCAACTTTTACCTACCTATGTTCACAAAATAAAATAAATCGTTTAAAACCTCTACATTTGCATTCATTCATCTAAGTTATCCAACAATCTACTCTCAATTTGCATTCACGAGGTGGTCGTTTGCCATTTCATGTTGAGAATCACGTCCATATGAGTGGGAAAAGCCTCAAAAACTTTCATCAGCAACTCCCGATTCTGCATGATGTCGCGGAGAACGCGTTGTTCTGAAAAGAAAAGAATAAAGCCGGCAAGGTTACTTTTGGTGCCAACTGTACAATTCTAGAAATTCATATTGCATGCATGAGACGGTATGAAAATCCAAAACCTTACCACAAATCATGTCGGTTTGTGTGCCGACGTCAACTTTCGGTACCGGAGCAGCAGCCGGCGAGGTGGCACTGGAGGTCGGCGCGAAGGAAAGCGGCATGAATGATGGAGGATTCACCGACGATGGAGGCAACCAGTGAGAGAACTCGTCCCGCAAACGGAAGGCACCTAAATGAAACGATAGACAATTGGACACGTTGATAAAAAATCTAAACCTAACAATTGTGCAGATTTTTAGGTTAAACAACGCCAAATTTTAATCCAAAAGTAAGCCTACTTTCGCCAAACTGTGCAGCCAAGATGTCGATCTCGTGATTCTCGCTGAACGTGTCCGAGCCGTCTTCCGATGACAAATGCTGTGATGGTGAAGTGATTGATGGAGTGGGAACCGACGATGATGGAAGTGAGGCTGATGAAGAGACACCCGAATTCGTGACCCCAGTCATGCTACCCGGGCAGATTTGTTGCAACGAGGGAAGACGCTGCGCACGGTGACCCTCAAAATAAAAAAATTTAACTATGCACTTAAACTATGTGAAACTAGACTGAGTTTATTTTAAATTATGTGCACCGTAAATCAAAGTCTTTACTTGACTTGTCACAATGAAAATGGCAAACAAAACCCACATTGATAATTTTTGCAGCTGTGATAGGCGACGTGCTGTTACTCTGCGGTTTCACCAGCAATCCCAGCTCCATCGGCAATCCCATCACGCCGGGTGGTGAACTCATTCTCAATAAAGAGGCCATCGATCGATCTTGACTTGTCCTGAAAAGAAAATAGTGATTATTGAGAGGAAAATATAATTACACCATTTTAGCTAACAATTAAGAAAAAGAAATTTGAGTGGTTGACGAAATTTACCTTTTTCAACAAAACAAGAAATTCGCTAATCGATTTAGAAGAGTTTACCAATAACCAACCTTCAGTTTTTCATAAACATTGCACAGATTTTATTCTGGCAATGGAGCGAAAGTCGGGATTTTATTAATGAGCAAAACTCTACCCAGAAAGACTTTTTAAATAAAAAACTCTGAATCACCTCGTTCCAATCGGCTGTTGTTGCACGGGTGGTGGCGGCGGTGATGGAGTGTTGGGTTGTTGTGGAGCACGGAATGGACGAGGAATCTGCAGAACGCCCGAATGCACGTGTAGAGGATACGAGGCCGCTTTGTCTTCTAGAGGAGCGACCTAAAAAAATTGATTAAAAATATAGTCAAGTAATTTATCAGGATTACAAGGCACAAAATTTCTCAAAATAACGAACCAGTACGGCTCTCCACTGATGTTTCTTTTCGCGATGCTGCTTGAAGACAGTTGCACGACAACGCTGCTCCTGGAAAATGACTTTGTGTGAAGGGTAAATTGAATTCTCTCGAATAGTAGAAACCGGTTTTTTTTGTTTATATTTTTGAAAAAACGAACCTTTGCCGGCACAGCTTCTCCCTCGGCCAAATCGGTCCAAGCGATAAAAGCGCTTCCGTACTTCGGATTCTCCATAAAGCCAAAGAAAGTTCCTTGTTGTGATTGAACATGCGTAATCTGGAAAAAAGCTTATTACATACAATTGACAACTTATCAGTTGTGTATCAGCTATTATTTTCACCTGTTTGCAAAAGACCACTTCTGTTTTTAACAAGATAAATCCACTTACACTCCAATTATCATCAGTCAATAGGAGTTGCGCATTCGTTTGTCGAATCTCGTCATTCGGTCCAATTACCTAAAAAATAAAGACTTAAGAAAACGGCAAAATTTTCAAACCTCCAAATGTAAAGCCGACCACGGTACATCATCAAATGCTCCCGTATAAACAACACGAGCCTAAAAATGCAAGTGTAAATGGAGAAAATTTAAAATTAAAACAACTTTTCACCTTTGCACACTCCATAGGACGAAGGCTATGTCGAAAACAACCAGGTGGCACATAGATACGACCTAAACAATATCATTTCATATGTAAAAGCGCCATGCAATTTATTGCTTTAACTTGATAAACTTACCAATAAAATCATTCCAAAGCCAGGCATGCCGATTCGATATGGAAACTCGATTGACAACACAATTCAACGATAGTTGTAGCCGAGAACCGTCCATTTGATCTTCTTCTACTTCAAATAACTAAAAAAAGTAGAGATTGTCAACCCTTGAGAAAACTAGGAAACTTAGAAGCTATCACTACTTTTTGACTTCCATCTTTATTTTGATTAAAAACCGACCATTCCTAAATCAACCGGATCACGCACAATCCAGGTCGTTAGTGACTTAGACGGGTCGCCATTTGTTAAGGAATTCGGATCACGCGAAATATCATATTTAAGCCATCCACCTAAATGTTTATTGTCAGGCAATAATTGCAAATAAACAAAACAAAACAAAAAAAAAAAACCAATAATTGCAATTCAACCTAGCAAAACCCACCCAAATACATCCACGGTCGAACCATGTTTGCCGGCAAACGAGCAAGCCCAGTTTGCTAAAATTTCATGTCATAAAATCGTTTGCAAATTTAAAAAACTTACCGCTGAATAAATAAGACAATCATTCGCATCCGCATAACGAACAATACAACCGATTTGCAACCGGGTCGAATCAGTAGTAATACGCGAAATCGAAAAATGAAGTGTTACAAAATTTTTCCCTAAAAACTCACTCTATTTGGCTTCATTTCATCCGTTAATCCATCATCTAACGTAATCTCACATCCGAACGCCACATATTTGCAAGTGTTTATATCTGGTTGGCGAAATATCTAAACAAGATTTATGCAAATGTGAAAAAGTTGAATCAAAACAATAAAAGCTTGTCCCTATTGCTGTTGATAAGTGCTAAAAGTCTTATTATTGGTTATCCAGACGCTTTTGAGTTACAAAATCAAAACTTCATTGGGTTTTGAGGATATTCTGTGAATGTGATAAGAAAAACATTCTTTGTAGTGAAGGATAATTCACTTACACGCTCAAACAATGGGTCACTATAGGCCGGGTAATAGAATTTCTCGCAGCTGAACTCCTTTTTGAACGACGCGTTTTTGCTTGCCGGTTTTGGAACAGAATCCATTCTTTTGGGAATTATGATAGAACTCAATAGGATTTGTCAATATTGGAATAATAAACTTGTGATTTTGGGAAATGTCTTGAAAGAAATCGACAATTTTTCAGCTGACAAAATCTTCGCGGACGCTTAGCAACGGAAAGGTGCATTTGATGGTAGTGGGGCACAAAAAAAGGCTAAACTTGTATTCTTGATTTGGGAAAAATGATTGGTTTGATGAATGAGAAGGAAAATTACATCATGTGTGTTTCCTTTCAACCAGAAGTTTAATGAAATTATATAAAAGGCCTCAAAAATGCTAGAAAAAGCTTCGAGTTGGACAGGATGAGCATGAACACTGTAGATTATAAATTTTTCAAGTTTGCAGGCAAAATGAGCTTTCTCCGAAGATTTCTCAAGTCGATGCAAGTCCTATAGCATCAAAAAATAGTAGCAAAAACTTACACGTATCGAACAAGTTTTCCCCTTCTCAGCGCCCCTTCCAAGCCACGGTTTCCCGGCCTCAGTCCTCGCCGAATACGGGACAAATACTTTCCCAAATTTCTTCACATCAACGTAACAAAATCTAAAAAAAAATTTTATATGTCCCCAGAAAAACAAACCCACTTATCAAAAGTCTCCGTAATTTTGCCATAACAATGTATAAGATCTTTTTTCTTTATCACCGAACTGGCAGCATATTGACAATCATTCGTGGTCGAGGCTTGCTTCTGCGCCGTAAATATAACAATATCGTTTTCCTAAAAGCAAATCTCATTATATCTTATCAAGTTATTATTTTAGTTTCATCGTAAGTTCAATAGGAACCCCACAATTAAGTTCATTTTTAAGAAAAAGCTCCGAAATTACTCGCTACTGATGAGTTAAAGATCCGTAGCATCACGAAAAGTCGCAATTTGGCTTCAGTTTTGATTTTTTTGTAAATAAAAATCCTTACATTAAATTTCTCTCGTAAATCAACACAATCTATCGTGATCCGCGCTGCTTCCAACGGGAAATACACTTTGCCCAAACGATCATCTTGTATGTAGGCGTATTTTTTAACCAACTAAAAAGGAATATACGAATAACCTTCAAAAGATTCTAAACTTGGCTCTTAGCATTCATTGTATTATCATATTAAAAATTAAACTCACTTTAGTAACTTTTCCTTCACCAAGTGCCCGGTTCATTGTCATGCCTTGGCGGGCCCAGGCTCCGGAAATACGCAAAAGTCAACAGCTGTACACTGAAATTTGCAATAATGTAATACGGTAAAGTGGAAATTTCGAGAGCAAAACGCGGAGAAAACAAATCAGAGAAGACAATTTGGCGTATATTTTTTGGAGGAGAAAGAAAGGGGAAAAGAAAAATCTCCCTTGGAGACAAAAGCTCGAGGAAAAAAAAGGAGGATGTGAGGGCAATGGGTTTCTTGAGAAAGTCGCGAGTGTGAGTGTAGTAAACTTATCTTGAGTCTTTGTGATAGGATACTTCCCGAAATTGAACCAGACGAGTTTTGAAATTTTTCGTAATAAAAACAAGGATGTGCTGGTTTTTAATCGAGAAAAAAAATTGATATCCAGCACTTGGTCGCCTACTTCTGACCTCTGAAGCCGAAAATTTCGGATTTCAAAATTTCAGACAATTTCATTTTGCCCGAAAGTTTGCCAACAAGCGACAAAATCAACACCATTTTAAAAATTATTCAAATAACGAACTAACAAGTAGATCGACCGGAGGCCCTATCCGTTAACCCCAAAACCGAGGACAAACCATCGAGAAAGGGGGTAACGGAAAGAAGAGACGACCGGAAAACACGTCATCGAAATTTGACGCGGAAAATCGGGAAAAGAGGGACGGAAGAACCGGACAAAACGTTTATTCGAATGAAAAGAGGGGAAAGGGACCGCCTTTCTCTGAAAGAAATGCGACAGATGGAACGATTCGATTGGGAGATAAGTGGCCCTTTGACCCAACAACAAAGTGTAATATTTGGTCATATCTCGCCAAAAGATACCCAACTATTTTTGCTACTGTCTATCAAAAGCACACCCGAATCAGATCGTACCATCTTTCCCCAACAACAATTGGCTCTTAGTAGAATAACAACCAGTTTTAACCAAAACAAAAAATATAACAAAACAAACTTGATACCAACTGAACAACAACAACAACAATAACAAAGTAAAGTTGGAAAACTTAGGCTTTAAGTTTGACACTCTTGATCGTGCTGATGCGAATTCCACGAGATTCTCCCGAGTAGCGAGCCTCTTCTTTGCGAAGCTGAATAGAAAATTTTAGACTGTTGAACATTTTTAGGTTTTGAGTTCTGTGATCAGGGTAGGCCAAATCTTCCAGTCTTTTTGATAAACAGCCTTAAAAATCTCACCTTAGGCCGTTGACTATTCTGTCGTTTCATCGCGCTCTTGAATTGTTGACGCTTTCGTACCTAAAACAAATTAATTAGCTTTAAGAAATTCTTTTGTTACCTTTGAATTTCCGGGAGCTTTCTTCTTTCTGTATTGCTGCGCTTTGTTCTTCTCAATTGTGTAGTTGATACCACGACGACCCTAAAACAACATTTTGTTCAGAAAAACAATGATAACCAAAGCCAAGATATCTGCAGATAGCACCTCATTCATTTCGTCATCATTTTCTTCAAGCTCTTCAGCCAACGCTTCTTCTTCCATCTCTTCTTTCAGCTTCTGGAATAAGTAAAAGTTGAAAAAACAACTGATTGGTACAAAACTACCTTTTTGATTGCTCTCTTCTCAGAAACGATTGGGTAGTGCTCTTCCACATCAACCGTTTTCCCCTCTTTGGCCTTCTTGATGAGTTTTGTGAAAAGATCCGAATTTCGACCGACGAACGAATCGATTTGATCTGTCATCTAAAAATGAAAATGCATTTTCAAGACGGTAAAACCATAAAAATTTGTAAGAAACCTTTTTGAGAGTCGAGATTTTCTCGAGGGCAGGATGGCCATCAACCTTGAAATCGGTTTCTTTTTGCTGCGCAATCGAATCAGCTTTCATCGAGAGCCATAACTGGACGTTGCACAAATATCTGGAAACAGTTCAATAAATCACATTCGACAAGAACTAGGTCGTTAATTACTTGCTAAAGACTCACACTCCATAGGTGTTCGCGCAAAGTTGCAACTTCAACTTTAGCGGAGATTCGGCGGGCAAAAGTTGAGCGACTTCAAAAAGTGGCTTAACGATCACGTTGAACATTTCCATCTAAAAATATGAGTTCAAACTACTTTAACTGAATAATACTTTAAGTTTGTAGTCCTCCAAAATTTTCGCTGTCGTTTTGTTTTTCTTTTGCACTTTCACTGGGTTCCAGTCGTGGTCGACTTTCTTTACAACCTGAAGGAAAATGTTACAAAAAGCTGACTGTGACTTCCTATTTAAAGCCGTATCATTCTTCACAATACTACTTTTACATACCTCAATCACTTGAGTCTCATTTTCGTCCAACTTCTCGTAGATATCCAAATCAGCGATCGCCGCGTCCAAAACTCGTTGGCGAGCACTAAAAAGGACATCTTTCCAGGGTTGCGTAAAACCAGTAACATTTTAGAATTGACAAGTTAACAAACTTACGTCGCATCTTCTTCTTCCAAAAGAGCGTCCTCTTCTTCATCCTCGTTTCCAACGGCAATATCCTAAATTTGCAATAGGTTCAGATAGTTTCCAACAAAACTTACATTATCGACATAAGAAGTTGAGTAGAAAGCTTGACGTTTCTTGCCCCAATTCTCGCGTGAAGGAAGTTGATCTGAATAAAAAGTTAATAAAATGATGAAGATTTTAAAAAGCATAACATCGTTGCTTCGTTTCAATGTGCATTTAAATAATTAAAAAATACCTTCCAAATCTTCATCAAATTTTGAGGATCCTTCTTTTTCTCGGTCGCTTTCGTCGTCCCAATCATCATTGCTGACGTTGCCTTGTTCTTGAGTTTTTCCTTCGTCTTCCGAGTAATCGCCTTCGACGTTTAAAACCTGAAGCAAAGAGAGTTTAGTTTTAGTTTGTTTCGCAAATGTAATTTAATTTAATCCCTAAGCAAGATTTTTTATTAATAACGAGAAAGATTGGACCAAATTTAACAACACTTATCTTACAAACCTCAACGCGTGCACCAGGTTTCCGAATGTTGATATTCTTTTTCAGCTCTCGATCGGATTTATGGAAGAGATCGACAGCATCATAAACATCATCGTCGTCGGTGTCGGGCTCTCTAAATTAAAAATTGATTAAAAATAGAAACATTTAAGTGTACAAATGTTCTAACGTTTATCAAATCGACGCCATTGTTTAATTTTTAAGCCAAAAGAATAGAAAGTTTGGAACTAAAGTAAGTCTTACCCGTTAAACAATAAAATTCTCCAATAAAATTCTACAATTTTTAAACTTTTCAGTAATTTTTTAGCTCTATAGTCTGTGAAAAATTAAAACCACACAACAAGAGGCGAGAAATCGTACAGAAAAACTTTCTCAAGACAGACCTCCGTTTCGCGGGTTTCCTGGCAAACTTTTGTTTTCCCATCGGTTTCCCCGGCAAAATCCTCGTGTTCTCTAAAAATGATAAGAATAATCTAGGTGTTAGACCAAGAAACAGAAAAAAGCTCAAGAAATAGATAAATGCCAAGGGTATCACACAAAGGGGCATGTAGTAGGAGAAAGGGACCCGAGCATGCGCCAATGGAATTGAGCCGAAACACGGGCTACGGTAACGGGAGCGCATTTCCCCTGGCAAATCCCTGGGACTCTTTGTTGCCGGTTTGCTAAAAGTTGCTCGAAATGGCTGAGAAAACTAGACTCGATCAACTTTGAGCTTTTTTAAAAATCGACACCTAATTGCTGGGTTTCGTGACTTGAGGCTTGTAAGCTGGCATCGCGCTATTTCGCAAAAAATTAACATCTTCAACTGAATATTTTAAGGAACATGGGAGATTTTTAAATAAACTATAAAACGCATGTAAAATTTCAAAGTAGTCAACCAAATTTGTTGTTCTATTTTGTGCGCTATCCGTTTTTGTAGCGAATTTTGTATCGTAGATTCGTAGAAAATTTTTTAAAGTTTTAAGGAGCTGTAGTTTTTACGTCCATTTTTATACTTTTTTTCTCAATTTTCAAGTTTCTTTCTTCCAGATGTTCTGGCAAACAAAACCGGTCGAAGAGAACTCATTGGAGGTTTTGCTGAAGAAAGAGACGGTTGTTTTGACAGACGTGCTCGACGATCCATTTCTTCTGCAGGCCATCCGAATTGGCGATAAAAATCTCCTGGATTAGTGGGTTTTTGAAATTAAAAAAGATAAAGCTGCTAAGCTAGCCTTGCTGTTTGTTTCATACGATGTAGTGAACAATTGGAGAATTAACTCAGCAATGGCTGAGAGACTCAGCTAGCCATGTTTCAAATTTTTGTGTACATGCTTTTCTTATTTAATTGGTTAGCTAAATGGCATACATAATCAGTCTTTTCAGCCAAGCAATACAAACTTTCTTTTAGTTTAACGAGAGAAGATGTTCTTCTTGAAGTGATGAACAACGCTCTGAAACCGACCATCGACGCGACGCTGCCCCTTGAGAAGCAATATCGGTCGTTTTCCATGCTCGTTTTTTCTACCATAATTATTTTAGGCATTCTCTCATATGCAGTGAAATTTTGTCGATCTCATCAGATGAAATTATCGAGGCCGTTTTTAGCAGGTATTACTATAGTTCGGAATAGTAATGTTTTTTATTTTAGTGAAGTGGTACTCTCGGTGATCACAGATTTTATGAATGATTCTTCACAAGTGAATCACCTGATTGCCTCCTTTTACATGAAAATCGTCACCCAATTGTTGTCGCGGAATCCGGAAAAGGTGGAGTTTGAGTGCAACATCAAAAAATATGTGCTTTTTAGCCATGAAGTTGCATAAGTATGTGCAAATATAATAGTGTCAAAAAGCGTCATGAGCTAATTGATTTAAAAGCCAAACAACCAAATTTTTATATAATTTTAATTTCTTTTTAAGATGCTCGAGGTGTTGGAGAGCGGGAATTTCATCAATCGCGCCATCGTTCACCTCCATCTCTCAGCTATTGCTGAGTTAATTCTCCGATTGATCACTACATCGTATGAAGAAAGAATCGGAAATAAAATTAAGCAAGTAGGCTAGTTATATTATTCAGTGTCTTACATCTAATTTAGTGGTGTGTCGAGCATGGACTGATCGAGAATTGTTTGGCCTTGTTGGATCCATCGTTTCCATCACCTGTTCATGACAATGTAAACTACTTGTGGACCGAATTGACGAGAACGTTGCGGTAAATGTTTTCATTTTTAAGTCAAGCTTGTGGCTTGCGAAGCTGATGAAGACAAAATTTGCAACTACTAAATTTACAACAAGGTTTAATAAACGATTGATTTGAGGGAAAATCTCTACACACAAGACGTTCGACAAGATCCGTTACTCGAGAGGATGCAATCAACGGAAATTATTGAGGATCTCATTGCAAAAGTCATGAATGTAATACTTTAAAAATTGGAAATTCTAATAAACTTTTTAGCTGGACTCATGCGCTGGAATGTGCTCGAGTGTGATAATCAATGTGTGCAGCATTCTCACAGTGCTTTTGGAGACGAATTTTGTGCCAAATTGTCCAAGTCAACAACTGGCGGATGAAAAGTGAGCTATAGAATGGATTTTAGTATTGGTGCTGCCGTCGTGCTTCCTTATTCGAATAACCAAATTTTATTTAGGAATGGACGATGGAGTGGTGGAATTCCAGGGGAAGGCAACGCATTTCCTGTTGATGTACGTAAATTGTGGCTACTATTAAAAAAAACTTACTTAACATGTTTTAAAGTTGTTAACGATTCACTTGTTGATCAATTGTGCTTTTTTCTAACTTGAATAAGAGTTTTTAGGTGTGGCAACCCGATGGGAAACGGGAAGTTGAAACAATTACGGCTCGTCATGTCGAGAAGTTTCTCAAATTGGCAACGATGGATCTTGAGGTATTCACGAGAGTTGTTACAGAAGAAAAACGGCTCTTAGTCTGAAACAAGAAGCAAAGCCTGGTTCTCGTTGTTACAAGTGATCGTCGAGCTGTGTAATACGGCCCATTTACCCACTCATCAACTGCTATTAGAAGGATTTCGAAAAGGACAACTACAAAAGGTACGCTAAAGTTCATAAAAATCATTAAATGCTTTGCTAGTGAAAGCGTTTTTACTCCCTTGGTAGCTTCACAACACCAAAAGAGTCTATCCTTAGCTGTTCGCTCTCGCCGTTCAACAACCAACAATCTCCGTGTTTCACAAACAACTGCACAAGATCATTGCCTACATTTTTTTCACATCGAGCACTGAAGTGACGCCGTTGTTGAGCTACATTTTTAAGGTGCTTGTTTCGTCCTTACATGCTTAACTTTTGAATATTTTTAGGAATTGGACATTATCGGAGTGATTGAGGCGTACATCAATCCGTCGTCATTAATATTGTTACCGCTGGAATTGATCTGCATTCGGGCGTTTCACGCAAATCTTGCCGATCTCATCATAAACGCGTCAAAGCATGGACCAAACAAAAGTCATGTCGCAGAGATCATAAATGTAGGTCATTTTAGTCTTTTTACACTCTCGACAGAATCAAAAGACAACTTTAGGCTGATGATCGCTGGAAAAACATTCACCAAGTAATCACTACGTATAAAGAGGTGAATCGACCCCACTCTTGCGTTGACCCCGGATCGTTGTCGATTAGGTAAACGCAGATTTACTGACAGTTCAATTTTTGTTTTAGTTCTCGATCCGAAAACCAGCTTAAAGATGACGAGGAATTCTTTGCGCCCGCTCAATCAATGGTGATTTTCAAATATCCAAATAATATTGATAAATTTTCTCTAGTTGGCGCCTTTGGAGATGAAAATACCGGCAGCTAAATTGCCAAAACACCTCTATGATGATGTTTTCGGCTTCGGTGAGCCGCTATCAAGTGATTTGGGAGAGGAGGGTAATTTTGTTTTCAATCAAGTAATAAAAGCCGTCGGTTGTGAATGCGAATATGCAAAACTTTCGAGTCGCCTAGATTTATTTTTAGGCCATTCTTCATCCCAAGAACAAACAATGAGTGACAACAAGAAGCCAGATGATGCGGCAACACCCGAAGAAGAGTCCAATGCGGTAATTTGACTCTTTTATAGCTAAACACAAATCATTTTAGCAATTCGAGTCCAACAATTCGATGTGTTTTGACGATTGGCCAAGCACTTGTGAGCCGCTTGCAAGCAGTGAGACAAAAACGACACAAAGTGACGCAGATCCTTTTGCTGATTGGCCTCAAACCGAGAGTGTTTCGTCGAAAAAAAATGAAGTAAAAACGTGAGTTTCAAAAGTTAATTAACCTTATCTATTGCAATAAAATCAACTAGTAATTTTATCTTACTGGCTTTGAACATTATACGTTTTAGAGCTCTAGATGAGTGGCCTACATCGTCAAACGCCGGCTCAGAAGGCGTCAAAATGGATCAATTTCCGGTCGATTGGAATGGCACTGAAAAATTGGGTAAGCTATTTTATTTATGATCTAGAAGCTATAGCTAACGTCAGGCATTTACCTATTATTTCAACTGGTTTAGGTTCCCCAGCGGCTGCTTCGTCATCTATCGAAAGTGCCTCAATCTTTCCGCTTCATTCGGATCAAGCGCGTTTAACCGAAGATGAATGGGCATTCTTCAGCAACACACGTGGCTCTATGACATCGACGAACAATCAAGAAGATTGGCCGGGAGAAGCAATGGGCAAGCAGGTGTGCGAGTACTTCCTTAACGAAACGCCAATAAAGTTGTATTAATAATTATCGGTTAGATTATATCATTAGCGCAAGCCAATCTAAAAGTTCAATACACATGAATGTTCATATTCTTTTTTAGAAACCATTGAACTCGTTGATAGATTTTCGGCCAGCACCGACTCTAAACGCCAGTTCCGATTCGAATTCTTCCGAATGTTGATCGATTATTTGGGCAAAAACAACTAAATTATTTCAAATACCATGTGTGTCTTTTTGTTTACTTAAAACCCTAAATGTGATAGATTTTTCAAATTCACTTTCTATTTGACTATGTTTACCCGTTTTTGCCTTCATTCATCGCGATAATTTATTTTCTTTGGCTCTCATTTGATTGTTGTGATTGTTGTTTTTCATTTGTGCTGAAAGGAGAGACGAGAGCTTAAGTTTTAAGAGAATTTTTGTGTGTGTCGAATAATTCTACGATTTTTTTTTTTCGAGATATTTCAATTGATAGCACTTTTTCCTGTATGATAGGTATATTTGAAGCTTTTGAAGCTAAATGGTTTTATTTTGTCGAACATTAGTGGCTCTGAGAAGGTTTTAACTTTTCATATCGCAAAAAATTGGTTGGTCAATTGAGATTGCCCTGTTGAAGCACTGTAGATTGAAGTTTCAAAACTAAATTTTGTGGATGTTGAATACGTTTTGAAAATTTCATTTAACTTTAATTAGTACTTCAATTACTTTCTTTTAATTATTAAAATCTGCAATCAACATTAACTTTAGATTGTTTCTAGACGGCTCCAGAAATGTCTAAACGAAAAGTTTTACTTATGGGTAAATCGGGAAGTGGAAAGACGTCCATGAGGTGCGTGATTTTTGTTTTCTAATCTTCTGGGGCTTTTGAAGTCTATAACCAAAACAAAGGATAAACTTGATTGATTAGGCAGCTCAGCTTCAAGATAATTCAGCAAACACCAAAAGACTAGTACGATTGGCATTTAACTTTGATACTATGGTTTATTTTTTTAGATCGATCATCTTCGCCAACTACATCGCACGTGACACGAGTCGTTTGGGTCCGACCATTGAAGTTGAACATGCACACGTGAGGTGAGGGTTCCCTGTCATTTCACCAAAAAGGTCCAGGTACTAATGCACGTATGGGGACCACTTTTTTTTGCTCGAAAACCACTTTATTGAGGTTTTTGGCTGTACCGATTCCAAATTTGTAGAAAATTTTTATAGGTTTTTAATTGAGCTCCTAGTTTTTAGAATAAACCAGTATGTCTACTTACATTGGCGCTGCTATCCAAGTTTTTCATTTTTCACGTACAGCAGCCCTATAATTACAAAATTGACTTCATTAAAATCTCAAGTAACAAAGATAGCTAGATTAAAATGCAAAGTAACAACGATAACTAGAATTGAAATGTAAAATAAAAGCATCTAAAAGTGCATCCTGCCAGCAGCCTGTTTAAAAAAAGCAGTCTTATGTTAGAAACAAGACTAGTACTATACAAGGAAACCAGCAAGTTATTTTCTAAAACGTGGACATTTTCGGCGAAATGAATTTTGGCGAAACGAAATTTTAGTAAAATGAACGTGTTCCGAGGTGAGATTGAGGATTTCTGATGTTGCAAAACTTGTAAAAATGTATCATAGCATGAACATTCTAGTCATTAAGAACTAGAGAGAAGTTCCAGTCTCATGCATTTAACAAAAAAAATTAGATTTCTGGGAAACCTCGTGTTGCACTTGTGGGATTGCGGTGGACAAGAGACATTCATGGAAAACTATTTGCAAAATCAGAAGGATCAAATCTTTAAAAATGTTCAGGTCGAGTTTGAGTCCTTTAAAGTAAAAAATGATTGATTGTAGCATATTAAAATACAAAGGTTGGTTTTAGGTGTTGATCTACGTCTTTGATGTTGAGTCGCGAGAAATCGAGAGGGACTATCGATATTATCAAAGCTGCCTCGAGTCACTTTTAGCCAACTCCCCAAATGCAAAGGTACAATAATCTATTGGCGAATAATATAATTTTTGTAGGTTTTCTGCCTAATACATAAAATGGATCTCATTCAAGAGGATCATCGGGATCAGGTAGGGTTTTGAATAAGGTTTAAAAGTTTTAACTTGAAAAATTTGGCTTTCAAAACCTTTCATTTCAAAAGTTTTGGCTTTAACAAAAATATTTATTTATTTATTTTAGACCTTCGATGAAAAGAAACGCGATATTTTGCGTCTTTCTGAAGCGGGAGCCGGTGGAAAAGATAAAGCCTCCGAAGTTGTACAATGTTTCAAAAGCTCGATCTGGGATGAGACCTTGTATAAAGTGAGTGTTGAATTTTATTGAGTAGCAATGAACTATTTAGGCCTGGTCAGCTATCGTCTACAAATTAATACCAAACGTGCACGCGATTGAAGCTAAATTGGCCAATTTCACGGAGGTCGTTGAAGCTTCAGAGGTAATTTAGGTAGATTTTACATCAAATTCAACTATTTTTTAGGTCTTGCTATTCGAAAGAGCAACTTTCTTGGTGATTGCTCATGCCGAGGTGAGCGAACAGAACAAAGATGTGCATCGTTTCGAGAAAGTCTCCAATATCATCAAGCAATTTAAATTATCATGCAGGTTGGAGGCAATTTGTTTAAATAACTTTTCTCATGCTTTTAGCAAAATGGGCTCTCAATTCGAGCAGGTGCAAGTGAAAAATGACCAATTTGCGGCGTTTATCGAGGCTTTCACGCCAAACACCTTCATTATGGTGAGAATTTTTAAACAATGAGTAAAACAAGGAATTCGAATGAGTTTTGATATTGAAGCGAACAGATCGAATCTATCTTTTCCTTAACTAAATTTTGCGGGTTTATATTTCTGAATATTTCAGGTGGTGCTTGCGGGCCCCGGCTCGGCATCTGTATCTGCGACAACGATTCTGATGAACATTCGGCTGGCCCGAAAACATTTCGAGCGATTGGAAGAAGCAGGAGCTGCGTAAATGAACGATCAATTTTTATGTGCTACCTCTTTTTGCAATATTAGCCTTTGTGATACGTTTTGAAGTTTTCAACTTTTTGTATATAGCATCGATGTTTTCTTCTCAACCTTTTTCACTTGCACTTATCTTGCCGTTTTCGTTTGTAAGAACCTTTGAGAAGCTTTTTTTTTTTAGTTTATTGTCTTATTTTCGAAATTTTTTTTTCAACCAAATAAAGATTTTATCAGTGAAGTTTATAAAATGTTTGGTTTAACACCTGCAACTTATTGAAATTGAACTTAATGTAAAGAGGAACCTTGTGGAAGTTGGGTGTTCAGATGGACTTGGCTCTGGTAACAGGCGGATTGGCCTTTGTTGGGCTTTCATCGTATGTTGTTAGGTAAGGGCATTTTGTCAATCTTTTTATTTCTAGTTAAAGCACCATTTATCCAATTAGCAAATTTTCCGAATAATGAACCTTCCTGCCTAAACTATGTATTGCCTTGTTTAATGTTTGTATTTTAGACGTTTACGTGGATGTCGAGTGAACTGCTGGTTCTGCAACACCGACCAGGTCGTGCCGTGGTCGTCAAAGAACGCGTTCGTTTGCACAGGTTGCGATCAGTACAATGGTTTCAACGAGGATGGCGACTACAACAAGCAAATTCTGGGACAGCACTTTGCATCAAGCCGAACACAAAAAATGCGGTTAGTGCGCTTTGTGAGAATAGGTTGCACCCCCAAGAATAGGGGCTTGTAATTTGGTGCACGCATGATTAAGTGTAATTCAATTAAACGCTAAATTCAGTTAAAAATTTTTGTTCTTGCGCCCAACAAGTTTATAAGTTCTTAGCCAACTTTTTTATAGGCTTAAGCGTTATCAAGATCCATTCGGCTTTATTTTTTAGCTTCTGCAATTCGGGGCTTCTCAGTGACCGGCCAGATGTGGTACCATCACGCTTTGAAAATGGATTGTGCGAGGAATGCAATCAAAAGCAAGAAATAATTGTTGAACGATTAAGCCAATTTGAGCCGAAAAATGAGGTTTGTTGGTGGTTTGTTTATAAGCATAAAGATGTTCTTTGTCTCGGATAGCCATTGAAAATTCAAATCAGAGCTTCATTCAATCTTTTAGAGTCACTGGCAAGCTGAGGTTGACGACTACAAGAATCGGCTCAATAAGATCTACGCTTTGTGTGAACCGTGTTTGATGGCTTCACAAAGGAAACTTAGACGAGATAAGGTACGATAAAGTTTACTGACGTGGTTGAGACTAGTCACTAATAAATTTTTTAAATAATTCGAAATTTAGAGTCTCTACGGCTACTTGATGCACTTGACGAGCTTTGGAAGAAAGCTGGCTTCAACGATTGTGAATGGCAATAACTCATCACCGAACAAAAAGGTAGTGTTTAAAATGCGCGGCTAATACTGTTTAATTATAAAAAAAACTCAAAATAACTTTGCTGTTTTAGACAAAGAAAAGTCGAAAATGTTTCTTCGCTGGTGGCCGAGTAACGGAGATTAATCATTTCGTTGTTTTCATCATCGCAACGCTTTTGGCTCTCGCCGAAGTCAACTTTTTACAGCAAGTATGTTTTGAACAAGTGATGTGTTATGCTCATCATTCTAAACAAGATCCATTCTTTAGATATCCAATGGAATGCCATCGATTGACGGGTTTTTGTCTTCATTTCTCGGGAATGCAACCGCACCGTTGTTGGGCTTCGTACATGATTCATTCTACGGCGCCATCATTTTGCTCTTCGCTTCTAATTCAATTGCAATGTTATCGAACAAATGCAGGATCTCGTTTCCCGATCTGTTGGTAAGTGGTTTGGTTTTTAATGTTAGTGGATTCCATTACAGAAAGTAAACTTTTTACGGCAACTTAGCGCTTGCTAGATAAAATCATTTGTTAACTCTTGCTTACATAAGTTATGATTTTTGAACTCGAAGTTTCTATTATATTTTAGGTTTTCGTACTTAGTTTGCTGCTTTTCACGATTGCCCACGATGTCTTTCCGAAATCGTTTCAAAAGGATCTCGTTTTATTCCGATGCGGTTTCTCGTCGTTGTTGTTTTGTAAGTGATGCTTTATTATTCTAGGACAGGCTTTTACCGGTTTAAACTCTTTGATTCAGGTCTTTCCACTGCCGTCTGGATACTTCCTCGAAAGTTAAAGCACAAGAAACGGCCGAACACAATTGCTAGGTAGTTTTTTGTGTAGATGATAAAAATTCAACTAAATTTTAGTGCCTTCTCCATTGCTTCAACTCCAATGTCACAATGTAGTACGATTCGATCGGCTAGGTGATTTTTTTTTTACAGGAATGTAACTCATGGGCTCATTTTAGAATTTCAATGAACGGATCGATGTTGATCAACTCACCAATGCAAGATCGATTCAACAAGGCATCGAATCGATCACCTTCGCAAATCTCTTTTGGCGTTGAAAGCATTCACACAACGAGCACATTAGAGAAGTCTGCTACGGGTCTCTTCGACTTCAAGCATCAACAGGAAAAAAACAAGGAAAATGTATGGTGATTTGGTGCTCTTTTTGGGGTTTCTTCGCTCAGAAAGTATTTATTGCTCAACGTTTTAGCGTTCACCGGCTTCACACATCTTCTCGTCATCTTCGCGCACTCCCTCGGCGAGCAGCCTCGTCTCGTCGCTCAATCAATGGAGGGATACTCGTGAAACGACACCCATCTCACCGCAAAACGAGCACAACGTAAATGTATGCTTAAAATTTTACGAAATTGTCTTTTTTTAGCGAATGGAATGGGAGCACAGTGATGTCGGGCGCACTCCATCTCATCCGGTACTCCGGCAACGACAATCGTCTCCACCTCGAATCGGCGAAATAAAACGTAAATCGCGCGAGAACACTCCATCGAGGGATTTGGGTGGACTGCTGGGCGGACTAAAACTGGGAAAAGGTAATTTTGTTTAACTTTGTTGGGAATCAGTCAGTTTGGATAGTTCTGTCAATAGTATTGATTGGTTTTGTTTCAGGTGATTCCTCATCGCCTCATCGTGGTCCCTTCAGCTCATTGTCTTTTCATCCGGGTGTCCGCAATGCCTATTCGGTTGCCTCTGAGAAATCATTTCAAACCGCCTACCAGGTAAACTTTTGAGCTAACTACTGTATTTTGTTATAACCACAACAAAATCCTCTTTAATTTCAGAACAAATCTCACTACACTGGTTTCACGTCGGTGTCTCAACGTTCGCCAAATCCCTTGGCAATGCCTCCATCGTTGAGGAGTCGTTTTACGAATGATTCGGGTTCGTTGCGGAAGTACTAGATTTGTTGTAGAATAATCTTTTAGCCTCTGTGAGTACGCGGTTAACCGATCCACATCCACAATATCAACCACAACCGACTCAAAAATTGCTTGTCGCCCTCGTTGTGCTGTGTTTCCTTTCAAATATACTTCTCATCTATTATCTTTTGATTAAACCCTAGATTTAGACTACTTTCCCTGTTCTAGTCACGTGTGATATTGTCTAGTTTTCAGTCAATTGCTAGTTGTTATTTTTATGTTGTTAGATTTGTAATTTATGTTTATGTTTGTTCACATTTCTTGCTACGTGGTAACTTCGTGTGATCTTTATTTTGTTTGAACCGGTTCATATTATGTTTCAAATAAACAATTTGTCAGTCAAATTATTTTCTCGCCTTTTGTTTATGATTTAAGGGTATTTTGCAGAGCAAATATTGGCATCTGCAAATTTAAAGTGTGAGAAGTTGTCGGGACATTTCTCGGGTCATTTACCGTACAGCCCTCACTATGAGAGTCTCGGTTCAGCCAAGTATTCATCGATTCTCCGATCTTTTCGGCGTCTGATTTGAATATAAAATTAAAATGTGCCTTATATGAATACTTGGCTGAGCCGCGACTCTCATTGTGAAGGGTAAACTTTGAGTAAATTAATAAGTGCATTTACATAAGAGCACCTCTTAGATCGGTTTTTTGGCCTTCGAAGCTTACTGACTCGGGTTTCGGTCTTTCTTGGTTTTGCCTGGGCTGGCTTTACTGCAGGCTTGGCCCAGAACTTTCTGAACTCATTTTCAGTCACGGACCTGACTTCAAAGACCGAGAATTGTTCGGAATAAGCCTACTTGTAAAGGCCAAATGAGGGCTCGAGCACCCGAGAAAGCTTGTGTTTCCAAAATTACTCCCCAGTTCACAAAGTAGCCTCAATATTTCACAAAGAAAAGCATTTTGCTCTGGATGAAGTGAAAACGGGGGATGTTTCTCCGGGTGAATGGACGGGGGCGTGTCTTTTGGGAATCGAAATAAGGGTGGAGAATAGGCATGGGCAATCGGGTCGTTTCGGGTCAGATAGAGAAAAAAACTGATTATTACCCTAAAGTCGCGAGTATAAGTTCATCCGAGTAGAGTATAAGTTCTATAATTTACATTTAAAGGGCTGGAAAATTTTCTTCTTTCTTTAATTTTTATTGTTTTTTTGTTTTTTTTATTTTTTATTTTACTAACGTTTTTCATTTTAGATACGATGAGGAGAAAGTCGTACACCGCCGAAACGAAGCTCGAAGCGGTCAAATTTGCGAGGAAATTTGGAACGAACGCGGCTGCGATCGAATTTGAAGTCGCCGAACAGATGATTAACTGCTGGAAACAAGCTGAGCCGGCACTGATGACTTCACCAAAAAATAATCGAGCTTTCCGAGGATTGAGGGCAAAATGGCCGGATGTGGAGAAAGATCTGAAGGCTTTGGTTGCGAAGAGCAAATCCGGTGGCCAAATCCGAAGAATCAGTGCTCGTGTTGGACTCAGCTCGCCGTCACTTAACCGATAATGTCAAGGCTGAAATTCAGCAACGCTCGAAGCTGGCTGTGATTCCAAGAGGGCTAACTCGATTTCTACAACCGCTTGACATAAGCGTCAATATTGACGAAGAAGAATACCGGTCATAGTCACTCGAGTAACTTGACATCAGCGTCATCAGCGTCGTCAATTCAAGGACAATCTAAAGGCTCACTGGGAAGAATGGATGTCCGATAGCCGAAACGACCAATTTACCCTGTCGGGACGAAAAAAGAGAGCGAGCTACGAGACAGTTGCGGAATGGGTAAGGAAAAGTTTCGATGCGGTCCCCTCTTCTTGCATTATCAATGGATTTCGAAGAGCTTTGACGGATGAAACAGTTTCGAAGCTAAGCACAGAATTCTTTTTATGTCGCTTTAGTTGCTTTGAATTTCTTTTTGTTGGGGTTTTATACATTTTTATTGTTATATAAACTTTTATTATTGTTCTTGGAGGATACTACAGGGTGACAGCCTATCACCATTGCTATTTGTTATGTGCATGGATACATCCAGACGATAGTGTTGAAGAAGACGCTGGAAAGCATCTCTTTCGACCGTCGACGTGGACTTTGGCCGGATGAAGAGGCCAGGGAGGGATCCATAAGACTGAGCACCGGAGAGGAGCAGGGCGGACGCGCTGAGTCACGCCCGGAGCAACAAATAACAGCATAAAATTGCTATAACCCTAAATAAATTTACTTCTATTGTTCTTAAAAAGCAAAAAAGTTATGCTGCAGCGGGGTTCGAACCCTCGACACACCGTCAATTTGCATGACAGCCGTCAATTTGCATGCGAAAACCAGACAGAACTTATACTCGCGACTTTAGGGTAGTAAAATTTGTGGTACTTCGAGATTTTCTCTTTTTCCGAGGTAATCAAGGGCGCTGAACACGAATTTTGCATTTTTAACAGAAATTTGGGTACTAATAAAGTTGGGGGGGGGGGGGCACTTTTTTTTCTTCAAAACCACTTTTTCAGGGGGGCACTTAGGCAGGCTCGGGGGGGGGGGGGCTAGATGCTGCAAACTCTCTAGAGATACAGATGTAACTCAGACACATTCCCAACTATTTCCCGAAGACTTGCAGCACCCGGGTCTGCCTAAGTGCACCGCCAACTATGCGTCATTACGGCTAAAAAGCCAAATGTAGACACGCAAATTTGCATACGAAATAGCCGGCTTGATTTGGTAGTAGTTTCGAGATTGAAAAAGTCAGTTTTTTAAAAGCAAATCGATGTTAAAAATACAAAATTCGTACTCAGCGCCCTCGATTACCCTAGAAAAAGTCGAAAAATCGACGATTTAGGTGCCCCCCCAACCACCAAAGTACCAAATTCGTTACTAAATGTGAATCATGTTTGTAAATGCAAATTTTACTACGTAGTGTTAAGTCAAGTTGGCTGAGTACCGTTCTACAGTAACCCAGATATAAAACCTATAAAACGTGATTCGCGAACAAAAATTTCATTTCTAGCAAGTTCCCAGAGCTGAAAGGCTGCCAGTTTTTTGAAAGCGTTTTTAGTCGTTGCTTTTTTAAACAAATTTAATAGTTTTTTTTATTATTAGTGCAAGAACTGATAGAATTTGTAGCAGCTTCTATGAAATGCGAAATTGGAATTGTTGAGCTTTTTTTTTGAAAAAAAGATCACACAAAGTTACCACGCAGGAAGAAATGTGAACAGATAAAAACAGACCGTAAATTACAAAGCAAATAGCTAACTGACTCAAAACTAGACAATATCACCAATGACTTGAACAGGGAAAGTAATCTAAATCTAGGGTTTAATCAAAAGATAATAGATGGAGTATATTTGATATCGATTTGAAAAACCGCACATCGATTTGAAATCGATGTGCGGTTTCTTTTTAACTTTAGAAGTAGAGGCGCTAAAAGTAGATTATTTAGCTCATCTATTCTGTTTGTATTGCTTTTTATTATTTGATGAATCTCCTTTCTGACTACGTTATTAATTATTTTTTAGATTCAAGAGCCGCTAGCAAGTCTGCTTCACGAAAGAATAACGAGAAACAGTAGCGAATCGATCAATCTCCCCTGCGGAAAGCCTAACAAGTAAGTGTTTTTGAACTGACCGTCGAGCCGAATTGGCCTTCGAAAAAACCGCCTGTCGAATTGACTAATAATATAAATTTTTTTGTGTTTTGAGATTTCGAGCATAAAGTACGGTAAATTGTTCCCAAGTTTCTTTATCTTTGAATGTCTTCATTGCAATTTTCAAAAATTCTCAAATTCATTTGTTTTTAAGAATGACCGGTGTCGAGCAATCCTCAGCCATTCCACAACACCAACGGCCCGCCGAGAGTGAACAGGTGAGCAATATCGATTTCGGGTGGATTTTTTCCAAGGAAATTTGACCGAAAACTCGGATTTCTTGAAGAAAAACCCTCGGGCAAAGATCGGAAATGGCATAATAGCTTAAACTAATCTTTGCAATTCCATTAATTCTCTAAATAATTTCTATTAATGGTAAACCCGAACTTTATCAAGCAGTTCTGGCTTGAAAGTTGAAATTTTTCCTTGATTTTTTCCCTTATCTAAACATTCTCACCGAAAGCAAAAAATAGGCAGTTCCGTGCCAAAAAAAAGCGTGTGTGGGAGCGATTTGTCGACACTTTTAATCGCGGAGATGTGTAGGCAGAAAAAAAGAGATTTTTCATTCTACTAAAGCTTAATTTAATTCTTTTAGACAAAGAAAAGTCGAAAATGTTTCTTCGCTGGTGGCCGAGTAACGGAGATTAATCATTTCGTTGTTTTCATCATCGCAACGCTTTTGGCTCTCGCCGAAGTCAACTTTTTACAGCAAGTATGTTTTGAACAAGTGATGTGTTATGCTCATCATTCTAAACAAGATCCATTCTTTAGATATCCAATGGAATGCCATCGATTGACGGGGTTTTGTCTTCATTTCTCGGGAATGCAACCGCACCGTTGTTGGGCTTCGTACATGATTCATTCTACGGCGCCATCATTCTGCTCTTCGCTTCTAATTCAATTGCAATGTTATCGAACAAATGCAGGATCTCGTTTCCCGATCTGTTGGTAAGTGGTTTGGTTTTTAATGTTAGTGGATTCCATTACAGAAAGTAAACTTTTTACGGCAACTTAGCGCTTGCTAGATAAAATCATTTTTTAACTCTTGCTTACATAAGTTATGATTTTTGAACTCGAAGTTTCTATTATATTTTAGGTTTTCGGGCTCAGTTTGATGCTTTTCATAATTGCCCACGATGTCTTTCCGAAATCGTTTCAAAAGGATCTCGTTTTATTCCGATGCGGTTTCTCGTCGTTGTTGTTTTGTAAGTGATGCTTTATTATTCTAGGACAGGCTTTTACCGGTTTAAACTCTTTGATTCAGGTCTTTCCACTGCCGTCTGGATACTTCCTCGAAAGTTAAAGCACAAGAAACGGCCGAACACAATTGCTAGGTAGTTTTTTGTGTAGATGATAAAAATTCAACTAAATTTTAGTGCCTTCTCCATTGCTTCAACTCCAATGTCACAATGTAGTACATCACCCATCTCACCGCAAAACGAGCACAACGTATGCATAAAATTTTACGAAATTGTCTTCTTTTAGCAAATGGACTGGGAACACAGTTATGTCGGGCGCACTCCATCTCATCTGATACGCCGGCAAGGACAATCGTCTCCACCTCGACTCGGGGAATTTTCACGGCAAAACGAGCACAACGTAAGTGTGTGCGACAATTTTACGAAATTATTCTCTTTTAGCAAATGGAGTGGGAACACGGTGATGTCGGGCGCACTCCATCTCATCTGGTACGGCGGCAACAACAATCGTCTCCACCTCGAATCGGGGGAATAGAACGTAAATCGCGCGAGAGCATTTCATCGAGAGATTTTGGAGGACTAAAACTGGGAAAAGGTAATTTTGTTTAACTTTATTGGGAATCAATCATTTTGGATAGTTCTGTCAATAGTATTGATTGGTTTTGTTTCAGGTGATTCCTCATCGCCTCATCATGGTTCCTTCAGCTCATTGTATTTTCATCCGGGTGTCCGCAATGCCAATTCGGTTGCCTCTGAGAAATCATTTCAAACAACCTACCAGGTAAACTTTTGAGCTAACTACTGTATTTTGTCATAACAACAACTAAATTCTCTTTAATTTCAGAGCAAATCTCACTACACTGGTTTCACGCCGGTGTCTCAACGTTCGCCAAATCCCTTGGCAATGCCTCCATCGTTGAGGAGTCGTTTTACGAATGATTCGGGTTCGTTGCGGAAGTACTAGATTTGTTGTAGAATAATCTTTTAGCCTCTGTGAGCACCCGGTTAACCGATCCACATCCACAATATCAACCACAACCGACTCAAAAATTGCTTGTCGGCCTCGTTGTACTGTGTTTCCTTTCAAATATACTTCCGATCTATTATCTTTGGGTTAAACCCTGGATTTAGATTACTTTCCCTGTTCAAGTCATTGGTGATATTGTCTAGTCTTGAGTCAGTTAGCTATTTGCTTTGTAATTTACGGTCTGTTTTTATCTGTTCACGTTTCTTCCTGCTTGGTAACATTGTGTGATCTTTTTGGGTGCTCTTTGACTAAATTCATCAATTATAATTGATAGGTGCATTTAATAGCACCTCGTAGATCGGTTTTTGGCTTCTGCAAATTTGGCCGGAAGCTTACTGACTCGGGTTTTGGTCTTTCATGGTTTTGCCTGGGCTGGCTTTACTGCAGGCTTGACCCAGAACTTTCTGAACTCATTTTCAGTCACGGACCTGACTTCAAAGACCGAGATTTGGTCGGAATACGCTTACTTGTAAAGGCCAAATGAAGGCTCGAGCGCGCCAGAAAGCTTGTGTTTCCAAAATTTCTGCCCAGCTCACAAGTAGCCTTAATATTTCACAAAGAAAAGCATTTTGCTCTGGATGAAGTGAAAACGGGGGGTGTTTCTCCGGGTGAATGGGTGGGGGCGTGTCTTTTGGGAATCGAAATAAGGGTGGAGAAGGGGTTGTCCCGTCTTGGACCCCCCCAGTTCTACTTTCAGTTCTTCTCACTTCTTCCCCCCTTCTTGGGAATATTTTAGAAAGAATGCGTCGTTTTTCCCCTTTTCGGAGATTCTTTTATTTTTCATGACTACACTTGAGTACTTTTCGTGAGGCGTTGATTTTTGTGGATTAAAACTTGAGCAGCACCTCTTATCGTTTCACCGATTTTCTTATCCTAGCTGCCTAGCTGGATCTCATTTTCCCTGGAGAATTTTTTTTTCTTTATGAACAAGTGAAACAGTTCAAGTTGGATAACTAAAACGATGGCGGTTTAGTTGACCAATTCAAGAACGACGGTTCATTTGCCTGATTTTTGCTATCTAAGTCCTAGTTCAATCACCGCCTCAGCTCTTGTAAAACATTCTTGAAAACCAGGCTACTTGTTGAAAAAACTAACCGAAACTAATATAATTTTATTTTCGGTGTACTTTGTGCTCAAATCTGTAAACACACGGTTTCAGACGCGCTCGGTTCCTCACTTTTCTTCTGAAACCGAGTCGTTTCTGCGAGAAAAATGAAGAATGGAGTGCACCAGGAAGGTTGTGTTTTGAGATTTCGAGCATAAAGTACGGCAAACTGTTCTCAACTTCCTTTATCTTTGAATGTCTTCATTGAAACTTTCAAAAACTCTCAAATTGAATTTTTTTAAAGAATGGCCGACGTCGAGCAATCCTCAGCCACTCCACAACAACAACGACCCGCCGAGAGTGAGCAGGTGAGAAATATCGATTTCGGGTGGGCTTTTTTTCCAAGGAAATTTGACCGACTCGGATTTCTTGAAGAAAAACCCTTGGGCAAAGATCGGAAATGGCATAATAGCTTAAACTAATCTTTGCAATTCCACTTAATTCTCTAAATAATTTCTATTAATGGTAAACCCGAACTTTATCAAGCAGTTCTGGCTTGAAAGTTGAAATTTTTCCTTGATTTTTTCCCTTATCTAAACATTCTCACCGAAAGCAAAAAAATAGGCAGTTCCGTGCCAAAAAAAAGCGTGTGTGGGAGCGATTTGTCGACACTTTTAATCGCGGAAATGTGTGGGCAGAAAAAAAGAGATTTTTCATTCAAAATATTATTTTGTAAGTTCAATTTGACTCAAACGGAGACCTAGAGAATCTGATTTTCAAAAGTTTTCTTTATTCGTTTTGAAAGTAGTATGAAAGTTTGAAAGCAACAAGTTCGCATAAAAAAGCCTATTTGCTTACTGTTACTTTCAGGGTGCGCTGGGCACTATAGAGATGATTTAAAGTATGCGGCTTTTTCTGGAATTTCTTTTGGAACGTACGTTGAAGCGATGTTTCAACTTTTTTTAGAAATCAAAAATTGCTACACCTATAAAATGATACGCTTTTAAAAACGTATTTTATAACTAGGATCTAAGAATCTAGCAATATCTGTTTGATAATCGAATCAATGGTTAAAGCCGAGCTTGATTGGCTTTCTTATAGAGAGTTGGGTAACTAAATCAATCAACTCTTATAATACGCTTTCTAAAACGTGTTCTAAAACGTGTTCCCTTTCCCCTTTCTACCGTAATCTTGTCTCTATTTTTATATCTTTGTGAATCATTGATAAAAAATAGAGACAAGATTACGGTAGAAACGGGGGCACCGTTTAGAAATTAGATTGAAAGAAAGGCTTTTCAGCTACACATTAATAACTTCAAAAATACCTTTTTTTTAATTAAAAATCAATCCCTTTTTCCCTTTTGAAACCCTTGAAACCTTTTCTTTTCTTTTTCTTTTTCTTCCCGGTCCACTTTTTGATTGGAAAACGAATTTTCGGGCGTTTTCCCCGCGCGGTGGCCATTTAGACGACTTTTCAGCTTTTTCTTTTAGCTTTTTTTTAGCTTTTTTTTTCTTGGCCGAATCTGATTTCCACTTGACGGCTTGATCCCAAAGAAATGCAAGCGAGAAGTATAAAAATAGTAAGAATTCAATGAATAAAAGAACTAGCTTCAAGTGTACTTTGTGCTTTCGTAACTAACGCCCTCCTTCTGGCAAACTGAATTCGAGATTTTTCTCGTGAAAGCCGATCGAAATGAAGAATCCAATGCACTAGAAAGGGGTACTTTTACAGATCCTGAAAGTACACAAAGTAGGTGCACACTTTTTCAAAAAGTCTAGTCATCAAATTACAGTGTTGGCCAAATTTCTTTGCCTCTTTGCAAGAAAACTTAAATGCTTTGGTTTCCCCGATGACTTAAACCGAAAACTTACTCCCCATCAGAATTCTTCCCGGAAATTCGAATCAAAAGAATTTTTTTTTTTTGCAAAAAATCCATTTGATCAAAAAAATGACTCCAAATTTTGTTTTTTCTTTAAAAATTGCTGTAATTTTTAATTTTCCCAAAAATTCAGCGAGAAAATGCAATTTCTCACACCGATTTTTATTGTGGCCGAGCGAATTTCGCGACTAATCGACTAATTTCGACTAAAGGGGAAAACTCTTTGCGAATACAAAAATTCAACGTTACATTGTTGAGAGATTCGATCGAAAAATGGGATTTCTAAAGAAATTTACGTGTTTTCCACTTCCGGGCACAAATCCCCAAATCCGTGTTTTCCGCTCCCCGTGAACAAACCCCGTCTGGTGTACTTGATTTTTCAGTTTTCTTATCAAAAAATTGAGAGCGCACCAGCAAAAGTGTGTTTGCAAATGTTTTGCGTACAGAGTTCAAGCACAAAGTCTACAAATGAACTCTTTTTCTTTTCCACAATATCAAACCATTTCTTTGCTTTTAATTCCCAAAAAAACTAAAGAATTTCTCGAGGTTTTTCGGCATCAAAAATTTTCTTTTATGAATAGAGAAAAAGCTTTGGCGAAAAGGGAAAACAATAGAGGAGAGAATTATTCATACATCCCCCGAATTCATTTAGATTTAAGAACAAGGAACAATCTTTGCTTTTCTTTTTCGGGAAAGCTTTAAGAGAAAGATTTTGATCTAATTGAGCTATTTTCAACCAATTTTAGTGGAAAGCTGGATAAACTTTATGTTAGACAAGAGAAAGAGGCATCGAACTATCATAAACTATCCAGAAAAAAAGGGAATGCAAATAAATGCACTAAAAAAGCTCAGCTCTTTTAGCTCAGCTCTTTTAGCTCAGCTCTTTTAGCTCAGCTCTTTTAGCTAAGCTCTTTTAGCTAAGCTATTTTAGCTAAGCTCTTTTAGATAATCTCTTTTAGATAATCTCTTTTAGATAATCTCTTTTAGCTAAGCTCTTTTAGCTAAGCTCAACTATAAACTGATTCGAGTATTTGAGTGTAAATCTAAAGAAATCTAAAGAAAAAACCCTTTAGAATGGGGGACTTTAAGGAAAATTGGGGTTCCCCTTTTCCTTTTCAACAAGGAGAGCTTTTCCTTTTCAACAAGGAGAGCTTTTCATACGTCAAACCCGGTGGGAAACAAATTGTCCACTTTGATCGAGAATAAGACGAAAGGGGAAAAAGTAAAAAAGAATTTAGCGCTTTATTGCTTTTTCCCTAGGAAGTAGTGTCTAGTTTTAGAGAATTTCGAAAAAAAAAAACAGCTGCTTTGATTCGTCTGTTTTGCTTGTCGTACTGTGCTCACGGAAACGCGCCCTTTCTAGCACACTTTCTCCAAGAAAACTTTAGATGTACTTTGAGGACAAATTTTTGTAAAAGCATTTTTTTGGTGCACTTAAATTTTCCTTTATTACACTAGAAAGGGTGTGTTTACAAGATTTAAGCTCAAAGTACACTTTAAAGTCAAAAATTCAGAGATTCTATTGTGTTTAGATTTGGAAGAATCTTTCAAAGCTCCTTCTAAAATTCAAAAAAAAAACATTTCCCAGGGGAGGGTCTAATCGTCAAAATGCATCTCTATGTGAGCTTTGAGGGGAAAAAAAATTGTTTGTTGGGAAAATTTGCTGAGTTGGTGAATAGCTGAATATTTGGGCAATGAATAAAAGAACTTCTCTAAAATCTGGATAATGGCAAAACAAAATGATTTATGAATCTGGAATTGAGAATTTCTAGGAAGTCGACATCGACATCACCGATCCACAAGTGGCCGACGCGGCGAAGAAAATCCAACTCGCATTCAGGTTACTTTAGAATACTTTACAAATTTCTAAGAAGCTCATCGTTCTTTCAAAATTTTCGCTATTTAGCTAAAATAGCTAAAATAGCTGTTTACCTTTCCCCAACAAATCTAATCGAAGACCTAAAAGAAAGCAGCTAAAGTAATCATTTCAAGTAATCATTTCAAGTAATCATCAATCAACTTATCTTGTACTTTGTGCTCCCATAAACAGACCCTTTTTGATGCACAAAATTCTGCCTACTTTGCGACACTCAATAGTGGGCCAGGTAGCGCGTGTTTACAAGTTAAACTCCTCGTTTGAGATCTTTAAAAGTATACTTTGAGCTTAAATCTGTAAATAATCAATTTGTTAAGTTATTTTAAATTTTCTTAACTTCAAATCGAATTTCAGATTCAAGAAGAATTCCCTTTCTGGCGCCTCGACGAAAAAAGAGGAAAAAGACGAGAAAAGTACTTGAAGTACTTGAAGTACGCAAAAAATACTTCCAAAAAGTACTTCCAAAAAATTTCCAAAACCCAAATCTACATTGAAAATCATGATTCCGTTTTTGCAAATAAAACTTTTATCGTAAAAAATTCGAAAGAGCTATAAAATGCCGTCAAAATCGTATTTGAAAGCCTCGCGGAAATCTTTCTCGAATTCTTTCTCTTTCGCTAATTCCGAGCGAATTCTCTTAGCGTTGTGCTGGAAATTTGTGCGTTTATTTTAAGCTGAAATCTTGTAAACGCACCCTATCTGATGCACTGAAGGCTTAATGTTCTTATGAAGCCAACTGCTTGACATTTTGGCTCTCTAGTGGGTCAGATAGGGTTCATTTACGAGATGAATTTCTCGGCTATGTACAAAACTTGTACTTTGGGCTCAAAATCTATAAACACACTCTTTCTGGTGCATACGTTTTTCTTACAGAAACCATGTGATATCTCGCGAAAAAAATGGAGAAAATTCCGTGCATCAGAAGGGATGTGTTTAAGGCACAAAGTACACCAGTACAAAGAACTACTGTAGACGTTGTAGAAGGGATTTTTAGGATTTAAAAAAGACCTAAAAGATCTACTTAAAAAGTCCTTACTTTTGCATATCTTTTTTTTCCAATAAACCTTTGCTTAGTTTCTTTTAAGAGAAGTTGAGTAACTAAACCAAAACCCTATTATTAACCAATTATTATTAGCCGAATGAAATCCCTGAATTTCTCTCACCCTTCTTCCTCTTTTCATTTGTTCAGCCGTCTCAACAGCCCGTTGATCATTCGCCTCAAAATGCGTGACTCGCGGCTTCTCCTTTGATGAGCCCAAACCCTTGCGATCCCTGAAAATGGAAAATATCATATAAATATTGGATAAAACAAGTCGTGATCTTTTATCAATAGTTCAACTTGAGCACTATCCCCACCTCTTGAGCACCGTCCGAATCGGGAACCTTTTCCCCTCCTCTGCCCGTCCCAATCCCCGGAATTCATTCCATCCCGTTCGTTTCAGCATTTTATATCCGACATTCGTCTCCGGGATACCGTAGCTAAAATTTGCATATTCAATATTACAATATTTTTTGAAAAGACAGTTGAAATACGTGCAGCGGAATATCCGCCTACTTGTTTGAATCTGACAAAACTTGGAAAGACCAATCCTGGTCTGGCAACCATACCAGTCTGGCTCTAGGTCTGGCTATTAGTGCTGGTATTGCACCAGGTTCATAGATCTGATCAGGGCTATTCCAAAAAGCCAAAAATCCAAGGGCTTTCAATTCGCCTTGGCCTGGAATTTCAACTTTGCTGTTAGATTTGGCTTGAAACCTTGGCTTTGTCTTGTTTTGGCCTTGAATTTACGGAAAATTGAGTCAAAATAATTGACTTGGCCCTAGGAACAGTTCTGGATCTGATACAGCACTAGCTGTGTATCAGCCTGGCTCAGATCTGGTACAGCTTTTTTAGTACTATCTAACTATTCGGCTATCGATCCATTCTAGAGCCGATTCACCACCAGTCTGTCGGTTCTGCCAGTCTGACCGAGAAAAGCGACGAATTCAGCACCAGAAAAGTTGCGTTTACAAGAGCAAAGTACAAGTTAGTACCGAGCTAGACTTATTTGCTCATTGTCAGTCATTTTGAAAGCCTAATCGGCTCCGCTTATCTTTTCCGGTGCCAAAATTTCATCGCCATTTCCTTGGGAAAGTTTTTGCGATCCAAATTTTATTTCACAAACCCAGTATGCTGTTCTCCTTTTTCTCCAATTCGCAACAAATGAGCCGTTTTTGTGACATGATCGACGTGTTCTCCCTCGAAATCGATCCCACAAACATCACAATGACCCTTTTGAGCGCTTTTGTGAGGCTTTCTGTAAAAAAGTTTTCTAAAAAGTGCTTCAAAAGAAAAGAAATTACCGTACTCTCGCGTTCACTGCATTTTAGCAGGTTAAAGCAGCTACCGTAGTTCAGTTATTAGCAATCCAATGGACTACGATAGCTCTTTCCAAGTTCACCTTTTAGAAAGCAAGAAGTAACACCAGATGCACTTGCATCCAAAAAACGTAAACACACCCTTTCTGGCGCACTCAGTTCTTTATTTTTTTCGAAGAAACGCTGCTGTTTCTCGAGAAACTGAAGAATTCAGTGCACCAGAAAGGGCGTGTTTTCATTTTTTTAAGCAAAAAGTACACGAAAGTACTTTGCCAACCTTTTGATGACGTGTTCCTTTTGAAATAGAATCCTCGAAATGTTCTCATGTCTCTTTTCTCGTGCCAAATCAAACGCCGTTTTTCGATGGGAATTTTTCAGGTCTCGATTCGCATTGTATTTAAGCAAAAGTTGAACCACCTGAAAATCGTTCGCAAAGTATAAAAAATCTAAAGGTAGAGAGTTTTTCTGATTTTTTTTATACATAAAGATTTAATTAGATAATTAGATAAATTAGTTTAATCAATTTAATTAGATTTAATCTAAAGGATACCTCAAGATGTCCCTCAAACGAGGCGCACATTAAACCCGTCCATCCGAAAGAATCGAGGGAATCAATTGGGATTCCTAAAGTATCACATTTCCAGTATATTGAAAAGATACGGTAAGGTATTCCTTGCTGTGTACTTCGCTTAAATTTGCAAAAAAAATACTCTATAGTGCACTTACTTCAATTTCCCCCCAGCAACGGTTTGGTGTCCCGAGGCGTAGCCAGGATTTCGTGACTTTCAGTCTAACGGCCCAACCTCCTCAACCGGAAATTGATTGGGCTACCCCCAATCAATTTCCGACCGAGGAATGATATTTTTAGAAGATTTCAGGCTGCAAAACTGTCTAAACAGTTTTTTTGTAAAATTTCGATAAAACGAGTTTTTAGGCATCAATAATTGATTTTACAAAACTAACGTTATGATTCTCAGAAAGTAGAGGAAATTTGACTAGGGGACCAACATAAAAAACGGTTGGCCCATCTACTTATCGAGATCAAAAATTGAAAAAACTAAAAAAAAAGTGAAAATTGCCAACTTCAAATACGAAAATCTCGAAAAGTAGATGGCCAACCGTTTTTATGTTGGTCGCCCCCGCCCCCCCGCTCCAGGTCAAATTTCCTCTACATTCTGAAAATCATAACGTTAGTTTTGTAAAATCAATTATTGATGCCTAAAAACTCGTTTTACCGAAATTTTTCAAAAAACTATTTAGACAGTTTTGTAGCCTGAAATCTTTTAAAAATATCATTACTTGGTCGGAAATTGATTGGGGGTAGCCTCGAGGAGGTCGGGCCGTTAGACTGAAAGTCACGAAATCCTGGCTACGCCTCTGTTGGTGTCACGGGAAAAAAAGGGATTTGAGTGCACCAGAAGAGATATGTTTGAGCACAAAGTACAACATTAACGAGCTTCGTTAAGGCGGTAAGATCATAAAGGTTTAAGCTATTCAGATAAATACCCAAGATTGTTTTTTCTTTGTGGGAGTAAACACTTTATAGCATGCTCCTCGCCTCTAACCCGTTTCCTAAAACGCGTCCCCTTTCTACCGTAATTTTGCCTCTATTGTTATCCAAATCTATTGACTTTTTATATCTTTCGATATCCTTTGTGAACCCTCACAGAATCAGACAAAAAGTGGATAGATTCCATAAGAAATAGAGACAAGATTACGGTAGAAAGGGAAAGGGGACATCGTTTAGAAAACACCGGTAAAAGCCACGATTTCATCGATTCTCGTATTTATTTTCATTCACATTTTCATTGAGACATTTTTCTCGGTCTCCTTGAAAAAATGTAGCCTTTACAAACGGAGAATCAAAACAAAATGTTTTTATCTGATCGGAAAATGAATGTTTTGTGAATTGAATGGCAAAGAAAATAACGACATTTCCCTATTTTAAAGAAATATTTCATTCCGAATTATCGTAATCTTTGTCTAGTCAGTTGGGTAATTGATTAAAATTCGTCTATTTTCCCGTTTTCCATTCACCAACCTTTCTTCAAAAATCTCTCGATTTCTCTCAAATTTCCCTCAGTGGCAGCGCGGAGGAAATTGTTTACGTCCCGATTGGAGAACTCATTTTTGATCGATTCAACTTTTCGTGACACTAAATTTCATTTGTTTTGCAAAAACAAATTGATTGATTGATTTTTAAACAAGATACCTTTCTGTTTCCTTTTTGCGGGCAGTTCAGGAACTTTGAAGGGATTTTGATGGAAACTGGTTGTCGGTTTCTCTTCTCCTTCGCCATCTTCTATCAATAGACTCTCATAGAAATCGCGGGCTTCTTTTCTAAAATTTGATCTTTATCAATAATCTGGATCAAACAGGTTTGTAATGAACTTACCCAGTGAAAGCTTTTCTCTCCTCTTCTTTATTTTTCTCTTTTGTCGAAATCTCTTCTAGAGAAGCGGTCACAAAGTGGACTCTTCTCGTTTTCGAGATCAAATCGAGTCCCTTCAGTTGGGGACGAGGGCCAACCATCTAAACAGTCTTTTTGAATAGGTCACTATTTACCGTTTTCTAAAATGCATCCACTTTTAGACAACTACTGTAATCCATCCGCCAGTTTTCATCCCTATTAGCCCGATTTTGGTCACATTGACTGAGCCTTGTGCTTCCCTCATCGAATGTGACCCAATTGGGCTGATCGCATGAAAACTGGCGGGTGGATTACGATAGTTTGTGTAAAATACGGTGCGCTTTAGAAAACAAATTGGCTAAAAGAGTAACGTGTTACGGTCCTAAACATTCAAATTCTGGGTCGAAATCTTATCCAAAATATTTTAACCCAGAAACACTAATTTCAAATGATTTGCCAAAACGAGAGAAATAATACGACGGATTTGCGGCTGGGTTAGATTTACTGGCGTTTATAGAGAAAAAATATTTAAATTTTTAATAACTTTATCGGTGATATGAAAGAAAGGTCCGAAGATCAAAAAAGTGGAAAGAACCGAGAAAAGTACAAAAACTCTAAAATTTTAACAATTTTTAGAAGAAACGATGGGTGGGAACAATAAGAAGGAGAAGGAAAATTTTAACAATAAACAAAATTTTATAACGGGGTAGAGAAAGGGGGAACATACACGCGCAGAAGAAACGGCGTAAGCGCTGGACATGGCGACGATTCTCTAAAAGGATGAATTTTTGAAGGAAAAAGAGAGACGCCGTCCCGAGTACGGTAGCTTAGGTGTATTTTAGAATTTAGGGTTGGCAAGTTGCAAACTCGTACTCGAACTTCGGGAATTGGGGTCTTACTAGAGGATTCTAATAAATACTATGAACTGTTAAGAGTTAAAACTTTTTAGATGACGGCACACTTTAAAGTGATCAGGGCAAGGGAGAAAGCGAGAATTATTCCAGGAAAAGTCCCCAAGAACTAGACAACCGGCAGTTCCCTAACTATAACAATTATTGAACTTTTCACAAAAAAGGATACTTTTTAAATTAATATAATAATAATAGGATAATTGAATATCCAATAAATATAAAACTATTCGAAAAGAAGCCTGACTCCCTTCCTTTTGCCCATCAATTCCCTCACCTATCCATCCCCCATTTCCCGACATTCGACTTTCGTCATTTGTTTTCAAACGTTTCATTTCGTGTCGGGATAAGAGTTTTTCACAAAAAAAAACCCAAATTTTTCTTCGTTATCACTTTTCTTGATTAATTTCGTGACATTGTAAAAATTTGTTCAGAAAAATGACTCGAGCTGATCAGCGCCGAGGCGATTTACCATTTCTGGTCGGAGTTGCTGGCGGGCCAGCTTCGGGAAAGGTCTGTGATCAAAAATTTATTAACACTTGATAAATTTCCTTATCAATCGTTGCAGTTAGATTATTTTATGCTAGACTTACATTGAGACTTGTTCTTTATAGTATACTTTGTGCTCACTGTAAACGCAAGACGCACTCGATTCTTCATTTTTCTTTCAGCAATGATTTGGTGTCTTGAGAAAATGAAGAATTCAGTGCGCCAGAAGCGGTGTGTTTACAGTGAGCACAGAGTACACCAGAGATCGAGGATTTCAACTCGTAAATGTGCCCCATCTGGTGCACCGATAATGGCACTAGTTCGGTTTTAGGCTATTGTTGTAATCCGGTTCATTTACTCAACTTATTCTTTATGGTTTACTTTGCAAAATTGATTGGTTTTATAAGAAGATATTTATTAGCTAATCTAAAAAAGAAAGAAACTAGGAAAAGATTTTTTTATTCTTTAGAGTCTCGTCTGTCAAAAGATCATCGAGCGATTGGGGCACGGACATGATTATTTCAATAAACAGGTTGAATAAAAAATTATTACCAATAAAAAGGGTTGTAAATCTAAAAAGTTACATTGTAGCCACTTTTCTCATTTCAAAAACGACTGTTATAAATTTGCATCTAGTAGTTCATATGAAAATTAGAGTTGCTAGAAATTTACAGTAGCTTGGAAATCTCTGTGCTGCTGTAGCTCGCCACTTTACATAGGCATAGCAAATTCCGATTCTTGTAACGTGCTGTGATTCTTAAAATAGCTAAAATTCTTTTAGCTAAAATTAATTGAATAGCTAAATTCATAGTATTATTTACATATTGGAACAAACAAAATCCCTAAATTTATTCAAAATTCTTTAGGTAAACGTGATCTCGATCGAGTCCTTCTACAGGGATCTCACGCCGGCTGAACAAGAAGCGGCCACGAGAGGGGAATTCGATTTCGATCATCCAGGTAGTAAATAATAAAAAGATTATATGAATATAGTCTGAGAAGTGACAAGTCTGAGACTAAGAAAAAGCTAAGATTTATAAAAATACAGAAGAGGAAACAAAGATTCAGATGCTTTTGAGTTCACGAAACTCGTCGACATGATTCACGCGTTGCAACGCGGAGAAGCAGTCGATGTGCCCGTTTATGACTTTGATAGGAACAAGATGTAAGTACAGGATTTGCAATGTTGAGCACACTATTGGATAATTGAACCGGTTTGAACGTGATAGTTTTTACAAGTAATTTACAAGGTAATTGAAAACTTTTAGCATCGCGTCGAAAAAACTCGAGAACACGGACGTTTTGCTGGTTGACAAACGATTCCTTATGAGCTAAAGCTAGCATAAATAAGCAATACGCTCTATAATCTCTATTTTTGGCCAAAAAATTTTGTACAGAGAAGCTGTATTTCAAAAAAAACAATTTTTTTTTGTGTCATCTTCTTGGCATTCTGAAAAGTTAAAGCATTAGATCAAAATTTGCCTTAATCACAAATTTTCCCTTTATTAAGTACTTGATTTTAGGGTTTTGAATGGAACCGATTGCCTATCCATTAACCCATTAAAAACTTGTAAAAACTGGGTAATTGAGCCGGTTTGAACGTGATAGTTTACAAGTAATACAAGTAATTTACAAGGTAATTGAAAACTTTTAGCATCGCCTCGAAAAAACTCGAGAACACAGACGTTTTGCTGGTTGAGGGGATTCTCGTTTTCTACGATAAGCGTGTTAGAGAGCTTTTCAAGATGAAACTTTTCGTCGACGCCGATGCTGATATTCGTTTAGCGAGGAGAGGTTGGGTTTTTAGCAAAATACTCATAGATAAACTAATGAGTTTTCTAAAATGCATCTCATTTTAGACAAACTACCTGCCAGTTTTCATTCGATCAGCTCAATTTTGGTCACATTGAATGAGTTTTATGATTTCCTCATCGAATTTGATTAAAAATTGGGCTAATCGAATGAAAACTGGCGGGTGGATTACGATAGTTTGTCTAAAATCGATTTTTTTTTTTAGAAATCGATGAGCTTTTAGTTGGATATTCTATGGGTGAATGCTATATTTCAAAGAATTTATTTCAAATCAATATTTCAAAGATTAATTCCAGTTCGCCGTGACACGATCGAGCGTCAACGACCGCTCTCCTCGGTGCTGAATGTTTACATGAATAAAGTGAGTTGCTACAAGCAGACTTGTTTCAAAAGTAGTTTTCCGAATCAGGTCAGGCAAGGTTTCTGGGTCCACCAGAAGCCAGACTTGAACTTTGCTCTAACTTTGTCTGGCTTGGCTTGAAAACTAGTTGAATCATTGGCTATATGATGACAAAAATCAACTTTCTTAACTTGGTTCCCATTATCAAATCTAGGTGAAGCCGGATTTCGAGGAGTTCTGCTTGCCGACGAAGAAATACGCGGATGTGATTATTCCGAGGGGAGGGGAAAACGATGTGGCCATTGATTTACTCGTGCAACATATCCACGTGAGTTACAGTAGGCCAAAAATAATTTTACTTGAAAAAACTGTTATTAGAAGGGTCGGTTTAGTTATTAAAGTTAAAGATTTACGATTTATTTCCCCAATTTAGGACATTCTGAAGTCTCCACGCGGTTCACCGTTCGATGCACGGGCTACAAATGGTCAGAATGGAAGGTATTCTGAAGAGGATGATGGCGGATCATCATCGGGAAGATCATCAAGGAAAGGACACCGAAAACCGGAAACCGTCGGCCGACCACATTGAACAATCCGAGCCGGTTCAATTACCCAACTTTCGTTTTAGCTTTGAGTATCTTGTTAGTTTACTTGAGTATACGCATTTATTTTACAACTTTACTCAATTCGTATGCAAATTTTGACTTGCTGCTCGGTCAAAGCTAGTGCAAAATAGAAAATGGATTACGATAGAAAATGGATTACGATAGAAAATCGATTACGATAGAAAATCGATTACGATAGGAAAAGCGCATCACAGAATATTCTCTGTGATTTCTAATCACTAATTTAACCGATCAGCAAGTCGTATTGTAATGAAAAACGTATGCATATTATCTCCGCTACTGTAATTAACACTCAAGCTACTATAGCTTACTTATATGTTAACTTTAGCCCCTGAAAATTAACATTCAAAATTGAATTTTTATTACTTTTTGTCATTTTTCTTTTTTTTTGTCTTTCTAAGTCTTGATTTTATCCGAAATTTCATAGGTCATGGGTCCCTCAAAAAAGGGTTTTTTTTTCTCTCTACTTTCAAGTGCCATTATTGTTGTTATTTTTCATTTTCCGATTTCTTTTCCAAGACATAATTCCCGAGAATTACAGTATTTTTGGCAAAATGCCGAGTACGGTAGCTTTTACTAACAAGCTCGGGAGTGGGACAAATGCGACCTTTGATCCTTTAGATATGCTGGCTCAAAATGCTCAAAAGATATGCTGGCTTTGATGCTGGCGCACCCGGACATTTGCGCACCATTTTGTCTTTCAAATTGGTTCCACATGCTCTGATATATCAAAATTTCGATTCTACGCCCTAAAATTACCTAGAAAAACAACTTTTGGAATAGAAATTGGTTAATATTAGCTTTTTAGAGCTTTTTTAAAACGCGAAAAAGGTGCACTAATGGGCAAGGTGCGGAAAAAAAGGTGCGCAAATGTCCGGGTGCGCAAAAAAAAGGTTGCATTTGTCCCACTCCCAACAAGCTCATCGTTTTAAAACCGCTTTAATAAAGGAAACGGATTTAGTGCAAAATAGAATTCACAAACTCTTTGAAAACCTACCGCTCTCATTTTCTATTTTGCACTAATTCTTGCAAGTATATAAACTCTGAAGAAAACTTTGCGAAACGGTTGTTATTGAAAATTTTTTAAACTTTTTACCTTAACTTTGTTATTTTTATTATTTTATTTTCGAAAAAAACGAATAAAAGTTGCGATTTTTTTGAGAAAATTTGACCAAAAAGTTGCTAAAATCACGAAAAATAATTTAAAAATGTAATCGAATCAGTAGAATTTATAGATTTTCTTGGAAAACGTTGACTTTTTATTTTTTTTAATAAAATTATTGTTTATATTATATTTTTTCTTTAGCTTATGCTCCGAAAGTTCGTGTCAACACTGGGCCCATTGCGAGAAACGACAGGAAAACGATTTTTTGAGGTTTTTCTTTTTGATGCTTATTTGAAAATGATTGCGCAAGCTTTGCAAAAATAACCTTAAACTATAATTATCAATTTAATCGTAAAAATTTGTATCCTGATCTTGTGAACTGTTGCAAACTCCTTAGGAGTGCAAAAGTTTGATTAAAAACTTTGAAAAGGATATAGTTCACAAATTGCCTGCAATTAGATTTATTCAATAACTTGCTAACATCATTGAAATTTCGTTTTTAGATCTACCGACACGAGCACACAACAACATCAACTCCATCAACTTCTTCAACTTCTTCAACTTCTTCAACACATCCATCCACCCTTCCAACCATCCCAACGACGGAAGAAGAGCATTTACAGCAAAGAGTACGTTTGTTTTGAGTTGATACAAAGATTTAAAGGAAAAAGCTAATCAATTCACAAAGTGACCCTTATGAATTGCTTTAGCAATCTTGAAAATTAATTTTCTAATTAATTTTTTATAAGTCTTGTGATCTAATCGATCAATTCTTTATCACAAAGCCATTAAATTCTTTTGACACTTTGTAAAGGGTCTTTTTCTAGCAAAAGCTCACACAAACCTGAAAATCATCTTTTATTATCTAGTGTTTTTATCTTTCAAGTTATTTGATTTGAAATTTGCATGTATTTTAAATTTAGGACGATCAACACTCGACAACAACTCAAAGGCCTTCTTCCGATTTCTACGATGTTCAACCATCTACTTCCCAAAGACGTGACGAAATTGCACAGCGGGAGCACCTAAAGAAAAAGCTCGGCGTGTCGCAGTTTCGAAAAATTCTCTACACACCCGAGGAATTGGCCAAGTAAGCGTTTTTAAAGCTGGGTGGAAAATTTGGAAAAGAAGAATGAACTTGTTATTGAGTAAAAAGTTTAGACTTACATTTTGACATTATAAATTCTGAGGGCAGGCTTTAAAAGTTGTAAAAGGATTTGACAAGTGGCAAAAAAATTAAAAAAATGCTGAGTAAATCTAGCCTTACTATCAAACAAGTTGCAAAACTTTGATTTTATTATTTTCTTTTCAGATTTGACCTATCAAAGCCTCCGTCACGTGAAAATCCGCATCCATTCACTGCTGATCATCTCCCGCCGACTTATTCAAGAGCTCTAGCGCCACATGTCAATGGATCTGTGGCATTGCAAACACTAGTCGAATTCGGAGTCGATCTTTTCGAGGTACGTTTATTGTTCTGGATAGCTTTTCTAACTTTCTTTGTTAGAAACTAACGTATTTTAAGTCTGAAATCTAACAAAGAGAAGGGCAAAGGGGTTCTTTCTCTTGAAATATTGCAATCACGACATCAGAGTTCAATTATTTTACGACCAGAGAAACAGCTGTTGCATGGCAATAATGAAAAAGTCGAATTTGACAAGGAATTGAACTTTTAACTTTGAGTTTTTGGTTGCAACACTTTATAAAATTATTGTATTTTAGGTTGACACAAAAAACCCGAGCTTGGGGCGACATTTGGTGCGACTCGATTTGGATAGAGATTTGAAGCCGCGTCTGCAATGGATCGTCAACGAGATCGGCTTGGATGTGAACGATTTGGGCACGTATTTGACGAGGAATCCATTCTTTTTAATACAGGTTAGCTTTTTAAATATTGCAAATTGTTGGCTTGGCGATTTATTTGAATGTTTGAATATTTGAATATTACCTTATTTTGTTTTAAACTTCAACTTTAGGATCTAGACGATATGAAAGCTCGCGTGAACTACTTGGAGATGAAAAAGTTCAAGAAGAGACAGATTAGCAAGGTATGGCTTGGTTTTTGAATTAAAAGCGTTAAGATCTTTAGATTATAAACGAATGTCGTTATTGGATCAACGTTGATGTGAAGACGCTAGATGAACGACTTGGTTGGATGCAAAAGGAATTTCGGCTCACAGGTGACGAGGTTGGTTTATGGATTTTAACAATCAGGTGTTGTAAATAGTGTGATTTAGCTTTTTAACATTGCTTATTAAATTTTAAACACTGTAAATTAGCTTTTTAAATTTAAATTACCTGAAGTGCTTGATATTTGAACTAGCAAACTTTTATTAGATTACTAGATTTTATTCACTCTACAAATGGAATCTTTAGATGCGAGCGCTGATCACAAAAGAACCACGGGTTATTCAATTTGGCATCGGCGCGCTGGAAAGAATGTCGAAGCTCTTCAAGAAGGAATTAAAATTTCATCCAAAACAGGCAAAGAAGATTTTGCTGAAGGTGGGTCTTTGCAAATTTAAAAAAAAAATTTCTTCAGGATCCCCGTGTCTACATGTTGAATCCGAAAATCTTGATTGAGACGTTCATCTACGTGAGTCGAGTGATGAGACTCTCGAATGAAACGATCACCGAGTATCCGCTTATTTTAAGGCTTGTTAAAGCTATCTCAAAGTTTTATTTCACATTTTTTAGGTGTCATTTGAGTGCAATTCGGAGCCGACACGAATTTCTGAAGAAACTCGGACGAGCCTCGTACGGACAAATCGAAGAGAATCCCGAAGTGGACGAGTCGGCAACGATTCTGGAGGGATCAAAGGGTATGTATCTTCTAGATGTTATTAAAAAGCTTTTTAAAAATAGCCAAGCATTGGGGGAAAGGCTTTTTAGGTTATACATTGAACAAATTAACTAAAATTTAACTTTCATCCTATAACTTTCTTATTTAGCCCCATCTACTAGCAAGGACATTGTGCCGGTCGTGGATCTGCTCGATTTTCTCTCACCGTCTGATCGAATTTTCGCAAATCGAGCCGCCAACACCTACCTCGTGATCTACGATGAATTTCTGAGACGTCATTAGCATTGGATTATTATTGTTAAGTTGTTATTTTTTTTGTTGATTCTATTTTTGTTTTTAGTCTTTAGTCAGGTGCTAGCTTTAAAATTGTTGTGCTTTTTTCGCGAATAAATTCCTTGTTTTTCCGAATCTTGATTTGAAATCATTGGAGGTCCGTTATTTTCTTTAACTGAGGCACAAAGACTAAAATTTTTAACAAAGATTGCTTTTAGATGCGATTACTCCAGTCAAATCTGTTGAAAGGTGAGATTTTGTCACTTTTAAAAACAAACTGTGTAAAAATGGTGTAAGATATTGAAATGTTTGCTAAAAAGTATGAAAAACCCGAGCTGATACTGGGATGTTTGGCGTTAAAGTGTAAATTTTAGCCCCTCGTCTCCTTTTCGCCTCAAATTCGTCATTTTCAACGTCACTTCTCCCAAAAGGGGGTCTTTCCTATGTAAACGGTAAATTTTAAGGTATCTAATAAAAATTTGATACCATTTTTTGCAACAATTTACGGTAATCTGTCGATAAAGTTTAGTGCAAAATAGAAAATTACAGTAGAACTATCGATAAGCAGTCTAAAACAAAAATACCATCAATACAGCAAAATGCTCTTTGAAATTGGCTTGGAAATGTGCTTTTCTTTGCACAATTTTAGACATTCTTTCGAGAAATGAAATTCTTTCCTTTCCATTTGAAAATTCGAAAAGTAGAATTTTAAAAAAATCGCATCTTTGGGCTAATTTCTCTAATTAGTTTGGTGTTGCTCATTGTGGGAAATCAAAATTGTCACCACTTTCACACATTGGTCTTTTTCTTATCTCTTTTGCCCAAAAATCGCATCATTTGATATAGTATCTTTGAACTGTTAAATCAAATAAAAAACAACTTTTAAATTCAGATTTTGATTCAAACTATTAAAACTTTTAAAATTCACGACATTTCCGACTAGTCAACCATTGCTCATTTCGAGAAATTCCGGAAATAAAAACGTCAAAAATTTATTTTCGTCTCTTGGTTAGTTCAAGGACATTTGCACTCTTGTTGTCTCTTTTCGGCGCGCTTTTCCGATTTTATTGCAAAAATTTTGAAAATTCTGGCAAAATGGCAGTAAGTTGCCGATTTGGAGATTATTTTGATAATTTTTTTTGCATAAAATTTCTATATTTTTTATTCAATAGTTTGTTCTTATCCGGATTTTCACTTTTAGCCAAAACATGGCCAATTTCGAGTCGGTACTTCCACAGGGAGCACTTTGCTATATTGATGGTAAATAAATTTTGAAAAGTTTTACAATAAAATAAATGTTAAGCAATTAATATCCTAAAAAAATCTATGCTTTTACGCCAATCTTCTCTTTAGGTAAATGGGTATCGGCGAAATCGGGTGCCACATTCGAGGTGAGGAATCCCTACTCGACCGAATTGCTTTTCAACACGCCCGATTGTGGGCTGGATGATGCGAAAAATGTAAGAGTTTTAAAGTTAAAGCCAAATAAAATAAAGTAGAGCGCTTGAAAATTCGAAGCTCAAAAACCGTTCAAACTAGCTTTTGAAACGTGAAATCCTTCATCAGTGTGATTGTTAGAGAGATTTGCTCGCATTTGAAAAATTTATATAGTAAAGGAAATTTTTGAAAAAGCTACGTTTACTGACAACTTTTGAGTTAACTCACTTATCAAATTCAACCTTTTAGGCAGTGCAAGCGGCTCGAAATGCTTTTGAGAAATGGTCACTTGAGACGACGCCAAAGCAACGATCGGTGATCCTGCAGAAATGGTACTTTTTAAGCATTAAGTTTCGTATTATATCTTGTAAGTCATGTTAGTGTGATATTGTGTTAGTGTTTGTGTGTTAGTGTGGTGTGCTTATAACCATGTTATAGATGTGAATAAAAATAAAAGTTTGTCGCTTGTTAATTAAGATATTTTCAGGTTCACGATTATGCAACAGAAAGAAGACAAATTGGCCGAGTTGCTGACGAGAGAACAGGTTCGGGTTTTGGAAAGATTCAGAGCTGAGAATGACAGAGAAATAGCACTTACTAATATATTTCTTTTTAGGGAAAACCGCTGGCCGAGGCACGTGGCGAGATCCAATATTCGGCTTCGTTTTTCGAGTGGTACGCCGGAGAAGCGAGGAGAATCTACGGACAGGTAGATATTCAAAATATTAAATACTTATTTCACACTTTAAATTTAGGTTGTTCAATCATCGGTGCTCAATCGGGAACACGTGCATGTGAGGGAGCCGATCGGTGTCGTCGTGCTCATCACACCGGTGCGTTAACTTTGAACTTTAGCGTGTTTCTAATGCGATTCAACTAAATAAAAGTATTTCTAACTTAAGCTTATTTAGTGGAACTTCCCGACGGCGATGATCGCACGTAAGGCTGGTGCGGCGCTGGCGGCTGGATGTACCCTTGTGGTGAAGCCAGCGCATGAGACCCCATTGAGTGCACTGGCATTAGCACAGGTCAGTAGATGTTATATACTTTGCTTAAAGTATAGAAGCTTTGCTCAATGTTTAGAAAAGTAACAAGTATTTTAATTGTTTCTTTTAGACAGCAGAAGAGGCCGGCCTTCCGCCCGGTGTTTTCAATGTGCTCACCACTGGGCACGAGAATTTACAGGTAATATTTATTCATTTGATTAGTCGAATATTTCATTTTAGGGAATCTCTCGTTATTTATGCGAGTCAACTGATGTGGATGCGATCTCGTTCACCGGAAGCACCGGAGTTGGGAAAGTACTGGATTTGAAAAGATTAAAAAGATTGTAAATTTCTATTTTCAGCTCTTGTTGAGTCAATCAGCTTCAACGGTGAAACGCGTGTGTTTGGAGTTGGGGGGAAACGCGCCATTCATCGTCTTCGAGAGCGCCGATTTGGAGAAAGCTGTTAAGGTGAGGAGTTTTAAAATTCTAAAGTTATTCTAAAGCCAAATTGATCGTCAAACAGAATTTTATATTAACTTATCATCAAAATTTTTAAAGATTATAAAGTCTGGCACGCCGATAGTCACATTTATGCAAATTTCTTCATTCCAGGGCACAATGTCGGCGAAATCACGCGGCTCTGGCCAAACCTGTGTGTCGGCGAATCGAGTCTTCGTTCATGAAAAGGTATTTCTGTTGATAGCGTTACAATTTGATGTCTAAATCCTGATCCTGAACCAAGTTGCTTTAGGTGCTGAATCAATATGTGGACAAATTACAAACCGCTTTGGGTCAATTGGTGACCGGCGATGGACTCGATCCAAAAACCACTCAGGGACCGCTGATCAATCAACGGGCTGTCGATAAGGTGAGTCAAATGTGTATTATGTGTAAATTTGGTATTCTGATCCAAAAAATTCTCCAATTGCTCAAATTCAGGTGCAATCTCTTGTCAACGATGCCGTCGAGAAAGGCGCCAAAGTGGTTTTCGGAGGGAAACGCGGAAAAGCCACGTGTTATCAACCAACAATTATCACTGGTCGGTAATTAGAGTGCTTAAAAATTTTGTAACAACAGTACAAATTGCTCATTTTTCTCTTTCAGGAGTTACAAACGAGATGGAAATCGCGCAAGCGGAAATCTTTGGCCCGATTGTTGCCATTCAAACGTTGGTTTAATAGGATTTTAACGCTATAACGGCTCAATTGCTATTAAAATTAAGCTTTAAATAAATCCTAAACTCAAAAACGCAATTTTTTAGATTCACCGACGAAAAAGACGTCGTCAGCCGCGCGAATTCGACCCGTTTTGGTCTAGCAGGTGCTTTCTTGTTAGAATTATTAAGCTAAACTTTCAAATTTATAATATTTCCAAGCAAATTTTTAAATTCAGGTTATATCTTCTCGTCGGACGCCTCGCAAATTCACCGGGTTTCACGGCGCTTGCAAGTCGGCATGCTTGGAGTCAATGAGGGTAAGGGATTTGGTACAAATTTTTAGAACTTCATTGTGAATGGTCACGTTTTAAGGTTTAAACGGCTAAAAGACAACTTGCTTCTCTTTGAGAAGCGCGTCTTTTAAGCAATACAACAATGACTTGAACTCTTAAAGTAGTTTAAACTTGTGATAAAAGTTAACTTTAGTATTAATTGGATAACTAAGTATCTTTTGATATATTCAAACAATAGAAGGAATTAAGCATTCATTTTTCAGGACTGATCTCTTGCTCGGAGGCGGCGTTTGGTGGTGTCAAGGAGAGTGGTTTGGGCAGAGAGGTAGAGATTTTTTTAAAGAATTGAAAAATAATGTGATAGAGATTTGAATAGGTCTTGAAAAGATTTTGCATGTGTTTTCAATTTTATAGTATCCTAATTGGATAATTTTTGTGTTTTATCCAGGGTGGCGCTCAGGGAATCGACGAGTTCACACAATGGAAATACATCTGCACTCAATACTAATCAAAGAGATTTGTCATTAGATTTTGACCTTTAATTTTTCATTTTTCATTTTTGTTAGTAGATTCGATTCGATTAGATGTGTACTGTGTATTGTTTTGACAAATTTCTAGTCCAAAATCCACTTTTCACTTCAGCGACTTTGTGAGAAATCCTCTTGCCATTGGCCTTTGTTTTTCGTTTTGATCCTTTTGCCCAGAACTTCAAAGATCTTTGTGAGTTTACCCTGTAAATTTCGATTGAAATGGTAATAAATTTTCCTACTTAATTCGATAATTGAGATATGCAATTTGCATACGAGCCCCTTTGGGGTAAATAAAGTCAAATTTTGAGGTGAAATTTTTTCCGTTTTTCATCAAATGAATGGATCACGGTAGAAACGGACTGAAGAATAGAAAATGGGAGGTACGAAGAATACCATTGAGTATTCGAAAATCCAAAAGACCTTGGATTCTAATTTTTGGCCACAATATAAATTCGAAAACGTCTTGAGACTGAATTGGGAAATTGAACCAAAGACTGGTTCAATTCTTCATTTGTTTCAATTTTGATTTTTACTTTGATTCAATTCTTCATTTAGGGCATTTTGCAAATGAAGAACTGAAGAATCTCTTTACTTTTACTATTTTATGTTTCTTTTTCATTTTATCCTCATCTTTATCCCTCTTTTTCTCCCTTTTCCCAGCTAAACGAGGAAATCGTTTGATTACAGCGTGGTGATGGAAAGATTGATGGAAAACGGGGAGAAAAGAGATCATTTGTTGGGGGAAAGAAAGAGGAAAGGGGATTCGGAAGAGAACCAAAGTGTTCAATCAAGAGAAAAGACGATTTTCAAAAAGATTTTCATGAAAATTCTCTTTATCATTTTAATCAATTTTACGGATCTGATTTGCTACATCTGTTATCTCTCAAAAAACTCGGGTGATAATGTCTTTAAGTAGATGGCTTCTCGAGGGTTGTTTTAATTGGGGATTTTTCAGTCCAGGTCAAGTCGGGGTCAGTCTTACTTTACGAGCAGGTTATTTTTCGGCATTCTCTTGCTATTTTCGACTAACTATAAGCCTGGAGTTTGGACTTGGAGTCTAGAGTCAGATAAATGGCAAGAGCAGGCTGAGATCGATTCAATCTAGACTAGGAGAGGATAGAATCGGATAAGATTGGGTTATGGGCAAGGTTTGAAGTCCGAGCCAATTTCCTAACAGGTTTCCGGTTCAGTTTAGCATATGATATGCCGTATATCTTTGTTTTGAAATTGAGTTATTGAGTCAAAGGTGGATTTGATTCAAAAAATGGCTCTGGCTCTGCCAAGTGCAATAGATTCTGGCTTCTTCGAGGTTCTTCATTTTTCAAAGCTTCCAAAGTTGTTTTGCTTAATCGAAATCTAAGATCTATAAATGATTTTAGATTTTTTAAAGATTACCGATGTTTTTATATTTTCTCGATATCACAGTGATATCTCGAAACGTTTATGCCTTGCCTCTTTCTTCGGCAAAAACAAATTGTGTTTCGCAAAAAAAAGGAAAATTTACTTGTTTGGGGGGGCACGGATGGGTGAAAATTGGGTTTTGCTCGAGAATTTCTCTCTTTCTCAAAATATCATTTTTGTTCATTTCAAAGTTCGCTTCACTTTCAGGTTTACAATTTCCCATTCATTGGATGAATCGAGGCCTTTTTGAGCCAATCTGTTCCGGCACGGGCACACAAAACAAAATGTGAGTTTTTTTGGGGGAAAATCTGGCTTAATTACCCAAATTTGATTTTTTTGAGCTCAATTTTGTAAACCTCTAAACCTCTTCGATACCGCTAGCGTACTGAATTCTTACTTTTTTTGAAAACAGAAACGTTGATTTGAGAAAAATGAAGGCTTTCAATGGGTTAGAAGGGGTGCGTTTACAGAAATTGAACACAAAGTGCACAAGAACAGTTTGTCAGCTTTTTCATTATGAGAGAGCTAACTATTCAGCCATAGCTATTCAGCCATAGCTATTCAGCCATAGCTATTCAGCCATAGCTATTCAGCAATAGCTATTCAGCCATAGCTATTCAGCAATAGCTATTCAGCAATAGCTATTCAAGAAATCGATGACTAAAGCCAAGCTAAAACGCCAAGCCAAGTCAACTTAATAGCTTTTCTCATAAAGAAGATTTGGGTAACTAAACCATTGAGCCAAGTTGAGTAGCTGAACCGAGCTTTCGAGAGCATTTTCCCACGTTCTCAAAACGCCAAAAGCAATTTGTTTCCAATCGTTTCCTTTCTTTTTCCTCAGCAATACTTTGATCGAGTGGTGATCAGTTTTTTGGAGAAAAAAAGCTCCTTTTCACTTTCTAACTTCACCCAAGCATTCTTTGTAATCTTTTACCTGAACAAATTTGATGATAAACTCTTTCGTTCAACTTCAAACGGTGGCTGGGTGAGTGCAATGAATGAATTGATTTCAAAGCTGCATTGGTTTAGCCTTTCTATTCAAAATTGAAGTTTTTGTGCTTCGAAAAATGCGTAATAGCTGTTTATAGCTGTTTATGGGATGAACTCCTCAGCGTTACTAGACGTGCACTTTCTAGCGCACCAGAAGGGGGTAATTTCGAGGGCATAAAGTACACGTGGAGGTGAGGTAGATTTAAATGAACCCTAGAGTCTAGAAGTCAGGTCCAAGCAAGAAAAGGTCAGAGATTGAGGCAAGGTAAGAAAAGGTTCCGCTGCTTGCCTTGCTTTACTTTTTGGAAAAGCCCTGTTCTTGACCATCAGCAAATCCAAGCCAGGATTCTTTTTTTGTTCTTAGCCTTGCGTAGAACTCTGACTATGACTATGACTTGCAAAGAACTCTGACTATGACTATGACTAGAACGTAGGACTCTGACTATGACTATGACTAGAACGTAGAACTCTGACTATGACTATGACTAGAACGTAGGACTCTGACTATGACTATGACTAGAACGTAGAACTCTGACTATGACTATGACTAGAACGTAGGACTCTGACTATGACTATGACTAGAACGTAGGACTCTGACTATGACTATGACTAGAACGTAGGACTCTGACTATGACTATGACTAGAACGTAGGACTCTGACTATGACTATGACTAGAACGTAGAACTCTGACTATGACTATGACTAGAACGTAGGACTCTGACTATGACTATGACTTGCGTAGGACTCTGATTATGACTATGAAATGACTATGACTCTACTGTCCTCAAAGCCAAATTTGTGTACTTTTGCAAAGAACATCACCAATTATATGATAATATTTCTCAAAGCGATACTTTGCGGATTTGTTGGTCACAAATCTTTTCGTACAACGTCACAATGCAATGTTTTCGAAAGGGATTATCCGATGGAAGAATTCTTTCTTTTTTTTGATGACTTTTCCTCAAATATTGATGAATTTCAAATCAAAAAGAGTTTATAAAATTTTTTTGAAATTTTTTGCATAATTTTGATGTTTTTAAAATGAAAATCTTTTGTTATCTATAAAATTAAATGGAAAATTTACAATCAATTGAATTAGATCGAAAGTATATAGATAAGATTGGCTTTTTTTTTTTTGTTTATCTTCACGACTCACTCGTCAGTTCTTAACGCTAATTTATGCGTTTTTGGCTTTTCGAGTACCCGAAAAAGTCTTCTTTTTTTAACGGAAAATTCTCTTAAAAGTAAAAAAAATATTCCATTATTTTTTTTACTCAATTTCCTTTCTTGGTGTACTTTATGCTCTCAAATTTATAAACGCATTTCATCTGGTGCACTCTGCTCTCTGTTTTTCTCTCTGTTTCCACGAAAAAAACCAAGTCATTTCCGTAGGGGAAATCAAAGAAAATCAGTGCACCAGAAGGGTTGTGCTTGCAAGATTTAAAAGAAAAACAAAACAATCACTTTCTGGAACACTTTTCCATGACATTCTTGGGAAAATCGAATAAAAGTCGGATAAATCGGCGATGAAATAAAGATCTAATCTTTCATTCTTTAGCTTTTCATATGTTTAAGTTAAAAAAAAACTGATCAAAGGTTTTAAAGGTTTTAAAGGTTTAAAGGTTTAAAAGGTTTAAAGGTTTAAAAGGTTTAAAGGTTTAAAAGGTTTAAAGGTTTAAAAGGTTTAAAGGTTTAAAAGGTTTAAAGGTTTAAAAGGTTTAAAAGGTTTAAAGGTTTTAAAGGTTCTAAAGTTTAAAGGTTTAAAGGTTTAAAGGTTTAAAAGGTTTTAAAAGGTTTAAAGGTTTTAAAGGTTCTAAAGGTTTTAAAGGTTCTAAAGTTTGAAAGGTTTAAAGGTTTTAAAGGTTTTAAAGGTTTTAAGGTTTAAAGGTTTTAAACCAAAAAACTAATCAAAACTAAATCCCATACCTTGTTGTTCTTTTGAGATTCAAAAAAAAACTCAGTGAAAAGGTTAAAACTCTGAAAAGACTAAAAATGGTTGCCCAAAAGCACTTCCGGTTCGAAGCATTGATCCCAGAAACTCAAAAATTCATAAATTTCTCAAAAAATTTCTTAAAAATCGAAACTTCTGAACTTCTGCAATGCTGCACAGTAAAACCACCGCGTATTATCGTCTAAATGAGCAATATAAAATGGATAAAGCGAAGATGATGTGCGGATGTGGCAATAATTCACCGTTCATGTTCGATTTAGTTACCCAATTCATTGAATAGCTTTTATTTATTTATTGAAAGATTATTTATTCAATAGCTATTTTAAAAAACAAATTTCCCAAGGAATTCACGTTTGAAATCATGATAGTAATGCCGGAATTTCGTTTTTTTTTTCTTTTAACCTATCCTAATCTTAAGCTCAAAGCTTGGCTGAATATCTTTTATTTTATAAGCAATAAAACTATGTACATTTGAAATGCGAATTCTTTCAGCACAATGCAAACGGGCGAGCTGGTCACGCTGATCGTTTTCTGTTTCACCGCGTTTTTCACTCTCGCTGTTGTCATCTACTATCGATATTGCACGACAGGTCAAGGAAAACTCTTTTTTTAAAATTTCATTTCTTTATTCTCGATTCAATGTACCGTATTTGTTCGAATAAAAGACCGGGTAAAGAGTATTATCGCGTACTTCTGCGTAGCAGCCCTTTTTAAAATTTCTTTTCTGCATAAAAGCTTTCAATCAAGTGCTATAGAGCTGGAAAATGACTCAAAAATACCACATGAGCTAACAGATTTCCTGTTAGCTAACAGATTTCCTGAAAATCTGTTAGCTCATGTGGTATTTTTGAGCCATTTCCAGCTCTATAGCACTTGATTGAAAGCTTTTATGCAGAAAAGAAATTTTTAAAAGGGCTGCTACGCAGGAGTACGCGATCATACTCTTTACCCGGTCTTCTATTCGAACAAATACGGTAAACGCTAGAAAAGTGAGAAAAATGGTAACTGATCTGGTTTTCGTTGATCTAATTCAATTTCTAAAGTCCGGGCAGAGAAGAGTGAAATTTTTGTGATATAACTTGCTTTAATTTTCTTGTTCTAGTCTGGGCTGAACTTAGGAAATTTACATAGAATTTAGAGCGTGTCCCTCTTGTTTTTCTAGAAGTTTTCTAAAACTTGCCCTTGACCTTACATCTCCTACAGTAACCCTATTCTTCTAATCTGTTTTCGAAAACGTTTCCCATTTTCTCTTTCTACCGTAATCTTGTCTCTATTTTTTTATTCAATCGATTCTCCTTTTTTATCTGGTTTTGTGAGGGTACAAAAAGGATATTAAAAGAAATAAAAAGTGAATAAATTGGATAAAAAAATAGAGACAAGATTACGGTAGAAAGAGAAAATGGGAAACGCTTTCGAAGACGGATTAGAAGAATAGGGTTACTGTAGGAGATGTAAGGTCAAGGACACGTTTTAGAAAACTGGCTATACAAGAAAGGGGAAACGTTTTAGGAAGCTATTTAGTTTTAGAAAGCTATAGTTCCTATTTAGTTCCTTTATGGTTCCCATTTAGTTTCTTTATAGTTCCTATTTGTTTACTTTATAGTTCCTATTTAGTTTCTTTATCGCCCCTATTTAGGTCCTATTTAGTTACTTTATCGTCCCTATTTAGTTCCTATTTAGTTTTTTATAGTTTTTTATAGCTAGAAGAAAGGAGATTCCCACTAGCTCTACTAACAATAAGCTTTTGCTTCAATTACTCATTTTTTTTTCAGCAAATTTGAAACATCCATCGCAGCAACGTTCATCACCTTTATTGAGTGCTTGACAACGTGTTCTCACTTTTCTCCTCTCCATTCTCATTGTTTGATCTCAATTTTGTTATGGTAAGTGTATGCGAATGGATAATCTTCTGAAAATCTATCATAACTTTTTCATTCAAATTTTCATTCAAATTTTCATTGCTACAAGAAACTAGCTACTAGTCACCATTTGATTTCATTTCAGAAAACTACGGGTCACTGCCGGTTTCGATAAAGTTTTGGAAAAAAAAAAACTCACAAAAATTGTTATCTGTTTCGAATTGTATTGTAATGAAAATGAATAAATATGTAAAAATGAAATTTTATAAATGAATTTTATCCTTTATCTTCGACCAAATTGTGCCAATTTTTGATCAAATTCTTTTCGAATCTCGATCGGGATTTTCGCATAGAATTGAGAGATTTTCTCGAGACGAGTCTCATCGGAGAGATTCGGTTGGGTCAGGAGAGCCGATACCTGCAAGGGAAATTGGTTCCATCGAATTTGTGCACCCGAAAATGTACTTCCAAAGTACAAGTAGGTGTACTCTGTGTGCTTTAAAATACGGAAACACATCAAAACTCTTTCACTCAATAACCAGTTACAAGACTACTACAATACTTACAATACTTACAATACTACTACTACTACTACTACAATACTACTACAATACTTACAATACTACCACTACTACTACTACTATTACAAGACTACTACAATACTACTACAATACAACAATACTACCACTACTACTACTACTATTACAAGACTACTACAATACTACTACAATACAACAATACTACCACTACTACTACTACTACAATACCTCTACAATACTTACAATACTACTACTACTACTACTACTACTACTACTACTACAATACAACAATACTACCACTACTACTACTACTATTACAAGACTACTACAATACTACTACAATACAACAATACTACCACTACTACTACTACAATACTTACAATACTTACAATACTACTACTACTACTACTACTACTACTACTACAATACTTACAATACTTACAATACTACAATACTAATAATAAGATCCAAATATCGAAATATGTAAAAATTCCTTATTTTGGCATATCAAATGATAATCTTTTCGAAAAATTGTAATTTCTTAACGAAAACTGTGATCTGTTGAATGAGTGACTAGTTTGTGTCAGTTGTTGGCAAAAAGTTAGCTAATTGAATCGGGATTTTAAAACAAAGCTAACTGTAAATAAAGCAATAACCAAATGAATTGTTTATAGAAAGAATCGTTTTACCTTTTGAAATTGTATCTTCGCCTCTTCACTCATCCCGTTGACGACTTGATGGACCTAAATAAGTTGAGAAGTTTCTGAAATTTTTTCTCACCTCTTTTTGTCTTTTCATTGTCTCAGTTTCGATTTTTTGCTTGAAATCGGTGAATGTTTCCTAAAAGAAAGGAGATTTTTATTTCATTTTATTCCCACAAATAAACCTGTCTTTTTGCATCTAATTCTTTAATAAAATCCTCGATTTTTTTTGCTTTTTCTTCACCATTCCATTCCAAATTTTGCACAATTTGATAAAACTAAAATTTTTATCAATTTTTTATTCTTATTTCAAGGTGCCGTAAATATCGTAATAGTACCCCACTCCCATACGACCAATAAAAAGTCCCTAAAGCTAAACCTGGAAGGTCATATCTGATTGTGGGTCTGGTTCTAGTCTTGTTTACAAAACATACCGTAAATACTGTGATAGTACTCCACTCCCATAATGACGGTGCAGAGTGTTGCGTAGTCTAGCTTTGAACGAGTTTTTCTCGACACTGGTTTATGCTACAATGTACATTTGGGTATCAAAAAATAGCCCTGAATTTCAGCTATTTTTTGATACCAAAGACGCATTTTTTGAAAGTACGGGCGCTTTGAAAAAAATGAAATACTAAAAAACTTTTGCGACTACGCGACTGTACGAAGGGGGGTGGGGTATTATTACAGTATTTACGGTAAATTTTAAATTTTTACACAAAACAAACCCGGTCTTCAGTCTCTTTATCGACTCCTTTCAAAAATGGGGGAACGATTCGTTGGGGTTGAGCTGGTTGAGCTGGTTGAGCTGAATATCTTGATCTTTAAAGATCTTTAAAGGATAAATGAAAGTTCTACCTGCAATTGATTGAATGGAATTCGTGGAAAGTGGAGTCTTGAATTGCTAAATTTTAGTTTTTAATCATAATCATAAATGCACCTTTCAAAAAGCCTTTCGACTTTCGACTTTCAACTTTCAAACAAACTACTGTAATTTTCCCTTTAGCTTTATCCTAATCTAGTTTTTAACTGAAATTCTTCTCGCTAGACGATTTTAATTGAGTTTAAATCGTTATAGGCTCTCTTTTTTTTAAAAAAATCCAAATCAATTAGCTAATTTCAAATGAAATCTCTCAATTCTCTTTCTCTTTTTTAAATTTTAAATATTAAAAAAGAAAAATTTAAAGCAAAGATGAAACATGGGAAACATTTAGGCAAACATTCTTTTCGCTAGTCGATTTTAATTCAGTTTAAAACGTTATAGGCTCTCTTTTTTTAAAAATCCAAATCAACTAGCTAATTTTCAAATGAAATCCCTCAATTTTCTTTCTCTTTTTTAAATCCTAAATTTATTTACGATTTTCTTTTAAATTCATTAGATTTAGATTATCAAAAAGATTTATCAAAAGAAAAACAATTTACCGTATTTACTCTATTAGTGGGGTCCTCTCTAATAGTGGGGTCGTCTGGAGGGGGGTTGAAAAAATAGTGGGGTCCTCTCGAATTGGAAGAAGATATTGGTAACGAAAGTGATACATCAATTGTTGATCTCTTGGATTAGTTCTTTTACTGTTTGTTAATGTTTTGTTACGGTTAAAGCTAAATAAAATATGAAGCCAAACTTGTTTTGTCAAGAATTTCGGAGAAAAATTGATATCTTTTCAATTTAAAACTTTGGTTTTATGTTCTTTTAAATTTCTCTAATAGTGGGGTCCTCTCTAATAGTGGGGTCGTCTGGAAGGGGATTGAAAAAATAGTGGGGGACCCCACTAATAGAGTAAATACGGTAAGCAAAGATGAAACAACGAATTGATAGCAAAACCAACGAAATAACTATTTTAAATCAACAAAAATCTCAAACACAATAACAAATGCTAAATTTTTACATATTAGTTTGCTAGTTTTTAATATTTATTTACTGTAGCTATTTTAAAAAAAAACCACAACCATTCTCGTATCTTGACTGAAAGCCGATGGAAGACGTTGATCATTTGAGTAGACGGTACCCTCAGAGAATGAGGAGATACCTAGAAATTTGCCGACATTTTTTAGAAATGACAAACCAACCAATTAACCTATCATTTCCTTCAAATCAAAAATCTTTACTTTTCTAGCTTTTTTTTCGCCAATTTGGGTTCTTTTCTAAGAAAATGCGGGTATAAAAACTTCTTTTTCGCGAAAATTCTTTAAAAAACCCTACAAAAAAAATGGGAGAAACAAATTATCTTGAAAATTTGACGATATACCTAACTTTTATCTATTAACAGTTATCTTTATACTTTTATCTTTTATCTATCTTTTATCTATCTTTTATCTTTTATCTAACTCTATCTTTTATCTAACTCTATCTTTTATCTTTATCTTTTATCTTAGCTTTTATCTATCTTTTATCTATCTGTTATCTTTCTATTATCTATCTTTTATCTATCTTTTATCTTTCTATTATCTTTCTATTATCTTTCTATTATCTTTCTTTTATCTTATCTTTTATCTTATCTTTTATCTTATCTTTTATCTATCTTTTATCTATCTTTTATCTAACTCTATCTTTTTTCTATTAACAGAAAATAATAGATTTCCTTAAAGAAAGTCATCGTGTCATCGAAATCGTGACCCTTTTTGGTTTAATTTGAAAAAGAACTCAGACACAAATCAATCAGACATTGCTAGATTCAGACACAAAGCATTCCTCTCAAGTTTTTAACGTTTATTTGTCGAAAACTAATTGCCCTTTCTACAAATCGTAGACCAATAAACGCCATTATTCATTTCTAAACAGAATTCTGAAAAAAAAATGATCAAGATTTATGGGCCAATTTATTATAATATAAGAAAGCCAATGAAACTCAAGTTTTGTTATCAATCAGACATTGCTAGATTGTTAGCTTCTAGGTATAGAAGCCAAGAAACTGTAAGCCAGCTCAGTGGCTTTGGTCTTGGCTTTGGTCTTGGCTTTGGTCTTGGCTTTGGTCTTGGCTTTGGTCTTGGCTTTGGTCTTGGCTTTGGTCTTGGCTTTGGTCTTGGCTTTGGTCTTGGCTTTGGTCTTGCCCGATTTTGAGTTTAGCAAGCATAAAAGCCATTAGTATCAACTTGGCAACTACATTACTAGAGAATGAAATATGATATTTGAAAAACGATCGTCACTTTCGCACGTCTGTAACTCCCCTGTCTTTGAGTTTAAACTATTAGTGTTATACATTTTCTGAAAGCTCTTTTCAAGGGCTACACAATGGTAATATTAATATTTAGAAATACGGTAAAGACAAGGGAGTTACAGACACGCGAAAGTGACGATCGTTGAAGAAGAAGTCATTGTCGAAGAATATTAATATTTAGAAATACGGCATCCTTTTTGACGCATTTCAGCCCTTGAAAAGAGCTTTTAGAAAATGTATAACCGAAATAGTTTAAACTCAAAAACAAGGGTCTTTGCGTTAAAAAAGATGCCGTATTTCTAAATATTAACATCACCATTGTGTAGCGCTTGAAAAGAGCTTTCAGAAAATGTATAACACTAATAGTTTAAACTCAAAGACAAGGGAGTTACAGACAAGCTACAGACGCGCGAAAGTGACGATCGTTTTTCAAAAATGATATTTCATTTTCCAGTACTGTAGAAAACAATAATTGAATAACGAACCTTGAATCGATGACGGATAAATCTCGGAATTTCTTGCGTTAGAGCTATCAAAGGGCCTTTGCAGAAATGAGCCATCAAATGCACCAATTTGCGATTGTTGTGGGTAATATTGAGTCATCATTTGCGTCGGCATTTGTCCCATTGAGTAGACTTGTGGACCTAGGAATTTCTGCGATTTGGAAAGTCGAAATCTTGGGTAAATGAATGGGGATTTGAGGTAAATGAATGGCGATTTGAGAAGTCTCTTGATGCGCGAGGAAGTGTGTGTTTACACATTTTGAAATCATTATCATTGAAATGAAGAAATCATTGCACCCGAATAGATTTTGTTTACAAGTGCTAAGCACAAAGTACTAAGTACATAAAGTAAGTAATCCAATTTCTCAGCTCACCAATTGGGAAAGTGTTCTGGTAGATGGGTTGTTGCTGTTGCTGTTGCTGTTGGTTGTAGCCTGTCAATTGGGCTAAAATTTACATAGAACATAGAAAATAACGGTAGTTTTAGGGAAGTTTAATTAACATTTTAAACAATTAACATTTTGAACAATTAACATTTTAAACAACTAACATTTTAAACAACTAACATTTTAAACAATTAACATTTTGAACAATTAACATTTTAAACAACTAACATTTTAAACAACTAACATTTTAAACAATTAACATTTTGAACAATTAACTTTTTAAACAACTAACATTTTAAACAATTAACTTTTTAAACAATTAACTTTTTGAACAATTAACTTTTTAAAAAAAAAATACCGACTGGGGCTACCAGTGGTGAATTTATCGCATACACGAAATATATGAATCACAATACAACGACACACACAATACTAGGCTATATCTTAACTTAACCCACGTCATGACAGACGGCTCCCTAACCCTAAGCTCAATGGGGAACTAAATAGCTTTTTTGGTGGTGAAGGGAAGATGACGATGAAGGAGTGGCTTGTCACTTTAAAGAACTGGGGCCACAACCACCAGACTGCCCTCCAGAAAACCTCTCAACCCGAAGGGAAAGGAAATCCGAAGGGGGTGACCATGTCGCATGTGGGGTTCGAACCCTCGACCTTCCGATTAAGATAAAAGACACTTAACCAGTCAGCCACACGTGCTTTTTTTTTAAACAATTAACTTTTTAAACAATTAACATTTTAAACAATTAACATTTTGAACAATTAACTTTTTAAACAATTAACTTTTTAAACAATTAACATAATTTGCCCACCTGAATACGGTCCCTGTAGACCCCATTGAGCTGTTGTAAGTTGAAGAAGTCCGAAAAGGAAAATCATGGTAAAAATTCCTTCAAACTGACTGCTTTCAGGTGAAAATTGAATACTTTTATAGGCACTTTCGTTGTTTGTTTTTTTGCCAAGCCCTTAGGGAAGATTTCTGGATTTTTCACACTTTCGAATGCCATTCCAAGTGTGAGAACCGGTCAGTTTTTGAGGAGAAAATTTGGAATGACCAGTTATTTTTTTGCCGATCATTCAACGCGTGAACAAGTGAAAACTTTATGCGAAAATTGTTTTGTGAAGAGAAATTGTGGTGTCTGCTTAGTTTGCGATGAGCTTTTGTGAAAAAGAAAAAGATTGTTTTAAGCTTAGGTCCTCACTGACGTTTAACTTGCTCTTGCTTTTTGTTCACACTTTCTCGAAAACAATGAAAACAAAACAATGTTTTGGCGAAATGAATGAGTGATTTAAAGAGTCGTCAAATCAAAAACATCAAAAACATCAAAAACATCAAAAATTATCTTTTATCTTTCATCTATTAACAGAAAATAATAGGTTTCCTTAAAGAAAGCGCCTAAATCGTGTCATCGAAATCGTCATCAACATCAAATCAATGCACTGATTTGAGCAACCAGTACACCAGAAAGATCTGTTTGCAAATTTTGAGTACAACGTGCTTTGACATTGAGAAATCGGGATAGCTTTTGAGAGAAGTTTCTTATCATTGAGTTTTCTCATCAAATGATCCATTTATTTCATAATTAATTTCTAAAATCATTCTCATTCTCATTCTCAAATCCCGTTCTATTGCCCAACTTTATTCCAATAAACTGGTAAGACTTAGCAAAAATAAAGCCTTTTTCACTTTTATGTCACTTGCAATTTGTGCAGTGAGGCGAATAGGGTAAAGGGAATAACTGGACAGTGAGTGGACAACGAAGAGATCTCTCTTTCCCTCTTGCAGCTAAAAAGAAGTGAAAGAAGAAGGAGTAAGAAGGAGATCTAAAGAAAAGAATTTAGCTGAAGGAGCTGAAGGAAAGACCGAAGACTGTCAACTCGACTAGGCTTTTGATCGAAGACTTCCTCAAGTCGTAGGTCAAAAAGTCGTAGGCCAAAAAGTCGTAGATCAATTGAGGTCGTAGATCATTGATCAATCAGAGCCAAATCGAAATCAGAAACTAAGCCAGAAGGTTGGTTGAAGATTGACTGCCAAATACTAAACGAAATGTAGAGTAAAGTCAAGTCAATCACTATCAGCAAGGTTCAGAAATGTTTACAGATTTTGGGCATAAATTAGATACGGACTCGTCTAAACTTGAGCAATTCATAAATTTTCCAGTCGATTTCCTTTCTGATGGCTTTTCGGAAGAACAATGGAGTCCATTTGCGAGTTTTCCCCCAAAAATTGACGTCATTTTCTTGATAGAAAATCGACTTCTAAAGACTAATTTAGTGAAAAAGATTGTTCAAATTTTATTTCGAATCAAATTTCGGAACTTTTCCTAGATTCTGAACATTCAATTGAAGTTTTCTTCATTATTTTTTTGTTTCTCTGTTTTTTTTTGAATCATTGATGAATAAGGTTTCATTTTAGAGTTCTTTAAGAAATTTTCGATTGATCAAACATTGATGAAACGATGAAGAGGCTGACAAGAGCGAAGACCATTTCTTCATCAGGTATTCTTGTTCTTTGTGTCCATTTTGTGCTTGTCTAAACGCATTCTTTCTAGCGCACTGAATCCTTTCATTTCTGTGAGAAAGAAAGAAGAATAACGTGCGCTAGAAGGGAATGCGTTTACGAAAAAGCACAAAGTACAAAGGGATTTGTTCTTTGAGTGTACGTTGTACTCAAAATTTGCAAACAGATCTTTCTGGTGTACTGGTTGCTCAAATGAGTGCACTGATTCAAATGAGTGCATTGATTTAAATCAGTGCATTGATTCAAATGAGTGCGCACTGAATCCTTTCATTTCTGTGATTCAAATGAGTGCACTGCAGTGCGCTAGAAAGGGTGTTTTTTTTTGAGCAAAAGCACTTTCCAATAATAATTTCACTCAAAAAGTCTTAAAAGCGTAGTCGATTCAATTTCAAATGATTTCAAATGTTTTCAAATGCTTTCAAATGCAAAAGCGATTTCAAATGCTCTGCTTTCTTCGAAAGATTAGATGTGTACTGAATCAATGAATAGACTTCTTAAAAGCTTTTTGTTTTCATATCATACTCGTTTCTCGTGTGATCTCTCCGTTTCGTGCTCAACGCTTAACCTCGATGGGAATCGAGGGGATAAGGAGGTGAGGAAATTGAGGAAATGTTTCCATTTTATTATTATAATACTCTAAAAATCGTTTTCTAGATTTAAATTAAACTATTAAATTAATTTGATCAAATGGAGCACGTGTGGCTGACTGGTTAAGTGTCTTTTATCTTAATCGGAAGGTCGAGGGTTCGAACCCCACATGCGACATGGTTACCCCCTTCGGATTTCCTTTCCCTTCGGGTTGAGAGGTTTTCTGGAGGGCAGTCTGGTGGTTGTGGCCCCAGTTCTTTAAAGTGACAAGCCACTCCTTCATCGTCATCTTCCCTTCACCACCAAAAAAGCTATTTAGTTCCCCATTGAGCTTAGGGTTAGGGAGCCGTCTGTCATGACGTGGGTTAAGTTAAGATATAGCCTAGTATTGTGTGTGTCGTTGTATTGTGATTCATATATTTCGTGTATGCGATAAATTCACCACTGGTAGCCCCAGTCGGTATTTTTTTTTTTAAAATGCATATGTTGTAGCCGATCAAAAGATCAATTTGATCAAATGCATTACGAAATTCAGCCGCTAACGAATGAGGGTATTTCCGGGGGATCCAATCAAAAAGTCACCCACATAAAAAATGTTCATAATACATATATTTTAAAATAAATTTTTGGAAATTAGCTCATTTGGTTTAGTAGAAATTTTTTTTTAGCTATTTTAGGGCATTTTTGAACCCAAACTTTGGGGGCTCAAAAAAAATTTTCTACTAAACCAAATGAGCTAATTTTCAAAAATTTATTATAAAATATATGCATTATGAACATTTTTTATGTGGGTGACTTTTTGATTGGATGCCCCGGAAATACCCCTCATTCGTTAGCGGCTGAATTTCGTAAGCGGCTACGACACATACAAAAAGAAAAGCATTAAATGCATTCAATTTTCCGCTAAATCCAGTCTGATTTCGAGCCAAAAAAAAAACAAAACAAAAAAACAGCTTTAAAACCAATCTAAAAAACTAAAATACAAATTTTCTATATGTTAAGTTAGCTTAAAAAGTATTTTTAAGGGAAAAAGTGGTTCCTTGTTGCCCTGAACCAAAAGCTTTACACCTAATTCCCCCAATTAGCCGCCCGTCACTCCGAATTTTCCCCCCAAAAAAACCAAAACCGAAAAACTCCGTTCAGACATTAGCGGAAAGTATTGTTAAAGCTAAGATTTCGATTTTTACTGATTACTACAATTCTTGGAATACTGAGAAAATGAAGCGTCGCGGCGCGTTGGCAGGCCGACGCTCGTCCTCTGTTGAACAGCCGCACTCGCTGAAAAGTGCACAGAAACGTTCCCTGCTGCGCTCCGCCGAATCGCTAAAGGATTTGCTGAAGGTTGTACTTTGTGCTCAACTGTAAACGCATCCTTTCTTGTCATAACAAACCATCGACCTCGGGTTCTCTTTGGTGCGCCAGGGAGGCGCGCGTTTATGCGTGCTCATTTGAGTTGAACTCAGTTGAGTGCAGACTCGTTTTTCGGGTGTACTTTGAGCTCAAATCTTGTGAACGCCTTCATTCTGGCACATTGAAACTGGGAAACTGAATTATATTTATCTAGGTACGCTCACAATGCGAGGTTGCCCGAAAGCGAGAGCAATTCAAAGCAAGCAAAGCAAGTGGCGAACATCAAGGAGGGCAAAGATCAATCTCAGCTCCACCAAGGAAACGATGGTTTAAAACAAAGGGTAATGATGGAAAATGATTGAATCTCTAAAAAAATACCCTTTAGAAAAGTTACCGTAATTGAAAAACAGTGGCTTTCTTCTAGAGGAGGAAATATGGCTTAGAAGCAAATTCTAACTAATGTTCAGCTTTAATTTGATCGATAATGATAATGATTCTAGGGTAATCAAATCTCGAGTGAAATCAATTTTTCAGAAAACCCACCCCCAGAATCGAATCCCTCATCCACGTCAACACTTCTCTGCGATGAGGTGACAAAGCGTTTGATTTCGGCGATTGCTTGGTGGCATGATATCCACAGCAACTTGTTGAGACTCAGTTTTGGTCGGTCATTCGAATTAATCACTTTTTCATCTTCAAATTTGATCAACAACTCAATATTGATGAACTTTTCAGAAGAAGACTCTTTCTCCTCATCGCACAGCTCTTTACGCTCATCGATTTGTGATGGAAGTGAGGGAGAGGAAGGGGAAAGTGACAATGAGAACGAGCAACAACTAGGAGACGGTTTGTTTCAGATTTGGAATCAAAAGAAAGTTCGAGACTCAAGGCCATGACTATGATAGTTTCGTTTATCTTTGAATTTCATCAAATTATCAGTAAAATCGTTAACGACTACGCGACTGTACGCCGAAAAATGCTGTATTAAGAAAAGCGTTTCAGAAGAGGATGACAATCGTTGCACCCCGGATTCCCCACAACACGATGCAGCAGATCTCCGCCGTCTCGCGATCTCCTCAAAGCATTCCCTCTCAAATCCAGATCTCACCGCCACTCAACTCGAGGAAATGTTCCCGGAATTGTCTGACTATTGGCGGTAAAGAGTTTAGATAAAGGTGGAAAGGTTGGCTTGCACTGTGTATCGAAAAATGGTCTTTGACCTGGGTTCAAAGGCTTTCAGGGTTTAAAAAAAATAGTATATAACTTATTTAACATCAGTCGATTTTTCAGAAACTCTTTAGTTTTGTCAAACGAAAGCTCTGAATGAAACAAAACACGGTGAGTATTCATTTTTTTTCAAAATAAAAAACGAATTTGCAAGAAGTGCTGGATCTTGAGTCCGTTTTGAGGGCTTTTCCTATAGAAATCGGATAACTAAACCAGGAGACACGATGTAGAAATACGGCTTACAGTATCTTCAGCCAATTCTGAGGTGCTCTTTCTAAAGAAGTTTGGTTAACTGAATCGGTTACAATCTATTGTTTTTACAATCTACTGAATCGGTTACAATCTACTGAACCGGTTACAATCTACTGAACCGGTTACAATCTACTGAATCGGTTACAATCTACTTCAAAGGACTCTGATTCAAATCCGAATAGAAATCATTTCGATCGTTGAAACTCTCTTGTCGATTTGTTTCGAAAAAGGCAAAACTTTTTCCAAAAAAAGCTAAACAATAAACATGAAGAATCTCTCGATTTTTCTATTTCTCCATTTTTCTAATGGATGATGAATGGAATGAGGATGAGGCGGAAAATCGGAAAGAAAAACGGAAGGCACCGATTGGGTGAATGAAGAAAAGTCTTTTTCAGTGGAACATTCATTCAAGAAATTTTCACATTTTTAAGTTTACTTAAAGACTCTTGATTAGTTGATAAAAACAGGATTGTTTAAAGGATTGTTTAAGGGATTGTTTAAAGGATTCTCTATTTCATTTGTCTATTTCAAAGGATGTCTATTTCATTGCCTATTTCGAAGGCAGATCCTACCTTTGTCTAGCCTGTCTTTGCTGCAAATTTGACTTAAAAAGAATGAGCAGCCGAGCCTAAACCGTTCTAGCTTTAGCCTAGCATGAGTAGAGCGATGAATAAGATTGTTTTCCTTTTTGATATGCCTTCTGTTTTTTGATCGGGTAATTTTTGTAAATCTCTATGCAGTACTTGTGTCTTATTAGACTTTAGATTCTGTTTTCGGTTAGACTTTAGATTCGGTTAGACTTTAGATTCGGCTAGACTTTAGATTCGACTAGATTTTAGCTTTTCACTTAAAAGCCTACTTTGTAACCGTTTTTTAAAAGTTACTGTGATTATTGGGGTTTAAAAATTAAACTCAAAATCGTTTCGTTGAGAAAACTGAAGAATCCAGTGCGCTAGAAAGGATGCGTTTACAAGATTTGAAAGCATAAAGTTAGCAGAAGAGAGGCTCCAAAGAACGAAGGCACGTAAAACTTTTCACTTTTTAAGGAAAGCTAAGAATTTCTTTTTTTTAAAATCTTTTCCTTTGATTTATCTTTATGAAAGCTTTAGAAAAGAAAGTTGAAGAAGACATAAAGAAAAGTAAAAGAAGGAAAGAAAACTCGTTTAAATCACTCATTCATCACATTATCATTTTGTCGGCTCTTCCCCTTTTCATTCACTTGACCGCCTTTCCTTACCTTACCTTTCCTCTCCTCTCCTCTCCTCTCCTCTCCTCTCCTTTCCTCTCCTTTCCTCTCCCCTCCTTTCCTCTCCTTTCCTCTCCTCTCCTTTCCTCTCCTTTCCTCTCCTCCCTTTCCTCCCTTCCTTCCTCTCCTTTCCTCTCCTCTCCTTCCTCTCCTTCCTTTCCTCTCCTTTCCTCTCCTCTCCTTTCCTCTCCTTTCCTCTCCTCTCCTTTCCTCTCCTTTCCTTTCCTCTCCTTTCCTCTCCTTTCCCCCGGCCATTTCTTTGATGAAGTCCAAGAATTTTTGCTCATCTCATATCTAGGAAATGAGTTAAAGTTTTCTTTTTTGTTTTTTTTCTTTCAAAAACTTTGTAGGTAGAAAGGGAAAGCCAAAAAAAAAAAGTTAAAGCTTTCAAAGTAAATGTTGGAAGGCAGAATGGGGTTTTAAAAATTGATTTCCAAGATAAAAGCGATTTTTCTGACGTGTTGCAAGATCATTTATTTTTACAGTTTTTCTAATTTTCTAATTTTCTAATTCGTCATTTGGTTTTAAAAGGAACAAAAATTTCTTGAAATGTTAACTCCCAAATGAGAATCAAAATCAGCTCATTATCTTCAAAAAAAAAGTTTGAAAATTTTACACTACTCTCTAAATATTTCAAAAAAAAGAGGTAATTTTTTCAAAATTCATTTTTCATTTAATATAAAATTAAATATTTAAAGATTTTTATCGATTTTAAATAGATAGAAATCATTTTAAGAGAAATTTTTCGGTTTATAAGGTTTGCTTACATTTGTTGTACCTTCTGGCACGCAATTTTCAGCAGTACTTGTCTCATTAGTTACGGTAGATTTGATGAGATCTTAAATTCTGATTCAAAGCGAGTATTTTAGTCATAGCTATCGTTAACAATTCAACTTTTATTACCGTATTCTCTCTAATAGTAGTGCGCCGTAAGCTTTCCCTAAATTGCTTGAAATCTCGAGAACCGCTTATCAGAACCTATCGATGTGCGGTCGGAAAATGTAGCTGACGATGAGATCTAGTGGAGGATTTGAGTGTTGAGCTTCTGCGAAAGCTGGGAAACTGTAAAATAGTGACCAACTCGGCTTGCTGGGGTGCAGTACTATTAGAGAGAATACGGTAATGATTTGTACGATCAACAAACTCTAATCAATCTAAATCCCGTATTCTCTCTAATAGTAGTGCACCATGATTGTCGACTAAATTCCTCGAAATCTCGAAAATCGCTTATCAGAACCTATCGATGTAGCTGTAGCTGACGTAGCTGACATCAGCTGACGTATGTAGCTGACGATGAGATCTAGTGGGGGATTTGAGTGTTGAGCTTCTGCAAAAGCTTGGAAACCGTAAAATAGTCATCAACTCGGCTCTGCGGGGTGCAGTACTATTAGAGAAAATACGGTATTCACAATCATCTAACAATCATCTTTTTTTGTGACCCTTAGCCTAGTTTCCTCACCTTAAACGATCGGATTTCAACTCCTCATTGAGCTCTTTCTTTGCATTTTCCCGAAACGGAACGAATGAATTAATTTTTATGGAAAAAAAGGAGACTAATTCCATTTTGTTTCTTTTTTTTCTTTCATTCGAAAAGCGAGAGAAAATCTCGAGCGACTGATAGACGAAAAGAGGCAAATTTTACGGAAATTCTGCGCAATTTACTTGCTTTTTTTGTTGCGGAAACAAGTCATTTAAACATTTTTTTTAAAGAAAAGAAATCTAATCCAAATTTTCGATCATTTTTTTTTACTTCTTAAACTGAGCTAAGTGAAGCCGTTAGCTGAAATTTTGAAATTCTGAAATTCCTTTGCCTAAACAAATTTATGAGCATCCGATTTTTGAATCGATTTCTTTTTTCAACTTTTAATTGATCATAAATTTATTTAAATTTATTTAAGCTATAAACTTATCCCTGAAGAGTTCTCGGAAAAAAAATGAAGATGAATTTTTCGAGTGCGGTCGATGGAATCTCTTCTCGAAAGTTAATCCCCCAAAAAAGGGTTTCCCTTGGATCACCCAAATCCTCGACAACAAGTAGAAAAGGAAATCTCGAAAAAAGAAAGAAAAAAAACGCAAGAATTTGTGATTGGTGAGGAGAGAAATGTTCTCTTTTTTGAAGGGGGGCTTATCGGACTCTTCTGCCGCATTCAAATATATGAAAAGGAAGAGACAAATTGATCGGATAATGGGCCTCGGAAAGGGGCATTTCGGGTGGGGAAAATGAGTGGAATGAGTGAAGGAGAGAGGGGTCCTGTATCTTCCCTATTTTTTCATATTTCCGAACTTGCTTTCCTTTTTGATGACGATTCTTTCAAGCTCGATTTGAAATCTAGAACCCCAGGTTTGAGTTATGGGCTTTTCCAGGCGAGGATCAGGTAAAGATCACGCCAGTTCAGGCCAGGATGGGCCTAGTTCATGGCTGATCTTTGTTTAGCCCCAGCTCGCTTAAAGATGATTTTCTGGATCAGCTGAATCCTCATTTAGCTTTTACTTGTGCTTGGCTCTGATCCTGGGAAACTGTATCTAGCTTTTAGCTTGACTTAGCCTTGTTTCCCTCTGAAAACCTTTTGAACAATCTTGGTCCTGTTCTTGGCTTTTACTTTGATCCTAACACTGTAAATCCTGTATCTGACTTTGGCTTAGCCTAGCCCAATAAGATTCCCTTTTGTTTGAATAGCTCTACTAGTGACTTTGACTGACTCAAGCGGCAGGAGATCTTAATTTCTGAACTCTTGAGTATCCTAAGTAAAAGGTACTTTTCTTGAACTCTCTCCTAATAAGGCTCTGTTGAAATTCTGCACTTATTTCTTTATCTTTATCTTTCTGAAATCTTTTTTTCTTTTCTTTTCCAGGGTATTAACGGATCGGAGAGGTTTCCCCCGTTGATCCCATTGGACAAACGGCCATTTTTTTTTGTCTATATTATTGATCCGTCTATATTATTATTTTTCAACACTTCATGGTGTTTTTTGTGCTCTCAAAAATCAGAAACACACCCTTTCCGGTGTATCGAATTCTTCTTTTTTTGTTTCTTTTGATTCCAACTCATTACGATAAAAAAAAGATGAGAATTTCGGTGCGCCAAAGGGAGTGCATTTACAAGTTTCAGCTCAAAGTAAACAAGAATGAAGAGTACTTTGTGCTCAAAATGTGTAAACGCATCTTTTCTAGTGCAAGAAAGAAAGGAGTTTTTGTTTTCATTTTGACGATTTTCCTGATGATTTTTCTTAATTTTTTTCCCTTTCAGCCTATTTATGCCTCCGTGAAATCCGTGAAAAATCCTCCAACAAAACAAAAAAAAACAGCTGAGTTGCGAATCGATTCATTGAGTTGATCAAAAAAAAACGCGAAACACAACCACTCGACGATGATTCTATTGAGGAGAAAAAGTCGCGACGAGGAATGTTTCGCGAATAATGAGGCCAACGAAAAGGTATTCTTTGCTCAAATCTTCTTAAAGCAACCCTTCTCATCCAATCAATTCTTGATTTTCAAAAAAGAAATGAGAGAATCGAGCGCATCAGAATGGGTGTGTTTGCCTGTGGGCGTAAAGCAAATACCAGATAAATGTTACTATGTATTTTGAGCTTTCTAAATTGTAAACGCATCCCTTTTGGTGCACAGAGTTCTTCATTTTCTTTAAGGATTCAGTGCACCAGAAAGAATGTATTTACAAAACTGAGCACAAAGTCTAATAAAACCGAACTTAATTCCAGAAACGCGCAAAGGAGGAGAAAGAGAAAAAGAAGAAAAACGCGAAGAAAATGGTGTCGATGCCATTGCGGAAGAAAAGTCAAGAGCACAACAATAATGTGAAGGTTTGATTTTGAAAAGCTGGGCATCAGTTACCCAATCTAAGAGTAAGAAATCAGCCATTCGTTCTCAGTGTAGCGCCAAGTGGCATGCGTTTACTTTTATGGCATACATAGTATTAGGCGCGTGTTTTATGCTCTGCGTAAACGCTCAATTTATAGAATTTATAGTGTACTCACTGAGCTCAATTTATAGAATTTATAGCGTACTCACTGAGCTCATTCACAAATTTCCAATTTTTGTTTCAGTAAAGCTACAGGTGGCACATTGAGGATTGAGATTTTGTGCGTCATTTAAGAAATCAAATAGAGTTTTCAGGGGAAAGACGAATAGAATAGAATATGTTTTTCTTAAAAGAGAAAATTCTCGCTTTTCCCCGAAAAAGAAAAAGAAAAGAAATGCTGCATTTAAAATCCCCGAAACAATAGCACTGGAGAAGGCCGAAAATCGTCGAAACAGTTAAAAGAAAACAAATTTTTAGGTTCGTAAAATCTCCGCGACGACAACTGAAGATGGGAGAAGGAGAGAGAAATGTGAGGAGAGGAAAGAAATCAAAGAAGAAAAGGAGAAAAGAGAGAGGAATGGAGGCAGGAGTGCTGAGGGGAGTCCGGGCAGGAAGACCAGTGACAGGTTCGGGTTCCCGGCTGCACTCAGGAGTCCGGCTGCCATTTTGAGGTGGGAAAGGGTTTAGTCTTCGTTCACTCATTTGCTTTTTTCATTGCCACGGGATTCAACAGGGATTCAACAGAGATTTAGGGTTTAATCAAGGTCCAACTCTGACTCCTGGTATCTGACTTGAAGACTTGAAAACTAGGCTTGAACTGTTATTGAAAATTTTTGTTCCTACTGGATTACAGAATTCAAAGCAAATTGCTATATTGCTAAGCTTTTTCTATGAATCTATTCTATTATAAATCTAATATATGAATGATACAAGAATAGAGCTTTTCATCAATTACATCTCTCATGAAATCGAATGTAAAAGTGAAATTTTTGATTTCTCTAAGCTAAATCCATCTTTTTTTTTCAAAATTCTTTTTGAAATCTCTAAAGAACAATAAATTTCCCTCAAAATATTCTACAATTTGTTTTTTTTATCAGAAATTTTCAATTCTAATTCGATTTCCAAGCTCTAACCCCCAGATTTTATTTGCACAACAATTTAGAAGTCGATCAGTCATGTCAATCAAATGGATTCAACATTTCAACAGCTTTTTCTTGAATTTCAAATCCGTTTCATTTACCCAATTCACTGAAAGATTCAAGAAAAAGCTGTTGAAATGTTGAATCCATTTGATTGAACGACTGATAATCGACTTCTAAATTGTTGTGCAAAGAAAAGCTGCATAAGTCTTTAATCTTTAAATACAATTGTGTTTTACCTTTCAAATTTGCAGGCGCAAGAAGAAACCGTTAGGCCCGAGTCTCAGCTGGGATCCGGATCGTGTGCGAGAGAAGGGGAAAACCGCAAGTCCCGCAGCTCCAGAGCAGAGGTGAAAAATAACATTAACTCTTGTCACTTAAAGTCTTGGAGAAGGAGATTTAAACGTTCATAACTTTGTTTAGAGACAATATTATTGTTAGCTTTTTATATTGTTTTAAAGAGAACAGAAACGTGAGACTTTAGAATGATAGTAAATGTTGCTTGGTTGAATTCTTCAGTTTTATAAAAAGCAAAGCCAACTTAGCCTTTTAAAAACTATATCCAATAAAGTCTATTCACTTAATATTTTCAAAAGAAAACGTCATCAAATTGATTTTTGTGTAGAAAGGATTAGTGGAGAGAAGCCTTCTCAAGGTATTCAGATAAAAGAAAGCGCATAGGAAAAGGGACAAAATATATGGACAAAATTGATTCAACTTCTAAATCTATCTGAAATTATCCGACATCACAGTCACTTTAGACGATTTGCCAAATGATTGACCATCTCTTAGCTTGACTTTTCCTCTGATAACTTGACTGTTTGATAAGTAATCAATTTATGATCATCAGATCTAATTCTATCCAATTTCCTAGTTTATATTTCAATTTCTCCAGTTAACCATATATATTCGAGATCACGAATCCACTCAGACGGCTCCGAGGCCGAAGCGGAGAACTCTGATCCCGACGAGGGACGCAGTGAGCTTGAGGTCAGTACTAGATAAGCTTTTATTCTATTAGGTTGGAAAGAAAGTTCTCAAGAAAAAGTTTGACTGAAATTTCTTAAAAAACACGATTTGTACATGTCGCCCGAGTGAAAGAGTTGAATTCCTAAAGAACAAAGCTGTAGGAAAAGATTTCGAACTGATCTTAATGATCTAGAGCAAAAGGATCAATTCTAGACAAAATTTTAGTTAACCTAGCTTCATAAAGTTAACTTTAGTTAACCTATCTTCATAAAGTCAACATCTTTCCTCAAAATCATATTTATTCGATTGGAAAGAAAGTTCTCAAGAAAAAGTTTGACTAGAATTTCTTCAAAAACGAATCCACCAATTCGAGAATATTTTATTCGATTACTTACATAAGTGGACTCTTCAATAAAATGACTCGTAAAAAGAAATGAGTCCAGCTTTCCCTTAAAATTCTTATTTTCCAGCTTAAATTCAGATCACTTTTTTCACGAGAAAAACGATTCTTGATGAGGTAAAGGTAGCATAAATCAGCAATCCACTCTATAATCTCTATTTTTTAGCCAAAAATTTCTTTACAGAGAAGCTGCATTTCAAAAAAATCATTTTTTTTAGTGTCATCTTCTGAGTGTTTAGCTAAAATAGGTGATTCTGAAAAGTTAAAAAGCATTAAATAAAATTTGCCTTTATCACAAATTTTCCCTATTTTAAGTAATTGATTTTAGATTTTGAATGGACTCATTGCCTATTCATTAACCCATTAAAAACTTGTCAAGGTTGGCCACAAAAAGTGACCAGTGACCCGGGCCCGCAAGGAAGCCAATTGAAGAGGGTTGCTCATATACTTAACTTTATTTTTTCATAATATAATGCTCAGAGTTTGGCTAAAAGATACATAAAACTACGTTAACGAGCATGTTTTTTTTCATAAACTTGGTCACTTAAAAAGTGATCAAGTCACTTCAGCTGAGGAAATCTCTTATTTTTTTTTACCTGAAACCCCCTGATTTTTTGTCAAATTTTGATAGTCAGTTTCCAAAAAGAATTGTGGCTTGGTTTTTGGAGATCACCGTGCACTTTTTCACGAACTTTTTTCACCTAATATAATGGCTATATCTTTGGAGATCAATCTGTACATTTGACACTTGTTAACTTTGATAGATATAAATAATAACGAGTAACAGAAGTAACACCTAAAGAAGCTTTAAAGGAAAGTGTCAAGCTCTTTCAATCTCAAATTCCAGCAAGTGTGTCCACATTGTGCCCTGCTGGCCGACTACAAGAAAAAGTTGTTAAAGACGGAGATTGGTGAGTGACAAGATAGTTAAAAATGGAAACGATATTTTTCAGAAACGGCTGTGATGCGTTTAGCGCGAAGACTCGGCTCGACCACTGGGAGAACCTGGGTCAGAGGAGAGCAAATGACGAGAAGGTTCAGTGTTTGATTTACTTTGTAAACACACACCTTCTGGTGCACTTGAATCATTACTAAATTCATTAATAATTATCGAATTTAGCATAAAAATCGAGGCCCCAGACATCGTGGTCTCGTCGATTTCTTCAGACGAAGAGGACGCAACAAACGAGACGACGGGCAGCGAGGGACACTTTAGCTCACTGCAAACGAGTGAAGCCAGGTTGTACTTTGTCATTCTATAAACGCACCCTATCTGGCATTCTTTGAGTTAATTCTTCTTTTCAGTTCCCCTTGTTCCTCGAATTCTCCATCGCCGCAAATTACTCGAAACGAGAATGACGTCACTTTTGACTCGTCGGCTGGCACCGAGGAATCTGTTGATAGTCTGTTGTTGAGGTTAGGGAAAACTTGAATTTATGAATGCATTTAATTAAGAAGATTTTTGGTATTATTTCTATTTTTTTCAATTCCAGACAACACGGTCTCCAGCTTCGACCCCCGAAATTCCTCTCCCCATATCCCGACTCGAACTCACCACCCCGAAGCAACAGTGTCGATTTGTCGACGTTGAGGTTGCTCATTTGTCTATGTTAATGGGGATCTAACATTCCAAGGAATCAACTTTGAAACTAGTCTTTAGCTTTAGTACTGCCTTGACAATCTTAGTAATAAAGTAAAGAAATGAATGGTAACTTGGAACCGAGGGGAATTAAACCATCGACCTTCTGCATACCGGGCAGATGCTCTACCACTGAGTTATCGCCTTTTTTGCCCAAGAAGAAATAGGAAAGACAAGGCAGAGAAAGCAAAGAAAGAAAGAGAAAGGAATACCCGGGTCTTCAGAACTGTGAGCTTCCGTTCTACTTGAAAATCAGACTAGAGGCATTAGTAATAAAGTACAATTGGCCGAATACTGCCGGGCAAAGGCAGCTGCCCAGCTCGGTAAGATCAGCGGGGTAATGCTGAATTCGATTTTTCCCCGTTAATAGAGAATCTATAGAATTTTCAGACGAGACATCGAGCTACTCTCAATCTCATCGGGCGACTCGGAGGGTGACTCTTCGTCGGGTGAGTTTCAGTTGAAAGTTAGGGATTCAGAATGGCTCAGAAACTCTGTAAACGTTTACTTTCTGATGCAGTTGTTTTCTTGTTTTCTTGAAACAATACGGAAATGGTGAGGTTTTCTCTTTCAAGTCACACTGAAGAACGAACAACTTTGAAAGATTGATATTGAATTTTCGTTGAATCCTGTTAGCTTACCGTTTTTAGTTGAGTCCAATCGAATTCCCGATTAGTACAGCAAATAATATTATAATATTATAATACATAAGGAATGCAGTGCTTAAAACTAGAATCGTTTTCTTAAACCGTTTGACCACTAGAATCTAGAATTAATTAGTTTCAGAAGCGTCGACAAGGCTCACTTTAAAGTTCATGGTTTTAAGCTAAATTTTAGCAAAAATGATGCTTGTTTTCTCGCCTTTACTTCTTTATTCTTCCCGTTTTTAGTTGAATCCAGTCGAATTCCCGATTAGTTCAGCGAATAATATTATAATATTATAATATTATAATATAATATAATACATAAATCTGACAAAAGGCCAAAACAAACGGCCAAAAGAAAATCTCGTTGAATATAACAGAAAAGTCGACTTTTCTAGAATTCGATCCACCCACCCCAGCCGATTCAATTCGAACGTTTCGTAGTCGATCTCATGATCCAGCTCCTTCACCTGAGAATCTCTTAAGGCGACCGTCTCGTATCGAACATCTCAGCGAATTGTTCAGGTTTGGCAAAAATTTTGATGCACAACGGTGAGTTTTGAACAAAAATCGAATAAAAGAAAATGAAAGATTGCCTCAAAAAAGGCAAAAATCGGTACACAGTGCAAGCCAAAACCTCTAAAAGTTGTCGTAAAAATTTTGTTTACTTTATTTTCTTTCTTATAATTTTCAATTTTCTTCTTTTAGAAAAGCTCTTGCGAAATCGCCGGTGGTACGGCGAACAGCCGAGCACGAGCATCGAACGGTCAACAAACACAGGACGAGTCGATATTGGTTTGATGAACAGGTCAGTCACTAATTGTTATTCAGACCTGGCTCTGGCTTGTCACTGGTCATGTCACTCTGGTCGTGTCAGATCTCTGATAACCAGCTCTGACATGGTCCGGCCAGAAGCCAGATCTGGTTATCAGAGATCTGACTTCATGGTCATGATATGACTGGATACAGACACAATGACCGACAAGCCTAGCTAAGCCTAGCTTGACCAGGGTTCTGGCTAGGTCTTGGTTTAGCTTTTTTTGGGCTAGCTTTTGATCGGATCAGACTGACAGACCCTGGAACTTCTATGATCGAATCTATGACTTCTATGACTAAATAAGTTTCGTTAGAAATATTAGTTTAGAGAAGTTTCAGTAGTAGATTAATGTCTCTATAGTCAAGCGTGGCTTTTAGTCGATCTAGACTCATTCAGTCAATCAGTCTCTACAGTCAACGCCTTAAACCGTGACTTTTAGTCGATCTAGACTCAGGGTTCTCGGGTGTACTTTGTGCTCAAAATCTATTGCCGCAAATTTTCAGGCCACAAATTCGCCGCTAAAATCGGTATATCGTCGTTTCCGACATTCAGAAATCGACTCAAGAAAAGTGAAGAAAAATGAGGATTTGAGTGCGCCAGAGAGGGTGTGTTTACACAGAATTGAGCACAAAGTACACCATAAAGAAAGATGATTAAAGTTTAAAGAGATATTATGGCTTATACTTTACTCATTTAGATCCTCCCCGCCGAACACATTTGGTTGCCATCGTCGGGGCCGGGCAGTAGCGCCAGTGCTGACAACGATTGCTATTTGGGGGATAAAGGTCAGTGTTTTCTAAAAGGTGCTTATTCTAAACGAAGTACCGTATTCAAACAGCTAGTCAATAGCTTTCTGAATTCATCTAAAAGTTTAAACAAAAATTTCACTTGGTAGACTCAATAAAATTCAGCTGATTTCATTTTTATTGTGTCTACTCGCCGATATTTTTATTGAGAATCGGTCCCCTTCTTTAATAAAAGGCAAAATATGGTTATTTATAAGGAAATAGGCCACTGGGGTTATTACAGTACCCTTAAAATTGACACTACATTGACAAATTTCAGGCGGTTGCGAGAAAAGCGGTGAGAAACGTCGCTGCGCCGCGTGCCATATCGTTGCCCATACCGCGTGTTTCCCGATTCTGGCCAAGGTATCGTAAACAATAATAAATGTCTTTAAAACAAGATATTCAGTTGAATCTCAATTGTAAGCTCACTTTCCGGGATCACGGCCGAAAGCACAACACGAAAGATCTCGTCGACGGGCTTGTCATGCATCACTGGGTGCACAAGTGGAGACACGAGGGACGGTGAGTTTTGGATTACAGGTTACAGGGTGACTCGGATACTTTATTGCTTCGATACTTTGATATAGAAGTATCTATGTAAGCAGGAAATGGTTTTAAACATAATTTGACAGCCCTGATCTAATGCTGTCCTTTTTCGGTCAACTAAACAAGCAGGCGATGCCCGAATTTCGAGCTTGACCTGTTCTCAGTATTACTTATTTTTTTGAAATTTCATAGACATTAATATATTTACAAGTAAACTTTAGATTTTTAAAATTAAAGTAATCGATAGAATATTGGCTTTAAAAAGACATTTCAGATGTAAAGGTTGTGGGAAAAGCTTTCAGCAGAAGATCTTTTTTCATCAAAAAGAGAAGGTTTGATTGAATAAAATTGACTAGGTTATTGTATTGGTTAAATGAAGAATATCTATAATTATCTAAATTTTCTTCTAGGAACCCGTGGCTGTCTCGTGTTCATGGTGCAAAGAGTCGTATCACATCAAGAATTGCTTTGACACCGAGAAATTGGCTGAAAAATGCGATCGGGGTTGGTTTAAAGAGAAATCTGGATTGGTTTAAAGAGAAATCGGGCTATACATTGAAATAGTGAACGATCGGCGTCTCAGTGAGATAATTTGCCTTTATGAGTGGCCAGACTAGGTCAGACTTGAGGCCAGACTTGAGGCTTAAGAATAGGCAATTGGGTGTACTTTGTGCTCAGGTGTAAACTTATCCTTTCTGGCACACGGGGTTCTGAGATGTTCATTTTCCCCAGGCACCTTATTTCCTTCTCTTTCTTCCTTTCTCTTCCCCTTGTATAACCTTTTTCTTCTTTGACAAGCAAATACCGGATAGCTCAATCGTTAGAGCATCTATCTCCAAAGCAAAAAAGCCTAGCTCGGTCCCCTTGCCTGAAACCTTGCTTTACCATCCTTCTTTTCTTGATGCAAGATTCATCTTCAGGTTGTCTCCACGATGTGATCATCCCACCCGGGTGGATTCTCCGATTGCCAAATCGAAAGAGAAACAAACATCGCAACAAGGCCAACGGAAAACGGGTAAATATAAAACCAGTTGCTTTGCTTTGCTTTGCTTTGCTTTGCTAAAATTAGCATCCGAAAGCTCTGATTTCCCTCCAAAACTCCGATTGGTTCATTTATTTTCAGAAATTTGTATATTTTTTATCAAAAATATAAGTATTTAAAAAATTAGACGACTTTCCCGGTTATCCCTAGATAAATGATTTACGATGAAAGATGAAAGCAAACGCTGTTGCTGAAGCGGAAACGTAAAAAGACACACAAAGCGATAGACAATTTTTTTTTCAAAAACTATAATATTCTATATACAAATTTGATGAGTCTTTTTATTCATTAAAAAGGACTCTTAATTGCCGATTTCAGTCAATCCGCTCATTCATCGCAAAACCGATGGACGTGCATGCCGGTGGTCCCTCTCAGCCACTCGTCGTTTTCGTTAATCCAAAATCCGGCGGGAATAAGGGATCAAAGGTTCGATTTCAAATATTATGATTATCTTTTACTTATAAATACAAATTTTCGGCTTTACACACGTTGTGTTGGCTGCTAAACCCGCGGCAAGTCTTCGACATCACCAGTTTGAAGGGACCGAAATTTGGGTTGGTTTGAGTTGAGGAAAAAGTCTAACAGTGCATTTCAATACCCTGAACAGGCTGTTGATAGCTTAAATTCTTTCAGGCTGGAGGTGTATCGAAAGGTGGCCACCCAGTTGCGGCTGCTTGTTTGTGGCGGAGACGGCACGGTTGGTTGGGTGCTGCAGACGCTTGATCAGGTGGATTGACTGGAAAATTGAGTACCGTATTCTCTCTAATAGTAGTGCACCCCGCAGAGCTGAGTTGATGACTATTTTACGGTTTCCAAGCTTTTGCAGAAGCTCAACACTCAAATCCCCCACTAGATCTCATCGTCAGCTACATTTTCCGACCTCACATCGATAGGCTCTGATAAGCGCTTTTCGAGATTTCGAGCAATTTAGGCAACGCTTAGGGTGTACTACTATTAGAGAGAATACGGTAATTGTCTATTATATTATCTTATTTTATGGAGTAGATCTTGATCAAAGCAAAGCTTTTCAGCTAAACTGGGCCACCTATCCACCGATGGCGTTGCTCCCGTTGGGCACCGGAAACGATCTTTCCAGGTGAAATCTATTCAAAAATATCTTCTAAACTCAAAAAATCTAAGTAAAAGAAAACAAGACAGGCATTGTATGCAAATTTGATATGCAAATCTCCGGGTTTGAAAGGCTTTGAAAGGCTTAGGCTTAGGCGTAGGCTTGGACTTAGTGCGAAGGCTAGCGGCTAGCGCCTAGCACTAAGTCTATTTGGGTTTGGGCTGAACCCCCATTTTTTGGATCTCAGCGAGTTCTCGGAGCTAAGGCACACCCGTTTGGTGTTGTGCTTGCGCCCCCCATAGGAGCATCCTGACATTAGGCTTAGGCTTAGGCTTAGGCTTAGGCTTTGAAAAGCTTTGAAAGGCTTTGAAAGGCTTTGAAAGGCTTTGAAAGGCTTTGAAAGGCTTTGAAAGGCTTTGAAAGGCTTTGAAAGGCTCACCGAGCTTTCGTTCAGCTTTCGTTCTGTTTTCACCAGATCGAGATATCGAAAATTACTGATTAGAAGAGCGCTTTTTGTATAAATAAATAGCTAATAGGTTACGTGCTTAGATTTTTATTCTAAAATATAGATAAATGAAATTTTAGATGTATGGGTTGGGGTGGCTCGTTCTCGGATGAGCCCCTCTCGCAACTCCTACAAGCGATCCTCCACGAGAGCTCGATCACGCATTTAGATCGGTACCATTTTACACATTCAATTAAATAAGACTAAGCATTTTCAAATTATCTATTTTTAGTCAGCTTTATATCTGTAATCTTTTATGCACTTTAGCTGGCGAATCGACGTTGAACCGAATCTCTCAACGCCGCTGGAATCTCTGGATGAGATGGGTGAGTCGATTAAAACTATTGTAGTGCTAGAATTATATTTATATTATTTCTAATATGATTTCGATTTTGAGGAGAAGCCGTTCAATCATCCCTTCCATTGACGGTCATGAATAACTACTTCAGTATCGGTGCTGATGCCCACGTTGCTCTTCAATTTCATCACTCAAGAAGTATACTTTTCTGCTATACGAAATTCTTTTATGAAATCAAAAAGACCGAATTTCTAGGTGCCAATCCATCAATGCTAAACAGTCGACTGAAAAATCGAATCGCTTACGGTGGCCTGGGCACAATTGATCTTTTCAAGAGGAGTTGGAAAGATCTCAGTGAATATGTGCGATTGGAGTGTGATGGGATTGATTTGACGCCAAAGTTGAAAGAGTTGAAGCTACACTGTGTCCTCTTTCACAATATCACGTATTATGCTGGAGGTCGAATCATCTTTCATTTCTTTTGATTTCTTTAAGGACATTCAGAACCGTAATGATATAGTAATCAAATAATAAAGACCAAATAATAAAGATCAAATAACAAAGTCCAAATAATAAAGATCAAATAACAAACCAAGCAAGCTTATCATGAAACTCTGACCCTAACTATAATAGGCCATATTTGTATCTTGAGACTTGATCCTCTTTTAGGAACTGTCCCCTGGCCAGCCGACGATGAATCTCCTCGTCCATCGTCTTGTGACGGGAAAATCGAGGTTCTCGGCTTTACCACAGCCACTTTGGTGAGTAAGAACACCACCAGATTTGGTAGTTTTGTGTAAAATAGATAACGTAGAGTTAAGTTATTTTGAATTCAAGTTTGATTCATTTCCAGGCGGCTCTCCAAATGGGCGGCAAGGGTGAACGACTTGCACAGTGTTCGTCGGTTCGAGTCATCACCACAAAGGCAATTCCGATGCAGGTGCCGTTGTTGACGCTATAGAATGATACATGATAGCTTATGCTTGTAAGGCTTGCATGAGTCAGAGCCAGCTTAGGTCAGAAGCTGAGGTTTGGCTTTGTTTTTAGGCCAAGTCACTAAACTTGGTCTGGGCAGAGTCTGCGCTAGGGGAAGCCAACTCTTGTTGCTTTTGAGAAACATTGATAGCTTCAGCTTCAGAACGAAGAACACTATTCCTAGTATTGTTGTTCTACGCACAACCATTTTTCTATAGTATCTTTATCCAATCGAAACCTAATAAAAGTCATTTATACCTATATTTTTCTCTTATCTTTACTAAACTAAAGAGATTTACATATATCTTTTTTTTTTGGTTGACTGGGTAAAAGTGTAGAAGTACTCATTTTTTGTCTCTCAGGTTGACGGAGAACCGTGTATGCTCGCGCCGAGCAGTATCAATCTGCAATTTCATAGCAAAGTGAGTGTTGCTTACAATTCAAAATGTTCAGTAACGATTTTAAAGTTTCATTTTTTCAGGTGCCAATGCTACGTCGCGAGAAGAAAGTCGTTTGCTCACCATCGCTGAGGAAAGGTCAGCAAAAAAAACCCGTTACTCAATATTGTGACCCAAAAGGGAAATAGGTCACAAAGTGTTACAGGTCCAAAATGGAGCCGCTCATCCGAAGTCTCCTATCCATCGACTTCTCTAATCATGCAATTGCCGGTGATTGTTGTGGGGAGACATGACTATGACACGTATAAAGATGCGATCGAACGACTCAAAGATACCGGTTTGTTGCTGAGAAATGATATTGGTTTCTAAGGTTCTAAGGAAATAAAGTACTGTATAATGGGATTACCGGTGATTGTTGTGGATCTGTTGTTGTGGATCTGTTGTTGTGGATCTGTTGTTGTGGATCTGTGGACCCAAGAAATTGATCTATTTAGCTTTCGAGATTGGCATGATTTCGATCGAAGCCGAAACGGATATCATTCAGGTAGGGAAAACAAGTTCATAAATTAGCCCAGTGCCTCAGGATTGATTTGGGTAAATGAAGTGGTTGAAAAGTGATTTCCAGGCTCGTCAACACATTCACAAGCTACTCAATGATCATCCCTGTTTACCGTACGAGCACACAAACGAGTGGAGATTTCTTGATTGTGAGTTTGAAAGTGAAAAGGCTCGATCATGGGCGAGTTACAGTAACTCAATAGTTAGCTTCTAGTTGATTAACATGATCTTCTAACATCTTCGATTTTAGATGTGACAAACGCCGAAGAGGGCACATTTCGGGTGTCTCGACACGCTGAGTACGCGCAATCCGTATCGGATATTTGCAATCCGGATGAATGTCTGATGATTCTCGATGACGCTTTCCCGTCGATCACTTCAAGAGGCGCGGCTATCGGTTTGTAGCTTTAAAAAGTGAAAAAGAAAATTCTTGTAAGATTAATGCAATATCGAGATTCAGCAAAATTCAAAATTCAAAATTCAGCAACGGATCTCGTCTTCTCACCGAAAATGCCCCAGCAGAGTGGCTACAATTCAACCGTTTTGCAAAAGTGTGTTTCTTCAGAATATTGCTTTAAATTTTAGCTTAACTTCTTAACTTTTGCTAAAGCTTTCTGATGGTAGCTTTTTGGCACTAGTCTAAGTACTAGGCCTTGCTTTCCATTCCAAGAACATTCCAAGAACATTCCAAGAGTCGACGACCAGCAAGACCAGCAAGACTAGGACTTTGGCATGAATTTTGTAGAGTTCAACTCTTGTTTTAAGAAGTCTTGTTTAAAAAGTCTTGTTTAAAGTGAAAATCTGTAAATCTGATTTGCCCTTTAGACAATCGTCAATCGGCTCTTCACCCGTCACCTCATCACAGCCAATAATGGGTCAACCGCGTCGCGCCTCGTCGCGTCGAATCTCGGAAACGCTGCGCATCGTTTTAAGCAGTGATGCCAAAGAGACACATCTATAAATTTGCATATTGAAATCGTTAAAACTTCTTTTCTACAGTCATTTTCCTTCCCGGTTTTGTTGCCCATTTTTTTTTTTGGGATATACAGTTTTTTTTTGTAGTCACAGGATTACGGTAAAAAGCTCATTTTTAAAGTTTTAAAAAAAATGGATTCATCCCGTTTGAATATTAATTAATATTAATATTAATATTAATTTGAATGATTCATCCCTTCTTAGATGCATTCACTTTTTGTGTGTTTCTTTTTTTACTTTAATATTTGAGTAAAAGCTTTGAGAGGTTTACAAAGAACAGTGATGTGATGAGTGAGAGACAAACAGACAGAGAGGGCAGCTCTGATCCGTCTCTCGTATGGCTAGGCCAACGCCAGGCAATAGGTCGAGCAATTTATGCCTCGCTAGGCCAGGCCTGGCTAAGATATAGATCTGGCTTCTGCTGCTGCTTTGTGTAGGTTAATAGGTTGTGCAGGCTCTTGTCAATCCAGCCAAAGCTGTATGTTTTGTGTACCAGACCGTAAGACTGGGTTAGACTTGACTCTGGCATAGGTCAAGCTAGGCTTTGACGCAGGTCAAGCTAGACTCTGGCATAGGTCAAGCTAGGCTTTGACGCAGGTCAAGCTAGACTCTGGCATAGGTCAAGCTAGACTCTGGCATAGGTCAAGCTAGGCTTTGACACAGGTTTGGGGCGGTACAGGTCAGGTCAGGTCAGGGTACAGACCTGGTATTACTGATGACCCAGGTACTTTGTATGGATCAAACCTATAGCAAACTCAGGTAAGGCCAAGGTAAGGCAAGAACTAGGCACGACTTGTCTTCTGGTCAGCTTGGTGACTTTGTAAAAGAAGCCAAGTCAAGCAGACTCAAAACCATGAACCTAGCCGGATTCTGGTCAGTACCAAAGAAGAAAACAAGCTGCAGTACGAAAACGGAGAAAACATTAAACAAAATCATTAAAAGGCAATTCTCAAAATCTATGCAAATTTCCTAGAGAACCCGTTTCCCTTTCCAATATGATAAGAGCAAAAGATGGTGGAAAAAAGAGAAAAAGAAAAAGAAACAAGCTTGCAGAAGGAAATCAAATGAAGAGAAATGAAGAGAAATGAAGAGAAATGAAGAAGTGGAAGAGAAAAATGATCGGAAGAGAAAAATGACCGGAAAGAGAACGGTGATTTCGATTTTTCGAGCATAGAAAGATCAAAATTTTGCATATATCTTGTGTAAAATGTCTTCATTTTTCAAATTCCTCTTCTCCTTTGTGGCCATTTTTATATTGGGCAGTTTATCGGTGATGTTATTAACAAGAGATCAACAATCATTGCACAGAGACCAAGCCAGATGTCGATATTGCAATGTGGGTTTGAGTTTTGAAGATAAGATTTTGAAGATAAGATTTTGAAATTCATCCGAATTTCGGTAATTGAAATTGAAATCAACTTTCAGGGAGTTCTAGCGCTGACACTGGAGACACAGAGAAATCTGAGTGATCCCGAGCAACTTTTTGACTCAAAGTTCATGGAGAGTCGAGTGGGCGAAGAGTTTTGTTTAAACGTTCCGATGAATGAAGAAAGTCGGCATTTAGTGAGTGAAGGATTCAAATTAATTCATTTAGCTTTTAAAAAAGCGCTACCAAATAAGAATTGTCGGAAACCGGATTCCTGATAAACTTGATTTTTCTTAAAGCTTTAAAGATTGCATTGTTCTTTCAGTTTGAGCTGTTTGTTTAACGAAAACCCTCAAAAAACGGAAGTTTTGTGTTCTCTGTGCATTCGGAAATTATTCTGTCAATTGATCATTGTGATGACGTCATGGCGATCCGCGAAACCCTGCGTTCAATTTTACAGCTCAATGGTCAATTTTTCCTTTTTTGTATGATCAAGGTGAGCAAAAGTCTTTTCATTTTTTTCGTACTTCCGTTAAAAAGTAACAAATGCACCAATTGAACAACGGTTTATTGCATTTGAAAGGCCAATTATTTTTCTGCAAAATGACATTAAAACGAGTTTAAAATGTCTTATGTCTAGATTTTTTTGAGAGCCTGAAGTCGGGTAGTCAAAAAAGGCGACGGCTCGATGATGCATTTTAGACGCTTTAGCTAAGGAAACCAATCTTGATGTTAATAAATAAAAGATAGAGTACAAAAAGTTAGATATTTTTTCAGATTTTCAGAGAAATTGATTCAGCCAATTTCTTTATAGAGGTTTTTATAGATTTTTATGAAAAACCCGTTTTCACTCTCGAATTTGCTTGAAAGTGAACCCAAATTGACTTAAAAAGATGGGAAATTGAACAATAAACACTTTTCATTTAGAGCAAACCATAGGTTAATTGATGACTTTGTTATTTTTCAAGAAGCGAAAAATGAAAAAGACTTTTGCATCAACCTAATACAATCCAGAACGAAATTCGCTTGGTAAAAAAATGTCGAGGTGTTCTTTGTGCGCGCTCGTAATCGGTCTCCATCTGGCAAAGGGCTCTGAGGTAGGCTGCTCTTATGGGTAGGGTGGCCGCTGCTTCCCTGAAAGGACGTTTAGCGCTGAGCCAGCTTCGCTGTTTTCCCCATCCCGAAATTCTTGGGATAGTCATGGGGAAAACAGCGAAGCTGATTTTTGTTTTGAATTTTTTGCGAAGCGAAGCTTTTGAAAGATTTTTGTTTTGAATTTTTTTATATCTGTAAACAATTTTTGAAAGTACAGAGAAGACAAAACTTCCGTCGTTTGTCAGTAGACTCAAACCCCAACGATTTAAACTTTTTCTAGGTTACCAGTAAATAAAGAATTTATGAACTGTAAATAAAGAAACTAGAGTATCACTAAAATAAGCCAAATCATTAACTCGCTTCTGAGACTGCGGGCAGTCCGGCTTTTAAAACAATCTTTTGCCATTCAACAATCTTGACATTGACTCTGTTATTAAACCTAAAAGCAGCTTAGTATTAGCAATCTAGGTGATACAAATTGTGATCTCCAGAACAATTGTGATGATCATCCAGAAGCCGATAATATAATAAAGCCTAGACATTGTAAATGGCACTAGAGCTGACGCTGAAAAGAATTATCAAATGCACGAATGCAAATCTGATAATGGAGTTCGTGCTTGACTATTATAGACTTTCTTTAACGGTATTTAACTTTAAGTTTAGAGCTTTCTATAATATTAAAACTCTAGAAATTGTTTGAATTCTAATCCCTAATTCATTTGTTTTTTTCAACTTTTAAGAAATCTTTCGCATTGATCAAATTTGATTTTATTTGTATGACACTTTCTTTCAGCAACACAAATGCTTGGGCGTTGTGCTCGAGTTGTTAACGGAGAGGATGTTGCGAATGTTATGGGAACTCCGGGATGATCCATCAAAAGATAAAGCGTATCTCTGCGAAATGTGGTGGCCCGATTTGAAGTGTGAATTTGAATAAATAAACTTTAAAAAATTGGACTTGACATGGACAAACTTTAAAACTTTAAACAGGGACAAACTTTAAAAAATTGGACTGGACTTAACATTGCTTTTATCCGAGAAAAGTTCAAATAATATTAGGTTGAAAAAAAAGTTCGTAGAATTTTCGTCTTTAACAACTTTTTCTTGTAGTCGGCCAGCAGCGCACAATGTGGACACACTTGCTGGAATTTGAGATTGAAAGAGCTTGACACTTTCCTTTAAAGCTTCTTTAGGTGTTACTTCTGTTACTCGTTATTATTTATATCTATCAAAGTTAACAAGTGTCAAATGTACAGATTGAGATTTCAGATCCAAAGATATAGCCATTATATTAGGTTGGAAAGAAAGTTCGTAGAAAAAGTTTGCACGGTTTTTTTTCAAAAACCAAGCCATCAATTCTTTCCAGATTTTTTGAGAAACTTGACTATATTTCAAAAAGTTTTTGACAAAAAAGAAATCAGAGTGGGTTTCAGGTAAAAAAAATAAGAGATTTCCTCAGCTGAAGTGACTTGGTCACTTTTTAAGTGACCAACCTTTAGACAAGTTTTTAATAGGTTAATGAATAGGCAATGAGTCGATTCAAAATCTAAAATCAATTACTTAAAATAGGGAAAGTTTGTGATAAAGGCAAATTTTATTTAATTAATTTAATTAACTTTTCAGAATCACCTATTTTAGCTAAACACTCAGAAGATGACGCTAAAAAAAATGGTTTTTTTAAAATACAGCTCCTCTGGAAAATAATTTTTGGTCAAAAATAGAGATTATAGAGTGGATTGCTGATTTATGCTACCTTTATCTCATCAAGAATCGTTTTTCTCGTGCAAAAAGTGATCTGAATTTAAGCTGGAAAATAAGAATTTTAAGGGAAAGCTGGACTCATTTCTTTTTACGAGTCATTTTATTGAAGTCCACTTGTAAGTAATCGAATAAAATATTCTCGATTGGTGGATTCGTTTTTGAAGAAATTCTAGTCAAACTTTTTTCTTCTTAACTTTTCAGAATCACCTATTTTAGCAAACACTCAGTGCCAAGAAGATGGCATCGAAAAATTCTTTTTTTAAAATACAGCTTCTCTATAAAAATTTTTTGGCCAAAAATAGAGATTATAGAGTGGATTGCTGATTTATGCTAGCTTTACCTCATAAGGAATCGTCTTTCTCGTGCAAAAAGTAAGCTGAATTTAATCTCTAAATTTTAAGGGAAAGCTGCACTCATTTTTTTACGAGTAATTTCTTGGAGTCGACTTTTTTTTCTTGAATTGGTGGATTCGTTTTTAAGAAATTTCAGTAAACTCAGTAAACTAAAGTAAAGTAATTTCAGTTTCCGAGAACTTTCCAACCTAATATAAATCAAAAAAGATTAAAAAAAATATCAAATTAAGCAATTTAAAAAAAATTTACTCCCGGAGAAAAAAAAAGAGGAAAACCAACGTCCCTTTTTTTTTTGGGTGGCGAGAAAAAAAAAAAAAGCAATTTAACACGTGGTCCGGTTTTTGGCTTTTTTTCGCGAAAATGGCAGTTTTTTTTCAAACTTTTCGCTTTTCTGGGTGTTTTAATACTACTTCCTTATTAAATATCAAAAAAAGAAAAAAAAAAAGCATTTTAAAAAAAATTTTCTACTCTCGGAGATGGGTGGGAACGCCGAGGGTCGAGGACCACCCATCATGTTCTCTTCTCTTTTGGATGGCTAGACACAGTATTGGCCTGCAAAAAAAAACGCGCCTCAAAGCTCGTTTTGTTTTGGACTCGTTTTTGAAGAAATTCTAGTGAAACTTTTTCTTGAGAACTTTCTTTCCAATCGAATAAATATGATTTTGAGGAAAGATGTTGACTTTATGAAGCTAGGTTAACTAAAGTTAACTTTATGAAGCTAGGTTAACTAAAGTTAACTTTATGAAGCTAGGTTAACTAAGATTTTGTCTAGAATTGATCCTTTTGCTCTAGATCATTAAGATCAGTTCGAAATCTTTTCCTACAGCTTTGTTCTTTGAGGAATTCAGCTCTTTCACTCGATCGACATGTACAAATCGTGTTTTTTTTAAGAGATTCTAGTCAAACTTTTTTTTGAGAACTTTGTTTGCAATCAAATATTATTATGAACACAATCTGACAGAGCTCTCAAGTCTATTTTGAGAACAATTTTCGTGTTTTGTGTTTGTTTTTAATCTGAAATTTGTTAATAAAAAAAGAAATAAAGGAAAGATTTCAAATGTATTTATTAAAAAAGTTTACAAAGATTGAAACAATGTTAATGTTGTTTAAAAAAAAAATGTAAAATTATCTTTGAACCATGATTGTTTTCAAGCAAAAATACACTCATCGAATTCACTAAAAATACAGATTTAGTACCGAGATTGAGATCTAAATAAAGTTTAGAAATAAATGGAATGCTAGAACTGGCACTGCATAGTGAAAGAGTTACGGTAAACTCCAAAGAACGCATCGAATTAGTGATCGATTCAAAATCTCTTTACCTTTCTCGATTTACAAAAGCACGAATAAACTAGCTACAGTAATCCGCTCCAGCTTCAGCTCCTGAACGGCTACAGTAATCCTAGCAATCTATCCAGCTACAGTAATCTAGCTCAACTATAATATCCAGGTCAGTTACCATAACCCGATCTAGTGCCAGTAGTTGAGCAGGCCAGCCAGGTCTTGGCTACTGAGCAGCTTAACAACCAGGTTGGATCTGGTATGGCTTTAGCCTTGTTTCCGGACCTAGAACCCAGGAACAGCGCTTGTCTGTAGTTATATTGAAAGAGTTACGGTAAACTCCAAAGAACGCATCGAATTAGTGATCGATTCAATATTTCCTTACCTTTCTCGATTTACAAAAGCACCCATAAAGACATCCACAAAAGCACACGAGTTGAATCAAAGCAGCAATGATAGTGAAAATCAAGGCAAACGTCGGATCGTTATCCCAAAAATCGGCTGCTTGTTTATATGGATTGACAAGAGCGCTTTTTGGGGAAGTTTCCATTTTCTTGGGGGAATTTGAGGGAATTCAGTGATTTGTTTGAAGAAATTCATTTCCTTTTCCCGAAATGTTTTGACGTGAAAGCAATGAGAGAACGATGATTGAGTAATGATCAGCGAAAATAACGATCAGCGACTTCAAATATTTTATTTTCATTTTACAAAAAGAATTGTCGAAAATTGAAGATCTATATCGAAAATGAACATACGTTTAAAGTTTAGCAGCTGAAATTCTTCATTTGAAAGGCATTCACTGAATTGTTAGCTGAACTCAGAACTGAAGTAAAAGCCAAACCAGACAACTCAGTCGTTGTCTGGTTGTGGCCTTAACTCAACCGGCCAGAGCCAAAAAGGTAAAGTTTAAGGCTTTTAAGGCTTTTAAGGCTTCAAGGCTTTTAAGGCTTTAAGGCTTTTAAGGCTTTTAAGGCTTTAAGGCAAAGTTTAAGGCCTTTAAGGCTTACACAAATTCGATCTCCCATTTACACGTTTTCTCGTTCATTTGCAAAAGGGGAAATGGAGAAAAAGAAAAAAAGAAAGAATCGTTTTCATTTCAAGAGGGCCATTTCTCACCCTTTATTTACCCAAACAATCGCTTTGAAAAGCCGAAAAGATGTTCGTTGAAAAGTAAAATCCTTGTCTTCAAAAGCAGCCAAGCCAGTCAAAAAATCAAGCTGAATTCACTCATTTAATCGCGTCAAAGCTGAGCACTTACAACACTTATATATAGATTTGAGATTTGCAATACAATGCAATGCAATTTGAGATTACGGCACACACAAATCACGATTAAACCATTTCAAATCCATTAATCGATTCGCAATTTTAATTTTAATTGATCGTTTCAAACTCGAGAAACCTTTCTCAATAAAACTACGATTTCTATATCGTTTTATTTTGGTTTAATTAAAAACAATTTCAAAAACAATAAGGTTTAAAAGTGCAGAAAAAAAAAGAAAATTTCTTTTTAATATCTCAAATTTCATCCGAAGGTTTTGAAGCTCGAAGAAGAAAGTATATAAGGCCATTTGAGCAGGTCAATGTTTTGAAAGAAGAAACTATAAGGCCATTTGAGCAGGTCAATGTTTTGAAAGAAGAAACTATAAGGCCATTTGAGCAGGTCAATGTTTTGAAAGAAGAAACTATAAGGCCATTTGAGCAGCTCGAAGAAGAAACTATAAGGCCATTTGAGCAGGTCAATGTTTTGAAGGGAATAAAATGGAATCGTGTTTTGGAACTGTAAACTTTGTGAACTGTGAACAATACTTAAACAAGAAATTGTTAAAAGTTCACTTGAGTCAATGTTCTTCTCACGATTAAACCATTTCAAATCCATTAATCCATTCGCAATTTTAATTTTAATTGATCGTTTCAAACTCTGGAAACTTTTCTCAATAAAACTACGATTTCTTTATTGTTTTATTTTTTGGTTTAATTTAAATAATAACAATTTTTCATTAAAAAACAATAAGGTTCAAATTGAGTGCAGAAAAAAAAAAGAAAAATGCTTTTTAATATCTCAAATTTCATCCAGCAAGGCCACTTGAACAAGAAAAATGAAAGAAAATTCTTTTTTTTTTCAAAAATAACTATTTAATTCTTTAATTTTCTTCAATCAAATGATTAGTTTATTTTGTTTTCTAATAGTTTTAACGAATATTATTTGTCAAAACGATTTAAACAATGTTCTAAACAATGATTTGAACGCTTTTCTCTCGATCGTCACGCATCGATCAGGTAGATGATTGATAGAGTAGAAGAGTAGAAAGAGTGGGATTCGTTAAACAAGACCATTCTTCTTTTGGACACTAAACAGTACAGTATTTAGTTCCTTTAAAGTTCCTTTATAATTCCTTTATAGTTCCTTTATAGTTCCTTTATAGCTCCTTTATAGTTCCTATTTAGTTCCTTTATAGTTCCTTCGTGGTTCCTTTAAATTTCTTTTATAGCTCTTTTATAGTTCCTTTAGAGTTCCTTTAGAGTTCCTTTATAGTTTTATAATCATTTAAATGAGATTTGTCTTTAGAACAACAACAACAACAAAGAATCCAGAAACTCTACAATATTTTACCCCTTAAAGTTTAGCTAATTCATCGGTTTTTGTGAAAAATGCGATACGTATCTACAAAGAACTCTTCGAAGAAAGGGATTACGCACAATTTTTATCTCCAATCAACACACAAATCCCTGTGGATGCTCATCGTAATTGAGTACATCTGTAGAAGTGAAATAAATGTTTTCAGCCGAGGAAAAGTTCCAGATAACGATCCGATTGCAGCATTTCTTTATCATCGGATTGGTACGTGCAAAGCACACTTTATCTTTTTGTTTTTCTTTTCAGGAAAACACTCTTCAACTCCTAAAAGGCTATGTACAGTTGCAAATGCTTTGGGTCGACCCCCGGCTCTCGTGGGAACCCTCTGAATATGGAGGAATTGAGATGATCTATGTGACTTGTAATAAGCTCTGGATACCCGATGAGGTCATCGTTTCGAGGTGGGTGAGGAGGTGAAAGCAAGGGAAAGTGGCAAGGTATGGAAAAGTAGAGGTAAGAGAACCACAGCTGAGTTTAATTCGGATTTGAGAAGGGCAGGGTTTGTTGAACAGAGGCTGAGCAGGCTAGGTTGATCAAGATGGAAACAAACGAAGAACGATCAGAGCCTAGGTCAGAGCCTAGGTCAGAGCCTAGGTCAGAGCCTAGGTCAGAGTTTAGGTCAGAGCCTAGGTCAGAGCCTAGGTCAGAGCCTAGGTCAGAGCCTAGGTCAGAGCCTAGGTCAGAGCGTCTTCTGATGGGGTTCTAATCGGTCAGGCCTACAGTAAGTCTATCCAATTCCAGGTCTGGCTTCTGTGGATACAGTAAAGCAAGATAGCAAGATTAATTGTAGTCCATTGTAGACTAAATAGAAGTTTATTCAGCTATTCTATTTTGCTCAGGAGCTCCAGTTGGATTACAGTATTCTCATTCAGCATATCCACTCAAGAGATCTACGATCACGTGCAAAAAGCGGGCGATTGCAAGATCTACGCAAATGGAACAGTCGAGCAAGGGCGGACATTGCTCGTCGATTTGGTCTGCATTATGGATGTGAGTGATTATGAACTTAACACATTCGTGATGATATTTTGGACGTATAGACGCGTAGTCGTTAAGTGTTGAGCCTATTGAGCCAGTTTTAGATCCAGAAATTCCCGTTCGATTATCAGCAATGTGGGCTGAGCTTTTCTTCACAGGTCTACCCTTGGCATCACTATAATCTGAAAGGAGAGCTTTTCACGAAATACAATGTGTCGTGTATGCGTGTAAGCTTTTACGCTAACAATAAGAGGTTACGGTTTCTGGGGCATGCTATAGGGTTTCAGTAGTCAAAAATTGAACATAGAACACAGGACAACTGTAGGCAGTTAAGGACTACAGTAACCAAAGTCGGGTTACTGTAGTTAGTGCAAGCTTTAGCACGGTAACGTCAGCATTCTTACTATTGGGTTGGTGAATTGAAAACTGCGGGACTTTGAACTAAAATTTATTCAACATAAAACCATGAATTCATTCCAAATAATTTCCATTATTATTGACGACTTCTGCCCATTTTACAGACAATTTGTGGATTCTTCTTTCGTGGTAGGATTTTGGTTTGTGTGTGAGACAAGTGTGAGACTCAAAAATGAAGGACTGGAGATGTCCCAGTTTGAGCATTTGAGCACTTTCTTTAAAAGAAACCCATTTTGGTGTCAATAGAAAAGTTGTAGAGAATCAAAAATTAGGCTTATAGTCAAATTTCCAAAAAGATACACTTAGTAGTTTCGCTTAAAATGCAAGTTTTGTGAAAGTTTCGTAAATTTCGCATTTCTTCAAAACCAGTTTTTGAATCGTTCTAAAAATTTGGATATAAGCTTGATTTTTGATTCTCTACAACTTTTCCATTGACACCAAAGTGGGTTTCTTTTGAAGAAAGTCCTCAAACTGTCACATATGACAATAGCCCGCAGTTTTCAATTCACCAACCCAATATAAAGACTACCGTCATCTATTCCGTATGCTTTAGGATTACGGTAGCCGGTATCACAATAAAGTTACAGGAAAACGTTGAGTATTGGATTGTACGGTACTGGATTAATGAGACATTTTGCGCAGGTGGCCCAGGAAAGGAACCATTTGGAACGGTAAGATTTTGATTCAAAAATATTGCAGAATATGCCTAAGACTGTGTCCAACTGATCTAATCTGTTTTCAAAGACGTGTCCCTTTCCCCTTTCTATCGTAATCTTGTCTCTATTTTATCCAATCTATCTACTAATTCTGTGAGGATTCAAAAAGGATATTGAAAGATATAAAAAGTAGATAAATTGGATAAAAATCGAGACAAGATTACGGTAGAATGGGGAGACATTTTAGAAAATGAATTTAATAATCTCTAGGTATCATTCAACGTGCTTCTTCGTCGTCGTCCTCATTTCTACATTTATGTAATCGGCATTCCTTGTTTCCTTTTGACTTTCCTTTCGGTGACTGGCTGCTTTTGGACGGCAAATGTTAAAGAAGAGCAATTGTCGAAGGTGATTTCTTGAATCTTGAATGATTTCAAAATCAATTTCCAGTTGGGCATCGCTTTGACGAGCATGATGTCGATGACGACTTTTGTCAACATTATTTCACAAGAGATGCCAAAAACTTCGCACTTTCCTTTATTAGGTCACTTTCCTTTATTAGATCACTTTCCTTTATATTGGGCCAGAAATCTGCTGAACATGCCGAATCAGAAATTTCGGATCAAAAATCCTGGACAAAAGTTTTAGAGGTTGATTGGATTAACCAATTTTGTGAAAATCAAGAGACAAAAGTGTTAGAATATAAAGTAGAAAGTCCTCAAACTGTCACATATGACAATAGCCCGCAGTTTTCAATTCACCAACCCAATATAAAGACTACCGTCATCTATTCCTTATGTGTTAGAATATCACACTGTATCAAAAATGCAGCCAAAACTAAAGTAATTTCTGTAAAAATGCAGGGATTACTGCAAGAAGCTTATTGTGCTTTCATATTGGATAAATTAAAAAGATTTGCAAGAATATATTCTGGTTTGCCGAAAAGTGTGGGCTATAGTAGTCGAGAATGCTTTAAGATTACGATTTGAAAGTCAAAATTGGAGTCAGATGATCTGACTATCGTAATATCTGACTCAGATCGTAATATCTGACTGTCTAGTTTTCAGGAAGCTATGTGTTAACGTGTATCTCGATCACTTCGATGGCCAGTTTGATTCTCGTGATTTTCCCCGAAAAGCGAAGGATTCAAGTAGAGAAAATTAAAAGGTAAAAAAGTTGATTGAAATGAAAAATTTTATCAAAAAGTTTATTCAGGACGTGTTTCTTCCGATTCTTGACCTTCTTCTGCACAAAACACTTTGGGTTCTTTATTTTCTTTCAACTCGCAAACGTCACGAATGTCATTGTATTTTTATCGTATTGGTTTAAGAAACCGAAAGAGACTGAGCATTAGATATGTGTAAGTTCAATAAATATTTCATAAATTGAATGAAATAAAAGCTGTGATTAAAGTTTTGACGGACGATTGACAATTCGGATCACAGCCTTCAAGATCCAGTCACGGATAGACAATACACTCTCTACAAGATTGTCCGTGCCATTCCGTTCAAGATTGTCCGTGCCATTCCGTGACTAAAGTATGTTCCTATCGGATAATGCGTTTTCTAAAATGCACCTAGTTGAGAAAAGTACCGTAGTCAAAACTTTATTTTGCATGCAATCACTCCGATTTTGATATCATTCGATGAGGATTGGTCGATGAATTTCTGCTTTGGCTCAATCAATGATACCAAAAGGCTCAATCAATGATACCAAAAGGCTCAATCAATGATACCAAAAGGCTCAATCAATGATACCAAAAGGCTCAATCAATGATACCAAAATCGGACTGATTAAATGAAAACTGACAGGTGGATTACGGTACTTTTCTCAACTAGGTGCATTTTAGAAAACGAATTATCCGATAGGAACATAAGAAGTCACGGATAGGAAGTCCGCTAGGAAGTCACGGAAGTCCGAGTCACGGAAGTTCGAGTCACGGAATGGCACGAACAATCTGAATCTTGTAGAAAGTGTATTGTATAGTTAGGATATGAAAGCAATAGGTGAAACAATAGCTTACTCTGGCTACTAAAACCCTGGAGAAATATTAGTTATACAATTCACTACGAATTACTGTAACTAGGGTTACGGTAGAGTGATTGGAGTTGGGAGAAGTTTCCCGGTGCGTTCCAGATGAGCTCCTTTTAGTTAAATTTGTATAAAGTCGAATTTTATGAAAAATCGAAAGTTGAACTCTGGGCAGATGATGGGTCTAGAATTTTTGCTCCGCGGCCGTAGTCAGTTGTTTCCATAACAAAGGGTTTAAAGTTTCCAAAACGATCTATCAACATTAGCCATGCCGGATGCGAGGTCCACTTAGGCATCGCCAGTATACCTCTAGATTTCATAACCATTGCCAACCTGCTTGTTCTGCCAATTAAGACTGGGCGGGACACACCAGAGACGTCTCGGCTCACTCCACATTGCACAACACGCGAACGCATCCTCACCGGCTACCCTGGGGCATCGCATCCGCGCGAAATAACATTTTACCCTGATCCATGGACAGATCAGGGTAAAGCCAAGGTCGAGACAAGGGCAGGAATAATGCAGTATTTGAGAAGAACATTGACTCAAGTGAACTTTTAACAATTTCTTGTTTAAGTATTGCACTTAAAATTAATTTGAAATCGTTTCTCATTCGAATTTTCATCTTCTGAAATCTGAAATCACTTCTCATTCGAATTTTCAATTTCAACTTTTAGTCTTTTCAATAAAGTTCACATTTTTTTTGTGATTTGCCTATTTTGATCTTTTGAATTTTTTTTTTGCTTCAAACAATCTGTTTAATGTCTTTTCCCCGCTTTCACCTGATAAAGAGGCCATTTTGTGAATGGAAATGCTCAAATTTTCTCTAGTTTTCCTTAGTATTTTTATCGGAATTCGCGGATTTTCGTGTCCAACAGGATCATTTCAATCACCTAATGAAGATTTGTGTATCTATGCGATAAGTGACGGTAGGATTTTGGACTTGCTGTACTTTGTGGCTAAAGAAAAATGGTTTAGTAGGTTTTCAGTTGATTTCTACAGCGATGCCGTGCAGCAATGCAGCCGTTTGGGCGGAAATGTCGTGAAAATCAAGAACATTTTCGAGAACGCCTTTTTGTTGGGGCTGATTGGATCAAGTGGGTGCAGTAAAAGGACGAATTTCTGTAAACACACTTCTTCTGGTGCACTGAATTCTTCATTTTCATGCAGCAATCGCTTGGTTTCACAAGAAAAATGATGAATTGAGTGCGTTGGAAGGGGTGTGCTTACGTGTAAGCACAAAGTACATATAAGAAAAGCTTCTAGTTTTTCCTGCCGGACAAGCACCGTACATTGGAGTTGTGAAACTGTCAAATGGGACTTGGGTGTATTCAGATGGGACTCCACTTATCTATGCAAATTGGGCTCCAGGTCGACTTGAGGATTACTGTAGTTTTAGTTGGCTAAAGCTTGCTGTAGACTTACTGTATCTCATTATCTAGCTGAATAGGTGAACCAAGTGACGCGCAAGGGTTGACAAGTGCAGTGATGGATCCCCAGTCGGGCCGATGGAAAGCCGCCGATCCAACAGCACTCCGACCATTCTTTTGTGGAGTTGATGGGGATTGTGAGTATTCATCGTATTCATTGTATTCATTGTATTCACTGTATTCATTGTATTCACTGTATTCATTGTATTCATTGTATTCATTGTATTCATTGTATTCATTGTATTCATTGTATTCATTTTAATTCAATTCCTCTCAAAAAATCAACTGTTAATCAACGGAATAGCTTTTCCTTTTTTGAATTGGATTCAAAATCAAATCAAAAGCCCCGATTTCAGTGTTCCAATGTCCGAACAACTGGAACTACTTCGAGGCCACTGATTCGTGTTATTATTTGCAGGTTTGTCAATCAATCTCATTCGAAAAATGCCCGTACTTTGTGCTCCAATAAACGCGCGTCTTCTGGCACACTTTAAAATAACTGAGTGCGCTAGAGAGCATGCGTTTTCAAGAGGGCAAGTTTACAGAATTTCACCGCCGCTGATGAGGCCAATTTCACGCTTTACCTCTGGCCTGACGCGGAGAAGCTTTGCGTGAACGCTGGTGCACATCTCGCATCGATTCACTCGAAAGAGGAGAACGATTTTGTGTCGGGTGAGTGTCTTCGATAAATCCTTTAGTACGGTAACTCTTGATCATTAGATATACGGCATTTACTGTAAGTAAAACTTCAACTATACGGTATACGGTAGCTAGACACTGTAGAATCTCTTTTTAACACTGTAGACCAGGGTAATCACTTCTAGCGCTCATTCGAACAAACGTTTTCTTGAACGACGACTTCTGCCCACCACAGAAAGATCCGTGCTATTGGATTTGGACTTATCTCGGCTTTCGCGGTTTGGGTAAACCGACCGAACAATGGACTGATGGGACACCGTTCGATTGGAGTTCCTGGGGAGAGCCGATGGACAAAGCAATGACATTGACGGTTAAAAGACAGTCGATTGTACTTTATGCCCTTGTAAACGCATCCTTTATGCTTTTGTAAACGCTCTGGTGCACTCAGCGGTGCACCAGAGCTCTTTGAAATGAAGAATTCAGTTGGTGTGTTTACAAGTTTGAGCACAAAGTGCACTCTAGATAAGATGTTAAATCGAATTTCAGATAACGAATGACTACTCTTGCCGGGTGGCCGGTTGGGGTGCGAACGATGATCGATGGCCGACGCCGATCCCACGATTCGTCTGCAAGAAGCCGAACCAAAACAAGTTGAAAAAGAGTGTGAAATGAATAGCGTCGAATGAACGTTAGCTGGGTCTTTCAGAGTCACCAAATAAAGCTTAAAACAGGCTCGATCAAAAGGGGAAAAATGATTAAAACGATTAAATCGATTGGTGATTCCTCGAACAAAAGTATGAATGAATGAATAATGAAAGTAAAAACTGAAAAAAGCAGAAATCGATCGATCAAACAGTTATCCATTTCAGCAATTTATAGTCGAGAGTTGAAAACTTGATTTTATTTCTAATAACAAGTTACAATATTTTCTCCTCACCTACAGATTCGCATTGTTTTTTTAAATTTTTGTTTTCCATGTGTACAATCGGTACTTTCCTAGTTCACCTAAAAGTTTAGACCAATTTTGCCTTAAATTTTCACTGTATTTTTGCTACAAATTCTACACCTTGGTAAACAATTGTGTCACTTAAATGCTGCTCAACGGAAGTGAGAGTGCAATCCGACTCGAATCTCCTAACTCTCTTTTGTCCTAAATCGACCATCCAATTCATTGTCACCTCCAATACAAACTTTTTTTATCTAAAGGAAATTGGCCCCATTGCATGCAGATGATTAGCTCATTGTTTCAGAAATGTGACCGATGCAAGTATTGTGCCTTGTCACCGTCTCGCTTGTTCTTGTCACAGAGATCATGCACTTTGTCGATAAGTAAATATTGAAGGATTTATCGTAAGAATTAGAATAAAAAGTATACAAGAAAATCATTTTGTAATATTCTAATGATGTTTTGGAGTGATTGGCTCGTGTTTCACCATTGCATTCCCGCGGAGAATCGCCTCAGAGTTCGGGGAGTTCGTCTCGAGGAAATAGGATTCTCTGGAAAGTTCGAATTCAAACAAACAGCCATAATTTATAATGCTAGTAATATTCGAGCAAGGTAGATACTGTACTGTAGTAATACAGTATCTTCTGTAATACTTGACAAAATCTTAGAGTTACCGTAAAGCCTCTTTACGGTAAGAAGCTTTACGCCTCTTTACCGTAACGAACTTGAGATGTGGTTGAGCGAGGGTGTTGCGTGAGGCTTTACGCCTCTTTACCGCCTCTTTACTACCCACTAAGTTTTGCTAATGTCCCATTGTCAATAAAGACATTCAGTAATTGTTTCTTTTGTAATATTTTTACATACTATTCATAGAAACAAATTTATCGTGTGTAAACTTATTTTAAAACGAACTTGAGATGTGGTTGAGCGATGGTGTTGCGTGAGGCTAAATCGCGTAATCGTGAGTACTTGTCCTGTGTGTAGTTGAGCTCGCGAGGGGCGTTTGAAGGAAAAACGGCTAATGAGCGATTACGTGTCGAGATCGCTCGTCGCGATCGTGGTTCGACTTCGTTTTCGATCGCTGAATTGAATCACTAATTCTTTACAATTCTTTCAGCTGAATATCTTTTATTTCAGCTGATTAGCTCAAGATTCAAGTGTTTTCTAAAAGGCATTCATTTTAGAGAAACCACCGTAACCATAGCTCGCTAGTTTCCATTCGATTAGCGCAATTTTAGTCACATTAACTGACGCTTTATGGTTCTTTCATCGAATTTGACTAAAATTTGACTGATCGAATGAAAAATGGCGGATGGGTTACGGTATTTTGTCTAAAATACGGTGTCTTCTAGAAAGCGAAGCTTACCTTTTGAGGTGGGTGAGAGAATTGGCTCCCCAAGTGGAGCCGTATTCTCATCAACCATAGCTGATGGCCTAAAAATCGACAATCTCTTTTGTGTCTCGATTTCCTCAAGCAATTCATTTTTCTCTTTCTCGTGCGTTTCCATGAGACGAGCGATGTATTCATCCGATTGGAAACGAGCATCTCTCTGAAAATTTTGAATAAGATTAGAGATTGTTTTTCGTCTCAAATTCATTTCTTAAAACACGTTCTCTTTCTACCGTAATCTTATCTCTATTTTTATCTAATCAATCTACTTTTTTGTCTAATCCTATGAGGATTCACAAAGGATATCGAAATATACAAAAAGTTAATAGATTTGGACAAAAAAATCGAGACAAGAGTAATCTTGAAAGGTAGAAAGGGAAAAGGGACACATTTTAGAAAGTACAGTAATCATTGTATTCTGTAACGCATTGCTCTGTTACACAAAAATAACAGGTTAGGGTAGTTTCTCAAAAGGGTGACACATTTTAATCGAATCGAATCAGAGCTCTACTCACCTATTTCAGCTGATTTCTCATAAAACTGACTGTCACTTAACGTAGCTTAAGGCTAAAAATACCGTATTTTTCAAAAGTCACCAATTTCCTCTCCAAATCCTCTTTAATCTCTTGCAGCTGCTGGGTGTTGAAAGTTGTAGTGGTCGCCTGTTGTAGTTGTTTTGTCAACTTTTGATTCTCTTCCAAAAGTGCTTCATTTTCTTTTTTTCTAGCCTCGATTTCATTTCTGTTATTGTTGAATTGAAAGAACACATCACAGTATTTCTTCTCCTCTGCCACCAATTTTGTCTCCAAGCGATGTTTCTAAAAAGTTTACTTTATTCTGGATCCAATAGAATCCAATAGAGACAAAGTCATTTTGGTGTTTTGATCTCTATGAACATTTTATATGATTTTGTTCGATTTTGTAAAGATATTCTTAATTCTGGACACCTATAGGAATACTGTAGACAAAAAGTAAACCCAATTCGGTCCATCGAAAGTACCAGTTATCCTAGGGCTCATCGGCGGTCAGTATTGTTGCGAATATGTTAAAGATTAAAGCTCAAATAAGTCAAATACCCTATCCGACACGCAATCAGATATTTAGTTTTACCGCGCCAACAATGTTTAGGGATGGGTATTCTATTGTGCATATGTTTTTGGCTAGCTAGTAAGACCGATCTTTTCTTATCAAACCGACCTCTTCCTCCAATTTGTCGAAAGATCGCGTTAGCGCGAGTATTTGCTCGAATTGTGCCTTGCTTTGCTCCTCGATAGCTAGTGATTTCTCGAGCGATGCTTTCAATTGACGATTCCACGTCTCGAATTTTTGGCATTGCTCCTCGAGGGCGAGAATCTCTTTGCGCAGCTCGCCGATGAGATGTTGATGATCAAAGAGATGTGTCTGAGATTTCGTGGTTTTTTGACGAGTACTGTACTTTTCAGAATCAAAAAATCCTTTCAGCTAATCAATTTTCTAAAAGACAAACTCTTTTAGACCCTCCGCCCACCATTTTTCATTCGATCAACCTAATTTTAGTCACATTGACTGAGGCTTGTGATTCCCTCATCGAATGTGACCAAAAATGGGGTTTATCGAATGAAAAATCGATGGATTACAACGGTTTGGCTAAAATGAGTGCTTTTTAGAGAATGCATTTCAATTTTTCTTTGCAATCACCTGTAAAATGTGTTCCCGTTCTTGTAAATCGGTGACTTGACGTCGCAGAGCGGTATTCTCGTCGATCAATCTGAAACTTCTCAGTGTGTTGGTGTCAACAAGACAAGACTCGCAAACTCAAAAGACTCAAAAGCCAACAAGACTAGCATCTACCTTGCCGTTTCAAGTGTCTCTCCCTCTTTTATATTGTCTTTCATTTGCTTCAATTGCATGTTGAAGGCCTCGAGTTTCTTGATTTGTTCCTGAAAAAGTGACTTACATTTGCTGATTGATATTGATAATATTTCAAATATATCAATAATATTTCCTACTTGAAGTGAATCCCTTGCTTCTCTTTCCTTTTTCCTTTCCATCTCCATCAATTGCATTTGTTCGATGTGCAATTGCTCGGAGGAGTCCAATTTCTCCTTCAAATCCCTCATTGCCTTCTCCTGTTGGCGGAAATCTTCCAAATATTGTTGTTCCTAAAGCAAGCAAAAGGATTAAGTGCGCGTGGAGGAGTGTGTTTACACTTTAGAGCACAAAGTACACCCAATACTCAACACTCACTTTCTTTTCCGCATCCAATTGTCGAGCTCGTCGATCGCTGGTATTCTCAGCAATCAAATTCTGCAGTTCGTCTTCCTTTTCTTCAAATAATCTGTAATTTTTTTGGCAATAGCTGGTTGATATCTTTTCTAATTCGTTTTCTAAACCAAGCTCCATTTCTCTTTCTACTTTATTTGTTTATTCAATCTTTCGATATCATTTTGTGAACTCTCTTGTAAATCAGAAAAAATGTGAATATATTCGATAAAAATAGAGACAAGATTACGATAGAAAGAGAAAAGTGGAACGTGTTTTAAGAAAACGAATTTTTTTTCCGATTAAACAAACCTCTTGTACTTTTCCAATGCCCTCATTTTCGTCGTCAACTCCTCGATTTCCGCGTCGGCGTCCCGGAATTTCTCCCCATACGTTTTCAGCTATAAAATAACATAATCTTTTTAAAAAAAATGATCCCTGTGCAAACCTGTGCCATATAGAGCTCTTTATCTTGCTCTAAACCCTTGATCGTCGTCTCCTTTTCTTCGATCGTTCGCAATGCTTTGTGGTAGTCCATTTTCCAGGTCGACACATCGGACGCCTGGTATTCGTGGCGTTTTTTGAGATCGTTCAACTGAAATTCTTTTAATCGAAAGAATTAGCTATTGTATACTTTGTGCTCAAAACACACCATTTCTGGCATACTGAATTTTTCATTTTTCTTTAACCAATTTATTCTTGTTGGCTTAAGAAAAATGACAAATTTATTGCACCAGAAAGGGTGCATTTTGGATTTTTAGATATACCGTATTTTCTCTAATAGTAGTACATCCCAGCGAGCCGAGTTGGCGACGATTTTACGGTTTCTAAGTTTTCCCAGAAGCTTAACACTCTAATCATCGTCAAGATCTCATCGTCAGCTACATTTTCCGACCCCACATCGATAGGTTCTGATAAGCGGTTCTTGAGATTTCGATCAATTTAGACGACGCTCTGGGTGCACTACTATTAGAAAAAATACGGTAATTGCAATTGGAAAAAAAGTTTAGTATCTTTTTTCAATGCCATGATGACTCATAGTTTCGGTTTCAAACGGTTATCGGAACGAAATTGCAAAAAAAGAAATGAGTCATAGCAAAAGGAAAGGAGAGCTAGGGGAAAAGTGGATAAAGGAAAGATTCGGGGAAATCGGCGACCAATATAAAGGCACAATTCCACCCCAGTTTAATCGCCATTTTCATTTTCAAGTGCAAATCTCATAGTAGAATTGAATGGTTATCGTTAGATTAAAGTCTTTCCACTTACCGCACTCTCATTGTTCTCCAAAGCGGTGCTCTTATATTGTAGCTGTTTCTGGAGGTCGTCGTTTCGGCTTTTCGCTAGTTTCAGTCTAAAATTTATGTGTACCCATTAAGATCACCTTTAGAATTCGTTTGAAACTACTGTATAGCCATAGTTATACTGTAAGTCTACCCTAAGCGTTGTAAACTAGACTAGGCCAGGTTACGGCTTGGTCTAGCTTACAGCTAACCATCCTTTTTAGGTGTGCTTATTGATTGGTATACTTTGTCTCCATCGTATCCATCTCAGCAACAACAGATTTGTATCTCATCTCCGTCTCATTGTTGGTGTCCTCCAAGTCGTCAATCTTTTTCCTTAGCTCTTGATTCTCGCGAGCAAAGCGCTTTTCTCTGAAAGTATAGATCTCTTTACAAGAACAAGAGTAAGAGTCTAGCTTTCGTACCTTTAATAACTCATTAGCCTACCTGAGCAACGGTGATGAGACAAATTGTTGCATACTGGGACTCTCAATGGGTGAACTTGATGAGCCGGAGAGTTTACTCGGAGTTCGAGGGGTGCGGAAGCTGAAACGAGATAGAAGGCCGGTTGCTCGACGGGAATTCGGCGAAGAAGCGGGGCGAGTGACTGAGCTTTCCTCTTCAGTCACATCACTAAAAAGTGATATCAATTTCTTTGATGAATATCTTAATTCTAATGAGCTGTTGTATCCGTATATCATACTTACAATAACCTCAAGGTTTCCGTGTGAACAAGAAAGCTACCCTACTCAGGAAGGTTACAGTACTTCTCTAAGGTTATTGTGCTCACAACTCCCGTACTCTATGAAAAGCTACCGTACTTACAAGAAGTTACAGTAAGCATAAGACGTTACAGTATTCTGATATGGTTGTCGTATACTTGAGAAGCTACCGTACTCATAAGAAGTTACAGTACTCCTATGAAGTTATTGTACTTATAACAATTTGACTACGCCGTGAAAAGTTACCATAGCTATTGGATACAAAATGATAAACCCCGAACTCACCTACACAACATCTCCCTCCAACAGCAATCATCAATGTCATCGATTCGATTGGTGAGCGTTTGGATGACTTGCGCAAAAGTGATCGAATGATTCCCGGTTCCCTCTTGATCCAAACTCGCAATCGTTCTCTTAAGAGTCACCTCGTCGCGAGTGATTGTCAACTCGTAAAATAACAGCAAGAGATACTGAAATGAACTTGCTTTGAATGGATCTTGGATGAAAGGATAAAGAAACGGGAATGATAGTCAAATACTGAAAAAGCACGGTCTGGTAATTTTTAATACCTTTGCGATCTCAAACTTGTCCCCATCAATCGCACGATCAGGGGAAAACGTCGCGGAGATGCGGCTGAATTTTTGCTCGACAAGGCCGTGAATGTGCTGAATGACATCAGAGTTCGATGGTCTTTCAGGCAAACACAAAATGTCGGCGTGTTTTTGTCTAAATTTCAAAATTTGATTGTTGGTTCTGTAAACAAACTTGATCAACTTGAGCACGAGTCGACAATGACCGGTGATCACTTCTTGGAGTTGATTCTTTTTTTCCAATTGTTGCTGCTTGCCGAGCAAGTTGTACTGAAAATTGCGATGGAAAAGGTTCATCTTGAGCCGATTTTCTAAACTAGCTTAAAACTTACCATGCTCAAAATCGCAGACTCGACTTCTTTGTTGATTTCGACCATTGTTGGATTTGGAATGGTGAATCTATGAGAGTGACAATGTAAAGGATCTAAAGAAACTGTAAAACATGTACCCTAAAGTCTCGAGTATAAGTTCTGCCTTAAGTTACATTCGCTTTAATTGCTTTGAATTTCTTTTTGTTGGGTTTTTATACATTTTTATTGTTATATAAACTTTTATTATTTTTCTTGGAGGATACTACAGGGTGACAGCCTATCACCATTGCTATTTGTTATGTGCATGGATACATCCAGACGATAGTGTTGAAGAAGACGCTGGAAAGCATCTCTTTCGACCGTCGACGTGAACTTTGGCCGGATGAAGAGGCCAGGGAGGGATCCATAAGACTGAGCACCGGAGAGGAGCAGGGCGGACGCGCCGAGCCACGCCCGGAGCAACAAATAACAGCATAAAATTGCTATAACCCTCAATAAATTTACTTCTATTATTGTTCTTAAAAAGCAAAAAAGTTATGCTGCAGCGGGGTTCGAACCCTCGACACACCGCACCGGAGACAGCCGTCAATTTGCATGCGAAAACCAAACAGAACTTATACTCGCGACTTTAGGGTAAAGGCAATGTAAAGAACATAGAGACAATGTAAAGGAAACTATAAAACTAACTATAGAAGAAAAAACAAATAGCAGATAATAGATAAAAATGTAGGTAAGTACTAGAAATGTTTTGTGTTTTTCAAAGCCTAATCAAATTCAAATGCGGAGTTTTCCCGCGCTCGGCAGCTGTAATTGTCTTGGTGAAAGAGGGCTTGGGGTGGGCTGTATCAAAGAGAAAAGTGAACCAAAAGGGAGTGCAAGATCGTGTAGAAAAGCGTGACAAAGTACTGTAAAATACCATAATACAGTATGTCTTATTGTACTGGAGTACTATATGTAATTAAGGTACACGCTGCATCCTGCTGTATGTTGCACGTTATGCACTGGATATTTGTAGTAGTGTGATACCGTAGACTTATACTATAAGCTCCTCTTAAGGGCAAGCTTCTCCTAAGCAACACATTCTCTAAAAAGTGCCAACTTTTGTAGCTACAGTAATCTTGTCAATTTTATCCAAGGCGATCTCTCCAAGATCTGATTCTGTACGGCTTACAATTAGGGTTATTTTAGAAATCTGAGAATCGGAGCTATACTTTTCATAACCGTAGGATTATCTCAAAGTATTAAATGGCAACTTAATATAGTAAAATTAGTATGTATTATGGTAAAATCATCCCCAAAAAACAAGTCAAACAATCCAAACATCTTGGAAACGCTGTGTTTTCTAAAGTATTTGCATTTTTCCCAGAAAAGTTTTCTCAATTTCACTTTTCAGAGTTGGTTTTATCTTGGTCGGCGTCATTGAGTTCGTCAATAATCCTGCCAATTCCATTGTATTTTTGAAAACTCGAATGCGCTGAACCCGAATATTGCTCCTTTTTGTGTTAAAAGTGATTTAAAGCACTTGTTTCACTATTTGCTAAAGTTTTGACCAGCACTCAATCCAGCGCGTCGTTTACTACCATTGGTACTAATAAAGTTGGAGGGACACTTTTTTTCTTCAAAACCACTTTTTCTGAAGTATTTTTATGCGTAGATTCCGAAAAACACAACGAGAGCTTGGGGAGATGGGTTTTAAGCCGAGTTTCAGGGCTCCAAAGTGCCCGCTCATACGGTGTGATGAGAGGGAATACAGGAAAGATATCTAAAAATGGTCTCTCAAACGATTTTTTGAAGTCAAAAACACTTCTGGCATAATTTACCATACTGATTACGTTTATGATCAAATTGAAGCAAAATCAAAAAATATTTTTTTCAAATTGTTTTGCCTCTACATATTAGTCAATTTAAGTTAGAAAATGGCTATTTAGTGGTTAAAAATGGTTTTGGCTCTAGTTTTGACCTTGAAAAGTGCCCCAATACTCGATAGCTTGGGGTCCATATAGTGAAGTACGCTATAGAAGCGCACACTTTGAAGCCCCGAAACTTGGCTTAAAACGCCTTTTCCTAAGCTCTTATTGTGTTTTTCGGAATCTACGTATAAAACTACCCAAGAAAAAGTGGTTTTGAAAAAAAAAGTGCCCCCCCCCCCAACTTTATTAGTACCCTACCATCTGTCATCTACCCATTCCCCTTTTTGTAGTTTATTTGGCGCTCATCGGGGACGAAAGCGGCGCGTCTCGTACACTAAGTTGAGATTCGAAACCAGAAAGCTTTCACAATTTTACGCCTGCATTTTGATTTTTGTGTACATTTCTTGCTTCCAAATTGATGCATTTATGCTTTTCTTTTCAGCTCGATCATCGACAAGATGTTTGGCAGTAAACCGTTTGGCTCAACGACCACCAACAGCACATTTGGTTCGTCAGGTTTGTTGTTTTGGTGTATTTACCTTAAAAGTTTGAAAGTCAGTCGCTTTTTAAAAATGCTAAGTATTTATCGAAAGAAAAGCTGTTAAGGCCATTTGGCAAAATCACTTTGACAAAATAGCCTTTGAAAACTTATTCAACTTTTTGTTTCGGAGAGTAATCGGAAGAGTAATTGATTCTGGCTTTTGCTATAAAGTCCCTTCTAAAATTGTCATTTTTTTAAAAACTCATTCTATACGTTAACAAATTCTTCAAGCACTCAATCTTTTCCATTTTCAGGTTCTTCGCTTTTTGGACAGAAGCCAGCCGGTTCTTCACTGTTTGGCGCGACAGCTCCCGCGAATCAAGGAACCTCATCGCTATGGGGCGCTCAAAAGCCGGCCACAACGAGTCTTTTCGGAAATTCTCCTTCGCAATCTTCATCGCTCTTTGGAGGTGAGTGCTGTTTGTTAGCCATAAGTTTTTATTTGACAATGTTGTTATTCTCTATTTTTTTCAGGTACAACACAAAACACATCGGGCAGTTCATTGTTCGGATCTACGCAAGCCAAGCCATCACTGTTCGGCTCATCACAGCCTGTCACTTCAACTTTCGGATCACCGTCGTCACAGTCTAGTCTCTTCGGTGGTATGGGAACGACTTCGGGAGGCTCTCTATTTGGTAATTTGTCTGACTTTTTATTTCTTTAAAAGGAGATTTAGGATCATCTACTGCAGCGACGACCAATGGAACAACCGTCAAATTTCAAGCACAAACGGGAACGGACACGATGCTGAAGAACAACACTCAACAGAATATCAACACAAAGCATATGTGCATCTCTGCGATGAAGGAATATGAGACGAAAAGCTTGGAGGTAAATTTATTTTTAGATATTCAAGTTAAGAGACTGATCCAGGCTGAGTTGATAAAATTTTGAACTTTGAACATTTTAATTGTTGCCAAGTTTAGGAACTACGAATGGAGGATTACCTTGCGGGTCGAAAAGGACCTACCGCTGGCAGTGCGACGGCTTCTTTATTTGGCGGCGTCGGAGGAGCAACCACTTCATCTACATCAATGTTTGGAGCAAGCACACAGCCAAAAACTGGCATCTTTGGATCGCCAAGTTTGTTTTAGAAAGTTGATCACGATCTAATTATTTGTTTAGCTTCGAACAGCTTTGGAGCAAAACCCGCGACAACAAATACATTGTTTGGAACTCAACCACAACAACAAGCGTCATCTTCGATCTTTGGACCAAAGGTAATTTTGGTTTGATTGCGATTAAACCTAAAGAATTTTTAGCCGGCTACCGGTGGATTGTTCAACTCAACTACTACATCAGCATTTGGAGGCACTACAGCGTCTCCCGGCACATCGTCGATATTTGGAGGGACCCAACCACAAGTACAAAGTTTCAATAAAACCAAACGATGGATGGCTTAACTTTGGTTGAATATTTTTGTATGAAACTTCGAAGACAATCCGAATTCACAAATATTCTCGTATCAGTTTATGTATTTTTAATTTAGGCTTCAACATTTGGCCAGCCCGCAACCGGTGGCAGTTTATTTGGCGGTCCCACAGCTGCCACTTCAGCATTTGGTACTACGAATACAGCACAACCCTCAACTGGATTTACATTTGGTGGATCAAATGTAAGTTGATATGTTTAAAATTTAGCTTACTGTGTATTTAGACTGGAACATCCGCCTTTGGACAAGCACCGTCAACAAACCTGTTTGGGGGACAAACGGCGACGGCAAACACTGGAAATTCGCTTTTTCAAAAGCAACCCGGAGGAAATTTTGGCTTTGGCGGAGGAACGACAACAAATGCTTTTGGTAAAGATTGAAATTTTTTTAATTTAATGGTTATAAAATTTAGGTGCACAACCTGCCGCCAGTGGAGGACTTTTTGGACCACCAGCGGCAAACAAATCTCTATTTGGATCTACGACAGCTCCCGGTACTTCTTTATTTGGCACTCAACCATCGACAGGTATTTTTCTAGCTAGAAAATAAATAAATTGCTGTTTAGGACTATTTGGACAAACTCAACCACAACAACCACAAGCGGGAGGACTTTTCGGACCACAAGCACAGCCAACCATTGCTGGTTAGTTGGATTAACAATACGTATTTATGCTAAAGTTTAGCTGCGATGCCATCACAAGTGCCCGTTGCTGCAGCGGCACCAATTGTGCTCGGATCGGACGTGAATCAACGGCAAATCGAACGCGCATTGCTGGAGGCCCAACTGGCAGCCACTCCCTATGGTGATGGACCGTTGTTGAAATGGATGGCTGCTGCGAAAGAGACAACCGATGATCAAACGAACTCAGCAAAGTAAGTTTAGGAGAGTGGGTTGTGGTCCTGGATCAAATACAACAATTTTCGTTTAGCGTACAACGCCAATTGAAATTCCTGGAATCGTTGGCTGGCTCACCGGTGCTTTCTGGCAATGGATCTCTTGTGCCGCCATCGTTGCCAAGACCCGGATCTTCTCTTGGAAAATCTCCAATTGTTCAAAAGGTAAATCAAAATTTTAAACCATTTCATCATTCGTTTAGGATCTCTCTTATGCGGCTGCTTCTCGAGTTCCAACTTTGGCAAATGGTATCCGAACGGTCCCAGCGATGAGCAATTCTCCTTTGTCAGCTAGACGAAATGGGGCAACGCCTCGTTTTGAGTAAGTTTTTTAGCATTTGGTTAAAGAAACTAGTAAGATCAGGTCTTTACAGTATTTTCAATTGTTAACTGTATATTTTTAGTGCTGGTGATGCGACAATCGACAGCGCTCTGCTGGGAAGCACGAATCAATTGATTTCAACAACGCGCCGTACAAATATCAAGCACCTGGACCCAATGATGATGCGTGACGCGTCGACGGTCAATTCGCCAAAGGGTTTTGCCGATCCGGATGAGCTGCCTAAGGCTAGGGAAGGCGTTTGGGATTAGTTTAAGAATTTTTTAGATTACGAATCGAGACAAAGTTGTCTCAACCGACAATTCTACGTTCGTTGTGAAAGAAGACGCAAGAAAGCCTCACAACCCTGTGCTTCCATCTCTTCATTTGGACGGTTCTCTGCAAGATGATAGCATTGTTCAAGTGAGTGGCAAGGGTTTTGAGGTTAAAACGATGTTTTAGGTTCAGCCAGCGGCTCCTCAAATGAAGATTCAAGAGACTTCGGCTCCCAAGATGGTGTCAAAGCCAACCGATGATGTGATCACTAGCCCAAAGAGTATTTCAAGCAACGATGACTACTTCTCGGATCCTCCATTGGATCGATTGAAAAACCAGGTATTACAGCTCATCAGTCCTTTATGATAATCTTTTTAGATTGATGACGATTATATCGATCTTCCCGATGGTTTGCTCGTTGGAAGATTGACGTATGGAAGTGTTTTTTGGCCCGGACCTCTTCGAATTTCAAAGGACATCAATATTAACAAAGTTTGCATATAACTCCTTCTTTTATCTAAAGTCATTTTTAGGTTGTTGTTTTTCGCAATAAGGAGGTCACCGTTTACCCAAATGAGGATCAAAAGCCTTCTGTTGGCGAAGAGCTGAATCGATGCGCTGAAGTGACTTTGGAACGTGTCTGGCCAGTGGAAAAGGAAACGAAGCAACTCATCAAGGTACGTGTTGTGTTATGAAACAAATTTGTTACGTTTCCAAAAATAAATGGAATTTCTATTTACAGGATCCGGAAGTGTTGATTGGTATGAAATGGCGCGAGCGTTTGGAGCGTATCAGTGCTCGAATGGGCGCCAATTTCAAAGACTACCGCCCAACTACTGGCTCGTGGGTCTTCCGCGTTGATCACTTTTCTTCTTACGGTTTATTGGTGAGTTATTTACTTAAGCAATCTTTTGAAATTCCTTTTTTAGGAATCCGAAGAGACGAAGGAATAGGAAACTATCAAGCCGATTATCTGCAAATTTTATTCATCGTTGTTATTTTGTGATCGATCTTTCAGCAATTTACTGGTTTATTTGTATTTTTCCTGTTTTCTCTGACATTTAGTCTGTTTTTCCTACATGACTTGCCCTGTTTTTATTTGTAAGAGTAGATTGCAACGAATAAAGTGTAAGAAAAAGATTCATTTTGAATAAACATTTCAAAGTTTTAGTATTTGCAGTAGCCCTTATCGCATGGATGAGAAAAGCAGGCACGCGCTTGGCTTATCAAAAAGGGTTTTTCCTTGAAAAGTGCTGAATCAGCGTTTGGATGCGGATCTTTAAAGAGATTTTTCGATACACAGCACAAGTGAGTACTCAGACACGATTTAGCGTAGTGAATTTTTATCCAAGAGTTTTTAGCGATTAAGAGGAACTTGCTTGTGGAAATTTCTACGATTTGATCTCTTGGAACTATCAAGATTAGACGTGCTTTTGATTGCTTCATACTGTACATCATTTATTCATAAGATTTAACTCGTCGGTGATAGGCACTTATTATGCGACGGTGATGTTCGGAGTTCGGGGTGAGTTTTTTGGACAACGTTCAAAAAGTAGGGTAGAAAAGCTTAGCCATGATTAGCTACTAAATATCGAGCTTGAACGTGTAGAATTACGAATATCCACATAGAACAATTCGAAATGAGTTCGGTAAAAGGCGAAAATGTTAGTATCAGAAGATTTCGAATGTGAATTTAGCTTGAGTCGTCAGTAACACGTTTGATTAGAAGACTTTAGATGGCACTCTCAGTCTTATAGACAGGGGTTCTTTAAAAGAGCTAGAGAAAGCCCTCATAAAGTGTGCCGTCGGAAACGCGAGGCAATCGCTTGCAGGCGTCGTTGCTGGAATTCGGTCAATGTGGTGGTTGTCGGCTGTTTTTGTTGATTGCCGGACGCCGTTTCGTCAATGTAACCACCAATGGAGAACATTTTTCTAGAGAATCAGTGAATTTGTTGAAAAATTTCCCACTCAGCACGTCTTGAGCCCTTTTGTAGAGCCGAATTATCTTATTATCTTTCGTTATCTTTCGGCAAATTCCCCCCACGAGTTCTCTCCGCGCGCCCAGCTTTGTGCGGGTATTAATTATCGCGGAGATGGGGAAATTGTTGTATTCGAGAGCAAAGCACTGATTTCTTGGAGGAAGTTATGATGCGAGTCGGGAAAAGAAAAGGTCGGGAAAAGACAAGATTCTTGTTGGTAAATTTAGGAAATTTTGGTGAAGAGCATAAAAATTAACAAACGGAAAAGTGAATCCGGTAAAAATATCAGAAATCTCGTGCTTTTGTTGGGCTGACTTATAAGAGACAGCTTTTGGAGTATCTGGATAGTACACGCGCGATTTCGTGAAAAAACTCGAACATAAGGCTGTCATTGTAACCGAAACACTCTCATGAAGCCCGAAACCGATCGCAAGTTTGCACAGAAAAACGCTTTTTAAAACACTAAAACGTGGACCTTTGACTGTAGGCGAATACTATCGCTACCGTATTCGTGTTTGGAAGGAAACATTCCCCCTTCCCGGAGCCATTAATTTCATGCTTTCAGTTCTCTCCTTTTCGTCTCCGCGCCCTCCCCATTGCGTTTTTGACTCCACCTATCGCTTCCTCCTTTCTTAAATATCACCTTTGCTGAAAATACAAGTTTATCGAAACTTGTGTGCCTATTTAAGCCTTAATCTTAGGCTGGCTTTTGTGGGTGAAACCTATCAATGTTGGCCTAACAGCCTAATTGACGGTTTCAAGCGTGTTTTTGACGACGCGAAATGTCGAATGTTCGATTGACAATCCACCTTAAAGAATGCGATTTTCGGCATCAGCGCTATCGATTAACCCCAGAAAAATGAAAACCTTGGAAAAAAAAAGTGCACTTTGGAGCCCACTGTATGAGCGCGCACTTTGGAGCCTCGAAACTTCGCTTAAAACGCCTTTCCCCAAGCTTTCGCTGTGTTTTTCGAAATCTACGCATAAAAACTACTCCAGAAAAAGTGGTTTTGAAGAAAAAAGTGTCTCCGCTAACCGACGTAGTACCAAATGTTTTGCCTGGATAGCAAACGCGCTTACCAGCTCATTCCCCTCACCGACTCCTTTCTCGTTTCGCGCTCCACTTACCGTTTCCCTCTTTTCTCAAATGGCGCCTTTGCTGAAACTACGAAACTCCCGTAATGCCCTTTTGTTAACAAGTGACCTGTTTAAGAACGATTTACAAGGATAACAGTAGCTTTGTTTTGCCCTTTCTTTCATTTGTATATTCTAGATGCAATAACTTTTTTATTTTAGTCATGTTGTCGACTTTGAAGGCTCTTTGGGAGAATGGGGAGAAAAACGACGCTGCTCAAGAATCGCTACTTCAGTTCGCACTGATGTAAGTTTCGTTTTAACTCGGTAGCTATAAAATGGATTGTTGTTCAAGGCAAACTTTTAGACTGATAATGGATAAGTATAATAATCTTTTATTTTTTAGGTCACTTCGCGCACTATGCATCCAGAAAGCCGATCCGGAGGCCGAAAAATCGATGGGCATCAAGATTGTGCAACTACTTCTGCACGATTTGAAATTTCAAGCAATCAACAACCACGATGATCTTTATAGAATATACGAAATAATTGTAAGTTTCTTTCGATTTGGTACCGATATCGCTTTTGTTTAGTTTGAGAGAGGTCAAACTATGCCGCTGAGCGAGTACTACAGGAGGGCGTACGAAGAAGGCATGCTCCGACGCAACAAGAAGTTCTACATTGGTTGGATCAACGCGTGCAATGCCGAAGAAAACCTAAAGATAAAACGAGAAGCAATCGCCAAGGCTCGAGAGAACATTCCGGACATTGACAAAGACCAGACATTCAGGTATGAAGGATATTGGAGCTTAGTTTATTTGAAAATTTAGCGCACTTGCAAATGTCTCCGAATTGGACAACACATGTGCTATATTCAAACGACGCTCAACAGTTGCCGCCCTGAGAGCTCGAAAAATTCCAAATGGCATGATGTTCTTAAGCGTATCACTTTCAATCTTTTTTTAGTTATTATAACCGGCCAACGACAGAAGATGATGGTACCAGAAGCTGTCCTCAACGGAAATTCAAACGAGGAATTGCTTGTTGCCAAGTGAGCAACAAACATGGCTACTTTAATAAACTCTGAACTTTAGGCTTTCGGATCTCTACAGGGACGACGACATGGACATTAGCGTTATCGAAGATGCTGAACCAATTGGCGCTTTGATGAACTCGAAGAAGATTAATGTGGAGATGTCAAAGTTGCCTCGTCCGTCACTTTGCTTTGCTCAAACCAACCCAACAATCAACGACTTGTCGCCAATCGTCGAAGATCAGGATCATGAGAATTCTACAAACGGCTGCCCAAAGGCACCACGTTTAGTTACGGCAAGACCTTTAACTGAGGTACGATTTGATCATGCCAGTTGCAACTATTTGACTTGTTTCCAGTTCTAACGAATCATTTTTAGGACCCTTCTCCAGCTCGTGCACCATCAGGCTCAAAGAAGAATCGCGTCGAACCCGAACCGGAAATTGCATATGGAAGCCAATCGCCGGGACTCTCTTTCACCACGAAGATCACGCGAGAGGCGCAAAACATCTTCTCGGAAACGGTCACCTTCCAAGGCTCGCGAGGAAAAGGTACGCCTTGGCTTTGCTTTCTTTTGCATAAGATCAAACTTTAGAACTTGACTTTGACGCTGAACAAAAGGTGGTCGAACCGACCGAAAATGCTCAATTTGAGGTTAGATTATAAATGGGGTTTTTCAAATATTGTTTTTAGGTATTCTGTGATCAAGAAAAGACGTACGTAGAGCCAGCCCCAGTAAAGAACGAGCAACCGGTCGATCATCGGAAGCCTTTCGCTCAGTTAAACCCTGCGGCCAACATGACGTTCGGTAGATTTTGCTTAGCTGGGTTAGTTTTACTGTCTTTATTCAGATATAAATGAGCCGACCGTTGCCGGAACTTGGAAAATGGGCTCAACCGGCCAGAAAATCTTCACTTCGTCACCGTTGCTCGCAAAGAATCAGCACTTGTCGGACACGATGTTTCTCGAGTTGGCGTTAAATGCAAGTAAAGAAAAGCCCGAGGAGCAACTCGATGATGCAACCAAAGTTTTGGCTCACTTATCGGCTGAACAAGATTTTGACGAAGAAGCGAAAGATAAATGGCCAGGCATGACAATGGGCGCCTCTACTTTTGCGGTATTTGAAATTACCTAAGTGCCACAGACTTGTTGGTTCAGAAACGCCGCTCATTCTTCACCGGACGGAGCTCGCTGGTTGGTCGATCGTCGTTGAGTGGTTCGCTAATGGCCCAGAATCAGCAAGAAGAACAAGTGATTAACTCTGTAATTCTTAATTTTTCTTTATAGAAAGGCACCGCTGCGATGCCTGCCGCTCCTACAAAACAAGAAGTTCGGATTGTGAATACGGATGAGGTTTCGCCGATGGTTGATCTCGACTCGACTGGAATTGGATTGCCGTCAGTTTTTTCTGATTGATGGTGCAATTCTACGTTTAAGAGAGCAAAATGTAACGTCGCAGTTGAACCCATGGTCGCCAGAGTTGCGGAACTCAATCATGGCAAATTTTCAAGAGATGAATGTTCATGATATTGCGGTTTGTTTTAAGATCTAGATGGTCATGCCAATGTTCCAGGAGACTTGCTCGCAGCTGCGAGTCGGAAGCCTCCTGAAAGTGAGTGGAGAAGAATTCGCTGTGGATGGACTATTGGGTGAAGGCGGATTTGCAAAGGTCTACCGAGCTCGCAATGAGGAAGGATTGGCAGTGGCATTGAAGGCAAAACATTTCAAACTTTTACTCTATAATTCTATTTAGTACGAAGTTCCATCGTGTGCCTGGGAAGCCTACATTTTGCAAGGTAAGGCTTAAATTAAATGATGGGTCATTTATTCATAATTTAGCGGTTCACAATCGCATTTCGACGGAGATAGGTCCCGCCATCATGAAAATCGACGACATGTACATCTTCCGGAACGCATCTCTGATTGTCAACGAGTATCTGTCGATGGGCAACATGCTGCAATGCATTAACAACGTGGCCGGCGAAGTTTCCTACAGTGTTGTGCTCCATCTCTTCATTCAACTCGCACGAATCTTGAAAGAAGTTCACGCTGCCAGAATCATCCATGGAGATGTGAAGCCAGACAATGTGATGTTCATTGGAAAGTGGGTCGACGGTGGAATTGATCAGTTACTTTATTGTTTTAGATTGCCCGAAGGGTTGTCTCTACACGCCGACGACTTGCTTTCTGCAGAGCCTATCATACGTCTCATCGATTGGGGCCGAGCAATTGATCTCTCTTCCCTGCCGAATGGAGCTTCCTTCCGTGGTCGCGCCGGAACACAATGCTTCGATTGTCCTGAAATGCTGGTGAGTGTTAAGTTTTTGTTTTTGCAATTTTGATATTTTAGAATGATCGTCCTTGGACTTATCAAACGGATTACTTCTCCTTCGCCGCATCTCTTCATGTAGGAATCTTCAAGACGTACGGAAAGGTTGTCGAGGATACGAATGGTTTCATGTTTGAGAAACCACTTCCAAGGTGCTACTGATTCATTTGGTATTTTAGGTGTTCTATTTTCAGGCGCCGACCAGAAGCTCCGTACATTCGTGAAGTCATCTTTCAAATGCTCAATATTCCATCGTGCGAAGCCATTCCCTCATGGGACAACATTATCGAGAAATTGACTACCGCTTTCAAGTAAGTTACTTTTATATCTATCCGATCAAAACATGTTTATACTTTCTCTTTAGATTGACTTTCCGTTCGACACAATGGGCTGAAGAAGCAAAACGCTACAACGCGGCCATTGTCAATTTTAAACCTGGATGCTAGAAAAATGTGCTAAAGATTGGATTTTTTTTCCTTTGTTTGTGTTTGCGTTCTTAATTCTATAAATAGTTCAAAGTTCATTTGTTTTTGAAAGTTTTTAATGGTGTAAAGCCAGTTTATACTTTTCCGATGCTGTTTGCCTGGAATTGGATCAAGGCGGGAACTACGAGTTCCACCTATGGACAGTTCAGCGCCGGCGGCGTTTCTTAGCTAAAGGTTTAAGTGGTGGATTGATTTGAATTTTTTTCAGCTTGCTGAGCGTAAATCAAAGTTGTGGATTTATGTTATCCTTGCGCTAGCCTCTAGATGTATTTTTGTATGTAGTTGATGTAAAACTAAAAGCTCCTCCTTTAGTCCGCAAACTGTGCCTTGGTCTTTATTTAGGTATTCAGCAAGGAGATTTTCACCAATCGCATGATTTTTTTTCACCAGTTTTCAATCAAATTTATTGCTTATTGCTGCCAAGTCAATTCTTTCATTTTAGTCTCAACAATCATGAGTGACTCGGAGTTCGAGGGTTCTGACGACTCGTTCGAGGCGCCCAAAAAGAAGGCCCCTACCAAAGAGAAAAAGGAGAAGACGGCAACGCCAAAGAAAGTTAAAGGTAAAATTGTTTCAAAATTTTGCAGCAAAACAGGTAGAACCTTTTTTTGAAATTCAAGTAGAAGTTTTGTGAGCTAAGGTATTATCAGAAGTGTAGTATTTGGTTTAACGTGTAAATTTAGCTGCTGCTAACACGTCAATGGCAATGACTGAGGAAGACATGAACGTCTTCACCAACATGGACAAAGCTAAGAAAGGTTTGTGGTTTCTTTTGCGAAGAAGATACTAATCTTTTTTAGGCGAGCTAACGATCGAGAAGATCTACCAAAAGAAAAGTCAACTGGAGCACATTCTTCTCCGTCCTGACACCTATATTGGATCTGTCGAATATACGGATAAGTCGGTGGGTGAAAGACTTGTTAAATTGTTGATTTCATTGTTTTAGCCCATGTGGATCTACGATTCGGAGACTGAGAAGCTTGTGCAACGCGATATTTCGTACGTGCCCGGACTTTACAAGGTAAAATTTACTTTTTTTTGGGTTTAATCGATTTTAGATCTTTGATGAAATTCTGGTAAACGCTGCCGATAATAAGCAACGTGATTCAAAGATGAACTTGATCAAAATTGATATCGACAAGTAAGGAAAACTTTATTGGTGACAATACATCATTTTCAGAAAGCAGAACAAGATCTCTGTGTTTAACAATGGAAAGGGAATACCCGTCGCTCATCACAAGGTTGAGCAAATGTATGTCCCTGAGTTGATCTTCGGAACTCTGCTTACCTCGTCGAATTATGATGACTCTGAGAAAAAGGTGCGCATTCCTTGTATCCCTCATTGAATGACACTATTTTGAAATGTTTCGGTGTCTAAATTAAGGTCTAATCTTTATTGTTATAAACTTCTATGTATCGTTGTGTTTAGGTTACGGGAGGTCGTAACGGTTATGGTGCAAAGCTGTGCAATATCTTCTCGACGGAATTCACGCTTGAGACGAGCAGCAAAGAATACGGCAAAGCCTTTCGACAAACCTGGGTCAAGAACATGACAAAGGACAAGGATGCAGAGATTGTGAAGACGAAGGGAGAAGACTATACGAAGGTGAAATAATCGAGTGGTTATTTGTTGCTTTATCATCTAGATTTGTTTTAGGTCACTTTCAAGCCGGATTTGGCTAAATTCAAGATGACTGAGTTGGATGATGATATCATCGGATTGATGTCACGACGTGCTTTTGATGTGGCTGGCGCATCTCGCGGCGTAAAAGTGTACCTCAATGGAAAAGCTCTACCGGTTTTTTTGCTTTGTTGGAATGCAATTCAAAAGTACGTTTTAGGTTAGTGGCTTCAAGCAATACATCGAGCAGTATACAAAGGATATCACCGAGAACACTGGGGAACCAATCAAAGTCTGCTACGAACAAGTGAACGATCGCTGGGAGGTGAAAAGTCGGACTTTCTGTAAGACTTTGTCTTTAGGTTGGCTTGTGTGTCAGCGAGAAAGGCTTCCAACAAGTCTCATTTACTAACTCGATCGCTACGACAAAGGTTTTGATTTATGATTTTGAAGAAACGTTGGGTGGTTTCTTTAGGGTGGTCGTCACGTCGACCACGCTGCGGACCAAATTGTCACAAAGTTGATTGAGACGATCAGAAAGAAGGCTGGCAAAAGTTCGGTGACCGTGAAACCCTTCCAAGTCAAAAATCACATGTGGATCTTCGTGAATGTTGGTGCTTAGAGTTTAATTCAGTTGCTAACCAAAATGTCTACTTGGATTTAATAACAAATTTAAGGCCCTGATCGAGAATCCGACGTTCGACTCTCAAACCAAGGAAACGATGACATTGCAGGCTAAGAGCTTTGGCAGCAAATGTGAGCTCAGCGAGAAGTTTGTGAAGCAGGTAAAAACGATTGCTAATACTTATAGTTGACTTTTTATTTTAGGCTATGAACTGTGGAATTGTCGACGCGGTACTCTCGTGGGTGCGCTTCAAACAGATGGAGAACTTAGACAAGAAGTGCTCATCCAAGAAGACGAACAGGCTAAAAGGATTACCAAAATTGGAAGACGCCAACGATGCGGGAACAAAAAATTCAGTGTACTGCACATTGATCCTCACTGAGGGAGATTCAGCAAAGGCAAGATTTAACTTAATTGCGTTTCTGACGTTTGTGTTTGACATTTTATTAATCTTACTGTTACAGACTTTGGCCGTTGCCGGACTTGGAGTGGTCGGTCGTGATCGATACGGAGTGTTCCCGTTGCGAGGAAAATTGTTGAATGTACGCGAAGGCAATAACAAACAGGTAGAGTCTTTTAACGTGTTGGTCAAAATGTTCAGCTGATAAATCCTAAAAAGATGAAATTTTACTTAGGTTGCTGAGAACGCGGAGATCAACAACATCATCAAAATCCTTGGACTGCAATACAAGAAGAAATACGACACCGACGAGGACATGAAGTCACTTCGCTACGGAAAACTGATGGTTATGGCCGATCAAGATCAGGATGGTTCACACATCAAAGGGCTCGTCATCAACTTTATTCACACAAATTGGCCATCGTTGATCCGGCGCAACTTTGTCGACGAATTCATCACTCCAATTGTTAAGGTGGAGCTTTGATTGAAATGAAATTAGGGTCTTTGGTGGTTAGCTCTTATAATAATAAGCTTAATTTTAGGCAACAAAGGGGAAAGAAGAGATCCCATTCTTCTCGATTCCCGAGTACAAAGAGTGGAGGAACAACACGGAGAATTGGAAAACCTGGCGTATCAAGTACTACAAAGGTACTCGTTTTAGATTGCCATAAAATATTGCTTTGTTTTAGGATTGGGTACCTCTACACCAAAGGAAGCAAAGGAGTACTTCTCGGACATGACCCGACATCGAATTCGCTTCAAATACGGTGGTGTCGAGGATGACGTGGCTGTTGAGATGGCGTAATCTTTCAAATTTCAATTTCGGAATCAGAAAATTTCAGATTCAGCAAAAAGAAAATCGAGGAGCGAAAGGATTGGTTGACAAGCTGGATGAATGAAAAACGGTGCGAAACTTGGAAATTAAAAATGTTATATTAAATAAAGAGAATTGTGTCTTTGTAATGTTCCAACAAATCAGTTTTAGTGCACGCCGCGCTCAAGGACAAGAGGAGGACTATCTCTACACAAAGGTTTGATCTTTAATTTAAATCTGCATTTGTTAAGGGACAAACAACAAGATGGACAACAATGTTAAATGTGTTGTTCACGAAAATTTGTCCCATAAATTGATTATCTCAATATTGAAGAGAGTGCGAGAGCGGAAAGCATTTACTTAAAGGCTTGAGATAACAGCAATCTATTAAAAAGCTAATGACCGAGAACAAAAACTATTATTTTTTTTTTTCAGGACACTCGAGCCGTTTCATACGCGGAGTTCATCAACAAGGAACTCGTCCTCTTCTCAAATGCCGACAACGAGCGTTCAATCCCAAGTTTGGTCGATGGATTGAAACCTGGACAGCGAAAAGTTCGATATTTTATATGTGCCTGTTTATTTGGCTGGTATCAATTTGAACTTCTAAATTTAGGTTCTCTTCGCATGCTTCAAACGTGCAGACAAGCGCGAGGTGAAAGTCGCCCAATTGGCCGGAGCTGTCGGAGAGCTGACTGCGTATCATCATGGAGAGGCCTCGCTTATGAGCACGATTGTCAACTTAGCTCAGGTTTGCTCTGAATTATGCGTTGCCTAATTGCTTTAGGATTACGTTGGCTCGAACAACATCAATGTGCTGCTCCCAATCGGTCAATTTGGTACACGACTTCAAGGTGGAAAGGACAGCGCCAGCGCACGTTACATTTTCACAATGCTGAAGTGGGCTTTGTTATGATTTCTTTTCATATGAAATTTTAGTCCTGTTTCGCGTTATATCTTCCCGATCTCAGACGATCATGTTCTTCGCTTCTTGTTTGAGGATAACCAGAAGGTTTGTGAACAGTTGTTGGATGTTTTACCTGTAATTTTTCAGATTGAACCCGAATGGTACTGCCCAATCATTCCAATGGTTCTTGTCAATGGCACCAGCGGTGAGAAAACTTTTCTTTGGTTGATGTAGTATGGGAAAGTTTTTAGGGATTGGCACTGGATGGTCAACAAACATTCCCAACTACAACCCGCGTGAAGTGGCCGAAAACGTTCGTCGTTTGATTCGCGGCGAACCACTCCGTCCAATGGTATCATAATCGATTTAAGGCTTGTTCTAGTTTTATTTTAGAAACCATGGTATAAGAACTTCCGCGGCACCATTGAACAACTCGATCCAACGCGTTTTGTGTGTTCTGGAGAAGTGGCTGTGCTCAACGACGAACAATTCGAAATTACCGAGTTACCAATAAAGAAATGGACGCAGGATTACAAAGAGGGAACGCTCGAGCCGATGACCGAAGGAACGGACAAGCAACCAGCGCTAATCAACGAATTCAAAGAGTATCACACTGATACCACGGTTAGGTTCGTCGTCAAGGTGAGGAAACACTATATTGGGGAGCTCAAACGAAATATCTCTTAGGCTCCTCGTGATAAGATGGCCAACATGGAACGAGAGGGTCTCCACAAGGTGATGAAGTTGCAGACGGTGATCAATACGAGCTCAATGGTTCTGTTTGACGCAATGGGATGCTTACGAAAGTTTGTTGGATTAGGTGTGGGTTGCTAAGACAAATTTAGATTCGACACCCCCGAAAGCATCTGTCAAGAGTTCTTCGAGGTGCGTAAGGCAAAATACGTCGAGAGGAAAGCTTTCTTGGAAGGAATGCTGAAAGCGCAAAGTGATCGATTGACCAATCAGGTATAGACGACATACGCTTCTTAATGTTTAAAAATTTTAGGCTCGTTTCATTCTCGCCAAGATCAACGGTGAAATCGCGCTCGAAAACAAGAAGAAGACGGTGATTGTTGAGCAACTCGCGAAGAAGGGCTTCGATCCAGATCCAGTGAGGAAATGGAAAGATGAACAAAAGAAGAAAGAACTGGAGATGTGCGGCGAAATTTCTCAAGATGAACAGGATGAGAAGGAGGCGGCTGATGAGGTAAAGACTTACTTAGACTTTTATGAAACTTGAAATTTTCATTTAGGATTTGCCTACCGAGCAGAAGAAGTTTGAGAAGAAACTTTCCGACTATGACTACTTGGTTGGAATGGCTCTGATCAAGCTCTCTGAAGAAGAAAAAGACAAATTGTTGAGGGTTTGTAAATTCCTTGAAACTTTGCTGTGACCAACACTTTAGGAATCCGAAAGTAAGTTGGATGAGTTGAAGCAAGTGCGCCAAAAGACGTGGTCTGATCTCTGGAACGAGGATCTCGATCTTTTCCTCGTTGAGTTGAAGAAGCAGGTATGTTGTTTACTTATTAAAAAGTTTATGTGTCTTTTAGGAGGACAAAGAAAGGGCTGATGCAGAGAGCTCGGTGAAGACGGCCGCAAAGAAATTGGCTAAAGAAGAACCAACCAAAGGCAAGAAGAAGCCAACAGTTGTGGCGGTTCGTTGCATTTTAAGTATTATTTTATACGGTGCTTCTAGGAAGTATTCCCAGCCAAAGACGGACTTCGAGTTGAGCCGGTGATCGACAAGACGCTCAAGGAGAAATACGAGAAAATGGATCAACCGAAGAAGGAACGAAAGCCAGCGGAGCCAAAGCAGCCCAAAGAACCCAAAGCGTTAACGGAACCGAAGAAACCACGAGCGCCCAAGAAAGAAAAGAATCCGTTTGAAGTAACGTTAAAACTAGCCAATTTGCTATTTTAACTTTTAAAAAGAACTAATTCTTTTAGGATGGTGAGAAGAAGACGACGAAGAAAAAAGCCGACAAGTGGGACTCAGACGGAAGCAGCGATGAAGATGACGATATGTTTACCGATGACGATGAAGTTTGTTTTTGCACTAGCTCAAAACTTGATTTTGACAAGGATAAGGACATTTACAATTTACAAAACGAATTGTCATTTTTAGACGAACGCTTTCAAAGATAGTGATGAGGAGATGAGTTCAAAGAAGACGACTGCTGCTGATCGAAAGGTTCGACAAGGAAAGCGGCTCTCTGATCAATCGGCCAAGGAGAACGATAACACCGATGAAGCGGTCACTCTTGGTGATAGTCCAGTCAAGAATGTGGGTATTTGGGATTTAGTGAAAGAACCTGGTTACTTAGGGAATTAAAAACATTACGAAAGACTTGCAAATTTTATTTTTAGACCAAAGAAAACGGCAATGCTGCACCAAAGAAACCAAAAGCTGCTCCAAAACCCAAAGAGACGAAGCCAAAAGAGGAAAAGCCAAAAGCTGCACCAAAGAAAGCTGCCGCAGCTGCTGCGAATGGAGGCGCCAAGATGACCGATTTCTTCTCGAAGAAGGCCGCCACAAAGAAAGAGATCGACTCGGAGGACGAAGATGTGTCAATGGTGTCACTGGATGATTCCCCCGTGGCTCCTAGACAGGTACTGTTTGAGTTGAGATTACTTTGTATTATATTTATACAGACCGCCAGAACTAAAACATCATGCTCCTTTAGAAATCTGGCCGCAACGCCGCCGCCGCTCCCAAGAAGTACAACGTCGGCGACTCGGACGAGGATGTGGAGGAAGTGATGCCAAAAAAGAAGAGACGTGTCATCGACTCGGATTCGGATTAGTTACCCATTGATGTTATACACGTTTACTGATGTTCGGAATATTACCCAAAATTGTTCTCTGTATTTACCCTGCTTTTGCGCAAAAGCATAATTTTTTCGGTTGTTCTCATCATTTGATCTCCCTTTTTTGTAACTAAATTAACTAAATTCATTATTCCAGTTTGTTTTGCATGTCACGTTCTTTAAGTAGAAATCAAATAGCATTCAATATAATAAGCCTCGTCTAGGGCCAAGTAAACAGGTGGATTTGAGTTCTGAAAGTCTTAGCTTCTAGAACTTCGACGTCCTAGCCGACGCTTCTAGAACATTTTTGTTTTTAAATGGTGGGTTTTCAGGTAACCGGAAAACTGAGCTTTGGTTGCTTTTAAACGGAAAAAAACAGTATTGTCTTAGGAATCTAGACTTTTGCGAACTTTAATTGTTGAGCTTTAAAAGCTTTATATTAACGAGAGTAATTGTTGCAAAAGTCTGTTAAAAAACGCTTCAAAATTTCGCAAAGCACAAGAATGATTGCTCTCTTGTAGTGTTTCATCGGGTAGTCGAATCACAAATTTGGCTTCACCAATGTAGAGCATCGTAAATGAGGGGTTCTTCAATACAAGAGGAAAAAAAGAGGCGAGCTTAAAAATGATAATCCGGCGGGGGAAATCTCAAAGGGGTGTGGGGCGGTGCAACAAATTTGAAATTGGAGTGGAGAACTGGTAAAAGTGCTTCTCTTTCGCTGATTGAGAGGGAATCTCCATTTGCGTTTTCGTAGACATCTTTTTGCATTGATTCGAGTATTCCATTCAATATATACTCAAGCTATTAACAGCTGCAGCTTTTATGCAGAATCTCCAAATGAGGATGATTGGAGAGACAAGACGCGGTGAATATGGAAACCTGGAAAACCCCGACAGTCCGTCGTATAGCCTTTCGCAAGTAAAGGTGAACATTGGAGTTGAAGATTGTAAAGATTTGGCACTTTGGCAATACGAGTTCCGTAAACTTGTTTTGATTCATTGATTAATAGCTTGGTTGAAATAGAATTGTGGAGATTGGAGCTGCCATTTTGACGAGTACAAGTACCGTAATCTTGTCCATTATCTTATCTTGATCCAAAACTTTGATAAGTGCTAGTTTCGTAAGGTTACCTTAATTTTGCCTTATCTTAGAGTCATGGACAAAAGTCTTTTAACGTTGGTTTTCCGAAGTTTGTTTTTCATATATCTTGGTCCAAATTCGACCAATTTGCAAACGATTGAAAGATTTAAAGAGCTTATCATCACTAGTTTTAGCATTAGCAAAACGATGGATTCAATGATTTATAATATGGTATGAGCTTTTCAAAAAAAACAAAAATTTAGCCAAAAATTGATGGACAAAAGTCTTTTAGCATCACAGTTTTTTTCAAGAAATTTCTTTTTCTGTCTTTTTCCTTTTGATTTCTGGTTTCTAACTGTAGTTTTTTAGAGGCCCGACGCCTACTTATCAACTTCTGACAAAGAGAAAATCGTCAAAGCTCGAAAAAATGGAATGTTTAGAAAACCCGAGCTCTTCCGCTACCGAAACAACTGTATCGCTTGTTGTCTCCAGGGCCAAACTAGCGGGAAACGTTCATCGTGCATCAAAAAGTGGACGTCCACCAGTTACAACTTTACGAGAAGACAATGCGCTCGTTCTGGCCCACAAGAAGAACCCAAATCTGAATGCCTCTGATGGCGTGGCTATGGTGAAGCAACAATTTAACAAAGAAATTTCTCGAAAAACAGTGAGTCGACGCGAGATTGATGGATTGATGACTAGAAGGGCCGCCAAGAAACCTCTGATGGTAGCTAAGCAACGGAAGCTTCGTCTCGAGTTTGCTAAGAAGTATCAAAGTTGGACGTCGCATGATTGGGCCAATGTTGTGTTCACCGACGAATCGAAAGTCAATCTTTTCGCCCCTGATGGCAATCATTTGCTACGGAGACCAGTCGGACAACGTTACAAAATTAAATACTTGCGTCCTAAAGTTAAATTTGGTGGCGGATCGATCATGCTATGGGGTAAGAACCTTTTGTGCCTACTGATTTTTCGATTTCTAGGAGCAATGTTCAGAAATTCACTGGGGCCACTCGTCCTTCTAAACTTAACTAAACTTCTAAACTTAACGCTGAATGCTCAACGCTACAAGACGATTCTGGAGAATGATCTTTTACCGTTTTCGACCGCAAATATGGGCCAATACTTGTTGTTGTACCAGGACAATGCCCCGTGCCACAAGTCACAGCTGCTGATGGGACGCCGTGTTCGACTCGCCAATGGGGGAACGGCTCTGGTGCCAGGATGGTTCAAAGCAAACCGTGTTCAACTTGTGTCTGCTCCTCCCTATAGTCCTGATTTGAATGTGATCGAGAACTTGTGGTCGTTTGTGAAGTCGAAATTGAAGGGGAAACTATTCGGATCAAAAGTGGAGCTTTGGTACTTCATCCGTCGAGTCTGGACAACTATTAGCCCCAAATTCTACGTGATCTGGTTGACAGCATGCCAAGGAGAGTTCAAGCAGTAATTGCGGCTTGCGGAGGACCTACTAAGTATTGATTTTCATAATCTTTTTCTCACATTTTAAAAGACTTTTGTCCATCAATTTTTGGCTCAATTTTTGTTTTATTAAAAAGTTCATGACACCTGATAAATTGTCAAATCCATCTTTTTGTAATGTTAAAATTAGAGATAATAAGCTCTTTAAATCTTTTAACCGTTTGCAAATTGGTCGGATTAGATAACTTTCTTCTAAGTGAGCCAATCTTTATGATTTTGGTTTCATTTTGTAGATCTCAATAAGTGCAACAAAATGTAACCAAAATCATAAAGATTGGCTCACTTAGAAGAAAGTTATGGCGAGTTGCGCAGATGACCTTGTTGCGCAAAAAAAAATTGCGGAAACTAGCCTACCCCTTTCTGATGAATAAAAGACAAAGGGATAACAAATAGAACGTTTAAGAGGCTTGTACTTATTGAGATCTACAAAATGAAACCAAAAATCATAAAGATTGGCTCACTTAGAAGAAAGTTATGGCGAGTTGCGCAAATAAGAAAAGTACCCCAGAAAAAGTAGTTTTGAAGAAAAAAGTTTTCGAAAGAAAAAAATGCCCCCTCCCCCCCAACATCTCGAGATTCCGTTTCTAAGGCAATTTATCAGTCGTTATCATAAAATTTATTAGAGATAATAAGAGATAATAAGCTCTTTAAATCTTTTAACCGTTTGCAAATTGGATTTGGACCAAGATATACAAAGAAAAAACTTCGAAAAACCAACGTTAAAAGACTTTTGTCCATGACTGTAATCTTCTTGTAATCTTTTTTTGATGCATTTATTAAAATCTTGGCGCGGTTTTCGTTCCGTTATTGCAGGAATCAAAAGGAAGTGTTCAAGGTTGATCACTTAGTTCCACTTTCAGCTAGTTTGCTTACAATTAGCTACAGCTGTCTCCTCTCAATTGAAATTGAAAATCGCTGAAAGTTTCGGGTACTTGCCGTTCACTCGTATTTCATGACTTCGTGACTTCAACACTTTCTAAAGCATTGAGTATTTCAGGTGGACATCTTTCCGATGCCGCGTGGCAGCGTCGACGTTGTCCCGTCACCTCCATCCGCCCACCCGCTCGTCCAACCCCCGCCGCCCATCCCATCACAACCAAATTCATTGCCCACGATTCGCCGGGGACTGTGAGTGGCTTACATTTAAAACTTGTCTTCCAGTAAACACTTTAACACATTCACCATTCAATCCGGCCCACCGTTGATTTTTTGTGATTAACTCGAGTTTTTAAGGACTTTTTTGGTACTTATCGGTTATATCGCAACAAAAAAAGACCTTTACATCAAGTCAGTGAAAGCGGAGAACGTAAAGTTTTGCTATAAAGTTTCGTAAAAACTTTTATTCCAATGGCCGAGTTTTCTCAATTTCCCCTCCCGGGCATCCATTATTTTGATTTGTGAAATCGCTGTACATTTTCTCACTTCTGAGCCGTGTTGGGGATTGTCTCTTTGAGAAATCATCCCCAAATCCACCCCACCAAATCCCCTCCCTCGGCTCGAAATCTTGCAGAGATCGCCCTCAGCACCATATCATCATTCATAAAAATTGTAAAATTCGACGAGTTTAGTGTACTTTGTACTCAAATTTTGTAAACGTATCCCTGCTGGTGCAATGAATTATCTGATCGTACCAAAGCTTTGTTACAAGAAGTGCAGAATTCCTTAGGTCCAAGTGTGTGAAATGGTGTTTTAAAAGTGCTCAGAAATTTTGTAAACACATCCTTTCTGGGGCACGCGATTCCTCATTTTCTCGCATAAACGGTTTAGCATCGCAAGGGAAGAAATGAGGAATTCAATGCACGAGAGGGGGTGTGTTTGAGCACAGAAGTTTGAGCACAAAGTACACCAGAAACCAACAGTCCAACAAATCGTCGCCATTGGAACACTTTGGTTGATCGGAATTAGATTTCATTGCCTTTTTCTCGAATCGATTCCAATTGTTGGGCATTTCTTTTCTCATCAAGAAAATGTGAAGAGATTTGCAATTGAATAGAGGGGATTATCCCCACACAAATCCATAAAATCTTAGCGATTTTTCATTTCCCTATTCGACATTTCAAATTCTTTCTTCTCATTTCATTTTTAAGAGAATTTTTTTAGGGTTTCCCGGTTGTTTTTTTCTTTTTATTTCTTTCACTTTTTGATTTGTTTTTTGAGAATTTTAAAATCTGCCCAATTTCTTTTGAATTCTTGAAAATTACCCTTAAAATTTTGTCTCATTTTAGTGTACTTTGTGCTCGAATTTGTAAAATCACCCTTTCTGATACGCGGTTCTTACTCTTACTATTACTCTTACTCTCTTACTAAATTCGGTTCCTTATCTCTCTAAATTCGGTTCCTTATCTCTCTAAATCCAATTCCTTATCTCTCTAAATTCGGTCTGCTAGATGAAATGCGCTTATAAGAGAAACTTCTTGATAGAATGCAAAACTCGTTCTTTTACACGTACTCTTTGTGCTCGTATTTGTAAACGAACCCCTTCTGGCGCACTAATTCTTTCGTTTTTTGGCACAAACGATTTGTCATCAAAAAGGTAGGTGACAGTAGATTTCAGCTTTTAGTTTTCATTCAAAAATCACGCAATTCAGCAAAACCAAGACAAGGATTAGACTAGAGAACTCGCATCATCTCAAAGTTTTTGATAAGAGTTCCTAAACCAGTAAAACAACTGGTGGCGCGCGTTTACGACGTACTCAAATCTGTAAACGCACCCTTTCTAGCGCACTAAATTCCATGCAAATTGTAGCCACTTTAACGAGCGCACAAACTATAGGGAAATTTTTGTTCGCCTAGTTAACCCAGACGATTCAATGATCTGAAAAGTGTTTTTCTTTGAATTCCCTTCAAATGGGCTCCATTTTCCCTTTTGATCTCCCATGGGGATGACTGGGGGAAAAGATTTTCTGAAAAGAAAAGAAAAGAAACAAGTGCCAATTAAGGGAGGAGTTGGGTGATTTTAGAGCAACGAGAGAGAAAGCGAATTCATGGGCAAATGGGAAGGGAAAGTGGGGTGATAATTGGAGAAGATTGGAGAAGATGAGAGAAGATGAGAGAGGATGAGAGAGGATGAGAGAAGATGAGAGAGGAAAGTGAAGGCAACAATCCGATTCATCATGCTTTTGTGCTTTTTCTATGATTTTTGATTTTCCAATGTTTCGAAAAACGAACAGAATATGTGAATTTGAAAGCTAAAAAGTTTGCCTCGTGTGGATGCCTCGATTGGCTTTGCCTTGTCTGGATGCCTCGATTGGCTTTGATGCACCTTTTGGATTACTTGCCCATCGATCTATTTGTGTTCTATTGAGTCTTTGGGGGATGAAAGTTGCATTTACCGGACTTAGTATTCGTTTTAGGTCAAAGGAAAAGCTCTTTCTTGATTCGATATCTTTAGATTACTAGAGAGACAAATAACTTTTAACTTTAATTGAACTTTAAACTTCATTCACTCGAGATTCAGTCTTTACTCTAAAGTTTGTCTAGCTTTTTTTTGAATTTTTTGATTTTTTTGAATTCTCTAATTATCTAATAACATAAATGAATAAGATAAATAGAAAATTGAACTAATTATTTTGATTTTTAACACTAACTACGGAGAAGGCACTAATTTAAGGTAAAGGTAGAGTTTAAGCCTCTAGAATTGCGTCATGGTAGAGTTTGACACGTCGAATCCGACTTTGATGTCAAATATCTGGCGATTGAGGCGTTCGGAGGCAAAAATTAAAAACGCATTCGAATTCCCCGTGTCAAACTCTACCATGGCCCCACTACAGGCTTAAGCTTTCCCTTAACTCTACCAAACTTGGTGCCCCAGTAAGATGCTAGACATTGAGCCTAGATTATAAAATTTTGTCATATACTATTGAAGAACGAGAACAAGAAGATTTGCCCACTACTTTGCTGTTCTTTTGTTGACTGTTCTTTTATCCATCTTTTAGAAAACTTGACAACAAACTACACTTTTGAAGGAATTCATTTTTCCAACAAGCACTGCTGATTTTTGTCTGACTTTTCTTGTACTTTGTTAGTTTTATGTTACAAGGAATTGGCTTTACGTGCAAGGAGAATGCTTTTGCATTGCCTTTGTCCATCGATTAGAAGCTAGTCTTCTTCATTTCACTTTCGCTATTCTGATAAACTTTGCTTTAGCTTTAGATCCACCCTTTAGCAACTCTTCCTCGCTTTGGAATTTTGAATTTTAAAAATTTGGTATTTTAATAATGCTATCATCGCTTATTTCACGATAATTATATTTAAATTTAAATTTAAAACCTTAAAAAAACGTTTTGTTGCATATTTCGTTTTCTTTTTTGATAGCTAATTTACAAAGAATAAAGTCAACAATACGAATAGTAATATAAAGAAATAACAACAAGATAAACCTAAAGTCGAACTGAGACATTGGCCTGATTCTAGAACTAGCTCAGATATCTGCATAGCTCTGATATCTGCATAGCTCAGATGTCTGCATAGCTCAGATATCTGCATAGCTCAGATATCTCATTAAAGCTACTCAATATTTCTATATATTTAAAGAATTTATTTAAAGAATCGAATAGCTAAAAATCGTCTCATCTACCGTATTCCCTTTTACAATATTTGCCGAATATCGAAATGTCGATTTCGCCCTTTTCTTTCTCGGGATTATCCCAACTTTACCTCCCCGAGAATCCCGATTTCATTCATTTCATTCAGAAAGGAAACACTAGGATTTTCCCGTTGTTTTTCAACTCATTCATTCAGATTTAAGTGTTTTGATGAATCTAGAAATTATAAAAATCTGTAAACTCTTTCTCAAAGAACTGTTTTTCTAAACCATGTCACATGAATCTAGAAATTATAGAAATCTGTAAACCCTTTCAAAGAACTCATTTTCTAAACCACCTCACCGAAATCCCAAATTTTCCACCGTAATCTTGTCTCTATTTTTTTTCTATCCAATCTATCCAAATTACGGTAGAAAGAGAAAGTGAGGCATGCCCTTGGGGTCCTTGTTTCTAATAGTAACCTTAAAATGGGTCAGAGTTAGGGCTAGATAACTCTCGATCCTTATGGCTAGCGACAAGATTACGATAGTTTCTCAAAGGGAACACGTTTGCCCTGATTAGGGACAGGTCAAGGCTAGGTCTAACCTAAACCTATGCCCAACTTTGGGGCCAGACTTAAACCACGAAACGATCCGAGGCTAGACATAGAACCAAGCTTTCACCTAGTCTTAGGGTTAAATGCAATTACTGTAGTGAAAGCTATGGCTACAGTATCTCAAGTACCAAAGAATCGCCACTTCTTGCTTCATTCATTCAGCAAATCTCCAAAGGATTAAATGAAAAATCTCTCAAAATTCATTTTAAGATATTAACAAAAAAAAGGACAAACAACTTTTCCCGTTGAGAAATTGAAAAAAAATCGCCCGAAATCCCCTTGTCGGCTATAATCCGAACAGATCAGTAAAGGAAAAGAGATTTTCGGAAAACTTTTCCTCCAAAATCCATTAGTGATTAAAAAATGAAAAAACAGTGGGCAAATAGAGATAGAGAAATCTTTTTTCTGAATAATTTGAGGGTGGGATTTAGCTCGGAAGAGAATACTCTCATTTCACTGAATATCTTCATTTCAAAAGGCTATCTCGTTACTTTCGAGTTACCGTAAACCGCAGAGACACTATTTTTGAAGATTTCCTTTTCTAAAGCTTGAGCTCACGACTTATTCACGGCTTTTTAAGTTGTAAGTTTTTAAAGTGTTAGCGCAATTTAAACTTTAGGCCTGGGTCTGGGTTAGGCCAATTTAACAAGGAAACTTTCCGAACGGACCGTCACATTTCAACACGAAACTTCGGCACAAAGGTAAATCGATTACGAGAATTTCAAATCTGTAATCCGTTTTTGCCGACGGGCCTTGGTGTTCGAGATATAAGCGTGCAAAGTTTTGACGTTTTGACGAATTTCACCAAACTTCCGCCGGTCTAGTGGATAGTGCGCTAGGCTACAAAACCCATGAGAATTTTTGCCTGTCTGTTTCAATTCCAGTTTAGTTTGGCGTTTAAGAGTTTGGCAAAATTTATCAAAACGTCAAAACTTTGCACGCTTATATCTTGAACACCATGGCCTGTCAGCAAAAACGGATTACAGATTTGAAATCCTCGTAATCGATTTACCTTTGTGCCGAAGTTTCGTGTCGAAATGTGACGGTCCGTTCGGAAAGTTCCCTTGTAAGAGCAGGACCCAGTTCAAGTTTAGCTTTGGGCTATTTAGAGACCAGTCGGGATCTAGGTGACCCAAGGCTGGTCCAGACCCAGCTCAAGACACAATTCAGGGTTGGAATTGAGTTGGACAGCTTAAGGCCAGCCTAGGCCGAAGGCTAGATCATTCTACGGTGATTCCAGGCCAGAACCAGGGTCGGAAGCTGGTTAGACTAAGCCAGCCAGCGAAACTAGATGAAAACTTGATTCAAACAAAGACTAGACCCAGGTTTAACTCTAGATTTAAAGCAAGGACGATCACAAGGCGGCTATGACAGGGGGCAGCTCAGAAGTCAGAGCTAAGATGGTGGGCTCTTCTCAAAAATATGGGTCTTTTCATTGTGAACATCAGCCTCCAATTCTAAGCCTCCAATCTCTTCATACGTAAAAGCCAAATTCGATTTTCTTGGAACTAAATTTAGGGGTCAAAAATTGTTTCCAAAAATTTGGGCATAGCTAAAACACCTCAGTGATCTTTCTTTTGTTCTGTAAATTTGTAAGTTTCCAAGATAAGATTTAGTGTTAGAGAATGGGTTTTCACAGTCGTAGAACCTATTGACGGAGTTTATTCTAACCCTTTGTCTCAAGAGAATTGAATTGGCTTTGCTTTTCTATCTTATAGCATTTCACAATGAAAAATACCCAGATTTTCGAGAAGAACCACATGGTGACATCAACTGAAATTTGTATTACTTTGAGAAAACAAATTTTAAACAACTCAAGAGCGGACTTTCCGGTCGTTATCTTTCCTATTATCAAAGTCTTCAATTTGTCTAAGTCGAAACCTTTTTAATCTATTGCAGTTGTCTTTCTAGTAATAGAGCTTGATTTTAAAGTAAATCTAAAAGTATAGCCGATTTCCAGAATGATGGTGGCTCGTCTGAAAGCCGACGAGCGTGAAGTGAAGAGCGAGCCAGCCACCTTTGACAATGACAGGTTTGTGGATTGATTGATTGGATTCGATTCGATCTTCTGATCGATCTAGATAGAAATTATCATTTATTAGCCATAGTTTTGCGTTTAGTTTGGATATGTTTTCAATTTTCCAATGACATCACCACTTTTCCCAGAGAAAATCGGGAAATTCCCGATTTCCGGAGTTTCATTGAAAAAAAAAAAGAGAAAAACTCTTGAAAAGCTTCACCAAATTAATTTCTATATCAATTTCTATATCAAAATTTCAATATCTAGATATAGAATTATCATAGAATCATTATCGAACAAATAGCTACGGTTAGCCTCCATTCCCTCGGCTTATCCCCGGCTTTCCCATCCATTTTGATTCCCAAGAAAATCCCCGCGGATTTTTATCAATATTCAAATATTTCTTTGTAATATTTTAGCTTTTTATTGATCTAGCACGGATTTGGTTAGGCTAGGTCAGGACTAGGTCAACTCAAGAATTGAGCAGTTAAAAGCTTGATAGTAGATCAGAACCAGATCTAGGCTAGCCCAAAGATAAAAGGCTAGATCAAGGATAGATTCAATCCTTAGCTAGACCTATCCTAGCCCTAGCCAGGCGTATGGTTTTGAGCTTTGTCTAACTCTGAGTCAGGCTAGGATCAAGTAAAGACAAGTAAGATAAGGTCAAGAGAAAGCTTCTTAAGCTTTTTCTGCTCAGTTAGTTAGCTAATATCTAGCTCTTCAAAGCCAGAGCTAGATATAAGCTACCTAGGGCTAGGCTAGTTAAATTCTGACAGACTAGGTCTAGACGAGGTTAAGGTTAAGCCAGAATCAAGCTTATCCTTGACCAGGCTTGATCTAGGGTTAGGGGTAGATCAGATGTAATCCTGGACTTGGATTAGCTCAGGCCTGATTCTAGAACTAGCTCAGATATCTCATTTTTGATATAAAACTCTTTCACAAAAAAACGAACTAGTTCAATTTTTGTTATATAAATAACATTTCTAAAGTAAAAATACTTGAATTTTCTGTATCAAATGGTAGTTTAAAAGAAGGGTGATTCTAAAATGATTAACTTAGATTGAACTTAGACACTTAGACACTAAAATGATTAACTTAGATTGAACTTAGACACTTAGACACTAAAATGATTAACTAGATTGAACTTAGACACTTAGACACTAAATGATTAACTTAGATTGAACTTAGACACTTAGACACTAAAATGATTAACTTAGATTGAACTTAGACACTTAGACACTAAAATGATTAACTTAGATTGAACTTAGACACTTAGACACTAAAATGATTAACTTAGATTGAACTTAGACACTTAGACACTAAAATGATTAACTTAGATTGAACTTAGACACTTAGACACTAAAATGATTAACTTAGATTGAACTTAGACACTTAGACACTAAAATGATTCACTTCAAATGGTCACTTCAAAAACTTTTGAATCCTCTAGATCTTTATCGATTATCAAAAATTGTTTCTAATCGCATTTACTTCATTACTTTTCTAGTGAAGCCTCGGATTCGTCGGTTGAGTGCGAGTTGCCGGCTCGTTTCCAGCCCAGCCACCACCCGCACCCAATTCCATCCACCCAACGGGTAAAATAAAAAAAAATAAACATAAATCTCAATATGTAAACATTTATTAGTTAAAAGGAAACAATAATTTATGTCAAATTTGCAGGTGGTGGCCGAGGACGCGCTGTCTCGGACGATCTCCGCTCAGTCGTTGCCCGTGGGCACGTCGAGATCGATTTCAGGTATTTTATAAGATTCTTTTTTGTCATTTTTCTCTGAAATTATATTCTCAATCGTGCACTAAAAAGGATGCGTTTACAAATTTGAACAAAAAGTATTGAAATTTTTTAGATGGAGCCCAGTTGAGTCTGTACGAGCGAACGATTCACATGCTTGCCGAGGATCCGATGTATCAAAAAGAAGTAGCATTGGGTAATGGATTTGTTGAAAAGCTTAGTCTGTATGAGTCTGTATGAGTCTGTATGAGTCTGACGAGCTGACGAGCCAACGATCACATGCTTGCCGAGGACCGATGTACAAAAAGAGCATTGGGAATGGATTGTGAAAAGCTAGTCTGATGAGTCTGATGAGTCTGATGAGTCGACGAGTCTGACGAGCCAACGACACATGCTTGCCGAGGATCCGATGTACAAAAAGAAGTAGCATTGGGAATGGATTGTTGAAAAGCTTAGCTGTATGAGTCTGTATGAGTCTGTATGAGTCTGTACGAGTCTGACGAGCCAACGATCACATGCTTGCCGAGGACCGATGTATCAAAAGAGAGCATTGGGTAATGGATTTGTTGAAAAGCTTAGTCTGTATGAGTCTGTATGAGTCTGTATGAGTCTGTACGAGTCTGTACGAGCCAACGATTCACATGCTTGCCGAGGATCCGATGTATCAAAAAGGAGTAGCATTGGGTAATGGATTTGTTGAAAAGCTTAGTCTGTATGAGTCTGTATGAGTCTGTATGAGTCTGTACGAGTCTGTACGAGCCAACGATTCACATGCTTGCCGAGGATCCGATGTATCAAAAAGAAGTGGCATTGGGTAATGGGTTTGTTGAAGGCTTAGAAGTAAATTATCTAAATTTATAGCACTTTTTAGATCTTGCTTTATTTATTGACTGATTAACTGATATTTTAGGTAAACGAATCGGTTTCTATCGACTTGGTAAAGAGCTTGGCGCTGGGAATTTCTCAAAAGTCAAAATGGGCATTCACGTGTTGACAAAAGGTGAGAATTTGATCAAAAATTGAGGGAAGATTACGATAGAAATGAGTAACTAATGAAAACACTTTTCATTCTTCACTCTAACACTTAGAAATTGAGGGTGGATCTTTTTGAAAGTGATTTCCGGATTGAAAAAAAAACGAATAATTCATTTCCGGCTTTAAAATCCTTTAGAAAAAGTGGCAGTGAAAGTGATGGAGAAAACAAAAATGGATCAAAAACAGCAGAGATTGTTGGCGAGAGAGATCTTAACAATGGAGAAGATGAATCATCCACACATCGTTCGACTTTTCGAGGTTTCTAAGCTCTTCACTATGACATTAAGCTCTCCGCTATGACATTAAGCTCTTCGCTATGACTAAAAGCTTTCAGTGCGTTGAAACATTAACCCGAATGCATCTCGTGATGGAGTACGCGGGTGGCGGCGAGCTGTACGCCTATGTACATGATAAGGTTTGTGCAAAGGGATCTTCTTCAGTTAGAGCCATCTCTTCTCCACTAAAACGTTTCCTAAAACCGTGTCCCTTTCTACCGTAAACTTGTCTATTTTTATCCAATTTATAAAGCCTACTTATCACTACCGTTACTACAATGGTGCATTTAAATGAGCTTTAGGGGAAACTGACAGAGCAAGACGCAAAACCGCTCTTCGCTCAGATTGTCTCTGCCGTCCATCACATGGTAAACTTTTTGATTTAATGAATAAAGCAAGATCTAAAAAGTGCTATAAATTTAGATATATTCGATTTGTACGATTTGTACAAAATAAGAGTTCAATTCCTTGATCTATGCAAAGAATAGATCCCTTTCCATAATCCATTTTCAGCACTCTCGTGAAGTCGTTCATCGAGATATCAAGGCTGAGAATGTGATGTTCAGCGCGCCAGGACATGTGAGTTTTGGAGTAAAGTTGACGATTGTAATTCGAATCCAAATCTAAGTAGCAGAAGGAAAACTTTATTTGTAAGTCTTGAAGATTGCATTTTCAAATGATCAATGTCAAAATTCAATGTCAAATTGAAAGATTTCTGTCTTTCAAAATCGATTTTTAGGTGAAACTGGTGGATTTTGGTTTTTCGTGTCACATCGCCGGCTCGACTGAGTTGGCCACTTTTTGCGGTTCACCACCGTATGCGGCTCCCGAACTGTACAGGCTAGTTTTTGTCTAAAATATTTCCATTCCGTATACAATATTTGTAAAGTAAGCCGATAGTAGGCCAGACTTACAGTAAGCCGATCTACAGTAAGCCAGATTTACAGTAAGCTGATCTACAGTAAGCAATTGACCTGATCTTGACCTGGAAAAAGTTTCTTTGCTATCATCCTGTTTTTGAATCGAAAAGATTCATGATGGAAGCAATAAGTAATGCAAAAAAAAGAAGCCATCTTGTCATCCGCTTTTGTAACTCTTATACATTTTTAGGGACAAATCATACAACGGAACCATGGTCGACATTTGGGCATTGGGGGTTTTGTTGTACTTTATGTTGGTCGGCATCACACCCTTCAAGGGAGAAACGGTCGCCGAACTCAAAGAGGTCAGTGTACTCAAAAAAAAAGCTGACCTTAAAATTCCTTATGTTTGCTCGTCAAACTCTGCGAGTTTTTACTCACTATAAACATAATATATCATTTTTCTCATAAGCTTTTCCGATAGAATGTATTGTCGACCAATTTTGAGATTGGACAATTCATTCAAAAAACCAGTGTTACGGTAAACAGCTTATAAGAAAAAGGCCCATTTTTCAAACAATTTCTAATCGCCTTTAACTTTAGCTTTATTGATCTTTACACTCAACAACGAATTCGTTGATTTCCTTTCTCAATTCGTTGATTTCGGAGCCTATTTCCTTGTTCCAGGTGATCATCGCTGGCACCTATTCAATGCCTGAATATTTGTCGACTTTCGCGCAGCATATGATCTCGAAGATGTTGGAGATGGATCCGGGCAAGAGAATGGATATACACGATGTGAAAGTCAGTTCAAAACTTGAGTCTACCAGATAGGGTGTACTAGTGAGCACAAAGTTTACCAAAGAACGAGTCAAGGAAAGTTCTGTAAACGCACCCCATTTGGCACAACGATGAACCACTGAAGAAAAGGCTCGCGAAGCCGGACTTCAAGAATTTTGGCTAAGAATTGGACTCATTTCTGACCTGAAAATTGATATATGATTATTGCAGAAAGCCTACTGGTTGCGGGACATTAAATTCCCCCGTTCGTATCTCTCATTTCCGACGCTTCCCTCGAAAGAGGAGCTTGATTGCAATGAGACACAGCAAAGGGTTTGTCTTGGGCTGTAGATTTACAGGAAATAGATTTACATTTGAATTTTATGACAATTTCTAGGTTTGGGAGATCATGAATCGCTTCGGGATCACTGAAGAGATGTTGGCTGATACGACGGTAAAAGTTTCATTTTAAAAGCAATGGAATGTAAATCTTCTTTTTAGGGACCACGGAATTCAATTGTTGGCACGTATCGAATCGTACTTTATCAAGTGCAAGCCGAGAAAAAGGAGGCAATCAGGAAATTGAAGGTTGGACATTGATGGGGAAACGGGAATTGGTTGTATAATCGTAAGCTGTAACTTTCAATAGATGAGAGCTTAAGCAACCAGTTCTGAATCCCATTGAGTACTGTACCCAAGACGTACGAACTTGGGTACTGTACCCAAGATAGTAGTACTGTACCCAAGACGTACTATCTTGCGTACTGTACCCAAGATAGAAGTACTGTACCCAAGACGTACTATCTTGCGTACTGTACCCAAGATAGTTGTACTGTACCCAAGACGTACTACCTTGGGTACTGTACCCAAGACGTACTACCTTGGGTACTGTACCCAAGACGACTCGGGTGAGCACTTTAAACATAATCCGATTATCGTAACCCAGTAATTTCTATCGTAGTAAAGATTACTGTAACATCAAGCACAGAAATCTATAAAGATCAAGGACTACGGTAGCTGGGGTTGGCTTTAGAGAAGCTATTGTAATCGTAGAGATTACTGTAACAGTTAACTTAGAGCTAGGGAACGACAAGGTTTTAAAAAGTAATTTCAGTAGCTGGGTTCTTTATGAAATTCTCTGTAAAACCGTAATTATTGATTATAAACTTCGATTAAATAAAGAATGAGACTAAATAAAGAATGAAAAACGAAATCTAGGCAGCCGAAGAGTTGGAGGCGGTCGGCGGGAATCATTTGATGCGATCGAGCGGGAAAAAGCGTCGCCCACACTCCGGCAATCCACCAATGCTCAAAGATCGCAGTAAAACGTGTGCGATTCTTTAAAAATGAACAACTTATTCAAAATCAATATTCAAAATCATTTCAACTAGGTTTTTAAATACGATAGACTTTACGGTATTTCGTTTTTTTTTTTTTAAATATTTCAATTTATTTTTTAATCTTCATTCTTTTTGTAAATTTTTACGGGTTTCCATTTATTGAAAGAAAAGCAAGCAAAAGAATTTCCTCTATTTTCCCCTAATCCCTCTATTCCCTCAAATTTATTGCATTTGAAAGTTTTGTTTAAAGAAATCTTTTTTTTGAGAATATGCTAATAAATTGACTTTTTTTGCGGAATTTGTCAAAACGTCAAAACGTCAAAATTTTGCACGCTTATATCTCGAACACCAAGGCCCGTCAGCAAAAACGGATTACAGATTTGGAATCACCGTAATCGATTTACCTTTGTGCCGAAATTTCGTGTCGAAATGTGACGGCACAAAAAGTTTTTTGCAATTTCAATGAAAATTTACAAAATTTTTTTTAAATTTAAATTTTGGTTCCTAGGCTTAATAGAATTAAAATTTCTTATTCAAAGGAAAGGAATTTGATTTAATTATCCAAATTGCGAAAACTAGAAAACATTTCAAAAAGAGACTTAAAAACAGATAAGAAATTCGTTGACTAGTTCAGTGACCCAATTATACCCAAGGCAAAGCCAAAGAGCCGCGAAAATCTCGAAGTTTCTTATCACGTAGGGGCTGATTGTAAAAAAGGTGGGATTGTAAATTTTCGGGAAATCTTTCAAAAAGGTTTTGCGAATTTTTTTTTGATTACTTTTTTTTGAATAGTATGAAAATGCTTTTGCTTTACTTTTTTCCTTTACTAATATTTCTAAAAACAACTTTTGGAGCGTTGAAAGATGATCAGGTCAGTTCAATTGTCAGTTTTGAATTTTGAGAAATTCGAGAAATTCGATGCCATTAGAAAAACCCCCAATGAATTTTATAAAAGATTGAGTAATATTGAAGCAACGAGCAACGAATCAGTTCTCAAAGGAGTGCATTAGATTGGGGAAGTTTATGTTTAAACCAAAAAAAATAATCTTGGATTTATGCTGCTTTTTATGCTACAGTATCCTGTGTACTTTGTGCTCTCGTGAATGCGCAATCTCTGGCAAACAATCCAGTGTGCCAGAGACCGGGCGTCTTTGCGCAGCTCGAATGAAAATCCGACTTTTTGATCGGATTTCAATGTCAATAGAAAGCTATTAAATGAATGAAGTGTACTTTGTGGTTGAGTCTAAACGCATGACTTCTGACGCACAGGTGGCTTGTTGAGGTGTGCATAAAGGGGTTGCATTTCTCCCACCGCCCATCAAAGTATAGGGAAGATGAGCTTAAGGGATCATTGGTTGATAAGAGGTGGCATAAAAATAGGTCGCATTTCTCCCACCGCCTAAGCCCTAAGCCTAAGCTAAATGTTTACTAATCTAATCTTTTAAGACAAAATGTATCATCACTTAAGATCTCAAACAATCCCAAAAACTCTTCTTTTTAGGTTATGAATTTACCGGGTTTAATTTTCGAGACGAATTTCAACACATATTCGGGGTATTTGTACGCGAACGCCGATCAAACATGGAAGATGCACTATTGGTTTGTTGAATCACAAAATGCCCCAGCGACAGATCCGTTTCTCGTGTGGTTTAATGGAGGTGAGAGTTTTTCTGGTTTTCTGGAAAAAGTTACACTTAAAACAGTATGCAAAAGCAGAAAAGTCGATTATTCGACTCTTAAAGCATTCGACAGCTTTACACAATTGTTCTTGTTGTTTTTGTTGTTTGTTTATTGTTGCCAAAAAAGCAATCCGGGGTTTGCTTTGAGGCTTTGCTATAAAGCCATTGGCTTTGCTATATTGGGTAACTAATCGAGCTAAAGAAGCTGTTCGTTTACATTTTCACATAAAATTATATGATTTCAGGTCCTGGTTGTTCGTCTTTTGCCGGAGCTTTCGAAGAGTTGGGTCCATTTTACGTGAATCGTGATGGAGAGTCGCTTTATGAGAATGTTTACGCTTGGAATAAGGTTTTTATATGCAGAATTTGCCGGCTTAAAATTGAATCTAAACATTGAATCTAAACAATTCTAGAGAAAGTTTTTCGGTCATTTCAGCATTTCAGTTTGCGAACGTGCTTTTTCTTGAGTCACCGATTGGCGTCGGTTTCTCCTACAATACACAGGTTGATTCGGATGTTGAATACAAAAAAGAAAACACTCTATTGTAGATTGTAGATTGTTGATTGTAGATTGTAGATTGTAGATTGTAGATTGTAGATTGTAGATTGTAGATTGTAGATTATAGATTGTAGATTATAGATTGTAGATTGTAGATTATAGATTGTAGATTGTAGATTGTAAGAAAATAAGAGATATATGCTACTATTAAGCTTACGAAATGACTTTTCAGCTAGCAAACGACACCTCTCACAAAGATGACCTCACCGCTGATCAAAACTATGCGGCACTCGGCGATTTCTTCACAAGGTCGCTTTGAATGAATTTATCCCAAAGTTTAGACTAATTAAACCCCGAGTTTCAATTGATAGACTAAATAAAATGAACATCTCCAATCGATTCACCGATCCCGAAAACCCTCAAGCACAAATTCACAGCTAAAAAGCTTCTTTTTGTGCCATCTGCAAAAGAGAAATCTCTATGTAAAGAAGTGTTCTTTGTGTGAGCGAGTAATCGCTCGCCTTCTGGCATACGTCCATAATAGATAGGTATTCCTTTTGGAACCGGCTGGATTGAAAAGTTGAATTTTGAACCGACTGTAATTCATTTGTACTCTTTTTCTGACATAGGGTATTTTCAATTGTACTATATTTTCTGTACTGTAGATTTGCAGAGTCGCCCCCGAGTACTCAAATCGATCGTTTTTCTTGACGGGTGAATCGTATGCTGGCCATTACATTCCCCAATTGTCGATTCGCCTTCTTTCCGGCATCATCAACGGGACTTTTCCGAATAAAAATTTCCTAGTAACATTGAAATGATTTCTCTAAATGATTTCTCCTAAATACCTTTTAGACCTTTTAGTATACTGTACTTTTCCTTCAAAAGCTTTCTCATTCAGGGAATAGCGATCGGAAATGGTGAATTCAGCTCGCAACGCCAGACGAATTCGATCATTTTGTGGAGTTTCTATCACGGTCGCATCTCGCTCAAGTACGGAGAAAAAAAAGAAAGCAAAGAAAGCAAAGAAAGCAAAGAAAAACTATCAGGACTACAGTAAGATCACATTGTCTCACAATAGCATCGATGAACATAGAGCTCTTTCAAAAACCGACTCTTTTCTAAAGCGTGACCCGTGACCGTAGCCTGTACATAGCCTGAATCCGAAGAGTAATCCGTAATCTTGTACACATCAAGTAACTTGTACATCAAGTTGACTTGTACATCAAATAACTTGTACATCAAGTTAACTTGTAACTTGTACATCAAGTAACTTGTGCACACCGTAAACCCTAGCTTAACCCACACCATAATCTATGTTGAAAACTATAAACCCGTACCCATACCGTACTTTACCGACGAACAACAACATGGATTACATAGCCAAGATGCACCTTAACTCGTCCCGTAATCGTAATGAATGTTACCGTAACCCAATCAAGTAATGACATAAAAATAAAGAACAATAAAGATTGATGTAGAGAAATTCTAGAATAAAATGCATTTGTATATCAAATGAACAAATCTAATACACAAAAAAATCTCATTTTCTTCAAGTAACTCGAATTTTTTTAGTGATTGGAAATACGCAAAAGAGAAATGCAAAGGCGCCGATCCCACCGTCACCGACATTGATAAATACGATTTTTTTTATGTAAATTTTTCAATCCAATCCTTTTATCAATCCATGTATCAATCCATGTATCGATCCATGTATCAATCCATGTATCATTCCATGTATCATTCCATGTATCAATCCATGTATCAATCCATGTATCAATCCATTGTATCAATCCATTGTCTCAATCCAATCCATTGTCTCAATCCATTATATCCAAAATTTGAGTACTTTACGACGAACAACAGCATGGATTATTGGTCGAATGGGACTCCTTGCGGTGACCTCTTGCAACAATATTTGATTGTGCCCGATAGGTAAATAATAGAGATTTTTTTTAAAAGGATAAATCATTTACACAAATTTCAGCATGGATCCGTACAATTTCTATCAAGATTGTTGGAGTGCTGGGAGTAAACAGATCAAATCAAAATCACGTCGCAGGTTTGTTGGAGTCGAAAGATGAAAATTGTTTTCGTTTTTCTAAAGCGTTTCACATTAAATTGTATTACTTTAGCATGAGAAACTCTTTAAATTTGGCTTTCAATTACGTTATTGGCTTTTAAAATAACGAAAAAATAAAAAATTTTAGTCGAACGCCTGAAAAGTCGAAAGCAAAAGCGAGAAGAGTACGCCGAAACGCGCTTGACTCGAACACAGCGGTGAGCTAATTCGCTGATCGCTGATCGCTGAGTTTCTTGTGATCTGTTAGGATATTTGAGCTGAGCTATTAGAGCTGAGCTATTAGAGCTGAGCTATTAGAGCTGAGCTATTAGAGCTGAGCTATTAGAGCTGAGCTATTAGAGCTAGTACAGTACTATTAAAGTAGAAAACTTTAGTTAACGTTAAACTACGAGTCAACGGATAGTCAATGGGCGTACCCGTGTTGGAACGATGGATCGGTGACGAAATGGGCGAATCGACGAGATGTGCAAGCGGTTGGTGGAATACAAAATAAAACCTTAAAGCAATGTAGCAATGTTAGCTTCAAAATAGTAATATGTACAATAAAGTAATCTTATTCAGGCATTGAATATCGATGTAGCTTGGCAAAATCAGAAGACAAGTGGCGGTGATCCGTATCCGTGGATGGATTGCAAGTAAACATTTTTTATCGATTCATTCTGCTGAATTTCAAATAGATTAGAAATCAGTTCGGCTTTGCTTAGGCTTAGGGAATTGTCTTAGCAATGGTAAGGCTTGGATCTTGGCTTGGCTTGTCTGCCTTGCTTGGCCTAGCTTCAAAATCTACGATCCTAAAAGATAACCCTAGAAAAAAAGGTATTGTACTCCTATCTAGAGTGTTTCTCGCATTCTAAAAGACATCTATTTAAGAAAACTACCGTAATCAAACTGTTAGTTTACATTTGATGAGCTTTGTATTTCTTTAGTCTTGTAATTTCTCATCATTAGATCCCAAAAATCCCTTTAACTCAATGTAAACTAACGATAATTTGGTTACGATAATTTTCTCAAATAAATGCATTTTAGAAAAGAATCTACCGTAATCTCTAGCTTTACTAGATAAATAAAAAAACTGAACTTCATCAGAAAGATCAGATTGAATTGATTAGAAGCTCTGATTTTATTCACTTCTTCTTGCTCACACTTTCAGCGATCACGCGATTTACAATCTTTACTGGAACGACTATGCAGACACTACTCAATTCTTCGACGATATCATTAAAAAAGCCGAGTTAGCCGGAGTAAAACAAATCGATAAAATAAAGCAGATCAAACAATTTAGCAACCAAACTTTCGGATGTTGATTTACAATGGAGACGTGGATACAGTGTGCAATTATTTGGGTGGCGCATGGCATTTGCAGAATATCGCTGAGAAGAACGGGTTTAACACGGTAAATTCAAATAGATTAGAAATCAGTTCGGCTTTGCTTAGGCTTAGGAATTGTCTTAGCAATGGTAAAGCTTAGATCTTGGCTTTGCTTAGGCTTAGGAATTCGTTCTCAGCGTTCAAGTGCGTTTACAAAGCCACATTTTCCTTTACGCAAATCTTTTCATTTCGTGCATTTTGTGGGCTCAATTCGATTTTTCTAGAACTCATCCCGTCAACGCTGGTACTACGCGGATCAGACAGCCGGCTTTGTGCAACGGTACACGAAGGGAGGGCTGGTCATCGATGTATTGACGGTTAAGGTAAAAATAACATTCATTGCCCAACGTCTGACTTTAGCTCAAGTTTAACTTGATCTCGTCATAGATTCTGGATCTAAACTAGATCTGGAAAACTAGTCTAGTATCAAGTCTGGATCAAGTCTAGGATCCCTGTAGCTTGCTACAAGGATACTAGACATCCTACAAGGATACTAGACACCCTACAAGGATCCTAGACACCCTACAAGGATACTAGACATCCTACAAGGCTTCTAGACATCCTACAAGGATACTAGACTTGATCCCTGAGCCTAGAGGACATGCTCTAGAGGAAGGACATTCTAAACTCTTTTTCTGTCACTTTTCCAAAGCCTACAAATAACAGCTTCATCTAATCAAGTCTTATTGACTTTTCGAAACAACTTTACTCTTAAATAAATGAAATTTCGCTTCTAGGGTTCTGGTCACTTTGTTCCAAACGATCGTCCGGGTGCCGCGCTACAAATGATCACGAATTTTGTTTCCCTTTCCTCACCAAGCGGTTCGAATGTGAATTACAATCAATCCGTAATCGATTTCATCCCAAATCCCCGTCCACTTTTGAACAAAGATTCAAAAGTTTCTACAAATCTCAATTCTTTGATAACTTATATTTTTGGATTCTTTCTTATTTTCATTTATCATTAAAAGATAAAATATTCTTTTAAATACAAATAAAATATAAAAAATGAATTTATTATCACATTTTATTGCTATTTTAATAATCATTTTATAATATAAACGAAATTTTGTCCAGCTTTCCTTTCTACTCACGAGAATCGGAAATGCACCCGTTCTGGTGCACTCAAATTCCTCTTGCAAGAATTAAGTGCGCCAGAAAGGTTGCTTTTACGAGATTAAACACAAAGTACTGAACCGACATGCCACCAGTGCGCCAGAAGTCGTGCGTTCAAGATTTTGATGCCCGAAAAGTTCAGCTTCTCTTTCTTCGAAATCGGCTCAACTTGGGTTGTCGTTTCTTTTCGCTTTCGAAAAGAAAAAACGGTAACGATGCTAATCGAGCTAATCGGGTTTATTCTATAATCGATACTATAGATATAATAATAGATATAATAATAGATATAATAATAGATATAATAATAGATATAATAATAGATATAATAGATACCAGCTAGTTGTGATGAAAAATGTTTTGTAGGTGATCGGAAATACGAAAGTAAAGAGGGCTGAAAGGCTAGTTCCAAGAAATACCAGCACCACGATTTGCACAAAAACAGTGACACAAAACAATAGTTTTGAAGAGAGTCAGAGTCGAGTTGGTCAACATCGCAAAATAGAGAAATTCGTTTTCTGAGTCGACATTCTCGTTTATAGAAAATAAGCGCTCGATTAATAGCTCGTGTTTGTTCCCGCTTTAGAGAGAGTTTCACTATTCGTGAAATTGTCCTACCCCGATCTCGATTCGATATTGTCATAGATATCATTATTTTGTGTATTGAGTTTCCTTGGGAATAGTTCGTAGGCATTCAAAATGATTCAATCACTTTCGGTTAGATGAAACAATTCAACTACACGCTGGTCGCTAATTTAGAGAACAAAAAGCAATAAAGGACTCGTACCCCAAAAGGATAGCTTTTGATATGCTCTTTTCTTTTTAGTCTCGTTGCAAGTCTCACCATTTATTGACCTATTCTGGTCCATCAGATAAGGCTCTTGGCACAATAGAGTCAATAAAACGTGGAATTAAATAAGATCAGCGTAATCAAGTCGAGTAAAGTTGAAAAGAGAAAAGAGTTTACGAAAAGGATGTCGACGTGTCATCGAATCGTCAGATATAAACTGAAAATATGAAAGATTTGTTGAAAATGTTCATTTTTCATTTAGAAACTACTGGATATGGAAAATCTGAGATAAAAGAAATAAGTTTAGAAGCAAAAAAAAACTACCGTAACACCTATAATAGAACACTTTAATATAGAGTGTGTTCGTCGCGAGTAAGTAAATACTCGGGTAAATTTGCATGGTAATTTTTTACTCGATTAATAGCTCGAGTAATTGTCGAGTGCGTTTCATGTAATGCGTTTCTTGTAATGCGTTTCTTGTAATGCGTTTCTTGTAATGCGTTTCTTGTAATGCGTTTCCTGTAATGCTTTTCCTGTAATGCGTTTCATGTAATGCGTTTTCTAAAAAGCGCGTTTAAAAAAAATATAAAAGCAATCTTTTGAGCCGGTTTTTTCAAAAAAAAATCATTTTTGACATTGGAAGGGAATTTTCGACCAAATCAGTTAAACGGCTGAGTATCTTTTAAAAGTGTCATATATAATGCGGGGCCCGTCATTTTTGCGTCATTTTTTTTGCAATAATTTTTGCTAAAAGTACGGTAATCTTTTCCCAAGTGTGCGTTTCAAAAAAACGCATTACTCGCGAGGAACACACTCTAATGCTAACTTTCGATCTGAAGCTGTATCATTTGTATATCGCAGCCCCATTATCGCATTCAATTGCACAGAAATGAAGTAGTTCAACAGATAGTTTAGATAGCAACCGAAACCGCCTCAACCCAATCGGTCTTCTCATCCAGCCGTACAAACCTTTGTTTTGTGTATCTCTTCGTTGTCGTACTGTTGCTGTTTATGTTTAAATCCTTTGTACGTCATTAAATTCTTTGTACGTCATTAAACCTTTGTACTCGCGAGGAACACACTCTACTTTAATACAATAAATTTTATGTCACCTTTAGTTTCGCCCCTCCTCGTGACTCGTGTTTTTTTTTATTCAAAATTTCTATAAGACAGCTAGTAGAAGCCAGTAGCTATAGTAGAAGACAAATCATTTTAAGAAAGAAAATTTTTGATCGCTGCGAACTGTGTTGAATGTTGAATGTCTAAACGACCGTTTATGGCCCATTCTCAAAGAGATAACATTGTTTTTTTTGTGAGTGAACGCCGCTATTCCCCCCAAAACTCACTCAATAAACACGATTTACGAATCGAAATGTCAACCGAAATACTTTTTGACTCTGATGCAGAAGATGATGTGATTCATGCAAGGGCTTCTGGCTTAGGATTTACGAGGATAAATGCAAGGAAGTACGTTCTTTCTATTAGGTTGATGCATAAGTCTTTTCGTTTTTTTCGTACTTCTGTTAAAAAGTAACAAATTCACCAATTAATCTATAGTTTGCTCTATAAAAAAAGTGTTTTTTTTGTTCAATCTTTTTAAATGAATTTCGGTTCACTTTCAAGCAAATTCGAGAGTGAAAAGCGCCTTTTTCGTAAAAATCTATAAAAAACTCTACGGAAAAATTGGCTGAATGAATTTCTCTGAAATTTTGGCGAAATATCAAACGTTTTTTTTCTCTATCTTTTATCTATTGACACGAAGATAGGTTTTCTTTAGCTAAGGTGTCTAAACCGCATCATCGAGTTGGCCCTTTTTGACTACCCGACTTCATACTCTCAAGAAAATCCAGGCATTAAATATTTTTAAACCCGTTTTGATGTTATTTTGCAGAAAAATAATTGGTTTTTCTAATGAAATCAACCGTAGTTTAATTTAATTCGTGCATTTGTTGGCTTGAAAACGGCAGACGAAAAGGAACAAAAAGACTTATGCATCAACCTAATAGTTATCATTTTAATCAACAACTTTTGTTATATGATTTGTTATATGAAACTCCAAGATCTATTCAAACAAAGAAATTTTTTTTGTTAATATTTTTGATTCGATCTTTTGAATTGATCGATTTAATATTATCATTTGCTTAACATTATAATTACAGAAAAAGAGTTGTTAGAAAGTGGCCAGTTGGAAGGATGTCAACCGAAAATGGTCAGAGTGGCCAGTTGACTTAAATAATGCGATGAAATGATCATTTATAGAGCTTCTTTTATAGAGCTGGTTGCAAAACATCTGTTTTTTGGTTTAAAATAAAAACCTCTTTTTTTTGTGTAGTTGACTCATCGAGCAATGCCAAAAGAATACGATGAGCTGATTTAAAAGTGAAAGGAATTTGTCATTTAGTATATTATCGTTTGCTTAACATTATAATTACAGAAAAAGAGTTGTTCGAAAGTGGCCAGTTAACTCAAATGATGCGATGAAGCTCTTCAGACACGAATTTGAAGCACTGAGCACACTGAAACATCAGAATATTGGGGAAATGATTGGATGGAATCCCGATCACCACGGATATGCTCTCATTTTTCTGAAATATATTAGCAAACGCTCACTTGCTGATGGTTTGTTTTGGGGGGAAAATTGAAAGATCGAAAAGTTTTAGTGATTTTCAAGAAATGCTTTCGATACTCGGCACACACAATGGTCTATTACTTGATCGATTTGCTGAATGCCGTCATGTTTATGCATTCGAATTGTCTTCTCCATCGCGATTTGAAGCCATCAAAGTCGGCTCAGTGACTTGTAATTAGTTCTACTAGACTAGTTCTATTAGATTAGTTCTACTAGATTAGTTCTACTAGATTAGTTCTACTAGACTAGTTCTACTAGATTAGTTCTACTAGATTGGGTTGTCCAGTTATGAATGCGCGTTTTTACTATTTTGTAAATATCTCAAGATATCGAACAGATGTATATGAGTGTTATATATCATTCGAAAACTGAAGATCTCCTCTACATTTTAATATAAAAATTTTTTGAATTCATTCAACTTTTTGAGAAATTGACTGCCCAAAGGGAGAGGTCGTTTTCGAAAAAAAAACCCATTCCAGCTTAGATATTCCTCAAGTTTCATGGCGTAAAATAATCGCCCAGAAAAGAAAAGAAAAGTAAAGATGCTCTGAAATTGTGATATTTAAAAAAAACTTGTATTGATATATCTATTGGCCAAACATCAAATGGTTAACTCAATTTGAGCGGAGCCAAAACTTGATCCAAAGGCACCCTTCCATTTTTTGCCCACCTCCTCTTCTGTGCAGTCAATTTGCCCAAAAGCTGGACAAATTCAAAAACTTTTTATATCAAAATGTAGAGGAGATTTTCAGCTTTCGAATAATACTCATATATATCTTTTTCTTGATTTCGGTATCTTGAGAAATTTACAAAATAATAGGTTGATGCATAAGTCTTTTCGTTTTTTTCGTACTTCTGTTAAAAAGTAACAAATTCACCAATTAATCTATAGTTTGCTCTATAAAAAAAGTGTTTTTTTGTTCAATTTGCATCTTTTTAAATGAATTTCGGTTCACTTTCAAGCAAATTCGAGAGTGAAAAACGCCTTTTTCGTAAAAATCTATAAAAAACTCTACGGAAAAATTGGCTGAATGAATTTCTCTGAAATTTTGGCGAAATATCAAACGTTTTGTTTTCTCTATCTTTTATCTATTGACACGAAGATAGGTTTTCTTTAGCTAAGGTGTCTAAACCGCATCATCGAGTTGGCCCTTTTTGACTACCCGACTTCATAATCTCAAGAAAATCCAGGCATTAAATATTTTTAAACCCGTTTTAATGTTATTTTGCAGAAAAATAATTGGTTTTTCTAATGAAATCAACCGTAGTTTAATTGGTGCATTTGTTGGCTTTTAACGGCAGACGAAAAGGAACAAAAAGACTTATGCATCAACCTAATAGTAAAAAACGCGCATTCATAACTGGACAACCCAATAGATCTAAAAATTATTACCATAAATAAAATAATAAAAACTCCTTTTCTATTATTAGATCTGGTGACATTTTTGTTAGAATTTTAATAATAATAATAATTAAAATGAAATCTCATTCATTTAAGAAGTAAATGTGATCTTTCCAGCATTATGCTCGATGAAAAGAATCGTCTTTTAATTATCGATTTCGAGACAACGGTCACAGACTTTGATCAGCCGGATACTTTCAGTTTCCGCTTTGGAACAGATCAGTATCGACCGCCGGAAATTTTTACAAACAATGGGGAACGTCCCAGGGTAGTCCTAGAAAGGATCAACTCCTTTGTTAGCTTTAGTTTGGAATTGAGCTTTAGTTTGGAAAGAAAGGTGACACGTTTGCTATTGGCATCATTTTATGGGAAATGATTCGAAGACGGTAACTACAAATCCTTAAACCTATTTAGTACTTTTTTTTGTTGTTTAGTCGACTTGAGATCCTTTGTGTGGATTGCTCAAGTCCAAAAGAGTACCGCGAAAGGTTGATGTCCCCGATTGCTAAATGTCACGAAAAATTCGAGGAAATTGTTGCCACGTGAGTATCTATGATAAGAAAAGCTAAGCTAATTCTTTTCTTATTGTTTGAATAACCTTTACACTTCTTTATTGTTCTCTTTAGATGCACTTTTCACTCACCGGAACTCCGAGCTTCATTGTCGGCTATTTTGGAGCTTGTGCACAAGATCAGAAATGTATGAATTGAAAAAAAAAACAAACTATATGGGATTTCAGAGTAAGATGTTTGAGGCCTATGATCGGGATCCATTCTACGATCCACTATGTGAATCTATTCATCCACCTGAGGGCCTTGGAATGGAACTGGAAATTGAAGAGTCCATTGATCCGCCCACTCCCTCGATTGGCTCAAATAACAATGCAACAATGGCCGACGAGATCAAGGAGCTGACGGAGAGACTCGATAAATCCGAGCAAGGAGCCTCCCGAATGAGAGAAGCAAACAGTATCCTCATCGACCATGTCAGAGAGTCGAGGAACTTGATCAAAGCTCTCGGCGAGAGCTTTCAGAGAGAACGCGAGCAGCGAGAGCACACCGATTCGGCCTTTGAAAAAGCTAATCTGTATTTCAATAATGCAAAGAACCAGATGGAGATCAACAAACAGTTGTTGTACGAGAGAGAAACGGCTAAATTCCGACCACGGAGAGAGATGTGTGGAGATATGTCATCGGCCGAGGAACAGCACTTTCGACAGCAGAGACCGAGGAGTCAGAGCAGGATGGGATATCCAAGATTCACTAGTCCTCCTCCGCCAAGATCTAATCGTTTGACTCCAGAAGATCCCTTTGTTAGACCAAATTTATAGTTGAACTGATCTATTGTACATAAAAGTCTAAAATTCCATATTTTTTTGTTGGCTGGCAATGCTAGAAGTATGCTTTGAGCTTGAATAAATCGTTTTTTGAATTCAGAATCAGATATTTATTAAAGAAACCAAACTATTAGCCTGGTCCTGACGGCTTTTTGCAAACTCAGCTATATCGAGCTTGTGCACAAGATCAGACATGGAATGAATGGATCCCGATCATAGGCCTCTAACTCTGCAAACTCAGCATAATCGAAGACCTCACCGCAACCCTTTTTTGCAGTTATTAACCCGCCCGCGTCGACGCTTAGTTACGGAACGGGATGGCCAAGTGATTAGCGGCCTCGTCTCTAAGGCCACCGGCAGTTGTAAGGCTCCGGTTCGACTCTTGGGAGAGTTCGTTTAAGTTTTTGTTATGAAAACACACCAACGTTAAGATACGTAGAAGAGTTGGATGATAAACCAACGTTCAGCCGCTGCTAAGAGTGGTCGTGATTTGGTTCTTATCAGCTGGTAATAACTAATAGCAAGAGCTACTTAAGAAGCACGAAGGCTCGTATTTTGCAAAACCACCTGTACAAAATAACAAGAATCGATCGCTTTCAAGTAGCTCCAATCATTAGAGGGACACTGTAAGAATGAGTTTATTGATTTTAAGATTTTAAGTGTAACTCAAAGTTAACCATTCTGTCGGTGGAGCAGAGAAACGGGGCATAGGTGAAACAACCCCCGGTAACCCATTTGCCACTCTATGCACCCATGAAAACGCAAACATCTACACCGTTTGACCGTGGCTCATCTAAATGGCTAATGCTGATGTATTTTGCTTGAACATCATCAACCACTCTCTAAAGTTTAAAGAGTGAAGAGAAAGGGGCATAAAATCGGCTCTATTACAGTTTACAGTTTAGTTTATCCTTTGATATTACCCGGAAAGCAAGCACGGTGCAAGCTGTAATAGAACCATAAAATTCAGTACCCAATCACCGTATCAGTTCACCGTATCCCGGAAAATGTAGCCTTTCAATTCGGCTACCCGATAGAATAAAAAAACTTTTAGAAAACCCTGTTGTTTAGTACAAGAAAAATGATCGCAAAGTGAGAGCAGACTAACACTACACACCCATACAAAAGACGGTACGTCGTCGTTTGTATTGCGACGTCCAGTCGGTGCTTTCACTTTGCATGATTTCTCTTGTACTCGCACCAATTGTAGGCTATGGGGAATGGCAATTTCATTCGTCGCAATCTTCATGATCCCAGGTAATTCAATTCCGAAATCGTGATACTTACTGGGTGCCCAATTCAGATAGGTAGTTGGCCGCCCATCATAATATGTCCATGTATTGCTCCCGGCGTTCCACTCAACTCCAATGTACGATGGTTCTTTTTGAATTCTTTTGATAAGCTATTTAACTTCAATTCTTTTCAACAAACGTTCTTTGATCAAGCTGAGAAGGTAGCTGTTCTCGTAGGCGTTCTGAATTTTCACCGGATCTGTGTTCAGCGCTTTGCAACTTCTATTGGCATCGTAGACAATCATAGCTAAATTTCGCCATTCTAATGTAGGAAAATATAACTCGAGCACTTACGAGTAGAGTTTGCATAGACACAGACAAATTCTTGTGGAATCTGTTGGCTTCCCTTTGGGCATTGGAAAGAGTAAACTTTCTGGCAAAAGAATAGACAAATTAATAGAATAGATCTCATGGTTTGTCTCAAAAATCTCTTCAATCGGTAAGCGTCAATTGTTTTTTTTTTAAATTCGATAGCTTATCAGCACTTCCGTCTGGGAAGCAAGAAAGATTTCTTGGAAATGCTTGCAGATCATTGTCCTTTATTGTTTGCAGGCTGCAGGCTGTTTGCAGGCTGGGCTTTGGGGGGGGGGGGGGTGGGGGGGGGGGGGGGGGGGGGGGGGGGGGGGGGGGGGGGGGGGGGGGGGGGGGGGGGGGCAGGCTGTTTGCAGGCTTCGATGAGTGAAATTCCAGTAAACTTTGATGATAGGGTCTAGATGAATAGTAGTGTTGAGGCAGAAACTCAAAGATAAAGGCATTAAAGAAGTCATCACTTGAAGTCATTCTTCTAATTGTTCAACATAGATTTGATTTATTTGAAGCTCTCTTTTCAGCTTATATTTACTCTATTGATACTATTGGATTGATTTTAAGTGCTTCTAAATAGTTTCATTCAAAAGTGTTCAAGAATCTCAGGAAAATCAAATCAAATCAAATTTTTTCTTTCCGTTCCGGGAACTTTTAACTTCATTTTTTGTTTCGTTTCGAATTCCCGATCCCCGAACGTTTTTTTGGGAATTTCGTGAACGGGAAACGGCGCGCGAACACTCTTGCTTTAATTTGATAAGATTACAAGAAGAAAGTTCTATAGACTTTCAAGAGTAGACATTTTTTCATTTTATTTAACACCATAAATCTGTAAACAAGTTTATTATTAAAAAAAAACACTCATTGAATAGAAGCAAGAGGCTTTTTGCAGATGTATCAAAAATATTGAGCTAGATCCTGTGGATCCCAACGCAGGCTCTGCCAGATTTACTGTCCTCCGGGCCTACTAGGAGAGATTAGAAGAGAGAAAAGCAATCTTTACTTTTAACCCTGAATTTTATCGATTATTTTTAAGTCTTAATCATCGTTATTACAATTTAATTTAGAAATCTATTCCCGAAGCTCTTCTCATTGAAAAAGAAAAAAAAAATCGATTTTTTTTAAATAGAAGTATTAGATTGGCAATTTGAAAGTTGGTACACTTATTCATTGAACTTTTTAGAAATAACTAGAAAGGATCTGATTGAAACCCTAGGATTTGTAATGATTTGTAGTGATTATTGTTGGTTTAGATATAATCTTTATTACAGCGATAATAGTTGGTTCAGTGGTTTGAGATTGGGAGAGTAGAGGCCCTCCACGGCACACATCGGCAGCTCGTTCACATTGCTTTTATACGGAACTCGGGCGTTCGTCTCGTCTTCCACACAATGGAGTTGAACGGATAGCGACGCATATTAAATCTCGCACAATAGGCGTTCGTCCACATAGGTGCCTAGCTGGCCATTTCCATACGTGGCGATCTCGATCACGAGATCGTCACGACAACTAGAGCACCAATTAAGCACCAATTAATCTACAGTTTTCTACCAATAAAATAATCTAAAATTTTAGTTTTTACCAATAAAAAAAAAGGTCTATTTATTCTCTAGAAGAAGCTTTTGAAAGATTTAGAAAAGCATCGGTTTAGATTGAATCTAAATCGGACGGAAATCTAAATCGGACACAACATATATATACAATCTGTCAAAAATTATAGACCCACCCTGTTTTTTGCTAGTTTAGAGCCGGATATAAGTTTATGAAGGTGAGTTTATGCCAATCAATACACCAAATCTTTTAAAAGCACTTTAGTCTTTGATAAAGGCTAACGAAGGTGCAACAATTGTGTAAGTGACTTACTATTAGTTCGTCTATTAGAGGAAATACCCCTTTCAATAATTATGTTTGATAAGTTTGGCCAATTAGCATTAAAAGTTGGTTAATTAGGCTTTATCTTAAGTATGTTCGGACTCGGACGTTCGAAATCGATCACAAGATAATCAATGACCGGATTCGGACGTCCGGATCAGATCCTGACGTCCGAATAAGATCCGAACGTAATATAGATACATATGTTTGTGCTTAGAAAGTCACCCGAATACGACTATGCTTTGACTGTGTGACTATAGGTTGTTTTGTGAAAAGGGAATGCGGGTGGGGAATGGATGGAAATGAGAAAGGCACGGGGACCACCCACAAAGTTTCCTTTTAGACCACCCATCACAATTCCTAACACAGAAAAATCCGGTGCACGATCTAGGGCTTTCTCTTCGTGGCGTGCTCGACTCTGGGTCAGAAGCCAGGTCTCTGACTTCTTACCTTATCTTACAGCGGTAGCGTATCGTTCTTTTTTTCTCTGGAGTGTACAAATTTAAGCACAAAGTACATTTTTTAACTGTCTTATTCACAAAGTGCAATATTTTATAATTCGATTTATCAAAATAAAAGGATAAAAACTATTCAAAATTCAAAAAAATGTATTAATTATCATAAAAGTGAATAAACCATAAGGAAGAATTCGATTTTTCAAAAAAAAAAACAACAAAAACAATAAATAAACAAAAAGTGCTATAATGGTGCATAAATTTGAAAACAAATTTAAATCTATCAAGTTGCCTAATTTGGATTACGGTAATTTGTCTAAAATATGTTGGTATATCTTTTAGAAAACGAGTCGGATGAAAGCAGCAATTATTACAATAAATCACATCATTATTATTTCGCTTTGCTTAAAGGAATTGGTCCTTGTTCGATGAGGATATCCAATTCTGCGTCCCATCCGAGCAAATCGGCCATTTTCCGAGCTCCTTCATCACAGGATCCTTTCCAGAAAACGTCTCTGCAAAAATGTTTTGTTTGTAGACTTGCTTTCCTCTCACAGTAGCAAATTTTGAGATAATTTACATCTGATTTTTGTTACAGTAGCTTTCTGCCTATAAGAAAAATAGTGCTTTATAGACTATGAGCCGGTCAAGTTAGTACCAAATAGAAATAAGCTTGATTCTACCGTAATCCAGTTTCAATTCTGCACTAGACTTGGCCTATCAAAACCAAATCAAAACCAAAAGTTGGGATTTTCGACAAGTGTGAGCAACACCAAAAGGGAGTTCTTCTATTTAGTTTTGATAGCACACGTCTATTCTGCACTAACTTTGATCTGTGAGTAAGATTTGTGAGTTTAAAGATAAGCGCCAAATGAATAAGTGAGTAAGCCAGAAGCTGTGTGTTTAAGCACAAAGTACACTATGATAGACTTACTTTTGCAAATAGTTACTGAATCTGTATGAAATCCTGTGTATTTTTGTGCACAAACTTGTAAACACACCCTTTCTGGTGCATTCAGTTCTTCATTTTCTCGGACTGTATGGTCGAAATTCATTGGAATTGGAAAGGAATTCATTGCGCCAGGAAATGTGTATTTACAAGTTTGAGCACAAAGTATACGGCAATCAATCAAGATCTAAAATCCATATGTTCAGCATTACCTTGTATTCCCATCTCTTCCATAGCACAACCCGGTCGTGCCAATCATTTCCTCTAAACGACTCGCTCGGCCGACCGCCTCGAGATTCACCAATAAGCGGGGACACTCGGCATCCACCTAAAACATTGAGTTTATCTTCACGACTAAGATAGAAATTACTTTGGGTTACTGTAGGCATCTACTAACTAGGCTACGGTAGCCTAAACGAGTCGGCTGGCCCATAGGATAATACGTAGCTGCGTTACGGCAACATCTTTTACGAGTTACGGCTTACAGTAGTCGGGACAAGTTTTAGGGCGCCTAGCCGAGTCTAAGGTTACGGAACAAGTAGTAGTTGTAAAACTTTACAATTTTTCCCTTCCTCACCTCATTCACCATCGAAGCGAACGGTTGCACGACGAGCGAGGTTCCGAAAATCAACAACAAGTCACACTGGGGGAAGTCCTGCAATGATTTAGAATTAGATATTAGATCAGTTAATGTAACCGTTTACCTGTATGGCACAATGAAAGAATCGTCTCGGTAGAGCTTCACCGAAAAATATGATATCCGGCTTCACCACCCCGCCACAGCTCAGCTTCTCACAATGGGGTACTTTGCAGGATTTGTCTTTCAGCTTTGCTAAAAGTTTGGTTTTTGTAAAATGGGGAATTTCGGCATACTGTATACTGTAGCTAGACAATAGACTAAAACTACAATACCCTACTCACCTGTGATCCACCCTAGATCGTATTTCGTTGAGCATTTCCTACAAGTGCTTGTGTGGTGATTTCCGTGCGCGGTCACCACCTGAATTTGCATATGATTGAAGGACTTGTATACAAAATTGAGCCTACAATAGCCCATCGGCTGCTAGTTTGTAGAAAGCTACCGTAATCCTACAGTATATCGAATGTAGACTTGTTAGTTAGTGCCAAATAAGAATCACAGATGATCTTTAGTATTTCGAAACTTCTACTGTAACCCATTCTCTATATCAATCTCTATATCATTCACCTTATCCTCTGGTAGTCCAGTCAAGTACTCCAAAGAGTCGATATTCTGAAATTCTCAAATCCTGATTTTTTTTTTACTTTTCTAAAACCTGCGTATACCATCTCCTTAAGAGGCCCTTCTTTTCGAGCATTCGAATGAAATAGTGGCACGGGGTTGGCTAAAAAAATGTAAAATGTAAATAAAAATTTTTAAAAAAATGTGTCCAACCTTCAAATCCTCCGGAAACAGTTCCTTGGCCAACGTGAAAAACGGCTCTGGGTTCTTCTCAAAGAAATCTATTTGAAAAATCGCTTCTGGAGATGGCAGATCGTATTTTTGAAGATTATCGTAGAGGCCAGAGCCTGTAAATGCAAATATTCCAATGAAGGCCTGATATTGCTCTTTCCTTAATGTCCGCTATTCTTCGATGTTTTCTTTTACCTGGGGACCGAAAATCAGGAATCCCGGCCGATGTCGAGATACCGGCTCCGGTCATCACAATGATATTCTTGGGCTTTTCAGTTTTGATGAACTCGACAACTCCCTCAATCGTCAACGAGCGAAGCTTCCGCGAGGAACAAGTCGCCGATTGATCTGCGAAAGGTTTTTAAGTTTTACTGACTGTACTGGACTCGTACTTTGTAAAATTCCAAGTCTTATAACAGTTCTCTATTAGAATTTCTAAAATTTGTTATCTAAATCACCCTTATCCTTATACAGGGTGGCCCATTAGTATCGTGGCAAGGTATTTGAAAGCAATAAGTGCTTGAGGTGCATTAATATTGGACAAATTTTTAGCTATTTTAAAACTAGAGATTCTTAGCTACAAAATGATACCTCAATTTTGAAATGGGCCTAGTATTCGTTTCTATCCGGTCTTGTCACTCGAAGAGTCGAGTTACGGGCCGTTTACCGAATTTCCCATCTCCCTAAGGACAGCCTTTTGCTCTCAACTACCTAGCCCAAAACCATTGGATTGGAAAATTTCTACAAAGATTTGGGTTTTGCACTAGGTAGTTGGGAGCAAAGGGCCCTCAATAGGAAATTCGGTAAACGGTCGGCGACTCAAGTGGCAAGTTTCGCCCGAATATAAACGAATACTGAACCAATTTTCACAATTGAGGTATCATTTTGTAGCTAAGAATCTCCAATTTTAAAATAACTAAAATTTGTCCAATATTAATGTGCAACAAGCATTTATAATACCTTTCAAATACCTTGTCACGATAATTATGGGCCATCCTGTAGATACTTTCCTTTTAAACCCACCAACAACCGCGTGCAGAGCCGAGTTGAAACTGTCGACGAATTTGTTGAAAACGTCGGGCAGCTTCGAACAAGTGTCGTGCTTCGCTTTTGGCTGCTCCTTTTTTCTCTCATCATCGGATTTTTGTTCTAAAATTTCTTTCTGTTAGATCCTTTTCTTTAAAAGCTTTGTTGACATTGAATTTTTCAACAAGTCTGAAAAGAACAAAAATTAATCAAGAAACCTAAAGCTTAATGCACTGAACTAAAGTTGTTTCACGCTATCTTTTTGTGGGTTAAACTTGTAAACAGCTACTGTTCTGAAGCTTATTTTCAGCATTCAAATCTTATTCGCTTAAAAAGTTTGCAAAAACTAGAGTTTTCTTCGACAGGGTGACCGCGAATTATGGCGACACCTTTTTTGGAAAAGTTGCTGGCAAACGCCTGACTTATTACCAAAGTGTCAAGTGTTATATAGAAAAATAAAGCCCTTCATCTTCGCATCATTTATCTGCAAAGAACTTCCCGATTGGAATTATACAACTAATTTTACAAGTTCACAAGCCCGAATGAGCCCAAGTCGATCTCTGTCGGGCGATCTGCCAATTTTTACACTTTTCTTAATAAAAGATTTTTTAAAAGTTTTCTCCATATTTATTTCGTGAGAAAATAACATTTAATAGCAAAAAGAATAACAGCAAACTCTTTTGTCAAACTTTCATAGCCAAAATTGGGGTTGATTTCTAGGTTCATTTGGGAACTCCGCAAAAAAAGCAAAATTGAGCTTTTTCGAATATCCATTTGACAAGAAGAGCTTGCTGTATTCTCTAGTGCTACATTTTTCGTTGAATGGTAGTTTTAAAGTAAAATATCACAAGTTTAATTGAAGGAATCCTAGATGAAAATATTGTGTGTCAAATGGCAGATCGCCGGAGAGAGGCCGACCTAAGCTCTTTCGAGAGCTTGTAAAATGAGTTGTATCTTCCCAATCGGGAAGTTCTTTGTAGATAAATGATGTCAAGATGAAGGGCTTTATTTTTCTATAACACTTGGCACTTTGATAATAAGCCAGTTGTTTGCCAGCAACTTTTCCAAAAAAGGTGTTGCCATAATTTGCGGCCACCGTGTAATTTTCACACCTGTCTCATCCCGTTTCCCATCCGCCTTCCCTTCATTGTTTTTTCGTTGTCTTGATCCACCCGGTGACGACATCTTAAATTTATGCCTTAAGAATAAAAATGAATCATTGATAAAGCACTTCAAAAAAACGAATGACATTCGAGACAAAGAAAAGTTAAAATTTTCTTAAACACAACACAAAACCACCGGAGACATGTAGATTTAGAGTAGAAGATTACCAAAATCAATAAAACGGTGCGGAGGATAAATGAGGCAAGCCTTTGTGCAAAAAACTACACAACCAAGCTTACTAAGATCCAGATAGCATAAAATCTATGAACATTATGAACATCAAATAACTTGATCAATACGATTCAAAAATCTTTTCTCAATTTGAGGTCAACGGTTCGGTGCTGCCGATGACGATTCCATAATGTTGCAACAATTGATACAAAAGCTCCATCTCGTCCAAATGCTCGATTGCCTCAATGCGTTTCCGTTCCGTTTGATCCAATTGCGTTTTGTAGATCGTCGACATGTCAAGCACTTGCACATGCGGAAATCCGGCTGCTTCAAAGCGGGCTTTCTGCTTTTCACCGCTTTCACATGGCGCCAAACCGGACAAGTTAAGACCTCGTTGAGCCAAATTCTCCTGCATCACTTTCCCAAAAGTGTCATTCGTGTTCAATTGCTCGTAGTTGATGAGCACAATCTTTCCAAAGAAATTTCTCAAATTTGCCAAGAGGCTTGCCGATTGATCTTCGCTCATGTAAACAAGGACACATTCCGTGATCACCATCGTTGGCAGCGTGAAGTCGACCTTTGCGCAATCCAACTTCTCCTTCAACTCGTTCCACTGTCGAATGTCGGCTCCAACTAACTCGTAGTCTCCACAATGTAGATCACAGTGTTGCACCTCTTGCGGCGGTTGACTGAATAGCTCGACGAGATTCGGTTTGCCGGGCTTCAAAATTTGTCGAATCTTCCGCGCGGTCACCGACGAGAAATCTACCTCGATCACCTTGGAGAACACTTTGCCCAGTGCTTTCAATCGCCAGAAAAGTGTATCGAATCCGCATCCCAAGTTCAAAATCTGTCCATCGGGGTGGGCGAGCAGAAAGTCGTCCACATATTTGTTGATCGCCGAAATGCGAGCCCAATAACCGATCGAGATCTCGGGATCGCGGCGAAGTGGCGTGTCGGGCGTGTTGAAGAAGAAACGATGGATGAACGGGTCCTCGAAGTAGTGCATCTGCACGGCCACATACCTAAATAAGAGCTTGTACTACGTACTGATGATTCAGAAAGCGTTCATAATTCTCATGATTAAAAGCTCCATTTAACAGTTTTGGCATTATATTTCAAGTTTTAGCTAACAAGGCGTAAACAAGAGCCTCACAGATTTCTTTCAAGAAAAATGACGTAGAATAAAGAAATTTCAGAGTCAAAAGATAACGCCCAGATGCAACATTGCACAATAGAGTCCAAAAAACCTACTTGCACTGTGTGGCATCATCGTTCGTTCTCTGCACATTGTAGTCATCGGTGCACGTCGAGTTTGTGCGGCGACGCAGAGAGACCTCGCCGCCGAAGTGGTTCTCGCCGAAATCGGCCTCAGTTTCCATGGAAGTCGCTACTAAAAAAGAAAAATTATGAAATAGAGCCAAAAACGAAAAAAGTAAGATTGAAAACAGGTTTTCAAACGCAAGCTTTGTTGTAGCACCCTAAAAATAGCAAAAAGCAGTTCCTTTTTTAAAATTTCCGTTTCAATCGGTTTCAAACGAATTTAAGAGTGCAAAACAAAACTGTTATTCGGCCAAAAAGAAAATCCCAAAATGAATCTTTTAGCGTTTTAACCTTTTATAGTTGCTTTAAGCGATGAAAAATTTTCTAAATGTTCTCTCTTTCAGCTGAATATTTTCACTTTACTAGAGAGTTTCAACCTAATAACCCCAATCATCTGGTCGAGTTGTTTACCGGGTGTAAGCGCGATTTTCTTCACAACAAGTTTAAGTCCCACCGCGAAAGCCTGCTTACTGTCGTGTTGTCGGGGGAAATTTCAGGAAAACCCTCTTGCATCCGCCTTCCCGTCGATATTTCTTCGCCTTTGCCCGTCTTTTTCCTCTTTCTGTCCCCGCGTGGCAATCCGCGAAAGATTTTCTCATTCCTAGGTTTTTTGAGAGTCGGATTTTTCTAGAAATTCTTGTAGTTAGGTTTAAGAACTGGTTTGGTTAATGTGACCTTGTACTCTGGAAGCTAAATAAGTGTTCTTCATGCTTTTCGAGGAGGTGGCTAAAGGGTTTTTCAAGTAGTAAACGTTTTAGATCATTATAATCATTTCCTTTTTTTTATCTTTGCACTACTTCAAATCGTTTTAGATCTGCTTAAACATTTCTTTTCAGTGGTCAACACTTCAAGTAAAACAACTGAACAACAACAACTCTTGGCACAATGTTCGGCGGTGAGGATCCATTTGCGATGTTCGGGTTGGTTTTTTGAAAGCGAACTTAAATTTTAGATAAAAAGAAGATTTGTGGTGTAAAATTGGGTTTTTTTACGTTTTGTTATTGATGTGGTTTTTTCAAAGAACACCTTGATTTTTGCGGAGTGTCCTGGTAAAGTGCATCCTTTTTGTTTGCACTTTGCCGAAAGTTCACAGCAAAGTGTCTAAGCTAGAAAAAAAACATTTAATTCTAGTAAATGTCCGCTTTTGCAGGTATTTTGAATTTGAATATTGAATTGAAATTTTAAAGCTTTAAAATATCACTTGAAAATTCAAAAGTCCTTTATTTTAGTCACATGCGCCGTCAAATGCACATGATGGATCAAATGATGGACTCAATGATGGATCCATTTGGAATGATGGGCGGTGGACATCCACGAATTTCACCCTTTTCCATGATCGACAACGGACAATCAAGTCACCAAGTGGTAAATTTTTGAAACTGGTTTTTAAAAATTACCTAAATGACACGGGGCTTTATTAAAAGATTTTTTTTGCATAAATTTAAAGTCGTAGCCTGCGATTGGGTTTTAAATCATAAAGAATTTTATGAATCTTTAAAGTATTAGGTATATCCTGAAGGTTCTTCAAAGTTACCTTGAAATCAAGTTTATTCAAAGTTTTAGCGCCCACGAATGATGCACCCACATCAACTCGCGCACCCATTCGGTGGTCTCGGCTTTGGCGGTCTCTTCGGAGCAATGGTTAGTGCTTTAAAAACATAACGGTAAATTGTATCTTTTTAGAATCAAATGCAACATCATGCGGCAAGCGACCCGCACTCTCACATGTACAGCCACTCGACGGTGATGACATTTGGACCCGATGGACAACAACGAGTCGTTGAGCACACCACCAGCAAAGCGGGAGATGTTCGAGAGACAAGGAGGTGCGAATCTTAGAAAGTTATCGTTATTTTTCATCTTTTCATGCTTTTAAGCACCTTTTTCTTTAGACGTGTGCGTGACGGCGAGAAGGATGAAATGGCAATTGGACACTCTATCGGCGATCGGACCCACATAATTGAAAAGAAGGTTAATAAATTTTTCTGAAGCTTTATAGTTAATATTTATGACCTTTCACTTTCACTGTTTTTTTAGCGTGACAAGGACGGAAACGTTCGCTCTCAACAGAAGTTCATCAATTTGGGAGAAGGTTCGTAATTAGTAATTGTGAATATGCAATCAATTAAACAGTAAACTTGACCTTGGTCTATGCTATGTATAGAGGGCGGCGAAAGTTCTGTCCTTTTTAGAATTCTCTCTGAAAGCCTCCTGGTTGATTTTATTTCATAAGTATAAGTATTTATAGCAAAAAGATAGCCAATCTTGTTGCAGTTTTTAAATGGCTTCTTTAAATTTTGAGTTATCGCTGTTCTATGTTCTTCGAAAAAAGTATCTGTGATCGCACATATTTTTGCGCTTTTTTATTGCAAAAATTTCCTTAAAACAAACTTCTTGAAAACTGTTTGGAAATGACAAACAATTTTTTTGAATATTCCTAATCTTCTGAGTTCTAAGTTTGACAGATTTTCTTATACTGGCAATACTGGTGCGAGCACAGAACTCACGCAAATTGTCAAAAATCAAAATTTAATGGAGCTATTTGAAAAGGTAATAAGATTTAAATTCTGTGGAAAATTGGCTATCTTTTTGGTCATAAACACTTATGAAATAATAACAATTCGCCGCACTTTGTGTCCATGGAAATTTTTTTTCTCTTTCGCCAGCTCTCATCAAAGGCGATTTCTCTGCAAAATTCTTATCAAAATTTGGAAATTGATTATCGATCAAATTACACGCGATTAGACGCCTAGTTTCCGCGTTTTCTCGAGATTGTCAGCAAAGAAATGACTGTGAAAATTTAGAAAAGGGTTTTGGAAACTTTGAAGAAATTTGAAAATTGCAATACTTTCTTAAAAGAGGTTGATATAAATTTTTTTAGAAGAAGCTATGGAATTCGACCGTGAATATCAAACGCGTGCAAGGAATAATGTCTACAGATCAAAAACGGATCCAGCTGCAAGGTATTTCTTTGCGCTTTTCAACTCGTTCACACACTTTATTTAGAAATGCTATTGAGAATGGAGCTCACCATGGATCTACTTCACGTTATGGTCGTTATAGTGACGGGTAAGCGTAGATTTTGTACCAGAATCACGAGGGAAACCAAATAAATTGGAATTCGTGAGCTGGAATCACGGGGGATTTCAAATTAAAACAAATTTTTAATTAATATTAATTGGCAAGCCAATTTAATAAAGAATTTCGCGTGAACAATTTTTGGAAAGATTGAACTTTAAAAACGCTTGTTTTTTAGTGCTGGCAACTCTCGTGCTTCAGATGTCGGTGCTTCTCGAACAAATGCTCCAATCGTCACACTTCCCGAAGAGGAAGACGACATTCAGGAAATTCCAAATCCGTAAGTTTATTCTTTAAAAATAGCAAAAGAATAAAACCAAGAAACAAGCTAAATGACTTTAAATTATTATTATGAAAGTTATGAATCACAAGTCGACGAGCACAAACAAATAGAAAGTCGATCTTTGCCATTTTCGAGTGTCGTCCGCTCACAATTTCTCCAGATCCTGGTAGAAGTTGGTGACCATAGGCATGTATTTGTTCGGCAGTTTCGCCTAAACAAATGATTGATGAAAAGTTGGCCAAGGGATCATAAAGTTCTTAAAGTATACCCACTTTAACATAGTCGAGCACCGTCGTGTACACGAAGAGGTATTGGGCCTCAGTTTGAATGGGCGAAGCACGACACCCACGCATCTGTTGGAGCACATTTTTAACCTAAAACAAAACGGCTTAATAGCAGTGTTTCTATCAAATCCAGCATTCTGTCGTTTCTTTTCCCTCGAAGAGATCACGAAATGACCGTCTCAATCGTCAAAATGGGGCCAGTACGCCCGATGCCCGCCGAACAATGCACAACCGCCGGTCCGGGCATGCATTCCTAAAAGCGAAAACTTATTGCTCAGCAAAAGGGTGTTCCATATTACGGGCATTAGAAATTAAAAAGTTGAACAAATAACCATGAAGTCAAAATGAATAACCAAACAAATGAAAACACTCACTTTACACTTGTTCCATCGATGACTTTCTTTGGCTTGTGCGTTCGACGACGAGTCCCTTTCATCGTGGAAGTGAAGTTGAATATTAGAAGAAATAAAAATGATAATGAAGATGTTTAGAAATGCTTTCTTTTATTTGACCGATAAATGCTAATTGAAACGGAACATATTCAAATTTGTCTTAAAATGCTAAGTAGTTCTATATTTAAATTTTATCAAATTCTATTTTCTCATTTCAGACATGCTCCAACAAGTAGCACTTCACGTGGCAGCGGCGGCGGTGCTGGTCCAATCATTCGTGAGATCAGCGAAGAGGAGGCCGAGTCGAGCGTGTCGAAGCGTCGAAAGAACAGCACTGGACGGTTAGCTTTTAAATTTCTATAGTCTTACTTACTGTAACTGTCGCTAACGTAGTCTTATTTGTTCAACTTTGCTCGAGTATCAATATTTCTTTCATTTTAGCTTCTACCCTGGTGACTACTAAACATGATCGACCCTACTTGAGCTTCCCCTCAATTCGTCTATTTTTCAACTCAATTACTGTATTGAGTATTATTGTAGTTATTAGTTCATTTGATCTACTCTTTAATTAGTTCTATTTTCACCTTATCATAATAATCAGTGACTAGCCCCACTAGGGAAATTTCATTGTATTTTTTGTGATTGCCCTTTTGCTGGTTCATTTCTTGTCAAAAAACACTCAACAATGCTTTCACAGACTAAATCAAAACCTTTATAGAATCTGAACTTGTGACTTTAGCAGAATGATACAGTGTTGCCAGAAATCCACGAAATGTAATGGGTTTATTGTAAGAATCCAAAAATGTTAAAGTTACTGTAGTTTCATTTTCCCCACTTGTATATCTATTTCGTTTCTCCAATCTCGTTCCCTAGATTTCGATCTTTCTGTTATTCGTTTCCCGAGTTCTGTAAATTTTTCCTACATAAATGTCTTATTATATCGTGTTTACCAAACGCATTTATGGACCACAGAGCATATAAAAATGCAATGAATCACATCGAAAGCAATCCTTTTTTCGTACACATAATCTATAAAACAAAAACACATGTAAGAAAATAGATTAGTCGAAGGAATGCAAAGAATCATCATCATTGTGAACATCAACACGAGCAATTGAGTCGGGACGGTCGACGATGTGTACATGCCGCATTTCTACTTTTCTACTAACAAATAATGATAAGTAATGTACCCGGTGAGCATCGGTGTCGACTGTTTTACTCGTTCCGTTTGGGTCGACCACGACGTTCACGACGATCACGACAGACTAACTTTAAAGCCACGATGTAGTAATGTGAAGGATCATCTAAAAGTAGAAAAATTATTCATAGAAGCTAAACTTTTTAAAGCCTTAAGAGGCATGCTAAAACATTTCAAATTCAACCTTTTTACAGCCATTGAGCAAAAACTAATTGCAGATTTGGAAAGCCCAGCTCTGTCGAATGGACAAAGCCACCAGTCGAAACTCCACAAAAACTCACTCCACAATTCTATTTATTCAAGTTGGAAAAACCGAAGACAAACCACCAAAAGTGGGCGGCTTACACACCGCATTCTAATAAAAAAGCAAACTTTTACCCATCCCTGAAGAGAGAAGACCAATAAGAGTGGCCATCGTGAAAAGGATGAGACGCGAGGGAAACGAACAACCGCCGAATTTCGACCACATATCGCCGGGGATCGAGAAAGGAATGAAAGAAATGATTTTCGAGAGAAGACCAAGGAAACCGAGATGCTAACAAGTGCGCCGCGCTTTTTTGCGCCAAAATCCCTTGCGCCAAATCCTTTGCGCCAAATCCTTTGCACCGCTTACCATTTGCGCCAAATTTACGCTTATGAAAATCACTGTAACAAATCACTTTTTCTCAACTTCTAACCATCTTTTTTCAGTTTTCTGCTTTACAATTTTAGCTCTCACTGTTTTCAATTAGAAAACACGTTTAAATACCTATACAAACTCTAAAAACAGTCATTTTTGCTTCCCAGATTGGGCTTTTTACTCTCATATTGATCTTATGCCATTTTCAGATCCGGTGGCGGGAAAATAGCGAGCATCGTCGACGAAGAAAAACTGACAAAAAAAATATAAAAATGGTTAATCAGACTTTGTAGGAAAGTGTGTTGAAAAGCGTAAATTTGGTGCAAATAATTTGGCGCATTTGTTAGCACCCCAGACGGAAACCAGACAGAAACCAGACGGAAACCAGACGGATAGCAGACAGAAACCAGACAGAAACCAGACAGAAACCAGACAGAAACCAGACGACCAATAAATCCAAATTGACCACCATTTGAATTCAAATTTAATTTCTTCAAAGACACTTCTTTAAAAGCTTTAATATCGAATTATTGTACTCGTTAAAAATCCTGATCATTTTCCAAAAGGTCAGCAATGTCAATAAGAGTCAAAAATTCAAATCCAGCATCATTTCTTTCCGATTTTCTCCCAAAATCCCCATTGATCACTCATTTCCACTTTCTCCAATTTGACCCCAGAACTTTTTTCGAAAATTTCCCCCACTTCTCATTTTTCAAATCGGCTAAAGAATTGAGAAAGAGAGAATGTATCTGACAGAGATGCGAGTGAAAATGGGACGCGGGAACGCCGCGAAAGTCCATAAAAATTCGCCTGGAAACCGGATAGACCCATGTGTCAGCAATGCGGAGAATTCAGTATGAGATACAGATTCTTTTACATAACTTTAACCACCATCATAATACAAATGGTCAGCTTAAAACAGACACTAGTGAAAGCAGCTTGGCAGCTTGCTATTAGTGAAAGGAGCTTGCTATTAGTGAAAGCAGCTTGCTATTAGTGAAAGGAGCTTGCTATTAGTTAGCAGCTTGCTATTAGTGAAAGCAGCTTGCTATTAGTGAAAGCAGCTTGCTATTAGTGAAAGCAGCTTGCTATTAGTGAAAGCAGCTTGCTATTAGTGAAAGCAGCTTGCTATTAGTGAAAGCAGCTTGCTATTAGTGAAAGCAGCTTGCTATTAGTGAAAGCAGCTTGCTATTAGTGAAAGCAGCTTGCTATTAGTTAGCAGCTTGCTATTAGTTAGCAGCTTGCTATTAGTTAGCAGCTTGCTATTAGTTAGCAGCTTGCTATTAGTGAAAGCAGCTTGCTATTAGTGAAAGCAGCTTGCTATTAGTGAAAGCAGCTTGCTATTAGTGAAAGCAGCTTGCTATTAGTGAAAGCAGCTTGCTATTAAGCTTGCTCTCAGATTCATTCAAAACCAGATGTGCTAGGGTTAGCAATGCAGATAACTTTTTATTCATTAGCTCATGAAATTTATAACGAATTGATTAGGGAAAGGCACCAGATCAAGGTGATCTTTTAATACGAGAGCTCTTATCGAATTGGCTATGATTCGATATGCTGATATCGATATGTTGATAGAGAAGATTCAAGACGATCGGATTCAAGACGACTATAATAGTTTAGTTTATCTTTGAATGCTCACCAAATGATCAATAAAACAGTAACGACTACGCGACTGTACGCTCAAAGTACCGTCGTGTTAATATTGTATTCTTTGATAAGCTAATGCCGTAGCTTTAACTATGTAAAGGGATTTTTCCCCATTTCAAGTACACTTGCCAAAAAATTCAAAAACCACAAAATCCTCACCGCAAAAAAAAAGAGTTTTGTCCTAGATTTCGCTTTTCAAACAAAAGAGAAAAGAAAAAAGAAAGAAAAAGTCGAAAATTTCGTCTTTCTCTGATCCGAATCGGTGAAGAAAAAAGGTGAAAAAGGAGCTGCTTTGACCCAATTATTTTCACCAAAAAATCCTTTTGTCGAAAAGCGAAATTTTCGGCCCGAGAACACTGATCGCTTTATTGTTCTTTTTAAAGCTTAGATGAGTTTTATGCTTTTGCTTGAGTTTTATGTTTTTTCTAATAAATATAAAGCTAATATAAATTTATTCATTTGTAAAGTGGTAAACGGATTTGAATTTTCCCAATTTCCCAATTTCCCAATTTCCCAATTTCCCAATTTCTCAATTTCCCAATTTCCCAGTTTCCCAATTTCCTTTCAGATGTTAAGATGGAGTTTCCTCTTGTTGCTGTTATTTTTGCTAGGCATCGAGACGAATCCCTCACCAACAACAGTGGCCAAATTGAAGTCAGTTTCATTTTTGTGTTCATTTGTGATAATGGGTAAACCATAAAAAAAAGAAATCTTAAAAAGAAAGATTCTTCTTTCAGTAGCCACGAGGAGATCGTTCAATATTTCTATGTGCTTTTTCCAAAAAGAGAGCAACGTCCCTACATCCCGTCATTGCTCGTTCCCTATATGGCGCCATCACCACATCAAAAGGTTTTCAAAATTCTCTCAATTTTTGGTCTTAATTTTGATCTTGATTTTGGCTTTATTTTATCTTAATTTTCGTTTACTTTAATTAAAAATACATTAAAAACAATTCATTTCTCAGGCATTGGCTTTCTTCTTGCCTGGCCCACTAGCCGAATGGGTACAAACGCATAACCCTTTCGAGGATCCTCAAGAATTCGAGGTAATGCAAAAAGAACTACTTGACAAGAAGTACTGAGACAGCTAAGGATTACTGTAGCCTGAGCCTGAGTCTATTAAGAGTTTGGTTACGGTAACGGTTACGGTAAGGCGGTAGGCACTCTTTAAAGTAAGCCTGTGAGTTCTTTAAAGTTGTTCTACATGTTCTTTAAAGTTCTTTAAAGTTCTACTTGTTCTTTAAAGTTCTTTAAAGTTCTACATATTCTTTAAAGTTTTCAAATATCTAAACTGAACCAAAAACTATTCCTTCAATACTTCAAAGTTAAACTTTTTGATGCTTTTTATACTTAAAAGTTAAGCTTTTTGTAAGTGCATTTTTAGAAAAATCCCCCGTTCAATGTGGGTCAATATCCGGCGATTCCTCTAAAAGATCTTCCACCGATTCCACGAGAAATTGCTCGGCAAATGCAGGTGCAAAAGTTGATAGAATAAAGCTATTGAGAAACCTTTCAAATTTCTTTACATCTTTAATAGAGCAAACTCTTTTACAGCTCCGTGTCGAGGAAACATTCGATCAACAAGCGAATGGAGAAATCAGGGGAACGGGTCAGTTCTCATTCCGAAAAGATAGACAATTCAAAAAACAATTCGTTCTTTTCAGTTCCTCGTTTAAAACTCTATCAAAAGTTTACATTCTTATAATCTCTAGACAAAGTTATGAATCTTAAAAGAGTGGCTACTCATTTAAAAGTCTCTATTTATCGGCCCAGACCAGCGTTGACGCTTTGCTTTCTTGTCTTGTACCTTTAAAATGGTTTAATTTAAAAGCTCGCATTTCAGAAGATCTCTCAACTTCAACTCGAATGCCCTCGTTAGAATCAATGAGGAAAAACATCAGTAAAAGATTTACGCCAAAAGTGGGAACAAGGGGGAAAAGATGAGGTTGAGCAGATATTGGCCGATCCGGAGGTTGACTAAATATCGTAGAAGTAGTATTAAAACAAAATTTTAGCTCTCTGATGAACAAATCGAGAAAATGTTGAAAGAATTGGTGCCTGATGAATCGAGAAGAATGATGTCAGCCGGGAAAACGCATCAGGTTGGTAAAATTCATGGTTCAACTAAAATCATTATGAAATTAGATTCATTTTAAATAATAGATTTGCATAATAAGAGTTAACTCCCTCTAGAGTAAGCTCCCATTGTAGCGACTTGTGGTGTAATGGTTAGCATAGTTGCCTGGTAAGCTTAGGTTGCGGGTTCGAGCTCCCCGGCGGCTCTCAACTTTTTGATTTGCCTTAGTTCCAAAAATGAATCTAATTTCAAATCAAAAAACCAAAAATGAATCTAATTCAAATCTGAATCCAAAATAAAATGAATCTAATTTCAACTGGCGACCACAGAAGGATACGAACCTTCGATCTACGAACCTTCAATCTACGAACCTTCAATCAGTTACAAGGCACAGTTACAGGGCACAGTTACAGGGCACAGTTACAAGGCACAGTTACAAGGCACAGTTACAGGGCACAGTTACAGGGCACAGTTACAGGGCACAGTTACAAGGCACAGTTACAAGGCACAGTTACAGGGCACAGTTACAGGGCACAGTTATAGGGCACAGTTATAGGGCACAGTTATAGGGCACAGTTATAGGGCACCGTTACAGTTATTTCCTTTGATGGAAATTTGTATGGGAAAATCAAGTTCTAACCTGACTTCCGACTCGGTCATTGACCAAAACTTTATACACCCAATATAAAAAATGTCTCTTGGGAACTTTTGGCGCACCCTGTAGTTTTGCAATTTCTTTATTTTCTCAAAAAAAAAACTTACGCTTTTTGGTATAAAACTAGAATAACTTTCCCCAAAACATATATTCAATTTGCAGGTAATCGAAGCTCTCGACCTTTCAACTTTAAAAGAAAACGGTATCGAAGAGATTCAATCACCTCCATCAATGAAAAACAAAAGGAAATCTTTAAAGAAAAGAAGGAGAAGAAAGAAGAAAGTTCGGAAATTTCATTTTTTGATAAACTAATCGATTTTCAGCTTTCCCAAAACATCACAACGACAACAGAAGCAATTCCCGTCACACTGCCGGAAGTGGCAAGTTTTGTAAGTGAACGCGACCCTTTTGGCACTGAATACGTCGAAAATTGTTATTGTAAATGCACTAGAGGAAGAGTGTTTACAAGTGAGCAAAAAGTAAATGGAAAAATTTCAGTCCGAAACCACGACAACAAGCTCACCAAATGTCTCAACAACTGAGATCGAGAAAAAAGTGAAACGAATGCGAATCAAGAGGATTGGAAAGAAATTTCAGGTGATTATAGAGATTCTTTAAAATTGCATAACTTATCGTTGGTTTAAGCTACTCAAAAAATGACTGAACATTCATAAAGTAGATCTATTTTCGATTTTAAATGCGCTAAAAACATTACAAAGATTTGTTCAAGCTTTGGTGTACGCTAGCTTTCTCAAATCGATTTTGAAAAGTCGGTGGTTCGATTTTGTCTTTTAGCTTACATATATAGCTGATAGCTTACATTATTCAAATGTTTACAGCGTCGTCAACTTGGTACAACGATGCACTCAATGAATTCAATGAATTCAATCAATTCAATCAATTCAATGAATTCAATCCACGACTACCAGCTCGATCCACCGCGAGCCATCCCAGCAAAGAAGAAGTTCATTAAGTACTTCACAAAGTGAGTTACATCGAGAAACATATTGTAATCTTCATTTAGGTACATGGAACGAGAGAATCGTCTCGAGGAAGGCCGTTTGGTGAATGTGAACGCGAATGCTATCTATGATATTGCTGTCCCGTTGATGCCGTCGACTACGGCACCACCTCCAGCACGACAATTAACCATTCAGACATTGGTTTGTTACAATCAAAGAAATGCCTTCTAAAAAGTGCACTTACTAGAAAAAAGCTATAGTGCTCTTGGCTAAGCCGGCTTTCGAACAGCTGCTCTCTTACAGCGTTCTGTTTCTAAAGAGCATCATTTAAACCAAAAACCTTTTTTTTTTCGACAAAAATACTATGCAATTTGTAATTCTTGACCAAAATTTCTTCTCTAGAAACAAAAGAATAAAAGCTTTATTGGGTTCTAAATCAAAATTGTAAATATAAGATTATAGACTGGGAAAGAATGTTACAGTACTCTGGGGCTCTTGAAGAAATTGTTTCTAAAAGCTATTCTTATTTGAAAATAGCTACAGTATAAAAAATTTTATTCTGGAAAGAAGATTTCTTGAATTAAATGCGACTCTGAAGTTGAAGTAGAACATGAAAGTACTCAAAGAGTCGAGTATCCACCTTTAGAAGTGTTTTTCGTATAAATAGTTTAAAGCCAAGCTAAAAGCCAGAAGAAAACTTACCGGTAGAAGCCATTTCGAATTCTGACTTTAGGCAAGGCAGTAAAGCAAGGCTGGTAACAGGCTGGTAACAGTACTCTGTGCCTGGGAACAGTACTCTGTGCCTGGGAACAGTACTCTGTGCCTGGGAACAGTACTCTGTGCCTGACAACAGTACTCTCTGCCTGGGAACAGTACTCTGTGTCTGACAACAGTACTCTCTGCCTGGGAACAGTACTCTGTGCCTGGGAACAGTACTCTCTGCCTGGGAACAGTACTCTGTGTCTGACAACAGTACTCTCTGCCTGGGAACAGTACTCTGTGCCTGGGAACAGTACTCTCTGCCTGGGAACAGTACTCTGTGTCTGACAACAGTACTCTCTGCCTGGGAACAGTACTCTGTGCCTGGGAACAGTACTCTCTGCCTGGGAACAGTACTCTGTGTCTGACAACAGTACTCTCTGCCTGGGAACAGTACTCTGTGCCTGGGAACAGTACTCTCTGCCTGGGAACAGTACTCTGTGCCTGGGAACAGTACTGTGTATTTATCACAGTTTAAGCCTATTGCTAATCTTAGAATGGAAACGCTTACACTTTTTGAGTACAATACACAATTATACACAATCAATGGAGAGCCAAAGACTTTTTAGGACGGCCACGGTCCTTTCATTCGTCATCGTCAGGACACAATCGCTGCCGATCTGATCAATGGGGCTCGTGTGGTCACTTCGAGAAAGAAACCGAAACAATTAAAAGTAAGAAGAAAATTCTTTTTTTTTTCCAAGAACTTCAATAACCTTCTCAGGAATCAACATTTTTGTGGAGTGATGTCGCGTCGTATGTCACCACCACCGAGCAACCACCGAAATTACCCGAAATGGAATCGATGAGTTCCGGAAATTCGGCAACTGATGGGGAAGAGGTTGGAATTTGACCAGCAGTGACCAGCACCGGATAGCTCGGTGGTTAGAGCAATTGGTCTAAGCGTTCAGTGGTTAGAGCGATTGAAAGCTAAGGTTCCAGGGTTCAATCCTCTCTCCGGAAATTCAATTTTGCCAATTCTTTTTGTGTGCCTAAATTAACGGTTTCTATTTATATGAAAAATTACGATTCCAGGCAATCGAACTCGTGCAAGAGCTCTCCAATATGCCGCCAATTCCCGAGACAATTGATGGAGAACCCATCGATTACTTGGATGGTTAGTAAGCTGTTTGCTAAAATCTTTAAGTACACTATACTTGTAAACTACAGTAGAAAATGGAGAACTTTAAAAATATCTAACTAATGTATGAAAAGTTAAGGCTCGGACGCGATCGATCAACCGGTTGAGAGTCTTCCACCCGGCTACCTCACTAAGGATACACCCATGGATTTCGTTGGCACAGAAATCGGTACTTTAACTTGGTTTTTTATCTTAGAAACGATCTTTCATATAGTAGATCGAATTGGGTAATCTTATCTTGAATAACTTTGAAGGAGATATTGATCAATCAAACTTCAGACAACCCAACCACCCCACATCGCTCCCGGATGTACGGTGTTGTCGGCTCGTCTCATGACAAAGATCGCCAAGTTTACAACGAGATGAAGAAACAAAATGAAAAGCCTTTACAGAAACAGCAGCAAGAAGAAATGATGAGAATAGCGATGGAATTGGAAAGAGAAGAAATGGAAAGAGTTGAGATGGAGAAGATGAGACAACAAAGGGAAATGATTACGATGGAAAAGGAGAGACAAGAATGGGAAAAGATGAGAAAAGAGAAGGAACGGGTGGAGATGGAGAGAGGGAAAGCGGAGGGGATGCGCAAGAGATTGGAGGAGGAGAGGAGGAGACAGGAGGAGGAGAGGAAGGGACTTCAGAGGATGAGGAAAGAGGAGGAGGAGCGCAGGAGGAAGGATGAGGTGAGGCCGGATTGCAAACCTGGTAGCATGGTTTGAACTTTCTTAAAAAACTATTGAGTGTTACGGAAGCGATTCAAGAAATCCAATTTCTATGGTGTCTTTTCTTTTTTCTAATTTCTCCAGAGTCAAGTCTAAGAGGGCCAGGCAAGCTATAAATCAATGCTTACAATTGGCTCCTCACTTAGCTTTCTGTTGATTTAACTTGACTTCTATCCTTGTCTGACCTGGCTCAAGTCTGACCTGGCTCAAGTCTGACCTGGCTCAAGTCTGACCTGGCTCAAGTCTGACCTGGCTCAAGTCTGACCTGGCTCAAGTCTGACCTGGCTCAAGTCTGACCTGGCTCAAGTCTGACCTGGCTCAAGTCTGACCTGGCTCAAGTCTGACCTGGCTCAAGTCTGACCTGGCTCAAGTCTGACCTGGCTCAAGTCTGACCTGGCTCAAGTCTGACCTGGCTCAAGTCTGACTTGGCTATGCTAATGATAGTGTGTAGGATAATGATTGAGTTGTTTCAAAACTAGTCTTCCTCAGAGTCGGAACAAGCTGGAATTAGACTAAAAGCTTTACGTTGCTAAAGCTGGGTTTGGCTTCTAACCAGGCTCTGGACTGACCTCCGATTGGGACATCTTTGACATGATCTTTTTTAGTAATCACAAAATATCCGGTCAGTTTGACTACAGCCAGTCAGACTAGCTAGGCTCTGGCTTGGCATTTGACCTGACTTTGCTGAACCTGGACTGGCCTGGACTGGCTGAACCTGGACTGGCCTGGACTGGCTGAGCCTGGACTGGCCTAGACTGGCCTGAACTGGCCTGGACTGGCCTGGACTGGCTGAGCTTGAACTGGTCTGGACTGGCTTCCGACCTTATACACAAGGATACAAATTCATGATAAACTTAAGATCTTTTTTCCGTTACTTTTTAAAGTGGAAAGTATTTAATTGGGAAATTTGAGGTTCGTAAAGCGTTGGAGGAGAAGGAACGCCTTCGACATTTGCAGAAGCAACGATTGAAAGAAGCAAGAGAAAGAGAAGAAAGACGAATTGAAGAAGAAAGAAAAATGTTGGAAGAGAGGAAAAAATTAGAGGAGGAAAGACTGAAATTGGAAAGAGAAGAACAAAAGAAACGAGAAGAAGAGGAGAGGATTGCGAGGGAGAAATGGGAGAGACAGTTGCAGGTAGGGGAACATTTTGTAACATATTCAAAGCTATTGTCACCTCCTAGAGTATCCCGAAGTTGACAAGACTGAGAATTCGTCTTCAATACTAAAGAATAGGTTGAATTCTGAGTGGTGCGTTTACGGGCTAAACTCCCCTCAGCACTAAGTTTTCATTTGTGTACTCAAATCTATAAACGCCATCCCTTCTGGCACATTAAACTCATCATTTTTCTTGTGCCAGGCCTAATGTGTTTGAGAGGACAAAGTACGGTCAATGAACGAGTAAACGCATCTCATCCAGTGCACCACTGAGAATTTGACCTCTTCTTTAGTATTGACAATGAATTCTTAGGATAACTTTCGAGTACTAGAGGATTGCAATTGATCTTGATCTTGATCTTGAGCTTGATCTTGATCTTGAGCTTGATCTTGATCTTGAGCTTGATCTTGATCTTGAGCTTGATCTTGATCTTGATCTTGATCTTGAGCTTGATCTTGATCTTGATCTTGAGCTTGATCTTGATCTTGATCTTGAGCTTGATCTTGATCTTGATCTTGATCTTGATCTTGATCTTGAGCTTGATCTTGATCTTGATCTTGAGCTTGATCTTGATCTTGATCTTGAGCTTGATCTTGATCTTGATCTTGAGCTTGATCTTGATCTTGATCTTGAGCTTGATCTTGATCTTGATCTTGAGCTTGATCTTGATCTTGATCTTGAATCAGTGTCTATTTTCTTAATAACTTTAAGCACAAAATACAATTGTAGTAAGGTACAGTTAGTGTTTAAAATTTGAAACTTTCAGGAAAAGATTCTCGAGGAGCGTCAGAAACGCGAAAAAGCTGAGAAAGAACGGAGACGATTGGAAGAAGAAAGGAGAAAAGCTGAGGAAATGAGAAAAGAAGTAGAGGAGAAGGAAAGGAAAAGACAAGAAAATGAAAGGAAAGAAAGACAAATGGAAGAGTTGAAAAGATTGGAAAAGGAGAGAAAAGAAGAGGAGGAGAGATTGAAAGAAGAGATGCGGAGAAGGGAAATCGAGGAGTTGAGGAGGAAGAAGATCGAGGAGGAGACGAGGATGCGCGAGGAGATCGAGAGGAAGCGGTTGGTGGAGGATTGGGAATTCTAGGGATCTTTCAAAGTCCAGTGCTTTTAGGTCTAAGCTTAATTTTCCAAAAGCTAGATGGCCAAGGCCAGTCTCTGCATCAGACCAGGACAAGCTGCGGTAGAGCAGGCTCAGATCTGAGTCACATTTTAGTGCACTTTAGACTACGTCTAGCTGGCTCAGCCTGAGTCAAGTCACACTTTTTGATCCACTTTCTACTCTCAAAAATTTTGTCGACATTCTAGGGTACTGTAGAAAGATGAATAGGACTCGTCGTTATAGCAAGGCGCACATAAAGTAATATTGAAAGTATCAAACACTTTTGAGTGGGTATAGTACTGATGCAAATAGTTGAACCCCATCCAGCTCCTTTTCAGTTAAATTTAGCAAGTCAATTAAGATATTTCTTTCTAAAACTATCCAATTTGCAGGCTAGAAGAAGAAAAGCAGCTACACGAGGAGCGTTTGCGACTGGAAAAAGAACGACTTTTACGCGAACAAGAAGAAAGAAAATTAGTAGAACAGAGAAAAGCTGAAGAGATTGAAAGAGAACGAGAAAAGAAAGCATTAGAAGAAAAGAGGAAGATGGAAGAGATTGAGAGGGAGAGGGAAAGAAGGGAAGAAGAGGAAAGGATAAGAGTCATCATTGAAGAGAGGAAAAGAATTGAGAAGGAGAGGTTGAAAGTGCAGAAAGCGAGAGAAGACGCGGAGAGGAGGGAGAAGGAGAGGAAGGAGGAAGAGAAGATGATGGAAGTCGAGAGGAAGAGAGTCGAGGAGATGAAGAAGTTGGAGGAGGAGAGGAGGAAGTTAAAGGAGGAAGAGAGGAAGAAGATGGAGGAGGAGAAGAGGGAGAGGGAGAGGAAGGAGGAGGAGGAGAGGAGAAAGGAGGAGGAGAAGAAGAGGAGAGAGGAGGATGAGAGGAAGAAGGAGGCTGAGGCGAGGAGAGAGTTTGTGAAGAGGAAGAAGGAGGAGATAAAGCATAGGAGGGAGGAGAGGGAGAAGAAGCGTCAAGAGGAGGAGCAAGAAAGGAGAAAGAAAGAGGAGGAGGTGGGTGATTCATTATAAAAATGGCAAAAGAAGTTAAGTTTGTGATATTTATGGGTAAAAATGAACGATAAATAGGTAGAGGTAGTCAGAGGTAGAGAGTGTAAGTAATTACTCGAGTCAAATTTGTATGAATAATTTTTACTCGATTACCGTATTCTCTCTAATAGTAGTGCACCCTGAGCATCGCCTAAATTGATCGAAATCTCGAGAGCCGCTTATCAGAACGTATCGATGTAGCTGTAGCTGACGTAGCTGTAGCTGACGTAGCTGTAGCTGACGTAGCTGTAGCTGACGTAGCTGTAGCTGACGTAGCGTAGCTGACGTCAGCTGACGTATGTAGCTGACAATGTGATCTAGTGGGGCATTTGAGTGTTGAGCTTCTACGAAAGCTTGGAAACTGTAAAATAGTGACCAACTCGGCTTGCTGGGGTGCAGTACTATTAGAGAGAATGTAGAAAGTCTTGCCAACAAAATATAAGCTAATATTGTAAGTAATCGGTTGTATCAAATAGGCGAGGCAGTGTTAAAACGAAGGGAAACGGTGTGGAAATAGGCTAATGATACTCAAGTCAATACAAGTTAACGATCTGCTCTAGATAGCTGGATGCTAGAATTAGATTGGAAATAGATTAATGATACTAAAGTCAATACAAGTCTGCTCTAGATAGCTGGATGTTAGAATTAGATTATGACACCGAAATTGGGGAGACGGGCAAGGTTCGGTTTGAAAATAAAGTGTTTTGAAAAGGAATAGAGCTTGGTGGTAACAATAACTTAAAATAGATTGCTAGTCAATCACGTAATATAGAACATAATAGTATTGTTTGTTGCTATTTCATACTCTTACTTTCTCCATTCTAATATTCCAGGTTCGACTAGAGGAGGAGCGTTTAGCTCGTGAAGAAGCCTCACTGCAACGACAAGAAGATGAGGACAAGCAGCAAAGAATACAAGATGAAGAGAAAAGAAAAGAGAAAGAGAAAGAGAAAAGGGATAAAGAGAAAAATGATGACGATTATGATGATGAAGATAATGAAGGAGAAGAGGTGGGTAATTCAACCTCAGTTCTTTTGTTCTTTCAACTTTTTACCATTGGTAGAGATGGGAAAGTTGACTTTTTTTCAACAAAATGGCAACAAAAGCTTCAACTTCAAAAGCTTAAGTGTAGATTTTGAATATGAAAATCGAATTATAAGTCTATTTAGTCTGATGAGGAATCCGACGAGCAACCGTCGATCAAAGTTCTCCCACCGATCACTCAATCGTCAACAAATGCGGGCTCATTTGTGCAGATACCCGTTCACGAGTACGCATCGATACTTGAGAAAGCTCAAGGTTTGATTGGTTTTAAAACTCAAGGGTTTTTACCGTGATTCTTTACAATTCTATGCCTAGTACGGACTAGTGGTTGTTCATAAATCTAGGCTAGATTTGAGTAGACTAAACCTTAACTAGCAGACTAAACTAGCAGACTAAACTAGCAGACTAAACTACCGTATTTCCTCGAATAGTAGTGGACCCTGTTGAGCCGAGTTGGTGACTATTTTACAGTTTCCAAGCTTTTGCAGAAGCTCAACACTCAAATCCTCCAATAGATCTCATCGCCAGCTACATTTACCAATTCCACATCGATACTCGTAGTTACTCGATCAAAAAAACGTCGATTACCGTATTTCCTCGAATAGTAGTGGACCCTGGTGAGCCGAGTTGGTGTCGGCAGTCGGCAAGCCGAGTTGATGACTATTTTACGGTTTCCAAGCTTTCACAAAAGCTCAACCCTCTAATCCCTCACTAGACCTCATCGTCAGCTACATACGTCAGCTACATACGTCAGCTGATGTCAGCTACGTCAGCTACAGCTACATCAATAGGTTCTGATAAGCGGTTCTCGAGATTTCAAGGAATTTAGGCGCGCTCAGGGTGCCTACTATTCGAGAAAATCCGGTAATCTCAGACTAGTTCAAGATCTTTGTACCAGAAAGGATTCGTTTACACACTTTTGAGAGCACCAAGTACACTTAACAATAAAAAAAATGTACATCAAATTCCTTTATGGCTCACTTGTCAATATCCAGAGTGTAATCATATGTAAAATTATTTAAAACTAGCTTTTGCAAAGTCTACAAATTCAGGCACCGAGCAACAGGATCAACTCCGTCTCCAGCAGTTGATGGCTTTACAGGTATGTTATAGTAGCATATGTAGCAATACAGTTATAGTAGCATATGTAGCAATAGTAGCAATACAGGTAAAGCATGGATATGGTATAGAATTTCAACAAATGAGATCTCAAAAATACTATGAAAATCTAGATAACTAGAGCTGAATTAGGACTAGTTTTTTTTGTTTTTGGCTAATCTAATCATTTTCTATCCTTTACAGCAAACCCGTCTCCAATCGGGGGTTTCTCAATTCTCTCCTTTCCTCGATTCAGCCTCGAACTCAAATAATCCCCTCTACAGCGTTTACAGTTTACCATTCAAGAAGAAAATGGTTTAATTGAATATTGAATATTTATTTATCAAGCTACCGTAAAAATCTAATAAAAAAACAAAAATGTAGTCAAAAAGCACTCATTTTGAGCTCTGAGTACTCTGAGTACTCTAGCTGATACTCTAGCTGGGTACTCTAGCTGGGTACTCTAGCTGGGTACTCTAGCTGGGTACTCTAGCTGAGCACTCTAGCTGAGCACTCTAGCTGGGTACTCTAGCTGGGTACTCTAGCTGGTACTCTGAGTACTCTAGCTAGAGTACGAAATAGAAATCTTGCTTAAAAATTGTCAAACCTACAGCTTGGAGTTGTCTATTAGAATTACGGTATCCATATACACTACTGGAAAATGAAATATCATATTTGAAAAAAGATCGTCACTTTCGTCACTTTCGCGCGTCTGTAACTCCCTTGTCTTTACCGTATTTCTAAATATTACTATTACCATTGTGTAGCCCTTGAAAAGAGCTTTCAGAAAATGTATAACACTAATAGTTTAAACTCAAAGACAAGGGAGTTACAGACGCGCGAAAGTGACGATCGTTTTTCAAATATCATATTTCATTGTGCAGTACTGTATCTATTTATCTATCTATTTATCAATATCGATTCAATTATTCATTATTTCTTATCTAATTCCCTTCCAGACATTCCCATTATGAATCTCCAAAGTTTTTGTTTTTTTCTCGTTGCTCAAAATCAATTTTCCATTTTCATGTACATTGTAATAAAGTTAAAAAAATGTTTTTTTTAAAAAATTTTATGCAAATTTCAAAGTATCACAGAGTAAGGCAAGGGGGAAATGCGTAAAATTAAGAAAATTTTGTCTATTTTTCACCCGATTGCTGTTGTTGTTGACGGATTTGGAGCAATTCAAACTAAAAATTCGATTTAGATCAGGTTTAGAGAAGAAATTTGGATAATCAAGGTTTTTAGCGTTCATTCGGCTGGAGAACTCGGATAAAACAAATCCTGAGAAAACCAAGAGACAAATCGAAATGAATCATTCTCGGCAACTGATTAACGACTGATCAACGACTGATTAACTGACGAATCGAATCGTTAATCAGTTCAGTTGCCTCCCTTCTCCTTTAGTCATTCTGAAAGCCCCTTGTACCAGGCCCCCATGCCAGATGGAGAGCGATTACGCGCCCGCACAAAAAACACATAGCCAGTGATTTACATCGAGATTTCTTCTGCTTTGTAAATGACACAAAAAGATCTTCAGCTTTGTTGAGCTGAGCGTCTTTGTTTTTCTCTTTAGAATTTGATCAAAAGCTACCTGTTGACTGACACTCCGGGCGATTTGCGCGTCGGGGACTTGCTGATGAAGGAGGCGATCCTCGGAGAAATGCTCGGACTCTTCTTCGATTCTAGAAACATTGTTAAAATGACTTTGCTCTTAAAATCTAAAGTCTATAATCTTCTATCTCTAATCTCTAAGAATCTAAAACTAAAAGAATTCTTTAAAAACTGTTTTACAAACCGATGCAAAGCGTATTTTCCACCAGCATCGACATCAGTTCGTCGATCCGCGTCTTTCACTAGAAATTTGATTCATTGAATATTTTTAAGGCTTTTGTTTAGGGCTTTTGTTTAAGGCCTTTGTTTAAGGCATAATTTTGATAAATACCCATTGATATTTCAGCATACCGTAATTCGGATCCACATAGAATGAATCACTCAACGAGCCAGTCGTGTCAGCTGGGGAATCAGAGCCGAGCGAGGACTCGGGACTGAAAGAAATAGTAATTTGTGGATAATTCTTATATAGCAATCATCTAGATCTACATAACACTAGATAAGTTCTATGTCAGGGATCTGCCAGGGATCTTGAGAGCAAGACCTATCTGGCTTGGCTTGGTCCATGGCTTAGGCCTAAGCCTGAGCTAGAAGCCACTTCTCTAGACAAGGTTTCTAAAAAAAAACCTGCTCAAACTGTGACTAGAAGAGCTGCCCAGTGTTGGTGATTTCTCTTTAAGAATCGTTTGTTGTTCAACTCTCATCTCTTGGCGTGACGCTTTCAATGGGGTTTTTTGTCTGAAATTTGAAAATCTCCCTGTGAATTTTTGAATATTATTATAAATATTATTGTAAATATTATTAAAACTATACACCTACATCAATTTCTGTGGCCTTATCGTTATTTTGTTGAGTTGTTGCAGTTCTTTCTCTTGGTGAAAGCCGTTGTGTACTGGTGGCAGTGGTGGGGGTTCATAGGATGGAGTCGGGATCTAAAAAGCACTTATTTTAGACAAAACTACTAAAGATTTCAATGTTTATATGCAAATAAAAGTTCGCACTTGGAATTCGGGTGGAGTATTTGGGACATATAAATTGTAGGCAGATGGGGAAAAATAGCGTTGCGATTTTACGTCGGATCGAGTGGAGAATGAGGTCTGAGATTTGATTTAGATTTTAGATTTGATTTGAGATTTGATTTTAGATTTTAGATTTTAGATATAATAACAGTTTTGTCTGTAAGAAAGAGCTTTAAGATGCTTAGAGCTTTATGCTTAGAGCTTTATGCTTAGAGCTTTAAGATGCTTAGAGCTTTATGCTTAGAGCTTTATGCTTAGAGCTTTATGCTTAGAGCTTTATGCTTAGAGCTTTATGCTTAGAGCTTTATGCTTAGAGCTTTATGCTTAGAGCTTTATGCTTAGAGCTTTAAAAGCACAAAGTACATATCAAATAGTGATTTTATGTCAGATCGAGTGAAGAATGAGGTCTGAGATTTGATTTTTAGATTATTCGATTTTAGTTACAATAACTGTTTTGTCTGTAAGAAAGAGCTTTATGCTTAGAGCTTTAAAAACACAAAGTACATATCAAATAGTGATTTTTGTGTCTAAAAATGAATTCTCAGTGAAGGCGCGTGATGGGATTCGTTTATAAAGCTGAGCACAAAGTAGACACGTTTCACTACAATACTATTTACTATTTACTATTTACTATTTACTATACTACGATATACGTACTATTTACTCGATGTTCTCTTAGATATCTTATCTGTTATCTATCAAATGTTCTCTAAAATTGATTTTGAATATTCTCACCCTATCAATTGACACCAAATCCTCATACGTTTCCTCATCATCTTCGGGAATCGTTGCGCAACTCTAAGGATTTATTTGAATAAAGATATTTAATAAAGATATTTGAATAATAGATAACTTTAATACTATGCTTTTACAGTAATCTAATATCTAATTAAAACCTTTGTCGTTCCGGCCTCAAAAGTTGTGACTCGACTCTCTGGTGTGCCTAACAATGGCACAGCTGGGGCTCGATCTGGAAAACGAAAATCTCTGTTCTTTGAGTGCACTTTCTTTTCCTAAAAACGCATACTTTCTAGCCCACTCAATGGGATTTCCCCTAAACCAGAAAGGATGCGTTTATGGGGTGTGCTTTAAACTCTTACAGTAGCTTGAGCTTAAAATGCTCACTATGAAAAGTACTCACTATATCTTAAATTGTAGATATTATTATGGTTATCATATCATTAAATATAACAAACATTTCGTGTTTAACGGCACGAGCAGCGTCCTGCCGCCTTGGGGTCGACGGGGTGGTGGCGGGGAAGTCGATGAGGGGCGCGGTGGGGGAAGGGATGAGCTCTGTTATTGTATTTTCAGTGTAAAGTCCCGTTGTTGTTAACTAGTTTATTAATAATTTTATCTCAATTCAATGATAATCAACTATAATAGCTCATTCGATAGCCGGGAATCTCCCCTTGAAAACTCGTAGAAAGTTATGAAGAAATTTTTTGCAAAATAAATAACAAAAGCCCTTAAAAACTTAAAGCTGACAAAATAATGTTACCTTTTAGCTTTACTTATCAATTATCTAGTAGAAAATCTAAATTAATGTGCCACAAAACGAATACAAATCAAATAAAAAAAGTGAAACTAAATGCTGAAAGTTGCTTAACTTGTTTAGCATTCAAAAAAGAAGTGCTTTCAACTGAAATTAGTCTTTTTATATTTAAATCTATTTGTATAGTTGATTATTAATAGATTTAAATCCCATTCTACCGATATGTTGATCTCTTTTCTCTCAAGTGGTGTACCCGGTGTGACAATGGGTCAAAAAAAGCCCTTAAAAACTTGAGGCTAACAAAATAATGTTAACTTTTAGCTTTACTTATCAATTATCTAGTAGAAAATCTAAATTAGTATGCCAAAACGAATACAAATCAAATAAAAAAAGTGAAACTAAATGCTGAAAGTTGTTTAACTTGTTTAACATTCAAAAAAAGAAATGCTTTAAGCTGAAATTAGCCTTTTTCTATTTAAATCTATTTGTATCAAATTGTTGTTTATGTTTATTCGATTTAAATCCCATTCTACCGATATGTTGATCTCTTTTGCGTCAAGTGGTGTACCCGGTGTGACAATGAGTGGTGTCAGTGAGTCGAACTCATCCAATCGTGCCAACATCAACGCGAAAAGGCCTTTCTTGAAAAGAAATTCTTGTGAATTTTTGATGAATTCAAGCAAATTAAGCTTAAAAGAATAGTGCTTAAAGTGCATTTTAAATGAGGAAAAAAAAAGTACCGTAAATACTGTAATCCCCACCCCCCTCGTACAGTCGCGTAGTCGCAAAAGTTTAGTATTTCATTTTTTTCAAAGCACCCGTACTTTCAACAAATGCGTCTTTGGTATCAAAAAATAGCTGAAATTCAGGGCTATTTTTTGATACCTAAGCGCACATTGTAGCATAAACCAGTGTTGAGAAAAACTCGTTCAAAGCTAGACTACCCAACATTCCGCACCGTCATTATGGGGACAGGGTACTATTACAGTATTTACGGTAATTACTTTTTACCTTACAAAGCATTTCCTTTTGCACATCACCTTTGCCGCGTTTCGGTCGCCTTGTGCAGCAAAGGAGCATGAGGAAACCAGTCTGAAATTTGAGATTTTTTAAATGTTTGATCTAAATTTGAATTTAAATTTAAATAAAGTTTGCTTGAAAGAAATGCACCCAGACAACGAACTCAAAAGACAAAAGAGATGAAAATTTGGGGCTCTTTAGATGAATCAAATGCACCAAATAGGGAATGTTTCTATTTAAAAGCACAACGAACAACCGTAGGAAAAGAAGAGATTGGGAGAAGACATTGGTAGAGAAATGGAGAAAAGAACAAAGGTAGTATTCCTGTTCTGTCCCTCTGTCCTATCGCTTTCAAAACTTTTTTTTTGCGTCAAATTGCAAGAATCAGAGCTATACGAGTTAACGAACGAGCTTATTAGGAAAAGAAATTCCATAGTGATAGTAAATTTATAAAAGATGTTCTACATTTATAAGAGAAATTATGCTATTAGAAACCTCTCAACTTTTAAGCTTCCAAGATAAAATCGTTATCTCAAGTATAGCTAACAAAAGCAGTTTGTAGGCTCAGTTAGAGAGACGTGGCAGCTTTAAAAGGCCAAAGGACCAGTGTGGGCCTTTAAGACTTAAGCTTAAGCCCTTTGGGAACAGAACAGGCAGAAGGGATTTTGATCAGATCAGAAAATGCTGGATCAAGAGACAAAAGCAGTAGACGAAAAAATGGAACACCCATTCGCACTTTAAATTGAATTTTCGTTAAAAACAATGTCAGGGAAAAGAAGAGAAGACATTGGTAGAGAAATGGAGAAAAGAACAAAGGTAATGGGGCTCGATTCGATTATTTCTCGATGGAAAGAGAAAAAGATGAAAAGAAGAAGGAGAACAAATGAAAAGAGATGAGACAAAGTTTAGGGTGAAGTGGGAAAAGTGTAAGAAATTGAAGAGTTAGAGAGACGTGGCAGCTTTAAAAGGCCAAAGGACCAGTGTGGGCCTTTAAGACTTAAGACTAAGCCCTTTGGGAACAGAACAGGCAGAAGGGATTTTGAGAAAGAGAAATAGGAAAGAGAATCCCTCTGAAATGGATGAAAACACGGGAATACCCTGGGAAAGGAGAGGAGAGAGATGAGACTCAAATGTGCCGAGGAGACGTCAAAATGGGGATGAACATTCTCCATTTAAAGTCTACTAGATCTAGATCTTTGCTTTCTAAAGTTTTCATGGCAGATCTCTTAGTTCATTGTGTTCATTGACAAGGGAATTTGGGTTTAATACTGAACTAAACAAACGGTCAGTGAACTCTTTTTTGTCAGCTAACTTTTGTGGTTACTATAAGTGGTTATGGTAACTTTAGTGAGGCTACTGTAGGGACTTTAGTGAGATTACTGTAGGGACTTTAGTGAGATTACGGTTAGAAAAAGTCCTATACGATAAGAATACTATGCTATTACCGTAGTCGCATAGTACTGTAATCTATAATCTCAAAGTGAAAGTATTTATGTAGCTGAAAAGACTGAGAATTTCTCTATTATTTATAGATCCAATGTGTAAACACACCCTTCCTGATGCACTGAATTCTTTAAATCCCCGTGGAAAAAATGAGGATTTAAGTGGAGCGTTTACAAGATCAAATCTTGTGATTCAAATGATTCAAGATTTTACAACAATTACAAGATTCAAGAGTGAAAAGCCAGATAGAAAAATTGAATGGAAATAAGCTTATAAATGAATTTGACAAATAAACAAGTATCAGACAAAATTCTGAAACGAATCCATGTTTGTGTATGCATTTTGTTGTCTTTTTTTTTCTCTGAATCTATTCTTTCCAACATTACTTGCGACCCTTTAAGTTTTCCCTTGAGATTTTTGAGGAAAAAAAGGGGAAAAAAAGGAGAAAAGGAGACCTCGATATGCCATGAAATGTTAGACAAAGAATAGATTCAGAGAAAAGATTTCAAATATCGAAATGGGGAGGAAATGTGGAGAGTTTTGGGAGTTTTGGGGAATTTAAAGTAGTGTAATGATGCTTATTAGCTTATTTTTGAAAGAAAATTGAGTAATAATCTAAAGTTGATTATTTAAATATCTTAAAAAAGAATGACTTATTCATTTTTTTTGCTTTAAAAAGCTTTTTTTAGCTTTTTTAGCTTTTACCTCTTTTCCATAAGCTAATAGATTTAAATTTTGAGGGTAAACTGATAAGAATCAAATTAAGGATTGGAGATGAAGTTTCCGTTATGAACAATGCACTGAATGCTGAGGAATATTCAATTGAATAGTGGAAAATATTCAGCAAAGTCACGGTAACACTCAAACCGGTAACTTGATCACATTCAAGCATATTCAAGCATACAAACAAGTAGTCAAGTCAATAGGCTAACTAATATTTCTATTTAATAATGATAATTTTCTTTACAGTAATCAATAATAGTAATATTCTTTGTTCTTCTCTCTCCTTTGATTTGTATAATAATCGAGCACTCACCAAAACGATCACCGCCGAGGAGAGGAAAAAGATTAACGCGATGAGGGTCGGTGTGGCGATTCGAAGCTGAAACTTGCTTGTTGCCATTGTTCTTGATTCTGTAGATTCTTGTTTAGACTTTACCTTACTTTCCTTTACTTTCCTTTACTTTCCTTTACTTTCCTTTACTTTACTTTCCTTTCCTTCCTTTCCTTTACTTTACTTTCCTTTACTTTCCTTTACTTTCCTTTACTTTCCTTTCCTTCCTTTCCTTTACTTTACTTTCCTTTCCCTTCCTTCCTTTCCTTTACTTTCCTTTACTTTCCCTTACTTTCCTTTCCTTTCCTTTACTTTACTTTACTTGGTTACCCTTTAAAAAAATGTGTTTCTTAAAACGCAACTACGATAATATGTACAGTAATCAATAATTTTTAATATTTTTATCATTGAATTTTACAACTTTCAGTATAATAATGTTTCCAATTTCACTGACCTCATCCATTTGTTTCCACCACTGTTCCCAGGTTATCAAAATCCATTCGCGAATCGAGTGGTATGTCTCAAGGAATTTGTCTCCACTCATTGTTAAAGGGGATCACGTTTTCTCAATCAAAAACATCTAAAAAAAACATTTTTTTTGTAGCTTAAATTTAAAGAAAATAAGAAGCTCAGTGGTGTGCCAGAATGGGGTGCATTTAAGCGACGAACTCTCCAAGAAAGTACAAGAGGCTCGTTCTTTGGAGTGTACTTTGAGGTTAATTTTGTAAACATGTCCTTTCTGGCTGAATTGCACCCAATTGCTGGAAGAAAACGAAGAATTGAGTACACTAGAAAGGGTGCTTTTAAGATTTGCAAAGAGCGTCACAACAAGGTTAAGTTTTAAGTTTTGTATCTTTTTTTTGTGTCAAGTGAATTGAATTTTCAAAGACTATGGGAAATTCAATGAGTAGGGAAAAAAAATGAAAACGGAAATTGAGCGGAACTCATCTAATGGATAGGCAAAAATGCGGGCGAATGGCCATTTTGACTCTATTTTTTGCGAGAAAAGTCACCATGTCGTTAATGAAGAGAGAGAAACCGAAAAAAAAACATAAAAAAAGTAGAATTAAAGTAAGTTTTAGCTGACAATAAGTTAAAAGAAAAATAGCTAACAAGAGAATACCTTTTGCTTGTCTAAGATATCTACCAGAACTACGGTAGCTTTGGTTAGTAGAAGATGATTGCAGTGAAATTGCAGTGAAATGGAATGGATTACTGATAACTAGAGTACATTGAGCTGCTGTCTAGCGCTACAGTATTCAGCTTATAATGTGTTCAGCTCAACAAATCCGTTTTGCAAGGCCTAAAGAATGAACACACTAATCCAGATGAGCTACTATCGATTCAGTAAGGACTGCATAACATTTCGTTATCTCGTTATCGTTATCTTTTCAAAGCTCAAAGCGGTGATCGGTATTTAAGGGATTTTAAGGGAGAAAGGAAAGAGCAAAAGTTAAAGTAAACGGGGAGAAAGTGGTAGATAGTGGAGAGTAATCGGTCCCTTGAGGGACACACATCCAAAGGGGATGGACCCTGAGGAGCCTGGGAAAAGGAAGAAGGGAGAAGGGTGGAAGGGGGACAATGACGAGCCTGACTATGAGGAGCTTGGACTGAAGCTGAAGACCTGAAAGGGTATCCTGGGGTGAAGACCGAGACCTAAAGACCCTTGAAGAGACCCTGACGAGTCTTGTAATAATCCTGGAGGAGATAGGGGCCTGGTGAGTCTGCGAAAAGGAGAATCTCGAAGAAGCCCAGAAAATAGTGTTGCAAAGAACCTGAAAGCCTAGAACTTGAAAATGATGAGCTTGAAGATTGACAGAAAGAGTGTGTTTCCACATTTTCTTGACGCTGGATTCTTAAGAGCCTTTGGGGAGGTTTCCCATTCACCAACTTCTCCTCTTTCAAAGGGTACCCGCCTCGCACAAAGCTCTTCTCTCCCTTTTGATGCCTCTTTGATATGAACATTTCATTGTTGATGAGTTATGGGGCAAATTTAAATGACCAATGGATGGGATAGCAGTGAGCTGACTTTATGCAAAAATGGCCAGAGCAAGGGTAGTTCTAGGATAAAGCTTTAGAGGAACTTGGGTTTAAATTTAAATGGGAATTGTCCAGGGACTGTACAGGGTGAGAAAATTATAACAACTTGGGTCGATGCTTCTATTATTGTTTATTGTTTTAGATTCTTAAAGCTTTACCGACTTTTTTTCTGTTTTTTTCTCGTTATTTGATTGGATTTTATATTGTTACTCAAAAACTTTGCTAATCTGTTTGCTTTGCTAAGAAAGTCGTGATGTTCATCACGATTTGATCATCGTCTGACACAAAAGTCGAACATCGGCGACTGAAGATCAACAAGACCGTTGTTTATCGAATGATTCAGAGGTTTAAAGTCTTGGAAAGAAAAATGAGGATCGGATTGGAGGAGAGCGGAAGCGCACAGATAAAACTAAGGACACGATCAAAAAAGTTTTGGAAAGAATCCGCAAAAACAGTCGTCTTTCCGTGCGCAAAATGGCGAAAGGGATTGGCTTTTGCATCATTGCAATACTTGTTCATCGCAAGTATCGTAAGCACGCATGAGGTATCAGATTCAGTAGTCAGTGAAACAGATTGGGTATTCTATTAAACTAGAGTACAAATCACCCCCAGGCCTTCAAGCCAGGCCAGGCCAGAGTCAGAAGTCAGGTTCAGGGCTGGCTTCTGGTGAGCTTAAAGCTATAAGTTAAGGCTTGATCTTTTTAAGCTAGAACCTGGATTCTGACCTGCCCTGGCCTTGCCTGTCCTGGCCTTGCCTGTCCTGGCCTTGGCTGCCCTGACAAATTGCCATTCGAACAATCCTGCTTGCAAGACATGATCCATCTTGATGTAGTTAAAAGATTTGGGTAATGGATGGGGTAAAGGAAAGCACGATAACAGATAGAAAAAAATAAGATAAAAGATAAGGTAAGCAAAGTTTTGCCTAGTTAGTTCTAACAAGTAAAGGAATCTGAGTCTTGCCGAAGAAGACCCTCTCCTCCGCTAACCCCATTCAACCAATTCCAATACTCGTTCTTTTTCTTTTCGTCATAGACCACACACAAGAAATTGAATTGGAACGCGCGCGAGACCCAGAATCTCTTTTGAAAGATGTCTCTCATCCATTGTCTGAAGGGATTTGGAGAGAATCGGAATAGTTAGGCCACCCCTTTTTGCATTGAGATTACGAAGAGGTCATGAGTCAAATAGATGACTGCGTTCTTTTTGACTTTTTCTAAAAAGTGTCCTTTGAAAGCTACCGTAGTGACTTTTTAGAAACAAAGATGAACAAAGATTTTGCAATGGAACATAAAACTAACATAAAAGTCATCGCAACTAGCATTTAAAAAGATTTTGCAATGAACTGAAATTGTATTCTTACTGTAATTTGGAAATGGATGCGATAATGCGATGTACTGGTCTATCTAAGGTTTGATAAGGCTTAAAATCAGATTATTATTGATCTGGTAAGATGTAGTGATATCAAGAGCATATACAAATAATATTGTAACATCGCTACCGTACTCTTTAGTTCTTTAGTCGACTATAGTGACTATGGTATGGAGATTTGAAACGGATTTCAGTAGCTGTGATAAGCTTTAGAGAGGCTAACAGTCGGAATGTTTGAATGTTCAAATGTTAGTAATCCCTGTAACATCTAAATGATCTAATAGACTTAAGCCAAATTTTGTTCCATTGTCTAATAGTGAAGTCTTTGCTTCTTCAAAATTCGACTTTGAATGCTCTTCAATTAGCAAAATCAGGAGCAAAGGGTCCTTTCCAGACTCTAGGGAGCCATTTGTGTGGTTGATTAAGTGGTGGCTCTTAATCAGATCCCGAATGGTCAAAAGAAAGTCAATACGTCGGGGCTGGGTTGAAAAGCGTTTCTCTAACAAATTTAGGGTTATTTTTAGATAAAAGATCAACTAAGCTTGTCCAAGCAATCGGATACCCGCTTTAGCGTGCCCACCTACCGTAACCCATTTGGTAGATGTTACAGTAGTCTATTGTTTGATAGAAGACACGGGTAGGCGAAAACATGACCCAGCTACCGTAGTCCTTACCCCAAATAGTAAATGATCTAGGCCGGGTTACGGTAGCTAGGTAGCTAGCTATGTTTTATAACGGCTACCCGAGTCGGCTGAAAGTGATCCAAAAAAGGATTGTAGTGTGGAAAATGACTCTAAAAATCGTGACCCGACCTTCTTTAAAACATCTACACAAATTTCTGGCGCACAGATTTTTGTATTATTACAGTGGCAGGTTTAAGAGGCTGTTTAACTCAAAGAAAACCGGACTCGAGTGAGCCGTTTCTTTTTGACTCGTGGATGAGCTACCGTACCCATTCATGCCGCTTTAGAGTTTGAAGGGATGAAATACAAACGAGAAGAGTTCTTTAGAGCTTTGGGGTTAACAAATTGGTTCTATTTTTTCATTTTTATACTCAAACAGATTAATTTTTATCTTTTTTTAGATGGCCCCATCGAAGCAATCGAAAAAGCCGGCGCCGATCGTCGAATTGCCCCAAAGTGTTTGCTATTGGTGAGTTGATTTGGATAATTTTGTCGATTTTGATCGATTCAGAGCTTTTTAAATAAATACTTTCTGATTTTCCTAACAAATTGCACTAAAACGGGATGCCGCGTAGCTGAATTTTGTGCCAAAGCTGTGTGACAACCTTTTTTATGTATTTACAGGAAAAAGTATACAATTGCAAATTGAGTAAGCCTTAATTATTTCCGTATTGAACTTAAGTTTCTGTTCCTTAAGAACTCAAGTAAATTTCTGAAATTGTATAGAATCAACCATTAATTTTGTATATTTTAAGTATTAATTGATATTTTTATACTTTAAACAATGTTTTATCTTTAGTGATGGGTTACGCGAGGTGGGAAGTCTCGAAGTGTTCTGCTCAGGCTGTTTAAAATGGTACCACGGGCGATGTTTGCGACATTTACAAGGATTGTGAGTGGTTTTAACGACGGAAAAGCCATAGTTTACACAAGACGCATTAATTTTTGCAGATTGTGATTGAATTTTGCGCGCGGAAGTTAAAGTTTGAGCTATAAAATATTCATTTTGCTTCAAACCCATCTTCTGTATAAGAATTGAAGCAAAAATTGGTTTAAGGCCTTTAAAAGAATTGTGAGCAGTTTTTTTTCAAAAAGTCTCTGTTTTAAACGTATCATAGTCAGAAATATTTACATTTTTTCAAAAGTTATCTTCATATTTTATAAAGTTAGTTAGTTATGGCCTCTCATTCATGGTGTGCTATGTGTTCAACTGTGAGAGCTGCAGCCCGACAAAGATCGAATCGTGGACACCAAAACAAGCAAGTATGTAGAAAACGACTTTTGAAAGTTAATCGATTGAATTTATTAGTTTTTTGGAATTTTAAAGCTTATTGAAACTTTCTGACATAAACTTAACTCCGAAAATCAACGCTAGTTCTTATTTTTAGATTTCATTCATATGCTGGTGACGGTTTTGGCGAATTTGACGTGCGAACGCATGAAAGAAATTGGAAAAGAAACGGCGAAAGCGCTCGAGAAGCACATTTTCTTCAACTTGGAGGTGAAGGTTTATACTAAAAGAAGACGGGAAGCTGGAAACTGGTTCAATATACATTTCAAGAAATTAAATACTTTAAATACATCCTTAATCACTTCATTTTAGGATGATATCATTCCATATTTCGAGAAGAACTGGGAAAATTTGACGTCGATGCCGCGACGCGTGAAAACGACATGGCATCAAACGCTTCAAAGCACCTTGGCCAAGCAGGGCGATCTCTTTTTGGTGAGCGGTTAGCAATTTGATAACTTTAACACCAGAATAATTTTACGATAATCTTGACTTGAAGTCAAGATAAATCGATAAGTCGAATATTTGATTGTTTAGACAAATCCCCGTGATGAGAACTCGTTCGCTTTGTTGGAGCTAGATCTTTCAAAGATTGGGCCTGTGCACGAGGGTGTGAAGCAGGTAAAACATCAAAAAATTACAAAGCTTTTTAAAAGTAAAATCAATAAATCTTTAAGCACGCTTCAGATTAATAAATCTACATAGTATTTGTTTTAAAATACTCATTTAGATCGGCAAGAAAACACCATCAACATCGAATCTCAACTCGACCCTCGTCACCGCACAAGCGACTGAGAAAGCCGAAGAGGTCATTGACGGTGATTATTTTGTTTTCTCCACTAGTGACTACTAGTAGTATTGCAGATTACAAGTTAACGCTTTATTATTGAAATTTTAGTTGGTCCAAAGACACGAGGCGCAAAACGACGTACCGCCGAAGGCTCAAATCCGCCAAGTAAAAAGGGAAAATAGTAAGTTTTGGAGAATTTTTATTTAAAAACCTCTTTTCTTTAGTGGTACCGATTCGGTTGTCGTTTCGATTCCCGGTCGACCAAATCCAATCGATTTTTGCTTCAACAAGGACGGCTATCGTTACTATTTGGTGGAAAGGAACCCGAATGTGCCCGAGAAGTTGATTTTATTCTGTTTCCCCATTACTGATTTCAAATTTTCAGAGAACTCTTCGATTTAGAGTTGGAGAATTCGACTATGGTTAAGATTCACGAGTTTCTCTACCGAATCACTCTCTACGATACGGTGATGATGTCACCCAATGATCGGGCTTATCAAGTAAGCTGAAAATGGTAGATGGATTGACTTGTACTTCTTTTAGATAAAACTTTACGACGACAATTTGACGCTGGCCGGCTACGAGGGATACTGTTTATCGCGGGCGACGCACTCTGTGGCAAAAGGGACTTGGTATTTTGAGGTAAATTAATCATTTTAGCCTTAAAAGCTTAAAGCTACGCTTAAATCGTATGTGATCTATCTAAAAGTGGTTAAATTCTAGGTAAACTTCCTCAAACAGCCCGAGGATAGCCATATTCGAATCGGATGGAGCCAACCATATGGTAATTTTTGATTTATTTGTAGTTACATTCAAATTTCAGCTGTCCTCCAGGCCTGCCTTGGTTATTCAAAATACTCGTACAGTTGGCGCTCATTGAAAGGAACGAAATTTCACGAAGCGCGCGGGGAAAAGTATCACTTTGGAGGCTTTAAGGTAAATTTTGAACTTTGAATTCCTGTTTCAATCAAATTTTGAGCAAGGGGACGTCTTGGGATGCTTAATTCATCTACCACACGATAACATTCATCCTGAAAGTGAGACCTTCATTTTATACTTTCTTCACAATATTTGTTTTAGAAAGTTCATCCGATTACCTTCCGATCACGCACAAAGATGGTTTCATCGTCAACTTCAAGCACAACTATTTCGCCGAATGTCAGGATAGTATGACCGAGTTAAAGGCGAGGAAACTCGATGTTTTGCCTGGAAGCAGGGTGGGTTTTGATTACAGATTATGACTAAGAATCTAAACAATTCTATTCCTTTTAGATCGAGTTCTTCCTGAACGGCAAATCTTGTGGTGACGCTTTTACGGACATCTACGCCGGCTACTATCACCCAGCCATTAGTATCTTTCAGGTAAACGAGCTAATTATCTTCTTTTCGATGTACATACTTTAGGGAGCCCAGGTGCAATGTAATTTTGGGCCAAAGTTTCGCCATCCTGTCAAAAACGCGCGTGCGATGTGTGAAAGGGCTGAGGAGACACAGGTAATGATTAAAGTTAAAATAACAGTAGAATCTTTAAGTTAATTTCTGGATTATAAAAGCCATATTTCTACAGCTTTATCATCTTAATCTTCTTCTTTAGCTAGAACAATCGCTCTCCGATTTGCTCTATTTGGTGGAAAACGAGGAGGAACGAGCGAAAGCTGCCGACGAAATTCGACGAATTCAAGCCGACTTAGCAATTTGATAATGGGATCTCATTTTGACAATTTGTCATTATTTAATTTATAAATTTGTAACTAACTAACTGATTACTCGTATTACAGGTTCATTCCTCTTTCGTTGTGTTTGATGTTTGTATATATTTCGATTTGTTGTTGATGAACTTTATGATGAATAAAGATTTTGGCGATGCAACTCTTTTGTTTAAAGTTGAAAACGCAAATTGGTTGTCTTGATATTTTGCGGACAAATTGTTGCACAACATTACAAAATGTGTCTCTTTGGATCAGTTTTTGTAGAGCTATTCAAGACCAGAAAAGGCATTTCGGAAAATATTTACAAAACAAAAGATATTCATGCATAAAAAAAAGAAGGAGCCGCGTTCGCTTTTGCTAAATTTAGAATTTAGAATTTCAGTAGTTTAGCTTCAAAAAATGTAGCCAGCCAAGCTAATAAAATATTAGATATTTTGACCGTTTAACTAAAAAAATTATGAAGGAATCGATCATTTACTCATTAAGCTTGCTTTTTTTCTTCATTTTCTAGATTTTTGTCGGATTGACTGAAATGACGTCTTTTCTTTCAGGAATGTCGACCCCGAGCTCATCAAACGACATCGAACTCGCCCAAGGAGCCGTGCTGGTGAAATCGTGTGAGGTTCCCGCTAACGCTTTACCGATCCGAGGTTTTCTTTAGCAAGATATATTAGGAATTGATTAGTGCTAGATGTACTGAGCTATAGCAAATGCATTACTTAACGTAAATCTGTCAACTATTTCATGTTCAGGCTACGATTTCAACAATGGTGTCGACTTTGACGCGTTGATGAAGAGCTATTTGACGACCGGCTTTCAAGCGAGTCATCTGGGACAAGCTATTGAGGTAAAGAGGACAACAAATATTGTTGAATCTAAATTTTTGATAAAGATAAAGTTGAGACTTTAAATCTTACTGATGTAACACCGCATTGCACTCATGTCATTCATTCAAGTGATAAATTTTAGCAAATCAACGCCATGTTGAAGCTTCGCGATGAGCCGTTCGATTTGGGGGATGCGGAGCCGAATTTCCCGTATCCGAGTGAAAGAAAGAAGAAAGGATGCACGATTTTTCTTGGTTACACTAGCAATCTTGTCAGCTCTGGATTGAGGGAGGTTTGTTTGATGGAAATGAAGAGTATAGAACTTGTCAAAAATAGCAAAACTATTCTAAAATCTTATTCCCAACTTTTAAACAAAAAAGCAAAAATTTCTTCCCATGCCGGGAATCGAACCCGGGCCGCGTGGGTGAAAACCACGAATCCTAACCACTAGACCACATGGGAGGATGGGAGGGTGGCTTGTCGGGGACTCAATACGCGGCTCTCTCCCGTTGGCTCCCTTTTCCCCACACAAGTCCGTCCCGCCCCTTCATATTGCTTTCTCAGCTCTCAGCCAGTGTGCGTTCGTGGTGTAATGGTCAGCATGGATGCCTTCCAAGCATTCGACGGGGGTTCGATTCCCCCCGAACGCAGATGTTTTTTTGTTTTTTGGAAAAAGTTATATTGTTTTGCTTTAATGAAAGAAAAGTTTTTGAGAAAATTATTAGACCCTTAAACTGTACTCAAATGTGCTAATTTTTTATTTTCAGATACTCCGTTTTGTCGTTCAACACGATTTGATCGATTGTATTGTGACGAGTGCCGGTGGAATCGAGGAGGATTTGATCAAATGCTTGAAGGACTCGTATCTTGGCGCTTTCAAGATGGATGGCAAAGAATTAAGGTAAATATTCTCTTAACTTTTAAATCAAAGGTAATGTTTTCATTTAGATCCAAGGGAATGAATCGAGCCGGCAACGTGCTGATACCGAACGATAACTATTGCGCATTTGAGGTAAATATACTTGATTTGTTTTTAAAGAAAAATAATTTCAGGACTGGCTCAATCCGATTCTCGACAAATGCCTGGACGAGCAAGAGAAAAATGATGTCAACTGGACACCAAGCAAATTGATTCACAGGTAGGTTACATAATTGAATTTTTGAGAAAATTTTTCTATTTTAAATTTAGATTGGGAGCCGAGATCAACAACGAGGATTCGATTCTTTACTGGGCCGCCAAGCATTCGATTCCCGTTTTTTGTCCGGCTTTGACAGGTTTGCATTGTATACTTACAATTAGCATATGGCATTGGGTTTACAGCACATTTTTAGATGGTTCTCTCGGCGACATGCTCTACTTTCATTCGGTGAGAAGCGCCCCCGGTTTACGCTTGGACATTGTTGAGGTGAACCAATTTTAAAACATTTAATAGCTAAATCTTTAGGATGTTCGTCACATCAACACGTTGTCCGTGAAAAGCATCAAAACGGGAGTCATGATTCTCGGTGGTGGAGTTGTTAAGGTGAATTTATATTTTTGAAGTGTACCAAACTTTGTTTATAGCACCACATCAATAACGCGAATTTAATGAGAAATGGAAGCGATTTCACCGTTTACATCAACACTGGACAGGTTTTTCGACTGGTTAAAATGTTCAAAATAATTTACACTTAGGAATTCGATGGATCCGATTCGGGCGCTAGTCCAGACGAGGCAGTCAGTTGGGGAAAGGTTGGTGTTTTGAGCAAGATCTGACACTAACTGCTGGCTTAATATCAAGTTCATTGGTTTCATATTAGACCTAAGATAGCACTGGAAGTTACTACAGGCGTAAGCCATGCATCAGATCAATGATAGAACTTCTAGTAACATATCCATAGGGAATAGTTCCTATTAAAATGACTACGGTAGATTATTCGGTACTTTTTAGATCAAACCGCTTGCTTCCGCCATAAAAGTCTTCGCCGAGGCGACCATCGTCTTCCCGCTGATCGTCGCGCAAACGTTTGCCAGAGTCGTCGACGAGCGAAAGAAAACGGGAAAATGATTTATTGGGTATATCGAGTTGTTATGTTGTTATTGCATTGTTTTGTTTTGTTTTTTATTTACGCTTTTTCAAGTTTTGGATAAATTTTAGATATTAAAGCTTAAAAGTGGGTGGGCAGTGTTTTCAAAAACCGCCCAACCTCCATGATCACGTACACAGAAAGCGACAGCCATTATTCAAAAGGAGGGAGATCGGGGCTTAACCTAACGAGGAAAAAGAAAGAAAAACGGCCGGGTCTCAATCTTTGTTACACTTTGATATCTATGGGATCTTTAGGGTCTTTCAGTTATTTGAGCCGAGCCATCAAAAAAAAAAAAAAAGGGTTTGGCCATTTGTCACCACTTTCACCACAGAAAGCTCCGAAAATAACGTCTGGTTGATTGTTGTTTTTTCGACACATCTAAAATTTGGCCTAAAAAGCATATAAGCGTGAAATTTGCATACGAATCTAACTTTACATATAAATGTTAACGAAAACTTTACTTTTCTTTATCTTTTAGCATAAGATTTTTAATTTTGAGGTCAGCCTCTTTGTTTATTTTGCATTCAAATTCAAAAAATGTTCGATCTCCTAATGACTTTTGTGTTTTTTTGGATTTTATATTGGAAAATCGCGTCAAAACTAAATTCGCGTCAAAACAAAAAATTTTTACAATTTCTAGACGTAATTCAGTTTTTAAAAAGTTTTAACTATTGGTTTTTAACTGATAAATGAAATCTTTTTTTTCTTCGTTTCCTCCTTTTTAAAGTCCTCGTTATCCTCGTTTAAAGTTTTTAAAGTTTTTTTTTCAAATCTTTTCTTTAGAGTGCGTTAGATGGCGGCATTTTGCATGTTTCTACTCGTTTTTCTTCTGTTCGCCGCCTCGAGCGCTCAATCGAAACAGCTGGTACACGTGCAAACGGTGGGTAAATTGGCGATCTAAAAGTTAGAAGGTTGATAAAAACATTGTATTATGTGTATATAAGCTTTTTTAAAACTTAAAACTAACTTTTCAGCGGTTTCAGCGGCCTTTTCTAAGCTTTAACCGTAATTCTTTCAAATGCTCTTTGAGGAAACTTTGATTTCTAAAGCTTATAGAGTTTTTGAAATTGTGTTGTGAGTTTCAAACTCATTTAAAATTAAGTATGAACTTTATCGCAGGTCATTTGAGAAGATATTTGTAGTAATGTTTGGTAGTAATATTTTGTAGTAATGTTTGGTAGTAATATTTTGTAGTAATGTTTGGTAGTAATATTTTGTAGTAATGTTTGGTAGTAATATTTTGTAGTAATGTTTGGTAGTAATATTTTGTAGTAATGTTTTGTAGTAATGTTTTGTAGTAATGTTTTGTAGTAATGTTTTGTAGTAATGTTTTGTAGTAATTCATTTTTAAGGTTTTTCGACACGGAGCCCGCGCACCACTCTACGAATTTTCGTCGGACGTGGCCAGGCAACACTACTTTCGCGGATTCGGTCAATTGAGTGATGTGAGTTATTTACTGTTTTGTCGTTATTTACTCAGTTTCACATCAGAAACTAAATATTTCTACTTTCATTGTTGAGATTTAGTTGGGCCTTGCGAATGGCAAACATTTGGGTGAGCTCTTCTTCCACAAATACGTCGCCACCGGCTTTCTCGATTACCGCATGCGACCTGATCAGGTAAAAATTTAGATTTTAATAGCAATAAAAGCTAGACATGCTTTAAAAGATAAAATATTTAATGAAATGAATATTTATTTCCTTTTTTAGGTCTGGTTCCGCTCGTCGCCGAAAGAACGCTGCTTGATGACGGCAACTGAGGTAAACTTTTGTCGTTTTGGATGAATTCTGGATAAATCAACAAATAAAAATGTAAATTTGTCTAAAAAAATCAAAATAAAGTATAAAATTTACGCAATTTTCCAGGTTGCTCGTGGAATGTTCCCGAGAAATATCTCGGTGCCGATTTTGACCTATCCAACGACCGAGGATGATGAGGTGAAGTTTTGGTTTTAAATTTGATAGCTTTTAAAAGTTTTCATGACAAAATTGGTTAATTTTTGGTTAATTTGAGCCCTCAAAACCTTAATTTTTAGCTTCTCTACCCACGAGTTTGCGACGATCAAATGGCGATTTCCGAGAAGACATTCGGCACGAAGAGTGTAGGATTGATGAATTTTACGTTAAATTCTTTGCATTTTAGTGGCCAGAGATTTTCACGAAGATTTGCCGAGATACCGTGAATGCAACTCTTCTGGGGAATTACACGAGAGACTACTTGGAAGCGCTCAAAGTTGAGGTTCGGGTTTATTTTTATTCGTCATAATGAAACAAAAGTTCATAAGCTTAAATTTGCTCAATCTTTACAAGCACAGTAATGTTAACTTTCAGAAGTACGAGGGTTTGAGGGTGCCCGATTGGGTGAGAAGCTCACCCGGCGCTGAGGAGATCGAACAGTGTTTTTATGAGGTAGAAGTTATGTTTTTATTTACTGTTGTAGAAATATTGGTCATAGCTTTACGGCAATTAGTATTAATGCTTCTTTTGAGGTATTTGAATAGTTATGGCAGCTAAAAAATAGACTACGATAGAAAAGAGCACATTTTAGCCTCAGCTAGCTCTTGGGGTACTTATTGATTATAGCTGATCAAGATAATCAGCCAAAGAAGGGCACTTTTGAGAAGAATACTCGAGACTTTAAATGTATAAAGTTCAAATTCTAAAATTTATACATTTTTAGTTTATGCACAACTTGTGCGGGGTGGGACGTTGGAAAAACGTGGAGGTGATCAAGACGAAAACCGGTCTACTCGTCAATCATTTGCTGTCGAACGCGAGCCGAGCCTGGAGGTATGCTACATCATTAAACTTCCTTTCTCATTTGACTTCTTTCAGATGCCACACGAATACCAGTAAAGAGGGCGATCATTGTGCTCATTTCCAGAAGTTTCACGCCTACAGCACGGTAAGGGTTTCAAATTGTACCTAGATACGAAAAAAATGTGGTAATTTGATACAATTTTTAGCACGATTCCGTTGTTCTTCCGCTGGCCGAGTCGCTGGGGATATTGTCAGCGTTAAAGTGGGGAAATTTTCAAGATATTTGTTGTATTGCCAGCCTAGAACATTTGTTACCTAACTAGTTCTTTTAAAAATTGTTATGGCTTAAGTTTTTCAAAGTTTTCCTTTAGCAATCGTTTGCCGGAATACACGAGCGGCATCATCATCGAGTTGTGGGACCAAAATGGATCACCGTATGTGAAAGTGGGAGTTTTGGGCTTAAAACTAAGGCCAATGATTGAATAAACTAAATATTATTAGTACTGTAAGTCTATAAGTTCACTCGTAATAAAAAACTGATTAATTTCCAGCTCTAGATATGCACTTTTTTAGGTCTACTATCGTATGTCGCCGCGAAGCCATGAAGTGCTCGATGTATCGAGTCAAGTGCGAAAATGCGAAACGGATGAGTGCCCATTGGTTTGTTTTTTTTAGATAATTATAGAAATTTAATGGATACTGTAAAGCTAAAAAGCTACAGATTTCTGCAATTCTTATTGGTTGTAAGATTATTATTTCTAGGCTGTCTTCATCTCGTGTTGTGACGAGTACCGACTTGAAAAGCTCTCCAACGTGTGCTCAAATGCGGTTAAGGATGGACCAAAATATGGTGAGGTTTACGGTATTGTGTGATAATTATTTAGGACTTTAAAAGTTGTTTTTAATAAAAGAGGGATTCTATAACAGTCTTTTACTTTCGATTCTAAGAATTTAACTCGTCAATACGTGGGACACAAGGAAAATTGGTATGGGTTTTATGGTTTAGAACTTCTAAGTACCTGATCCTACTGTTTTGAGTAGGATTAAGCATTTAAGTCCAGTGTTTAAGTGTCCAAAATATTGTAGTCGATTAAAATGCCACTATTTTCAATGCTCTGTCTCCTTTTCGGTAACCTAGCTACAGTATACATTCTGGTAAAAATTAGTGCAAAATAGAAACGGATTGCTGGACTTTTGTGGCTTGTTTACGGTATACATATAAAAATTCAATGCTACCAATGCTATACAGTAACCTACTTATGTCTAGTTTCTCTATTTTCAGGTCTCCTCTTCTGGATCTTTGTCGCTTTAACACTGCTGCTGCTCATCGTCGTCATCACCCTTGCCGCACTCTTCAAAAAGGAACGCGCAAAGAATTCGTATCGAGTGTAAGAGAGTTTTTAACTCCAAATTTTGTGATTTCTAACATTCATTTCTGTGTCTTGCAAACTTGTTTTACCTTTATTTTTTTGATCTCAATGTTTTGCATAGGCTTTTTTTTCATCTGCATTTGTGCCATTGTCTATGTACTCACTCCAAAATAAAGACTTACAATTACTAAAATAGAAATTACTCAGAATAAAATGGTTTTGATTACATTTGTAGCCTGTGCTTCATAAATTATTTCCTTCTCTACAGTGCCATCGGGATATCAAACTTTGGTACTGTATTCTTACCGGCTTTTAGAATCGCAATCTTCAGAAAAGCTACAGTACTTAATAAAAATGATATTTGATGGCAATCTCGATTGCTTTCATTAGTCAACTCATTCAAAAATGATCTAAAACTTTATGAGTCTTAAACTTGAAGATTCTATTGATTTGTCTTATCTTTGTTCAACACAAATCCGAAAATTCTGTACTCTGGGCTCTTAAAAAGATATACTTACCACAAGATGCAAAGATGTTCCTAAAATCATCAATATCCATCAATTCTATGTGCTCATTTCATTTTTCAGAAGCCATTTCACCTCCATAAATTGAAATGTTAATTGTCTTCTTTTTTTCACTTTTCGACCATCTGTTACACAACATAATATTGTTTGAAAGGAAGAAGACCAGTCTGACCAGAAATTAACACTTCGAAATGAACCAGGCCTCGGGTATTCCACCAAACCGACAGCATAACTTTCTTTCCGTGAAAATCTGGTTTAGATATTGGCTTTGGAATTTCTCCCGGGTCGAGCCATTGTCTTATCCTCGTAATATTGTCATAATGAATCCATTTCTTATCAGAAGTTAAAATTGCATCCCAAAATCCACTATTCTTGGAAATTCTAAGCAAATTTCCTGAACAAAGAACGCTGATAGCTTTGCTTGCATCGCTTAGTGAATGTGGAATCCATTTTCCAGCTTTATTGAGCTTGCCCAATTCATGCAAAAGGTTTTCGGTTGTTTTATGATCACAATTAAAATATTCCGCAAGTTCACATGTAGCCTTTATCGGATCACTTTCGATTATCTGCTTCAAATCATTGTTTGTCCTCGTCCCAGATCTTCCAGACTTCCGTCACCCTTTCGAAATCTTTTGAACCAGTTTTGACATTGATGAACAGTGATAACATCTTTCTCAAATACGTTACAAAGTGATTGATGCGATTCAGTTGCTGTTTTTTTCATGTTTGAAATCGTACAGCAACAAATGCGAAGTCGATATTTTGAGGTCGTCTAGCATCTATAAGATTTTTTTATTAAAATTCTTCAACTGGAAATAAAGAAAAGACGCGTAATAAAGCACAATAATTATATCTTTAAAACAGAAGAGATTGCGGTGGTAATAGTATCCACAGTGTTAAAATCCATAAAGAGAAACGCAAACGAAATTTCAATGTCGCCAACCTAATATATACAATCTGTCAAAAAATTATAGACGCACCCTGTTTTTTGCTAGTTTAGAGCCGGATATAAGTTTATGAAGGTGAGTTTATGCCAATCAATACACCAAATCTTTTAAAAGCACTTTAGTCTTTGATAAAGGCTAACGAAGGTGCAACAATTGTGTAAGTGACTTACTATTAGTTCGTCTATTAGAGGAAATACCCCTTTCAATAATTATGTTTGATAAGTTTGGCCAATTAGCATTAAAAGTTGGTTAATTAGGCTTTATCTTAAGTATGTTCGGACTCGGACGTTCGAAATCGATCACAAGATAATCAATGACCGGATTCGGACGTCCGGATCAGATCCTGACGTCCGAATAAGATCCGAACGTAATATAGATACATATGTTTGTGCTTAGAAAGTCACCCGAATACGACTATGCTTTGACTGTGTGACTATAGGTTGTTTTGTGAAAAGGGAATGCGGGTGGGGAATGGATGGAAATGAGAAAGGCACGGGGCCACCCACAACGTTTCCTTTTAGAGACCACCCACAACGTTTCCTTTTAGACCACCCACAAAGTTTCCTTTTAGACCACCCATCACAATTCCTAACACAGAAAAATCCGGTGTACGATCTAGGGCTTTCTCTTCGTGGCGTGCTCGACTCTGGGTCAGAAGCCAGGTCTCTGACTTCTTACCTTATCTTACAGCGGTAGCGTATCGTTCTGCAAAGCTATACTGCTATGGCCGTTAGACAACTAAGATTTAAAAGGTTTGGTCAAAGCCCTATAGATAGCCTGTAGACTTGGTGGCTTCTGAGAAAGATGGTTAAATCTTACTCATGATGGTTTACGGAGGAAGCGCAGTCTCCTGCAATTTGCCGTAACCAAAAAGTTATAATCTTAATAGAAACACTGCTTATCTGCTTACGATACCACAAATAATATGGTACAAACAATACACAAGCACAATCCCTAAGCCTTAAATGAATAGGGAAGAAAAAAAACCATATATATTAGGTTGGCGACATTGAAATTTCGTTTTTGAGCAACAACAAAATTTATTCGTAAAAATAAACTAAAAACAATTAATCAACAATAGATTCCCCACAGCTACCGATAACATTTTTGCTATCTTTGGCGCAAATTATGGATCCATAAATAAATTGTGAATAAATCTATTTTTTTACAGGCTGACCAGAAATAAAGTTGCGGGATTTTCATCGATTCTGGGGTAAAAATCAATAAGGATGTGTACCAAAAAAAGATTCTTGAGGATGTTTTGCTTCCATGGGCTCAACAGCAATTTGGTAACGGATTTTGGACCTTCCAACAAGACTTCGCTCCTTTCATCGAGCCAAATCCACACAGGACTGGTGTAGGACAAACTTTCCGGATTTCATCTCGGCCCAGGAATGGTCTCCGTATTCGTGCGATCTCAATCCGTTGGACTACAGTGTTTGGTCAATTTTGGAGGCAAGACCTTGTGCAAAACCCACCAAAGTTTGGAGGCTCTTAAGCGATCGTTGACCAGGGAATGGGATCGAATCACAGGCCGAGCTGCGGCCCATCGCCGAAAACTTCATCAAGCGTTTGAGGCTCTGCATCAGAGCCAAAGGTCACGACTTTGAAGAAAAGTAGATTTTATGCTCTCTTTATATCATGTTGTTAATAAAAAATTGTTTCTGTTACAAAATCTTTTTGTATTTTTAAAAAATAGGCTAAATTAGGTCGCAACGTTATTTCTGGTCACCCTGTAGAACCCTGGGCACGCCTTAGAGCGTGCTATCTGATCGGCTACGGTTACTAGTTGATACTTTAATTGATTTTACCATATCTCTCACAAGATTCCAAGCCATACAGTTATTGAGTGGAGGCTATCAACTAATTAGACTTGCAAAACTGATTCCAGGCTCCGATTTCATCAAGACATCGACGGGAAAAGAGTCAGTGAATGCCACTCTCGAGGTTGCCTATGTGATGTGCCAGGCGATCAAGCGCTGGCACGAGTTGACCGGGGAAAAAGTCGGATTCAAACCGGCTGGAGGGATCAAGACGACCGAGGAAGCACTTGAATATGTGGCACTAATCAAGGAGGTGAGTATGAAAAGAATTCACACTAAAACTGAACTGAAATAGAGATTGGACTGTGTTCTTTCTAAAAGTTGCTCTTACAATTAGAAGCCACTCAAATGCTATTAGTTGATCCGGGCCTACAGTATTCCTCTTCTCGTAATACTTGCTCTAACTCTGGTTCGATTCTCGTCTTCTAAAAGGTGCTTTTCAGGCAAAAAACTACCGTAATCTTCTAACTTTCAATTCTAAACGCTTTTTATAGTTCTGAAACCTTGCTCTGGTTCTGGATTGATACTTATATCCAAATTTAGCGAGGTAGCTTTGCCAAAGAGTCTTTTAGAAAACGCTCCGGTAAGGGTTTGTTGCTCTTCTTGCTTATTTTAAAGCCTCATAAACGTTTCAAATCTATGTCTTCAAATCTATGGCTACAGTATTCCTCTTCCCGTAATACTCGCTCTAAATCTGGTTCGATTCTCGTAATCAAATCAACTCAAAGCTACCTGAAAACTGCCAAATTTTTTTAGATACTGGGCGACGAGTGGCTGAACCCGGAGCTGTTCCGCATCGGCGCCAGCAGCCTTTTGGACGATTGCCTCAAACATTTGTGAACAACTTTTCACAATTTTCTAGTTTCTAGCAGTATTTCTTCTTGTTGATATCACCTTTTAGTATAGAATTGTCTCTCATAGTGTGGCCATATGTGTTGTGATTGCTCAAACAAAATTCACTTCTCCATGACAGGTTGTTGCAATAAATTTTAGAAATTTCTTAGTTTTTGCTCTAAATTCGGTTAAAACCGATTTGTAGTTGTGAAAGTCGAAATGCTCTTGAAATCTTGTATTTTTATTCTCAGGAAATTGATATTCTGTCTAAAATTTTGCTTTGTTTTATCATTCCTTATTGCCCTGATCATAGCTGTTAAAATACTTAGCCACCCAAATGAATAGCTTTTGACGTTTTAAGGCTATAAAATCTGAAACAAGGCTGTTTTCCTCATTTTTTTATTCTTCCGGGGGTGGGACAAATGCGACCACAAATGCACCTTGTTTTTGCTGGAAAAGACCTTAGGCAAGGCCGTAGAGCTTCGAAAATATTTCCACATAAGGAAATCGTATGCGTAGATTCCGAATTTCGACAAATCAGACCTCGCTGACACGTCAAATTTGGGCTAAAATGCAAAAACTACGCAACTTAACGCTTTTCCGCAGTTTTTGCCTTTTAGCCCAAATTTGACGTGTCAGCGAGGTCTGATTTGTCGAAATTCGAAATCTACGCATGCGATTTCCTTACATGGAAATATTTTCAAAGCTCTACGGCCTTGTCTAAGGCCTTTTCCAGCAAAAAAAAAGGTATCATTTGTCCCACCCCCATTCTTCCCCATCTTCCCTCCAACTTTCTCATTTTCATCGTTTTCTAACGTTTCTCGAACAAATTTTTCAACTTCCAGACATTTCTTGTCAGCAATGGACACTGACGATCTGTTCAATGCGTTGGATGAAACGCCCGACGAACACACGGCAAGGAGCTCGTCAACAAAGGTAAATCTTTGCTTGATTGTTGATCTTGTTGTATAATTTCAATGTTAGTTAAAGAGCTTAAAATTTACCATAACTGGATTTAGGACATCTACGATGAGAGGTTCACGAATCACCAATCCTATCAGCAATCGATTCAAGTTCACCTCATTGAAACGCAAAACGAAAATTGCTTCCATGAAGTAAGTTTCAACTCGTTGATTTAAATGCAATGTTTGACTTTATCTTATTTCTTTAGGTAGCTGTGCCACCAAATATTCGGTACGAGCCATTGCGGATGATGAACGTCGAACCAGCAAAAACGTATCCGTTTCAATTAGACGCCTTTCAAAAAGAAGCCATTCAATGCATCGAGAATAATCAATCGGGTACGTTTTTAAGATCAATGAAACTTGATTAAATCTCAATTTTGTAATTTTAGTGCTTGTCTCGGCTCACACATCAGCAGGAAAGACGGTCGTCGCTTTGTATGCAATAGCACAAAGTCTTCGTGAGAAACAAAGAGTCATCTACACGTCTCCAATCAAAGCCTTATCGAATCAAAAGTTTCGAGAGCTTGAAGAAGAGTTTAAAGATGTCGGATTGATGACAGGTATTTTATAAATTAACTGGATAAAGTGTAGAAAACTATGCGGTGTATTCAATTTATAAGCTTTCAGGAGATGTAACGTTGAATCCGGATGCTTCTTGCTTGGTGATGACAACAGAAATTCTACGATCTATGCTTTACAAAGGATCCGAGGTATAGTGCTTCAACGCTTGCCCTTAAAACCTGTCTTTTAGGTGGCTCGTGAAGTTGGTTGGGTTGTGTTCGACGAGATTCACTACATGAGGGATAAAGGTAAGAGATTTATCAATGAAAGTATTCGATCACACGTCCAAATCAAGAGAGGCATTTAGTGCATTTTATTGCATCCTAAATTTATAAGCTTGCATTTCAGAACGCGGTGTCGTTTGGGAAGAGGCGATCATCATGCTGCAACACAATATCAACTGCGTTTTTCTCTCGGCCACCATTCCAAATGCTCGACAATTCGCTGGTGCATTTAACTTATCTACTTGCAATGCAACTTTGTTTAGAATGGATTGCGTTTTTGAAGCACAAACCGGTGCACGTCGTGTACACAGGTGTGGATAATTCTTTTGCATGTAATAGTTAAAATTTAGATTATCGGCCAACTCCGTTAATGCATTTAATCTACCCAGCTGGTGGCGAGGGACTTTACGAAGTGGTGAACACAAAGGTTTGCAAGTTTAAGAGCAATTAAATCTGAAATTTTAGGGAGAATTCCGTGAAGATCTTTTCCAAGCGGCCATGGCTTGTATTGAATCGACGGGAGACAAGGGAAAGCCAGAAAGAGGCAAGAAAGGAGGAGTAAAAGGTAAATCTGGGATCGAAGCACGGCAAAACAATGTGATTTCGAATTTAGCTGGAGCCGAGTCGAATGTGAACAAAATTGTGCGTTCGCTGAGGGAGCGGGACCTCGTGCCGTGCATCGTTTTTTCCTTTTCGCGCAAAGAATGTGAAGCCTACGCTTTAGCTCTGAAAGATATGGATTTCAACGACGGTGAGCAATAGTTTTGTTTCAATAAACTAATTTTAACGTTTTCTCATTTCACCACGATTTATTTCAGCCACTGAAAAGCATGCTATCATTGAGATTTACAAGAACGCTGGCGAGCTGCTATCAGATGAAGATAAGAAGCTACCACAAATCGGACAAGTACGCTGTTCAAATAGCAATTCAACGAATCGAGCAATTCTTTAGATGCTCCCTCTACTCTTGAGGGGAATCGGTGTCCATCACTCGGGTCTGCTGCCGCTCATTAAGGAGATTGTCGAAATTCTCTTCGGTGAAGGACTTTTGAAGGTATTTTTAGGATTTGGGGGGTTTGATTTTCATCTTTCATCATCTAGGTGCTCTTTGCGACAGAAACATTCTCGATGGGGCTTAACATGCCGGCGAGAACCGTTGTCTTCACATCAGGCCGGAAATTTGATGGAAAAGATTTTCGGTGAGCTTTGTCTCCAATCTAGCGAGTCATCGAGTGTTCATTTTAGATGGCTCACTTCTGGAGAGTATATTCAAATGTCGGGACGAGCTGGCCGACGTGGCTTGGTAGGTTGGTAGGCAAACGGCGTGAAATTGCGTCTTTTAGGATAAACAAGGTCACGTGATTATGATGATTGATCAACAAATGACTACTGAAAATGCTCGACAAATTATCAAGGTGAGTTTAACTGAAAAGCGATCGTAATACTGGTTTATAGGGAGCGACCGATCCACTGAATTCTCAATTTCGGCTGACTTATAACATGGTGTTGAATTTGTTGCGCGTTGAGGGAGTGAACCCGGTTAGTTTTACAGTTTTGGACTCTTATGACGATTTTTTAGGAGTTCATGCTCGAACGAAGCTTCTATCAATTCCAGAATAACGCCAACATTCCAATTTTGCTACAAAGTGGGTTAGCAATAAAAGCTATCCACCACTCTTACTTGGACAAAATATTATGTTTGCTTTGAATAATTTCTAATTTTAGAGTTTGAAACCGCCACAAGAGAGCTCGAGGGCATGCACGTCGAAAAGGAGAGCTTGATCGGCGGCTTTTTCGAATTGGAGAATTCAATAAACAAGCTGAAGGAAGAATGCAGGGTATTTGTTTTGTTTTGGTTCAATAGGTTGCTGTTTTTTAGGCAACGGTGATGCAAGCAAAGCATATTGTTCCTTATCTACACGCTGGACGGTTAATGCATGTAAGTCTTTAATGGTAGTTGCGTATCAAAAGAATAAACCACAAATCTACAGCTAATTCAAATATTGAGAGAAGGATTACGAAGAGCCAAATAGGTTTAATTGCTTTGCTTTTTCAGATGAAAGCTCTAGGGCACGACTTTGGTTGGGGCCCCATGATCAATTTTCATCGAAAGATCAACCCTGAGGACAAGAGTCAAATGATTTTTGTGATTGAGGTAAGTGCATTGTGTATTAAATGGGGTATTGTGGAAATTTTGATTTTTAGGTTTTCTTGTGCATCTCCCCAGAGTCGCTCACCTACATCGACAATGTTTCCATGTTACGACCACCAACTCCAGGCGAAAAGGTTGCTAATGGTAAACTGAAGTTCAAACTGTTATTTTTCAGGGTTGTTGGGAAGTCCTGCCGATGACCATTGACTGCATCCACAATATGTCAGCTGTGCGGGTGAAACTGCCAGAGAAATTGAAGGACGAATTGGAAAAGACGATTGTGGGAAAGCTTGTCAAGGTGCGAATTGATAGATCAGATAAGATTGATAGAATCCTAAATTTGTTAGTTAGGTAGATTGTAACACCTGTTAAAGATTTCCTTGACATTCTTTTAATAAAACATTTGAGGAATGCGAGAAAAGATTCTTCGGACAGATGCCCAAATTGGATCCGATTCGTGACATGAAAATTGACGATCCGAAATTGAAGGTAGCTTTACAAGTTAAAAAATTCATCATGTTATTGCTTAGTCAAATCTCGAGAAGCTGAAGACTTTGGATAGCCTTTATGATTCGCACGAGTTGAGATGTCGAAAGGATTTTGATGAGCTTTGTGCACAATGGAAAGCAAAGGTAATAGCTTTGACTTTACGTGGCTATATACTTACATGACAATTTTAGGAGGCGAAAAGAACCGAGATGAACAATTACCGCAAGGAGCTGGAGAAAGCGAAGAAAGGATTGTGGCAATCTGTGGAGCTTGACCATAGGTTTTATTAGAATTCTTATAGTTAGCGATACTTAGTATTTGACTTTAGAAAACGTGTGCTACAAAGGCTTCAATATTGTGATCAAGGAGATATCGTGCTTGATAAGGTGATCGATTTTGATGATTTAGAACATAAATTCGAATTAAGAATTGAGTCTTTGTTAACTATTATTTTACAGGGTCGCGTTGCTTGTGAGTTCTCCGCTTCCGATGAGCTATTGTTGACGGAGATGATGTTTGCTGGTGTGTTCGCTTCGTTGACCGCCGAAGAAATTGCCTCACTTCTTTCGTGCTTTGTCTTTCAGGTACATTTTTTATAAAAACTTTATTACATCGTTCATTGAAATTTGCTTCTAGTACAAGATTCTTCTTTAGGAAACAGCCCCAGTACCAAAGATGGCGGAAAACTTGTCGGGATGCTTGCGCCAGATTCAGGTAAGTAACGGGTTTATTGTGATTGATCTAGTGAAATTTAGGAACACGCTCGCAGAATTGCCAAGGTCTCAAATGAGTGCAAGATCGAAGTGGACGAGGATCTGTATGTGGACTCGTTCAAGCCCGGTTTGATGGAGGTGTGTGTGTTTAAATGTTTTGAACCTAAAAATCTTTTAGGTTGTTCACGAATGGGCACTCGGGAAATCATTCAAGGATGTGGTGGAGAAAACGGACGTTTTTGAAGGTAACTTTGTGTTTTTTATGGTGAACGGTTTTCGTAGGATCGATTATCCGGTGCTTGCGTCGTTTGGAGGAGGCGACTCGTGAGGTGACAGCCGCCGCGCAGAATATGGGAAATCTTGTGAGTGAATTATGGAGTCTTAAGGGGATCTTGCTAAAGTAAAGTGTAAGCCCTGGTGGTATTGAAGTGTAAGTCAAGATTTGAATTTGATTTTTAGGAACTCGCCGAGAAGTTCGCATTGGCCCGATCTTTGATCAAGAGGGATATCGTCTTCGCCGCCTCGCTCTACCTATAAATACCCATCATGGATAATTTTAAAGCATTTCCCATAGTTTCTTTGCTATTCGGATCTCATCTTCGTTCATTTCTCGTTTTCCCGAAACAAGTTTTCTCGCTTTTCTTTTCAATTGTCGATCATTCCGGGCTTTGTCACACTATTCATTTTGCAATGATTGTCTTTGCATTTTCGTTTAGTTTTTTTCCCTCAAATTTCCCCCAAAGAATCTCCTTCCAGGCTAGATATTTACTAATTTAATTTGTTATTCATGATTGGTTATGTTATGGGTTCACATACTAATTTGATAAAAAATTTGAAGTAATTTGTTAGTTGAATTACATTGCTTGACTCAATTTTCAGCGAATAGTACGAATTTTACTTTTTGTGGATGTTGACTCAGAGTTTGAGCCGTTTTCCTCGATTTCCAATCTCGTCAAAGACGCGCAACCGGTGACAACGCTGAGCGAACAGTGCAAAAGATTCCTGGGGCATTATAGGTAATGCGATAGTCGATGTAATTCACTAATGGCTGGTCTAAAAGTGCTCTTATCTAGGTATTACTGTCGAAAGTCGAACATTGCTGTTTACAATGAAGAAGTGCGAATCATTTGCGCGCGTTATCGGGCCTATTGCTCGGATCGAGTCTATCCGAGTATCAATCATGTGAGTCGCCGGGAAAAGGGGTACTGTAGTAAAAATAGGCAACGTATAAGGAGAAAAAGGTCTATGAAAACTGTTAGTGACTTGACTCTACAGTAAGTCGATCTTCAGAGCTTCAAAGTAGCATATCTAACCGCCTTTAGTAATCAGACTCTTCAGAATGGAATGTAGTTAAAAGAGGGCCAGAATAGAAAACGCTCAAAACAACGCCGTCCAATTTCTCACGATCCAAAAAACCAAACCAAAACTTTTATAACAAAAAATCTCTAAGGATATTCGATTAACCAACTGAATATCACTCGGTCAGCCAAGTTTTGCTCAAATTTCATTAGGGAACCACAAGGATCAGTCAATGCTACAAAAATTGGGCTGATTGAATAAAAACTGGGACCGATTACGATAGTTTGGCTAGAATAAGTGTCTCTTAGAAAGCGCATTAGGAACGGACTCTAGTTGAGATGTGAACGATTTGATTCACAATACGATTTCTTTCAGATCCGCCGTCAAGTGGTGATGTGGGAACAGGCGGGAATCCCGAAGAAATATGTGAACAATTTGAAGAGATGTTTTAAGGGATGTCGGTGGGTTTTCAAGTTTTGGCTCAATCATCTTTTTGTCTCTAGACAAACGGAGTCGGCTTGTGTGAACGCGTGCGAGTGTATCCATATGCAATGGATTTTCGATCCCGAATGCTCGCCCGGGATCAAAGCCCCTGCGGCGCCGAATTGTCAACGGTCGGTCGAGGGAGAGAGGCGAAAATTACTTTTTATTAATATAAATCTATGCAATCTGCCTAGATCTATATCTTAAATTACAAAAAATACGTTTATTGAACCAATAATGTGATACAAACAAAGGATACATAAGAAGATAGAACACACAATTTGACAGCACTTTGCCCGTTACCCCTATCACCCTTGTTACGCAAATGTTGTGAAAGAACCCGCTTGGTGGGAAAAAGACACATCTTTATCTGGTCATCGTGATTGAACCGTCCACCTTGCGCTGAAGAGACAAGACTCCTAACCGCTCGCCCATCTGGCCACAATTTGCATAAATGACGGTGTAAATGGACGGGAACTCACGCAGGATAGTAGCAAACGACGTGGCTCTAGTTTGAACTAACAGGGATAAACAAACAAACAAATGGATGCCGATTTGATTGAAAGTTAAGGGGTGGTGTCCTCGTGATTGAGTGGCGGTGTTTGAGTGGACATTGGAGGAGGACTGGACATTTCGGTGAGTTAGCCGTGAGTTAGCCGGCGATGGCTGAATTTCCCGAGCCGGCGGTGATCGCTAGAGTCCTTGACGTCGGCAAGAACAAATCGTGGCGTTGATCTTTGTACCGTGACCAAATCGGGTTCGCCTCCAAAATCTTCGTGATCTCAGCGCCATATCGTGCATCCAAACACCCCGCTTTTAGCCCGTCCACAATCTCAGCTCTTGCTGCTTGCGCTCGACTCACATTTTGGCATCGGTGAGGCCAACAACTCCAACATGAAATTGTCCATTCCCGTCGAGCGAAGTCAACTAATCTAGCTCTTCTTGGCTAACTCTAGCTCTAATCCTAGCTCTAGTTCTAGCTCAAAACATTCTTTAGTTGGTATCAAAAGTGTCGCGGCGTTTGGGCACCGTTGCCCGACTACACCCCGGCCAAGTACTCGGAAATGGCTCCGCCACCGCTTGTGCGCGGCATTTTCTATGGATACGAGCCGCTAGGTCGGTCTGGGATTTGAAGTTTATTCAAGATTTGAAGCCGACAGAAAAGCTAGACTTCCTAGAAGTTTATTGGAATAGCTTATATCTGAAGATCTATTAAATTACGGTATTCTTTTCAGAAACCCGCAAAACGTTCGATCATCCACGGGATCACGGGGTCTCCTTCTGGCGAGGCACACAAACGACCCTTGTCGATTGGCCCGAAGGTGAGCAATAATTAAAAAACATTCACGACGATACTAAATGATCACTATTTTTGATGTCAACTCATTTTTAGGAATTTTTGTCACTCATTTCTTAGGGAATTCTCGGTAACTTTGTACTTGTTTTCAAGAGGAGATTCGGGGCTATCGAATGAGCTGATCAGCTTTAGTTTATCTTTGAATTCTGAATCAAACCACTACGATAAGTTCAGCACACTTTAGAAGGCACTTGTTTTTGTGGAGTGTGAATCACTGTAACAGAAAGCTTGAATTCCAGGGAAATTCGCCTACGCAAACACCTACGAGGTTCCATCGGCGGGAGTGAACGTCGCCGTGCCACAAGTGAACATCGGATTCCCGAGTCTCCAGCAAACACTCCGACAATACACAAAGGTATAAAGTTGAGTTTCTAAAGAGTTAAAGAGTGACTTGCCTGTACAGAAAGACTTGTTGATGAGTGAGGGGAATGAGCGGTGATTCTTTTTTAGCATTTTGAATGAATAGGCTTTAAAGGTTTAGAACTTTGTCTAGAATAAATCTTATTTTTCACTTTTATATAGTTTTAAAGAGGACACTTTAGGCTTTCGAAAGATGTAAAATAGAGCTTGGTTTAAGCAGAGAATCCTGAGTTTTGGACAACTTTTCTTTACAGCAATCCGAGTACTGTAGCTTCTTTCCACCTTTATTAAACTAAAAAGATACTTCAATTCCTCTACCGTACTCCTTTTTACGGTGTATGGTAGTTGGAGTACTGTGGTTGACGGTACTCTTTTTTGAATAAGTTCTTTTCTAAAAGTGACCAGCTTATTGTGTTCTTTCTAATCATAAAGGAATACTTTTCAGGGAAATCCCGATCCGCTCAACCCGGGCACGGGACGGCGATATTGATGGAGGGAAGTGAGGAGAATTGGTTTCTATTTGGTCATAATATTATCTTGATATTAAAATATAATAATATTTGCTTATCCTCTGACTAATCTCTTCATTTGCTTATCAACTAATAAATTTCATTTGACGACTTAAAAAGAAATTAAAAGGAAATTAAAAAGGAACACAATGAAAAGAGAAAGGGAAAAGGACAACTTATTCTACAGTCATGTATTTTATACTCAAACATATACCCTTTCTAGTGAACCAGAAATGCATAAAGAAAATATACAAGAACATTTGAGTGTACCAGAAAGGGCACATTGGTGCGAGCTTAAAGTACATGTCTGGATACACTTTGAACTCGAGTTTCGAGTCCCTCAAATCATCAATACCCATCAACTTTACGTGGCCATTTCACCTCGATAAATTGCAATGTTAATTGTCTTCTTTTCTTCTTCTTTCTCTTCTTCTCCTTTTCTCCACTTTTCGACCATCTGTTACACAACACAATGATTGTTTGAGAAGAAGATGGAAGAAGAAAGGAAGAAGAAAGGAAGAAGAGAAATTTCAATTTGTGACCTTTTTCCTTCTATTTTCTCCTTCTCATTCTCTGAACTGAATATCTAATATTGTTTCAACTTCTCCTTTCCTTTCCTTTTCTCTTTTCTTTAATTAGTTGCCCCTTCCTTTCCCCTTATTTTCCAAATAGAATACCCATCTTTTCCTCTTTTCTCGAAAATGAAGGGTTTATTGAGGGGAATTTTCACTTCTTTACCTTCCTTTTCTTCTCATTACACAAATATTGTTTTCTTTGAGGATACGGTAGGTTAGAGGGAAAGCGGAATCAGCAAATTCTCTGTACTTTTCGACTCTCATTCTCAAAACGAGCCACTCTTTTTCGAGAACGGAAAATCATAAGCAAATAGCATAGATGCAGCTGTGATTAATCGGATTTCTTTTTGGAAAATTGATAGTTAAAAGCACGGAATGGTATACAGAAGTCAATATTCAATTTTTGGAATCAATTTTACCAATCCAGGATTATTTCCGAGATAATTTTACCGGACCAGATCAGAAGAGTCAGAGAATCTTCTGATCTGGTCAGAGAATCTCTACAAAGTCACTGGTTGGGCTCACCAAGAGTCTGCCGTGTTCCTGGTTAGTTGGATAGCTGAGAAATGTCTCATTTCGTCAAAAATAGGTCTGTTATCATGACTTTTGATCAAAATTTTTAGAAAAAAGTAATAATTTTTCAAAAAATGCAAAAAGAACTCAATTTACTAAACGTTCCCCATCGAAATTTCAGAAATTCAGCAAGATAAATCCATCTTTTTTTCAAGGTCAACGCAACAAGGGAGTCTTCTCTTTGCGGTGGAAATGAAGTGTCCCTTTCGATCAATCTAATACAGTAGGGAAAAAAACGTAAGGAAAACGAAGGATCCGGTTTTTCTTTACTGTTTTCCATTGATTTCACACTTCCATTGATTTTCTCCGTAAAGTTTCCTTGAAAAGTAAAAAGGAAACCGCGATTAGCAAAAAAAAAGAGGCGGAAAGGGTGTTTGTTGGCCGTGAAATGGTGTGGAAACAATCGGATTTAGAAGGGAAATGTTTAGAAGAAAGGGGAATAAGTTGGGAGAATCACGCCAATGAGACACGGGGGAGACTTCGAGAGAAACATGTAGACTGGAGCTCTGATGGTTTCAATGATAGTTAGCTAGAAAAGACCTGTAGGGCCAGGAGCAACTGACCGGGGAAGTGGATCGGATTTCAAATCAACACAGAAAAATGTACGATCTAGGGCTTTCTCTTCGTGGCGTGCTCGACTCTGGGTCAGAAGCCAGGTCTCTGACTTCTTACCTGATCTTACAGCGGTAGCGTATCGTTCTGCAAAGCTATACTGCTATGGCCGTTAGAGAACTAAGGTTTAAAAGGTTTGGAGAGAAACATCTAGACTGGAGCTCTGATGGTTTGAATGATAGGTAGCTAGACAAGACCTGTAGGGCCAGGAGCAACTGACCGGGGAAGACTGATTGGAGAAGAGAATGCTGGCGATGAACGAAGGGATTGCAAGGGTGGAGATCGAGAATCTTGAGCCCGCTTTAAACCCTGCTTAATCAGTAAGCTAATCAGCTCAATTGTAAGCCCACTTTGGTTTAGCTAAGGTTAAACTAAGCTCAAGGCCATTCTTATACATTAGGCAAACATATTAGTATCATCAATTTGTTTGGATTAATCCAAAGACAGCTTTCCGCGTCAGATCACCGACGAGAGTAGAGGAGTTGACTGAGTGGATCTTCAAGTACTCGCATAAAGTACTCGCATTTTATGCAAGTTAAGACCAGAGCTGTTCCTAGATCAGATCAACCAAGCCTTGTCTAGCGATGAAATAAAGCTTAAAATCTAAAGCGTAAAAACACTACTAGATTACTGTAAGAGCTACGGTTTATCGAGTGCAAAGTACACTCAGAATCGATCCCTCATCTATCATCCCTGATCCAACCGATTTCCCCCATTCCCCTCGATCCAATCAAATCTCATTTATCACTAGTTTGACAGCAAAAGAACAGCTCCAATTTTCCCAAAAAAAGGCAAAAGAAAAGATTTCCCTTCTCCAAAGTCTTTCAATGTCTTTCACCCTTTTCCCCATCAAAAATACCGTATTTTTTTCCCATTTTCTCTTCTTTTCTTTGATAGAAATCATAAGTATTTTGATGGGAATCTTTAAGAAAAAAAAAAAGAAGATTACGGTATAAAAGAAAAGAAAAGAATTGAATGGACTGTTATCAGAAAAAAAAGGACAAAAAAAGTTATGGGAATGAAAAAAAAAGAAGTGGAAATGGGTGTGTGAAAATGGGGAAATTGATAAAAATGACTGTTTGAGTGAGCTAAACTAGTGCTCAGTCAGACAGCATTGAACGCGGAGCTTTTGGACGGGGTGGATGGATTTTTGGATGGTTTGTCAGGGTGTCGAATTTGTAGAAAGTCAAATTTAAGGCAAAAATTGGTATAATCAGGACCAGAGGGACGGGGGGGGAGGGAATTTCGCTGTTCAGGCTTTTCGAAAAGGAGCAGATATCTATTGGAGGCGTGTGCCAGATGGAGAGCGATTACGCGCGCGCACAGAGAACTATTTATTTCATTAAGCTATTTATTTCATTAAGTCTACCAGCATTGATCAGTTTTGGCCAGGAGAGTTTATTTGGATCGGTCTGGGGTCTGTAAAAGGCTATGTCTAGCTTCTGAAGATTCAAAGACTTCCCTTTAGAATCGAGAATCATTTCTGCACAATATATGCGTTAATTTTAGGCAGATATTTTCAAAAAAGCCCATCAAAAAGTTTCAGAAATTTCGTTTTAGCTAATTGAGTACTCAAAAATTCTCAATTGGTCAGTGAAATTTCTGTAAAAAAAACAATTGGAATAACGGGGATTTCTTGTGGATTCATTGATTCGACACAATCAAAAAAAGGAAATGAAATAGAGAATGAAGAGAATGAAGAGAAAAAAGAGGAGAGGAAAGGCTGAAATGGACTCAGTGGGTGGTTCTTTTGATGTCACATTCAATGCGCTTTATATAATTCATTGTATTTTAGAAAAAGATTCAGGAAATGGGCAAAAGAAGAAAATATTTTCTTGCTCAACTGAATTGTAAAGATTATGTTTTAGGGTTTAGATTGCGCCAGATTTAAGTGCCCGGTCTGTTTCTGAGTTTGGCTTGTTCTTGAAGGGAAAATTGTACTTTGTGCTCTGTTGAAACACACCCTATCTAACAGAATCGGCATGTAAACTTCTTGTCACACGAGTTCTCGAGTGGTGCACCGAGAAGGGGACATTTACGAGGTGAAGTCCTGTAATCGGTAGGCTCTAAAGAATGCCTCAGCTACCGTAATCTCAGTCTAGATTCTCTTTAAGAGTTTATACTATCTGTTGTACTATCTGTATTGACTATCTGTACTGTTATACTATCTGTATTGACTATATGTACTGTTATACTATCTGTATTGACTATCTGTACTGTTATACTATCTGTATTGACTATCTGTACTGTTGTACTATCTGTATTGACTATATGTACTGTTATACTATCTGTATTGACTATATGTACTGTTGTACTATCTGTATTGACTTAGAAAGCTGTTCTAGGGCTCTTCCAGTTACCGTAACTCGATTTAAATCTTCATACTATAAGTTCAAACTTTATAGATGTTGTATATCCAATCTAACGACACGACAATCTTTTACGACAATCTTTCAGCTACGGTTCTACCTGGGGTTACTGTAAGATTAATCGGCTGGAGTACGATAGCTGAGACATTGTTTAAAGTCGATTGAGTTTGAGTTCAACAAAAGTTTACAAGTCTAGCAAGGGTATTTTTGGGCATAAAGAGATAAAAACAATGATTAGAATACACAGATTTCTAGGGGTTTCTTTAAAGAAAACGCTCTGTCCTTAGCCTTGAAAGAGTACTCAGAAAATCCGTCTCTTTTTTCGTTTCTTTTTTTCGGCTGTCACCCTCATTACTTGATTGAATTCTCTTCTCAGTTCATCGTCTCCATCTTCATTCTTTTCCTTTGAAGGTCCACAGCGGGTGTCCCTCCTGTCCCTCTTGTCCATTTTTGTCCATTTTTGTCCCTCTTGTCCATTTTCGTCTAGTTTTGTCCATTTCCCCCAATCCCATTCATTACCCGTGAACTAGTTTCCTTTGTGAGCCATCGTAAGCTGGATAGCGATAGAGATTGGGTAATTGAACCGGATTGAGCAGAAAATTTCTCGGTTCTAGTTGGGGGGTTTTCTAAGAAAAATGTTTATTGGATCAGCTAGGGGCAATGGCAGAATGCTTTAAACTGATTTTCTCAGCTTTAAATTTGACTTGTCCCTATTTTACTGCTGAGTTGCTGGCTCACAAAAGAGATCTATCTGTGCTGGTCGAAAAATCCGTTTAAACATAGGTAATGTTTAATTAATGATTGTAAGGGATAAAGTTTACTGTAAGGGAAGAGATTATTGTAATCTCTTACCTTACAGTAAACTTTATCCCTTACAATCATTAATTAAACATTAAAGGGTTTTCCAAAAAACGCATTAAGCTAGCAGGTGAAATGTGGATCTTTAAATTGTTTAGACAAGAAATCTAGAGCAGGGTTTTTACTTAAAAGCACATAGTACATATTAAAAGTACATATTAAAAGTAAAGTACATCTTAAAAGTAAAGTAAAGTAAATATTAAAAGTAAAGTACATCTTAAAAGTAAAGTAAAGTACATCTTAAAAGTAAAGTAAAGTACATATTAAAAGTAAAGTAAAGTACATATTAAAAGTAAAGTAAAGTACATATTAAAAGTAAAGTAAAGTACATCTTAAAAGTACATATTCTTTTTGTTGCTCATCACCATACTGTAGGTAAATAGGGTAAGTGTTTAGCTGGGGTTTTTTTTCTTTTCCTTTAAGTAAAGAGGCTATTTCACAAAGCAAAAAAAAAAAAGATGTGATTGGATACACAGAATGGAAAAAGAAGGAATAGACAAAAGGGGAAGTGAAGGTGTCGAAAGGAGAAAGACAGAGAAATTACCGCATTGTGCGCTCAAATTTCCACCTTTTCCCTCATTTTTTTTTTCCCACTAAACGATGGGCAAACTGTCGGGGATACGGTAGAGGAGAAATTTCCACTCAAAAGTTACAGTAACCAAACGGAAACTCGTACTAATGACGATTTTTCGTGTCAACTCAATTTTTTAAGGATTTTTGTTATTAATTTCTCAAAAAGTTCTTGATAACTTGACCACAAAGTACACATTAGTCTTTCACTTTCCTCACGAAAATGCACCCCATCTGGCGCACTAATGAGAACTGAGAGTACTAGTGTTCAAGAGGAGATTTGGGGCTATCGAATGACTATTTATAGTTTAGTTTATCTTTGAATCTTCATCAAGTTATCAACAGTTAACGACTACGCGGCTGTACATTCAAAATACCGTTGTCGCGAATGTGTTAGTGAGTACTAAAGACCCAAGAGCTACAGATTTAGATCAAAACAAGGCAGCAGTAAAGCCAAACTTGTTACTGTTGGCCTGGATTGATTGCTGGCCTAAAAGGGCAAAACTCTGATCCAATTCCAAATTGTCTTGGCTCTAGCATGCAGACCCTAGACCTAGATTGACTCTAGAGAAGTCTGGTGCTAGTACTCAAGGTTAGCCAGGAGAAGAACTTCTTTATTGCTATTCCAGTAAGAACTTGATCCTGTACTTTGTGTCTATGCATAAATGCGTCCTTTCTAGTACAGTGGATTGCTCAATAGTAAGGGTTAGAGGAAGCAGAGGAATTTAGTGGGTTAAAGTTAAAGTAGAACTACGCAGCTGTACATACAAAATACCGTTGTCGCGAACTAAAGACTCAAGAGCTACAGATTTAGATCAAAACAAGGCATCAGTATCAGTGAAGGCTGTTAGTGAGTACTGTTATTGAGTACTGTTAATGAGTACTGTTAATGAGTACTGTTAGTGAGTACTGTTAGTGGGTACTGTTAATGAGTACTGCTAGTGAGTACTATTAGTGAGTACTATTAGTGAGTACTAAAGAATGTGACTCGAAAGAGCGATTGAGTTAAACGAAACAGTAACTATGTTTTATATTTAAACTTATTTTTGTTTTCTTTTAGATTAGAAGAAAGAAAGAAAGAAAAAAAAGATAAGAGAAAAACTACGGTATGAGTTGTTTCATTGAAAGAAGGGGTGGCGATTGGTGGGGGGAAATGTGGAGAAAACCCCGCCCATAGCCTCGTCTCACCCACAAAAATCTCCGCTTTTCCACCGCATTTCTATACAATCGCCAAAAGCTTAGCTTACATTTGGATAATTGAATTTTTTTTTTCTTTTTAAATCCCTTTACTCTATGTGTACTTTGTACTCAAAACTTTCTAAACACAAACTTTCTGGCGCACTGAATCCTGTTGTTTTGTCTCTTTGATGTCGCTAGAAAAACAAGAAATCAGTGCGTTAGAAGAAGTGTGTTTACATGTGGCCACAAAGTACACATTAGTCTTTCACTTTCCTCACGAAAATGCACCCCATCTGGCGCACTAAGGAGTACTGAGAGTTGATCTCTTTCAATAAACACTGGTACTTTGTGCTTAACCCTGTAAACACAGCTCTTCTCGTTCACTCTGTACTGTAATGGTAATTAGACATGGGCAGCGGGTCGGGTCGGGCCGGGTCGGGTCAAAAGTGACCCGCTGACCCGACCCGCGACCCGGCTTTTTTCCCGGATGACCCGCTGACCCGACCCGGCCGCCAAAACTCGAAAATGGACATGTCTAATGGTAATCGTTTTCTCAATGGTGCGTCAGATGGGTGCCTTTACGCCATGAACACCTCACTCAAAGGTGCAAGACCAAGGTGTACTTTGTGCGCACGTAAACGCACTCCTCCATGCGCCCTCAATTAGCATCTTTTTCTATGGGATTTTGATTTGAAAACTATTTTTTTTTCAATACCAATTTTCAGATCAGATTCCCCAAAAACGATGATTGTTATTGTGCAGAAATTGGAATCATTTTGAACACGCAAAAAGTGTTTTCAATTCATTTGTTTTCTTGTCTTTTTCTATACATTATTTGTCACTCCAAATAAAAAAAAAACCCCCAATTCGTTCAAGTACTTCCCCACCTTTTTTTTCCCCATTCGCTCCGAAGCAATGCCGAGGCCAGGCAAAAACTCCTATGATGAGCAGGTACGGTTGGGCAGAGATTTTATGCAAATTTCGGTTATCTATAGATATTCGGTTATCCGTAGATGCAGTTAGCAAAGTTTCTTAAGAAGAGAATACGTGGTTAACACATTCACGACGATCCCATCCCACTGAACTTCAACTTCAAAAAGAACTTAAACACTGAACTTAAACAGAGATGTTTCAAGTGAGCTGCAAGAAGTTTGGCTAAAAGTTAGGCTAAGCCAAGATCAGAGGTTCAGATTGGGTAGTTGTCTGGACTCTGGACCTGTTCCAGGTTCTTTTTCCAGGTTCAGATCTGACTTCTGATGTGTCGAAGGAGTTTTTGTGAGACAGACAAGACCAGACAAAGATACTGACCTAGAGTGGCCAGGAAAATTTGCTTTTGTTTCAAAAGCAAATTGTTTTTGTTGTTTTGTTGTTTCAACCCTGTAACTATAGGTGACGAATTTTAAGCTTAATTCTCGACTGAACTACTTATAATGCTTAGTATATAGTTTAAAGCTCTATAGTGTTCGCAAACACGCAAACATACCCTTTCTGGTGCACCAAATTCGGCGTTTTCTCTCGTGGCAACTACGAGAAAAATGAAGAATTATGTGCACCGAAAAGAGTGCGTTTCAATGTTTTTGTAACACTTCATTACACGAAATCTTTCCAGAGTTCTATGCACCAGAAAGCGTACGTTTATGAAATATAAGTACAAAGTACAATTTAGAAAAAAAAATCTATAGAAATTGTATTGATTTCCAGAAGCCGCCGTACTCATACATTTGGCTCACCTACATGGCGATTCAGTCAAGCGACGAAAAAATGCTGCCGCTCACCGAAATCTATAAATTCATCATCGAAAAGTTCCCATTTTATCGGAAAAACACGCAAAGGTTGGAAATTTGGAATCTATTACTATATTGGAAGGAAGATAAGGCCGGTCAGGTCTGGCTATGCCTAGGAGACCAGCTTCTTCTAAGCTTCTAAGCCTAGCTTCTAAGCCTAGCTTCTAAACCTAGCTTCTAAGCTTCTAAGCCTAAGCTTTAAAGAACTGAAGACTCATCTACTGAATAGAGAGAATTTATGGATCTTTTATCTTTGCTTGGGATCTCTACTTGACTCTTCTTTGAGCTTTGCTTGAGATCTTTGCTTGACTCTTCTTTGATCTTTGCTTGACTCTTCCCCCGTTTCATTCACTCAACTTTATAAATAAAAATGAAAGCTTTCCGTTGCATCCCTAGGATTTTTTGATTCGTTTTACTCAACTCTAGATCTTTCTAGAATCTTGACTACGTTCTTATCCTATGTTCAACGAATATATCTTTATTTAGATGGCAAAACTCTTTGCGTCACAACCTCTCATTCAACGATTGTTTCATCAAAATCCCGCGGAGAGCTGATCGACCTGGAAAAGTGAAGATTCTAGAATTAAATTCTAATTTTCATTTACATAAAAAATGAAATTTTAAATTTTAACTTATATTTAAAAGAAGATTCAAAATTTTTTAGAAAACTGAAAAAGATATTTGGGGAATTTTTTTGGAGGCTCATTCAAATTTGAATAACTTTTTTTTACAATAAACTGGAAATAAAGTTTCTATGCAAATCGTTTCAGGGATCCTATTGGGCCGTTCATCCAAATGCCCTCGGAATGTTTGAGAATGGCAGCTGTCTAAGAAGGAGGAAACGGTTTAAGGTGAACGAAAGAAAAAGAATTCTAATTTATCTAAAAACTAAAAACTAGGCACTCGTTTACCTAGCTACCAAAAGCTTTTCTCTAGCTTAGAAACCGATGTTTCTTATCTAAACACTCTACTGAACGTTATCCTTGTTTAAGGATAACGTTCAATAGAGTGTTTAGAGTTCAAGGATAACGTTGTTGTTGTTGTTGTTGTTGTTGTTGTTGTTGTTGTTGTTGTTGTTGTTGTTGTTGTTGTTGTTGTTGTTGTTGTTGTTGTTGTTGTTGTTGTTGTTGTTGTTGTTGTTGTTATTGTTGCTGTTGTTCTTGTTCTTGTTCTTCTTCTTGTTCTTCTTCTTGTTCTTGTTCTTCTTGTTCTTGTTCTTCTTCTTCTTGTTCTTCTCCTTCTTGTTCTTGTTCTTGTTCTTCTTCTTGTTCTTCTTCTTGTTCTTCTTGTTCTTCTTCTCCTTCTTGTTCTTGTTCTTCTTCTTCTTCTTGTTCTTCTTGTTCTTCTTGTTCTTCTTGCTCTTCTTGTTCTTGTTCTCTACGTTTATCTATAACTACAGTTTGTCTACAGTTAAAGAACGGACAAAAAAAGAAACTTTTAAGCGTTCAAATCTCTTTGTGATGTTCTTTTTGTTCGAAGAAAATTGTTGAGTTTCGTTTCAGGCTCAACAATTGGATGCCGAGGAGGAGGCGACGATGAAACTCCCCTTTCCGCCGATTCTCCCCTGGTTTATGAATGGAAATTCGGCGCAAGCGGTTGGTTATCCGAGCTAGATTTAGGCTTAAATTAAAGATCTAGGGTTAGGCTAAATTTAGACGAAATGTAAGTCAGAAAGTCAGAAAGTCAAAATACAAGTTGATCAATTAGTTCAAATATAAGAGCCCAGAGAAAGCTCAACCCAGAGAAAATCATTCTCTCACAAACAGTTTCGATACTGTCGAACTATCCGATTGGTGGAGTAAAATGAATATCTCTAATCGATTCGCCGACCCAAAAAAACCCATAGAAATTCACAGCTGAATAGCTTTTTATGCGATCTACAAAGGAAAAGAAGATCCCTTTGAGGTGTTCTCTATGCGCCCACGTAATCGCTCTCCATCTAGCATAGGGCTCTAGTACAAGGGGCTTCCTTTTCAGACACCATCGCCTCCAGCCTCGACCGATTCCCCTCAATTACCGATGCTGAATCCATCCTCATATTTGTCGATGTTATTCCCGCAGCTTTTCCCTCCACCAATCGATGGACCATCTTTCGGTTTGCAATCATTTGAACAGGTGAGATTAAATTTTAAACAATATATTACAATTGTAAGTAATCTAAAGATTATAATGATTTAAAAGATTAATTAATTTAATTATCCAAGCATCGAATTATTAGTCGCTTTTTTTCCCCCGTAAAAATTATTTTGTTTAAGTATTTAAGAAATTTGAAAACAAATAATTTGCAAATTTGAATAATACTAATAGGATCGATGAATGGACACAAATATTTGGATTTGGATTTGTTATTTGGATTATTTGGATTTGGATCATATTTGGATTTGGATCATATTTGGATATTTGGATTTGGATACAAATATTTGGATTAACAGGAGCTTGCCCATTAGTCATTAAAAAACCTTAAGTTTCAAGTGAAAGCCTTCAATTATCTAGTTTAAACTACCCGACTTTCAACTGAACATTACTTTAGAGTTTTTGATCGATTTACTGATCATTTTCGATAATAAATTTGCATTTGCTTTCTATCAAATTCCTATCATTCAGCCATTCCTGCCCACATTTGGTTCTCTATTGCCCACACAAGAGATCCCATTTGATTTATCAACGACCAGCGAGGAGCACACTGATCCAGATGTGAAGATTTTTCAATTAAATTCAATTAAATTCAATTCAATTCAATTCAATTCAATTCAATTTATTCACTACTTTTCATCATTTTCATACTATTAGCTGATTTAATTAGTCTAAAAATGAAACCTATTTCTAGATCTCGGACTCGAGTCACCGATCGGCGCTTGATTCGAGCGAATCACTCGACTCTGATGTGAAAGATGTAGACAAGGATGGGGAGGCGGTTCGTTTTTTTGCAAGTTACAGTTAACAAGGATACCTGGGACTTATAGCAGTCTAATTAGCATCCACTTTTGACTCGGATTCGACTAACTTGCCTTCTAAATTTACACGAGTCTCTTAAGTGGTTCGAGTTGACTTGAGTTTGCTCAAGAATTTGAGAACTTCCAACTTGAGAACTTCTAACCGGGTCTATGTGCAGGCTTGGCTCTGTCGGGTCCAGGTAAAGCCAAGCAAGGTAATCATCCTAAAAGATTCCCACTAGAACAACCCTGGAGTTTTGTGGCAACCCATTTGTGACTCTACCTTGCATTCTAAATTCGAAAGTCTCAATGCTTAATGAGTTGCATAACACCCGTGATATCGCTGTCTTGATCAGATCTCAGTCTGGCTATCAGGGTTGTTCTAAAAGCCAAAAGACTAAGCTATGAACTTTGAAAAGCTACAAAATTCGTTCATCTATTGAAAGCCCTTTTTGCTTGGCTTGGCCTGAAATTTTGCTCAGAACAACCAATCAAGGTACAAACAGAATACAGTAAGCAGTAGACAGTAGTCAAAGTACAGTAGATAGAGTAAGGCATACCCGGGCTACGTGTCGGTGTAGCTCATTCGTAGAGTGTTGGCCCGGTAAGCGAAAGGTCACGGGTTCGAGTCCCAGCGCCGATGTTTTGTATTCGCCGCCTCAACCCATAAAAGAACCTGTCCAACTGTGGGATACAGGCAGTAGTCCAGGTTAGGTAATGTGCAGACTAAACTCATAACTCATTGATGAACGATCCCCTCTTTCAGCAGCGACCCTCCACTCCTCCATCCCATCTCGAGCTGAGTTCCCTCCTCAATTTCCCCTCCTCACTCGAATCGATTCTCAATCTCCATCTACCAAAACCATCAACAACTTCAGCAAAATCTTTCCCCAAATTCTCGTCTCTATTCTCCTTCGATAAACCCAATTCTCTTAACATCACTTTATCTGGAAAGGTTAAAAAATCGCCAATAGCCGTCTCCCGTAAACAAATCCCTTTTTCAATTGATCGGATTTTAGCTTGAATGTTATTCATTACTTTCTATCTATATTATTCATTACTTTCTATAAAATTCTTTCTTTTCTTATGGCAATATCGAAGTTGTGCCTATTTTTTGTAAGCAATTTAACATACTGACTTTTTTTGCAAAGAAAACTGAGGATCAGATAGATTTCTGAAATGCTGATCGTTCATCGACGATCGACGTACGACACTTATATAGAGGTCGGGAGGAGCTGGGGTACTGGGCCTCAGACTCAAGGCCAGCGTCGGTTGCAGTATCCCTCAAAATTTGCATATAAGCTCTAAGCCCAGCCAAGTGTTACACTTTTAGAGCTTTTCCAGTACGTTGTATTCAAAAATTGCACTTATTTCCTCGATTTTCTTCATAAAAACCTCAATCCAGCACTTTCCCCCTCATAATTTCGTGGCAATCGAAAAAAAACGCTAAAAATTTCTCTAGTCTTTAGCTCCGATTTTCATTATAAAACCAAAAAAAATAGTCTTTTCGATATCATTCATTTATTTTCTCTGCATTTTCTCTTTCTTGGTGTAAATTTGTGATAGCCGAATCCCCGTGAGCCAATTCTTTTCTCGCGGCGATACAAGGTATTTCCTTTTCTTCTTTTTTTTTTTCATTTTTGGTGTTTGTTTTTTTTTCGGTTTGTTTTTTGTATTTCTTTTGATTTTACTGTACTGAAAGAGTCTAAGGCAGATTGAAATTGCAAATTTAATGAAAATTTCAAATTTCTCCATTATTAGTTTGCAAGAGCCTTTTAGTCTCTTTGAGTACTAGTTTTCGTGACATTTTTGTAGAAAAAAGCATCAAAATTTAAAATTTTCCAAAACACAAAAGATTTATTGGCTTTATGGGTTTTTAGAGCTGAAAAGAGTGATTTCTGATTGTAAGCTAGAGAAGCTCTCACTCGAATACCAGAGTACTAGGCAGTAAACTTGACTTAGCGATATCAATTCGGTTATGGAGATCAATTCGGTGAAGACCTTATGCCAAGATTTGTATCATCAAGACATAATAGCGATATTTGTATCGTTATGGACCCTCGAGTCAACCCTAGTTTCATGCCCCCGAAGGCAGGTATTAAAGAAACGTTATGGACTGTGACTCAAGCTGTTTTTCATTCTGGAAGGTTTGAAATCTCGGGCCAGATCTAATTTAATAAAGAATTTTTTAAAAATCAATCTTTTAATCGAAAAAAGTCTAGCAAATAGCTCTAGCAAACAAACTGTGCATCAAGATCTGTTCTTGCAGTTCTTCTTCTTCTTCTTCCTCTTCATCTTCCTCTTCTTCTTCTTCCCTCTTCTTCTTCTTCTTCTTCTTCCTCTTCCTCTTCTTCTTCTTCTTCTTCTTCTTCCTCTTCTTCTTCTTCTTCTTCCTCTTCATCTTCCCTCTTCTTCTTCTTCTTCCTCCTCTTCATCTTCCTCTTCTTCTTCTTCTTCTTCTTCCTCTTCATCTTCCTCTTCTTCTTCTTCTTCTGTGTGATACAAATTATCCTCTATGAAAAGCTACTGCACTTTTGTTCTGTTAGGTAAAGATTGTTCATTGAGAAAGAGTGACCAATGACCATTCTTAATGTTCCCCATTTCCATAACTTTTTTGTCCTTTTTCTGATAACAGCCTATTCAATTCTTTTCTTTTATATCGTAATCCTCCTTTTTTTTCTTCAAGATTTCCATGAAAATATTGAATCAATGCATATGAAATGGCTAAATGTTCAAAAAAGCATCAAATCAATCTAAATATTTATTTTCAATGATCTTCTCTCATTTTTGACACTCCTCAGATTCCCTTCTCATAAAAAAACCTTCAATTTTTCAGCAACAAAATCCTTCAGCCCGTTTTTTTACGTCATTTTCGGAATCAAAGTGCTACCTAGCCAGCTCGTTGCTCATCAACCGGAATAAATAATAATCACTTGGGGCAAGGTTCAGGCTACATGGGAAATGAGCCATCATCTCTTAACCAAGGCTCAGTTTATCGCGAATCATCAAAGAAACATGAGGAGGATGATTTTTATCTGTTTAGGTTTGTCACTTGTCAAAGCTGTGGATATTTTTTCGAGCTGTTCGGCGTATTAAGAGTTAAACATCGGCTTACTATTCAGCAACTCCCAATAGACCACTCCTTCTATATCCCAGAAAAGCATAAACTTCTTCTGGTGCAATTCAGGCTTCGGATTTGGTTCGGGCGTCGATTCCCACCCATTGACGTTTCCTTCGAAATTCCACCAACTTTTCACAATATTGTTTTGAAGAAGTTTTGAAGAAGTGTTAGAAGAGAAGGATCTTTTAACATTACCTCGGGTCTGCTCATCTTCGAGAGAATCATCACCAGATTGAAACTTTGTAAACGATTGTTGGCATTTGTGTTTGCTCAAAAAAACAACAACCCGAATCTTGGTATGACATACACTACTGGACAATGAAATATGATATTTGAAAAAAAGATCGTCACTTTCGCGCGTCTGTAACTCCCTTGTCTTTACCGTATTTCTAAATATTAATATTACCATTGTGTAGCCCTTGAAAAGAGCTTTCAAAAAATGTATAACACTAATAGTTTAAACTCAAAGACAAGGGAGTTACAGACGCGCGAACGTGACGATCTTTTTTTCAAATATCATATTTCATTGTCCAGTAGTGTAGGTTTAATTTTTGGAGGAACTCGTACAAAAGTACATGAACATTATCGAACATTATGTAAATTCTCGATTGAAAGAATAAAAGCCGGAAAAAATTAACATGAAATAAATATTTTGTAATGTTTAATATAGAAATTAAGACATCAAGTATAACTCTGAGTTTCAGTCTTCTGAGATTCTCATTCTGATTCTCACTCTCATTTAAGTAATAAAGCCAAGAACTCAATGCAATGTGACATGATTTGCCTGGAAATCTGTTCTACGAATGGTCTTAAACCTTGCACTCAATAAACTCTTTGCCTGATGCGTTTTCTAAATGTTCGATCCAGAGATTTGAGCATTTTCTTTGCCTCAAATCTCCTCCGACCTTCAACTCGTCAACTTTCCGCCTCCCAAAATTGATTAACTTCTTCTTTTTCTTGACTCTAATTCGGACAACTACCTGTCCACGAGGCAAAAAGCGTTCAAGGTCGATACCGTAACTTTTTCGCATTGCTATGGTCCTATATTTTTAAATACGCAAAAATTCTTTGCTTATCGTGAAGCGATCCTCGGATCGACTGTTTCTATGCAAAAGTTGAACAACATTTGCAAATCTCTAGGCGAATCTTTCATGGTCACAACGTTCCTTAAACGGTCCTTATTCTCCAATATTGCTTTCGAGAAAACCGACAATGTGAATTTATTGGCTTTTTCAAGAAATCCGGTTTTTCTCCTTCTCGATTCTTTACTGTTTTCCATCGATTTCACACTTTTCTCCTCAAAGTTTCCTTGAAAAGAAAAAAGGAAACCGCGATTAGCAAAAAAAAAGAGGCGGAAAGGGTGTTTGTTGACCGTGAAATGGTGTGGAAACAATGGGATTTAGAAGGGAAATGTTTAGAAGAAAGGGGAATAAGTTGGGAGAATCACGCCAATGAGACACGGGGGAGACTTCGAGAGAAACATGTAGACTGGAGCTCTGATGGTTTCAATGATAGTTAGCTAGAAAAGACCCGTAGGGCCAGGAGCAACTGACCGGGGAAGTGGATCAGATTTCAAATTAACACAGAAAAATCCGGTGTACGATCTAGGGCTTTCTCTTCGTGGCGTGCTCGACTCTGGGTCAGAAGCTAGGTCTCTGACTTCTTACCTGATCTTACAGCGGCAGCGTATCGTTCTGCAAAGCTATACTGCTATGACCGTTAGGGAACTAAGGTTTAAAAGGTTTGGTCAAAGCCCTATAGATAGCCTGTAGACTTGGTGGCTTCTGAGAAAGATGGTTAAATCTTACTCATGATGGTTTACGGAGGAAGCGCAGTCTCCTGCAATTTGCCGTAACCAAAAAGTTAAAGCTTAATGGAAACACTGCTTATCTGCTTATGATTTTCCGTTCTCGAAAAAGAGTGGCTCGTTTTGAGAATGAGAGTCGAAAAGTACAGAGAATTGCTGATTCCGCTTTCCCTCTAACCTACCGTATCCTCAAAGAAAACAATATTTGTGTAATGAGAAGAAAAGGAAGGTAAAGAAGTGAAAATTCCCCTCAATAAACCCTTCATTTTCGAGAAAAGAGGAAAAGATGGGTATTCTATTTGGAAAATAAGGGGAAAGGAAGGGGCAACTAATTAAAGAAAAGAGAAAAGGAAAGGAAAGGAGAAGTTGAAACAATATTAGATATTCAGTTCAGAGAATGAGAAGGAGGAAATAGAAGGAAAAAGGTCACAAATTGAAATTTCTCTTCTTCCTTTCTTCTTCCTTTCTTCTTCCTTTCTTCTTCCATCTTCTTCCATCTTCTTCCATCTTCTTCCATCTTCTTCTCAAACAATCATTGTGTTGTGTAACAGATGGTCGAAAAGTGGAGAAAAGGAGAAGAAGAGAAAGAAGAAGAAAAGAAGACAATTAACATTGCAATTTATCGAGGTGAAATGGCCACGTAAAGTTGATGGGTATTGATGATTTGAGGGACTCGAAACTCGAGTTCAAAGTGTATCCAGACATGTACTTTAAGCTCGCACCAATGTGCCCTTTCTGGTACGCTCAAATGTTCTTGAATATTTTCTTTATGCATTTCTGGTTCACTAGAAAGGGTATATCTTTGAGTATAAAATAGACCACTGTAAAATAACTTGTCCTTTCCCCTTTCTCTTTTCATTGTGTTCTTTTTTAATTTCTTTCTTTAATTTCTTTTTAAGTCGTCAAATGAAATTTATTAGTTGATAAGCAAATGAAGAGATTAGTCTGAGGATAACCAAATATTATTATATTTTAATATCAAGATAATATTATGACCAAATAGAAACCAATTCTCCTCACTCCCCTCCATCAATATCGCCGTCCCGTGCCCGGGTTGAGCGGATCGGGATTTCCCTGAAAAGTATTCCTTTATGATTAGAAAGAACACAATAAGCTGGTCACTTTTAGAAAAGAACTTATTCAAAAAAGAGTACCGTCAACCACAGTACTCCAACTACCATACACCGTAAAAAGGAGTACGGTAGAGGAATTGAAGTATCTTTTTAGTTTAATAAAGGTGGAAAGAAGCTACAGTACTCGGATTGCTGTAAAGAAAAGTTGTCCAAAACTCAGGATTCTCTGCTTAAATCAAGCTCTATTTTATATCTTTCGAAAGCCTAAAGTGTCCTCTTTAAAACTATATAAAAGTGAAAAATAAGATTTATTCTAGACAAAGTTCTAAACCTTTAAAGCCTATTCATTCAAAATGCTAAAAAAGAATCACCGCTCATTCCCCTCACTCATCAACAAGTCTTTCTGTACAGGCAAGTCACTCTTTAACTCTTTAGAAACTCAATCAACTTTATACCTTTGTGTATTGTCGGAGTGTTTGCTGGAGACTCGGGAATCCGATGTTCACTTGTGGCACGGCGACGTTCACTCCCGCCGATGGAACCTCGTAGGTGTTTGCGTAGGCGAATTTCCCTGGAATTCAAGCTTTCTGTTACAGTGATTCACACTCCACAAAAACAAGTGCCTTCTAAAGTGTGCTGAACTTATCGTAGTGGTTTGATTCAGAATTCAAAGATAAACTAAAGCTGATCAGCTCATTCGATAGCCCCGAATCTCCTCTTGAAAACAAGTACAAAGTTACCGAGAATTCCCTGAGAAATGAGTGACAAAAATTCCTAAAAATGAGTTGACATCAAAAATAGTGATCATTTAGTATCGTCGTGAATGTTTTTTAATTATTGCTCACCTTCGGGCCAATCGACAAGGGTCGTTTGTGTGCCTCGCCAGAAGGAGACCCCGTGATCCCGTGGATGATCGAACGTTTTGCGGGTTTCTGAAAAGAATACCGTAATTTAATAGATCTTCAGATATAAGCTATTCCAATAAACTTCTAGGAAGTCTAGCTTTTCTGTCGGCTTCAAATCTTGAATAAACTTCAAATCCCAGACCGACCTAGCGGCTCGTATCCATAGAAAATGCCGCGCACAAGCGGTGGCGGAGCCATTTCCGAGTACTTGGCCGGGGTGTAGTCGGGCAACGGTGCCCAAACGCCGCGACACTTTTGATACCAACTAAAGAATGTTTTGAGCTAGAACTAGAGCTAGGATTAGAGCTAGAGTTAGCCAAGAAGAGCTAGATTAGTTGACTTCTCTCGACGGGAATGGACAATTTCATGTTGGAGTTGTTGGCCTCACCGATGCCAAAATGTGAGTCGAGCGCAAGCAGCAAGAGCTGAGATTGTGGACGGGCTAAAAGCGGGGTGTTTGGATGCACGATATGGCGCTGAGATCACGAAGATTTTGGAGGCGAACCCGATTTGGTCACGGTACAAAGATCAACGCCACGATTTGTTCTTGCCGACGTCAAGGACTCTAGCGATCACCGCCGGCTCGGGAAATTCAGCCATCGCCGGCTAACTCACGGCTAACTCACCGAAATGTCCAGTCCTCCTCCAATGTCCACTCAAACACCGCCACTCAATCACGAGGACACCACCCCTTAACTTTCAATCAAATCGGCATCCATTTGTTTGTTTGTTTATCCCTGTTAGTTCAAACTAGAGCCACGTCGTTTGCTACTATCCTGCGTGAGTTCCCGTCCATTTACACCGTCATTTATGCAAATTGTGGCCAGATGGGCGAGCGGTTAGGAGTCTTGTCTCTTCAGCGCAAGGTGGACGGTTCAATCACGATGACCAGATAAAGATGTGTCTTTTTCCCACCAAGCGGGTTCTTTCACAACATTTGCGTAACAAGGGTGATAGGGGTAACGGGCAAAGTGCTGTCAAATGGTGTGTTCTATCTTCTTATGTATCCTTTGTTTGTATCACATTATTGGTTCAATAAACGTATTTTTTGTAATTTAAGATGTAAATCTAGGCAGATTGCATAGATTTATATTAATAAAAAGTAATTTTCGCCTCTCTCCCTCGACCGACCGTTGACAATTCGGCGCCGCAGGGGCTTTGATCCCGGGCGAGCATTCGGGATCGAAAATCCATTGCATATGGATACACTCGCACGCGTTCACACAAGCCGACTCCGTTTGTCTAGAGACAAAAAGATGATTGAGCCAAAACTTGAAAACCCACCGACATCCCTTAAAACATCTCTTCAAATTGTTCACATATTTCTTCGGGATTCCCGCCCGTTCCCACATCACCACTTGACGGCGGATCTGAAAGAAATCGTATTGTGAATCAAATCGTTCACATCTCAACTAGAGTCCGTTCCTAATGCGCTTTCTAAGAGACACTTATTCTAGCCAAACTATCGTAATCGGTCCCAGTTTTTATTCAATCAGCCCAATTTTTGTAGCATTGACTGATCCTTGTGGTTCCCTAATGAAATTTGAGCAAAACTTGGCTGACCGAGTGATATTCAGTTGGTTAATCGAATATCCTTAGAGATTTTTTGTTATAAGTTTTGGTTTGGTTTTTTGGATCGTGAGAAATTGGACGGCGTTGTTTTGAGCGTTTTCTATTCTGGCCCTCTTTTAACTACATTCCATTCTGAAGAGTCTGATTACTAAAGGCGGTTAGATATGCTACTTTGAAGCTCTGAAGATCGACTTCCTGTAGAGGCAAGTCACTAACAGTTTTCATAGACCTTTTTCTCCTTATACGTTGCCTATTTTCATTACAGTACCCCTTTTCCCGGTGACTCACATGATTGATACTCGGATAGACTCGATCCGAGCAATAGGCCCGATAACGCTCACAAATGATTCGCACTTCTTCGTTGTAAATAGCAATGTTCGATTTTCGGCAGTAATACCTAGATACGAGCACTTTTAGACCAGCCATTAGTAAATTGCATCGACTACCGCATTACCTATAATGCCCCAGGAATCTTTTGCACTGTTCGCTCAGCGTTGTCACCGGTTGCGCGTCTTTGACGAGATCTTGATTGGAAATCGAGGAAAACGGCTCCAACTCCGAGTCAACTTCTTAAAAAAGTAAAATTCACCGCACTATTCGCTGAAAACTCCCAAAGATTTTCAATTTCGAAATCCAAACATAAAGTCTGATGTGTCTTTTACTTTGAAGGGCTTGGGTTCGAAATTAAAGGTTACTCTCTAGTCAAGCGATGTAATTCAACCAACAAATTACTTGAAATTTTTTATCAAACTAGAATGTCAACTGAATACAAATATCTAACCACAAATGATAACAACGAATGAATAACAATTTAAATCAGTAAAAATTTCCAACCTGGAAGGAGATTCTCTTGCGCAAACAAAATTTGGAGGAAAAAACTAAACGAGAACGCAAAGACAATCATCGCAAAATGAATAGTGTGACAAAGCCCGGAATGATCGACAATTGAAAAGAAAAGCGAGAAAACTTGTTTTGGGAAAACGAGAAATGAACGAAGATGAGATCCGAATAGCAAAAAAACTATGGGAAATGCTTTAAAATTATCCATGATGGGTATTTATAGGTAGAGCGAGGCGGCGAAGACGATATCCCTCTTGATCAAAGATCGGGCCAATGCGAACTTCTCGGCGAGTTCCTAAAAATCAAATTCAAATCTTGACTTACACTTCAATACCACCAGGGCTTACACTTTACTTTAGCAAGATCCCCTTAAGACTCCATAATTCACTCACAAGATTTCCCATATTCTGCGCGGCGGCTGTCACCTCACGAGTCGCCTCCTCCAAACGACGCAAGCACCGGATAATCGATCCTACGAAAACCGTTTACCATAAAAAACCATCAAGTTACCTTCAAAAACGTCCGTTTTCTCCACCACATCCTTGAATGATTTCCCGAGTGCCCATTCGTGAACAACCTAAAAGATTTTTAGGTTCAAAACATTTAAACACACACACCTCCATCAAACCGGGCTTGAACGAGTCCACATACAGATCCTCGTCCACTTCGATCTTGCACTCATTTGAGACCTTGGCAATTCTGCGAGCGTGTTCCTAAATTTCACTAGATCAATCACAATAAACCCGTTACTTACCTGGATCTGGCGCAAGCATCCCGACAAGTTTTCCGCCATCTTTGGTACTGGGGCTTTTTCCTAAAGAATCTTGTACTAGAAGCAAATTTCAATCGACGACTTTTATAACAAATGTACCTGAAAGACAAAGCACGAAAGAAGTGAGGCAATTTCTTCGGCGGTCAACGAAGCGAACACACCAGCAAACATCATCTCCGTCAACAATAGCTCATCGGAAGCGGAGATCTCACAAGCAACGCGACCCTGTAAAATAGTAGTTAACAAAGACTCAATTCTTAATTCGAATTTATGTTCTAAATCATCAAAATCGATCACCTTATCAAGCACGATATCTCCTTGATCACAATATTGAAGCCTTCGTAGCACACGTTTTCTAAAGTCAACTAAGTTTCGCTAACTATAAGAATTCCAATCAAACCTATGGCCAAGCTCTTCAGATTGCAGCAAATCCTTCGCTTTCTTCAGCTCCTTGCGGCAATTGTTCACCTCGGTTCTTTTCGCGTCCTAAAATTGTCATTTAAGTATCTAGCCACGTAAAGTCAAAGCCATTACCTTTGCTTTCCATTGTGCACAAAGCTCATCAAAATCCTTTCGACATCTCAACTCGTGCGAATCATAACGGCTATCCAAAGTCTTCAGCTTCTCGAGATTTGACTAAGCAATAACATGATGAATTTTTTAACTTGTAAAGCTACCTTCAATTTCGGATCGTCAATTTTCATGTCACGAATCGGATCCAAATTGGGCAACTCTCCGCAGAATCTTTTCTCGCATTCCTCAAATGTTTTATTAAAAGAATGTCAAGGAAATCTTTAACAGGTTTTACAATCTACCTAACTAACAAATTTAGGATTCTATCAACCTCATCTGATCTATCAATTCTCACCCTGACAATCTTTTCCACAGTCGTCTTTTCCAATTCGTGCTTCAATTCCTTTGGCAGTTGCACCCGCACAGCTGACATATTGTGGATGCAGTCAATGGTCATCGGCAGGACTTCCCAACAACCCTGAAAAATAACAGTTTAAACTTCAGTTTACAATTAGCAACCTTTTCGCCTGGAGTTGGTGGTCGCAACATGGAAACATTGTCGATGTAGGTGAGCGACTCTGGGGAGATGCACAAGAAAACCTAAAAATCAAAATTTCCACAATACCCCATTTAATACACAATGCACTTACCTCAATCACAAAAATCATTTGACTCTTGTCCTCAGGGTTGATCTTTCGATGAAAATTGATCATGGGGCCCCAACCAAAATCGTGCCCTCGAGCTTTTATCTGAAAAAGCAAAGCAATTAAACCTATTTGGCTCTTCGTAATCCTTCTCTCAATATTTGAATTAGCTGTAGATTTGTTGTTTATTCTTTTGATACGCAACTACCATTAAAGACTTACATGCATTAACCGTCCAGCGTGTAGATAAGGAACAATATGCTTTGCTTGCATCACCGTTGCCTAAAAAAACAGCAACCTATTGAACCAAAACAAAACAAATACCCTGCATTCTTCCTTCAGCTTGTTTATTGAATTCTCCAATTCGAAAAAGCCGCCGATCAAGCTCTCCTTTTCGACGTGCATGCCCTCGAGCTCTCTTGTGGCGGTTTCAAACTCTAAAATTAGAAATTATTCAAAGCAAACATAATATTTTGTCCAAGTAAGAGTGGTGGATAGCTTTTATTGCTAACCCACTTTGTAGCAAAATTGGAATGTTGGCGTTATTCTGGAATTGATAGAAGCTTCGTTCGAGCATGAACTCCTAAAAAATCGTCATAAGAGTCCAAAACTGTAAAACTAACCGGGTTCACTCCCTCAACGCGCAACAAATTCAACACCATGTTATAAGTCAGCCGAAATTGAGAATTCAGTGGATCGGTCGCTCCCTATAAACCAGTATTACGATCGCTTTTCAGTTAAACTCACCTTGATAATTTGTCGAGCACTTTCAGTAGTCATTTGTTGATCAATCATCATAATCACGTGACCTTGTTTATCCTAAAAGACGCAATTTCACGCCATTTGCCTACCAACCTACCAAGCCACGTCGGCCAGCTCGTCCCGACATTTGAATATACTCTCCAGAAGTGAGCCATCTAAAATGAACACTCGATGACTCGCTAGATTGGAGACAAAGCTCACCGAAAATCTTTTCCATCAAATTTCCGGCCTGATGTGAAGACAACGGTTCTCGCCGGCATGTTAAGCCCCATCGAGAATGTTTCTGTCGCAAAGAGCACCTAGATGATGAAAGATGAAAATCAAACCCCCCCCCAAATCCTAAAAATACCTTCAAAAGTCCTTCACCGAAGAGAATTTCGACAATCTCCTTAATGAGCGGCAGCAGACCCGAGTGATGGACACCGATTCCCCTCAAGAGTAGAGGGAGCATCTAAAGAATTGCTCGATTCGTTGAATTGCTATTTGAACAGCGTACTTGTCCGATTTGTGGTAGCTTCTTATCTTCATCTGATAGCAGATCGCGAGCGTTCTTGTAAATCTCATTGATAGCATGCTTTTCAGTCGCTGAAATAAATCGTGGTGAAATGAGAAAACGTTAAAATTAGTTTATTGAAACAAAACTATTGCTCACCGTCGTTGAAATCCATATCTTTCAGAGCTAAAGCGTAGGCTTCACATTCTTTGCGCGAAAAGGAAAAAACGATGCACGGCACGAGGTCCCGCTCCCTCAGCGAACGCACAATTTTGTTCACATTCGACTCGGCTCCAGCTAAATTCGAAATCCCATTGTTTTGCCGTGCTTCGATCCCTGATTTACCTTTTACTCCTCCTTTCTTGCCTCTTTCTGGCTTTCCCTTGTCTCCCGTCGATTCAATGCAAGCCATGGCCGCTTGGAAACGATCTTCACGGAATTCTCCCTAAAATCTCAGATTTGATTGCTCTTAAACTTGCAAACCTTTGTGTTCACCACTTCGTAAAGTCCCTCGCCACCAGCTGGGTAGATTAAATGCATTAACGGAGTCGGCCGATAGTCTAAATTTTAACAATTACATGCAAAAGAATTATCCACACCTGTGTACACGACGTGCACCGGTTTGTGCTTCAAAAACGCAATCCATTCTAAACAAAGTTGCATTGCAAGTAGATAAGTTAAATGCACCAGCGAATTGTCGAGCATTTGGAATGGTGGCCGAGAGAAAAACGCAGTTGATATTGTGTTGCAGCATGATGATCGCCTCTTCCCAAACGACACCGCGTTCTGAAATGCAAGCTTATAAATTTAGGATGCAATAAAATGCAGTAAATGCCTTTCTTGATTTGGACGTGTGATCCAATACTTTCATTGATAAATCCATTACCTTTATCCCTCATGTAGTGAATCTCGTCGAACACAACCCAACCAACTTCACGAGCCACCTAAAAGACAGGCTTTAAGGGCAAGAGTTGAAGCACTATACCTCGGATCCTTTGTAAAGCATAGATCGTAGAATTTCTGTTGTCATCACCAAGCAAGAAGCATCCGGATTCAACGTCACATCTCCTGAAAGCTTATAAATTGAATACACCGCATAGTTTTCTACACTTTATCCAGTTAATTTATAAAATACCTGTCATCAATCCGACATCTTTAAACTCTTCTTCAAGCTCTCGAAACTTTTGATTCGATAAGGCTTTGATTGGAGACGTGTAGATGACTCTTTGTTTCTCACGAAGACTTTGTGCTATTGCATACAAAGCGACGACCGTCTTTCCTGCTGATGTGTGAGCCGAGACAAGCACTAAAATTACAAAATTGAGATTTAATCAAGTTTCATCGATCTTAAAAACGTACCCGATTGATTATTCTCGATGCATTGAATGGCCTCTTTTTGAAAGGCGTCTAATTGAAACGGATACGTTTTTGCTGGTTCGACGTTCATCATCCGCAATGGCTCGTACCGAATATTTGGTGGCACAGCTACCTAAAGAAATAAGATAAAGTCAAACATTGCATTTAAATCAACGAGTTGAAACTTACTTCATGGAAGCAATTTTCGTTTTGCGTTTCAATGAGGTGAACTTGAATCGATTGCTGATAGGATTGGTGATTGGTGGACCTCTCATCGTAGATGTCCTAAATCCAGTTATGGCAAATTTTAAGCTCTTTAACTAACATTTTGCAAAAGGTTTAGGTTTTGGTCATCGGGCACGACTTGTGGCCCATCATCCAACGAAGCCAGCAGTTCATCGGCGTAATTCCTCGTCACACCGAATTTTTGTGATTCCAGCTAAATTTAAAAGTTAGATATGTCTATTAATTTGATATGTATTATTACATACATTTTGCATTGGATTCCTTGTCGCATGCTCATCGGGCGTCTGGTCTAACGAGTCGAAGAGCTCGTCCAGATCCACCTGGAAAAAGAAAAATGTAAACAATTACTCCTAAACTTTGAAATTTCTTCTAAAAAGTTTGGAAATTAGATTGATTTGAGCCTGACTGCTAATGAACGTTTTTAACACTCAATAAACAACCCTACCTTTGCTGAGGCATTCAAATGTCTTTCATCGAGGCCCTAAACAAGAAAAATATATTTCAAACTCTTTAACTTACATCTTGTAGAAGATCTGTGAGTTGCTCATTGGGGGTGGGTTTTGGTCCATCGTCCAACGAAGCTAACGATTGATCGCCGCTGTTCTTTGTCTTCTAAAGTTAAAAGTTAAAAGGTGAGTTTTTAGATGTTAAAATGTGATTCAAAATGAGAATTAGGATTTTTAATCGCAAAAGTTCAACTTTTTACAAACGTTTTCATTAAACGTACATCAGCAATTCGAGAGAGCTTCTCGGGTTTCTCTTCATCATCGTTGCCGTGTGGTCGATCCCGCTAAAAAACATATTAACTTTGACAAAAACACGCATTTTTGGATCTTTACAACCAAACCAAAACCAAAAGTGATGTGGGGGAAATGCTCTGACCAAACTTTAGTTTGCCGTTTACCGCCTAATTGTTTACTTTACTACTATTTTGCGCAAAACGGCTTTTAAAATACCAATTCTACTTTGAAATTATACAACAAGATCAACAATCAAGCAAAGATTTACCTTTGTTGACGAGCTCCTTGCCGCGTGTTCGTCGGGCGTTTCATCCAACGAATTGAACAGATCATCAGTGTCCATTGTTGACAAGAAATGTCTGGAAGTTGAAAAATTCATTCGAGAAACGTTAGAAAACGATGAAAATGAGAAAGTTGGAGGGAAGATGGGGAAGAATGGGGATGGGACAAATGCGACCTTTTTTTTGCTGGAAAAGGCCTTAGGAAAGGTCGTAGAGCTTCAAAAATGTTTTCATGGAAGGGAATCTACGCATACGATTCCCTTCTATGAAAACATTTTTGAAGCTCTACGACCTTTCCTAACGCCTTTTCCAACAAAAAAATGTGCGCAAAAACAAGGTCGCATTTGTCCCAGCCCCGGAAGAATGAAAAAATGAGGAAAACAGCCTTGTTTCAGATTTTATAGCCTTAAAACGTCAAAAGCTATTCATTTGGATGGCTGAGTATTTTAACAGCTATGATCAGGGCAATAAGGAATGATAAAACAAAGCAAAATTTTAGACAGAATATCAATTTCCTGAGAATAAAAATACAAGATTTCAAGAGCATTTCGACTTTCACAACTACAAATCGGTTTTAACCGAATTTAGAGCAAAAACTAAGAAATTTCTAAAATTTATTGCAACAACCTGTCATGGAGAAGTGAATTTTGTTTGAGCAATCACAACACATATGGCCACACTATGAGAGACAATTCTATACCAAAAGGTGATGTCAATAAGAAGAAATACTGCTAGAAACTAGAAAATTGTGAAAAGTTGTTCACAAATGTTTGAGGCAATCGTCCAAAAGGCTGCTGGCGCCGATGCGGAACAGCTCCGGGTTCAGCCACTCGTCGCCCAGTATCTAAAAAAATTTGGCAGTTTTCAGGTAGCTTTGAGTTGATTTGATTACGAGAATCGAACCAGATTTAGAGCGAGTATTACGGGAAGAGGAATACTGTAGCCATAGATTTGAAGACATAGATTTGAAACGTTTATGAGGCTTTAAAATAAGCAAGAAGAGCAACAAACCCTTACCGGAGCGTTTTCTAAAAGACTCTTTGGCAAAGCTACCTCGCTAAATTTGGATATAAGTATCAATCCAGAACCAGAGCAAGGTTTCAGAACTATAAAAAGCGTTTAGAATTGAAAGTTAGAAGATTACGGTAGTTTTTTGCCTGAAGAGCACCTTTAGAAGACGAGAATCGAACCAGAGTTAGAGCAAGTATTACGAGAAGAGGAATACTGTAGCCCGGATCAACTAATAGCATTTGAGTGGCTTCTAATTGTAAGAGCAACTTTTAGAAAGAACACAGTCCAATCTCTATTTCAGTTCAGTTTTAGTGTGAATTCTTTTCATACTCACCTCCTTGATTAGTGCCACATATTCAAGTGCTTCCTCGGTCGTCTTGATCCCTCCAGCCGGTTTGAATCCGACTTTTTCCCCGGTCAACTCGTGCCAGCGCTTGATCGCCTGGCACATCACATAGGCAACCTCGAGAGTGGCATTCACTGACTCTTTTCCCGTTGATGTCTTGATGAAATCGGAGCCTGGAATCAGTTTTGCAAGTCTAATTAGTTGATAGCCTCCACTCAATAACTGTATGGCTTGGAATCTTGTGAGAAATATGGTAAAATCAATTAAAGTATCAACTAGTAACTGTAGCCGATCAGATAGCCGCTCTAAGGCGTGCCCTGGGTTCTAATACAGTACTCCATATGTACCTGGTATCTACATACTTAATATACATAGTCTAGTACAGCCTGCTGTTTTCCAACATTCTCCCTATCAGGCACATCCCCCAATGTAAGGATTTGCGTAAAAAGACTATGAAAAGTCGCATAAACTACTTGCTCAGTGGTCTTTATTTTGCACGAATTTTGGGACCAATCGGTATATTTCTTTTCAACTCACCAGCCAGAATGCTCGCCCAGCTCGCCTTGTAGACATTGCTCAGCGTCTTCAACTCGCCGGTGGCCAGAATCGTTTTGAGGTGCGCTTTCCCGCAAGCTTGTTTCAAAGCATGGACTTCATCGTATACGGCTAGATATCTATAGATGATTTCTTAAAAATTCCCCCAACTTTTCCAATCGCCTCCCAGTGCGGCGGCTCGGCTGATCACGATGTCGATCTCCGTTGCCCCATCAGCAACGGTCAGCTCGACCTCGAGCACCTTTGACTTGAGGTGATATTGCCCAGATGGGAAACCGGCAGCGACTGAAAGATTAGCGTAATCTTGTCTAGAGTGTGTCCTAAAACGTGCGCCTTTCTACTGTAATCTTGTCTCTACTTTATCCAATCTATCGACCTTTTGTCTGATTCTGTGCGGGTTCACAAATGATATCAAAAGAAAGAAAAAGGTGGATAGATTGGTTAAAAACATCGAGGCAAGATTACGGTAGAAAGGAATGCGTTTTAGAAAACTTCCGGACCGAGATGAATACCTGATGCGATGTTTAATTTTTTCCCATTTGCTTTCAAGTGCTTGGCGACGTCGGCAACGCGTTGCGGGTAGACACAAACGGCGCCACAGTGGATTGATGCGTTCTGAGATTTTTTGGATGATTGATAGTTGGAGAAGTGGTTCAAAGTGTCAAAAATCTATAGACTCACTGATGGGATTGGTTTGAGTGCTCGATCGGTGAGCGCCTCGACGCGATCTTTCGTGTCATCACCAGCTAAAGTCGTCAAATCGATGTACTGCACCACTTTGAGCACTTCGGCTTTCTGCAATTTGCATATGCAAATTTATTTAATTCCTTGGGTACTTTTTTTCAGAGATGTGTTCTTAGATGCAAAAAAAAATATCCAAGACAATAGGAAACTCCATTAAGTTTACATATACAACTCAAATTTACATATTAAATCTGGTGAGCAAATTTGCGTGCTCGCTACCTTTGCCCATTAATTGCCCATTCATTAACCCATGAATTTGCATATGATATCCAAGATTTACATATTCAATACACCCACGAATTAGCATATTTAAGCTTTAACTAACGTTGTGCAAAAGGTCCTTTGCTTGAGCCTTGTACTGTAAAATGAGACCCGCGATTTGTTGAGAGTTGAAATTTTTCTCGGTTTCCCTGAAAGTTAGTTGGAGACCGTAAAAATTTTAAAATTTTAAAGCTCTTAAAGATATTCAATCAAAAGCAAAATAGATTTCTCACTTCTCAAACGCTTTCTCGTCGAACTTGGCGTTGAATTTTTGTACAAACGAGAAAAGATTCGGGATGAGCGTTGCCATGTTTTTCAAGTGATACCCTGAAACTTCGCTTTCTAAAACGCACCCCTTTCACTTTCTATCGTAATCGTTATTTTTTACAATAGAAAGGAGCACGTTTTAGGAAATGAATTTCGCAAAACTATTAAAAGTCTAGCAGAACCATAAATTCGGAAAAGCATCAGTTTCGAAAAAAGAATAAAAATACGTTAGGTGATCAAATAGAATGTAGAGTGTCATTTGTAAAGTGGTGTTGTTGGTTTTTAAATCCTTTTCTCGTATACATTGGTTGATTCAGAGAGTTCTCCTATTCATCGTTTCTTTAGTTGCTCGATGAGATGAATAATGGCCAAGGATCGATTGAATATCGCGTGAGTTTGTTTTTAAAGATTTTAAAAAGTTAAATTGGATAAATCTTGTTGAAAACAGGGTTTTGAATAGTTTTTGCTAGATTTTCTTATTCATAAGGACTAGGCTCTAGTAGATTTCAAAAAAAAAACATCATTATCAATCAAAAACGGAAAGTTGCGTAACCTATATAGCGACTACGCAACTTTCCATTTCCATTGATAATGACGTTTTTCTGAAATTTTGTAGAGCCGGTTACCTAGTGTCAAATTGAAATAGCTACGGTGGAAAAGCCCGGATTTTAAAATACTCAAAGTCAATGGCTTCGATTTGGCATTTCTTTATACTATCGGCTTTTCCATTAACTGTAAAACTATTAGTGTTTAACAAAAAAACTAGGTTAAATTGTGAAAATATCGAATTTCTATGTTCCGATAGTATTTTGTTTATGTAGATTTCAATTTTTAGACTGGTTTCCGACTTTTTCTGTCCGAACACTGGTGGTGTCGAGACGCACATCTACTTCTTGGCGAAATGTCTGCTAGCACGGGGACACAAGGTTGGCTTTGTGATAGAAAAATGATAGTATATGTCTTTAAAGTTAATACTATCTTTGTTACATTGGTAAAATTTAAGATAATCTAGATAATAAACTAGGTAGTTTACTATTGTAAAACAGTAGAATAGGTTTTTTTTGAAAAAATTAGGTTGGCTTAATATAGTTAAAGCTTTTTTTAGGTTATCGTCATCACGCACGCTTATGGTGAGCGACGTGGGATAAGATATTTGTCGAATGGCTTGAAAGTAGATATTCATTTATCTTTGAATTGATTTCCTGGCTTAGGTATACTATCTCCCGTTTTTAATCGTCTACAATGGAGCCTCGTTGGGGCAGGTTGGTTAAAAGCTTTGATTAATTATAATCATCGTTTAGGGTCCAGCCTCGTTTCCCTGGTTTCGTCAAATTTTCATCAGCGAGGATATTCAAATTGTGCACGGGCATTCGGTAAGCTATTGACGTTAAAAGGCTAATGTTAGTCATGAAATGGAAAGTCAGATAAAGCTAAAAAAAATCGACAGGGATATCAAATTAAAATCCTCTTTTAGTCTTTCTCAACACTGGCACACGAGGCTTTGATGCACGCGGGTATTCTCGGTCTTCACACCGTTTTCACCGATCATTCGCTTTTCGGATTCGCCGATGCCTCAGCGATTTTGATCAATTTCCTCCTCATTCAATACTCGTTTGCCAATGTGGATCGTTTCATTTGCGTGTCGTACACAAGGTAAGCGATTTGGGTTGAAAAGAGCTTACAATTAGCCTGATAAAGCTGTTTTGCTACTTGTTTTGTTTTGCTATTGGTTTGGAAAACTTATAATAGTCACTTTTTACACAAGTTATCAAACATTTTGTTAAGTGGGAATTGGTAAATGAATTGAGGATGGTTTTGAACCATTTAGAATTGATTTAGAAATGAAAGAATTTCTTGTTTTGATTTGCAAAAATATTGGACAAATAAAGTTGATAAAATTGTGTAAAGAAAAACGAAGAAAAATTTATTTTAAAAATTGTGATGGCTGTCGGTTTTTGCCGAACGGACCTCTTATCAGATCCAAGATCATGTGCACTTTTCGCTTTAAACACAATGATTTAGCAAAGAAAACACGGTGCTCCGAGCTCAACTCGATCCGCAACGCGTTTACACGATTCCGAATGCCATCGAGACGAGTTTCTTCTATCCGGATCGGTAAGAAATTTCAATGCTATTGGATAAGATCTGAATTTAGGAAGCAATTCTTTGAAAATCCGACCACCGTCATCTTTCTCGGGCGTTTAGCGTATAGAAAAGGCGCTGATTTGCTTTGTGAAGTGATTCCAACGGTTTTTTTTTGAGAATTGTAATTTGTAAAGTTTTTCAAGTTCAGGTCTGCCACCGATATCCGAATGTGCAGTTTCTCATCGGTGGTGATGGGCCAAAACGAGTAGATTTGGAGGAAATGAGGGAGAAGTGAGTTATGCCGTAAATTTACCTAAAAACCGCTTTTGAAATGGCCAACAATTTTAAGCTTTTCTTCAGCTCTTTAGGGTTCAATTCATGAAAAATTTAAATCCAAATTAATCTTTTCAACTCTATGCTGACTAAAAATCATGCCCGCTAACTCAAACTCAAATTTAGATATGGTCTACACGAACGTGTTCGAATGTTAGGCATGTTGCCGCATAATAGAGTCAGAGAAGTGCTCGTTCAGGGACAGGTCAGTAATTTTTCTCGAATCCTCAAAGCATTTTTGATCCAGATTTTCATCAACACCTCACTGACGGAAGCGTTTTGTATGAGCATCGTTGAGGCGGCGAGCTGCGGGTAATATTTGGATCTCAAATCAATGTTTATTTTCTTTTCAGGTTACACGTTGTGTCGACGAAGGTTGGCGGTGTGCCCGAGGTGTTGCCCGATGAATTCGTGATCCTTGAGCAACCTGTACCAAAACGTGAGCTATTTTAATTGATTTTTCTTACAGAATTTTAAAAAATTGTCAAAAGGTACTGTGTTCCGGTTGTCTTTTCAAAACTACCCTAAGCTGCCCTTATTACCAAAAGTTTAGTTCTTGCACGAGCCCTTTGTGATGCGATCAAAATGCGTGAGACCGGTCGATTGATGGATCCAGATGAGCGACATAAACGAGTACAAAAGATGTATCAATGGGAAGTGGTGGGTTTTTGAATTGTTTTCAGATTTTATACACCTAGTTAAAGATATAGTTTTTGCTATCCACCTTTTGATACTGTTAAGTTTCCAATCAAAACAGTAAATTTTTAATATTACTTTTTAGATAGCCGAACGCACCGAGGTTGTCTACTATGACGCGATGCACGATCACGTCAACACGTGGAGAGAGCGATTACAAAGGTGTTCAGTTAATATTTGAGTTATTTTAAATTTTTTCATCGGTTAAATATATTAGCAACAATAAGGCAAAGTATAGTTGAATTGAAAGTATCTGACTCAAAAAGCTGTATTACTGTAAATTACTTTAAATCTGTACTACTATCTTATTGTAGAAGCTGACTACAGTACTCATCACTTAAAACTTAACCAAATCAAGCTTTACAATATCTATTTTTTTAGATTACTGAGTCTACAGCGCTGGTGGGGTCTCGTCTGGTGCTGGGGCAATTTGTTGGGATTCGCGATCGCGCTTTTCATGGAATGGTGGCAACCAAGAAAGGTGGGGGTTTTAAGTTTAAAGCCAAATTTCTGTTAAAATCTACAAAGCATCAAGCTTTTTGATATCTAAATTGATTTTTAGACGTTGAGGGAAACGACAGCAAAAACGAAAACTCAATGACCAAATGACTTCTGATATTTTTTGATTATCAATGGCAACTGTGATTTCTTTTGTTAGTATCCTTCTGCTTACCTTAATTTGCTCAGTACTCTAATAAAAATTGTTTCCATGGATATTTTAAAATGCTAGCAACATGTTGGTATATGGTAACATACGGTGGGGGCACGGTACATATTGCCAATCTGTGCCGGGGTTTAGGCCGGATTACGGTAGCCAGGGCATTCTTTAAAACGTCTATCCAAGGGTCGGCTTTTGAAGTGTGGAGATGTCAAATTGGCTGAGCCATTTTCTATAAGGTTTCCTATATGAAAAGCTACCGTAACCTCAAAATTTATGGCCTTATTTCCATCCGTATAAGCTTTGATGTCTTGGCAGGTTCAGGGACATTTTGTTGATCAGGCCTGCAGCAATGCAAGATCAGATCAGAGCCAAGACCAGAGTTAATTGCCTTCGAAGCATCCCTGCTTGTAACCACCCCAATCAAAAGCTGGTTGAGACCTGGGTGAAATTAAAAATCAGCCGGCTAAAGAGGTAAAGAGAGGTGTAAAGTGTTGTGAGTCGGGGTTGAATGTGGCCGAAGAGGGGAACTTTTGTGGGCCCTCATTTCACCTCCCAAAGGCACACACTTGTTAGGGTAAAGAGGCACCTGTGTGGGGATATTGAGAGCTGGCATCGGGCACCTGACGCTCACCTCACAGGTGCCTAGATCTAGAGAAAGATGGGCCGTTACAGTAATCCGATCTTCTCCCACCTGATAGATCTCTTTTCGAGATGGGGCAAAAGACAGCCGGAACTCGGCACTCCATCATCTTGTCGCCTTTCACTTTTACTTCGACGTGTGCTCCCCTCACCGCCAGCTTTCTCACACCTTTTGCTCAAAATTTTGATCCTAAAGTTATTTGGATTGTTATCCTTATCTTGATGACGAACTCTCAGCAGATGGCCTCGATTTTCAGAAGTGAGTTTTAGATTTGGGATTTTGGTACTTGTGATATCAGTCAAGAGTTGGGGTGCCAGTTAGGGTGTGTTTGCACATTTTGAAACTAAACAGTCTGTCAAAGCGAGATTTAAGTGTATTCCTCCCATTACTAAGTGGCAACTATTTGAAAAACCACCGTAATCGTTACCATAGCTGAAAACTACTATAACCATAGTTTAGATAAGCTATTTTATAACTGATCATTGCCTTGGACTTAATCTGGCTGTACTGCTAGATCTGATATTGGTTAGAAAAGGTACCTGAGCCAGTCGGAAGTTACGAAAGCTAGCCTGGCTTGGCTTATAGAGTCTATGAGTGGATGAAAAATAGCTCTTGTTCGAATTAGTCGGAGTACGGTTGCTTTATCGAAGCACCTTTTAGAAAACGGGAAATCAATAGCGCATAGTCTAATCGTTCTAAAAAGTTTCTAAAAAGCGCTAAAGTCTACCATGATCGAACGTTTTTGCAGGTATCGATTCCCTTCTCTCTTCTCCTCCAACCACTGCAACTCCACCACCAATTCTCCCACAAAATGTTCCATTTGGTCAACCGAGAGCCACGTTTTCTGTTGGAAGCTAATTACATTCAATATTCAATTCAAATTCTAGTGTCCCTCGTGCAACAAATCGTTCGTCACCCAGTTGGGCTTGCTGAAACACGGGAAAAGTCATGAGGAGACGCACGAGTGTTCGCATTGCGGGAAACAGTACAGGTGTGAAATGTGGATACGAAATAAAAGCATTTTCTAAAATATACACAAAACTACCGTAGCCTGGTTGCTTAGGAGAACTACCGTACCCCGGTCGTGGGACGGTAGCTTTTTCTGGAATCCCTTTTAGCAAAGCTTTGATTTTAGTGACTTTAAAAGGTTTTTTGATCATTCTCCATTTCCCCTTAACACACCGATCTTTTATTGGACAGGTGTCCCTTTCTCCAATCTAATGATCCCATTCAATATCCAGCAAAGGATGAGAAATGCAAAAAGCCAAAAGGTGACAATAAAGCTTGGTCTGGGGTTTAAAAAGGTTTCAAATTTGACTCAAATTTGACTCAAATTATTGGTTCATTAGGTAAATTTAAGCATAATCTAAGCAGAATCTAAGCAGAAATTTTCATAAATTTAGAAAAACAATAGGTTTTTTGGTTCAGGTTGAAGTTTTAACAAAAATTACTGGTTGATTTATGAATTGGAATCTTGTCATTTTCTTGTTTCAAATCTTGTTTCAATTTCAAAATTGAGCCGCTTTTTGTGCGATTCATTTGTGAATCAGGCAAACTTTAGCAAAAAGCAGACAAATCTCATTTAACATAAAAAGTAGAGTACTCTCAAAAGATTCTTCTAGATCGATGGGCGCTCTGAAGATGCATGTAAAGACGCACACTTTGCCCTGTGAATGCAATCTTTGCGGGAAATCCTTCTCGCGGCCGTGGCTTCTAAAAGGACATCAAAGGACGCATACTGGTATCGGGATTTTAAAGCCAGAATTTAAATTAACAAAAGCTGCTTTACAATTTGCATAGTGTCTAGTTGGGTACGGTATTAGGAGCTGAATCCAGAATAATCTAAAATCGGGTACAGTAAGCTACCGTAGCCCAACTGAGCTCAATAAACGGTAAGCTCATATCGGTGTTTAGGTAAAGCTAGAATACCTAAAAGGTACACTTTAGAATAAAGCCATCGTAACCTGCCGTAAATACTGTAATAGTACCCCACCCCCATAATGACGGTGCGGAGTGTTGCGTAGTCTAGCTTTGAACGAGTTTTTCTCGACACTGGTTTATGCTACAATGCGCGTTTAGGTATCAAAAAATAGCCCTGAATTTCAGCTATTTTTTGATACCAAAGACGCATTTTTTGAAAGTACGGGCGCTTTGAAAAAATGAAATACTAAAAACTTTTGCGACTACGCGACTGTACGGGGGGAGGGATGGGGTACTATTATAGTATTTACGATAGGTACTCATAGTGAGACGTTAAAGTGAGTAGGATTTGAGTAGTAGAAAGTAGATTACGGTAATTTGTCCGTTTTTTAGAAAATATTGAAATTTTTCAAAAGCCATCATTTTAGGTGAGCGTCCATTCACGTGCCACGAATGCGGTCGAAGTTTTGCCGATCGAAGCAATTTACGTGCACATCAACTCACCCACAAAACAATACGGTAAAATTTGCATATTACAAAGTACAGTAAACAACTAAAAATATAAAATTTTTATCCGGACACCAAGATTCTTAAAAATTCCAGAAAATTTCGTTGTCTCTACTGCGGTGCCGCTTTTGCTCGATCACATGTGAAAACGAAGCACGAAATCGTTTGCAATAAGAGAATTTAATTGGATATACCGTATTTTCTCTAATAGTACTGCACCCCAGCAAGCCGAGTTAGTCACTATTTTACGGTTCCCAAGCTTTTGCAGAACCTCAACACTCAAATCCCCCACTAGATCTCATCGTCAGCTACATTTTCCGACCCCACATCGATAGGTTCTGATAAGCGGTTTTCGAGATTTCGATCAATTTAGGCGACGCTCAGGGTGCACTACTATTAGAGAAAATACGGTATTCGATATTGTTTCTATTTGTCATAAATGCAAATTTCTTCTTATTAGAGACATTTCTATGTGCATTGATAGTCACACGAGCAATTTGAGAGCAGTCTGTAATGGAATGAAGCATTGCGTGCACTTTGTGCTTATGTGGAAAAATTGGAGACAAGATTAAGGCAAAAAGAGAAAGGGGACTCAATAAAATGAATAACTCCAATCGATTCGCCGACCCCAAAAACCCTTGAGTACAAATTTACAGTTGAATTTCTTTTTTTCGCGTCATCTACAAAGCAAAAGAAAGAAATCCCAATGAAAGTGACTAGAGAGGTGTTCTCTATTTCTCTATGCGCCCGCGTAATCGCTCTTGATCTGGCATAGGGCTCTGGTAAAAGGTGCTTTCGATTTGGAAACCGTAAAGACGAAAGAGCGGTGAGTCCTTTTTGTTCACTGCAATCCGATCGGGTACGGCACTACGAGCCATAGGAATGCTATTTGAGGTTAAACTCTTTCAAATCAAGGCTTAATCTTAATCCATTATACCGTACATCACTCGGAAATTGCATTTTACACCGTAATCCGATAAACCAGCCGGATTACGGTAGACGGTACACGCTAATCCAAATGACACCTCAATCCCGTGTCCACTGAAGATAACAAATTTCTATTTAAAACCCACAAAAGCCTCTGTAAAACGATTCAAAACGCTAATTTGAGTGATTTATTTAATTTTTGATATAGACTTTCATTTATACTCATTAAAAGATATTCAGCTTTTCAATTGCGAAACTTGGCGGATTTAATTTTCGTATGAAAAAAGGTTTTTCAAAAATTGTTCACAATATTGTTGTGCTATTTTTCATGCTTTAAAGTTAGCTAAAACTTGAATTTATGTAATTTTTCGTTCTGTGCACGGAAAGCCTCGAAAAAAGAAGTAAAAACGAGTAGATTAGCCAAAAATAGAGTGATTCGTGTAGAAAAGTCGATGCTTTTTTTTCCGTTTTCCGTTGCCAAGGCAATGCATTTGATACACAAAATTATCCAAAGCGCATGAAAATAATGTATTCAGTAAAGTGGATATTAGTTATTCAGTTCATTACGTGAATTTTACCACCTATATTACATTTTAACCCTTTAAAAAAAGCTTCAGCTACAGCTTTCGATGGTTGTTTGGCTTAAAACTTTGTTTTTTTTGTAATTTCTTGTTCTTTTTAAACTTTTCTAATGGTATTCTATCTAATTTTTCAACTTTTCAGAGTTTTCCGATGTTTCGCAACACATTTCAAAGCGGTCTTCTCTCGATTCTCTACAGCATTGGCAGTAAACCACTGCAAATATGGGAAACACAGGTGAATTCTTTTGATAAAAATGATAAAATAAAGCTTAATGGGGCTAAAAATAGGTTTCTTCAGTACCAAAGTGATACTAAACTTTAAAAAATAGAGTGACATAAAAAAAGATGAAAATAAAAGCTTTATTGCACTAAAGATAGTTTCTTTAGAACAAAGAATGCCCCCATTTATTAAGAACGTTTCTTAAAACTTTACGATTGTTCAATTTTAGGTGAAAAACGGGCATATCAAACGGATCACTGATGAGGACATCGAATCGCTCGTCATCGAGATCATGGGAGCAAATGTTAGGTGAGGGAAATGGATATGCTTTAGATGTGTAATGTAAAAAGCTCAATCAGACTTGCTTAACGTTACTTGAAAATTACTTTTGACGGTCCAAACGAGTATTAAAGCTTAGGAAATCGGTATCGTTTGCGCCGTGTAGACGTTAATGAATCATTAAGCAACTTTAGTTTAACATTTGGATACTTGGGTTAAATAGCCAAGTGTTTTAAGCTGTAATTAGGACTTTTAAACCGGGATTAGGTAAAATTCTGTATCGAAGTAGCCATAGACGAACTACATTTCAAAAGTTGGCTTATGATTGAGATTTCTATTCATATTCTTGTGTTAGCACCACCCACATCACGTGCCCGCACGACCCGAAGAAAGGCCTCGGCATTAAGCTGCCCTACATCGTGCTCATCGTGAAGAACATGAAGAAATATTTCACTTTCGAAGTACAAGTGAGTTTTTGAATCTTTATTAGCAAGTAACTTTCTCAAATGGCTTTGACAATCTCTTGAAAATGATAATTTCTTTTAGATCTTGGATGATAAAGGAGTGAAACGACGATTCCGCGCCTCGAATTTTCAATCAAGTACCAGAGTGAAGGTTTGTTTTGAAGATTCTACACGATTCTACATGGAGATTAATATCTAGATTCTACAGTTATGCACTTAAATTTTGCTGTAAAATAAAATTTTTGAAACGCTGCTAATTATCACTTTTAGCCCTTCATCTGCACGATGCCTTTACGATTGGATGACGGATGGAATCAAGTGCAATTCAATTTGGCCGAGTTCACGAAGCGCGCCTACGGGACGAGTTACGTGGAAACGAGTCGAGTGATGGTGAGGGAATTGTATGAGATTAGAGAAAAAGCAGTTTTCACGAGCTTGCTAGGTCTTTGGTCCAAATTTAATAATTTTCGCATGGATTTAAAATAAACTGTTTTACTTTAATTGACTTGGATTTAAAATTGGTTGCGTCAGGTCGGACTAAGATAGTTCTAACAAGTCTTTTATGATTTAGCCATTTGATAAATAGGATGCGGTAGTTCGGAGACTTTTTAGCCCTCTTAATAATCGGGCTACGGGAGACCAAGTGCTTTTGGACGCAAAAGAGAGTACCGTAAATTGATTAGATCATAACAGTTAAAATCTGTCCAAGGTTGCCGTAAGATGACACGTGAAATCTGCTAAATTTTATTGCAAATGGCAAAGATTTAATGTTCTTTAGAACTAAATCATTAAATTAAATTTGTTCTTTAGACTACCGAAAACGATTATGGTTTAAATGACTAGACTAAAACTTTCTCAGATTTTAATTATTTAAAATCGTATCTATATCCGCCATTTTTCTCAGATCCATGCCAATTGCCGCCTTCGACGCGTGTACTTCGCGGATCGGCTGTACGCGGAGGACGAGTTGCCGCCCGAATTCAAGCTCTACCTTCCGCTGAATCGATCGCTGGCCGGCCAGTCCTCATCAACTGTATAGAATATTTTTCAATTTTTTGGGCTATTAACCATATCGTTGTTTTAACCGTTAATATTTTATCACTTTATTGGGTAATTGGCTGAAATTTGTGATCTCATTTTTTAACCAAGGTTGTTTTCTGTGTTGTTTGTATTTAAAAAAATAAATTTATTAAATGGTGACCCGTATTACAGTAACCTGAGCATTCTGGGAGATTCCTTTAATTTAGGCATTTTCGGCAGGCTTTTGGTGCTCCAGCTCTGATCGTGGGGGTGGGAGTTTCTGAAAATTGATGCGAGATTATGGCATAAATAAAAACGCAAAAAAAGGCGGTTACAAATTTGATATTTTAGACGATTTGAAACGCATATTTTCGATGGAAAATCAATTTTTTATCTTGCAAACCCAAAACATTGTAATCTACAATTTTGATATGTTTTAAAAGTCAAAAATCGAGACAAACATTTTTGATATTCAAAGCGTTAGCGCATCCAAAACACTATCACTTTACTTTCCCAGCGATGAGTTCTCAAATTTGTCCGCACTATTGTAACCTTATCTTTTGAAGTAGCCTAAAAGTAAGTCAAAAGTCTGGAAAAATCGTTCAAATTAGGAGTAAACGTATTAGGTTTGCAACTATGCTTTGGCCGTCTTGTGATCTTAAATTTCTCAAAAACGAAAACATTACTAAACTCAAAAATTATTGACAAAATCAAGAACTTGCATAAAAACTATGGATTCGAAAATGACGAAAATGACAATGGACTCGAGAAGGCATAGCTGCCAATCTAATATTTAAATTTATTGATAAACGTCTAAAATGACAAAACAACGAAGGAGAACAGATTTTGTGCAATACTTTTTCCTTTAAAGAAATGGGGTTTGGCCAGTAAAAGGCTTGTAACTTGTAGACTTTCACTATATAGATCTCGATAAGGCCTTGTCGAGGCTTATCGATATCGCCAATATCGAGATTTCGATAAGCCTTCAGTCTAGTAACTTGTAACTTCTAACAACAAGACCAATGTAACGCTTGACACCTAAGTCATGCCCTAATTACCGTAGCCGTGGCCAGAATTTACCCTTATTCTGGCTCGAACAAGAAAATTGAGGTTTTTGAAAAAAAATAGAACGCCTGAGCGTTCAATTACAGTATTTACGGTACCTTTTTTTCATCAATCGACGTTACTTTCTCCGTTTTCTCTTTTTTCATGCATCGCTTGTAGAGTTTCACGATTCCGTAGAGGACAACGAGTGGCTAAATGTAGATTTTAGCAATAAAATCCGACATTTTTCTTTACTTTATCTGTCATTAACATGCCGACGAGGAGAATCGCCACAGCCAGATCGACCTCGGGTTCGGGCAGTGACCAGATCATGATCACAACGGCGATGCCTGTGGAAAAGATTTGTCAAAACAAAAAACAAAAAAAAGCTTAACCTTTAAATCAGAGTACGGTCGCTTGAATGCATTTTAGCCTTTTGCATTACTTTCAAATAACCCACTGATATGTTGAATGCCGGTTTCGAGAGCGATCGTGATCTTGTCCGCGTAGTTCATCCGGAAAATTGTCGTCACGATCAGGGCAATGAAGTACCCTGAAAAATTGTGCGTACTTTACCCGCAAAAATCTGCCGCAAAAACACACCCACTCTGACGCACTGAGTTTTTTTCATTTTTCCCGTGATAAAAACGAAGAATTCATTGCGCTAGAAAGAGTGGTTTTAGGAAAAAGCTCAAAGTACCTCAATTTTCTTGTTCGAGCCAGAATAAGGGTGAATTCTGGTCACGGCTACGGTAATTAGGGTATGACTTAGGTGACAAGCGTTACATTGGTCTTGTTGTTAGAAGTTACAAGTTACTTTACAAGTTACTAGACTGAAAGCTTATCGAAAACTCTACCTGACCACGGGAGAAAACACGCGCAAAACACCATTTTCCATGAGAGTAAAAAGAAAATATAGAAATTCGAGTAGATCATGATGGCCATAAAGAAGAAAGTGGCCACCCAAGCGATTCGCTAAATCGTGGAAAATCTTTAGAGTACTGTAGCTGCAAACTTTGATCCATTTCTGAATCTTCACATATAAATGTTGCTTGTACGTGATGAAGATCATCCCAGCGATTGTTGGGATCATCAAGGCGATGAGGCCTGAACAACTTCATGACTAGGAAAGGTTACGATGCTTTAGAGCTTGCCTCAACTACCGTATTTCGTTTTCTCCAGCTACGTAACTCGTAGCAGAGATTAAAGCCGGGTAGCTGAGACATATTGTAGAGCTTGTGCCTCAACTATGGTAACCCTCAACTATGGCAACCCTTCACCAGCTAGCCCGTATCTCGTAGCCAGAAAAGTTCTCAAGTAAGCTCATTCTATAGAATATACCTTTTATTATGTCAAAGTACGGTATTTGAACGTCTTTCGTCGAGAACTCTTTCCCCAGAGTGCCAATCCAAATCGGCATCATCACTAAAAACAAACTTCTTTTAGATTTTCTGATCGATTTCTTTCTTCTGATCTAAAATAAAGATCTAAAATCTGAAATAAAATAAAGATTTGAAAAGTTTAAAGCTTTACCTAAAGCAGCTATATGCTGAGAAAAAGTCATCGATATCGACAAATCCAAATTCCCGCCCCAGATGATCGTCCAGAAAGAGCTTTTGCCTAAAAGAGTACTGTAGAGTTTTTAGATCACGATACTGTACAACAATCAGACTACAACTAGTACTACAATTAGTACAACAATCAGACTACAATCAGACTACAATTAGTACAACAATCAGACTACAATTAGTACAAGAATGAGACTCACCTCCACCCGGACATGTTCCAGCAGCAAAAAGCGCTAAACGAATCGAAACATCCTCATCAGTCAAAATGAATTTCGCCATTGAGTAGGAAACCTATAGAATTATTTCATCTCAACAAAACTTAGAGTTCTTTTATAAAAGCAAGCTAGGAAAACAAAGTATGACCCGGCCTCTCCGTATCCTAAATCAATCATTTTACAACAAATAATTTCGATCGTAGTCGTAATGATTACTGTTTACTGTACGGTAGCAGGGCATGGCACTAGGATTAGTTCAAGCACAGAATCAGAAAAGACGAGTCAATCTGTACGAATCTTTAGAACTTACTAGCGGCATGATGCCGAATTGACAGAGCATCCCAGTGCATGGGCCGATCGGCTTCTTCCAGAGCTCCAAAATTCTGGAAAAATGATGATACTATAGAGAAATTGACTATATAAGCGCTTAGATCTCTCACTGACTTCTTCAACTCCAACTGTGTTCCCATGAGAAATGTGATGAACGGGATGAAGATCACCAAAGAAATGATAAAGAGTTTCGCCTGGAAATCAACAAAAATCAACAATATTCTCTACTGTAATATTGCTAGGTAAACATTAGAAAAAGTAGATAAAGTGATTAAAGAACTTTAAAGAAAAAATCATAGCCAAAATCAAACTTTCGTGTGCTCCCAATCGGATCGCAAAAGGCGCAACTTGTACGAGGTATCAGAGCCGCTGAAAATGATTGAGTTCTTTTTGGAAGAAATGTGATGAAAAGCCTTTTTCTGACCGTAATCCCTTCTATATTTTTGCTTAAAATTCGAATTTCTTTTTTCAAAAGTACTCACCTTTTTCCAAGGCTAACATTCAAATGTGTGACACCGACGAATTTCGCGTGAATCGTCAAATTTAATTGTTCTGGATGGGGATTTTTCTCGAGAATCTCCTCGAGATTTTCTACTTTACAAACGAATTCATTGACGCATTGAATCGAGAGATTTTGAGAAGATTCCAGCTCGTTTTCTTCGAAAGAAAACTTGATGAGGAGTGATCTGGAAAGTTCTACTCAATTTCTACTCAATTTCTACGGAATCTACTTTTCCCTAAACGATTCTCTTATAGTTATAAACTACTACAGTAGTCTAACATCTAACAGTTTAGTTTTAGCTAGTGAACTTTCACTAAAGCTAACGCAGAATAGAGAAGATAGGACAGAAAATAAGAAAAAAAAATAACTACAAGTGCCGAGCTGTGAGTCCTATATTTGGCACTAGGCAATTCAAGTCAAGTCTACAGGTCAAGTCTACAGTCTCTACAGGATTACTATAGCCATCTATAGCCAATTGGCATTTATGGAGTCAAGGTTACTGTAGTTTTTTATTCTTTTAACTTTGCTGATAGTATTGAATTAAAAGCTTTCTTATTTTTGACCTCGATTCGCCGGCTCGAAGTGGCTCAAAGGTGGCTGGATTGAAGGTGAGATTGAAGGAGAAAGCGACGGGAAAGATTAGGCAAAATATCGAAATATTTCCCAATATCGAAAATATTGGCAAAGAAAACATGACTCCTGGTGGGTTTAATTTCGTTGAAATCGATCTGAAATTAAGTTTATAAACTGTAAAAAGAATTCAGTGCATCGGGTGGCGTGCGTTTCTGTGAGAAGACAAAGTGCGTGGGTTTTTGCTCGCATGTAGACGGTTGTCCAGAATTATGGGGACTCGAGGACTTGAAGAAGTTGAGGATTTAAAGACCATATTACATTAAAATGACACCAAAACAGTAAAAATTTATTTGAATACAATGATTTAACATTAAAATGGTGGCAATAGAGGCCTGGAGGCGCTTTGGGGAACGCGTCCACGGTGGCGATAAGGTGGGGCATGTCCAGCTCGTCCCAACCTTTCTAAAGGGCTTTCTTCAAAGAATTGACTGTTGCATGAGGCCTCGAGCATGCTTTTCCTTCCAATACACTCCATACAGAATAATCGAGAGAGTTGAGGTCCGGGCTTGATGATAGCCGCTGGTTAAATTCGATAAAATCGGGGAAATTCTGCTTGCATCAATCTTGAACGATGCGACTTTTGTTTCCGGGTGCCCTATCCTGTTGAAAGCATCAAATCATGTTTCCAAAATGCTTTTTAGCTCATGGATTTACTTCTTGCTTAAGCATTCTCTCTAATAGTAGTGCACCCTGAGCGCTGCCTAAATTGATCGAAATCTCGAAAACCACTGATCAGAACCTATCGATGTGTGGTCGGAAAATGTAGCTGACGATGAGATCTAGTGGGGAATTTGAGTGTTGAGCTTCTGCAAACGCTTGGAAACTGTAAAATAGTGACCAACTCGGCTTGCTGGGGTGCAGTGCTATTAGAGAGAATACGGTAATGATTTGTACGATCAACAAACTCTAATCGATCCAAATCCCGTATTCTCTCTAATAGTAGTGCACCATGATTGTCGACTAAATTCCTCGAAATCTTGAAAATCGCTTATCAGAACCTATCGATGTAGCTGACGTAGCTGACATCAGCTGACGTATGTAGCTGACGATGAGATCTAGTGGGGGATTTGAGTGTTGAGCTTCTGCAAACGCTTGGAAACCGTAAAATAGTCATCAACTCGGCCCACCGGGGCGCACTACTATTAGAGAGAATACGGTATCAAAGCTACCCCTAGTTCCCGTAATTCTGGACAACCCTGTAAATACACTTCTCTCTGGTGCACTCGCTTCAAGCAAAAAGAAAAGGAAGAATTGAGTGCACCAGAAAGAGTGCTTTCCCACGTTTCGACGAGCACAAAGGACACCTCAATGAAAATGTGCTCAAAAAGAAGAATCAAAAGAAGTGCTAGGTTTAAAATGTCAATTTGAGATGATTTTGATAAACTTTTGATTTACTCTTATCAAAAGTTCAATCCAAGCAAGCCCTGCAGCCATTTTCATATCAGATTCCCAAAATGAAAAAGTGATATCAAAAAAGAGAGACAAAAATGAACCACTGGCAATTGTTTTTCTAAAAAGAAAAGTTCGGCGAACAATTTGAATTGAGAGAAAGAGAAAATCGAGAAAATAAAGAAAATAAAGAAAATAAAGAAAATTTGTGAAAAGTTCATTTCAATCAAGGAGAAAATCACAATATGTGTAAACACAAAAAGGGCAAACGTTTTAAATGCAAATTTCAGATTACCATTCAAGTGTTTACTTGAGATCTCTAAGAAAACCAGTAAATTGAGAGAGTTTTTCGTTCATAAAAAGGGATAATGATTTAAGGAAAGTGAAGAGAACTTTAGATTAAAGCCCTTTAGATTAACGTCCTTTAAATTAAAGTCCTTTAGATTAAAGTCCTTTAGATTAAAGTTCTTTAGATTAAAGCCCTTTAGATTAAAGCCCTTTAGATTAACGTCCTTTAGATTAAAGTCCTTTAGATTAAAGTCCTTTAGATTAACGTCCTTCTTCATTTAAAGTACTTCCTAAAACGCATCCCTTTCAGACAAAATTACCGTATTTAAATCCCCCAGTTTTCATTTCGATTAGCCATCTTTTAAGCCATAATTTCGCAGTCACAGCTATAGTTATGGAGAATTTCTGGAGCAAACACTGACCATATTTGATCCAGACTGATCCAAGAACTCTTTTGGGTTAGACCTGTGGTTCTAGATCTGGCTCACGCCTGGCTTCTGGCGGATTTTTTGTTTATCAATATTAGTAAAAAGTCTAGTCTAGTCAATAAAAAGTTGCATAAATATTAAAATTAGAAGAAGAAAGATGCTGGAAGCGTAAAGTTACAGAATTTTCAGCGAAAAACCCCATCTAATGCAATGCCCAAGCATAGAAAAGTGACAAAATGCGGTTGATCTCATTTTGTAGGAAATACGCGCACAAAAGAGGAGGAGATCGATCGGTTCAAGAGTGAAAATGGAAAGTGAAATGCAATGAATGAAAAGGTGGGAAAATAGCAAGAGTGGAACTCGTTTTTATCCCCCTCAAACAATCGTCATTCATCGTATAGTTTGATGGAAGTAGACGAGTTCTTTGAGCATAAATTCACCAAAGAATTGAGGTTGTGTAAGAGCCACTGGCAATCTAGCTTTGCCTGGTCTAGCTCGAAAAAATTTGATCTTGTTGTGGATCAATTCTGCCGTGAAGGACTGGCCCACAACAAAATACTGGACTGGACCTGGTTTCTGACTTCTGATCTGATCTGGAAAGTCAGATCTGAGCCTGGCTTTTAGCTTAATCCTTCCTGGTCGATCTGGTCTGGTTTGTCCGAAAAAATTGTCTTTAAAACAATCTAAATTGAGCTAAAATACTGGACTTGACCTGGCTTCTGATTTCTGATCTGATCTGGAAAGTCAGATCTGAGCCTGACTTCTAACTTAATCCTTCCTGGTCGATCTGGTCTGGTTTTGGAAGGATCCCCAAACTCCGAGACTCGTGACGGAATTTGGAAAAAATTGTCTTTGAAACAATCCAAATTGAGCTAAAATACTGGACTTGACCTGGCTTCCGACTTCTGATCTGACCTGGAAAGTCAGATCTGTACCTGGCTTCTAGCCTAATCCTGGGCCTGGCTGGTCTGCTTTTGCCCAAAAAATTGTCTTTGAAACAATCCAAATTGAGCTAAAATATCAAGCTAAAAGTTTCTCTCTTACTGGATATTTTTAAATGATTAAATATAATAATTCTGAAATTAGTAAAGAACCAAGTAAGAAAGAAGTACTGTACTAGGAGCAGCAATTGTACTTCAGGTTAAACATATACTATATGTGTTCTTTATCGAAATCTCATTTTTTTTCCTTCTGAAATGAAACGTCTTATAATGTAGAATTGGATTAAAGGGGATTAAAAGGGATTAAAAGGGATTAAAGGGGTAACTTTGAATCAAACTTTGCATTGTTTCTCTGTATTCAATCTCTGTATCCAATCTCTGTATCCAAATTTCTTTGCTCTGAAGTTCTTCCAGGTTCTCGTTTCTCTTCATATTTCTCTTCATATTTCTCTTTTCAATTTCCTTTTCCGTTTCTCTATCAACTGAACAACATTGACCTTTTGGAGGAAGAAGAAAGAAAGAAGAAAGAAATAAAACGAAAGAAAAGAGAGCACGATTCCCTTTAATCAATAGTCGAATTGTGAGAGAGACTGTCGGAAAAGGACAAAAAAAGAAAAAGACTTTGTTTCACATTTCACGCATTGACAACAAAATTTTATCTCTAAAATTCTTCTATTTCGGTTTAATTTTAAGACTAATCTTTAATAGATTATGCTTTATTTTTCATGTAAATTGTATTAAATTTCATTTCTATATTAGTATCAAAGCATTAATTCATCGATATCGATCAATTGCTATTGATATATCTATCGGGTTGGTGGAAAAGTCCTTTAGGATTTTTTGGGAGAGTACCTTAAATTTGTCCAATTTTGACGTTTTATAGCTTATAGTTTTATACCAATCGATCCGTCTTGAATTCAGCTTTAGGATGAGCTATAAAACGTCAAAATTCGACAAATTTAAGGTACTCTCCGAAAAAATCCGAAAGAACTTTTCCACCAACCCAATAGTAATATAACAATGCTATTGATATTTCTAGTACTATAACATTGCTATTGATATTTCTAGTACTATAACAGTACTATTAATCCTTCTAGTACTATAACAGTACTATTAATCCTTCTAGTACTATAACAGTACTATTAATCCTTCTAGTACTATAACAGTACTATTAATCCTTCTAGTACTATAATAATGAACTTTTACTTGATAAGCTCATCATTTTCCTTTTTTTTCCTTTGTTAAATTTTGAATCAAATTCAAAGCTTTTCCGGTTTTTAAAAAGATTTCTTCTCAATATTTACGATATGAACATCAAATTTTGTGATGTTTCTTCAGCTGAACAAATTTTCGAAAATATTTCCACGTATTCAAAATAAATCAAAGAAATGAAAAATTACATTGTTTATAAAGTTTTGAAAATTTTATTTTTAAAAAATCTTTTGATTCTCTTTAAGAAAATTTGTTTAGAAAATTTGCAATTTCTTTTCAATATCACATCTATTTTTGTTTTTGTTTTGCTTTTTTTGACGGATTTCGACAAGTAAAACCTTTTATCAAGTCTGTAAAACAATTTCAGATATTGAAACGGTTATTTTCTTTATTCGATATCTTTATCATGTTGCTAGAGTTTAAAGATGTTGAATGTTAAATGAAAATATTCCATGAAATCTTAACTAATCCGTTTCTTCAAACAATTTCCATTCCTGTATTAGTATCAAAGCACTAATTCATCGATATCAATAGCAATTTATCGATATCGATCAATTGCTATTGATATTTCGGTACTTGTGGAGTATCCGGGCGGGGTCTTTCAATATCCGGGAGGTAAAATTTTAAGATCCGGGGTAAACTTTCAAAAACCAACCAAATGCCCAAAAATGAATATAGCATTCTGAAAAAAAAACTTTTGATAGTATCTTAGTTGGGGGAACACTTTTTCTCTTCAAAACCACATGTGGGTTGGGCATCTGCCCGACCCACATCAACACATAAAACTACCTCAAAAAATGGTTTCGAAGAAAAAAAATGACCCGCCAACTAGGATATTATCAACATTTCTAATAATGACATAAAAAAATTTTGTAGAAGTTACGTTTTTGATCGAGTATCACCTCGAATCACGTAATAAAATTTTACGCCCCCGGATACTCCACAAGTACCGATATTTCTAGTACTATAACAGTACTATTGATATTTCTAGAACTATAACATTGCTATTGATATTTCTAGTACTATAACAGTACTATTGATACTTCTAGTACTATAACAGTGCTATTGATATTTCTAGAACTATAACAATCCTATTGATATTTCTAGTACTATAACAATGCTATTAATACTTCTAGTACTATAACAATGCTATTGATATTTCTAGTACTATAACAATGCTATTAATATTTGCCATTAACACATGCTATTAACATATCCGCTTAGGCAATATACAATATTTCTATGTTTTTGTGCAATTTTTAAGCCAAAACAACTCCAACAAAACACCCAATTTGACTGAAAGCAAATTTGGTAATTGAATCGATTTCTAGAGAGAATATGGAATAGATTTGCGATGAACAAAGTCTACTTTTCAAAATACTCAGACAATTGACAAAAAGCGGTGGGGTCAAAAGATACGGCTAAGTGAGACGAGCAGTAGAAAAAAAAGAATCGCGCGATTTCCCCGATTTCTTTTCCCAAAATATTTCCGCCCAAAGGCAACACAATTGCACCGAAACACAGAAAAATCAGTGATACGATTTTCGATTTTTTTTTTCATATTTCTTTGCCAATTTTCTGGATCTTTCCCAAGGATTACGTCAGAATTCGGAAATTTTTTGATTCTTGATATAAATTGTCAATTTTCTCTTAGAATAAATTGTCAATTGTCAAGATAAATTGCCAATTGTCAACTTTTGAGTTGATTCTTTGGGAAATTAAACGGCTCAATTGCCTCAATTAATTAAACGGCAATTGGCAATGCATTGATAAACAATCAAAAAATGTCTTGGCTTAAATGTTTCAAAGCTTTTGTTAATCAAGAAATTTCGTGTTTTGTGTTCAATAAAGTTTGTAGACAAACCCCATTTGTATGAAATTTTTGACTTTTCAGCTTTTGAAACAATGGGAAAACGCCGCGAGGATGTCTTCGGGGCGATTCGGGAGGCTTGTCGCGATCGAATTTTGCTGATTGATGGCGCAATGGGAACGATGATACAGAGGAGATATTTGGAGGAGAAAGATTTCAGGGCACAGGTTTGGATTCAGCATTTGTCCGTTAGACGGATCACATTGATAAACTTCAGTTGACTAGTTCAAGTCAAGTCTAGAAAAGAAAGTCTAGAAGTCAAGTCTAGAAGTCAAATCTAGAAGTCAAGTCTAGAAGTCTAAAAGTTCTATAGAATTGTTTCAACCTAGTCTTACTATTGGCTTTAAGTCAGACTAGAAAAAGGTAAAGATCTGGCTTCTGACCATGCTCTGGTAGAGGCCTTAGACTTACTTGCCAAAAACCAGCAACAGGTTTAGCCTAACGAACCCAGGGACAGGGAAAGAAAAACTTCTTTGCTCTAACTCTGGCAAAAGTCAAGCCAAGCCAGTCTCTTATACTTTAAAATGTCAAAGAAGAGATCTGGCTTTTGACTGACTCAGATATTTTCGTGAACTTTACCAGGCGAAACTAGTAGTAAAACAAAACCAAAGTACAAGCTAGGCTAGACCGAGAAATCGATTTTAAACATCACTAGTAGTTCACGTCATTTCAAATCTTTTGCAGATCCTCGAAAACCACCATAAGCCACTAAAAGGCAACAATGATCTTCTGTCAATCACGAGACCTGATGTCATTTATGAGGTAACTCGTTTGAATACTTTGAATACATCAGACAAAGATAGTGAGGCCAGTAAGCCTAGGTCTTTTACGCTATTGGCGAATTTAGGGATTTGTTGTGAGCTAGCTCTGGTACAGATTTGACTGTGAGCTAACTCTGGTACAGATCTGACTCTCAAATTATGTTCCATTTCAGATTCACCGCGAGTACCTCGAAGCCGGAGCTGATATCATTGAGACGAACACTTTCTCGGGTACAACTATTGCACAGGTTCGTCAACAGTACTGCTTGGAGAGTTTAGTTTCAAGTCAAACTTTTATCTATTTTTCAGGCTGACTACGAATGCGAGCATTTAGTCGACGATATCAACATTGAGAGCGCAAGAATGGCAAAGAAAGCATGCGATGATGTGCAGAGGGAGACCGGTCAGTTCATATAAAACAATTTTTGCTAAAAATTCTACATTCTATTGAACTATTGAGTTCTACATTATCGTACTTAAATAATAGCTAAATTTAAAGAAGAAATCGACTATAAAAACAACTTTTAAACTTTTCAAGGTGTCCGTCGTTTCGTGGCCGGTGCCATGGGTCCCACTAATAAAACTCTTTCAATTTCGCCGTCTGTTGAAAAGCCCGAATACCGAAATATTAGTGAGCTTTTCGAAATTTACATTTAACGATAAAAATCTAGATATTTTTCTTTGCTTATTGAGTTTTTTCTTTCAGCTTTTCAAGAGTTGGTCAAAGCATATGCTCAGCAAGCTCGAGCGCTTATTAAGGTGAGTTTAAAGTAAAAGTGTATAGAGAATATCTCTAAAGTTTATAGAAAACCTCTAAAATCTCTAAAGTTTAGAGAATACCTCTAAAATCTCTAAAGCTTAGAGAATACCTCTAAAGTCTCTAAAGTTTATCTAACCTCTAAAGTCTCTAAAGTTTATAGAATACCTCTAAATCTCTAAAGTTTAGAGAATACCTCTAAAATCTCTACAGTTTACAGAATACCTAAATCTCTACAGTTTATAGAATACCTAAATCTCTACAGTTTATAGAATCCCTAAATCTCTACAGTTTACAGAATCCCTAAATCTCTACAGCTTATAGAATACCCTCTAAAATCTCTAAAATTTACAGTAAATCTCTAAAAACTTTTCTAATATTTATCGATTTTGTATATAAATATAAATGAGATTTATAAAAATTACAAAAATTTCCAGGGTGGTGTCGACGTGTTGCTAGTGGAAACAGTGTTCGATTCGGCGAACGCGAAAGCGGCACTCTTTGCGATAAGAATGATTTTCGAGGATGAGGGTAAGGGGATTCAGTATAAAGCTATTTTTTAAGATTCATTTCCATAAGTAAAGTACTATCTCGGTAGTTGCTATTTTATTAATCAAGCCAATCTATTATAATCTTATTAGCCAAGCCAATCTATCAAAAGTGAAAAACTATCAAAAATTTGCTCATCCAAAATATTCACAACCACCTTCTGCCACTAGAAATTCTGAGAAAAACTAAGCTGACTTTTTTTGGAACACTTTGTATATGATTTTTAGGGATCGAGGAGATTCCCGTGTTTCTCTCGGGTACGATCGTCGATCTCTCGGGGAGAACATTGTCCGGGCAAACTGGCGAGGCTTTCCTCATCTCCACGAAGTCAGTTTTAAACTAATCCTATAATAGGATCGAGTCTGTACAAATCTAGTGCAACAGTACGGTTCTCACGTACAAAACAATACGATATAGTTGATCAAAACCTATTCAGACAAGGTCAATGCATAGCTGTCGGTCTAAAGTACAAAATAGTACAATATAGTTGATCAAAAACCGATTCAGACAAGGGTAATGCATAGCTGTCGGTCTAAAGTACAGAATAATACGATATAGTTGATCAAAAACCGATTCAGACAAGGGTAATGCATAGCTGTCGGTCTAAAGTACAGAATAATACGATATAGTTGATCAAAAACCGATTCAGACAAGGGTAATGCATAGCTGTCGGTCTAAAGTACAGAATAATACGATATAGTTGATCAAAAACCGATTCAGACAAGGTCAATCCATAGCTGTCGGTCTAAATTGTGCGCTTGGTGCTCGGGAGATGCGCCCGTTTATCGAGGCAATGTCCAACTTCAGCGAGTCGTTGATTATTTGTTATCCGAATGCCGGTAAGTCATTTGTTTTTTTCCACAAACATACTTTAGACACATTAGCAATAGTATTTACGGGATATCTATTGCTAATTACACAATTAGCAATAGATATGCCGTAGATACTCTAATAATGACAGACGTCCAGTGGTGTAGTCTATCTTTGAACGTCTCATTCTTTGCGCTCCTTTATGCTACAGTGTGCGCTTGAGTGTCAAATGATTGGCCTTGAAATCTAGTATTTTTTCGTATCAAAAGTGTATCTGGGAAAGGCTAGGATAGAGCTTTAAGCCTTACAATTGTCTGTTACAATTGTAAGGCTTAAAGCTCTATCCTAGCCTTTCCCAGATACACTTTTGATTGTCTGTTACAATTGTAAGGCTTAAAGCTCTATCCTAGCCTTTCCCAGATACACTTTTGATTGTCCACCATCTAATCCCAACGTTCAGGTCTTCCAAACGCGCTCGGTGGCTACGATGAGACTCCTGAAATGATGGCCGATGATATTAAAACGTTTGCAAAAGTAAATTACTATCGAAAAATGAAAAAGCTCAACATTTTGCAGGACGGTTTGGTGAATATTGTCGGCGGTTGTTGTGGGACGACACCAGATCACATTCGAGCTTTCAAAAAAGTGATTGATGGAGTGACACCAAGGTGTCCGGCAATCAATCAACACTCCGAATTTATGCTGTTAGCCGGGTTGGAACCGATGAAAATCGGAGCGCAAACGAATTTCGTGAACATTGGGGAGAGGTTGGTGAGATGTTTATTAGAGAGTGTTTCTGGCAAGTAAATAATTAGTAAATTACTCGAGTCAAATCTGCATGTGTCATTTTTACTTTAATCGATTAATCGACGTTTTTTTAATCGACGTCGACGAGCAACTACGAGTAATCCTCTTTACACATCGAATAAATTGAATATCTTTACATGTGAAGGGGAATTTGCTAGGAAATCATTTGAAACGGTTGAATATCTTTATAAAAGAGTCGTATATAACTCGCTCGTCGCTCGTCGCTAAAAGTACGGTAATTTTTCCAAAGTATGCGTTTTAAAAAACAAATTACTCATGAGGAACACACTCTAATGTTTACAGTGTTGATAAAAAAAAATTGGTTGGTAAAATCAAAGCCAAAAGTTAGCTTTTTTGTTAGCTAGCTAGCTAGCTTTTTTCGCAGTGTATTTTATTCTAGAAAGAGTTAGCTTCTTTTGTAGTTGTTGTAGTTGATTTTTAGTTCAAAGAAAACTGTCTTTCTATTTCACACTCTAATGTTTACAGTGTTGGCAGGGTTGGTAAAAGCAAAGGCAAAAGTTAGCTTTTTTGTTAGCTAGCTAGCTTTTTTTGGCAGTGTATTTTATTCTAGAAAGAGCTAGCTTCTTTTGTAGTTTATTTTTAGTTCAAAGAAAATTGTATTCTTATTAAGGTGTAATGTGGCCGGATCACGGAAATTCTGTCGTCTTGTCAAGGACGAGAAATATGAGGTGAGTAAACTTTGAGAAATATAAAAAGACAAAAAACTAGACAAAAAGATTACGGTACTATGTCGATCTTTTAGAGAAAGTCAATAAAATGAAATAAAATGAAATGAAATAAAATTCAGGAAGCGCTAGATGTGGCGCGGGTCCAGGTCGAGAATGGGGCTCAGATTCTAGACGTGAACATGGACGATGGGCTTCTGGATGGGCCGTACGCAATGGGGAAATTCTTGCGGTTGATCGCCTCGGAGCCGGATATTGCAAGGGTGAATCAACAAAGATAAAGTCAATTTTGAATCGAAACCTTTCCAGGTTCCAGTCTGCATCGACTCCTCTGACTTTAACGTGATGATCGCTGGCCTCGAGGCTTGTCAAGGGAAATGTATTGTCAACTCGATCTCGCTGAAAGAAGGAGAAGAGGCTTTCATCGACAAGGTCACTTTTCTTGGGGAACTTTGGTACTTGTCGGTGATATATTCAAAAAGACTCATCTTGGTGAAGCATCTCCATCTGAGTCTTCTCGGTTATCGATTTTGAGTTGATCGACTGATCACCTCGATCTACTTCATTGAACACCACTCAAAAGTTGTCAGCTTCTTGTCAGTTGTCAGCTTCTTGTCAGTTGTCAGCTTCTTGTCAGTTGTCAGCTTCTTGTCAGCTGTCAGCTTCTTGTCAGCTGTCAGCTTCTTGTCAGCTGTCAGCTTCTTGTCAGCTGTCAGCTTCTTGTCAGCTGTCAGCTTCTTGTCAGCTGTCAGCTTCTTGTCAGCTGTCAGCTTCTTGTCAGCTGTCAGCTTCTTGTCAGCTGTCAGCTTCTTGTCAGCTGTCAGCTTCTTGTCAGCTGTCAGCTTCTTGTCAGCTGTCAGCTTACCCGAGTTGAGTCTGTGTGGATGCTAAAACCGACAAGTACCAAGGCAACTATGATGTACGGTTAGGAGAATGCACAAGAGCATCTTTTAGAAAACACTATCCATCTACAGTAGATTACAGGATCCTTATTTCAAGCATAGATTTACCCTTTGTATACTTTATCTTGTATCTTTATCTTGAGCTATCGTAACGCATTCAAAAGTCTGTTTTTTTAGAACTTTGAACTATCATAACTAAAGGCAACGGTACTTGTCGATTTTACATCCACAAAGACTCATCTCGGTCTTCTCAGTTATCGATTTTCGTTCGACATATCGACTGATCACCTCGATCTACTTCACTGAACATAATCACCACTCAAAAGTTGTCAGCTTCTTGATTAACCGAGTTGAGTCTGTGTGGATGCTAAAACCGGCAAGTACCGGAACTTTTTCCAAATGAATACACTCTAAATTGTGGCCGACTTAGCCCTAGGTTTATGATCTTAAATTATTCTATAGTATTCATTTCATAACATAATCACCACTCAAAAGTTGTCAGCCTCTTGCTTAACCGAGTTGAGTCTCTGTGGATGCTAAAACCGATAAGTACCGGAACTTTTTCCGAATGAATACGCTCTAAATTATGGTCGAGTTAGCCTTCGGTTTATGATCTTAAATTATTCTATAGTATTCATTTCATTTCTCTTAAGCTTAAGAGTAATATTTACAGTAATATTTACAATAATATTTACAGTAATATTTCTATTTTATTTACAAGTAATTTATTGGGTAAAAAGTAAAAAGTCGATGAATAAAAAGGATCAAAAATTAATATCTAGTAAATGTAAATTTCAATCTTAAATTCTTTATTATAAATGTTTATTTTATTTAAATCAATAGATCTTTAATGCTAATTTTAGGCTCGTTTAATTAAACGCTACGGTGCGGCGGTTGTTGTAATGGCTTTCGATGAGAAGGGACAAGCCGCTGACATGCAACCGAAATTCGATATTTGCGAGCGCAGTTATAGGTATCTTTTTTTAAAAAAATCACATAAAATCTTCAATTTTTAAGAATTCTCACGGAAATCGTCGGCTTTGATCCATCGGATATCGTCTTTGATCCAAATATTCTAACGATTGCCACTGGAATGACTGAGCACAACGATTATGCAATCAATTTCATTGAGGCCACGCGAATGATCAAGGTTTTTTTGTTGACTAAAATACTTGGGTCTACCAGAAGGTCTACCAGAAGCCAACCTTTCACTTCAAGCTTTGTCTTGGCTCAAGAAAGTCTCTTGGCTGAATGATGACCCTGATCACGACTGAGTTATAGAAGCCAGAGCCCTTTGATTGTTTCAGTTATCAAGCACAGAGTCTGATCTTGATCTTGATTCAAAAAAAGTGTCTAACTTCTTTCCTTCTTTCCTACAGTCTGATTTAGTATGTTGTCTTTTTTTAATCGATTGTTTCCAGGAGAATCTCCCTGGTTGTCGTATCTCAGGCGGCGTCTCAAATATCTCATTCTCTTTCCGTGGAATGGAAGCCGTTCGAGAAGCCATGCACAGTCAGATTTTGATAATGATATTCTAAAAATCAACCAAAAATGACAAAATGATATGCATCAACAAATCTTACAGTATGAACAATAAAATCTAGGTGTTTTCTTGTACCACGCGATCCGAGCTGGCCTCGATATGGGCATTGTGAACGCGGGTGCTTTGCCCGTCTACGAGGATATTGATAAGGTAGAAATGTGTAGAATTCACTGCGCTAGAAGATTTTGTGTTTAATTTAAGCTCAAAGCCCAAATCAACTTATCTCAATTTTCAGGATTTACTCAAATTATGTGAGGATTTGATCTTCAATCGAGATCCGGATGCGACAGAGAAAATGCTAGCAATGGCGCAGAGTTTAGTAAAAGGAGAGAAAAAGGTATAGGGGAAATGGGAAAGGTTTTGATCTAAAACAGTTTCTATCTTCTTTTGATTGATTCCCAATAGATCTTGAAAATAAAATGCTAGCAATGGTGCAGAGTTTAGTAAAAGGGGAGAAAAAGGTATAGGGGAAATGGGAAAGGTTTTGATCTAAAACAGTTTCTATCTTCTTTTTTGGATTGACTCGCAACAGATCTTGAAAATAAAATGCTGGCAATGGTGCAGAGTTTAGTAAAAGGAGAGAAAAAGGTATAGAGGAAATGGGAAAGGTTTTGATCTAAAACAGTTTCTATCTTCTTCTTCTTTTGATTGATTCCCAACAGATCTTGAAAATAAAATGCTAGCAATGGCGCAGAGTTTAGTAAGGAAAGAAAAAGGTATAGAGGAAATAGGAAAGGTTTTAAATCAAAACCATGAAAGGTTTTAAATCAAAACCAGGAAAGGTTTTAATTCAAAACCAATTTCTATCTTCTTTTTTTGATTGATTGATTCTTGACAGATCTTTTGAAACTTTTCTCTACAAACAGAAATATTTGTTTGAATCTTTTTCGATCAGAAATGAGCGTTTTTGAAAAGAAACTTTCGAATAATCAATCAAAAAAAAAGCGGTTGAAGAAAACGAAAGTGAAATCAAATTTTAAACGAAATTTTTCATCTCTAAACGCATAATAATAATAATCTTTAGATTTAGAACTATTTGAATCGAAATAAATGAATGATAAATTTAGGACGATGGACAGGCGCTAGCCTGGCGAAACGAGAGTGTTGAGGAGCGGCTGAAGTACGCACTCGTTAAGGTATTTTCCCCCAGTGTAAACGTCAATTGGTGCGCAACGGAAAAGTGCCATATCTTGGCTAATTTCTCTTTCTCCTCAATCTCTTTTTCCTCTTTGATTTCAATTGATAGAAAATTCAATTCTACATCAATTAATATGAAAATGAAAAAAAAATTGGAGTTGGAGAAAAATTGGCGAAGAAATTTCACTTTTCCGTTGTACATCTATTGACGTTTACACCAAAACTACATAAATTGCATAAGAAACTAAACAATAGCCACATTACCGTATACAAAAAGGTCTAATATGTCTAATATGTCTAGTACCTATCGTAATTCTTAAATCAATATCCAGGGAATCGACACTCATGTGGTCGAGGACACCGAAGAGGCTCGACAAAATAAACAACGATATCCAAGGCCATTAAATGTGAGTTTAGCATTACTGTAGAATAGATATAAATGAAGATGCAGTTAAAATTTCCTATATATATACCTACCGTAATCTAGGTGATCGAGCAACCGCTGATGGCCGGGATGAGTATCGTCGGCGAGCTGTTCGGATCGGGGAAAATGTTCTTGCCACAAGTAAGCAGCCAGCTTGAGAAAAATCTATAGTGCGTCGAATTTAGTGATAGAAAAAGCCTAGGCCTAAGCCTAAGCCTAAGCCTAAGCCTAAGCCTAAGCCTGAGCCTAATATTTCTAAATTTTTTCCATTTCAGGTAATCAAATCGGCTCGAGTGATGAAAAAAGCAGTCGGACATTTGATTCCATTTATGGACGCGGAAAGAGAAGCCAGATTGAAAGAAATGAATTTGATTGATGATGAGGTGAGCATTTATGAAGAAATCAAGATCTAAAAACTTCGAAATCAATTGATTTCATGTCGTATTTGTTTATTTTAAACTTAAAGTCGAAGTTGAATCAGAAACGCTATGTAAATCAAAGAAGTCTGTCTTCACTGACTGACTTCACTGAGTGAAGACTGACTTCACTGAGTGAAGACTGACTTCACTGAGTGAAGACTGACTTCACTGAGTGAAGACTGACTTCACTGAGTGAAGACTGACTTCACTTTGTCTATGTGAATGAATGTTCAAGTACTACATAAACAACGAACAAAACAAAGAACAAAACAAAGAGCAATGTAAACTTTATAGCATTACTTATCGATAACAATTCAAGATTTGAATCTATTCCTTTTTCAGAGTCCCTACCAAGGGACCATGGTTTTAGCAACGGTGAAGGGTGATGTGCATGATATTGGAAAGAATATCGTTGCCGTTGTGCTTGGATGTAATAATTTCAAGGTGAGACTGTAAAATATTGTTATTTATAGTACCGTAAATACTGTAATTGGATCTCGCCGCCCTTGTACAGTCGCGTAGTCGCAAAAGTTACCAAAGTTTTTTAGTATTTCATTTTTTTCAAAGCGCCCATACTTTCCAAAAAAAATGGGTCCTTGGTATCAAAAAATAGCCCTGAATTTCAGCTATTTTTTGATACCAAAGCGCGCATTGTAGCATAAACCAGTGTCGAGAAAAACTCGTTCAAAGTTAGACTACGCGATGCTCCGGCCGTCATTATGGAGGGTGGGGTACTATTACAGTATTACAGTATTTACAGTATGTATTATGTAGAATTATCCTTAAAACTCATAGATTTCTAATGTTTTTTTTTATATTTAGGTAATTGATTTGGGTGTGATGACACCGTGTGAGAAGATTATTCAAACGGCCATCGACGAGAAAGCTGGTAGGGTAAACTTATGGGAATTAGCATTGTTAAACTGTTAAACTGAATAAACTATGCAATTTTATTCAGATTTTATTGGTTTATCTGGTTTAATCACTCCATCACTTGATGAGATGGTTCATGTGGCAAAAGAAATGAATCGACGAGGGTTAAAGGTTCCTTTGTTGATTGGAGGTTTGTGAATTCATAAAACAAATTTATCGAGTTTTAAAGAATTCAAGTAATAATTAGAATCTCTTCCTCAAATCCTTTTCCTAACAATTTTAAGAGGCTATTTCTAGGAGCAACAACTTCAAAAACGCATACAGCTGTGAAGATCTCTCCTCGATACTCCCATCCAGTCATTCATTGTCTCGACGCATCGAAGAGTGTTGTTGCTGTGAGTTTTCACGCAAAAAGAATTGATTAGAATTGATTGATTGATTTCAATTTCAGTGCTCAGCCCTTGTCGACCAGAAAGTTCGTGAGGTTTTCCTCGCCGATATCGATGATGATTATGTGATTGTTCGAGAAGAACATTATGAGGGATTAAAGGAAAGACGGTAGGATGGAAAGGGTTTAAAAGAATCTGATAAATATAGTTTATAGTTTATATTTTAAGATTTATAAAGTAAAAATCTATAAAAAAAACACCTCTAGATTTACGTCATTGATCGAATCGCGAACGAAGAGTTTGAAGAATGACTGGAAAATCTTTGAGCCACGTTTGAAGATTCCCCATTGATATGATATGTAAATTTTGTTTTTCAGTAAAACCAAGCTTTTTGGGGACGAAGAATTTCTTGGATATTGATCTTGAAGAGGTCAGTTCAGCTTTTGTATGCTTATGGCATGCTTATGACTTGCTTATGACTTGCTTATGACCAGCTTATGACTTGCTTATGGCTTGCTTATGGCTTGCTTATGACCAGCTGATGGCCAGCTTATGATCTGCTTATAACTTGCTTCTGACCAGCTTATGATCTGCTTATGACTTGCTTATGACCTGCTTATGACCAGCTTATGACCAGCTTATAACTTGCTTCTGACCTGCTTATGACCTGCTTATGACCTGCTTATCACCAGCTTATGACCAGCTTATGACCCAAATATCCAGGCAAAGAGTTAGCTTGATTTGCCTTGATAAAAGCTTGCTTATGAGAATAAAACTCTTTACAATATTTTCCTTTTTAGTTCATTTTCTAAAAAGAAAACATCTATTCTAGACAAATTACCGTAATCAACTCTTCAATTTTATATTTTCATTTGATTAACTCTAATTTTGATCAAATTCACTGAGATTTGTGATTCCCTCATCAAATTTGACTAAAATTTGAGTTAAACAGTTGAACTACGATAGTTTATTTGAAATAGGTGTCTTTTAGAAATCTCTTCAAGCTAGCAAATGAATGAAGAGTAAAATGGAATCCTAGGTAATCCCATTCATCGACTGGAAACCCTTCTTCGACGTTTGGCAACTACGCGGAAAGTATCCGAATCGGTTGGTTAATTGAAAAATGCGAAAAATAAAGATATTCAGTTAAGAGATCTAATTTAAAAGTTAATTTATTTAATTATTTAATTTATTGTCAATAAATGTCAAATTTTATTCAGCGGTTACCCTCGAATCTTTAATGACGCCGACGTGGGATCGGAGGCAAAGAAAGTCTTTGAGGTGGGAATGGGAAAAGAAAGAGTGGAAAGAAAGAGTGGACAAGAAAGAGTGGAAAAGAAATTTGTATATAAAAATTCGATTATTTATTTCTTAAAGATCGTCTATCTAAATGAAATATCTAATATTTAGGATGCAAAAAGTTTGCTGAAGAAAATGATCACAGAGAAATCGTTGCGGGCAAACGCGGTCATCGCTTTCTACGAGTGTGCATCCGAGGGTGACGATTTGTGGTTATTTGAGGTACGATATTTTCATCCAATATCTTCATCCAATATCTTCATCCAATATTTTCATCCAATATTTTCATCCAATATTTTCATCCAATATTTTCCTTTAAATCTAATTAACATACGGTATTCATAGATTTACAGCTATATAAGAGAATTCCTAAGTTTAGATCATAGCTAACATATCTGATAATTGATTTATACAGTACGAAAAGCTAAACGAGTTTATTTACCGTGAAATTGAGGTCGATTAAAAGCTGGCTCTCATGACACTAGCCTTGGCTTGGTCCTGCCCTAGGCTTGGTCCTGCCCTGGTCCTGATCCTGGTCCAAGTCTTGCAGCCCTTGGTACTGGGGTACTGTAGTTGAGGCGTACTTTAAGGCATACTTTAAATCACGCTATTTCCAACTGTAACCCTTTAAAAAGCTTTATCGAGTTTACAGAATGGTGCCAAGAAAGAGATCCTCTACGGACTTCGACAGCAATCCGGTCGTGAACACGATCAACCGCATCTGTGCTTGGCTGATTTTGTCGCACCACTCGATGGGGGTAAGCTTTTGGAATAAAGAGAGATTTAAGTGCACCAGAAAGTGTGCATTTTCATTGTTAAACTACAAGTTCACGCTATAGATCACATAGGCTATACTGGCTCTCATGACGGCTTGGTCCTGCCCTAGGCTTGGGCTCAACCCTGGCCCTGATCCTGGTTCAAGTCTTGCAGCCCCAATAGTAAGGCTTGACCCTGGCTCTAGCATTGTTCTTGACCCGGAATCAGGTCTCCAAAAAGGGACTGGAGCTGATCCTGATCTTGATGTTGGTTCTAGCCCTGCCCAAGATTCCAAAGAAGTGATCCTGGTCTAGATCTGACTCAAAGAAAATCGCAGAGAGATAAGAGTGCTCTTCATCTATTTCTTCTGCTTTCAGGTAAACCCAAGGACTACATTGGAATGTTCGCATGCACAGCCGGGTTGGGTGCCGAGGCATTGTGCGCAAAGTTCGAGGCGGAAAGTGATGACTACAACAGTATCATGGTTAAGGTGAGATATCTAGGCATCAGATATTTATTAGCTTCTAAACGTATTAATGTTTATTTTCCAGGCTTTAGCCGATCGTTGCGCCGAGGCATTGGCTGAGTGTTTGCACAGACGGGTGAGTTCAAGGTTTTAAAAAGCTACATTATACTGTCGCAAATTTCAAATAAATCTTTATACTTAGTCTAAAGTAACCTAGACTAAAGATCTAAAGCATTGCCGCATCTAGAGCATTGCTGCATCTAGAGCATTGCCGCAGTCATTCTAAAGCGTGTCCCAACTACTGGAGACTCACAGTAGCTACAGATTGCATTGCTGGGTTACGGTAGCATCACTACGTGTTTACGGGTTACGGTATCCGGGATATACTTTGGGCTGAATGAGTTTTTACATTACAATTACAGATCCGCGTCGAGTTGTGGGGTTACAGCAAAGAGGAAACTCTATCGCATGATGATCTCCTTTCGATCAAATATCGTGGAATTCGACCAGCACCCGGATATCCAACACAACCGGATCACACGGAAAAGGTTTCACTTTTAAAAAGTATAAGCTACTCAGATAACAAATACATTTCTATATATAACAATAAGTCAACGAAATGGTCAACTTTAACTACTAGATAAGTAGTCCGGAAATTACTATTCAAGGATTTTCCAGACTCTAGAGCTTGTAAACTAAGAAAGGCTAAAGGTTGACTTGAAAAAATAGAGCCTTTAGGGTAACCCTGCCGTGTCTCATGTAGTTCTTATCTAGAGATTTAAACAGGTTAAAAAAAAAGCTGGATATGAGGTACACCATTGCGTTGAAGTTTAGACGAGTAAACTGATTTTGAAAAGCTTATCAACCGATATCAACCTTATCAACTTTCAGCGTACTCTCTGGCGACTCCTTGGCGAGTGTAAAGATGCGCAAATCGGGTTGACGGGTTTGTTTTTAATAGCTCACAGCGGTTGATTAATGTAGTTAATCTATAAATAATCCTAAGACTTATAGGATTCTCATAAAATCTGAATAATTTCTAGCAATCATATCAGCTTATTATACACTTGAAAGATCAATTTTAAGCTAAAATCGATTTGCAGATTCTCTTGCAATGACCCCAGCAGCTTCAGTCTCTGCTTTGTGTTTCTCTCATCCAAACAGCCAATATTTCGCCGTCGGCAAGATCAATAAGGATCAGGTAAAAAAAATAGGATTGAATTTCAGTGAAAAAAAAAAGTCAGTTGTTGACTAAATTGAAATGCTTTCTTAGGAGTTTCGAATGAAAAAAGACTGAAAATTTTAGGTAGAGGACTACTCATCCCGGAAGAATCAAAGCATTGAGGAGACTGAGCGTTGGTTGGCACCGATTCTTGGATATGAAAATGATTAAAATGGGAAATGTTTTAAGATTTCATTCAATAAATTCGATTTTTGTTTTTTGATTTATCATTGTTGAAGTTGAATTCTTTGAAATCTGAAAACTCGAATGAATGAATGAATAATATAAATTATACGAGAAATATGGAAATATTTTGATGTATAATATTTATTATATAAACAAAGCTTAAAAGCTTAACAATTCTTTTTGAACGTTTTCAAATCCGATAATCGCCACCCGTTTCCTCCTGCCTGAATGGCGAAATGTTTCACCGCCTCGTCCGGGAGCGGAAAGAGAATTGGTATAGAAAAATTCAATTATTTATTTCTTAAATCGAGATCGGAGGCAAAGAAAGTCTTTGAGGTGGGAATGGGAAAAGAAAGAGTGGGAAAGAAAGAGTGTTCTTTGAATTCTTTGAAAATTCTTTGAAATTTGAAAACTCGAATGAATGAATGAATAATATAAATTATACGAGAAATATGGAAATATTTTGATGTATAATATTTATTATATAAACAAAGCTTAAAAGCTTAACAATTCTTTTTGAACGTTTTCAAATCCGATAATCGCCACCCGTTTTCTGCTGCCTGAATGGCGAAATGTTTCATCGCCTCGTCCGGGAGCGGAAAGATTGGCCGTTCCGGTTGAAGTTCCACAGTCGGCGCTTCCGGAAAGTTCTTTTCGATTTCGTAGACCTTCGGGATCCTGTATCGGCCTCTGCTTGGAGAGGTATCTCGTGACGTTGAGTGAGAGCGTGAACGAGAGAGAGACGCTGGCGACCGGTCACAGCTTTCCTCCGAGGAAGTTCTTGATCGCGATCTTGGCGACCTCGAATTTTGTCGAGAATGGACAAGAATGGACAAGAATGGACGAGAATGGACGAGAATGGACGAGAAAGGGGGCACGACATCCATCCTCTAAAGAAAAAAGAATTGAACATTCTTCGCTCATCATTTTAGTCCTTTGTGTAATTTGTACTCAAATTTTCTAAACAAACCCTTTCCAGCGCACTAAAATCATTCTAGTGGTGCGCTAGATGGTGAGGGTTTACAGAGGTGAATTATGATGGATTCAGTGCACGAGAAAGGCTTTGTTTTTGAGCACAAAGTACAACAGAAAGAGTGAAGAAGTTGGCAATTGGTTTAGTTGAAATTTTTGAAAATCTTATCGAATAATGGAGTTAAAGATCAAATCAAGTTGAAATTGACACACGCGCAAATCATTCTTTCATTTGTAGACAGAAAGAAAAAAATGGAAAAGGGAAAAAAGAAGAAAAAGAAGAAAAAGAAAGACTCGGATTTCCTCTCTTTCCTTTGATTTGACGAGAAATCGATATTTTCTTGGCTCTTTTTTTTTCTTCTTTTTCCCCTCACTTTCCCATTCACAAATCACTCAGATCACCTCTTTAGAAATGCTTTTTTTTCAATCAAAAATTCAACATTGATATTAATATTATTTTTTTTTTGATAAAGATTTAAATCAAAATAAGATATTCAGTCAATCAAGCAATTTTTAAATCTTTTGTGTACTTAGTTCTCATTTTAGACTGTAAAATATTGTTATTTATAGTACCGTAAATACTGTAATTGGACCTCACCGCCCTTGTACAGTCGGATAGTCGCAAAAGTTTTCCTAGTATTTCATTTTTTTCAAAGCGCCCTTACTTTCCAAAAAATGCGTCTTTGGTATCAAAAAATAGCCCTGAATTTCAGCTATTTTTTGATACCAAAGCGCGCATTGTAGCATAAACCAGTGTCGGGGAAAATCGTTCAAAGCTAGACTACGCGATGCCCCGGCCGTCATTATAAACTGATGACGAGAAAAATGCGTTTAAAGTTAGGCTACGTGATGCTCCGTCTTTTGATATCAAAAAATAGCCCTGAATTTCAGCTATTTTTTGATACCAAAGCGCGCATTGTAGCATAAACCAGTGTCGGGGAAAATCGTTCAAAGCTAGACTGCGCAACACTCCGCACCGTCATTATGGAGGGTGGGGTACTATTACAGTATTACAGTATTTACGATATGTATTATGTAGAATTATCCTTAAAACTCATAGATTTCTAATGTTTTTTGATATTAATATTGTTTTTTTTGATTAAGATTTAAATCAAAATCAGATATTCAGTCAATCAAGCAATTTTTAAATCTTTTGTATATTTAGTTCTCATTTTATACGCACCTGATACACTAAATCTCAAAAAAAAAACGAAAACAATTCAGTGTATCAGAAAGCATACGTTTTTGTTAGCATCAGATTTCTCTGCGTATTTTGTGCTGGAAAAGGGCTCTTTGCTGTGCTCTTCAATAAACTCACGACTTTTGACACAATCATCTCTTTAGAAGACTAGCGATTCTATTAAAAAATGTGCCTAGTGGCCTAGAAAGCGTGCTTTTATCAAATGTGCTTAAATTTTCTTACCCTAAGATCGAATTCAATGAGTTATTGTAAATGTGAATCGTTTTTTCTTTTTCATTTCCCCCTAAACACGTGAGATTTCTTTTGTTTCCCATCACGCATTTCCCATAAAAATCTCTAGATTTCTAGAAATTTTTATCTAAAACCTTTACCATTTGAGAGTGACATGTTTGAGAGAGAGAATCTTCTGATTTCAAGCTTTCCATTTTAGCTTTTCATTTTAGCTTTTCATTTTAGCTTTTCATTTTAGCTTTTCATTTTATTCAAATCGCTTTCATTGAATATATTTTTGAAGAAGTTAAAATGTTTCTTTTGAATCGATTGCACAAATCAATTAGAATCAATCATTTCTGTTCATCAATTGCATCAATCAATTAGCATCAATCAATTGCACAAATCAATTAGAATCAATCATTTCTGTTCATCAATCGTTCAATCAATCAATTCAATGTCCATCAATCATCAAATCCAAATTTCATTTCTATATCTTCCTTTCATTTCTTTTTTTCTCAATTCAATTTTAAATTCAAAAATTATCTGATAAATCCGATATTTTAAAGTTAAATCATTTCCAGTAACACAAAAGCTTTATTTATATTTCTTTAGCTTTATATTTCATTTCGGATTGCTATCATGGAAATTCTTTTTTCTCTTTTCTTGGCATTAAATTGGATAATACTATCTAGGCTTTGTTTTGCTCAAAAAAAAATCGTTTTCTAAAAGATGCACTGGGGAAAGTTACTGTACAACATTTGCACTTCGCCCATGCGTTTTCTAAACCGTTTTTTTCTACCACAATCTTGTCTCTCTTTTATCAAATCTATCAACTTTTTTTATCTTTCGTTATCTTTTGTGAATCCTCATAGAATTAGACTAAAAGTAAATACCGTCTTTTCTCGAATAGTAGTGCACCCCGGCGAGCCGAGTTGGTGACAATTTTACGGTTTCTAAGTTTTCCCAGAAGCTCAACACTCAAATCCTCCACTAGATCACATCGTCAGCTATATACGTCAGCTACATACGTCAGCTGACATCAGCTACGTCATCTACAGCTACGTCAACTACAGCTACGTCAACTACAGCTACGTCAACTACAGCTACGTCAGCTACAGCTACGTCAGCTACATCGTCAGCTACATACGTCAGCTACATACGTCATCTGACGTCAGCTACGTCAGCTACAGCTACATCGATAGGTTCTGATAAACGCTTTTCGAGATTTCGAGGAATTTAGGCCCAGGGTGCCCTACTATTAGAGAGAAAACGGTAGATTGGATGAAAAAAATAGACAAGACTACGGTAGAAAGAGGGAGCAGAAACATTTTCGAAAACACAAGGGTCCATTACAAACTTTTGTACATAAAAGATTTGTGTACTTTTGTGATGAAGGCAAAGATTCAAAAGATTCAAAAACTTCCTCAATCTCAATAATTGCCTCCATTTTGGCATGACTCAAAAATTTGCGCTCAAAAATTTGCCAAAAAACAAAGCTGGAAAGAGAAATTCTTTGATGACACAACTATGCGCATTTTTTTCTTTCATTAATCTTATCAAATCGTTATCAAAAATTTTTTATGACGCGTTTTTCAGCGGGAAAAAAAATCGGGTGATCGCGTGGTTTTCGAATATAGAAAACGCAATTCTTTTCGCCATTATGTTTCCATTTTTTTTCTTTTAATCATTTCAAATTTTCTTTTAACCATTTTTAAATGTAAATTTTTGCATGTAAATCACCATTGACAACACTGAATTTTGAGGGGTTTTTTTTCGCTTGAATGCTTGATTATTTTCGCGTTTCGCTTCAAGAACTTTTCTTGAAGGGGCCTCTTAGAGGCTATAAGCTTACAGTAACTCTGCCATGTTTTAAAGTCGCCCCAACGATCGTACCGATTCGGGTGAATGCTTTAAAATGTGACCCGGCTACCGTAGTCAATAGGTTAAACCTCATTGTACGATTGTGGCAAAAGGTGCCATAAAATCGACTATTTGAGAGCTATGCTAGGAAGATCCAGGCTAGATTACGGTAGCTGAGACTCGCTTTATAACGCTTACCCAAAGCGTCAAGTGAGTCGGGTTAAAGCTTTAAAAGTGATCTACCGTAAAGATCTACCGATCTACCGTAACCAAATTGTCTGTAGAAAAACCAAAAAACTACTGTAGCGCCTTTTCTTTTTCAGTTAAATCTATTCTACAATTCTTTCTCCTTTTCATTCCAACAACCAATAGTTAATTGTAAGTTAATTGTACCAATAGTTAACTTTCCAAGTTAATTGTTTGATTTTTGATCTAGACAGATCTAGATAGATCTAGAATGATTTTAAAGATTGCCAGATTGCCACGTGGCGGGACAAAAGCTTGCTTGCAAAAGCCCGCCACGTCAACTAAGACGTCCTTGAAAGCGATGCGCTTTTTGCATTGTCATTGATAAAATTCCCCATCATCAATCATCAATTATATTTTTATCTCTAGTGACATATCTAGAATTTCGATTTATGAGCAAAACATGGCGAAAATTCGGGAATTTATTGAGAAATTGCAGAAATTGACTTTTTACTTTATAGCTTTATTTTCTTTGAAAAAGATATTCAAGTGAATATCTTATTGAATTTAATTAAACGCATTTTTTCAACCCTCTTAAAATTTTAAATACCCAATCCTTCAACTGAATATCTTTTTGACTTTAAAAAGCTATTTAAGTCTCTTTGCACTTTTTAAATCTCAAATCTCTAAATCTCGCTTTAAATGATTCTTAAATATTTTCTGTGTCACAAAACGCCGTTTCCCGTTAAACTTACCAAAATTGCTAAATTTGTGTAAACATTTTAGTTTCTCCTGCAAAAACGAACCTCTTTATCATCTTGTTTACCAAAATTTTCAAGTTGGGAGCTCTTTTTTTAGTTCATTTCACCATTTTCTTACCAATCTTTTCTCGTTTAGGTGATTTGGTCAAGTTGAAAGCTCTCTTTTTGCTGATTCATCTTCATTTGATCATTTCATTACCAATCTCTTCCATTTAGGTGAGTCGTCGAGATGACGTGGTTGTTTTGCGTGTTCGTCGGTGTGGCTCTGCGACTCGAATACCTTCTCGCCAAGCACATCCTCGAGTCGCGTTTCCCCGAATGGTTCGTGGTTTTTGGAGTTTAGAATTGAAAAATAGTATTGCGTTATTCCAAAACAGCTGATGAATAAAGTTTGCGATTCTTAAAGATTTAAAGCCAGTCATAGGCACCTTTTTACCTAATTAGACAAGCAAATGTTTTAAAAAATTGTGTTTCAGACTTAAATGTACAACGTCTACTTTAGGACCAACAACAAGCGTCGCATTTTCGCGGTTCGCGTCGTCTCGTGCACGCATGCCACCATTTCGGCACTCGGATGTATTTGCAGGTGAAAGATTTGTGCTCAAAAGCTTAAAGGATTGCAAAATGGTCTTGAAGACGGTATTTGATTGTAAACTTGACGCTTATTAATGATTTTAGCCTTCATAGGATTTTAAAAATGAACTTCAAGATAGTAACATCGGTAAACCTCACAACTTTTGATGTTTTTAGTTTGCTCTTCGATCTGAACCTTGTGAGGGAACCATATGAATACAGCAACAGCTCGGCAGCCTACATTTTTCTCTTCTCAATGGGTTTGTTTTTCAAAAAGGAGTCCGTTAAGCATGTGATTTAACCTTAAAAAATACACTTACGTACTGAAATTTCAAGAAAATTTAGCTTTTGTCAAGCAGAATATGTTAAAATGGGCTTTTAGCTAACTGAAACTCTAAATTAAGTTAAATGGAGCTTTTTAAAGGTGTAATTCACAAATATTATGCTTTTTAATGATCTATGAATACAAAAGTTTAGGTTATTTCCTGTACGATTTGATGGACATGTACATTCACGGAGAGTTGCCCAACTCAAAGGAGTATTTTGTGCATCATTCATTGGTTGGTTTTGAGGAAAGTATCGTTTTTATTACAATTTTTAGGTCCTCATCGCCTTTTCGATTATTTTATTATCCGGGCGCCTCTTCGGCTTCGCGATGATCGGTCTTTTGGTTGAGGTGAGTTTTGAATAAAGTGTCAGTATCAAAATGCCTGGTTGCAGAGATCAGCACTTTATCTAACACGAAGTTATAAAATGGTTAAATATTACTAAGCTAATAGTTTAATTTAAGAGTCTTAACTGTTAAAAATTTCTTTCAAATCGTCTTCTTCTAGGTGCAAACGATTTTCCTGCACGTGCGCACAATGGTTCGACTTCTCGGAGCGAGTCGAGAGCATAAAATGTACTCACATCTCATCAATCTCAACATGTGGTCAGTTTTTGAGCTTTGAAAAGATTCAGAGAAGTTGAAATCTTTTGGAACCAAGAAGCTTTTGCTTAAAAGGAAAACTTTTTGTTTACTTTTACTTTTACTTTAAAGAAAATAAAATGTTTGATGGTTGAATGATTATCTTCAAAATACCCAATTCTAGGTGTCTCTTCGTCTTCCGCCATTTGCCCATCACCTTTTTGTTGTACTTCTTGACGGTGAAGGATGATAAGGTAAATGTTTTTCATGTTTAAAAGTTTAACTGGGTATTTGTGCATCTTTGGCTCCAAATAGCCCCAAAATTGTTATTGTAGTACCATTTACGGTTAAAGATTCACAAGTACAAAGGTTAACATTAAAACGGGAATGATTTTTTTTTAGGTTCCAACGGTGCTTCGATTGTTCCTCGTCGGTGGGCTCACCTTCCTCGAATATCACAACACTCATCTCACGGTCGGTGTTTAGTGTTAATTTAAATGCCAGGCATAAATGGACTTAAAAATACAGTCCAGTGAAGCGTTCTGAAACTCTAAAAAGCGGTCACTATTGCGTAAAAGGTATTAGAAACAAGTCTAGATCTTTTCATAGGCAAAGATGTTAGTCTCAACTTTAACTAGACATTGCCAAATTTGAGTATTTGTAATCGTTACAGTCAATTTCAATGCTTAAGCCTTAAATTTGGCCTTTTTATATAAGATGTCATAGGCCTTTTTATCTTCTTTTTTCAGATCTCGATGGCCAAAACGGATGGTTTCTTTGGTTTTCCGGGTGTGGCCACATTGGATGAGGACAGCTGTGATCCGTTGGGAGCGGTGAATAGTGAAAAGGAGAAAGCAGCGAAACCGGTGAGTCTGGATTTGAAATTTGATCGAAGTTTTGAATTTTTGAGCTTTCCACATGTTTTTCAAGTTATACTTTTAGCTGAATATCTTAAAAAGGAATTAAATTTATAAAGAAAACTTCAGTGAAACTTGAAATTTTCCAATTTCCGCTTTTTAGGCAAACGGCCACTCGATCACCAATGGGAAAGCAAAGAGAATCGACTAATTTTGCGACGAAATTTCCTATTTTTTGTGTTTTCAACCTGTAGTTTTTCTAATCCTATCTCTATAGTCCACAATTTCTAACAAAAGAACTGGTAGCTCCGGGTGTATCAATTTTTTTTACTAATTCTAAACCTCCAGAAAAGAAATCTAATGCAATTAAAACCCTACAAAAATCCCAAAATCTTTACTTTTTTGGTCTGTGTGCTGTACATAAAGCGGTGCTTTTTTTCTCTGATTTTTCTCGAGCAATGAAGACATCGGATAATAAAAGTTTTTATCGAATTAAGAAACATATAAATCTGTACAAATATATTAATTGAGCGTTCGATGATCAAGTATTGGGCACAATTTCTGGAGTTGAGCGAGGTTTTTTGTTTTCGAAAGAAATCTGGCTTGTGAATGGATTGAAGAGAAGTGCATCTGTGGATTACAAGTGAAGGGTGGCCGGTGGAGGAGGCTGAAATTAAAGTTTTTGAAAAAGTTATCACCTATAAATATTTGCGGTTGGATAATGATCCGATATACTGTAGTGCGACAGTAAATTGGGAAAATGACAAGAGTTCTATTAAAAGGTAGATGATTTTAGACGAAGATAATCAGAATCAGGTTATAGACTCACTATTTTCATCAGAGCCGTCGATGTGTAGATGCTGCCGGAACGCGACGAGCACGGGACATCGCCGGAGACGAGGCCTGCAATTGAACAATTAATATTGAAAAGCCAGAGAAGAGCCAAGTTTTGGTCTGAGGGTAATGGCTTACTTTCCGCATTTTAGCAAACAGCCTTGTTTTCTAAAACGTAAATAATGAATTGCTCTTTAGAAAACGACAGCTGAAATGCTGAAATGCGGAAAGTAAACCATTACCCTCAGACCTAAACTTGACAAGTGAGCCATTACCCTTAGACAAGTGAGTTGTTGCTGAGCTTGGTAGCCCGGTGACTTAAATTTCAAAAAGTCACCTGGATTACGGTAACTCTTACTATTAGTCAGCTGGATTACGGTGACTCTTGGTCAGCTGGATTACTGTAGCTCTTACCTAGAGAGTTTTTTTTTCCTTTTCTATCGTAATACTGTGCTACGGTAGTTTTCCCGAGATTTAGCTCCGAAAAACCTCACTCATTCTCCTCTTCACGATCTCATTCGCTTCCTCGTACGTCGGCAGATCATCGCTATCCGTTTGTTTTGTCGAAACTTGTGAATCCCTTCTGATGCAATGCGAATAGGATGGCGGTGGGGCTTGCTTGATCGTCACAATCTCCATCGGTGAAGTGGAGTGATCACCTGGGGAGTTTGCGGGTAAATTCTCATTCTAGTACTTCGCCTCACCAACCAAAAGTTCCTATTTAGTTCCTTTATAGTTCCTTAATAGTTCCTTAATGGTTCCCTTATAGTTCCTTTATAGTTCCTTCATAGTTCGTTTATAGTTCCCATTTAGTTCCTTTATAGTTCCTTTATAGCTCCTTCATAGTTCCTTCATAGTTCCTTCATAGTTCCTTCATAGTTCCTTCATAGTTCCTTCATAGTTCCTCAAAAGGGTAAATGCTATGCTTCCCCGGTATGTCCTTAGTTTGGTAAAGATGAGGCGAGAAATAGTAAAAGTAAAGATAAATAGTAATAAATGGCTTTATTAGGTTTATCTTCATTAACTCTAGCTTCATTAACTTCATTAAATCAATTCAAAATCATCTCGAAACTAGGATATAATTCAATGGTAAAAAGCGATTTGCATATAAAGTTGCTGGTGCGGGCTAAAAAAGGCCGTACTCTAACTTTAAATATGTAAATTTCAAGAAGTAATATTTCTAGTCTTTATTATTTCAATTTTATTATTTTTTTTACTTCTTTAACCTTTAAAATTCTATAGATTTTGAACGTTTTGAACTTTGCGAAGTCGAAAATACCGTATTTCTTCGAATAGAAGAGTATCATCGCGTACTCCTGCGGGTAAAGAGTATGATCGCGTACCCCTGCGTAGCAGCCCTTTTTAAAATTTCTTTTCTGCATAAAAGCTTTCAATCAAGTGCTATAGAGCTGGAAAATGGCTCAAAAATCTGTTAGCTCATGCCGTATTTTTGAGCCATTTTCCAGCTCTATAGCACTTGATTGAAAGCTTTTATGCAGAAGAGAAATTTTAAACAGGGCTGCTACGCAGGAGTACGCGATCATACTCTTTACCCGGTCTTCTATTCGAACAAATACGGTAAGTTTTTTTTTCTATAAACTATCATTTCTTAAAGACTACTGTAATACCCTTTTGAGCTATTAACATATAGAAATAGTATCTAGACAATATAGAAATATTGTCTAACATATAGAAATATTGTCTAACATATAGAAATATTGTCTAACATATAGAAATAGTAACTCTCTTCACCTCCATTCCCCGCCCTCGGCCCGAGATTCTTGTAGGCGACGGCGAAACAGAGCCTAGAAATTTTTCCCTCATTTACTTTGTGCTCGGAGAAATGCACACACCGTCTAGCACACAAAATTCCCTTTCTTTTTTTTTCCTTTTTTTACCTAATTTCTGCACAAAGCAGAAGCACGAAACACATCAGCCAAACGACGAAGAATGGATCGGCTTGCGTGGTGATGAGTGAGCGCAGAAAGGGAGACTCGCTCACTGAAAATTTGATGGTCATTACAAGGTGATTAACACGATCAAGGTTATTAATTAACACGATCAAGGTTATCAAGGTTATTAACACGATCATCCACCGATCGGCCGTACGAATCACGATTACTTTTGGTGTCAACTCAAGTTTTTAACGATTTTTTTGTTATTTATTTCTCAGAACTTTGTACTAGTTTTAAAGAAGAGATTCGGGGCTATCGAATCAGCTATTATAGTTTAGGTTATCTTTGAATTTACACTAAATTAACAGTAAAACAGTTAACGACTACGCGACTGTACACCCACAATAGCGTCGTCGCGAATGTGTTAATGACAATTGGCAATTATCTTGAGGTTTCTCAAACTAGCATAAGAGTTGGCAGATTGGATTGGATTTGAATCTGGTCCCTGGTTTGAATTTAGCTCTGATTCTGGCCTGGCTCCTGGTTAACCTGTCCTAGTGTGAGTCTGTCTTGACCTGATCCTAGCCTAGCTTCTAGTCCGAATTTGGCTTGACTTTGGCCCGATTTATGCTGACCTGGCTTGGCTTGGCTCCTGGCTGAACATGATCTAACCTTAGCCTGACCCAGGTTTAGCGTCACGTCACACGTATAAAAACTGGCGTCCAGTTTTATCTGATCTTGCCTGGTCTAGCCTGATATTTCCCAGGATTTTGGATGTTCCAGAAACTTCCGGAAAGCCAGGATTCGGACGCCAAGTAACCCAGGTCAAAGCTTTTGGGTCAGGTTCAACTCAGCTCAGCAGTAAATCAAGATCTGGGTAATTTTTAAGCAAAACCAGATCACTCTTCTGAAATGATTCAATTGTTGAAGAGACTTTTTTTTTTCAAATTCAATTCTTGATTCAATTCAATTCTTCAATTCAATTCAATTCAATTCTTCAATTCAATTCAATTCTTCTAGCTCTAACATTGTGTAGATTGTGCATCAAATTTTCAGCTCACAAAACCGCAAAACGAACTCTTCTCATCGATCCAATTGTCGACGATTTGCTCCGTTTGATTCGCCTTCGATTTTCTCATTTCATTGCGAACTTTCATGTGAATCGCGTCAAGGGAAATGCAAGCGATGAATAGAAGAACCATCACCATTAGAGACTGAAAAGTTATTTCATTGTGGGAGGAATGGTGGGGGGAGTTGTGGGGGAAATTGTGGGCGGAAATTGATTTGTGTTCGTGTATTAGTGGATTTCTCTTTACAAATACGGATTACGGTGACTTTTTTCAGGATTTAGACTCACCTTGAAAATGATGTTGGGGAAAATGAAAAGCGAGATTTGCGCTCGAATGCCGACACACGCGAAACAAACGATGAACGCGTTGATCAAGCAGAAAGCTGGAAAGGAGAAGGGTTCAATTTGATGTGTTTGCTTGCTACAAATTCTACGATCAATTTTCTGTTACTCACCGATCGAAACGGATAACGACGGCACACACAAATAGACGTAAAGTGAGAAAAGCAAGCTACACCAGACGATGAAAACGATACGAAGACGGGTGATCTAAAGGAATGATGAATAGATTTGACATGGCATTTATGACTGGCTTTAAAATGTCTGACTTTAGAACGTACACTTTCGCTGGTCATTTCTTCTTTATTCTTCTTTGTTCGTTTCAATCAGAAGACGCTCAAGTGTTCAGAGGTTTCTCTGAAATTTCACCGAAATTCATCTCAATGAAGAAGAAAAAATATGAGAATATTATTAGATAATCGATAAATAAAAACCAAGATACGTGTAGTGTACGATCTTTAGAATTTAAGTGTACGATCTTTAGAACTTCTTTAGCGTACGATCTTTAGAACTTTAGTGTACAATCTTTAGAACTTTAGTGTACAATCTTTAGAACTTTAGCGTACGATCTTTAGAATTTAAGTGTACGATCTTTAGAACTTCTTTAGCGTACGATCTTTAGAACTTTAGTGTACAATCTTTAGAACTTTAGTGTACGATCTTTAGAACTTCTTTAGCGTACAATCTTTAGAATTTAAGTGTACGATCTTTAGATTCATCTCAATGAAGAAGAAAAAATATGAGAATATTATTAGGTAATCGATAAATAAAAACTCTTTTAGATAAAAAAAGTCTCTGTTAGAGAATAGCTTTAGAATCTATAGGAAAAACATAGAAAAACGTGTCATTTGATAGTTTGCCTATAGTTTTTCCCAAGAGTCACTGTTTTTGAACGTTTCGACCAATCCCCAGACAACAATGAGATTTGCATATGAAAAAAGAATATAAAAGAGTTGAAAAAAAAAGTGGCCAAAAAAAAATTCATTTCCTGTTTTGATTGGTGAAAGAATTTGAAGAAAACGATTTGAATTTGAAAAAAAAATTGAATTTCGGAATTGAAAGGGAACGATGAAACATTTGCGTGGAGTAACGGATTGGATTTTGGACTTCAATTTCTAAACATATCATATCTGGTGCACTGCATTCTTCACCCAGTGCGCCAGAAAGACTGCGTTGACGAAATTTGAGGAAAAAGCACACCACAAAGGGGTTAACTCCCTCTGGAGTGGGAGGAGGTCGGGTGCGTTGTGGTGTAATGGTTAGCACAGTTGCCTGGTAAGCGGAAGGTCGCGGGTTCGAGTCCCGGCGGCACACCAGTTTTTGATTTGCCTTGGTTCCAACTGGCGACCACAGATGTTTGGATTTTTAGAGCATAAAGATAAACTACCTTTGGAGTAGGGCAGATCTAGTGGCTCTTGGTGTAATGGTTAGCACAGTTGCCTGGTAAGCGGGAAGGTCGCGGGTTCGAGTCCCGGGGGCGCGCGATTCACCGAAGATTGCAAATCAAAATGATTTGAGAAAGAAATTGTCAAAAGAAGTAAAAATGAGCAATTCGTTGAGCTGTGGTGTTATGTGTGATGGTGTTGTTATTGTAGAAAATTTCTTTTCACATTTCAAAAAGCGGTGAGTTTTTCGTTGAAAACAAGGGTACAGAGATTTGAGGTCGATAAGGAGAAAGCGAGAAAAATATATGAGAAGGCTTTGGCTTTGAGGCTTTGATCTTTGGAAAGTGAATTTTCGGAAGTGAAGGTTTCGCTCTCGATTCTCTAACAAAGAATTCATGCACATTTTTCATTTACTCATTCTCCTAGTCTAAACAATTATTTGTATTTGCCATTTTTGAGAATCATTCGCTTCTCTCAATGCTTAGAAAAAAAAAATGAGAGAAAACAATGTAGTTGAAATCAAGATAGATTAAAATTCCGTGCGACGCCGGGACTCGAACCCTCGACCTTTCGCTTCCCCGGCGAATCTGCTGACCATTACACCATGACGCTCTTAAACTCACTGACTTTAGAGGGGGCTAAGTATTTATTGTTCTTTTTTATTAAACGAGAACTTTTAAAGCTTAAAACTTTGACTAAATTTTAACTAAGATTTCGAATTTCTAGCAAAGAAACAGCTGAATTTAAAGAAAAAAATGTCTCTCAAAGTTTTGTGGCAAAAGATGACTCCTTTCCCCTAAAGATATTGAGCTGTGAGTTTGCATTCGATGCTTCGATGTTATTCTTTTTTTTTAAATCTCTCTTTCTACCGTCATCTTGTCTCTATTTCTTAACAAATCTATGAAAGCGATCAAAACAAATTTTGCAACATTAAAAAATAAAGGTATTAGCCAATTCTTAAAGTTGTCAAGTTCAGTTGTCCGATGGAAAAAATGGAAAAATAGAAAAATGGAAATGATTTGCGGAAATAGTTGAAAGTTGTACGATGAGAAGAAAAGAAAACTAGCAAAAATCATGTTTTTTGTTTCCAAAAATCTTTTCCCAAAAAAACCAAAGCCCAATCCACCAAATGACGTTTGTTAAAAGAGAAAAAGTTAGCTGAAAAATCGTTTCATTTGAAACTTTTCCCAATAATAACCCAAAAATACATTTGAAATCCCTTTGTTTTTAGGAAAATTTTCGCAGAAAAAGATCAGAAGAGAACAGGTATCATTTAGAGGAAATCACAAACAGAGAGAGAGAGAGAGAAAGAAATTCCCATTTTTAGATCGAAAAACTCCGAAAAAAACATCGAGAAATGAATGTTTTTCAAAGATGAATGACGAAATTTTCTCAATTTCTCACTTTTTATCGAAGAAATCGTCGAAGAGAGATTTCAGTGATTGAACAATTTTTATACTTTGCACTCTAAAACAAAACCAGCCGAGACACTTAAAAGTTGAAACCTTCTAAAGCCAATGGTTGAAATCTCACAAAGCCAATGGTTGAAACCTCACAAAGCCAATGGTTGAAATCTCACAAAGCCAATGGTTGAAATCTCAAAAAGCCAATGGTTGAAATCTCACAAAGCCAATGGTTGAAACCTTATAAAGCCAATGGTTGAAACTTTATCCAATCCATACGTATCGGCCGTTACGCACAGTAAAGCTCAGTGGGTACTTGTCGGTTAGACATCCACAGAGACTCAACTCTCGGTTAAGCAAGAAGACAACAGAAGACTGACAACTTTTGAGTGGTGATTATGCTCAGTGAAGTAGAGTGAGAGTAGAGTGATCAGTCGATCAGTCGAACGGAAAATCGATAACCGAGAAGACTCGGATGGGGATGCTTCACTGAGATGAGTCTTTATGGATGCTAAAATCGACAAGTACCCGCTCAGTGTTATATAATTTTAAACAAATCTACAGTACCCCAAATATCCATGAATTCTCGATAGTATTTTAGATCGAGGTGATCAGTCGATCAACTCAAAATTCAAATCAAAAATCGATAACTGAGAAGACTGGGGATACTTTAGATGAGTCTTTGTGAATGCTAAAATCGACAAGTACCGTAAATAGTTTTTTTTTTCGACTGATCACTTCAGACGAGCATTCTACTTCACTGAACATTCACTGAACATTCACTGAACATTCATTGAGCTTGACTGAACCCCCACAAGTTGTCAGCTTCTTGCTTCACCGAGATGAGTCTTTGTGAATGGTAAAACCGACCAGTACCGAACAATTTCTATACTTTGAGCTCTTTATGAGCTCTTTATAATCCCTTACTGATGAATTAAATTCTTCATTTTTTTTTTAGGTGAAAATAGATTGTTTTTGAGAGAAAGATGAAGAATTTAGTGCACTAGAAATGATGCGTTTACAGGTAAGCAAAAAAGCTCAAATAGAATCATTGCTTTATGTTCGTAAAAGTAGCCTATCTGATGTAGTCGATTCTCTATTATTTCTCTATTATTCTCTATTATCGATTCTCTATTATTCTCTATTATCGATTCTCTATTATTTTCAGAGCATAAAGTACACCAATTGGGTTTATTGAATTCTCATTAAAAATTCGTAAAAACTGCAAAACGAAAACAGGGGAAATTTTTTTTTGGAAAAGAAAATCGATCGAGAAAGAAAGAGGATGGGATTTTATCGAAATATTTGACAAAACAAGTGAATAATGGGGGGGAGAAAAGAGAAATAAATAATTGTAAACGATAGGAGATCGAACTAGTTTTTGCAAATCGAATAGAAAATGATGGTGAACTTTGAGCACAATGAACTTGTTTCCCAAAAAAAAAGAGAAATGCTACCATTCCTAGAAATCCAACACTTTAACGCCTACTTGTTAGCTACCGACTATCACTTACAATAACCCTTTCTAAGAGTACTTTATGCAAGACTAGGCGACGATTTTGTGAGTATTTCCGTTTCCTAAGACGTGTCCCCATTTCCCTCCTTCTGCCGTAATCTAGAGTGTGTTCTTCGCGAGTAAGTAATTACTCGAGTAAATTTGCATGAGTAATTTCCGAGTAATGCGTTTTCTAAAAAGTGCGTCTGCGCGAAAAAAATATAAAAGCGATTTTTTGCGCAGGTTTTTTCAAAAAAAATCATTTTTGACATTGGAAGGGAATTTCCGACCAAATCAGCTAAACGGCTGAGTACCTTTTAAAAGTGTCGTATATAATGCGCAGCTCGTCATTTTTCGTCATTTTTGCAATAATTTTTACTAAAAGTACGGTAATCTTTTCCCAAGTGTGCGTTTTAAAAAGCGCATTACTCGCGAGAAACACACTCTACCGTAATCTATTCAGCTTTCGCTTTCGATATATGCAGATATATGCAGCTTTCGATATCGTTTGTAAAGTCAGAAAATAAAATCAAAATGAAAAAGTGAATTGATTGAATAAAAATAGAGACAGACAGACAGACAGACAGACAGACAGACAGACAGACAGACAGACAGGCAGGCAGGCAGGCAGGCAGGCAGGCAGGCAGACAGACAGACAGACAGACAGACAGACAGACAGACAGACAGGCAGGCAGGCAGGCAGGCAGGCAGACAGACAGACAGACAGACAGACAGACAGACAGACAGACAGACAAGGAAAAGATCAAAAAGTAAACCAAGAAGATAAATCTACAGCTTGAGAGAAAAAAAACGCTTGTGTTGATTGAACTGGACAGATTCGGTAATAAAATCTCATTTTATAACCTTCTTTAAACACCAAAAACAACTCGATTTCCTAGCATCAATGATCAATTTTTCCTTTTTTTTCTCTTTGCGAGAGAATAGCGAAAATCTAGCGAAAAGAAATGTGAAAAGTGACAAAAATGGCAAAAATGGCTGTATTTTAATGATGTTCTAGATTTTTTTTTGTAAACAAATGTGTCTGGGTGAACGTGTGGAAAACAAAAATTTGAAATGATCACTGAAATTGTGTACGGTGGGGTAGGATTAAACATGCACATGGAAAATACCATTTCAATAGGGAAAGTCCTTGCATAATCTCCATACCTACGTAATGAAGTCTTAGAAATAAAGAAATAAAAACACATTGTTGATTATCGAAATGAATATAATCTAATTGATAAAAATTGCAAATTCGCCTTTCTTAAAAGCCGCTGATCAGCTGATCAGCTTCTAGCTAAAGCCTAAAGCTGTGTCGACGCTCCGGCCTTCGCTCCGGCCTTATGTCAACGGTTTTGTATCCCTTGCACGAACTGATCATCGTTGTACCGGCTTCAATCGAAATTCGAATATCCAGCAATGTGTCGGCGCTTCGATCTTGCTATCTTCTATCAAAAAGCATTCCGTCTATCGACAAGTTCCTCCAAAAATCCTGTGACCATACTTGTGGGAAAACTCGACCACAATTCACTTTCCATTTTACTGAAAAGGCTTTCGCCAATTTCTACAAACTTGCCCATTCCGCCAATATGTTTCCGACAATAGGCAGGCTTCTAGCTAAAGCCAAAAACGATCAAACGAATTGCGTTTTCATTGATCTTTCCAAACCATTCATTTCTGTTAATCATAGATCTTTAATCGCCAAACTAAATTCACTAGATCTCCCCATATCCATCACTAATTGGATTGCAAATTGGCTTACCGAAAGAACTTAGGCCACATTAGTAGTGGAGTGCTCCAAGGGAGCGTTCTTGGTTCTCTTCTTTTCCTTATTTATATTAATGACATTAACAGCTCGATCTCTCTAGACACAAAAGTCTCTGAGCTCTGAGCTAGACTCGATCTCTCTAGACTCTGAGCTCGGAAACATATTGGCGGAATGGGCAAGTTTGTAGAAATTGGCGAAAGCCTTTTCAGCAAAAGGCAAGTGAATTGTGGTCGAGTTTTCCCACAAGTATGGTCATAGGGTTTTTGGAGGAACTTGTCGATAGACGGAATGCTTTTTGATAGAAGTGCAAGATCGAAGCGTCGACACATTGCTGGATATTCGAATTTCGATTGAAGCCGGTACAACGATGATCAGTTCGTGCAAGGGATACGAAACCGTTGACATTGAGAAGGCCGGCTACTCGCATCAAAAGGTGAACATGATTTTGTTTCTCTCGATAACCCATCATCAACAACTTTGGGGATCGTCTAAATGGCAAAACAAGAAGCACAGATAGACGACCCGGCATCATCTGTCCAGCTATCTTGCTGGAATGCTTCGAGTTGAAATGAAAGACTAAAAAAATCGATGAGTGGATCTTCGATTTCCATTTCGATGAGCCCTGGGAGGTGGCGGGGGTTTTCTGGGATTGCATAGATTTATAAGATACAAATCTTTTCTAGGATGCTAACGTACCGGTTTTTCCGAAAACTGGAATTTCGGTGAATTCCTCGATTTCGTCGATATTTGACTCGACTTGAACCGCCGGGGCTGCGGTAATTCGATCATCTAAATGGTTTTTAGGATACAATAAGCGTTATTGGGTGTGTTTGACTCAAATTAGCCTCGGGTTTTAAGCCTTTGATTCGGTTAGAACTAGAGAAGCTGCAATAAGCTCCGCTCCCTCTAACCCTGGGAAAACTACCATAATACAGGGTTACAATAGCCCGAATAACGAATCGTTTTCCAAATTTTAGCAAACGATAGTTTGCTTTTGGATCTACGCTTTAGAAAACAAGCTTTTTGCTAAAGTGCGGCAAATTGACAACAGTTGAATTGGTGCCTTTTAGAAAAAGCTACAGTAACCCGTTTCCTGGGAAAACTACCTCTAAGCACAGATGGACGACCCGGCATCATCTGTCCAGTTATCTTGCTTCATGCTTCGAGTTGAAATGAAAGGCTAAAAAAATCGATGAGTGGATCTTCGATAGAATTGTTTCAACGTGCTTCAACGTATTGTGTATACTTTCTGCTCAAATCTGTAAACAGACGCCCTCTGGTGCACTCTGGTCTTGTTTCTTGTATGCCAGAAAGGGTTCGTTTACAAGATTTGAGCACAAAGTAGACAACAGATAGTTGTTAATGTATTCTTTTTGCCTCTGAAAGGATCTCAACTTTCTCCTTGTTCAATTCTGAATGTCCTTGTTCAAGAAGGGTTCTTGGATGGTGAAGAGGGTTGAGAAAAGTGAAAGGAAAAGAGTGACAAGTGCTTTCTTTTTTCATTCAAAACGAAAAGAACAACTACATAAGTCTACATAAGTCATAAGATCAAAGTCTATTTTTTTAGAAAATTTCTCAGCTTAACTTGTTGACGATTAATGCTTTTTCTAAAAGGTATCTATTTCTAGACAAACTACCGTAATCCACTTGTCAGTTTTCATTCGATTAACCCAATTTTTATCAATTTCCATCAATTTCCATCAATTTTCATCAATTTTCATTAATTTTCATTAATTTTCATTAATTTTCATCAATTTTTATCAATTTTTATCAATTTTCATTAATTTTCATCAATTTTTATCCATTTCTATCAATTTTCATCAGTTTCTATAAGAGAATCACAATACTCAGTCAAATGTGACCAAATTTAAGCTGATCAAATGAAAATTGACAAGTAGCTTACGGTAGTTTGGCTAGAATGGGTGCCTCTTACTACTATCTACTCCAATTTTACGATAAACTTGTTCTGGGTGAATCCCGTAACCTAATAAATTGAATAAGTTTCACTTCAATTTTCAATTTCACTTCGAAATTTCTTTTCTCTTCTATTCCTTTTTTTTTCTAAAACTTGTTGGGACAATTCTATCGTAATTTTGTGTATTTTTTAATCTAATCGAATCATTTGACGATCATTTTTAATCCAATCGAATCATCATTTAATCATTTGACGATTTTCAACTCAAAAAAACTATAGACAACATTACTTTGACAAAGAAAAAAAAGAAAAAAAAGAAAAACAGAAAAACAGAAAAAAAAAGAAGCGATTGTCTCTTTCAAACAAGCGATTGTTAACTTGTCTTTCTCTCTTTTTTCTCTTTCATTCAGTAAAAGGGAAAAGATGGATTGTGAGCCTGTATTTCCCTCAAAAAGAAAGCAAAAAAAAGCATGACTCATTCATTCTATAGAAATTTTGTCTTTGGCTCTTTTTTGCGCGGTGAAAAGTTTCCTTTTCTTGGCTTTATCAATGTCCAGGTAGTTGTAAATGTAAAAATACTTTTAGTTGTAAATGTACAACTACAAGAATTCTCTACAATTCACACTCTTCATCGCCATTTTGATCAATAAACGTGAGTTACGAGAGTGTACTTTGGACTCAATTTTTCTCAAACAAAAATGCCATCTGGCGCACCGAATCGCTCATTTTCAACTGAATACTGAAAATATGAGCAATGTGCTAGATGGGATGCGTTTGTGGGAGAGCACAAAGTATGGTACTGGTTTTGCTCAACCTGTGCAAATGCATACTTCATGGCGCACACAACTCTTCACTTTTCTTGCTGTACCATACCGTTTCCGCAAGGAAATCAAGAATCGAGTGCACCAGAAGGAGTGTTTTTACAAAAGGAGTTTATTTGTTGAGCATAAAGTTCAAAAGAACAAGTTGCTGAAGCAAATACGAAATTTATTTTAAGATCTACTAAACGCACTCGCAAATCCAATTTTAAATCCAATTTCAAATCGAAATTTCAGTGGATTCCCAAATCAATCTCGGTACTTTCAATCTCGGTCGTGACCCATTCGGTCAATGGAATCTTGGCTTTAATCAAGGCGCAAATTTGTTCGGTTTCGGCGGTGATCGCGGATTTTCACTGAGTGGAGGAGATCGGGGACTCGGATTGCAAAGTGGATTTTGAAAAGCTATAAAGCACAAACACAGCGAGAAACTTTAGATCTTTAATCTAATCTAAATCTAAATACTTATTTCCAGCGAACGGTGGCGCACTTGTTGGCGGTGAACGAGTGGGCGTCGACTCGGGGCTGGGTTTGGATAAACAAAACGGGTTGGGATTGGGCAGTTTGCTGTCGGTGAGTGTAAACTACGGTAGTCAAGGAAAAGTCTAAAACGTGTCCGTCCTTTGGCCACCGTAATTTCGTCTCTGTTTTCAGTTCGGGAACACCCCAGCGAATCGCCCGGGCGGTCAATTGCAGCAATTTTTGGAGAACATCGGTCGCTTCTTCACAGCCGGAGCTGGTAAGCAAGGGTAAAATAAGGAAGGGCAATAAAGCAAAAGTGTTGTATTATTCGTGTTAAAGTCTCATTTTTGAGTTTTGTATCCTTTCATTGGAAGCTATTCAGTTATCGGAAGGATTCTTAGAAATCAATTTGCAGCTCCACCCCCAACAGCCGGAATCTCTTCATCGGGTGGCCCGCTTGGTTCGATTGGGGTAATCGGGAATCGCCACGCGCCCGAGATCCCAGAACAAAGGGAAATTGATGGAACTGGGAAAGGAAGTGGGAAAAATGGCGAAGGAATTGAAGTAGAAGATCGAGTCGATGATGGAGAAGTGAAGAAAGGAGAAAATGGAAGATTCCCTACGTTGGAACCAGGTTAGAATGGGATTGATGTTGATGGGACAGTTCGGCATTTCCTTGAGCAGATTGACAACTAAGCAACTTTTTCAAAACAAAAAGCATAGTCCAGATTCATGCTGGTATTACGGTAGCTTTCGGGGATTATTGTAGCTTTTTACTATTTCCCGGATTACTGTGGGAACTCGGTTACTGTAGCTTTCCCTAAAGCGCACTAACTCAAATGTGCCCTAAACTGGCGTCCAGTGTCAGTATTACGGTAGTTTTTTCAAATGTTACCACCTAACCTTTTTGGTTTTGTGCCAGGCTTACGGTAGTTTTCCCAGGAAACGGGTTACTGTAGCTTTTTCTAAAAGGCACCAATTCAACTGTTGTCAATTTGCCGCACTTTAGCAAAAAGCTTGTTTTCTAAAGCGTAGATCCAAAAGCAAACTATCGTTTGCTAAAATTTGAAAAACGATTCGTTATTCGGGCTATTGTAACCCTGTATTATGGTAGTTTTCCCAGGGTTAGAGGGAGCGGAGCTTATTGCAGCTTCTCTAGTTCTAACCGAATCAAAGGCTTAAAACCGGAGGCTAATTTGAGTCAAACACACCCAATAACGCTTATTGTATCCTAAAAACCATTTAGATGATCGAATTACCGCAACCCCGGCGGTTCAAGTCGAGTCAAATATCGACGAAATCGAGGAATTCACCGAAATTCCAGTTTTCGGAAAAACCGGTACGTTAGCATCCTAGAAAAGATTTATATCTTATAAATCTATGCAATCCCAGAAAACCCCCGCCACCTCCCAGGGCTCATCGAAATGGACCCACGCGGATCAGGGATAAAACCTGGATTCGAAAAATCTTCCAAAAACTAAATATTTTTTATAACTAGATAAATATTTATTAAAACAAAACTATCCATGAATTAGCACATTAAATCGAAAATACAATGTAATTTTAAGGTTTAGGTACACTTGCAAAGAATTCGTAGCTGAAAAACAACGCGATCACACACCGAAAATAGCCCGTAAAGTTGCGGAAAATCTTTAAAATCGACACCGACATGTTCTAAAGTTTTTTTAATATTTTTGCAAATTATTTTGTTTTCTTCGTCTCCGACTGATTTTCACCACCACAGCAAGCGGTCGAATTCTGGAAAAATGAGGGTAAATTGGTGAAAATCCATCAAATCACTAACAAATTCGATTTTTAGACTAAATCGTGATAAATTTTTAAAAAACATCAAATTTTTATCATTCTTTAAGGATTTCTATCAAAATTAGCTTGAGCCCGATAAATTTTTGATAAAAAAGTCTTGAGCTTGAGCAAGACTTGTCATATTACTGTAACAACTTCGATTTTTAAATTAATTTTTGATAAATTAAAAAAATACGTTTTGTTAAGAGTTTCTATCAAAATCGCTTTAATCCAACAATCTTTTTGACAACAAGTAGCTGTTTAAAGCTACAAGTTCTCTTTTCTAGAAATAATTTTTCATTATAAACTTTCAAAATCTGTTTTTTTAAAGCTTTCTAGCCTTTAACGGCTGACAAACAGTAATTTTATAAAATTTCTTCAAGTTTTCACCCTCAAATCCTCGTCTTCGGCTGGCGGAGCGCTTGGAGCTGTTGGTGGGGGGAACTGAAAGAAAAACGATAATTTTTCGCATAAAATAGAGTAGACTTTTAGAACTGCTCTTTGGCTTCAAGCTGAACCCAAATTTTATCAATTTTATACAATCTCGAGACAAGAAGTAGTTTAAAAGTGTCCGTACGCTTGGGTTAACAAGCTTTGTGTCAAAGGTAGACAATGACATGTCAATTTTCGCTTGAAATTGCATAAAAAATGAAAGATTCGAGTTCAAATTAAAGTCTAAAGCCTAAAATTGTACAATTTCTAGTTTAGAAAGCACTCCGAATGAGATTACCACGTGGAGATTTTACACAAACTTAGCTTAAGGCTAGAATTATTCTAAAGTAGAGAGCTATTATTTGATTTTAATTCCTATTTAACAAACTCTGTTCGTTAATTACTCGTTAAAAGGTTCCAATGCACTTCAGGGGTCAAAATTGCATTTAAATTAGCTCATTTTCTAATCTCTCTTTCTTTTCCATTCTTGTAACATTGTAAATATTATAATAAGCTTGTAACGTGTAAAAATTCTTGTAGCATTCTTACTGGTAGCTCAACCTTACGAGACAACATATGGGCGCGTATTGACCTTTTCTTAAATTAGAAATTTAACAAAGCTCTATGTCACTCAGCTTTGGTAAATTTCTAATTTAGGAAGAGATCAGTACGCATGCACAACGTGTGTTTAATTTAAGCACTTAAGCTATTTTCCACGGTTGAGAGAAGAAAATGGGCTAAACAGCAAAAAAAAATGCAAAAATTCGACCCCTAACTACAAGTGCATTAGCACCCGTTAAAAGCTCCACGCAAGTCTACAAATGATCGTGTTATCTAAAAACTGGCTATACAAGCTCTTAAACTTAAAAACGAGAGTCATAGTTATGATTTTAGCTTGTAACCAGATATAAATCAAAAAACGTGACACCAACCTTGTACGGGACATGTCGGGTAGAGAATCGGATCCAGAATATGCACGAATCTTTCTGGCAAAAAGCGCAAGATGAACGGTTGGATGAATTTGAGGTAAATGGCGAGGAGAATCGGCAGAAAGATGCACGGGACACAGACCATCGTTTGGATTGGAGGTCAAGAAGAGGTGGATGCCTGGAAAATGCAAAATATTATGCTGGAACCCAGATATATCAGATAAAAACAAAAGTTAAACAAAAAAGGGGTAGGCTAATTTCCACAATTTTTTTTGCGCAACAGGATCATTTGCGCAACAGGGTCATTTGCGCAACAGGGTCGTTTGCGCAACTCGTCATAACTTTCTTCTAAGTCGACCAAAATCATAAAGATTGGTCGACTTAGAAGAAAGTTATGACGAGTTGCGCAAACGACCCTGTTGCACAAATGACCCTGTTGCGCAATTGACCCTGTTGCGCAAGCAAAATTGTGGAAATTAGCCTACTCCGCAAAGAACTATCAAAATCTTAAAAACGTGCACTCTTTTAAAATCTTTTTAATCCCCAAAACGCAGTAAGTTGTGAAATTGTGAAAATTTTGGAAAATTCTTGTTTTACTTTGTGTACGGTAATTTGGGCAACTTTTAGCAAACTTGATTGATTGATTCAATTCATGAATTAAGTTACGGTACGGTAGTTTGAAGCACTTTTTAGAGTAAACTAAATCAATAAATTGCTTTAAAAACGGTTCTGGACTACAGTAATTTGTTTACTTTGTAGGAAAATTGATTCAAAACAAAACAAAAGAAAACCACGACGAATCAAAACCATCAAAAACACTTCTAGGGTACGGCAAGCTTGTGCAACTTTTAATAAAATTTACCTATTGATCTGAATTTTCAAGTGCTCGAGGATTACGATAATTTGAGCGATTTATAGCCTAGCTCTACCTGTAGTTGAGCCGAAATTGCAACTATTTCTACAGTATTTTCCCTAAAATCTTTTTTTTTGTCGAAAAATCCCTCTCCCATCTCGAATTGCTTAAAAATAGGCCACAAATTGGTCAATTTCCCGTCGACAGAAGGGAAAGTTGGAGTTGAAGTGAAAAAAAAAAGTGTATCGATTAGATTTTGGCTCTGAAAACGAAGAGAAAACGTCACAGGAAGGGCTCCGGGAAAATTAGCGAAAAAACTCGGCGGTAATAGGCACCTTCTTGAGGGAAAAGGGTTCAGTTTTTGACTGTAAATTTGTTGGCCAGCAAGATTTTTTTCAGTTATCATACAATGCTTAGGCTTATTAGGCTTAGGCTTGGGCTTAGGCTTAGGCTTAGGCTTGGGCTTAGGCTTGGGCTTAGGCTTGGGCTTAGGCTTAGGTTTTAGGCTTAGGCTTGGGCTTGGGCTTAGTGCGTAGGCTAGCGGCTAGCGCCTAGCACTAAGTCTATTTGGGTTTGGGCTTAGGCTTAGCCCAAAAGCTATTGTAATCTAAGTGACAGTAGCTTTTTGGATCCGAATTAATTGTAAGAACGTCGGTAAAGATTGGGTGACGATCATCAACTACTTTTTGATTTTCATCCAAAAGCAGTCACGAAAAATGGATACTTGCTGCTTATTCAAAGCTTCAAACACACCCATTTTCTGACCTTTCTGACACATAAGGAGAATACCTTGAGCCTTTGCAAATCCTGTCAAAAACCTCGAAGACTAACTCCAAGAATCTCTTCCAAAGAGATTCCAAACTCTACACATGACAATGCCGGTCATCATTACTTCAACTTTGCCAGTTCTCCAAAACATGAGCTTCATTTATTACCAACCTTGCCTAAGTATAGCTTCACCAGCTTACCATGAGCAATCACACCTAAAAACCTCTGCTCTTCGTGACTCAATCTAAGCCAAAATCCAAGCCGATAGCTATAACAAATACAGCTGTCAGATGCCATCTCATCATCTCAGCTCAGTTCACTGCCAAAAATCCCAGATCTCCACCAAGAATCTCTCTAGAAAAGAAAAAGCATGACTCAGTCCGATTTCTGTGTTCAACTCCTTTTCCATTCTCTGTCCAGGGGTGGGGGACCACTTCCGGGCGTTTCCCCTTATTCTTTAACCAGGGTCCACTGTGGGCACCTGAGGCACCCAGCAACAATGAGAAAGGAAAAAGGAAAGAAAAAGGAAAGGGAAAATCGCCCCAAACAGCAGCAAATTCTTGCTTTCTTCTCCTTTTTTTTGGTGAAAAATGGGTGGATCGAAAATCTCTTCGATGCAAACAAAATTGCGGGGGTGCGGCCGGGAAAAATGGGGATTAGACTGGCCATTCATTTAAAAAGATCAATTTGACCATGTAAACAATGAGATTCGAATAACTGCTTTTGATTTTTCTCATTTCGAATTTGGTTTTTGAGTTGAATAGTTGAGTTTTGCGTTGGCAAAAACGCTAAATTTCAGGCTTGGCTTGGCTTGGTCAGCCTTCGCTTTTTGCTTTTTGCTTTTTGCTAACCCTGATTAGATTCTTAAGAAGCTTGAAGCTTTTTCGAAGAGTTTTTAGACATATCTCAAGTATTTTGGCTAAACGACTAACTGAGTCTTATCTGATCTAATAGATTTCGGTCGCGATTCTTGTCACTTTGCATTATGTAAAACGAATTGTGACTTTTTCGATAGGTTCATCCAATGAAACCCCGGTCATTTCCCATTCACTACAATCCTCACAAACACGGGAGATCAATAGTCTTCAGCGCTAACTTTCAGAAAAAAAAACACGAGGAAAGGAGGCCATATTAGAAATTCAAGAGGGGAAAAAGGGAAAAGAAAAAGAAAAACGAGTCGAAAAAAGGTTTCAGATGGGTGAATTCTTAGAAATAAGTCCCGCCTCGTTTTCTCTTTTCAATTTTTGTCTGATCTGAATCAAAAAGAGATATGTTTCGCAAGCTGTAATCTTCCGATTGTTTACTGAGAATTGGGGATTATTTTTGTTATTTTTGAAATCTTGAATGATTTTTTTTGGTCAATATGAATTAGTCAATATTTAGTTCTTGATTCTTCGAAATGAGATAAATTTCATTTTTCTTGTAACTTGTAAGGAGTCTTTTGAATGAGTAGTCAACGTTTAAAGGTTCATAACTTTATTTAGTGGTAATATTATTCATAACTTTTTATATTGTTTTAAAGAGGAAACGTGAGACACGAGAATGATATAAAAGATCGAGTTTACTCGAATCATTTGATTCCATGAAAACAAGAGACAAGCAGCCGATCTTTTTTTTTGATCAATTTGGCTTTGTTTTTCACAAGACTAAATAGTCCAATTAAACACTATTTGGTCTCATTCTCAAGTCTGACGTTTCCTCTTTAAAACAATATAAAAAGTTAAGAATAATATTATCTCTAAAAAAAAGTTATGAACCTTTAAACCTTGACTACTCATTAAAAAACAGCCTTTAATTTATAAAAGTCTTAACTTTTGACTAAGTTTTCTTTGAATTTCTTTGAATTTTTAATCTAATTAGATTTTTAAATCAAACTAATCAAAGGATTTTCGTTTTTTTTTTGTTGAAAAATGGAATTAACTACCGCACTTCTAGATCTAGATAAATATTGCACTAAATATCTTTATTATATAAATAAATAGATATAAGATTCTCTTAGGCAGGCACAATATCGTAATGATTCCAATAAAAGTCCTATCCCGTCTATTTTTCAATCCAAAATTCTATTTCGTGCCCCAAATTGTCAAAAACTTAAAGATGGATGTTTATGAATTTTTTTTTCTTCTTTCAACGTAACTTTTTAGCTAGATCTAGCTATATTATTATATTTATAGCTATATTATTTAAAGCATATTATAGTTCTTAAAAAGTTCAAAAATTTAAATTTTGTTGATCCAAATCAAAAGTTAACAAAAAAAAATGGAAAAATTTTCTTTATAAGTTTAGGGTAAATGTAATGTAGAGTGTAAAAATTATTAAAATATTGATGTTTCCATTTATCCATTTATCGTTTAATTACTTAAATTTCATTTTCTAGAAATGACCGAACTCGACTCTAGCCTTGGACAATTGAATTGGCTATTGGCAAAAAATAATTCAACGGTAAAGTTGCAAAAAAAAAAAAAAAAAAAAGAATTTTACAACCATTTTACAATCAAAAATTCTAGACGGATGTCTCAAAACAAAAATTGAAAATCGAAAAGAACCCGGGACCTGACGATAAACCGAATTGCAGCTATTCACAGTTGATCAAAATGGCGATCATGGTTTGTTTACGAAAAATCATGGTGTACTTTGTGCTTAAAATTTGTAAACGCACACTTTCTGACGCCATGCAATCCATTTTTCACACGGTACCAAAGAAAAATGCTAAAAAACGAAGAATTTGCATCTGTCAGAAGGTGTGCGTTTAGCAGAGCACCTCGTAAAAACACGATACTTCTGGCACACCGATGAGAATCGGTAAGCTGGAATTAAAGAGCCAAAAGGATCAAGTTTTTACGAATTTTGCTAAAAATTCGATTCAAAGGCGGGTTTCATTCAGTTTTGATATAAACTCGATGTGCTCGAGGAAAGCGGAAATTTTTGAGCAGACAAGCAAAGCTATTAGACTTACACTATAGTCGAAAAAAGCTCTTCAATAGTAAATCATCTAGAGTAAATTTGGAAAAAAAAAACCAATCCTTCATCTGATTCAATCCAATCCTTTCCAGGACTCACCCGAGCAAAAGATCACCCTAAGCGGTATTTATCAATACATCGCGAATCGTTTCCCCTACTATCGCGAGAATAAGAATCCCTGTTGGAAGGTAAATGAACGAAAAACAAATAGAAAAACAAATTAAACAAGTAAACCAATTTCAGAACTCAGTCCGCCACAATTTGAGCTTAAACAAGCAATTCGTGAAAATCGACAGAACCGAACATGACACAGGGAAAGGATCGTACTGGACATTTGTCGAAGCAGAGGATACGAAAATTCGGGTAAGCTGAATGATTTGATTGAAAACTTTGATCTAACAAGTTATAGTTCAAAAACAGTGACGGACAATCGCCGAAGGTGAATCCGGCAGTGAAAAGGATGTTCATGGAAAGAGATGGGAGCAGGGATAGTCAGAATACTGAAGTACGGTGACCTACAGTAACCAGACACTTTCTGCATTTCAGCAAACAACTTTGGTTTCTAAAGGGTGAAATCCCTTTCAGAATCATGTTTTAGCAAATCAAAGCTGCTTGCTGAAGATTCCTAGACATTTGTTCCCCATTTTCATTGTTTTCTCAAAAGTGAACCCGGTGACAGTTGTCCAAGGTCCAAGGACAGTTTGTTTAACACACTGGGGACCGCGTGGGCCACTGGCCACAAGAAAACTCATCTAGAACCGTGTGAGCCACTGACTTTTTTCTCGGGAGTGGCTGAACCAAAAGTTCTAAAAATTTCTGAGGATATGCAACTTTTTTTTTCTACCAGAATCTAATTTTAGTTTTTCAAAATCCGACTCAAAGTTCTTTTTGAGCCTGCTTAAGTACTCAACTTTTTGACGGGCTCAGTGGCGGCCTAGGTGAGCTTAAACTTAAAAACTGGAGCCGGATTTGGATTTTTCATCCCAGAAAAGCCCCAGGGTACAAACTTTTTAAGTCACTAGTTTTATTGGCTGACTGAAAGTTGCCTAGCTACCAGAACCAAGAATTACTCTTTGTTAATTGTCATGTCATGCAACATGTCAATAATAGTTTAACAAAATTAAATCCTCCTTACTTAAGGAAGAGGACGTGCAATTCATCGGCGAACATCAACCAAACATCAATCCAGCCCCGACAACCTATTCCAATTTCTATCCACAACCGTACGAGTTCTCCCCGTATTTCCCCACGCAAAGTGTGCCCGAAGTGAGCGTGCAATCGAGCGATGCGATGATGGGTAAGTAAACCGAAAAGCTTAAAGCTTAAAGCTGAAAACTATTCAGTGGACGAAAGTGAAGACGATTTGAGCGGGTTAAATCTCTTCGAAACGCACGATTTGAGCGCTTCCTTTAAAGCTGTTTATGATCAGATTTTTCAAAATCGACGACCAAGCAATACAAGGGAAAAGGTGGGGTTAAAAAAATATAGAAAGGACTAAGGTTAAAGATACTGTAGAGTCAAATTTGTCTCTCTACAGTATCTCGGAATACAGTAGCCGTGGATGGCTGTATTTCTTTAAACTCGAGATACCTATTTATCTTGACGCCTGAATATTTTACTATACTGTAATGAGAACTGGTTATCGGAGCTCTACAGCCCTTTCTATACTTTGCCCAGAACCCAATTAGATGCATTTCCTGAGAACAAAGTAGTTGAACAATTGATGATTTCTAAATCTAATCTACAGCAGTGATATCTAGGAGGCACAAATCGATTGGCTTAAAATCTCGCTCGAGACCGTGGGAATGAACTATCGAGATGAGGAAGAGATGAGAAATATCGACACACGACGTTTCATTAGTGAGTGAAATGGGAAAAGAGAGGGCTGTCTACAGTATCCATTTCGTAAAGCAGCTAGTTACAGAACTATTTAGGTTTGGTCTCGAGCGGAATGCTTTCATCGGAAGAAGACGGACCCCAACAAACCTTTCATAGATCGAATTGTGAGTGAATGACTGGGATAAATTAAAGAGTTTCAAACTTGGCAAAAATGTATATGTTACGTTCGATTTGAAAGGTATTCTTAATCGGACATCTGATTAAGAATTTAATAAATCAATTGTGTAAAAATGTGAAATGCTCAATGCAAATCCGCTTGAATGTTAGTTTTGATAGTTAACGCAAAGAATAATTTAACCTAATTGCAAATTGATTTACGGAAAACCTCGACTTTCGCAGTCACAGGAGAGTGTAAAACGCGCAAACGCTGATATTGAGGTTTTTTTTACATTTTTGTTAACTGGTTGCAAGTTTTTACTGTTTTCTTAATTTTAAGATCAGGATATCTTTAGCACCTATCAAGGGGAAAACAACACTACGGCATGCGCCGTTCGCTTGCCGATCATTCAATATAACACCAATAAAGAAAACTCTAGTACATGCCTGAAAGAAAATTAAATTAACATTATTTCACATTTTTACACAATTGATTCGAGAAATTCCTAATCGAACGTCCGATTTGAGTAAATTGTTAGTCGGACGTAACATATACTAAAGTCAAAATGGCCCAACTTAACGCGAAAGGCACAAAAAACCTTTTAGGTCAAATAATCGGCGGGAAAGGCACAACGCTCGGTCAACTGAATAGTCATATCAACATGGTTGGTTACCAAAAATTTGAATACGAATTGAGAATTTGTAAAGTTTTATTTTCAGGACGACGAAATCGAGGACGATTTCGACTGGAACACCCTGATAAACTGATAACAAGAAAACGTTCAACAAAAGATAACAAGAGATAAAAATTCAACAAAGTGGCTAGATAACAAGCACTAAAAATTTTAAAAGGCATAAACTTAACAACTTTAGCATTCATCATCGATTTTCCTTTTCTTGGCCTTCTTTTTCTTTTTCTTTTCCTCGATTCGTTCGAAAACGACCACGAAGAAGCCGTTGGTGAAAGTGATCTGAAAGTGGGGATATTAAAATTTTACTAACAGCGGTTTTGCTACAGATAAAGTTTGATCAAAAGATATTTTAAAAACTATTTGCTATTGAGTTCATGATTTTACAGTGGATTTCAAGCTGTAATATCAAAGTTGTTCAAAATTGATCTAGAAATTAGCTAGAATCACCGGAATGGAGATAGTTTCTCATATACTTTTAAACTAAAAGTTTTACATCGCTAAAGTAATTTACTGAATTAGTATTTATACTTCAATCCTAATCAAGTAAAACATAAAACCTTTAAAACGCACCTTTGGATCCGCTCGGAGACAATGCTTCCCAAATTCGTAGCTTTCTTTTCCACGCAATGCCCACATCGGTAAGAGGTTCTCGGCTAAGCGCCAGTCTGTCGAGCACTAAATTGAGTTTTAATTAAAACACTTTACATTAAAATTCATTTAAAGAATCACCTCTTTGAGAACTTCTCGAACAACTTGTTCATTCTCTTCCTCATGAATTGAGCACGTCGAATAGGCGAGACGCTTCAGTGACGGCAATTTGAGCGCATGTTTCAGTAACATTGCCTAAATGGTGTTAAATTTAACAATACAAATGGATTAAGCATTTTATGCTAATTTTAATTAGATAAACCTGTAGATTGGCCAATTTCCCCAATCGATCCGCTTGTGCTGAACTTCCCGTCCATTCGTCCATTCTTTTCACCATACCCGATCCACTGCATGGTGGGTCGACAACGGCAAATTCTACCTAAAGCTTTAGAAAATTAGTTTAGGATCATTTTAGCTTACCGTTTTCCATCGCTCTTCACTTGGATCAATTCGAAGAAAATCTCCGCACTCAACACTCACAATATCCCCAGCACCCGATTGTTTCACGAGTCGTTTCATTGTGTTCGCTCGAGTCGGATCACGATCGAAGGCCCAGACACAACTGAAATGATAAAAAGGAATAAAGTTGTATAATTTACAAAGACTTAACAAGGAAAATTTATTGTTGAGAAACAATTTTGAATGTCATTGTTATACAGCATTCATTACTGACTGAAAATCTTAAATGATATAAGAAAAGGTTTAAAAGAATTTGTAAATCTCTTTACTATAAAAATTCAAAGCACAAAAGCTGCTCTATTATTTTAAAAGTCACAAGTATTTAAAACTCACCCCTCATTTCCAACATAAGCGGCCAAATGTGATGTTTTGTTGCCGGGAGCCGCACCTGAAATTTATCTGTTAGTAAAAAGTAAGGAATCAACAACTTAATGATTAATAACCCTAGCAAATGCCCAATAAATATCACTTAAAAACAATTATCACATGTGCAAGTCTCAAACATCTGAAACAGTCAAAAAAAAGCCTAAACCGCACAAGTGTCGACACAATGTGAACCGGATGGAGGAGAGATGAGAAAAGCCGGAAGACATGAGGCCTAAATGAAACTTTTCACCTTAAGCATAAATAAATTTTAACAAGTACTTCCAAAAGTTATCCTTTCATCAAATTATAAACCAACCTTGTCCTGAAAGATCAAATACCGTTGCTCAATCATCCAATAGGCGTGCAGATTGGCCGAGTTTGCGAAAATGAGCAATTCGGGGATGTGCGGGTCGAAGAGAACCTAAAAAGATAATTGTTGGTACCAATCAATATTTTACCTGGTCATCTCTCAATTGTGTTATTTGCTGTGAAAATGGTATCGTATCGGACCCGTCAATGATCTAAAGAAAATTATTGAAGAAATGATTACGAATAATCTTAAATATCGATTTACCTGCCATTTTTCTTCTCGTAACGTCTCGATCGCCTCATCTCTGGTCCATTTGAGGCCGTTGATGCGGGCGTACCGTGGGATTTCTATCTAGAAATAATAAATTTAAGTTTTTCAAGTGAAAGTCAAATAATAGCATTATTTTTGTTGGGTATGCATTTTTAAACGAGCGTTGATGTTACCTCTTTTTCCTTTTCTTCCTCGAATCCATTCCTCAATTGTTCCAAACCTCGGCCCTGTGCCGAAAGAGCCTTCTCCTAAAAGATAAACTAGTTATATTATTTTGAGATACTCAAAAAGCTTACCTGCTGTCGAATTTCCATATTTAACGAGTGAATAGGACGTTTTAGACGTTGAGTTGCCTAAAAAATATAAATTATATATTTTTACTTTGAAAATATACCTGATTAAGTCCATTGCCAATCAAAAACTCGTAGAGAAGCACATGGATTAACGGTAGGCTTCCCTCATAAGCCCGCTCGTCAAGCAAACGCGTACTCAAATTCTAAAATGCTTGAATAACGACACTTCGAATGAGCCTAAAAACGATATTTTAATATTTACCTACAGAATTCTCAAGTAATCCGTCGAATAGTTGCGCATATTTGACGGTTTCGCAAGACAGCCGGAGAAGTTTCTTCTTGTCCTGAAAGATCAAATTGTCACCGGATTGAAAAAGTCAACGAACAGTCCTGTCTTTAAAAGTTACAAGTAGCACTTTTTTTATTTTTTACTGCTAACCATACCAAAACAAAAGCCCACTTGAAATTGGTGTTCATAAACGGCTGATCGGAGACTTTTCTTCTTTGTTTTCACCCGTTCAACAACATCAGCCACGGCGAAGTAGAGCTCATCGAGCGGCATTCGCCCTAAATTTCATCAATTTAGATTTGAAACATGATGCGAAGTGCTGTAAAACATCAAAAATAGCAAAACTAACGTCTTCTTTAACTCTTAAAACTATTATTCTTGGATAAAAGTTGTAAAAGTTATAATAAATACTACCAAAACGCGAAGATTCTTAACCTTTCTTGTTCGCAAAACTCATTTAAACACCAAGAAATATTTTTGTAATCATTCAACACTTCTATCAGCTTCCAGGAAAGATTTCAACAATTTATTCAACAATTTTCATAATTTCTGTATTATGTTTTTCAAATCACAGCCTAACAAGGAACATACTTTGAAAATAGCAACAACGTACATACAATCACATAACAATCAAGGCTATAAATTGGTCTTTTTGATGAATTTCGCCTGGATCCAAATTCGGTGCATTTGAAGCTGAAAATAAGAACTATTTGCACATACTTAGGATAACAAGTTATTATGAAAAGTCTAACCGTACCTTTATTGCTCGATTCACAATCAAACGTCGATCATATGTGCACGCCTCGGGCTCCAATCCACAGTGCAGGAAATCGGTCTCCATTTCTTCTTTGGTCCTGGAAAAATGTAAAACTTAAAACAAAAATATAACTGTCTAAAATACTAAAAAATACTACAATAAACTTGAATTTTCTTTAAAAAAACTTAAAACAAACCTGTAGTAAACGAGTGTTCCATCACCTCGACAATAAAGATTTTCATCGATGAAGCGATTTCTCTTAAAGCGAAGCTGGCTGAGATCGAAACGACCGTAATCCTTCACGAGGATACATCCACCGGGTTTCAGCAAAGTTGAAAGGTTCTCGATAGCCTAGATGAAAAGATGAAGTTTTTTTTAAATTTAATGACATCTTAATCTAGTTTTCCATATATAATTGAAACTTTTTTGCAAGATGAACAAATACTCTTTTTCATCGAAGTGAAGAAAAAAAGGCCCCACTTGTCGATATTTTGTCGGTGGAATTGCGGAGAGCACAAAAATACACGTGATCACATCAATGGACCCCGGCTCTATGTCACTTGAATGCGGCTCGGTGATGTCCCAAACAAAGGCTTTTCCTCGAGACTCATCGTAATTTTCGTTACCCTAAAAGAAGATAGAGTGGACGCTTTTAAAATACTTACTTTAACAATGTCGATTGCTTTCGAAGAGTAGTCACACGAGTACAAATACATCTTCTTTTCAATGTCCCATTGCAGTAAAGGAAATGAGGTATTCCCGACACCACAGCCGACTTCGAGCACTCGTATGTGGGAATCCTAAAGTACCATAAATTTATTTGAATCACATTTTAGTTTAATTCTTATCTTTTAAATTACTTGCCGCTGGGTATTTCTCCATATCTAATTCGGGGAATTCTTTCAAGAGCCAATTCCTGTCCATGAAGAATTTGTTGGTATGTCGAGCGTAGAAATTGTTCCATTGACGAACGGGATTTGAGAGAAGATTCGAGACCGAATGAGACTAAAATAGAGAAATATTACTTTATTGCATATAATAGTTCTAAAAGAGCCAAATACCACACAGTAAATGCTAGTTATCCATCAAAACCCACCTCAACTGGATGTACTTTTTGTCCTTCAATCACTTCAATCGCATTCTTCTCCATTTCGTCATCCCATTCCGGATTGTCCCAAGCATTATGATCCCAAACTTTCTCTTTATCGGTTAAATATCTGAAAAAGAAAGAAATTAAACGATATGGTGTATATAAAAGTTAGATTTTGGGTGCACCTTGTTCCAAAGCCGGATGGACGAAGAGACGGCGTTTCACGCATAAGAGAAGTCTGTTCTGAAATCGAATCATTAAAATATTTGCTCTCGAAACAATAAACCATAACAATAAACCAAAAGAAAACAAGAAAAGTACTAAAAGTTCGATTTTGTAACAATTTTTTCAAAACTTTCCAGTTTGCATTCAACGTTTATTTACAACTTTTATGCATCTCAACAAGGAAAATGGATTAGAGATTGAAAAGCTCAACATAGCAAACTTTAAAATGAACCTAATTCAAAAAATACCCGAATGTAGAGATCATCAAATAAAAAGTGAACATTAGAGAATAAAATATGAAAAGAATTTGTACGATAAAGGTTTCCAAATCACGCGCGATCACGAGTTTCTTCTAAATCCATCGATTGCAAGTCGAGGTCCTTTAGCGTGTAGTCGGTTTCCTAAAGAACGGTATTTTAAAAAAATATTTCTAGAAAAAGTTTTAAACTAAAATCAGTCTAAAATGATATCAGTTCCTAAATATCATTTCTCAAGTCTACTACAATCTTATAGCCAGCTACAAATGAAGTACCTGAAAGAAATCGACGGGGATCGCTTGCATTTGCACCGAGGGAGCTCCTTTGACTTGCTTCAACGTCTCGCAAATGTCCTCTTGAATCGAGTTGAGATACTAAGTTCAAAATTTTACATTGCTACTTTTAGCACCAACCTCTCGCGTATTTGCATTCTCGTGCCTTGGTATCAGCTTCGGCCTCAGCGTGAACTCGGGCCCAAAGAAACGAAGATATTCTGAACCTCAATTTAAAAAATTAATTTGACACAAGTACCTGTATTTTCCGGGATGTCATCTTGTAGTCGCTCGCCAAGAAGAACGCCCGTCTCGTTCGCCCAGCACCTGGCCACATTTCGAAGGGTGTAGCCGCCACCACCTAAAAGTTGATAAAGTTTGAACACAAAAATTGCACAACTCTTGTAGGTATTAAAAGCTTAAAACTTACCAAGGACCATCATCGGCACACCGAATTTCTTCATGTAGGCGACACAGTCCGCATGGCCATCAAAACTAAAAAGGAAAGAGTTAATAAGTTGAATGCATGACATCTTAAGTACTAAACTATCACGGAAGTTGATTCTTGAAGATTTGATTTAAAAAGTTCTATCAATGCTTCCATTAACTGGCACCTTTTAGCTCTCAAGGATCTTAGAGAAAAGCAGGAGATTTTAAAAAGCTCCCAAAGTTTTACGGATTTCTCCGAATGCCGCTTCTTGAGGAGCTCATTTTACCTCAATATTCCGTAAAAACTGAAAACTTACGATAAGCTGAAGCATCCGAGTCGATCACCGCCTAAACTGTCGGCGCCGCATTGCAGGACAATGACCTCCGGATCGTAGTTAGCCATCACTTGATCCATCACCGACGTGAACAGCATCTTGTAGCCTGAAAATGAAAAAAATTACATCAAATGAAGGCTTAAAAAGGTTTGAAAGTAATAAAATCGCAAGAAAAACTCACTTAAATCATCGATTCCCTCGCGAAGTGGTACGTTGACGGAGAAATACCTGAAAAATTTCTTTTACTTCTTTTAATGTCACTAAAAGATATTCGGTTAATAAATTTGAATATTTTGAATAAAAAGATATTCGGTTAATAAATTTGAATATTTGACTTAAAATTTGCATTTACTGGGCAAATAAAAGAAAGCGCTTCTCTGTGCTTTTCATATTTGTCGTCAGTTGTTTTGGATACACTTCTTTCCTGGTTGGTTTTTTTTAAAGCTTTATATTATTTTTTGTTCCGTTGTTACTTTGTAAGCTTTATTTTGAGTCAGTTTATGACTTTTGAAGTTGAGTTATCGATGTCACTGTGTTTATAATGTTTCTAGGTGTTACTTTGATTCATAATATTTTTTCTTTTTTAGCACAAATGAAACTCCTGCGCCACGTGAAAGATCCGGTGCTGCATCTCCTGCAGATGATCCCCTGGATACCGTGGTTTCGCAAAAAGCAGAAAGATCTCGACGATTTGAAGAAAGAAGTTGACATGGTTGGTGTTTGTTGAAGCGGCTTATGCTAGTTATTGGTTTGGAAACGGTTTAATATTTTCCTGCTTTAGGATGAGCACAAGATTTCACTCGACGAGCTGTGCCAACGTTTCACAACCGACCCTCGAAATGGGCTCTCATCAAGCGAGGCTGCCGAACGGTGAGTTCCGACTTTTGGTGTTTGGTTCTGCGTCGTGGTGCTTGTTGTACAGTATTTGTGTAGCTTTGACTCTGTACCATTTAGCTAAACGCTGTACTTTTCTTAATGATTCTTTACTTTTAGACTCAAAACCAATGGCCCCAACTCCCTCACCCCGCCCGCTCAGAAAAGTGTCATCATCGAGTTGGGCGAACATTTATTTGGTGAGCGATTTTTGGTTTATGCTTTACTATTTAACTTTAGGTGGTTTCAACTTTCTTTTGTGGGGAGCCGGTTTCTTCTCGCTGCTCGGTTTTGTTCTGGAGGTTGTCGACGATAAGAAAAACTACGAGAATGTAGGTTTTATTTTTTAAGAAGCTTCTTGATAATCTTTACTGTTTTAGCTCTACATGGCAATTCTCATGATCGTGATCGTTTTGGGGACGGGGTCCTTCTCATTCTACCAGAATCGAACGTCGGCCAACATTATGAAGAGTTTTGCGAATATGATTCCGACAACGGCTCACGTGAGATTTGAAAATGGTTATCACTTTATTGCTGATGTGTTTAGGTGATTCGTGATGGGCGACATATGGATATCAAAGCCGAAGAGGTGGTGCTCGGGGATCTGATTTGCGTGTCTGGGGGTGACAAAGTGCCAGCCGATGTTCGAGTTACGGAGTCGAAGGGATTGAAGGTATTTGCATCATTCTTGTCGCACATATCTTTTGTACTTTGGGTGGATAACTCGTCGATGACTGGAGAATCCGAGCCACTCTTCCGCACCGCCGAATTCACCCATGATAACGCGCTCGAGACAAAGAACATGATGATGTTCTCGACGAATGTAGTCGAGGGAACTGGTCGAGGAATTGTCGTCAAAGTCGGAGATAATACGGTGGGTTTTGTTTGGATTAACGAAATAAAACCTATAATTTGTTTCATTTTTGCTTTTTCAGGTGATGGGACGAATTGCTGCAATCACTGCAACCGTTAGCCCTGGCCCAACCCCGATTGTCAAGGAAATTAACCACTTTATTCGGGTATATTGATTTCTTTTTGAGTGTTCATACAAGTTGCTTCAGATTATCGGTTCGGTGGCATTTGTGGTTGCTTCGGCGTGCTTTATCGCTTTTATCGCGGAAGGGGGCGCCTTTCTCGATGCGATCGTCTTCATGATGGGAATCTTTGTTGCCAATGTACCCGAGGGAATCACCGCCACCGTTACTGTATGCTATTTTGAGTGCGAAGGGCGACGATTTGGATCATTTAGGCATCGCTCACGTTGACGGCGAAGAAAATGCGCAAGAAGCATTGCTTGGTAAAGAAATTGGACGCAGTGGAGACGCTGGGAAGCACGTCGACAATTTGCTCGGACAAAACCGGCACTCTGACGCAAAATCGAATGACCGTTGCGCATGTTTGGTTAGATTTTTCGCACTGACACCGTTGTAATTCTTGTATTTTCTAGGTTTGATGGAAGGATTGACGAGGCAGTCACTTGCGGTGAGAAAGGAGAACAAGTCGGCGAGGGAATCCCACTCGACGGATGCTATGCAGATTTGATGCGCTGTGCCACTCTTTGTTCTCGATCGGATTTCAAAGTTTCGTTTTACATATACATATATTATGCATTGTTTAGACCGATGATATCGATGTGCCGGTGCAAAAGCGGGATACGGTTGGTGATGCGTCGGAGACGGCAATTCTCAAATACTGCGAGCTGGTGCGATCCGGAGGAGAACCGAAGACGGCCGTTCACGATTTCCGGTAAACTTGATTTATTGAATATCCATATTTAATTTTTTTTTTCTTTCAGTGACCTCTACCCAAAAGTGGCCGAACAGCCGTTCAACTCGATCAACAAGTATCAATTGTCAATTCACACTGGAGAGAAGAATGGAGCACATGTCATTATGCTAAAGGTGTGGATTTAATGATTACTTTAATGCTATTTCTTTAGGGTGCTCCCGAGAAAGTGTTGGCCATGTGCAAATCAATGGCGACGTCGAAAAGTGGCGAAGAGATAAACGAAAAAAGCAAGGCCGCATTCCAGAATGTAAACATTCAATTACATATTTTTCAATTTTTCATTTTAGGCCTACGATCTACTTGGAGGAATGGGCGAACGTGTGCTTGGATTTGCCGAGTTGGTGCTTCCCATACAGGATTTCCCACCCGGCTTTACTTTTGACACCGAGACGGTCAACTTCCCAGTTCAAGGTGGATGGAATTTTGAAACTTTCAAATCTGAACTGTTTTAGGTCTTCGTTTCCTTGGTCTCATCTCGATGATTGACCCTCCACGTCCTGGTGTGCCGATGGCCGTGCGTTTGTGTCAGAGTGCCGGCGTCAAAGTGGTGATGGTGACCGGGGATCATCCAATTACGGCGCAAGCCATTGCAAAACACGTATGTCCTTGTTACTGTTACTGTTACGTCTCGGATGTTTGTTTTAGGTTCATATCATTGACAGGAAGGCTCGTGTGACGTGGCTGGTGGATGATGAGCCTGTGGTTGGGGAAGAGGTGAGAATTTGGATGATCTGTAACTTGTTATGCTCACTTTAGGAGTATGGAACGGGTCGTCTTCAGATGACGGAAGCAATCGTTGTGCATGGGGAACAGCTGAAGAAATTGACGGAGAAGACAATCGACTCGATTGTTTCCAACTATCAACAGGTGAGCTGGTTTTGATCGTTGGTATTGAATTATTCCATTCAGGTGGTCTTTGCTCGGACATCTCCTACTCAAAAACTTCAAATCGTCGAGGCTTATCAAAGGAATGGACAAGTGAGCTTGAGAAGACTTTTGCCTCCATATGACTCTATGTCTAGATTGTGGCTGTTACTGGTGATGGAGTGAACGATGCACCGGCTTTACGCAAAGCGGACATTGGTTAGTGATTGCTCGGCTGATGGCCAGTTACGAGATGAATTCTGACTGCATACTTTAGGCATTGCAATGGGCATCGCGGGTACGGATGTGTCAAAGCAAGCGGCCAATATGATTCTTCTCAACGACAATTTCGCGTCAATCGTTACGGGTGTTGAAGAGGGACGAATCATCTTCGACAACTTGAAGAAATCAATTGCCTATGTGTTGACGTCAAACATTGGAGGTGGGTTGGCTGCTCTACTGGAGTTTCTTATAATGCACGCTACTGTAACTCGCTGTAATACTTTTCAAAACGTTTTCTTTTAGAAGTGACACCGTTCATCTCGAACGTGATCTTCGGTTTGCCATTGCCGATGTCGTTGATTTCGATTCTTCTCATTGACATGGGCACAGATTTGGTTAGCATTCTCAGCCATCCAACTTTTTAATGCTCTTTTAGTGGCCAGCCGTTTCACTTGCCTACGAAGCTCCCGAGAATGACATCATGAACCGGCCACCACGTAACTCGAAACATGAAAAGCTTGTGAATTCTCGGTGAATTTATTTAATTGCTTTTTGCATTGTATTCCTCTTACTTTAGCCTCATCCTCTTCTCGTACCTGAACATTGGCATCATCCAAGCAACCGCTGGCTTTTGCACTTATTTCTGTGAGTTGAATTTGATGGTATTTGTGAATAAATCCTCAATCTTTCTAGATATCCTGATGCTTAATGGCTTCATGCCACTGGATCTCTTTTGGAAACGAGAGAAATGGACCGATCCCTACTTTGAGAATTACGAGGACTCGTGGGGACAAGAATGGGTAAGAAAGGTCGACCGTTTTCAACCTTTCAAGTTTTTTAGTCGTACCAAGCCAGGAAGGATTTGCTCTATCAATGCCACTCGGGATTCTTTGCCACAATGGTAATCGTTCAATGGGCTGATTTGTGGATCTCGAAGACGCGCAAGAACTCGATGGTCAATCAGGGGATGCAGTGAGTGGAAGATTTGCCGATTACGTCGATTTTTTTCTTTAGAAACTGGGTGATGAACTATGGAATGTTATCGACGGTGATGTTGATGTTCCTCTTTTTGTACGTCCCCGGCCTCAGCATGGTGCTCGGTCAGGTGCCATTACGGTTGGTGACTTTTAAACATTTCATCAACTTTATTCCCTTGCTTTAGCTTGACAATGACGATGATTGCCGTTCCATTTGCCGTGTTCATCTACATGTACGACGAGACGCGCAAGTTCATCATCCGCAAACGACCCGGCGGAATAGTCTACCGTCTCACCAACTACTGAGTGGCCATTCTCTACACTCACCTCATCGAATCGCCCAAGCAAGAAATTTTACCCTTTTTTTACAGTGTCGTGTCTTTTTGTGAGAAATAAAATAAAATTTGGATTCGGAAATCATTGTGAACTTGTTGATTAGATTTTGACTCACTTTCCTTGACTTTGCCCCCAATCGTACATTGTGCCAGTGCCGGGGAAGAAGTAATTGCCGTATTTGTGAAAGGAGACCGTCATTACCTGGAAAATGGTTGAGATATCGTTTTATCACGATTGAGTAGCCTCACCCTGTCTGTTAGGTAGAAAGCCTCTTGTACTCCGTCACCGTGATGAATATCGATGTCAATGTAGAGAACTCTGGAATTTAAAATTTAAATGCATTCCAGGAGTCCGTAAACTTGATGTACATTGCAAGCCCTATTGTATCCTTTTATGCACCACAAACCTTTTATGATACTTGAGCAGCTCGATGATCGCGATCACGATATCGTTCACATAGCAGAAACCGGAAGCCTCGCGCTTCTTCGCGTGATGCAAACCGCCAGCCCAATTGATCACGATATCGTTGAGCTCTGAAGGGATACGGTAGCTTACTTGTGGTACTGTGATTACCGTAACCCCGGATTGAGCCGTTTCTAACTGCTTACCGTAATCCACTATGTGGTACTGTATTGTACTCATTCTAAAAAAACTTACTATGATTGAGCCGAACTGCTCCCTCCAATGAGCCGCCGGTGTAGAGCGAGCAAAACTCGAAGATCCCGTCGAATATCGGACTGAAATAAGTTTTTAACACATTGGCTTTGGCGTAGACTTGATATTTCCAAACTTACCAATCCTCGCCAATGTTGAAACTGGCGAAATCTCCTTCAAATTGACTGGCAACCGCCGGAGAGACACTTTGCAGGAAATTCACGTACTCCTCGTCGTGAAAAATTCTGAAACGGGTATTTTGAGTCTTGTGCAAATGGTTTACTTTAAATTGTCAGCTGTGGCTTTTGGCATCACTCGCATGTCCATTTTCTTGTCCAACTCGTAGGCCAAAATGAGGGAATGGAGAGCGGCAAGACGTTGCGGTTTCATTGGATGACGGGGACCTAATTTGGGGTTTTGGTGAGGAGTTGAAATGCGTTTAATTGCTTTTAAAACTGTGAACCACTTACCGTAATGAAAATTGCCAACATCCGGGTGAAAGTAGTAGCAAACTTTTTTCGGAGGAGCCATTTTGTGGGGGCTGGAATCGGAAGGGTGTAAAAACTATAGAAGAGAACAATTTCCATATAAAAACTGTCAGTTAGGGCAATTGTAACCGGGCTGACAAATAATTGACAGGGTTAATTGTGCGGACTTTTCCTAACATCTTGCCGGTACAGGCGGACACTGTAAATTTCACATAAAACTCCCAGAACTTTCGCTGGTAGATGCTTTCACTTGCCGTGAGCTTCAGATAGTAAATAGGTTTAATTCCTGAAAACCCTGTTATTTCTACCGCAAATGACTCTTAATCTGGATATCCGATCCTGAATTTCTCAACTTGCATATCACATCCCTGAAGCTCGAGTGACTATGATCCTTTTAAAGCAAGTCGCAAGCAATCTTAAACTAGGAAAGCAAGCAAAAACTAGGAAAATTCTACAGCTAACACTCCCAACAAGTAAAATATTTAAATTTGGTCTAACCCATCTCATAAAAACCAATCTTTACTCAATACAAACGATTTATTGAAGAGTGTTTCACAAATTTGTATCAAAGATCAATTGGAAGTATTACACGTTCAATGGAATAAAAAAATAAAAGATGAGAGAAAAGTCAACAGATCATAAAACGATTTTGCAAAATTTCATGAGACCAATAAATAATTGTGCCTAAAAAGAGGGGAAAAGTCAAAAGTTTAACTTGGAACATCGCTGCTTTGCTCACTGGCTGGCAGATTTGCGTCGGATGAGGCGTGCGGAAGAGTGGATTCCTGAAAAAAGGTATAGATTTAACACGTTTTGAGTTCTAATTGTCAAAAATGGATATTGAAAGCTCTAACACTGGGCTATGTAACTTTAACTACAATATTATAAGAGTTGACTTGAAGAAAAATGCCGAACCTGTGATCCAGCTGAGTGTAGTTCGGCCAAAAGTTGTGCCAACACGGTGCTTCCCTCTAAACGCGACAACGATAACCAGCAAAGTGTTCGCTCATGACGCCGCAATTGCCTGGAAAAGATGAGCATATCATTTTTAAGTATTAAGATAATAAAATTTCTTTCAAATAAAGTAAATGCCTACTGTCTTCCTTCGGATGAATAGCGAGCCAGGTTTCGCAGAATGAGGCAAGCTGTCAAGCGGATACTTCTCGTCACCGGACCCTCGGGTTCGTCCTAAACAAAATATGTATACTTTGAGAAATTTTGATAATAATCAAACTCACCGTGATCTCTCGTGGCAAAAACTTGAAAGCGTGTCGCCCGATCGCCTCGGCCGCCGCATTTCGAGTGTAGCCCGGATGTGGAGGCAACTCGCGAACGACATCGGATCTAAAAACAACAATTAGAAAATCGTATTAAGAAAATTTTAATACCAATTAGACCTGAAGACATTCTAATCTTTATGTTTCATTATTTTAACTACACAAGATCGAATCTTTCACCTGTATTTTGGCGGAACTTTCGGCACGGTGCCGTCTCTACGTCGAATGGCCATCGATCGAAGATGGTGATCGCTTGCGTGATGATCCTGTAGATGAGTGACGAGTGACCATCTAAAGAAAACAGAATATCGATAATAATTTATCTGTTTTGATAGTATTTTCACTATTCAATATTGCTACAAATTAGTTTTGAAGTCGTTTTTCCTAGCACACGATTAGTCCGACACCTCTAATTATGACTGTTTTAAACCCAATAAAACCCAATAACATAAAAAACCAAAAAACCAAAAAAATCTGCTTTTCTTGTTCCAAAACCAGTTTCATAACAACGAAATTCAAAAACTCTTACTTGCTACGCTCGGTGGCATCACAATTTGGCCACTTGCACACGGACATTCCACCATTGTCATCGGGTAGATGCTCACGGATCAGATGATCGATCACATAAGAAGAACGAGAGAATCTAAATTTGACACATTACAGGGTAGGTAGAGTAAAACTGGCAACTTTCTAAAAATTTCAAGGTTACCACATGACTTTTGAAGTTTCCATTCTTGTCGATTAGTTTCATTATTCATGTCGTCTTCACAGAAGAGCAGCAGCGACAAGGATTCGATTGCACCGCTCGTCGGGACACAGGTTGGGATTTTTTTTGGTGCTTTGTTGCTTTCGCTCAGACTTTAGTCAAAATTTCGCTTTCACAGGTCAATCTGGTCAGGCACAATTTGATAGTTAACAAAATTTTTTATTACTAGATGTCACTAGATTAGCGCTTTCAAAGCTACCGATGCATTTTTACTTTTAGGCGCTAATCAAGAAGAACCCCAGCCGCACCCTGCACTTGTCAACTGACGAGGTGCCGCAACACGGCGATGGGAAAAACGACAAGGAAAACATCCGACACGCCGTCTACACCGCCATGAAGAACGCGCAATGTAGAAGGTTTTCTTGGAAACATTAGTGAGATTGATGCCATAACTGGCAATTATTAAAACTTGAATATTATTCCTTTTAACTAATCCTGTTTAGTGCGAGAGCCACTCAAACGGCAGATCGTGCGCATCGAGTGTTGTCAACACGGCGAGAAGTGTGGCAAGGCAAAGATGGTCGGTTTTTAAACCTTTAAATCTGGCTTTCTTTTTCTAGGAGAACTTCCCGAGCAAGCGAGGCCACGAGTTGCCGGCTTATGTTCAATCAACACCGAGTCGTCCCTCACTCGCTGCCACTTCTCGCGCAAAGATCTACGAGATATTCGGCGTCGACGAGTTGCCGCCCTTATCCTCAGCGACCGAGCACCTCAACCCGGCTGGTTCGTGAGCTTTACTCTGGGCAAATTTATTCTTCTCTTGGTAAAAATGTATATTTTCTTCTTTAGACAGCCTTCCACCGCTCGCTCTCGCACTCAAGCCGAAGAGGCAGCAGGATGTGGGCCTCCTTGCGCCCTACACACCGCCGAAAAGCAGCAACATAGAGTTGGCGAACATTTTCATGAATTTAAGCTTATATTTTAGCTCTCAAAACTCGGACAACGATCGCAGCAACGTGGAATCTTCAGCTCCAACCTCGCCGACGTCGATTCAACCGCGGAACTTGAGACAATTCAAGCTGGCCTCCGCGACGACAAAGCCTAGCGATCAAGGCATGGAGATTCTTCTTAAAACATTAACTTTTTTGTATTTTAGAAACCGATTCCGACTACTCGATGATCACGAAAATGGCCTCATTCACGGAAAAGTCGCAACCTCTTGAGGTAGAATTTTCTTGAGCTTGAAAATTTGTCTTTGAATTTTGCGAAACATGGAAACTCTCAATTATTTTTTTTAGGAAAGCAGCGGTAAAGTCGTCGACAAGAAGAACAGGGAGAAGATTGGAGCAGCGAAAAAAGTGGACAAAGTCGACGACAGTGCCGCCAATCAACAAAAAGAGCAACAAAAATACGAGATTTTTGATCCGGCACACTACTACGTTGGCACGGTTTGTGATTGCGTTCTCTTCTGCAAAACCTCTCTTTTAATGCACAAAGAAGTCGGCGATGAAACACCTCAAAGAAGCGTACCACTTTCGCTTCTACCATCCCAAGGTTGATCTTTAAAATTAAAAATTTTTTTCGTCTTAATTCGAATTTTTCTAGGTTAGCCGCGCGAATGCGAATCTCGAAGCTCTGGAGGAGAAAATCCCGCTTCGTCTTATCTATCGACAAACGAATGATGGCGAAAAGATTACGTGGGAGAATTGAATTTTGAAAGTTAGCTTTGGTATTCGACTTCATAAATGTTTCTCTTTTTAGAGAAATCATCATCCGCACTCGCAGCAATGATAAACGCGTGAAAGAGGTCTCTTTGGATGGAGAGAAAAGGTTTTCGTCCTTGCGTGATCTTCTCAAACACTACTCGAAGAATGACCTTCCGTCTCTAACTTCTACTACTTAACTTGTCGATCATTGTGTGCGTGTTTATCAATGTTTTTTGTGAGATTCCCTGTTCAGCACTCGCAATTGAGTGTTTTTTCTGTGTGTTCTTGGTGATAAATGCTGTGTAATAAAGCTTTAAATGGGGTAGGTCTTAAATGGCCAAAAAATTGGATTCTTAAACACTCTTGGACTTTTATGGATCAACATCAGTGTGTAAAAGGAAACTTTGGCGCCGATTATGTTAACCTTGCAAACTTTGATCTGATCAAGCTTTAACTTGCTTTGTAAAACGATAATGGCAAAATGAGTTTACTCTAACGATTATTGGATTAGCAATTAACACTTTTATCTCTCTAGTAACTCACAGTTTCCCGCATCCATCCCATTCGCACATACAATCGCCAGTGGGGGCACCCGGTCGAGAGATTGATCGATCGGCTGATTTGGAAGTCGTCTTTGCTTCTTTGTTCTCTTTTGTTTCTGCTGGTTCCACAGAAGATGAGTTCCGCGAAGTGTTTCGTTGATCAAGCTGAATAAGTTATGCTTTTTCCTATTTCACGATCGTTTTGGTCTTGTCGACTTACTTTTGCAGGCTTTACATCTTCCGTTTGTTCGTTTATTTCACCGGGCGCTTGTGAAGATGATCCTCGTTGAAGGTCCTAGAAGGAAATTGAATGAATACACTGGATAAAGTTGATGGCAATAACTAAAATATTTTTTTGAACGCTCACCGAACAGTTCACATTTTCCACTCGAGTGATTATCGTTTCATGTTTCGTCTCATCAATGAGATCCCGAGCCTCGACAACAGTAGCGCAAACCTGGGAGAATTGAATTCTCGCAAAATATAGATTAATTTACTTGATTAGATGGTGGACGTGGTAATGGGCTAGGCTTAGAGTCCATCTAAAGAAAAAAAAAGTTATGCACAAATGACTAAAGACTACCAGAATCGGTGTCGAGTGTGCTGGAGGCGGTCCGGAAACAAGTGACGGACGCCTGGCTGGCGGCAGTCCGTTTGGAACACCTAAATGCAGAATTGATTGCAAAGAATAGCTTAAACTAAATTCCTTATTCGAATAAAATGGTTACTATGATTTAAATTGAGGATACCATTTGGCCGTTGAAGCATCTGTTGCATCACTGGATACGCAGAGACACTCGGAGACGGTGATGGATGTGGAGCTGCTGCGGGTGAAGGGCCACCAACCTAAAAAATGCGAATTAGGCAAATTAGAAATCAACACACCTGGCAGTTAATCGAATTCAACGTCATTGTCGTTTGAGCTCCACCAAGAGTGACCATTGCCCCTTGTTGAGTGACGAGTTCTAAAGTTTAATTGTCAAAACAAATTTGATACGTAGTTTTACTATAGCTAATAGTTTCTTGTCAAAAACTTACTATGTGGTTTCACCAAGCGTATCCCCAACGCGGCCATCAACGGTGTTTGCGACGATTCGGCCATTTTGAAGACGGTTTCGGGGAAAATTGATCTAAAATGTTTAAAATTAGGCTTTCTTATACCTAGATATTTTAAATGTGCTTTATAAGGCTTTATTATTCGAAACATACGCCATGATATTAGAGAAAGTGTTGAGCGAGCCGGAAAGCGAGTGATGATGATTACGGAGATCGTCCACATAAGCTGCATAAAGCTCGCCGCGAGCCGTCCACGAGCCGGCTTGATACTAAAAAAATCAAATAGATAAATATAATTAGTTTAAATCATTCATCAGCATAACATTCAACAAAATTTTAAATGACAAATAAAACCAACCACACAATTCTGACGAATCCAGTTGAAAGTAAGCCGCTCGATGTTGAGATCGCAACCGAATTGTCCAGTTGGAACGTGATTGGGCACATGACCCGGCTAAAATAGAAACATTAGCTGAATCTGAACAGCAATGCGTATTCTAACTCACTGCTTGAACTGGCGGCAAGGCGGCTTGTTGCAAAATTGGTGTTGGGGCGGCCGACTGGGGCAGTGTTGGACGAACGGCTGCTTGTAGGGCGACTCGTGGCGTCTAAACGAAAAGTTTTGGTAAAATTTTCCAACTCATGAATCATTTTTATCAAGACTTTCTTAAGAACTTGAGTGATTAATCACAAAACTCTCTTGCAACTTACCGCTTGTAGATGTGGTGTCTGTGCAGCGGTAACGGGATGTGCTTGTTGTGGCATGGAGAGTGATGGTGGTGGACCGGCAAGAGGATTGTGATATTCGACAACCTAAAGAAAACGCTATTGTTACAAATTTAGTTCGCAAGCCTTGTCAACCCTGCGGGTTGTCAGAGTGGCTTGTCACAGTCGATTGTCAACAATTGAAGTAATGTGTGTTAAATTTTAACATAATTTGCGTCGTCTGTAAATATATTTCTTTATGTCTGTCTGTAAGCTGTCTGTAAATCTATTTCTTTCAGTATTCACTTTCATGCCGACAAGTCCCTCTTTCCCAAAAGAAACCGCTTCAATCGTAGTCATTGAGATGAGAATTTTGATCAAATTCGGCACCACGGCGAGCGCCTCGCAAACGGATGGACCAATCTCGGAAAGCTAAACAGAATGCTAAAGTTCCAAATTATAGACTCTGAATTAATTGTTTATCTTAAAACTTACTTTTTATTTACAATCAAACCTCGATTTAACGATTCTCAAGGGACCGGGATTCTCCACCGTTAAATCGAACGTCTTTATAAGGTAAATAGCTTTCAAGGGACCAAAATTGACATCGTTAAATCGAGGTTTGACTGTACTTCAATTTCAAAACTTTACCTGATATAAACATTCAAGCGTATAGACACACATCATGATATCCCGTACACCGAGCATGTCAATGATTCGACTGAAAAGAGGCGTCGAGAGGAAATCGCTCAACAATGATTCGTTCTTCTCGTGCGTCGACAAACCACCCAGCAATTCCATGCAGCGCATCACCTGAATAAAACTTTAAACTGTTGCTATATTGACTTAATTTTTAGACTTTCAAACTAGATTTCAACTTGCCTTGAACTTATCATCGCTGAAAATTCCCCGTCTCATCGTCTCAAGCAGCAAATGTTTAGCGCTGTATTGCAGCTTTTCCCAGGTGAGCTCAATCTGAAAGTTTGAATTAGAAAAAGTGATAAGTGTTTTAACTTTAAATACTTTTACTAACTATAAACTATTAAAAAAATAGCTTACATCACAAGCGAGATTGCCCAGCGCATCCAGTGCGTTTGTAAACAATGGCGGGTATTTGCAATTGGCACAACAGAGTAGGAATCTGAATTTATTGAATTGGATTGCATTATAGTTATAAAGCTTATAGAGCTTGTTTCAATCACAAAAACTTACTTCATAATGGGCCAGTGTTGAGCCATGTTTACCCGATTGACCGACTCAAAGGAGAGATTTCGAATGATCGTCAGAACCTGAGCATTGATGTTACTTGTTTTTATTGACCAAGTTTTACTTGCTGTACACGCCAAGAGACGGGGTCCTTTGGGTTGAACGTTGGATTGAGGCCGATGAAAAGCGAGAAGCTTTCGTTGTTTCGATGAGAAGCGACATGAGGCACCAAGATCTCCAATTCCTAAAACGAAATAAATGATTGAGTATTTTAGTTCAATAACAGAATTTTAAAACCCTTATTTTCTTGACAAAATTCAGAGCCACAAAACAGAATCAGAATTACACCTCATCTCCCAAGCCCGAAGTTGCCCAAAAGCGGAAAAAATCATGGTCGCTGTTTTTCGTCCAGAGGTCTTTGTGTAAAGCGGCAAGATCCTCCTCATCTTAAAAAGGTAAATGAACAAGAAAATTTAAAACAATTTTAGATTTCTTTAGGCTTTCGTTATTTCTGAAACTCACATTCATCAAAAACCCCGGTTGCTGCCACCAATAACGTCAAAAGTCCATTCGCATTGCTGACTCGCATCAAACGGGGACCCGGGTGAGATAAAAGAGTGCAAATATTCAACGCAAAGTCCACCTAAACAATCGAATTAGTCGTTTGGTTTTGAAATTTGTTAAAGAGTTTTGGCTCAAATCTTTACAATACTGCAACTTTTTACCTCATTTGGTAATCCGGAAATCATCGATCGAACAAGACGAGTGTAATTTGGCTCATGTGAAGTCGAAGCTAAACGAATTATGTAAAGAACTTATAAAAATGCTATCCGGGTAATCAAAGAAGGTAGTCAACTAACCAGTATCACGCCGAAATGGTATCGAAATCGGGCACTCGTTTGGCACAAAAGAGGAAAACTAAAAACATTTTCACGGTAAAAATGGTTTTGCAGGGTTTTACCTGTCTTCTAGCGACTGTTCTTCCGAATTCGTTATCGAGCATGTCATCGATGTCACCAATCGTCTCGTTTTGCTCATATTTCGAAAGGTATCTAAATTCAAAAGATATTGGATATTTAGATTGAAACAAATACCTTAGATACAACGTCTTCACTCCGTGATCCCCCATAAAGCAATCATCGGTGATACCAAGAATTTCGGCCACTTCAAACCATTTATCGTCTTGACAAGTCTAAAACGATAAATTGATTAAAATTTAAGAGATAAAAGATTTATTAACAACAATAACGATACCTTTAACCATCCACCCATGCCCATCACTGTCTCGTAGAGTTTGAAAAGATCGACCTCGACTCCGTGAACATATGGTGGCCTCAGCGGTGCGTTCCTAAAAAAAAGGGAAATTATTCTTTATTTTGACCTTATTTGCTTCAAAATCCTCTTTAAACCAACCATTTTTTCTTGTAGAAAGCGCGCAATTTCTGGTAGAACTCGAAAGCTCTCGTTCGTTTTGTAGGGCAATCTTGCAACCCGTCAAAGTACGTCTCCATCGGTGTCCGACGCTTTCGTATATCCATTTTTGTCGTGCTGCCTGCAAATAAAAACTTGGTTTTTTTAAAAATTGTGTAGCTCAACAAACAAAGAAGAATTTTGATTCAAAAACAAACGCTTAATGAGCGTTTCCATAAAAATGTGAAATATGAAAAGCGTATTTCCGGAGATTTAACAGTTCTCTTATCGCCAAAAATATTTTCTTACATTCAAAAGTTTAACCAAATGAGTCAATATCAAAAATCCGAGCTTACAATTTGAATGTGGAGAGAATTTTTCGATGCCTAGTCCAAAGGCTCCACGAGCATACAAACAACCCAAAAACAAGACTCGCTTCCAACTTACGAGGGCACAATATAGAAGTTACTGGGGGAAAGGTTTCGGATTTAGACTTGATTAGAGCCAAACGGCATTGAAGTTGTATGGAGAATTTGGTGTACCAGGTGACAAACGTTTACACAGATGTACCATGAAAATTTCCTCATGCAAACAATTACCCAGGCCAACCCACTTCAAACAAAGTGCCCCCAAAATATTTTTCTGCTGTCAATTCTACCAGCCCTCTGGCATCTTTGAGAGAAAAAACAATCTTTATTCCAAAACAACGAGAGGCAAAAGAAAGCAAAAACTCAATATCACAGTTCACTCTCCGAAAATGGGTAACTAGAAGAACCGATGGAAAAACGAAAAAAACAACGATGCACAACCCATACAAATCAGGGATTTTCAGGAGAAACAAACCAAATCAGAAAAACCAAACCAGATTAGAGCAATTGCAAAGAAAGAGACCAAAAAGCAACGAAAAATTTTATAAAAACAGATGAAAAGTGACTATCAATGAACAAGGAAAATACCCTTATCGATCGTAGAATTTCAAAAAACAAAAATAAATTAAAAACCCTAAAGATCCGAGGTGATTCTTCACAGCTCCGTTTTCTCTTCTTCGACTTTTCCGTCTTGCGTCTCTTTGGGTTCCTCGCTTGGTGGCTCGGCTTTTGACTCTGTAGTCTAAAAAATTATAACTTCTCTTATATTCTTACTCAAGTCTTTACCTCTTTCTTCTCTTCAGCAGCTTTCTTCTTTGCTTCCCGTTCCGCTTTCTTTTTTGCTTTGACGACATCTTCCGTCAACCGTGTCAACTTTTGGAAATGTTGCGCAAAAGCTCGTTGCAAAGCGGATGTCTGAAGAAAAGTTTTAAAACAACAAAATAATCCAAAGTAACCTTGCTCTTAATATCCTCCGTTTTCAGCACGGAGTCCTCATTAATCGGCAAGTTGGCCTGTTGCTTCTTGTTGCTTGTCAGCCATGTTACGAGCTAAACTTTATTTTACTTGATGCGAACTTATGCTACAAACCTTGTCAATTTTCGTGCTGAACGATGCAATTTCATCGTTCACTGCTTTTACTTCTTTTCCCTCTGTTACAGTGGCCGTTTCGGTGAAGTTTTTGTGAGCGTGACAAGTTGGATCGTTGTGTTGATCAATTTCTCCAATTCTTCCAAAGCCGGTGGGCGATTCTAAACAATAGACTTATGGCGTTGGCAAAGGGCATTAATTTCTCAATGCAAAAGATTTTATTCTAAAATCCACTTGTGTTTCCGAGATTCGTTTGTTGATCGGCTCAACGATTTCCTTGATCTTCTTGTAGTTGTCTTTGAAATCTTTTGTTGGAGTCGATGGTTGCGTGTCATCTTCAAGCCAAGCCCGAACTCGTGTCACCTAAAATAAAAATTTGATGAAGTCAAGGGGTCGTACATTTTCTAATCTTTGCTCTAATCAATATCTTACCTCCGCTTGCAACTTTTGTCGTTCAACTTCATTTGAATGAAGAATGAACTTCTCCTCGTCAATCAAGGTGCTTGCCTAAAAAATTGAATTAAGATCAAAATTATAAACAAACTTCAAATGCAAATGCTTCCAGCTCATTCTCGGCGGAGTGACGTTCGGCCCGCAAAACTTCTTCTTTCTCAAAGCGTTCCAATCTTAAAATTGCAATTGCTTAGCAATTAAAAAAAAAACCAACAATCTGATGGATGAGTTCACCTCGTCGACGCTCACCGGTTTGATGTCCTTGTGATCTCGCGTGACTGATAGTTTAACCTAAATTTTCTTGAAAACTTCTTCAATTTATTCAAAACCTTGGTTGTCGTTGGTATTTCCTTGGCAGTCTCGGTTTTGTTCGTCGATTTTTCTTCGGTCTTTCCTTTCTCGGTTGGTTTCTCGTCTTCCTTCTTGTCGGGTTTTTCGGTGGTTTCGGCTACTTTTTCATCGGTGCTCTAAAATACAAATGTTTAGAAAAAAAAATCATCCTTTACAAGTCTTACTTGATCTTGATTTGTTCCAGCCGATTCACCCGTTGGATCCTCAACTTTTTCCTCCGTCGTGTCACCCTCATCTTTCTTGCCTTCACCCGAGAAGAAACCGCTAATCGTATTGGTCAAAGCTGAAAGTTAAATCATTGAAGAGAAAGTTCGAATAACTCACATTCCACAACACCCTTGGGCTTTTTCTCAATGATTGCCTCGGCGCCATCAATTCGAACCAATCCTGAGTAGTCCAGCGAAAAACCTACCTAGAAAATTGCAAAGTTATACCTCAAAGTTGACACAAAAAACCTTGACTCCTTTGAATTCGTTTTCTTCGGGGTTTAGCTTATCGTCGAGCGCTTTCTTGAGACCACCAATTTTGATGTCATTGAAGTGAGTGCTGCCGAACAAACTAAACATCTTATTTAACTTTGAGAGACTTAATTCGTTTCAAGATCACACTTCTTCTGGTCAGCCGAAAAGTGCGAGAGGTCTCCGTAGTGTAGTCCAATAGCAAAATCGTCTTGATAAGAAGTAAAAGTCATCACCTAAAAAGAAAAGTAATAACATAACTGCAAACATCAAAGCAACCTTTCTTGCTGTAGGATACAAAGATTTGTAAGGAAAAATTGATTTCTTGATGTCTTTTTCCGCAACTTTTTGGGTGTACTCATCTTTATGCTTGGAAATGAAGTGAACCTAAAAAGATTCAAAATCTAGAATATCTGCCGACACTCATACTTGGACGGGATATATCTGCAATTCCTCAACGTAGAACGTCTTCACTTTGAATCCCTTTGACAAGAAAGCCGCTTGGTAAAGACCACCTAAAGAAAAATATGATTAAATTTAAGTTAGACTTTAGTTACCAAGAGCAATCGACTCATCAGTATTCAAGAAACGGCCGATTTCTTTGCTGAAACCAAAGTTACTTCAATTATAAATTGTTAAAAAACCTTCCAATTCTCGTTTGCATCAAATCTTGAACTTTCGGAATACGAGTTCCAGCACCCATCAAGACGATTTGATCAACCTAAACATAATTTTTAAATGTAGATACTCATCAAAATAAGTTTTATATCTCAATAAAGTCTGCAATGCCTCTAATTGTTTCATGTTTTACCTGATCCATAGTCAATCCGGCCATCTCAAGAGCTCCATCAATTGGCGCGAGAATCCGTTCGTCCAAATCCACAATTAGTCCGTTTAGTTCCTCTCTTGTGACTCTCAGCCGCATATCCTAAATATTTCATAGAACATCAATTCCATTTTAAACGCACAATATCCTCGTGCACGCTCTCGATTTGCGCAAAGTGATCCAGGTTTGCAGAAAGAACCTAAAATGCTATCGTTTGTTATTCATTTGAGTTTTCTTCAACTTACTTGTTTCACACGTTCCGCCTCTTTGTACATTTTGGCCATAGCTTTGTGATTAGTGGCAATGTCCTTTTCGGTCTTGTAATTGTGACGGAATTTCTCAACCAATAACTTCTGTAGCCGCAAAGTGATCAATTCGCCTCCAAGCGTTCTAAAAAATACCATCAATAAACTGTGAAAGCAATAAACCTATCATAGCCAATTCCCAAAACGGTGAGATGGGGTTCTTTGTATCCCTTTTTGTCTTTAGCAATCTACAAATGGAACTTTTAAATTAATTTGATTTAAGCCAAACTTTGTATTCAACCAAAGTAGTTATTGTTTTTGAGGCTCCCATATCATAAATCAAAAGCCGCTGTTGTTTCTCGGATAACTAAATTAGCCAGTTTTATGCACAGATTGTGAAAATTAACTTCTTTCCGTCTAAAGACTCCATAGCTAAGGGCAGCTGCTGTTCCATCGTTGATCAACTAAAAAGGATAAACCCGACCAAACGCTAAGAAAATACCTGAAGTAAATTCAATTTTGCAATTTTTGCAGCATTGAGAATCGCCAATCTTTCAGCTTGATTGAAGAATGCGGGGACGGAAATGACGACATCCTAAACAACGAGAAGTTGGTGCACTTTTTAAAAAATTTCACTTTGATAGTCTGTTCAGCGAAAGCTTCGGCAGCTTCCCGAGCATTCGACAAAATCATGGCAAGCACCGTTTCGATGGCGTATGCTTCTTCACTAAAATTTAAAATTTTGTTTTGGGTTCTGTGGCAAGATGAGACTTTAACTATACAGTCTCCTTAACAGCATTAATTTTTTCAAACTTACCCAAAAGGTAGAGCGACGGTTGATCGGTTCGTCGGAATCAGCGACAAGTGTGGGTAATTTTCCAGGTATTGCTTCACAATTGGATGGTCGATTGGCTTTGCGACAAGGTCCAGAAGATTCCCGTATACGGATGTTGGGTGCCGACTTGTAATCTGCATTGCCGGATCACCAAAGACTCTAAAATGTCCATATTAATACATTAATACTAAACAATAACCTTTCTCCATCTTTTATGTGAATGAGTGCTGGCGTTTTCCGACGACTCTCCTTGTTTAGCACGATTTCCATAGGAACACCCGGTTTGACGAGGCCTATCTAAAACCAGAGCTTACTAATCTTTCACTCCGCGATCAAATTTTAAAGTTTTTTGAACTGTTTCCTTTTATCCATAACCGATAGCTCAACATTTGTAAGAACTGATGCTTTACCTTTAAGAACTTGGATCCAAAATCGATGGACATTGCAGCAAAACCACCTTGAAGTTTTGCCGTCGAGACTCCATCGGCCATGGAGGCCAGCAGTAAAACCGCCAACCACCGCATACCTTAAAATAAAATCCGTAAAACTTTGTGCAAATGACCAAATAACATTCTTTTACATGGTCATTAAAGAATAGCATGGCCAAATAAACCAATTGTATCATTATTAAACTTTTAAAAGGATTTATTCATCAAGACACTAAAGCAACAAATCACACAATTCGACAACAATACGTAAATCTCTATGGTGCTTCTAGTTGTGTCAATTTATTGATCAAACTTTGGCCAAATGAATTACGATATTCAGGTGAAATGTAGTCAAGCAATTCGTAGATCGTCATGAAGTAGCGCGTGTGAGTGTCGATTTGAAGGAAGTCACCATTCATGCAATCGTTTCTAAAACAAACAATTATATGTCGTAGTCGATTATAAATGAGTGGGTCTAGACGCGTCAAACCATCCAGTATTTGGTACCATTCAACGCAGAATTTAATTCGCTACAAAATGATATAATATTGTCCTCTTACATTAAAGGGTTGCTCTACTAGAAAGGTGTCCAAAAAAAATTTCATTCATAATCGGCTACGACATTAAACAAATATTCAACTGTTCAACAACAAATAGACTCACCTATTTGATGCTATCCGCCATCCTTTTATCGTCAATTCAATGCAGTAAGAAGATCCTTCCTTTGTCGTTAGATTCAGAAACATCAATTCGGTTGTTCTAAGTGAAACGTTTTGAAAACGTAAAAAATGCAGTTTTTCTCAGCCAGCGTAATCCATTGCCATAATCGAGGTAATTTCAACACGTAAGCCACTTTTAGTCACATTTTAGATAGGGAAAAAGCGAAATCACATACCTCGGCAATATTTCCGACACGCTGATGTTCTGTACGGCGAATGAAACCTCTCGAACAGCGGCTGCCGCCTCAATTTCCAACGTCGATAGCTCTGGATCACAAGCGGGACATGTTCTAAATAAAAAAAAATAGACGGTAAAAAGTTAGGAGAACGCCTCCAACTTTACTTTCCCCAAAGCAATTATAAAAACGTACTCTGCTCTCCTCTTTGCCTCGAAAGCCGCCAAAATCACCTCGTTGTTCTAAAATTGAAATTCCGACCTGAGAAATTTTTAAAAATGCCGCAAATAAAGTACCGCGTTATTTGATGTTGTCGAATTTGAGGCCCCGCTGCCAATTGAATCGATCATTGATCTGAAAAAAACAAAATAATCTGATATAGTAAAGAAAAACAATAAAGAAAAGAACAAAAATCACGGGTAAAAGTGAAGTGGAGCTGCTTTTGACCTGTAAAGTCTGATACTAGATGTAGGTATAAGACAGAAGCAAAATATATTTTGGCCAAAAATCGTTTGTAGATACATATTTCCAAAATTTTCCTTTTCCCATCTACAAATTCCAGACTTATGCGGTGTTTTCTCTGTGACGAGGTGTTGGCTTTTCACCAAAATGTCGATAGGTTGTGTGAGTTTTTTGTGGGCTCATTGATTGTAATTCTTCGAAAGCCCATACGATTTCCGTCTAGAGGTGTGTATTCTGTCAAATTTATGATCTTCAACGTCGTTTTGACGCATTAGGCTTTTAAAAAAAAACACAACTTCCATGAAATCAACATTTTCTTTTAATATACTTTAACATACCATTAGCTGAATATCTTTTTGAACTTTTTAAAGTTATTGAATCGTCGTCATTTGTGTTTATAAAACAAAAAGAAAAACTGAATTCCTTTCATTGCCCCATTTTTATTTTCGTTTACGCTTCGTTTACGTTTTTCCAGATTGCCAGAGATGTTTGCTTCAACGAAAAACGCAGCGAAAAACTCAAAACCACTTGAGGTGAGAAATAATTTTTGGTGTTTTACGTATTGGCGTATCGTATGGGAAACAGTGCCCGCGATTCAGTAGCTTGTTCATGCCATCTCGTTGACCCTACCAGTGACATAATAAGACTAGACGGTACTTGGGTGGTTGGGGGCACTTATATCTCCGATTGTTCGACTTTTTCTAGGGTAATCGAGTACACTGGGTCATTTTTAACACAGTCGCATTTTTAACACAGATTTGCTTTAATAAAAGACTTTTCCAACCTCGGAAGAAACGCAAAATCAAGGCTTTTTGGCAAAAAAATTTTTTGTATGCAAATTTTCATGTTTACATTTGGCTTTGTGAGCCAGAATGGCGTATAGTTGGGGGTGCACTTAGGCAGGCCCAGGTTGGGGGTGCGCCTGAGCTATGTAGAAAGCTTGCAGCACCTACCCCCACTCCGGGCCTAAGTGCAGGCTTGCCACTAAAGTACCGACTAGACTTTTGGCTTACATTTGGTTTTTGCTTAATCTTAGGGATTTTTTAGTCAAAAAGAACCATTGCTGTACAAATTTTATCCAATTCTTCTTGTTTAGCTTCTCTTCATCGGTTGTCAAAGCTCCGATCCCTATTCGGTCATGTCAATCAACCCATGGACGGGCATCTCATCATGGACTTACAAGGGCACCGAGTTGCAGAATGGAACAGTCGGGAGTGCGAAGCCGATTGGTATCTTTTTGCGAGTTAGGTCAACCGGAGAGGATTTAAAGTCTTAACTGTTAACATCATTTTTAATTTAACAAAGTTTAGGAGTCGATGGAAAGCATTTCCTCGTCAATGTCAATGAACGACCAATCATCCACATCAAAGGCTTGCATCCAAAAGATCGATATCATTCAATGGTAAGCTATCGTTCTAGACAGACTTTAAAAATGTTTCTCTAGGCTTATCTTCCTGAGCCTGCGACGACTTTTGTCACTTCCAAAGACGGATTATTGCTCTTTGTCGCCATTAAGACAAGAGTTTACGTCTGGATGGTAAATGTTGAACAGTTGCAGTTAACTTGATTATTTTAGTTGACTTCTGGGTACCTCGTTGCCTCCTTCGACGCACACTATCAAAGTATTTCGGATATGGCCATTTCAAATGATTCGTCTCTCTTGATCACCGCATCACTTGATGGATCGATTCATGTTTATCTGGTTGCTGAGTGAGTTTATTTCAGATCTTAAGGTAGTCTATCCAAATATTTAAATAATCTAAAAAAATTGCTTTGCGATGGAAAAAGAATACCGTAACTAGCTTTTCCTAGATTTTCGATTTAGCATTGTAAACTTGGATCGTCAATCAACGATTTACCCAGTCCGCAAAACCAAAGCCCATTCGCTTGCAATTTCGTCGATTGCCGTTTCTTGTGGTGGATCGCCTCGTATTCTCTCCGTTGGAATGGATCATGTTGCCTTTTTGCACTCAATCTCTATGGATGCTTGTTTGCTAAAGGTACGAAATGAGCACTTTTGATTGTAAGAAGAATAAAATCGGATTTTAAGAATTGATTGATTACCAGATATTCTTTAGAATGTTAATGAAAGGGACTGAAACTTATTCAAAATTACTAGTTAATGTGACTTTTGTTTAGATATCAGCTGAACGACCGCTTACCGCTTGTGCAATAGACAAGGCAGAAACGAGGGTGTTTCTCGGAACTGATAGGGGACGAATTGCTCAAGTCAACCTCTATGGCATCGTAAGTTTTTAAGCGTTGGATGGAAAATCTCATATTCAGGGAAATCGTCAAGAAATTCTCATTCAAACCACTAGCGACAATGACACAATTCCAGTAAGGTTTTTTTATATGATTGGTTTGTAATTTTGCTTCCAGATATTTGCTGGTCATTCGTGTGAAATCTCAATGTTGGCCGTTAACGCAGATGGAACTTTATTGGCGAGTGGAGATATGAGCGGCAAATATTGTCTATGGGATATTGCAAGCCGGCAATGTATCAAGGTACTTCAAGATTCTTAGTAAATTTGACTGCTCTTGCACATACTATATAATACTACTGTCATGTCCGTACCATAGCGATATAAGTATTGTAGTGATTTTTTTCCGGTTTCAACGATGAAAGGCGCGATCTCTTCTCTCGAATTTGTGCCCAACTATCCGGCACTACACTCCATGACTTTTGACCAGCCGGCTAGTCGACCGAAAATCGCCACAAATGCCAGGATAGATGAGCTTTGTGTGGTCAATGGACGAGTAGTTGATGATCAGCCGGTAAAAATATTCATATCGTGAAGAGAGATTTCGTTTTGTTCAGAAATGGTGTAAAATCTCAAAGGAGTGTATCGATGATACGTTGAAGAATTTGGTTTGTCTGATTTTTATGTAAAAAGAATTGGTTTTAGAAACACAAGGATCCTAATTCGGAGTTGGAAACAAATGGTATGATTACTTTTAAGTATTAAATACTTATTTATTGTATCTAGATTCACAAATGCATTCATTGTTCGAAGATGGTGGTGACGATGAGGTGGAGAGGCTACGCCGAGAGGTTTGTGCATATAAAATCATTGTCCTGGTCTTTTTACTTCGATAACGATTTGTTTTTCTTTTAGGTCGTTCGCTTGCAAAGAGCCAATCAGGGTCTCTACAATTTCAGCGTCAATTTGGTGCTGAACAGGAACAACGATGATACGGAAGACGAAGAAGAAGAGTGAAGAGAAATTTTAGAACATTTGCTTTTTGAGCTGTTGCTGTTAATATTTTGTTAAGTTTTTGTTATCGTTTATTGCTCTTGTAAATTCTGTTTTTCGAAGAAAAGTTTACTCGTTTAGCCCAATGTACTTAAGAAGAAAGAGATCCGTGGAAAATGTCATAGAAAAGAAAATAGGAAATTAGATTGTATGCACATTTTGAATAGAGGAAAATTTCTTGTAGGCGGCCATCTCAGACTCGTAGCGTTGCCTGTCCTTGTCGGCCAACTTTTCCCATTTCTGGAATTTGTTTTGGTTTAAAAAGTTTCCAGGATGGGTTACTGTATTTCGGCTACAAGTTGGACCTATGCGTAGTCTGGGTAAGGCGAGAACCTAGGTGGTTATTGGATTACTGTAATAGAGCGGTGTATTGTGACTACAAAGATCTTTTCAATGGGTAAACGAGTTCCAGGATTGACATTGGATTACTTTACTTGGTGCTTTAAAGTTCCTCTAACTGACCGATTTATCCTTGAGCACTCCCCACTCTTTTCCAGCTACTTTACCGACTTCAGCGACACCCATACCGTCTTTCTTGATGCGAGCGCGGTTCTCCTAGAAAATCTTTTGATAAGTACTGTAAGATTGTTTGATGAATGATTATTGTACTCACCGCAAGCCACCAGAAGAAAGCAGACATGGACCGCTTTGGGGTATCCGGGTCCTTCTTCAACGCATCGTCGACACACTCCTTTGAGCTTTTACACCATTTCTGAACAAAACGAAGCCTTTCTTCACGATATGAAGATTTACCGGCTGATCATCAACTGCTCGTCCATTGGCCACACAATTGATCATCTCAACAATCTCAGGAAGGTCATCATCGAGGTCCTGTAATATTATAATTATCAAGAACAAGACGGCTAATTTTGAGTCTTAAATTATTGCCAATTCTAGAAAGTCTTTTTGTTCCTTTTAGTACTTCTGTTGAAAAATAACAAAATCACCAATTAACCTATGGTTTACTCGAAATAAAAAGTGTTTATTGTTCAATTTCCCATCTTTTTAAGTCAATTTTCGTTAACTTTCAGGCAAAATTCGAGAGTGAAAACACGTGTTTGACTCGTAAAAATTCATAAAAACTTTACGAAGAAATCTCTGCGATGAGCTAATTTCATTTGAATCACGCGAATTTTCTCAGCCATCAAGTGAACGTAATCTTCCTGAAAATAAATCGATTTAACTTTTTTCTCGACTCATCTTTTAAGCTCTTTTTTTTTGCTTTTAGATAGTAATCGTTTACCAATTTTTATCAAAAACTGTGATGCTAGAGTTGAACGCACCGTGCTAGTCGCCTTTTTGTACAGTTTGTCCTCCAATTTCTTTGCATAGTCGGAAAGTTGAACATATCGAGGATCAGCTTGATCAACTCTATAATGAATGGTGGGCTCGAAGATCATCTCCTTAGCGAAATGATTCCGAAGATCGTCTGTCACTGTGGTTCTCCATGACTGAAATTAAAAAATTAAGTTTCGAGTCAACTAGTGTACTCATTTCCTAGTGCTAGTCAATGCAACAGTCGATACAACTTGAATCTTAAGTTTTATTTCTTTTTAAAAGAACTTAGCTAAAGCATACCTTATTTGCGACAGTTTGAACAGCAAATCAGTACTGTAAGTTTATTTTTGGAA